GAACTATCCTTAAAAAATGCCCTGAAAAACAGCCCTAGTTTGGTAGTGAAAAAAGGCAGAACTTGACTGTAAAAATACATTTATCGTCTTTATAAAAAAACAATTATCAGGACACTCGTTGGCTTGTCCTTGTTTGTTTGTCCTCTACTGTCATTTCGGTATTCTGGTATTCTGAAAAAAATCAGTTAGAACTCTCATCTTGCTCATCATTATAGGCCTTTATCACTCGCCCTATCTGAGATTTTGAAAATGTTGCAAAACGTTAAAAATTCAAAATTTTGAAATCGAAAAAAATGTTCACTAAAGCGTTTGACAAAATTTCATTGAAAAACGTACCATTTGATGTTGTTGTGTTGTTGTTGTCCCACCGTCCTCCCGCTTGGCCCGCCGCAGGGTCTTCTGAAAACGATCATACCTTAAAAAATGTTTCGAAAATCATGAAACGTACCTTTCTTTCGTTGTTTGATTTGTTGTTTGCCCACCAGCCTCCCTCTGGGCCCTCCACATCTTCGTAGATCTGAAATTGTTGAGTGATCAGCCTGATATTGCTTCGAATCAATGATATCAGTCAGTCTTTCAACCGGTTATCGATCCGCTTTTCAAAAAATCAATAATCACGGCGCAGAGCGTCATGACCCCTCCCGGGTCGGATCGATAACCGATTAGTTAAAACTAATCGATAATATCGATCCACTCAGCGTACTCACCTGCGCCAGAACGACGCAGGGTCACTGAGAGGCCGCGACGGCGCGGAGCCAGGCACTGGCACCGACACCTTCGGCAATGCCACGGGGAAAATGAAAAAAAGGGAAAATAGTTAAAGAAGCTGGAAGATGGGATAAACTCACATCCATGATATCGGCGGTGATGGTGAGCTCCGACCGGTTGACTTATGACCTGTGGAGCCTGAGCTTGACGATCCGTGGTGTGGTGGATCTGCAAAAATCATTGATTGTGTGTGGGGTACGGAAGATGAAACGAGTGAAATTGAAGAAAAAGCAAGAAACAAAAAGAGAAGAAGCTCAACTGAACAGAATTCGACTTCTCTACAACTCCAGAGGACCGAAACCAAACCAAACCACAATGAACCTCCCGATAGACCCGATGAACCACACGGAACGAACCCATGAGTACAGATTCTCGCTATCCGAACGCCTGATACCAACCAAAAAAAGTCAATAACCGGAAGAGAAAGAGGAAAAAAGTGGTCACCATCCGCCGAGAGGGACCGCCGCAATGAATGAACAAATAAGCGGCAGCGCGCACAAAAGGGGCTGGGCTTAAAATACGTTCGCCTTCACTTTTGTGATCTTCACGCAAAGTAGGCGCTGCGCACATTCGGATCTATCGATTTTTTGTGAAATTCCAGTTCAGTTAGTGGTTTTGCTTTGTGTGCGCGCTCATCTTAACGCCTTTGTGTGCGCTCATTTTAATGCCGACTTCAAATTCGGTCGACAATTGCAGGCGGACCTTTCGCAACTCGCAAAAGGTCCGCCTGGCATGAACCCAGAAAAATTTGCATGAACCCAAAAAGCGAATATGTGCCTTTACTTTTGTAGTTGACAACTTTTTAATATATCTGCTGGCTAAGGAGATACAGGCCTGAAAACATACAGAAGTTCATGAAATCATTTCACAATTTCACGTTGTTTTAAAGTTCGAACAGTTGAATTGCAATAACTGATGGGTTTTCATCAAGAAGTTCATTAATCTTCATTTACAAATGCAGGCGGACCTTTCGCAACTCGCGAAAAGTCTGCCTGCATGTTTGGCCAAATTTAAAAGTTCTGAAAGCACCTTGAAATGAACCTGACAAACAAGAAGGATTGGAAGCTGAAATTGCCTTTTTTGTTCTCTCCTTCTTATGTCCATAGATTTTGTGATTCTGTGCCGTTTTCATGAAAATGAATGAAAAATCTTACTGTACGCATGAAATTAAAAGTGTGACCTGCAGTTTTTGAACTTCTAAGACATTGCCTTTGAAAATCAAGTTGCCATACGTTTCGGCTACAGTTTGCCTTCTATGATAAGAAGAAACGGGATTGGACAGGTGATTCCATCCGTCGAGTTGGTCCTGCCCGCAAGTACAAAAATTTCGAAACGAGACAAACACAAAGTTCAGAAAAAAATGCTTTCCTATATTTCATGACGTTTCGAAATCCCAATCGTTCCTTCCCATCAGAGTCCTTTGTCGGCGTCCTTATCACTAATCTCCGCCGGTAATCAAGACCGCAGGAATTTCAGCTTCAAGCGGATTTGCTGCAAATTTCAAAGCAATCGACTTAATTACCGTTGGAGATTAGTGATAAAGACGCCTACAATAGACTCCGATGGGAAAGAACGATTGGGATTTCGAAACGTCATGGCACCGTGCCAAGAGGATTCCGAAAAAGAGTGATAAGGAACTGAAGGATTTCCGATTCCGAATGCAAGCAGTCAACACAGAGGAGATAGTCCGAGAATATATTAAGGTTGTTCGATGCGGTTGCCTTTGTTCTTGACAACATCCTTGAGTATCTTCGGGAAAGCCTCTACTGGGACTCGGAGGTATTCTGGAGATAGCTTGGCACGTTCTGCCTCCAAACGTTTTTTCAATGAATCCAAATTGAGATGTGGATGTGCTTAAACCTTCGACTGAAGAACTCCCCATGCAGAATAGTTCAAGACACTGGGCATTCAGAACTGCTGCTGAAACGAGAAAAGTTGGCTGAGCACCAGACTTGGACGACTTTTGCCTTGTGAGCGTTGTGAGCGGGAAAATTATATAAAAATAATCCATTTTCAGAGAAAAGCGCATTTTTGAAAGCGTCGCTTACAAACAGTTCCGCAATGTCATTTGACACCTTTTTTCTGCCTTCAAAAGTTCTATTCAACAATTCTCGTTGCATTTCCCTTGGAGACTTTGAAGGTAAACAGCTTGAACCCACTTACACCAAGTGTTCCAAGTAAGTAAGGTTTATTTTTTTCCAACCAAAAACATTTGTTTCAACAAAAATTGGAAAAACACTGAAGTACATAAATTGGTGGTGAATACAATCAGCAGACTTGCAACGGGCCGGGCCCTTATTTTGCAAGTCTGGTGGCGGAGAATAAGCATAAACATAGTTACGTGATCAACTGACCACAACACAACTATTTGGAAAATGAACTATCAGATTTATACAAAAATAATCCTTCTCATTGCATTTCATTGCTCACTTATTATTTCCGTTCGCTAGTACTTCTTCCCAAGGAAATAGTTGCCGATTTTCCGTAAAAAACGTCAATCCCATGTAGAAAACCATTACGGGCCCGCAAAATCTTGTCCTGTTCTTCCGCAGAATTCGTTCATCAAACGGCACAGTAGAGTCGGCTACTGTTTCATCCTTCAAATCCATGATATTGAGTGCCGGATAAGGTAGCACCATTTTCAACTTAGAGCCAGAGTTGCTTCTGTTATTCTTCGGGTTCGAGAGGTCCGTGTTGAGAGGATGAAGTGTGGATGTGAAGCAACAGGTGAAAAGGTGCAGAGAGAGTAGCACCGTCTTCAATACACATCACCCTTGTTGTGACGCACGGACTGAAGGTTCCGCTGGAGTGGAGGTAGCTGATGGCAAGGAAGTGCCGGATCAGGTGGCCCGTCTGGAATAGACATTTCGTTAAGAGTCTTGAATCACTAAGGTGTTTACCCTCTTTACATCGGGCTTGACCCGGCCACCAGATCGGATTGCTCCTGGATCCTTCCTTGTGGTGGTGAGTGGAGTGAAGGTGAGGTGGGAGTGAAGGCAGACGTAGGCGAGAACGAGCCGGATCAAGTAGCACTATCTGGACACCGTCTGGAAATATAGTTTCATTGAAGAGTTTTCAGTACAAGATTTGAAAAAATGGTGGAGAGCTAAAAAATGGTGGAGATTTTAAAAAATGGTGGAGAGCTAAAAAAAATGGTGGAGATTTTAAAAAATGGTGGAGATTTTAAAAAATGGTGGAGAGTAAAAAAAATGGTGGAGAGTTAAAAAAATGGTGGAGAGTTAAAAAAAATGGTGGGGATTTTAAAAAATGGTGGGGATTTTAAAAAATGGTGGAGAGTAAAAAAAATGGCGGAGAGTTAAAAAAAAATGGTGGAGATTTAAGCTCAACTGATGTGTTCATGACAAACTACTGTAGACTTAGTCGGTCAGAAGACGGCACAAATGTTGGCTTTATGTTTGGATTCTCGGATTGGGCAATAGTTCATAGTTGAATAGAACTTGGGGCATGTGGACTTTTGAACTCTTCTGGATAAGCCGGAAGTGTGGAAGAAAAGAAGTAAACAAATGGAAGACTACAATCTTGAAAAAGGGCGAGATTTATTCGCTCTTTGGTTTCATTTCGCCCGAAAACAATCATTAGGAGTCATATTTCACACGAACTCTTCTCAACTTTTGACTGAAAGTGTGTCTGAAAGGACAATCATCGCTATTCAAGAATCAGGTCAGCAGGACCACTGTTTGTAACCTTTTCCATCTGAAGATTGGCAATTTCTAATGTTTGTACTTGTACGTCTCTTTATCTTAGAGTTTAGACGCCTGAAACTAGACTGTATGTGAGTTGTCGGATCCCAAGCCAACGTCCGTCTACGTATTGTATTCTCTTCGTATCATTGTTTTTCTCCTTTCTCCCATCCATCACCACTATAATCATATGTGCGCAGTGACGCACACGGCAATTAGACGGACTCCCTCGTGATTCGGTGTTAGCTCCATTCGGCGAATCTGATGCATGATTGGTGGTTGTGTCGTCGGCAAAAATATTACGAAAAAGCCGTGTCTGAAGACTTTATAGAAGCTCGAGCCTCAGAAGCCTTCTGAAGCCTTGTGGGTGGTCAGGATCCAGTACGATTTCCCGTTGATGAATCCAGAAGACGTCATGACGCTTCAGCGATCATGAAACCAAGCCTATAGAGTCCAAATCGCACCAGAACGTCTATTGTAGCTCCCTGCCTACTCGAACATCTTTCAAAACCTCCAAGACTTTTCAGCAACCGCAAAACTTGGAACAGAATGAGAATCGGCGTCAGAATCTTTGTTTTGAACACTGTGAACACGTTTTCAAGCTATATGCCCAGTCAGAAGACGTCAGAAGAATGTCCAAACCGCTCTGTGGAAACTGTGTGCATACTCAGACGAGGTCAGGAGACCTTGCATTCCAAAGATCTGTGTGATTTGTTGTTTCCGGTCCCCCCCTGCCTTCTAATCCTGTTAAAAGCCGACAAAGATCAGAACACGTTTACAACAACACAACTGTTTCATGTCTCTCTGAACAAACGGGCAAAAAGGGCAAAAAACGAGAAAACGAAGCAGAAATGTTTAAGAATCGGAGCGAAAGTGTGTGATTGATTGATCTATTCGTCGCGACGATCATCATCATCATCATCATCATCATCTATAAGGCGTCGGGGCAGCAGAGCATCATGAGCTCTTCCTTGGTGTGCGGCTGAGTGCACGCGCGGATCGCAATGTCTTGCGCTGAAAAGCGAGAGTTGAAAGCGGACACGAACGTGAGCAAACTTACAGTTATCGGCGGTGCAGGGACCTCCGCAGAAGCTCTGCAGTGCCTTGATGAGGTGGAGTCCGCAGCGGCGCAGACTTTTCTGGCTTTGCGCCGACGACTCGGCGACGAAAAGGGCGAACGCGAGGAGGATAACGGTGAAGAAGAGCACTTTGCACATGTTGTTGACTGGATTGACTGATTGTCGTCGCACACCTGAACACACTGTTGTTTTATAGGCGTCGCGTGGGCGCCATGGCCCCAAGCTCCGCCCCCTTTTCTGCCTTGGGCTCTGGCTCAGGCTCCTCCCAAGCCGACGAGAGACGGAGAGACGACGGTGTGAGAAAGGGACGAGGCGCCAGTGGATTTCTAGCTGTAAGGGGGGGGGGTGGCTCATCGCCAGGAGGAAAGAGGCTCGACGGAAGTGACACTAATGAGGGCATTTCAGGATGCGCTGCACGGCTGAGTGCAAACCAGAGTTGAGCGGAAGAACACGGAAGAATTTTTATCTTTTTTAGAAAATTTTTTCATGAAATGTGATCAACTGACGAAATGAATAGCAAAGTGAACTCTGCTCATAGAAAAATAATTGTAAATTTAGCTTTTCATACAAAAAAGTTAAGGGCTAACCGAAGACGGAAGGACATTTTCACGGAACAACTCGAATAACTTTTTTGTATGAAAAGTTAAATTTACAATTATTTTTCTATGAGCACAGTTCAGTTTGCTATACATTTCGTCAGTTGATCACATTTCATGAAAAAATTTTCTAAAAAAGATAAAAATTACAAATACTGTAATACACAGGCACCCCCAATATTCAGCGAATCTTGGCCGGTTGAATGAACTTTTTGAGAGCACTGAATTGGATCCAGATGTAGTAAAAAAGGTCATGGTTCAACATTTGGAAAAAGTTATCTGGAGGAGTGTTCTGAAAGTGAAAACAATCTTGAAATCGAGTCCAGATGGATGCGAAAAAAGTGCGTTGGAATTGGCAAAACTTCCAACTTTTTAGCTTTGAGCCGCGGAAAATCTGAAAGCTCACTGATCATAGAACTTTGATCAGAGAACCTCAAGTGATAAAAAATTGTCAAGCTACGTGCTCCTAAACCCTAAAAAAAAGTACCATGATCGTAGAAATATGAGCCCGGCCCGAAATGGATATCCTTGTTATTGACCTCCCTGCAAAGAAACTGACATCACAAGTAGTTGCTCATTGAATTTTGAGTTTTGAATTCTAAATTCTCGATTCTGGATTCAAAAGTCCAGAAAGTCTGATTTGGCTCATTCATTCCCGAGCAACAACAATGTTTTTGATCATTCGGATGGGTGCAAATGTTTCAGCTGGAGAGTGGCTCAACGGAAGAACACGGAAGAGAAAATTTTTTATCTTTTTTAGAAAATTTTTTCATGAAATATGATCAACTGACGAAATGTATAGCAAAGTGAACTCTGCTCATAGAAAAATAATTGTGAATTTAACTTTTCATACAAAAAAGTTGAGGGCTAACCGGAGACGGAAGGACATTGTCACGCAACAACTCGAATAACTTTTTTGTATGAAAAGTTAAATTTACAATTATTTTTCTGTGAGCAGAGTTCAATTTGCTATACATTTCGTCAGTTGATCACATTTCATGAAAAAATTTTCTAAAAAAGATAAAAATTCTTCCGTGTTCTTCCGCTCAACTCTGATAGAGACCCGTCTTTTCCGGCGGTCTCCCGAGTGCATTTTCACACATTTCCTCTGCCGATTACTCATTCCTTCCCGTCCTTCTCTTCTTTGGTGGTATCACCCTCCATTTTCCGGTTCATTAACCGGATGAGCAATAGCGTGAGCGCAGCAGTGCAACGATGAGCAATCTTTCCGTATTTCAGATGAAGAAATTGTTGTCAACATTATTAATATGTGCGAGACAAGTGTGAAGAAAGGGTAAAAATAGAATTGAAAAGGAGATCAGCGAGCCGTAAACAACCTGAATTCTGAGAATTCGTCTAAATAGGCTCCTGAAACAGAGATTTGAAATAAATGCAGTTCAAGTGTACACTGGGCCTCGAACTTTGGCTTACTGTATTTGAGTCGATTTATCTCGCCTGCCGAGAGAGATATCAAAAAGTGTTCAACTGATAAAATACTCAGAAAGACATTTTGCACATTCCATCAGTTTATCACTTTTAGATATCTCTGCAGACAGCTTAGATACATCGCCTTGAATAGACCGCAAACGTTTACGGAAGTAGAGAGATACGGTAAGTTGAATAAAGTGGCGGGACCCCATGATCAAGTAGTTCATGACGTTTTTCCCACGTCATGAGCTCTCTCTCTCTCTGGCCGCTGGTCACACTTAATTGTAGCGTGGGATTCGGCGGACGCGCCGCGCGTGATTCTCTCTAGATGCCACGTCATTTCCACTTTTGAGGTTCCGAAAAAAATGAGTCTTTCTACAAAAGCGCTTTGATGATGTCTGGTAGCTTAAAGGTCAAGATGATGAGGACCACGTAATGCAAAAATTCCGACCAGATATTTAAGATTTACACGCTCATAAATCATTCGCAAACTACCATGTTTGATGGCGTGAGTAGGCCTTTTTTCGGGGGTAAACAAGTCCCCGAAAATGCATGTGCAGACGTGGTTCTGAGGGGCGCGACGAAAAAATCGGTCACTACTGAAGGTCATGGTGAGTCTGATGGCCTAGCTTTTGCAATAGACATTCCTAGGCGCGTAGATTTCCGAAAAAGTGCCTCGCAGGCCAGGAGTTCAAGTTTTTGCACTTGCAAACTCGGACCAGGTGACCAATATCGAAAATCCGGTCGAGTTTCCCATGCACACTCTCAACAATTCGCCACTAATTTCGCGGATAGACATGCAATATCATGTGTGCCCCCCCTTCTCGCCGAAAATAGCCGCTTTTGCCCTTGTCGCTTCTCAAATTCCGTCTCTAATTGAGCATGAGGTGCGGCTCGCGAAGGTACGGATCGTGACGACGACGATGAGTGTGAGTAGACGTCACACACCCTACTCATATTATCAGAATCCATCGAAAGTTTCGGGCGGGGTTGATGAACTGGTTGCGAAAAGGCAGGTGAAATTGAATTGGAATTGGGAAAAAGCAAATGTTAAAACTGAAAAGTTGATGGAATAACATATGAGGATGACTATAAACAAGTTTTGCAAAGTCTGAATCTGATGAAAAGAGGTGTGAAAGGGAGAGAGAGCCGAGAAGCGTCAAATTTCGAGAGACACAAATAGAATTGGAGTTTCGACTATGAATCTTATACTCAAATGTCCTCTTTCTTTAGTTGTTTACTTGTCAAATTTGAGAAATTGCCGCCGACCACAAGAGATCATCGTCATAGAGAAAATAGGGAAAACGGAGGAGGAAGAAGGGGGAAGCGGTAGTCTATCCGGACAAGATTTGCCACGGAAAAGTGTGTGGCCACAATAGTGGGGTTTTCTGGAGCACGTGTTGTGCGGCCAAAGTTGTGGAGAATAAAAAGTTCGGCCGCATCATCATTTTTCTATGCCGCGTCCAAAAAGTCTCGGGAAAACCCGCAAATCTCGCGGACTTTCTAGTCCAAAGTCGGCAGAAATTTGCGGGAAATCCGGGGTGCTCACAGCTGAACGAGTGTTACCGTACACTATAAAAATACGGTATTTTTTGAAAATTTACCCAAGAAATTGGAAAAAAATTTAAAATATTGTCGAGAAATTAAAATTTGTTCAAAAAAATACCGTTGAAAAATTTACCCAAGAAATTTGAAAATTTTGAAAAATTCTCGAGAAATTTAAATTTAAAAAAATACCGTTGAAAATTTACCCAAGAAATTTAAAAAAATTTCAAATATTGTCGAGAAATTTAAATTTTTTCAAAAAATACCGTAGTTTTATGGTGTACGGTAACACTCGTTCAGCTGTGCGCACCCCGGATTTCCCGCAAATTTGTGCCGACTTTGGACTGCAAAATCCGCGAGATTTGCGGGTTTTCCCGAGACTTTGGACGTAGCACTATAATAGGGCGTTCAGCATAACGACAAGTTTCGCACACGTCAGGACTCGAACCTGCAATCCACGCGGCCATGACTTTTCAGGTAATTTTCGGCAAGCGAACAGCAAGTTGCCACGGTAGCATGGGGTGAGCATGTGTCACGCACGGATCCGGCATGGCATCAGCATGGATAGGGCGTGCAACAGAAAAGAGTGGGATGGGAGGGAAGCAAGGTTTTTGAGCGGCACGGGAGCAGCAACGGTAGCAGGGTGGTTGTGGCAACGAAGTAGCAAGGGAATCGGCACCCTTACAGCAATTTGCCGCGGAAAATGGCACGGATGCCGCTTCCAGTCGGCAACTTGCCGAAAATTACCAGAGTTCAGCCTTGGATGTTGGTCTTTCCTTGTCGCGTTTTCCTTGTTTTCGTTTCACATACTTGCGTTCAAGAAATCAAAGTGTACGCGCGTGATTTTCGTCCAAACTTTCAGACAGAAGGGGCCGTGGGAATACAATGTTGATGATGATGTTGATGTGAATAGCACCTCGTCATAGAGAGTCAGAAGGGAAATTGGAGCAATGTCTGGGCATCAGCGATCGTCTGGAATACTGTAGTTTAGTGTTCACTTCAAAACTCTTTGTGCTGCACAAATGTTGCAACACCACACACCCATAAAAAGGTCTGTCTCACTGTGATAAGCGTGATGCCAAAACTTGAACTGTTATTAATAGTACACTCTCAAACTTCTGATGTCATGTTCGTTTTTACGAGAAGCATTTGTTGATAAGTGATCGGAATCGAGCAGTCGGACAATTGACACATGTTGCACGTGGATCTCGCCGACAGTCTCTACTCGGAGACGGTGAGAGTTACGGCGAGCGGATTGGAGGAGTGGACGAGTTATCAGTTGGTGTTACGGTGAGTTGGGGCTGAGTTTTCCTACTTCCTACATTCGCTAACTTTTTGTATTATATTCCAGACTCTATGACTCGAACAAATCTTCGAATGCCGTGTTTCAATCGGACAGCCTCGGATTCATAGACCTTTCGAGAGATGCTCCGCTACGAGGATCTTATCATGGTACGCATCAGAGTTGAGCGGATGAACACGGAAGAATTTTTATCTTTTTTAGAAAATTTTTTCATGAAATATGATCAACTGACGAAATGTATAGCAAAGTGAACTCTGTTCATAGAAAAATAACTGTAAATTTAGCGATTCATACAAAACAGTTATTCGAGTTGTTGCGTGAAAATGTCCTTCCGTCTTCGGTTAGCCCTTAACTTTTTTGTATGAAAAGCTAAATTTACAATTATTTTTCTATGCGCAGAGTTCAATTTGCTGTACATTTCGTCAGTTGATCACATTCCATGAAAAAATTTTCTAAAAAAGATAAAAATTCTTCCGTGTTCTTCCGCTCAACTCTGGTACGCAATGCGTGTTTCAGACCCCAAAACTTATAGGGTTTTTCCAGATGTGAACCCGATGGGCCTCTTCACTTCTCCACTACTTTCAGCAGAAGCTATCGGAACTACTACGTGCTGCTATTATAGGCTAGAGTAAGCGTAGCAACACTCATAATAGAAAAAGTTGAAAATTTCACAGAATTCTCGACAGTTATGGACATCATGTGGATGGGGTCAACTTGAAAAGACGATTCCTTCATCCACTGGTCACTAGAATCGCAGTTGAAGATTCGGAATTGTCTGGACTACTGTACAAACCGCCGGGAAATGGACCTTTTCCTTCGGTTATTGTTTCAAAACGCGCAGAACGCATGGCAATGAAACTCGCTTCTCAGGGATTTCTAGTGTTTAGCGCACTTTTGGAGATGGTACGGAGCTCTTGTGATTTCTGTTTTCTCAAGTTTTTGTTCAGAAGTCTCTCGAGTATGTGCTCAACTTACCGTATTCCAATGGAAAACTCGGTGTGATGAGATCGTCCAACTTCTTAGCTATTCAGCATCTACTGGTGCGAAGACTCTGTTCACAGTAATCCGGATAAACTTGATTCCAGACGAGCCCATGTCAAAATAGAGAACCCTACAATATTGCAGAAGTGTCCCATGAAACTGAATGTCCTGCTGAGGTACGGAGTGTCTAGAAGTTACACTTTCAGAGGTTTTACCGCTTTCAGATGCATCAACTCACATTTTTTGGCGGAAAACAATCCAGCTCTCACGAATCACTTTTAAATTTCTGCAAACGGAGCCTGGGAAGCCCGCCGGATATCCAGGATTGGAATAGAGAAAAGCCAGTGATAATGCCACGCAAAACTGTTTTTTATAGTCGATTGTGAATTCGTGCACTTTATGTTTATTGTTGACTTTTGATAAATACGTCTTGCAAACATAGTTGCAAAAGGAGGGACTGATAAGAATTGTGTTCTACGAAAAGTGCATCGATAACGGGCGAAGGCTTGAACTGAAAGAGCATTGGGGCACATAAATGCTTCTTTTGTACAACAATACAACTAGAAAGTTATCCAGATACTAGAGATGCGAGCCATATGGACACACGTGCGGCAAACGTGCACAGCGGCAGCAGCAGCAGAGTTGAGCGGAATAATTTTTATCTTTTTCAGAAAATTTTTTCACGAAATGTGATCAACTGACGAAATGTAGAGCAAAGTGAACTCTGCGCATAGAAAAATAATTGTGAATTTAGCTTTTCGTAAAAAAAAGTTAAGGGCTAACCGAAGACGGAAGGACATTTTCACGGAGCCAATCGAATAACTTTTTTGTATGAAAAGTTAAATTTACAATTATTTTTCTATGAGCAGAGTTCGCTTTGCTATACATTTCGTCAGTTGATCACATTTCATGAAAAAATTTTCTAAAAAAGATAAAAATTATTCCGCGCAATTCTGACTCAGCAGAGACCGCGCGCGACGCATATTGCCCTTTCGCTCCGCCGTGGATCCATTATAATTGCTAATAGCTTTTTTTTATAACGTCTTCCGGGAAAAAGGTTTTCTTCCGTCTTCCGTGGATTTTTGTTCCGTCTTCCGTCTTCCGGGATTTTTTATTCTTACCGTAAAAGAGTAATAGTAATAAACTTTTCAGAAGCCATTTACTAGACCCGAAGAACGCGAATTTCCACAGGCAGGCCCCCAGATCCAACATTTTTGTTGTTTAGTTATTTTTTCAAAAAAAAAAACCGGAGAAAAGGGTTCTGCATTGACGATTTTTTCTTCCGTCTTCCGTTTTCCGTCTTCCGTGAGAAAAATTTTCTTCGTCTTCCGTTTTCCGTGTTCCGGATTTCAAAATTCCATTTCCGCTCAACTCTGGTGTGTTGCAAAGTGTTCTCTGAACTAAAACGTTGCACTTGTCACTAGAATTTTGTTGTCTAGTCAACACCCTTTTTCGTGTTCTCAAAGTGCATCCGAATGATAAGCAAACTGATCATTTTCTCTCGAAATGCTTCATGTGGACAAGGTGGACAGTTTGCAAGCGGAGACACTCTGTATAACTGCAAATAGGCTGGAAGCACGGACTTGCTACAAAATTGTCTTACGGTAAGTGTGTACCTACTTTAGTTCGCTTTTTTTCATTGTTCGAGTGATTACAGCTTTTTCCATTCGAACGGAACTCACGCCGCCTACGCAGTCTTTCAGGCCGATTGTCTAGGATGTATAGACCTGGCAAGAGATGCTCCAATCCGAGGAACTTATCATGGTACCACATTTTTTTAGACACCCCCCCTTCTCCATGAACTTTTCCAGACGTCGACCCAATGGGCCTATTCAGTTCGGTACTTCCGACTCAAGACATCAAATTCGGAAGCTCGGTGAGATGCACCAAAAGTGAGCCGTACTACTATACACTAGTGTAAGTTTTTCAGGGTCATAGTTCTTGAAAAATGTTTCCCCTCTTATAGACTTTTCAATGATTTCGGAAAAAAATTGGATGAAATCAATTTGAAGCGACGTTGGCTTCATCCTCTAATCTCGAGAATAGAAGTGAGGGAGCCCGAGCAAAAGTTGTACGGATATCTTTATAAACCGCCGGGAGCCGGTCCGTTCCCAGCGATCATCGACATTCAAGGAGCCGGCGGCACCATGTTGGAGATGATTCCCACGTTTTTCGCTTCTCAAGGCTTTCTAGTACTCACTTTTATGTACTTTCAACACGAAGATCTGCCGGATGCGATTGCCGATGTGGATGCAGCGTTCTTTCAAAAACCGATCGATTTGCTACTCGATCTACCGTATTCGAACGGGCGATTGGGAGTGTTCGGACCGTCTTTTGGAGGTCTGACCGCCAATTTTCTGGCCACCAAATACCCTCAGATCTCCGCCGTCATCGCCGTCAACGCATTCGAATCGTTTTGTCGGGACGAGCTTGTGATGAAAGAGAACGGAGCACCGATTGAATGTGCGAGAATCGACGAAGGAGGCGCGGTTTGGAGGAACGGAGTGCTGGGCACTGCTCCGTGCTTCCGAGAACTCTACGAGAACTTGAAGCCCGAACACAAGCTGCCCTGGGCCCGAGTTGCGAAGAGCACCGCGTTCCGAGTGATCGGAGGGATGGATGACATGGTCATGGACTCGGTGCAGTGTGCGAGACACCTCCACAAGGATCTCACGGACAATGGACTTTATGTTGAGGTAAACTAGACAATAAACGTTAATTTTCGGACAGAAACCACTTCAAGCACCTTAATTTTAGTACCAGAGGAAGAACTCAACGGAAGAACACGGAAGAATTTTTATCTTTTTTAGAAAATTGTTTCATGAAATGTGATCAACTGACGAAATGTATAGCAAAGGGAACTCTGCTCATAGAAAAATAATTGTAAATTTAACTTTTCATACAAAAAAGTTAAAGGCTAACCGAAGACGGAAGGACATTTTCACGGAACAACTCGAATAACTTTTTTATATGAAAAGTTAAATTTACAATTATTTTTCTATGAGCAGAGTTCACTTTGCTATACATTTCGTCAGTTGATCACATTCCGTGAAAAAATTTTCTAAAAAAGATACAAATTCTTCCGTGTTCTTCCGTTGAATTCTTCCGCGTACTGATCAACAAAAAAGGCTACATTTCAGATGGATCTAGTGGCCTCCGGACACTCGTTACTTCCACCCTTCTACCCGCACATTCCATTTCTCTATAACAAATTCCAAGGATTGATGTGGGCGTACGGAGGACACAGTGTCCTTCAGGAGAAGAGCCAACGCACGGTCTGGGCGAGAAATGTCGAGTTTTACAAACGATTTCTGGGATGTCCGCCGAAGATTCCGGATTGGAGTCGGGAAAAGGAAGTGACGATGCCGAGCAGAAGTCGATTATGAATAGTTTTGAAAACGTTTTCATAGTTTTATTTATTGTAACATTATTGGATCCCATACGGAAGCCTCAATAACGATACTTCGAAGTAACGTTAGCTTTGTGGTTAACGTGACTTCGCCTTATGGACCCTGCAACCCTCTTCCGTTAGACCTTTTTTCACGGAACAACTCGATTAACTTTTTTGTATGAAAAGCTAAATTTACAATTATTTTTCTATGAGCACAGTTCACTTTGCTATACATTTCGTCAGTTGAACACATTTCATGAAAAAATTTTCTAAAAAAGATAAAAATTATTCCGTGTTCGTCCGCTCAACTCTGGTTCGTACCAGCGATTTTACTGGGTCCATTTGAGTGAATACTGAATGAATATGACCTAAAGAAGTAATTGAGACAGTTAGAACAACCTGACAACCTGTTACAGTTTACTTTCTTTCTTTACTTTCAGAAAAACTCCACATTCGCGCACGGTCTCCAGAGCTGACAATGGGCGCGCAAGTGCGCCCCGCCCAATAGAGCGATATATTGGCGCGAAATTCAAATTTTAACAGCAAAATTTGTGTTTTTTGCCAAATTAGCCACTAAAAATCGATAATTTCTTATTTTTCTCTCGATAGATCGATTGTATAGGCTATTACGAATTTTTTCAGCGAAAGAGCGTCAAATTTGGTCAAGTCGCAAATCACATTTATCAGTTTGAAGGTTTTTGGCTAAAACTGCGTGAATTTCAGTTGCTTTTCGGTAATTTTCGCTGTTCGAGCGCTCAAAATGCTTGTATTTACGTGATTTATCATTCTCAAAACCAATTCTGTCGGAAAACGGTCAAGAAAGAGGAAAATGAGAAGTGCGCTTTTTAGGCGGCGAAGGCGAAAAAGCAAAGTCCGCGAAAAATGCGCCAAAACGTCATTGATTCTGAGAATTAGTGTGTTTTCATGTTGCGCAATCATTTTTCATCGCCTTTGACCACAAAAATCAGAGAAAACGTGCTCAATTCATGAAAACGCCATTGGGCCGCCGAGGCCACGCCCATAAAGACAGCTCTGGAGACCGTGATATGCTATGTATTATGCCAAAATCCAAAAGAAGATCTCAGATTGCCAAATGGTTACTCTGAAGAGAGCAGTACAAAATCAAAGTCACAAAAAAAGTGTATTGTTTTAACAAAACTCTAGAGAATTTGCACATACAAATTGAATTCAAATTATCAAATATCAAATATTATTGAGATTAATCCTATTGTAGTCGGGCCCACTGGCCCCAAACCAAAAACCGAAATAGTTGTCGTTCGTACAGAATCGTGGCCGAAGTTCCGTCGGCTCGCGTCACGTCCACACACAGTTCCAGGTCGCGGTGGCTCGTGTCGCTAAACTGCTCGAGGTCCTCGTCTTCTCGGTAGAATGCTCTGCAGAAAAAGTTTGATTTCCTGGTGGTGGTACATCAAATGCAGTGCATATTCAAAATAGCGTATCTCAGCCGCAAGTGAACATATCAAAAAGTTGTCAACTAACAAATTGTTCATTGAGACATTGTGTACATTTTATCCGTTGACAATTTGTTGATATCTTTACCCGCAGCTGAGATATATGGATTTGAATGAGTCAACAGCCTTTTCATCACAATATCTCTAAACCAGATGACTCATTTCGACTGAAACTTTCAAAGTTTTCAAAAAATGTAGAGTTGGGCACCGGACAGAAAGGGCGCGCTATTGAGAAGAGCCCGCGAAAACCTGGGGGACTCTAAATTTGAATGGTGTGAGAAGAGAAAGTTAGTCCGCGGCCACGTAGGCTGCTGCAGAAATTTTTGTTTTTCTTCTGTTTTTTCGTTTTCGTTTCAATAAATCGATTGTGTTCTCACCTTTTTCGTAGTGAATTTAATTGAATTTTTTCTTTTTCATGTTCGAAATATGCGTTTCTAAACAGATTCAATCAACAGTTTGCGGAAAATAAGAGAAAACATTGACGACGTGCACCATTTTTCGACTGCGCTAGCTTTTTATAGAAATTCTATACATGAAAAAGAAAAAATTAATTAAATTCACTACGAAAAAGGTGAGAACACAATCGATTTATTAAAAAGAAAACGAAAAAACTGAAGGAAAACAAAAATTTCTGCAGCAGCCTACGTGGCCGCGGACTAACTTTCTCTTCTCACACCATTCAAATTTAGAGTCCCCCAGGTTTTCGCGGGCTCTTCTCAATAGCGCGCCCTTTCTGTCCGGTGCCCCTATAATAGCAATGCTTACAAGTTAAAGTACTCCCGTCTGCTCGCATCGTACTCGCTCGTGTTGATGCCATTCAAAAGCGCCTCGTCGTCGAGGTGCCAGTTCTCGTCGCCCAGCAAAATCATCAATTGAAGGTGCTCATAGCATCCGTCCATCCAGTTCTTGATGTACTTATTCAGATCCTCAAACGTCACACACGTCTCGTAGAGCTCGATGCGCTCGCAATCCGACGACAGAAGATGTTCTCCCGTGAACCAGGCTCCCGAGTCCATGAGCAGCTTTTTCTGGTGGAACGGCAGCGGGTTGATGGGATCGTCTTGCTGCTCCTGCGCCACTTTCATCATCACATCCAACTTGTCTCTCACAATCACTTCTTCCAAGACATGCGCCAGAAAATCGGACGGAAACGTTTGCTGGCCCGTGCTTCTGACGGTCAACACGTCGAGTTCTCGAATGTGGAGAGCGTCGAGACAGCGCGGGAGGCTCTCGTGCATTTCCGGTCTATAGTGGAATTCTGTGACTTTACACGGAAACAGGGCCATGATGTAGTTGACGATTCGAATGATGACGGGGCTGACCGAGAGCGTGTCACGTACACTCACACACCAATCGCACGTCGAATCGGGCGCAACGAGCACCGCCGCCGTCAGAATTTGCTCGACGGTGTGGGGCGGAAGAAGCGGTGCCGCCGCGTACTCCTCCATCTCCAGATTCCTCTCGATGCTCAGCCGCAGAGATTGACGCTCGTGGACTGTGATCTCCACGTAGCCCGTCTCGGACGGTTCGATTCGAACGAGCACGTGAAGCGGATGGATCGAGGCGTCGCGAACGAATTGCCACGCCGCCGGCGAGGTTGTCGATAATCGAAGTCTGCAATTTTGAAGAACTTGAATTGTTGAGAAGAGTTGCTCCTCCTCCTCAAAAAAGCGGGCCAACTTACAAATCCATCAAATTCATATTTCGAACGGCGAGTCGAAGAGTCGGATAGGCCAGGTTGAAAAGACGAAATGGAGTTTGTGACATTACGATGCGAAGCGAAGGGAAGCGACTGACGGACGAATGAATGAATGAGAGAATCGAGAAGGCGTTTTCGGCGGGGCGCGATTGCAATTGACCTACCAGTTGATTCATTTTTGCGCCTATATAAGGAGCAATTATAGATCAAAAATTTCTGGAAAATCCAGCAAGTTCACAGTTTTTCTCGAAGTGGAACCAAGAAAATCAAGTTGAGCGTCTTTTTGGAGTCACATTTTGAGGACACCAGAAATAGTGCTACCGGAGCCCCTCAGTTGTCCGTAGAGTTATCAAAAAGTGGCCGACTTATAAAATGTGCAGAATGTGTTTCTAGGCATTTTATCAGTTGTCAATTTTTTGATATCTCTCTCGGCAATAGATTTAAAAGGAATTCGCGCGCCACGGTCTCAAGAGCTGACAATATGGGGGCGTGGCCACGACGAAATGGCGTTTTCATGAATTGAGCACGTTTTCTCTGATTTTTGTGGTCAACGACGATGAAAAATGATTGCGCGACATGAAAACACACTAATTCCCAGAATTAATGACGTTTTGGCGCATTTTTCGCCGCCAATCGCCGCCTAAAAACCGCACTTCTCATTTTGCGCTTTCTTGACCGTTTTCCGACAGAATTGGTTTTGAGAATGATAAATCACGTAAATACAAGCATTTTGAGCGCTCGAACCGCGAAAATTACCGAAAAGCAACTGAAATTCACGCAGTTTTAGCCAAAAACCTGCAAACGGATAAATGTGATTTGCGACTTGACCAAATTTGACGCTCTTGCGCTTAAAACATTCGTAATAGCCTATCGAATCGGTCTATCGAGAGAAAAATGAGAAATTATCGATTTTTCGTAGCTAATCTTGCAAAAAAACACAAATTTCGCTGTTAAAATTTGAATTTCGCGCCAATGTATCGCTCTATTGGGCGGGGCGCACTTGCGCGCCTATTGTCAGCTCTGGAGACCGTGGCCTAGTCGAGAACAAACAGTATATTAGAAGTTATGTAGTGGAACAGGTCAAGTCTAGTTGCTAGGGTACTATTATATCATGTTGCCTCTGCCTCTCTCAAGTGATCTCGTCCGTTTGTAAGATCTCCAACAAACTATCTGGTTCTCTCTCACCACTTTTTGCCCACTTAACCCCCCCCCGTCGTTGCCACGTCATCCATGCTCCTCATCATCCGATCATCATCATGCTTTACACCCTCGGCGACCAGTAGTAGCAGGAACATGAATCACCATCCAGTTCCTCCTTGTTCTTCTTCTTCTTCTTCTCCTCCTCTCGGGGGAGCTATACAAATGTACCCCCCTCTCGTTGAGTACTGAACATTTCCCCTCGTTTCTATTATATCTCTTGTTTTGAAGTGAAATGGATTAGTACAATCCAACGAGTTCCGGATAAATCCATGCTCGCTCGGAGCCCCAAAAAAAATTCAATGTTATCCCCCCGAAAAACAACGCGAAACGGTCTAGAAAGAGGAGGGCAAAACGCGCGCGGAATGAACAAACAATATTTGAGAAAAGTGGGAGGGGCGTGTGCCCGCGCGGAAGCCGCCGCGCGGAAAAGCCCGCGCGCGGCAGCAGCCACATTTTAATCGGCACTCTTGCCCCCCCCGGAGCAAGAGCAACTCTGTGTCTATTTGTTGTGTTTATCAGCAATTCGAAAAGGGGGGGGGGCCCGCGCCTTGACATATCCGTTTCCCGAAAATCGAAACGATCTCATTGAGTTTTGGGCTCGAGGCCCCGCCTCCATTGCACGCCACTTTCCTCATTTCCCTTTCCTGGAGTGTCTAGCCGCGACGCGACTACCGTAATCCCAAGTTTTCCAGTCTTTTTCACCGGTACTCTCAGTTTTCTCAGTATAAACTTCTTTTAACGGATCCTCCTTCTCCCCCTCTTCGTTTCCCTTCCCTTCTGACTTTTGCATACATTTGCAGATCGACCGCCCCCGTCTCCGAATGCTGTTGCCGACTAGCCGTTCCGTTCGCCTCCTAGTCACAATTCACATTTTTCCACTGCTCGTGGACAGTTTACTCAACGCCGACAACACGCCAGTTATTGGTGGCGCTGGTATGTTTTTGCGATTGCCCGGCTGGTTTTGACACATGGCATTTGATGATGGTGGCCTAGGAGCCGACACGATTTTAAGATTGACAACTATTGTAGCTCTATTATAGGGGCACCGGACAGAAAGGGCGCCGCGCTGTTCGCAATCTGGCAGAATTTCTAGGCCGCGAAGTAAATTTCCACTGAAAATGTGGCCTAATGTTTCAAACTCGACCCCGAGGTCCCTCAATTTGCACTGTATTTTTTGCACAGTTTCTCAATAGAGCGCCATTTCTGTGCGGTGCCCCTATAATATCATTCAAAAAAAAAACCTACTTGCACTGACAGAAATGGCTCACAGACCCGAAATCTTCTGAACGGTTGACTAACAAGCTTCCGTTAGAGCGTCAAACATTCGTCCGCAAGGGTTCAAATTATCTAGATAAATTTACAAGTGGTTACGGTAGATGACCTAAATTTTTCATAAAATTGCCTCACTAGGTGGCAGAGTTGAGCGGAAGAACACGGAAGAATTTTTATCTTTTTTTGAAAATTTTTTCATGAAATGTGATCAACTGACGAAATGTATAGCAAAGTGAACTGTGCGCATAGAAAAATAATTGTAAATTTAGCAATTCATACAAAAAAGTTAAGGGCTAACCGAAGACGGAAGGACATTTTCACGCAACAACTCGAATAACTTTTTTGTATGAATCGCTAAATTTACAATTATTTTTCTATGAGCACAGTTCACTTTGCTCTACATTTCGTCAGTTGATCACATTTCATGAAAAAATTTTCTAAAAAAGATAAAAATTCTTCCACTGAGTTCTTCCGCTCAACTCTGCTAGGTGGTCTAAATTTTCAACCGGACGGACTAGTTTCCCAAATCAACGGCCTAGATTTTCGATCTAACAATGACTTACAAAGGTTTAGTCGGATCTAGGTCGAAAACTAGAGATCACTTACACAAAACGGATCGAATTTCATTCTCTCTCTCTTTTCCACCACTTTTTTGCCAGTCTTTAAGCCGAATCTAGTTAGAGAACCGAGAGAATCGAGTCAGTCAAAAGATCAAAGTCAACAAAGTATCATCTGTCCGGATGTGTTTGCCTATTGACCCCCCCCCCTCTGGATATATAAATGTATTATATTATATGTGACAAAGAAATCGTATCCCGTTGCCGCCGAGTCGAGATCGAATTTCGCGCAATTAGGTCACGATGCGGACATTTTTGAAACGAAATTTTCAGCCGACGCCATCTTCCAGTCGGAGCCCACAATCTCGGTCGAGTACTACGGTAGCTCCGGATCCTCTCCCGCGGATGCCACGTCGTCATCGTCGTCGTCGTCGTCGGGCCGAGTTCAGATGCCGAACGCCGAAGAAAATGAGGGAAATAATGGAGCGATTGTGATGTACAAACATCCGAAAGCACAATTCTATCCGAGACCTCAGGTACTATTGTACTTTGACGCTTTTTTTTGGAAATTTTAAAATCCGAATTTTTAGGGAAACTACGGAGGATACGGAGGATATCGACCGAATCCGCCGCCGTTGGGCTATTCGTACGTCGGATATATTAACCGACAGGTGAGTTGGCGGATTACTGTAGCGTCCAGAAGGTCTAGGAGTACAAGTGACCACTATTCAAATCGTCTCGATTATTTTCGCTTTTAATTTGCACATCCATGCTTGGATTACTGTAGGCCGGAAGGATACTAAAATCGAAACAGAAAACATTGTAGCTAAAATTTGAGATTTAATACAAAGAAAACGGGCTTTGCGGTCCTATTAACTCAAAGATCAGGTACTGTGGGCTCATAGGATTACTGTAGTCCACCGTACTTTTCTTTTCCAGGCCCGCCGCTATCCGGTCATGATGTACACGCTCATCCAATGCGTTCCCTGCCAGAGGGCGAAACATCTGCTGGCCACCACGTACGGAGACGTTCCCTCGCATTTCTTGGGTACGTTTTGGATGACCGCACCTTTTTTCCGCCTTTTCGCTTCAAGACCCATAGCCTATGGGTGTTGAGGTGAAAATAAAAGAGGTCCAAACCATCTTCAGAACTGGTCGGCGACGAAGACTGGCAACGTCAGCTGCAAGTGGACCTTCTGAAGGTCACCCGCCAGGCCACGTTCCCCTACGTTTTCGTGTGCGGTCAGTTCGTCGGCGGCTCGTCGGACCTCTTCAACATGCATCATTCGGGACAACTGCGACAAGTGCTTAATAATTGCATGTCAAGGAACGGATAATGATAACGATGATGATGACAATAGAGGCCTAGAAGAGACGGAGAAGAGAGGGGAGCAGAAGCAGAGAATTATTATCACAGCAAATTTTAATTTATTTTCCATTTTTCACACTTTTTTCGGTGCAAAAAAAGATGAATCGACTCCAAAAACTTGTGTATTTTTTGAATTTCGAAGGGACTTTGGGAGACATATTGGTGGAGGGAGGGCTGACACGAAACAGTCAATTATAAAAATAATTATAAATACTTTACAAATCTAGCACACATTTAATTAAGATAGGATAGGATTGGGGGCGATAAATTAAGTGATAACGGAGAAAAAAAGCATAGGAAAGGAGCGCGTGTGAAAAGGGACCCAGGGTTTCAATTATAATAATAACAGGAAGAAAAAACAAATAATTGTGCGGACTTCTATTCGTCGTCGGAATCCGATCCTTCGGTGTAGTCGTCCTCGCTCGACACCTCTCCGGCGTCTTCGTCGTCTTCGTCCACGTAGTCGTCGTGCCGGATCTCCACGTATTTCGCCTCCGCCACGTCAATCTGAAAAAGGACAAAAGTTAATGAAAATCTGAAAAAAAAAAGGTTCGGACCTTAAAATCGACGCTGTATTCTGCGTCCACGTACGAATCGGATTTCACCGCCAGATTGTACGTGTAGATTCCTTTGACTGGTGGAGCCGCGAATCGGATATCGATCTGGAAAACAAAACATTGGCTTTTTTTCTTGTTTGAGTAGAACATTGGCCAATTTTAGACAGAAAAAGTACGCTGTTCAATCAATTTGGCACCTTACCGTCTGCTCATCGACGAGCGTTTTGACAATCTGCGGCGCGGAGAGCAACTGTCTCGTCTTCTCCTTTTTGTCCACGTAGAACACTGTAACCCACCACCATTCGAATTTTTCGGCCGGATAGAATGGCGCGTGGACAGTGTGCGTCTCCACGGACTTCGACTCCTGGAAGATCTTCTTCTGCTGCACATCGTCTTCCCATTCCGAGTCAGAGTCCGCCCCGTTCTCTCCGCCACTCTTCTGCTCCTTGTCCGAATCGGATTCCGATCCTGCGGAATCGTCGTCTGAACCTCCGTCCGAATCCGATTCCTTCACTTCTTCCACTGCTTTCTTTGGAGATTCTGAAGACGGCGACGCGATCGGAACGACTGGTTTCTTGACGATCGGCTTCTTTCCGCCGCTGTTCCCCTTCTTCTTCTTCTGCTTCGGCTTCTTCTTCTCCCATGGCTTCTTCGCCTTCTTCACCTCCACCTCTTCCGCGTTTTCCGGCTCTTCGGCTCCTTCTCCGCCCTCCTCGTCGTCCACTTCCTCGTAAGCCTTGTGCTGATCGGCCAATCCGGCGACTTGCGGGTCAATCAGACGGCTTCTGCGGAGGGTGACTTTCAAAGTGACAACACATCCAGCCGTCAGCTCGTGTTTGTCATCCTCTCCCTCCACGACGGTTTTGGTTTCGATCTGAAGACGTGGCATCATCGAGAGCACCACCATCACATCGCGATATTCTTCGGCGGACAGGGAGCGGAGCACCGCACGCCGATGCTCTCCGTCCATCACAGCCAGGTCGTGACACGAGAAGATACGCTTCTGAAAATAATGATTTTGAGTTTCAGAAGACGTAAAAATCGAAAAACCTTTCTCAGGTGCTGCAAATTGTACTCGGTGATGTGCGGGAGCTGGAGGAGCGGGCTGTTCTTCTGCCAGAGCGCCTGAACGAACATTGGCTGCAGACGGAGCAGATTGTCAAAGGTTTCGATGGCGATTTTCGCGCCGTGCTGGTAGGCGAGCAGGTTTTGCGAGCACGTGAGCATTTCTTCAACGAGGCGGAGCATTCGGGTGATTATGTATCTGCAAATTGACGGTTTTCAGCGAGAAATTCTAAATTATGATAATTTTTTGTCGTTGTTTTTTTTAGGAAAAATATGTTGCTTTTGAGCGTCCAGATTCATGTGAATCAAAAAAAGGGCTAGGGAAGCGAAAACTAATGTAGAAATGCTAAAAATTGACCTTGAAGTGAAAGTTTGCAAAAAACCCTTCAGATCCCTTACTCCTGATCCTGATCCAAGGCATTTTCAAAAGATTCCAACGGCAATCTCGACAGATACGCGTGAATGAGCACTCTCGCTTTCAGAGCGTACGGCTGGCTCAACGGCTGTTCTTTTCCTTTGTCATTGACGCCGGAGAGCAATTTCATGAGCTTCGGCACTTCGAAATCGTCGCTTTCTCTCTCGATCACATCCTTGTTGTACTGTTTGCTGAACTCGAACGATCCGGACAAAATGGCGATCATTCCTGAACGAATTTCGATGAAATTAGACTCGAGACATTTGGAAACTCACTTCCAATCTCCATTCTCGGTGTCCGATTAATAAAGTAATAGTACATTTTGGTGGTGTCTAGTAGCACCTTGTCCACACTGTACTTGATCGAATTGTACCACCACATTCCCTGAAAATTTACAGAATTTTACCAATTCCTCGCTATTTTTCGCAGAATTACCACAGCGACCGGCATGAGGACCATGAAAATGAGTCCGTAGAAGGCAAGCACCCACAGCCCGTACTCTTTGCTCACAAGCCATTTCGGCAGAGCGATTCCGAAGGTCGTGGCCTGTGGACCGTCCGGATTTCCGTACTTTTCCCAATTTTCGCGTGCTTCTTTGTCGGTCAATGCCTGATGGGCCTTGGCTATCTTGTCGAAGTACTCGGCGTTTCCTCCGCGATCGGGGTGATGAATCTGGAAAGAAGTTGGTGAAAATTACTAAAATCACTCAAGAATGGTACCTTGGACAAATCTCTCCACGCTTTCTTTATAGCCTTCTCGTCGGCGCCTTGATCCAGTCCCAAAATCAAATACGGGTCGTAGTCCTTGTGCGTCACCTCGATTTCTGTGGTTTTCTTGACGATTATCGCGAAGATCAGCCAGGCAATCACAAGAACCTGAAGGAAATGTATTAGTTTCAGAGATTTGCAATATTTTCCTGCTTACCCCAATAGTTATCATCCTTTTGGTCCTGCGCCACGGCTTGTTGGCCGCTTTGGCGCGTCTTTTGCGATCACAGCCACCGCATTGACACTCGTGCTCGTTTATTACGTGCTCAGGCTCTGAAATATCGATTTTCAGTGTTTTTTCATGAATTCCAACGGTTTACCTGTTTTTGTAGTGTCCGGGAAGCAGTAATACGTGGCCGGGAACAAAATAATCGCATAAAACGAGACGAGCACGTAATAGAAGGTGTTGCCGACCTCGTCGTACTCGAACGAGGCGCCGGCCATCTTTGTTCAATTACTGAAATATCAATTTTTGTGGAAAACAGATAAATTTTTAGCATATGTCATCATTTTAAGCGAAAAAGAGAGAGATGACGTGACACTTTTCGGGCAGATTGATTTGCAGTGTCTTGAGAACGCGCGTCGCAGACTTGCGAGAAAAGCGTGCCAGGCTTGCAAAAATGGGCGGAGCCACCGCCTTATATTCATTTTTCGGGAAAAATTCGCCAATATTTACTCGATTTCTACTCGTTTTTCGATCATTTTTTGATATTTTTTGTGCAAAATGTGTTGTTCAGATGTCTGTCCGACTTGCCGGCACTGCTCTCCGCGAGATTCGCATCCATGTGTGCCAGAAGAGCCCCGCCTCGGCCGGCGTGCGCGCTTTCATCGAAAACGACTATGTTGCCATCAAAAAGGCCAATCCGCAGTTCCCAATTTTGATTCGTGAGGCGTCCGGCATTGTGCCAAGGTCTGAAAATGCCGTAAACTCCAACAAACGCTGGAACTTTCAGAGTTTTTGCGAGATACGAGCACGGCATCGAGAGAGTCGCCACTCTGGAGGACTTGTCGAGAGATGTGGTATGTTTTCGGTTTAAAATTATTCAAAAAACCAATTTTCAGGTCAAATCCACGATTGCCAAGCTAGCTGCTCAACAATAGGTCAGAATTAGCTCGGATTCTTTAGTTCCCTTCCATTTCTAATTGTTTTCATGTAGAAATCTCAATAAATGACGAAATTTTTAATCGTTTTCAACATGCTAATACCAATATTTCTGTTTGCAACAGCTAATTTATCTAACATGCAAAGTAGAGCGAAATGTCGATCTTCGACACGTTCAGGGGTCAAAATAGAGTAGATCGAAAGATGAAAACGCTGCAAGACGTATCCGACCTCCTCGGAGATGTGCCCGCCAAAATTCTCTGGGTGAGTTTCCCGAAAAAATTTTTTTTGCATAAAAACGTCAAAAACTCGTTTTCCACGGCGAAAATCGTCATAAATTAAGTCACCGGGGCAGATAATCACACTCATTTCGCTTGTCATTCAATTTTTCGCAAAAAATGCCAGAGCAGGCCGCAAATTTATATGAATGGACGGAAGAATGGCTAAAACTCGAAAGACCCGCCTCTTTTATAATTTACGCCCTCATTTTTGTAAGTTTCCCGAGATTTTCCACCTAATTACCCACTTTCAGGTAGTAATATCGTTCGCCTTCTTCCGAGCCCTCCAATTCATCGTCCGGTGGTATTTGTTCGGAAAATGGACGTGGCCGACGTTCAATTTCTTCGGTCTTCGGCGGCGAATTCGACGGAACGGCGTCGAGGAGGGACAGGACGGCGCCGGAACACTGACTGCCTCGGAACGGACGCCTGAGCCGGCAGAGCAAGTGGAACCGGGACCCGACAGCCGAGATTTGTCGGTTAGTGGAAAGAAGACATTGAGCGTTTCCCGCAAAATTTTTGATTTTCTGAACTGGCCATTGTTGAGCATTTTTGAGCTTGCTGGGCTTAAGCTTTTCAAAGCTACAGAAAACACTTGCAGGCGATCCCGCCGAACAAAAAGTGGCGAATCTGCAACGAGTGCGTCTCGCTGTTCCATTCGGTGATATCGGGCGCGTGGGCGGCCTACTGCCTCCTCTACTACAAAGAACTCATCCAGGACCTGTTCGTCTTCCGATGCGAGGCCGCCGTTAACCTGGTAGGCCATGGGTCCAACTGAAAAGTACTCAAATTCAAATTCTGCTCAGATTCTCATGTCGACCGGTTACCTTCTGCACGATCTGCTCGATTTGCTGGTCAACGAGCAGTCCGCCCGAATCATCGAGCTCCTCTTCCATCACGTCGTCGTTTTGGGCGCTTTCGCAGTCACTATGGTGCTCCGAATTGAGAGAATTTTCAGAATACCCTAGACATTTTGCAGTTTATGAACCGATTCCTGGGCGTCGTAGTGTTCGGATTGCTCATGGAGCTCAACTCGATCTTCCTCCACTCACGCAGCTTGGCCAATCTGTACGGAGTGGACAAACGGAGCCCGATGTTCCGAATCATCGCGCTTTTGAACATGGTCACTCTGTTCGCGTTCCGACTCTGCGTCTCCGTCTACTTGCTCTATTTTGCGGTAAGTGTCGAAAATTAGGATTTCTGAAGTTTCTAGCTGTTTTTGCAAATTTTGCAACTTACGAGACAGACTATCCAACTGAAAAGCTCTCATCAAAAGAAGCTGCCAGACACTTGTAATGCTTTTCCGCATTTCCAGATCACCTCGATTCCGGATGTCACATGGTATCAGGCCCTGCTCAACGGAATCCTCATCCTTTCACTCGCCTCCACAAACACGGTCCTCACCTATCGATTACTCGCAGCCGACGGCCTTCTGGGTCAGTTTCTGTCTTTTTCAGGAAATAGACACTTTGAATGTGATAGTGAACGTTCATCATGAAATTGAACTCGAAGACTGTTCTTTCTTTTTGTTGGATACACGTTTTTTTGAAATTTTTCAGGCAAGAAACGCGAAAGACGGACGCCGGCCTCCACCGCACAGACTCAGATCGAGAACGGACCGTTGACAACGGAAATGACTGAAAATGAGGTAGATTTATTGGAAATTTGAGGGTCTAGAAGGATCCAGCTCATTTTCTAGAAGCTTCTAAGCTTCTCTCAATTTACAGTACCCCAATTTCCAGGACCGCCACACGGTCGGCATTCAAACGGGCGTCGGAACGGTGCCGCTGGTCGAAGACTCGACACAAACTGTTTAATTTTACAAAACTGTACACCCGCTGAGTACTGTACTTATCTATTATCTGCTTCTTTGCTTTTTGCTTGTTTTTCTAGTCGAATGTGATGACTCTTTCTCTCTCTTTCTCTCTCTCTCTCTCTCTCTCTCTCTCTCTCTCTCTCTCTCTCTCTCTCTCTCTCTCGAAAACAATTCCATTCGGACACTTGCCCATGACAAGTACAGTATTCTTTCAAAGCTCTGCCCATTTTTTCTCACTCGAACACACACATCCAAAGATTTTCGAATTCTGACCCTGTTGGCCATCATTCTTATTAATTTTCTACTCAGAATAACTTATTTTTTGTCTACAATTTATTCTCAAACAACGTCCTCGCTTCTTTTTTTTTTTGGTTTTAATGAATATTTTACCTAATTTGTGCCGATTCCCCTCCACTTTCGGGTTAATTTTGCCCTTTTTGTATATCGCCCTTTTGCAGTGACCAAGATGCCGACACACGGCCGAACTTTTGCAGCGTGGGCCTTGAAAAATGAGTAAGCGAAAGCGAACGCACGAGGCGATGGACGAGACGCCGATCGTCGACAAAATGTACTATGTGGATAGGGGATGCGAAGGACAAACGGAAAAAGTAGGCGATTATGATCGTTTTCGACGACGTGGCCTAGGATTTTTTGGGCCATAGGCCCCCTGAAATGACCTTGAAAATGAGTTGTGGCCGAACTTTTTCAGTTTCGCGGCCATCCCCCCCCTACATAGATTCCGGCCGTTTTTCAGTTGACCGCCACAATCGTACACATGGAATTCCGATCGGACGACCCGGAAAACGAGGACGACAAAGAATGGATGTACTACGTGCACTACCAGGTGTTGGACCGACGAAACGACGAATGGGTCAAGCTGGACAGGTAAAAATGGAGCGTTTTGAGCTGCTCTTGTTTTAGTTTTGCCACAAAAAGAGATTTCCAGAATCCACGTGAACGAGGTGGTCGAACCGGCGGCGGCGAACACGATAACAGTGCCGGAAGAGGCGGGAAAAGAAGGCGGAGCACCCGTACAGCAGCAGGGAGCACTGACACGAAGCCAACGAAGGACCCTGGAGGAGTTCTCGCATCTCAAGACCGACATTAACATAGTGATGGACGCGACGTCCGCCCGGCTCGAGAAAGAGCACGAGGAGGTTCACTTTTCTATCGATTTTCTCGCTTAGAAACGCACAACTTTTTGTTTGCAGCGAACAAAGGTGAAGAACATTCCGCGCATCACGATCGGAGCCCACACGATAACCTCGTGGTACTACTCGCCGTTCCCGCAATCGTGTCGGAATCACGAGCTGTTCATGTGCGAATACTGCCTTCTTTACACGCCGATACGACAGAAATACCGTGAACATCACTTGGTTCGTGTCTTTTATTCGAAAATTTGGGTTACCCGGGGGGAGTCATCCCAATTTTCGTAAAGATTTAACTGTAGAAAGCAGAGAAGTGCTGTAAACCTACAATATGACTAGTCTATGGAAGACTTCGCAGTAATCCTACACAGTAGCCAAAATTCGCTTGCCTACCAACCTACAATATATTATATAAAAGTACAGTAGTCCTATCCCGTCTACCGTATTCTCTTTTCAGACGTGCAAAAAGCGTGAGCCGCCGGGCAACGAAATCTACCGAAAGAACGATTTGTCAGTGTACGAAGTGGACGGAAGTAGCCAGAAGGTACAGTAGCCCAATGTCTTCTAGTAAGCCCTTTTTCCAGCTCTACTGCCAATGTCTGTGCCTCCTTTCGAAACTGTTTATGGATCACAAAACGTTGTATTTCGACGTCGACGATTTCATGTTCTATGTACTTTGTGAGGTAGAAAAAAATGACGAGCTCTAGGCGATTTCTCATGCAAATTTTGCAGACGGACTCGAAAGGCGCGCACATAGTCGGCTACTTTTCGCGCGAAGTCGAATCGGCCAACAATCTCGCGTGCATAATGGTCTTTCCGCCGTACCAGAAGAAGGGATACGGAAAGTTGCTCATTCAGCTCAGTGAGTCAAAATTAGGGCATTTCTTCCATCAAACTTCAACATAAAACTCACTTTTTCAGGCTACGAGCTGTCGCGACGGGAAGGCTACGTGGGCACGCCGGAAAAGCCGTTGTCGGATCTCGGAAAGGTTTCGTACCGCTCGTACTGGTGGTGGGTGCTCATGAAGCTGTTCCACATCCATCAGGGACACACCGTCACCGCCACCTACCTCTCTCAGGAGTCGGGAATCGCCGTCGCCGACATTGTGTCGACGCTGAGCACGATGCGCATGTGCCGACAGTATCGAGGTACAATGTTCGCCAAAATCCAAGAGACTGGGGGTTAATTTGAACTTGACTTGGCAATAATTTTTGGTAGCGATAAGAGTGCCCAAACTCATTTTCTCACCTACAACACCAACTTGCAGAGCCGGAATTCATACCGGGCGAGTGGTACGTGCGAATCCACCGCAAGATCGTCGACCACTGCGTGCTGCACGACTACGGCCGTCCGCCCCTGCTGTTCCTCGACAAATCGGCGGTGCGATGGGCGCCCGCCATCACGCGCTGGCAATTCGAGCGGCAACGGAAGAGGTACGGGGAGCGGAGACCGTCGAAATCGCAGTCCGCGACTCCCCTCGCCACGCCGCCCATCGATGCACCGTCTCCTCATTACTCCCGAAGGGCACTTCCCCTTCTTTCTGGTACGTTTTGATTAGAACACTGTTTTTACCTTCTCTCTCTCACTCTTTGTCTAATAATCTAATAATTTTAATAATTTCCAGACGATTACGACGACGACATGTGATGCCCGCCCGACTGTAACCCCCCAATTCCATGTACTTTTGCACACTCTGTTTTCTGTTTTATCTCGCTCTTTTTCCGCAACCCCCAAACGCAAGTTCTCGATTCAGTTCTAATTCATTTTGATTCATTCATTAAAAAAATAATCTCTCCTCTATTATAAATGCCCCCAAAAATTCCAAAAAAAAAAATTATTTAAAAAACCCCAAAAAAATTGTATTCACAAAGCCTTATTAATAATCACTCTCCCTTTCCCCATTTTTTCCTGCTACCACCTTCTATTTTCTCAAATTTTGTCATTCTTTGTGCCTTTCAATTCGATCACGTTTTTTCGGTATTTTTTCGTCGCGCTTTCTCACCTAAATTCAAATTTTTTCCATCGTGATAACCATTTTTTTCCTATAAATCTTGAGAAGCGCCCACCCACAAATCAGAATTTATTCGGAAGCTATTTATTTAATTTTGCCAAAAAAGGACGACCATCGAATGGGTGCATTTGGCGCACACGGCCACGGTGGCCAGTCGACCGTCTGTGAGGGATGCAAAATATCGACGTGATCGTATCGATCGATATTCACGACGCCACGAGCGATTGAGCTGAAAATGCACATTTTCAGCTGTTTTTGGAGATGATTGAGCAAAGTGGACGAAAAATAGTACGCATTGCATGAATACAGTACAGTACAGTAAAAAACTGACCGAAAGGTGTTTTCACGACGTTTCAGAGCCTCTTCTTTGGACAAAACCGCCAAATTTTCGGCAATTTCGTCGCACTTGTACTCGTTAAACGAATTTAAGACGGCGAATCTCTTCAAACGCGCCTTGTGAGTTGATTTCAGCCAATTCTCGATAAATGCTTTGATTTTCAGCTGCTCCAGACTGTATGTTGTAGAAAACCTGGACGAAATCGATTTTGCAAAGCAAATTCAGGCTCAGATCGGGAATTCCCTCAAATTCCGGATATTCGACGCGGATTTTCTAAAAAATTGCCATCTTTATCCGTTTCTTCACGAAAAATTGGGGAAAAACACTATTTTTGTCATTTCAATGAGTAAACGCGCTCCACCGCACTTTTCCGAGGATTTTCACGTTTTGAATAGTTTTCTACGTCTAAATTGCTAGATTCTCGCAAAACTTGTTTGAAAACGATTAAAAAAAGTGCAAAGAATTCTTACAGAACCTACCTGAATCGCCTCGATTGAAAATATAAATAAAGTTGATCCACTTTTTCGTGCTGACACGAAACGGTGACCATGAAGGCGTTAGCCTTCGGCGAAGCCTTTCAACGAAATTTCCAGCGTTTCCCTCCGAATTTTCGATGAGCTCGGGCACCATTTTTTAGGCTAAGAAGAAAGGGAAAACGCGGATAGAATCGGGCGGAAATTGGCGGCGAAGCGGACAATAAATAATTTGGGGCTCTTTTCGAAATCACCAAGGAAACGGGCACTCCACCTGCCCTCCAATTATCAGTCATGCGAGAGTTCATGGGCAAAAACGTTTTCATTCTTTCTCAAAACGAATTATTTGTAGTCTTCGATCGAAAATCAAAGTTTACTGTGCATCATTGGCTTCAGGTACTTTTCGACGGACGGAAGAACGTCCGTCTCGTTGAGCGGACTCGATTTCGCCCATTCGAAGAGGTTCTTGTAGACGTGACCGTCACGACGACCGAGCACCTGCAAAGGAGTACGGTAGGGCTTACTGCAGCTTGGTGTTTGCGTACCAGGCGCCAGACTTACCGATCTCAACTGCATGTCACTAAACTGGAACGCGTCGACCAGCGAAACGGCGTTCGGACGGATCTTGGCGAGGTAGAAGTACAACTGCTCGCGCACGTAATCCAACTGCGACGCCGACAAAAATCCGTCCTCGAGCGCGTAGGTGGCCACATCGAGAAGTTCGTAGTTGACGTGCAAACGGAGCAGATCGGTGAGCACTTCCTTCAGTCGCGGCTCCGCCACTTCATGCACTCGACGCATGAACGCCTCGACGATGAACAGACGCGTGTGGAGTCGCGAGGCCTGAAAGAGACGAATTGTTCTGTGTGGGCGTAAGCGTTTCAGGTTACTTACTCTTGTCAACTCTACAGACGCCTGGTTCCATGCGACTTCTCTCGTCGCACCTTGGGCCATGAATCCAAGAAACTTTTCCGCAGCTTTCCAAGTCTGGCGTCTCGATACATACTCGAATATTTTCACATAACCATCCAAAGATCTCTCTGATCTTTCCAGCTGCACTTTCTGATTCTCCTTGTCCGCCAAATAAGCCACCAGCGGTCCTAGACTCTTTGCGTTTCCCGCCTTGATCGTCTCGACCGATTTGACGAGATATCTGGCGAGCTGGAGGAGCATCACCATATTCTCGCCCTCGTAGGTGCATCCGCCGATGGCGACGCCGTAAATTTCGGAGAGGTAGCTGGCCTGCGAGTAGCCGTGCCCTCCGCACGCCATTCTCGCCTGTTCGATGCCCTCGCCCGTCTGCCACGTCACCACCGATTTGAGGCCCGACGTTAGGGCGTGCAGATCGGCCATTTGCGAAACGTTTCCCTTATCGACGTCCTTCAGAAGTTGGTTGTAGAGTCGAATCGTCTCGAAACCAGTGAAATAGAAGGCGTAGGCTTTTGCGATCGACGGAAACAGCCGATGTTGTTGCGTTTGATAGTCGAGCACTTTCACCTCTCGATCCTTGTCGTCCAGAAATCCTTGTCGTCTAACCGCCGAGTACCGGGTCGCAATGGTCAGCGCCAACGCCAGAAAAGTGCCTTGTCCGGTTGCCATGTGGCTTCTCACTCGCACCATCGCCGAGTAGTTGATCTTCGCGTGCGGCGGCTTCACATAAGTGCCATCGGGCTCGACGCGCGAGTGCCGCATCAGAAGATTCGTGCGCGGAATGCGGAAGCGGTCGAAACCCAAGAAGCCGTTGTCGGCGGCGTTGAATGCCATCTTTGGTCCGATGTCGCCGATCGTGATGCCTTTCAACGGCAAATGCGTCGCCTCCTCTCTCAATTGCACAAAAAACGGATGTGGTCCGTAGTTCTTCTCCTTGATGATCATTTGCGCGACGACGATCGCATGATTACTACTTTTGCCCAGGCTTCCCGGCCACCACTTGAGGGCCGTGATCTGCGGAGTGTGGAGCACAAACTCTTGCGTCGCCGTGTCATACGTGGCAGTCGTCTCGAGTTTCCGCAAGTTTGTGCCGTGTCCCAGTTCGGTTTGTGCGTAGCATCCCACAATTTCTCTGCGTCGAGCTCGCGCCAGCCACAGACACTGTTGCTCGTCGGAAGCCTGCGCGACTAGCGAGGGAATGAACATCGAGTCCTGAAGAGCCAACGGATGACCCTCCATTCCGATGACCTCGCTGAAAACAAATGATGAATATGGTCCTAGATGTGTAGCGTGTTGGAGACTCACTTGAAGACGTGCAAAACCTCGCCCTCATTCGAAGGATCAATGAGACGCGAAAGGTGTCTGTCGAGAGCCGCAAGCTTCCGAGCTCCTTCGGTGATTTTCTCGGGACGCGTCAGAAATGGAAGCGGTTTGATGTCGGCGAGTTCGGCGATTCGAGCAGTCGCCGCCGAGATTTCACGACGGCGAACGGCCAGCTGAAAATTGGTATGCACGGTCTCCCACGGCGCGAATGATGATTCAATGGGGCGCACTTGCAACAGGCGGGCTGTGTCGATTTACGCGGCGGCGGCCGTTTAATTAATTTTCAACGGGAGTTCGCGTTCTTTCCATGTTTTCTGTACAATACACCTATTTTTTGTACTCCTGGAACCTGGCGTCGAATAATTAGAGCACTAGCTGCGTTTTGGTAACAGAAATCTAACGTATCGTTGAGAATTAGCCGAGTTATTTCGATTTGAAGGTTTTGGCCTGGATTTTGATGTTTTTCGAATAGTTTTCGAAAACTGCTCAAGAAAACTAACCGCCGGAACCTGAATTTTGTGAAGAAAGATTCAGCGAACATTTTTATCGTTTGTTGCGCTCATGAAATGCAAAATGAGCTGAAATATAAAGGTTTGAAGTTTTGACGAAATGCGAAAAACATGAAAAACTTTAAATTCTGTAAAGAACGGTTTCCAATCAGTAAAGTATTGTTTTCTAGACGTTTTTCAAGTCAAAAAGAAAGAAATAAAGGTCGTAAACTCGAATTGAAATGCATTTTTAGACCTGCAAATTTTCAAAAAAGTTACAACGACACTCCGCAATTTACGAGCGCCCTGGGAGACCGTGGCTATGAAAGAACTCGGCAATGTTGCTGACAGAATTGTTGCAGTTCAATAATCTATATTTTCGATTAGAAATTTGCTTAAAGTTTGCCGAGAAGATCACTTCTTCTGAACCTTCGTACCTTTTCGCTTCCATAAATCACCGCCGCCATGGCGTCCGTGTCGAAAGTCGCCGTTTTGCGCTCTTCCGTGATGTCCGGATTGTCTCCATCGTGAATTGATTTGTTGAGGTTGGTACTCATTTGCATGTAGTTGTAGTCGAAGTCAACGTGTAAGCGAGAGGTAGAACAATTCGAAAGATAACAAAATGATGTCCTCGCTCTCACTCTCCTATCAGTCCATTCGGTGCGCCTTTTCAACAAGAAATGGGCGGGATTTGTTTGTACATATTTACATGACGACACGTATCTGTACTATTTATTAGTGCAACAATAGTCACATTCATATGCAATTATAGTTTACTCTGTCGAGCCGAATCCATCATTGGCTTCAGGTACTTTTCGACGGACGGAAGAACGTCCGTCTCGTTGAGCGGACTCGATTTCGCCCATTCGAAGAGGTTCTTGTAGACGTGACCGTCGCGACGACCGAGCACCTGCAAACGAGTACGGTAGGGCTTACTGCAGCTTGGTGTTTGCGTACCAGGCACCAGACTTACCGATCTCAACTCAATATCGCTAAACTCCCAAGAATCGACCAGCGAAACGGCGTTCGGACGGATCTTGGCGAGGTAGAAGTACAACTGCTCGCGCACGTAATCCAACTGCGACGCCGACAAAAATCCGTCCTCGAGCGCGTAGGTGGCCACATCGAGAAGTTCGTAGTTGACGTGCAAACGGAGCAGATCGGTGAGCACTTCCTTCAGTCGCGGCTCCGCCACTTCAAGCACTCGACGCATGAACGCCTCGACGATGAACAGACGCGTGTGGAGTCGGGAGGCCTGAAAAAGTACAAGGTAGTGATCATTGAACTCACTCGGAAAGAGTGGAAAAGTACTGATGATCAGTGTATCGCTTTAGAAGTACACGGTACTTTTGTTTGCAAATTTTTTGCACCTTATGCTTATCAGAATAGAGGTTATCACAAAGCTTACTCTGTTCAACTCGACCGATGACTTGTTCCACGCGATCTCCCTCTTTTCTCCCTTCTCGATGAGCCCGAAGAACTTCTCGGCCGCCTTGAACGTTTGTCTCTTCGCAATGTGCTGGAACGTCTTCACGTACTCGACAAATCCGCCGTTCGGTGTCCGATCGATGAGCGACGTCGCCTCGCTCTTCACGCCCAAATACGCCACCAACGGGCCAAGCTTCTCCGACTGTCCGGCCTTGACGAGTGCGGCCGATTTGACGAGATATCTGGCGAGCTGGAGGAGCATCACCATATTCTCGCCCTCGTAGGTGCATCCGCCGATGGCGACGCCGTAAATTTCGGAGAGGTAGCTGGCCTGCGAGTAGCCGTGCCCTCCGCACGCCATTCTCGCCTGTTCGATGCCCTCGCCCGTCTGCCACGACACCACCGATTTGAGGCCCGACGTTAGGGCGTGCAGATCGGCGAGCAGGGACACGTTTCCAGTGCTCACTTGCTCGGTTACTCGCTCGTAGAGCTTTACCGTCTCCGCGCCGGCAAACATGAATGCGTAGGCGCGCGCGATGGCCGGAAACAGTCGATGTTGCTGGGTTTGGTACTCGAGCACTTTCACTTCTGGCTGCCTGCAAAATGATGGTATGAAGAGATATTGTATGAATTAACCAACGTCTTATTTATCTGTCCCTGCCGTCGGACCGACGAATACCGCGTCGCAATGGTCAGCGCGTAGGCCAGCATCATCGCCTGTCCGGTGATCATGTAGCTTCTCACGTGCACCATCGCCGAGTAGTTGATTTTCGCGTGCGGCGGCTTCACAAAAGTGCCATCGGGTTCGACGCGCGAGTGCCGCATCAGAAGATTCGTACGCGGGATGCGGAAGTGGTCGAATCCGAGGAAGCCGTTATCGGTAATGTTGTAGGCCATCTTTGGTCCGATGTCGCCGATCGTGATTCCTGGCAACGGTTTGTGCGTCTGCTCATCTCTCAATTGTACCATAAACGTCTGTGGCCCGTAATTCTTGTCCTTGATGATCATATGCGCGACGACGATCGCGTAATTGCTGCTCTTGCCCAGATTCCCCGGCCACCACTTGAGGGCTGTGATCTGCGGAGTGTGGAGCACAAACTCTTGCGTCGCCGTGTCATACGTGGCAGTCGTCTCGAGATTTTGCAGATTCGTGCCGTGGCCCAGTTCGGTTTGCGCGTAAGTTCCGATGATTTCACGTCGCTGAGCTCTCGTGAGCCACTTGGCCTGCTGCTCCGCCGATGCCTGGGCGGTCAGCGCCGGAATGAACATGATTCCGTGCAGAGCCATCGGATTTCCCTCGATTCCCACCACCTCACTGAAATAATTCGATTGTATAGTGTTGTTTGGGTCATCTCACTTACTTATTCAAATGATACAGCTCTGCGCCATTCGTCGGGTCGACAATATCCTTTATTTTCTGGGTGAGCAGCGAGACTTTACGTGCTCCCTCCAACACTTTTTCCTCTCGGGTCATGAACGGAAGCGGTTTCGAGTCGTGAAGTTCTGGAAGCTTCGCCACGGCAGCGGTAATCTCACGACGACGGCGAGCACGCTGCAACGAAATGGTCTCGCAATTAGACATTTTGTCTATGGGATCATCTTTTGCAGTTGCGAAATTGCAACTCGACAAGCCTTTTTTGCGAAAAGATTACGCAACTTCAGCTGGATACGCAAATGTTGAGAGTTTGGAAAGTTTGCGCAAAAGTTACAGAGGATTGTCGAGAAATTGCAAAACAACACAAAAGTGACTAGAACACAAGCCAAAACTATGCAATTTCCATTGTCCACTCACTCTTTCGCCGCCATGAATCTGCGCCGCCATCGCATTTGTATCGAATGTTCCGGTGAGTCGTTCCTCGGTCAAATCCGGGTTGTCTCCCTCTTGAATCGCCTTGTTCAAGTGCACCATTTTCTGAAATTACAAAATGTTACATGCGATAAAAGTGCGCTCCACTGATAAAAGCTGTGAATATGATAGTCGGGCCTACGCGGGGTTTCACGAAATAAACGAAATTGGTGTTAATCTGATTAACTTGGTTAAAGTTAAACTGAACTGCGGGCATGTGCAAGAATCAAAACAAGGAAGAAAGAAATGTGAGGTGGTGATGGTGATAAGGAGATGAGATAACATGTAAAAGGAAAAAGTGGACGTGCGTGTGTTATCATGAACTGACCACACTGTACCGCCCGTCTTGTACATTTTGGCTACATTGGAGTCAGTGTGTGATGTTGTTTCACTTGAAAGTCACCCGAAGGATCTACAATGGAGGCTAGAAGGTAGAATCGTCACAGTGTGACTTGTTCATTAATTGTATTCAGAGTTGAGCGGAAGAACTCAACGGAAGAACACGGAAGAATTTTTATCTTTTTTAGAAAATTTTTTCATGAAATGTGATCAACTGACGAAATGTAGAGCAAAGTGAACTCTGCTCATAGAAAAATCATTGTAAATTTAGCGTTTCATACAAAAAAGTTATTCGAGTTTTTGCGTGAAAATGTCTTTCCGTCTTCGGTTAGCCCTTAACTTTTTTGTATGAATCGCTAAATTTACAATTATTTTTCTATGAGCAGAGTTCACTTTGCTCTACATTTCGTCAGTTGATCACATTCTATGAAAAAATTTTCTAAAAAAGACAAAAATGCTTCCGTGTTCTTCCGTTGAGTTCTTCCGCTCAACTCTGATTGTATTTGGAAAAGGAAAGCAAGTTTCTGCTCAAACTTGTCACAAACCTTTATGGAAACTGGCGTACTAGCAGAACTCTCCTGTTCGTTTCATTCAAATCGATAATAATACACAAAGTTCACTTCTTCTTATTGAACACCTTCAGAATCTTCAGCTTTGCTCCGTGCGCGTCCAGTCCGCCCGTCTCGCTCATGGCCACAAATCGTTCGAATTCGACGGCCGCATCGGTCATCGTAGCTCGTCGCGGTCCCTCCGTGAACACGAGACTCCCAATGTACTTTTTGACGGCGTCCGGCGTGTGCGAAGGCAGTTGGAGAAACTTTCCGGCCGGCACGTCCACCTTCACCTGCGCGTTCGGAATTTCGGGGAACGGCTCCGCTCCGTCGGCGAACACTTCGTAGACCGTGATGCCCCAGCTGCAAACAGTGTCTATAGTAAGTTTTTCTGGAACTGAAGTTTTTTGAAGCGAATTTGAAGCGAATGCAAGAGCTTTCTAGAACATAAAAGTACAAAGTCACAGGGCGTAGCAAATTACTATTTTTTCTCAACGGCACTCCGATTAAAACGCCGCGCGGTGGACAAAAAAAAAGAAAAAAAAAGACGACGGTCTTGGCGAAACATTGGCGGAACAAGAGAGTTGTTTTCTAGAAAATGTTCGCAAAGAATGACGCAAATAACAAGAAGAACATTCGAGAATCGTCGTAGCTGTGGATTATTTGAACAACTGTGAGACAAGTGTTTTCCGTGAAAACTGTTACTTCTTCGGGAAACTAGGAAAAATGCCGTGCCGTTCAAAAACAAAACTTTTTCGCGCCCCCAAGATCCTCTGGCAATTCGATATTAATCTAATTAGAAAGTTACTGATCTAAACGCGACCTAATTAATAATTAGATTCGACTGTTTTTTCTTGGCGCAATCGAGATTTGAGCCAGCAGACGGTTGGCGTGAAACTTGATTTGAGTACTTTCTAATGGGGCTATTCAGCGTATGTTTGTTTTCCGTTTTTTTTCGTTTTTTACATCGCTGAATTGAATTTTTTGACGTAAAAAAACGAAAAAATCGAAAAACAATCATTTTTTTCACAGCCTGAATAACCCCATAAGAGTCCGTGACAAAAGGTCGGAAAATCAGAAAGTTCGGAAGCCAAAATGACGGAAAAAATGGCAAAAGGTAGGAAAAAAATAACAAAACGTCAGAAGACAGGTATTTGAGCAGTTTTTCCGACCTTTTGTCACTTTTTTCCGACGTTTTATCTTCCGACCTTTTGTCACGGACTCTTTATTAATCTAGCTAGACAATTTATTAATCTAGTTAGGTGTCATATCAATCTTATTAGGCCGCCGTTAGATTAATAAAGAAATGCCAGAGTCAACACTGAAATACGGGCGGAAATTGCCGTTCGTCGTCTTTTGCGAACACTCTCTTCCTCGGTTGGCTAGTATCGTTTACATTTTACTTTGTACAATCGATTACTTTCTAAATGCATTATCGTACCTGTAGACGTCGGTGGCAAAACTGAAGCTAAGCGTGGTGATCGTTTCAGGCGCCAGCCATTTCACCGGCAACTTGCACGACGTCTTCATTTTGTAAGACGGACCGGTGCGGGACAATCCAAAGTCGGTGATTTTGACGACGTTCTCCGAGAGGAGACAGTTGCGGGCGGCGATGTCACTGAAACAACATGATGGCCTAGAAGGATCGGATTCCCCGAGAGCATACCGATGAATGCAGTTGTTCTGGTGCAGGTACTCTATGCCACGCGCGGCTCCCAGACAGAATTTGAGTCGTTCCGTCAGTGTGATCGCTTTCGAGTTCTTCTTCAAATAGTCGAGAAGCGATCCGCCCTTGACGAGCTCGAGTAGAATGTAAAGGGGCTGTTCGTCGTGCGCCACTCCGTACAAACGGACCACGTTTTTGTTGTTGAAGTTGCGGATGAAGCGCGCCTCGTTCATCATCTCCTTGATCTTCATCTTGCTCAGAAACGCCGACACCTTCGTCATCTTGATCGCCACCTCCACCTGCTGTCCGTCCTTGAGCTTCAACGTGCCCGAGCACACTTTTCCGAACGCGCCCTCGCCGAGCACTTTGCCGATCGTCACGTCCGAGTGCATAAACTCCCACGGCTGAATGAGCACGGCGGTTTTGAGTTGGAACTGGCCCGAACTGCACACGCCCGTATTTTTCTGGTAGTAGACGATGAGTTCGTTTATAGACTCGAAGGTGCGCGTTGGCTCGCAGAAGAACATGTTGGCAGCGACCCGTTTGATCACCACGTTACGCACTTTCTTCTTGTCCTCCTCCTCCTTTCCGTCCACTTGTACGGGGATCAACGACAGAATCACTTCTCGGTTCACCTTATTCTCCGCCTCCACCACTTCTGACACGCGCAACAGAAACTCGCCCGGATTCTGAATCGTCGAGGCGAGATCCTCGCGCGGCAAGAAGCCGTGGTAGAAGTCGAACTCGCGGAGCTTCTTCTCCAGCGTGGCAAAATCCTCCTTCTCGTGCGTCGTCCGGTCCTCTGCCACCGACGCGGATTGGTCGACGGAAGTGATGCGGATGCGACGCTTCTTTCGCTTCTTCATCTCTTTCGGCTTCTTTTGGGCGCTAGTCGCATGTTCGGTTTCCGGTTGGGTCTGGAAGAAGGAAAGTTATGCCACGGCTCAGTATTGCTAGGCAGACTTCAATTTTGCCATTTAAAGAAATTTAAATTCAAAAGCCACGGTCTCCAGAGCTTCCGATATGGGCGTGGCCTTGGCCAAATGGCGTTTTCATGAATTGAGCAGGTTTTCTCTAATTTTTGTGGTCAAAGGCGATGAAAAATGATTGTTCGGCATGAAAACACACTAATTAATGGCGTTTTGGCACATTTTTCGCGGATTTCGCTTTTTCGCTTTCGCCGCCGATAGCCGCCGAAAAACCGCACTTCTCATTTTCTTGACCGTTTTCAGACAGAATTGGTTTTGAGAATGATAAATCACGTTAATACAAGCATTTTGAGCGCTCGAACCGCGAAAACTACCGAAAAGCAACTGAAATGCACGCAGTTTTAGCCAAAAACCTTCAAACGGATAAATGTGATTTGCGACTTGACCAAATTTAACGCTCTTGAGCTTAAGAAATTCGTAATAGCCTGTACAATCGGTCTATCGAGAGACAAATGAGAAATTATCGGTTTTTCGTGGCTAATCTGGCAAAAAACCCTAATTTTGCTGTTAAAATTTGAATTTCGCGCCAATGTATCGCTCTTTTAGGCGGTGCGCCCATTGTAAGCTCTGGAGAGCGTGATATATAAAGATGGTTGTCACGAATAACAATCAACTGGAAATTTCAGTGGGAAATCAGAAAAACGCAAAAATCCTCCAAATTTCTCAAACAAATTTTCAAAGATTAGCAATACCTCTGGGGCCTTCTCCTTCGAAAACGGTTCCCTCTTCTTTCTGTCCTTCGACCTGTCATCCGGCATCTTATTCGTCTTCTCCTCGCCCTCGCCGACGAACGCCGACTTCTCCTCCTCCTTATCTTTTCCGGGCTTCCCCGATGACGGCGACGGCGATGCCACGTAGGCGGAACGGGCGACCGGATTGCAATGAAACAGCTCGTTCGAACCCATTCTTATCTTTCTGTTCTGCAATGAATGAGTGGGCGGCTGGAGACGGATCATCAAGTATACCTTTTGTTTAGCGGTTTTTCAGAGAAACTGCTCGAGATTAAATTTTTGTCGCAGCAAATGTTTGCAATGGCTCTTATTTTTCGTTCTAAAAAGGTTTAGGCTAGAAAAGGTTCACGTTTGAAGGTTTATGTGAATAAAATCGCAAAATTATTGAATTTCTCCGCATTTCCAGTTGCACGGCCGCCTTTTCTCTATCAACTCTAAATTCTCATTAAATGACACGTGTTTACCACAAACAATATTCGTGACTTGGGCACGGCGACCAAAAATGTAGAAATGGGGGCGTGGCCTAGCGTGCACGGTTTAACACAATTTTGGTGCGAAATTCGAAATTTAACCCCATTTTTCATGTTTTTCGCCAAAAATTACCCAAATTTGGTACAATTTCGACGATGTAATTGCATAACTTTGTTAAACTAATCATCGCGCACTTTTTGAGCTTAAAACGAGCAGGTTTCGATCAGAAATGAATAAATTGATGCGATTTTCAAGTTTTGTGCTGAAAATGTGCGAATTTCAGTCATTCGCCGATATTTTTTGCCGTTTGAACGCTTAAAATACTTGTATTAACGTGCCTAATCACTTCCGACACTCACTTCGTCTCAAAACTATCCACATCGGCCGGTATGAAAATTCCGAAATTGCGGCGACGATTGGCCGCGGAGAGCGTATTGCGAATGATGCCAAAAACGTCGCAAACGCGGCGTTTTCACGAAAATTTCAGTGTTTTCTCTCTTTAATTTCTTCTTTCGTCGATATCAAACACACAAATATCGGAAAAGTGCTGGAATTGCGGCAATTTTCAGAAAACGCGTCTCAGATTAGGCCACGCCCCTTTCTACACTTTTGGTCGCCGTGAATTGGGTATCATTTTCAGTTCTGATCTTACTTTCACAAATCACCTTGACGTCACACTTGGCAAGGCACACCAAAGGGTCAACATATTCTTTAACGTTCTCCGCCATGCAGATTTCCATATTTTTATTAACTGTTTTAAAATTTATGTTAGACCACTTTTAGAATACGGGTCTGTTGTATTCTCACCCACTTCTAAAGACCGCACGTCTTCTTGGCTGGAGATGTTGAGTCGCCAGACTCCACGTGGATTCTCTCCGAAGAAGTGGACAGAGACAACGTCCCAATCAAGCAGATCCGGACTGGAATCGGAGGCTCGAATGGGCAGAAGTTCGGATGTGGTTCCATGCGGAGACGCCAGTTTCACTTGCAGTTGACCGCGATTCTGATGGAAAATGGAAGCACGGATCACAATTCGTTCGGAATTGGAATTTTGAAATATTTGTTCGGAATTGGAATTTTGAATATTTACAGATAAAACACGTTGTTCGTTAAAATTAGCTCCTCAATTTGGCCAACTGCGCTTCGAGGTCGTCGAGTGAGCTGGCCGGCGCCGAACTTCCAATCTTCGTGGGCAGCTGGGGAACGTTGGCAAGCTGAAAACACATGTTTTATCAACGTTTTTAAATATAGTTTCTCCAATGTCTGTGCAATTTGAAGATGTGAAAAGAAACGAAACAATTGTTACCTTGGAATTCATCTCGATACCGATTTCGTCGAGCACCTGGGCCACGATGGCGTCTTGCTCTTCGGCGTCTCCGGGCGCGTCCAGAATCGAATCCAGTGTGTCGTTCATCATCTGAAAAATGTCAATTATTTACAGAGAGTGGGCACTTCAGGGGATTGTCGAGGTCTCGACTTTCGATTCTGGTTTTTTGCAGGGCTGGGCAAAAGGCCGGCCCAGGCTTTTTGAAGACCTGCCGAGACCTGCACTTTTGACGGGCTTGCAATGATCCGATCGGGCTCAAACTTTGCAGGCTTCTTGGACTTGGATTGGAGTATTTTGGGATCAAATTTGAGACCGTTCGGATCAACTGATCCCGAGATATGTGGATGAGAGGCCGCAAAGGATGAATTTTTGCTAAACCCGGCCTCACAACCACATATTTCCAGATGAGATTATCGGATTAGTCTGAAACTTTGATCCAATATACTTGAATCCAAGTCCATAAAGCCTGCAAAGTTTGGGTCCGATCGGATTGATGCAAGTGGTCCAAAAGTCAAGAAAAAAAAAATTCTAAAAGCCAATGCTGGCCAATGAAATCAATCTCAAAAATACCTCTTCGGTGAGTCCCATTTTCTCCTGAGCCATCTGAAACTCTCGCATGTTCTGCGCGACCTTCTCGAGCGGCATTTGCGCGTTCATCGCCTTCATCGTCTTCACCGTCGTTCCCATCGCCGAGCCCATTTTGGCCATACTTTGCATGTGACTGCAACACGCAAATGTGTGAACAAATATTTAGCTACTCAATTATTCTATCGAAATTTGCAAAACTAACGCATTCTGTGCCTGAACTCCGCTGATGCGCGCACTCATTCCGACGCTCTTCGTCCGCTGATTCCTGAGCTGAACGAGTTGTTTGGCGAGATGCCGTGCCGCGTCGTTGTGTCCTTTCGCCGCCAATTTCTTGATCTCCATCTCCAACTCTTTTTCTCGTCGCTCCATTTGACGACGGTCCGACTCTAGATCTCGGTTCGTTCGCCGCAATTCCTTTTTGTTCGCGCGCTCCAATTCTGGAAGAAGAGAACGAATTATTGGCGGAAAAAATGTGAGAGAGCTGAAAATGTCCAGTTATTTTCAGATTTTTTGCAATAAAAGTGTTTAAAAAGAATCGTACCTTTTGGGTCGGGTTTCGAGAAGAGATTCATGGCGTGTTTTCTGCAAAAAACCAGTTAGAAATGAACAAATTTCAAGATTTCCAATAGAAAATCGCGTCAGTCCTCGCATTTTCTTTTTCTTTTCTCCCTCTTCCAAGCAGATGACTCATCGAGAAATATTGCGAAATCGGAAGGTGTTTACCCTATTTTCAAAGCTTTTTTTTCCCCGAAATCAATGAGAAGAACGGGTTTATCATTTTTTTGAATATAATCAAAGGCGATGAGAACAGGGGGGAGGGGAGCCGAAAAACAAGAAGAGAAAACAATGAAAACTATACAATTCCTAAATGAAAAACTAGGTCACGCCACGTGGCAAACGAGAAATCAATTATCATTATGATTTTTATGTGATTGGCTTTCCGCGTCCCGCTTTTTTGAATGACGACGCGTCGCGTTGTCGGAGATCGGCCATCGACGGCGGAATCGCTTTGTTGTCTGCAAAAACAAACGAATTTCAAGAAGAATTCCCAAAAATTCGTACCTTTATAAGATTTGAGGACTTGCGAGAAGGCCGACGTTTGGGCGGCACTCGCCGGAATCGGAACGACGGGCGGAATTCCGAAGATGTTGCGGATGGCGTCGACTTTGAACGCCGCCGCGTAGATTAGCGACACTGCGTTCGAGGCGGTCCAGTAGACGCAAAGACCCTGCAGAGATTCACGCGTTTTCGAAGGAACTTGTGCTGTTTTTGATGGATCTCGAAGCGAAGTATCAAATCTGTTTTTTTTCAGGCTCGTCAGTTTCGTTCGTTGCGAGACCTGATGCTTTTCTCCAATCATCGCTTCGAGACCCATCCTCCCTCAAACCTAACCGTGGCAAACTGCGAAGAGACGCCGAAAATGACGACGGGCAGTCCGTAGGTCATGAATGCTCTCATGACGGGCGGCATCTGATCCGAAGTGGTTCCCATCTCGATTCCGACCTTTGTCACGAGTGCCATTGTGGCCGCCGAAATGAACGGCAGCGCGTAGTAGGGATCGCACGCGGTGAGGTCCGTGAACCAGAGAGTTCCGCCAGTCGTGAGGCCCGGGTAGTTGGCGGCCACCATCTTTTTAATGGCGAAGAACTGCGTGGCGAACACGGCGCCGTTCGCCGCCATCACCATGAATTGGCGGCCGAGACGGATGTCTTTCGAGCGCAGAAAATCGCGCTGTTCGAGGAGAATCTGCTGCTGCAGCAGCTGGTTGTTCTCCTTGCGCGCCTCGTCGATCCGATCGCGGAACTCGTTCATCTCCTTCCGGTACATACTCTGTTTCGCCACCAATTTCTGCGACATGACTGGGACGCCGATGAGTGCGAGACGCAACACGACGGTGGCCGAGACGATCGTCAGCCACCACGGCAGGTCGAGATGCACGTGGAGGCCTTCGAGCGCGAGACGGAAGTACGAGGATGGCTTCCACCACGACCAGAGCCCCAGTTCCTCCAGCACCGACTCGCCCGACTCGATCATTTCGTCGAGACTTCGACCCGGAAGCGGCGGCGTTGGCAGCGGCGGCAGATCGGCCGAAGCGGCCGTCGCCTCCGAAATTTTGAAGACGTCGTTCGAGGAGATATTACGCGTCTGACACGTGGCAATGAGCACCGCCCGACGGGGAACAAGGCGTGGCGCCATTCTTAGCGCCGCCGTTCGCAACGGAACTGACAGCATTCTGGTGGGTGCTGAAAAATGTGAAAATTCTGGAAACATCCAATGTCCTAGCATTTTAACATAATTATTATAGAAATTTTCTTCGCAAACCCGACTAGAACAAATCGGAAAAAGATCACAATTTGGATGTAAACCAAACAAACACAAAAAAAACCGAACTTTTCACGTTTCTCGTCGACTTTTTATTGATCAGTTATTGAAAAGGGGATGAAGAATAGGTACAAGATGTACAGGATCCGGCGAGGAATGAGAAATCAGTAATAAAGTGGATTATAGGTGACCCAATGGCCTTCGGTCTTATTTTTCGCCGCTTCGCACGTGGTGAACAGCTTCTTGTACGTGTCGGATTTGGTCGGATCCGACTGGATATCGACCGGCGCCTTCCGTTTCTCGGCCTTTTTGTCCGTCGTCGAGCCGGAGAGCTTCGCAATCTCCAATTTCTTCTTTTCTCCTGCAAAAAAGGCGTTAGTGATTCTAGTGCTCGTATCAGATAGTCAAGTGGGTTCGAATGAGTGGAAACTGAACGAAAATGACCCATAAAAGTAAACTAGACAGTTGAAGCAACTTGGCAACCTGTTACAGTCCGGGTAAAAACTCAAAACACCTATGAAACTGACCATGTTTGATGGTTGCCGCCGCCGACGTCGATGGTCCGGCTCCAGAATCGGAAGCAGAAGCCGCCGCGTCCGCTTTCTTGCTCGCCTTCGCCGCCGCTTTCTCCGCTTTTTCGGCCTCCCACTTGAGACGATAGAGTTCGAGCTGCTCGGGCTCCGGATTCAGAATCACGGCGCGCGTGGCGTCGTACGGCCCTCCGCACACGTGGCAATTCTCCGACTTGACCTCCTGCTGCGCCTTCTCCGAATACACGCATCCGCAGGCCCAATTGACGAGGAAACTGTGGATTCCGTTCATCGGCACGTTCGTGATCGGACAAATGAACTCGGTCTGATTGACGTCGTCGTAGTCGTCGCCTTTGACGTTTCCTCGTTTGAAGTCCTTGTTGTCGGTGAGTTTCAGCTCGACAAAGTCGCGCGGACCCTTGATGTGCGAGGCGGACGCCGATTTGCCGATAGTCTTGTTGAGGATTGCGTTGATGACGTCCTCCTTGTTGTAGAGCTTGCCGAATCGACACGCAATCACCGGCTTCTTGAGCGGCAGCTGCGTCAGTTGACAATTGCGCCACTTCGTCGCATTTTTCACGTGCTTGTCGAGTTTCTCCTGCTTCTTCTTCTTCTTGACGAGTTCGCAGCTGAAATGATTCAAGAATAAAAATTCGATAATATGGTGTTTTGAATATTTATTTCTCTTTTTTATCTGATAAATTTAGACTGAATACACGTCTCTACGCATCTTTTGAACGTCTTCGTAACCGATTCCACAGGAAAAGTGCACAAAAACACGATTCTTCGGCCAATTCTAGTTTTTATTCAGCTCTCGATTTTTAGCCCTATTTTCAGATATTTTCAGTTATTTCTCTGCAAGAATAAACACTTACCGCTTCGGAATAGTTCCTCCATCGGCTCCCATGGCGGCGTTCCGATGAAAATCGATGAAAAATGAGTTGAGAATAAGAATAATGCAAGACGGAAAGAGACTCCGCCCACTTTGCAACGTGCGGCGCGTGTTTTTGCAGTAGCGCCGCGCGTACTTTCTATTCTGCTTAATGTCGCATTTTATTCGAAAAAAATCCCGGGAAATCAACAATCGAGAAAGAGTATAGAAAAGCAATTACTTTTACAATTAGTAAACAAAAAACCAACTTAAAAACCGGGTTGCACAGCAACTAAAACTAGAAAAAAAAGTGGATAAATTAGAATACATCGAACATCGGACCGCGCTCGAAAACCCGGGCGATTTTACGGCCAGCACGGCATCCCGGGCAGACACGTGGATCGTGGAAGGCCTGCCATCCGAAGTCGCTCTCCACGGGAGCTGCGAAGCGTTGCGGTACGGAAATGGGCTCCGAGTAGAGGGAAGAGGACGACGAGTTGAAGCCGGAGTCGTCGCTGAGCACATCTAATTCCGAATAGTTGTTCACCTTCGGAATCGGAATCGGCGCAGACACACCTCGTTCGTTGAGTGTTTGAAAACGCGCGTCTTCCGTAATTTCAATGTCATTAATTGTGGCGAGTCCTGAAAAGTTTCCATTTATTTTATGAGATCGAAGGAAGACTATAGTCTAAAGTGTGACGAAAGATCGAATTTTCCGACCTATTGCCACACTCTTCTATACTTTTCCAGAGCGACCGAATTACCACGCAGTGTAGCGGTATTCTTAAGGAGAACCATTGTTCATCTTCCACACTTGAGCAACAGAATAATATAACAGAGTTTGAGAATTAAAGAATATAGGAAATATATTGCTGATGCTTTGCCAACATTCTTTTCAATGTGTGTGTGTGTGTGTGTTATCTTTTCCTCTTCTGATAGGTTGTGTGTCTCTCTGTTGACAACCTTACAATGGACTTATTAGGGCCTTAAGGAGACATTCTCGGTAATTTACGGACAACAGCTATCATCACTTCACCGCTCGTGCGCACGTGTGTTCATTCAGAACTCCCGCCATAAAAATTTGAATTTATTTTCGAAGGGCGCTACGCACCGATTCAAAATTTTCGTTTGCCGCATTTACGCCGGCGTACGCCCATTGGCTGCGTGTCGCCCCTGTGCAAACACCGTTCTAGATATTTTGCGTACTTGGCACCAGATACTACGCGCAATAAGTATTTTTTGAATCTTAATTTTTTCACAAATAATAAACTAATATTAAATTTGAATAGAAATTTTGTGAAAAAATTGTGTTTTTCAACGTTCAAGTGCTTCCTTTTTGGAATCAAATTAAGGGGCCCCGCCCCTTCACCGTTCAATTCTTGCAAGTAGCGCGCGCAGTTTTCGCAACGCTGCCGCACACATTTCTCTCAACGCCGAATTCTTGAAAATTAAAGCAGAAAATTATTTTTTTGCTATCAAAACCTATTCTGTCGCCTTGTTGCATCATCTTTTCGGAAAAAATACACACTAAAAACCGACAACGAAAGTTTTTTCACTTGTTTTTTCACTGTCGAACTGAAGAGCAAACTGCGTGCGGCAGCGTTGCGAAAACTGCGCGCGCTACTTGCAAGAATTGAACGGTGAAGGGGCGGGGCCCCATTTGAACTTCGCGGGCTTTTCTCAGGGGGCACGAGCGGTGAAGTGATGATATACATAGATTTGTCGAGCAAAAAATTGACTTACTACAAAATCGTACAAAAAAGAGCAACGCTACACAGGAGAGTTGGCCCGAATACAAAACAACTTTTGAAAAAGACTTTGGATCTGTAACAAAGTCTTTGTTTTTCAAATTTAAAATTCGCGCCAACACGCGTGCGTAGCGCCCCTCTTTTGTTCACGAGAAATTGGAACGATTGCGTGTGTGCCCCTCGCCCCTAAAAAGTATTATTTTTTCGTTTCGCACGATAACCGCCCGTGATATGTGTCTATGAGTGACATAATTATGAAAACACACTAATTCTCAGAATTAATGACGTTTTGGCGCTTTTTTCGCCGACTTTGCTTTTTCGCCTTCGCCGCCGATCGCCGCCTTCTCATTTTGCGCTTTCTTGACCGTTTTCCGACAGAATTGGTTTTGAGAATGATAAATCACGTAAATACAAGCATTTTGAGCGCTCGAACCGCGAAAACTACCGAAAAGCAACTGAAATTCACGCAGTTTTAGCCAAAAACCTTCAAACGGATACATTTGATTTGCGACTTTACCAAATTTGACGCTCTTTCGCTTGAAAAATTCGTAATAGCCCTATACAATCGGTCTATCGAGAGAAAAATGAGAAATTATCGGTTTTTCGTGGCTAATCTGGCACAAATTTGGCTGTTAAAATTTTTTTTTTTGTCAAAAAAAAGTTTATGAGTGTCATCATTATCAGAAGTCGGGAAAATCGATAATACGGCTACTTAAAGTGGCATTAGTGTGACATGAATGAGCGCCAGAAAGTTCTGCCCCAAAACGGTGTGCAACTCACCGCAAACAAGGCGTTTGCCGAAATCGACGACGGCTTTCCCGATCGCGTAGATTTTTTCGAGCATGTCAAGATGTGTGGTGCCAATGTTCGAGCTGAAATGGAATGCAAGTTTATTCGACGGTTTGCTCTGGAAGAAAGGATTGGAATGAATGATAATTAAGGCGAAAAAACAACAGTGATAAGAGCTCCCCGTTCTTAACGGTTTTGAAAGAAAAAAGAAAATGTTGGATCATCGGTTCATTTCAAGTTGTGGAGTTTGGTTATACTGGGGTGAGAAGGAAGGAAAGGACAGAATATTATCGCAGAAAATTTGGACAGAAACAACGGAAGATTCTAGAAGAGAACAGTTTCTAGACGGTCGACTCGTCCTCGATTCTATCGCCAAGCCGGAGATTATACTTGTTCTCAATGAATTTGAGCATTTTGGAGCGGAATTCGTTCTCCTCATTCTCCTCGATCTCCGCGTCGACGTTGAAACCGAAGAAGTGGTCGGGATTCGACGACGGTCTCGGCAACTCCTCCATCACAAAAGACACAGAGCTGCTGGTGCGGCGGAAGCGGCGACGGCATCTGTAGATCATTTCTGAAACGAACGGACGGCACCATTATGAACTGTGATGTGTGACGACTCACCGGTGGCAAAGTCAATAATGGTGAGGAAGAGTGCGGACAACTGACGGCACAAAACCATTTTGTCTGGAAAGGATAGGTTGATGTTGAAGAGAGAGAGAGAGAGAGAGGAACGCGAAAAGACAAAGTGAGGAAGAGAATGGGATGGGATGGAAAGAGTTACAAAACGGATGAATCATTTGATGGTGTGAGTCAGAAGTATCGTTTCGTTGACGAGAGACAACTTTTGGGGGCACGGATCCGGGTAGACAGTTGTTTCGAAACGAGTTCATTCGGCGGGTTAAATTGAAAGGTGTTGAAGGAAGTACATTTACGAGAAGGACAGGAACATCTACTTGGAAAAAGGAAAAGAAGGCAGGATTACACTGGAAACACGGAATTGATGATGCAGATGTTCAGATGAGACGCTCCTCGTCTCCACGATCGATGTGCGGATCCTCCGGCACCATCTCGTCGTCCGGGAACGAGTAGTCCTCCTCCTCCTCCTCGTACCATTCTCCGTCGCTCAAATCCTCGCCGAATCCGTCGAACTCGTCGAGCGGAATCTCGGCGACGAGCGCACCGGCACGCGGAATCACACACTCGTTGTGGCCCGAGCAGATCTCTGAAATTTCGCTAGTTGGGACGCGTTGCGTGTCGCGTCGCGGCTGATAGTGGATTTTTGAGTTCGGAGAAGCGAAACACAAGAGTTCAGGCCTTTGGATCAGCGATTGTGATGGAAAAAAGACTGAAAATGCGAACTGAATCGTATAGTGCCAGAGTTGAGCGGAAGAACTCAACGGAAGAACATGGAAGCATTTTTATCTTTTTTAGAAAATTTTTTCATGAAATGTGATCAACTGACGAAATGTACAGCAAAGTGAACTCTGCTCACAAAAAAATAATTGTAATTTTAGCTTTTCATACAAAAAAGTTATTCGATTTGTTCCGTAAAAATGTCCTTCCGTCTTCGGTTAGCCCTTAACTTTTTTGTATGAATCGCTAAATTTACAATTATTTTTCTATGAGCAGAGTTCACTTTGCTATACATTTCGTCAGTTGGCCACATTCCATGAAAAAATTTTCTAAAAAAGATAAAAATTCTTCAACTCTGTATAGCGCCTGGACCCAATTCACAAATCGGTTAAAAATGAGTGTGAAATTGTGTCTATGACTAAAAGTGCTTGAAACTCACCGACAATGTACTTGTACATGGCACGGACGCCATTGAAGACGGCGGTGAACAGTTGAATCACAATCATTTTTCTGTAAGCACTTTTGTGAATGATTCTCTTGACGGGTAACAGAGAAAATGGACAAGAAAGTGAGGAGATATGGGCGGAAACTCGAGAAAAGAGTGATTGAGAAAGAAAAGGGGATGCACAGTGAGAAGGGGAACGAGCGACCGCCCGAAGAATCACGAAGCGAGAGAGAGAGAGAAAGAGAGAGAGAGAGAGACGCGTTGAGGAAAGAGACGGTCCGATGATTCAGAGGTATACGGTAGAGTTGGATTGCCTCCGACTGAATTGTTGAAGAGTTTGGGGGCCAAATTAAAGTGAAACAAATAAACAGAAAAGGGACATTTTGAAAGGACATCTTCTGATAGACTGGAGAAAGAGAGGAAAAACTACGGAAAGAGAGTGGAACAGACGAGACGCTCCTCGTCCGAATCAGAGATATCCCGGGAGCTCGGCGGCGAGCACATTGGGCTGCTGCGGATCCTCCGGCACCTTTTCCTCATCCTCCTGATTGGAGTAATCATGGTACGCGATCCTTCTTGGAGTAGTCATGGTAAGCAGCAGAGTTGAGCGGAAGAACTCAACCGAAGAGCACGGAAGAATTTTTATCTTTTTTAGAAAATTTTTTCATGGAATGTGATCAACTGACGAAATGTAGAGCAAAGTGAACTCTGTTCATAGAAAAATAATTGTAAATTTAGCTTTTCATGCAAAAAAGTTATTCGAGTTGTTTCGTGAAAATGTCTTTCCGTCTTCGGTTAGCCCTTAACTTTTTTGTATGAAAAGCTAAATTTACAATTATTTTTCTATGAGCAGAGTTCACTTTTCTATACATTTCGTCAGTTGATCAGATTCTATGAAAAAATTTTCTAAAAAAGATTAAAAAAATTCTTCCGTGTTCTTGCGTTGAGCTCTTCCGCTCAGGTCTTCCGCTCTGTCGAATTCCTCGAGCTCACCAGCACTCGGAATCTCGTTGCGGTCGGTGCAGATGTCTGAAATGTCGACAGTTGGGACGCGTTGCGTGTCGCGTCGCGGCTAGCAGCAATTCTTCAGTTCAGACTAGCGATGATGATTTCAACTCACCGACAATGTACTCGCACACGGCACGAACGTTTCTCTAAACGTTTCTGTGAGTGTTTTGAACGAAAACGACGAGAAGAAGACATGGTGAAGCGAAAAAATGGCCAAGTAAGTGAGGGGAACATCTGCGAAAACTCGAGAAAAGGGGATGCACAGTGAAAAGGGGAACGAGCGACCGCCCCCGCCCAAAGGATCACGAAGACAGCGAGAGAGAGAGAGAGATGGATTGCCTCCGACCGGCATCAGGAACTATAATAGACGGATTTGTTTATTCAAGTCGAAATAGTTGAAGAATTTTGGGGATCGCGACGCACGGTCTCCAGAGCTGACAAAATGGGCGTGGCCTCGGCGGCCAAGTGGCGTTTTCATGAATTTAGCAGATTTTCTCTGATTTTTGTGGTCAACGACGATGAAAAATGATTGTTCGGCATGAAAACACACTAATTCTCAGAATTAATGACGTTTTGGCGCATTTTTCGCCGACTTTGCTTCTTCGCCTTCGCCGCCGATCGCCGCACTTCTCATTTTGCGCTTTCTTGACCGTTTTCCGACAGAATTGGTTTTGAGAATGATAAATCACGTAAATACAAGCATTTTGAGCGCTCGAACCGCGAAAACTACCGAAAAGCAACTGAAATTCACGCAGTTTTAGCCAAAAACCTTCAAACGGATAAATGCGATTTGCGGCTTGACCAAATTTGACGCTCTTGCGCTTAAAAAATTCGTAATAGCCTATAAAATCGGTCTATCGAGAGACAAACGAGAAATTCGCGGTTTTTCGTGGCTAATCTGGCAAAAAACCCAAAATTTGCTGTTAAAATTTGAATTTCGCGCCAATGTAAGCTCTGGAGACCGTCGCGACGGTATTAAACGGATGTATCAGGATTTTGACATTCTGCTCAGAGACATCGCCGGTTCGGACGTCTTGTTTTTCAGCGCATTGTCAGTATGCTGGACGGTAGTGAGCTTGGAATCGCCACGTGGCGGGGGGCGTGGCTTCTCGGGCTTCTCGTCAGAATCCGTTTTCTTGGGCAGCATCCAAATGTCCGGATAGTCGTCGTCGTTGAAATGGTGCAGCTCGATGACGGCGAACACGTTGCGGGGGCGAACAGGAGCCGTGAGACCTGCAGAATAGGCGTCAGAAATGGTGTGGAAAGCGCAAATCGCTGACCTTTGAGGTAGTCAAAGACACTTTCGGAAGCGGTCACGAAGATCTCCTGGTACATGGCCTGCAAAATGAACTATTGACTGTTGACAGCGAACACTTTTAGGGGGGGAATTGTGCCGATCAGAGTTGCGCGGAAGAACTCAACGGAAGAACGCGGAAGAATTTTTTTATCTTTTTTAGAAAATTTTTTCATGAAATGTGATCAACTGACGAAATGTATAGAAAAGTGAACTCTGCTCACAAAAAAATAATTGTAAAATTAGCTTTTCATACAAAAAAGTTATTCGAGTTGTTCCGTGAAAATGTCCTTCCGTCTTCGGTTAGCCCTTAACTTTTTTGTATGAAAAGTTAAATTTACAATTATTTTTCTATGAGCAGAGTTCACTTTGCTCTACATTTCGTCAGTTGATCACATTTCATGAAAAAATTTTCTAAAAAAGATACAAAATTCTTCCGCTCAACTCTGGTGCCGATCCGAGAATTTACTGGCGGCAAAAAATGGTCGAGACGAAACGTTTACAAACTGATTTCCAGTTGGAACTTTTGAAATCCGCTGACTCATTTTGTATTTTGTTGTGTACAGAAGATGTTTGGAATCAAGGTACAACGGTTTATTTTTAGTTTGAGAAAGTTTGAACATGAATCATCTTCAATGAAATTCACGGGGGGGGAGGGGAATGAGATATTGTCGGTTTAGTGGTTCAACAACTCGAGATGCACCATATTCCCGATCAAATTGTCGACGGAATCGAAGACGTGAGTGGTGTCGGGGAAGTGAGTCTCTTGGACGTCCGGCGGGTACCCGTCCAATTCAATCCAAACGACGGGACCATAGAAGAGTTGCGGGAAGAACGTCTCTGAAATAAAGGCTATAGAAACCGGGAAATAACTCGAAAATGACGGGCTTGGGAATAAAATGATCAACTACAAAGTTGTTAAGCTTGAAATTTGCTCAAACTTTTCAGTTGACCATTTTTTGAAATAATTATTAAAAGGCAATGTCTGAGAACCTCGAAATTCGCTAATTACACCAGGTCACTAAAAATTCAGAGTACATTTGCATGGAAAAATGTTCGCGAACTTGAGAAAAGTGCGTTTTCTCAATTTTCTAAAGGGTCTGATCGCGATATTTGTTGTTTTCGTATACTTTTAGGCATTCCCGATTTTTTTGAAGCATTTCGAAAATTAATTTTTTCTCGAAAATTTTGTCATGACCCCGGGTTGACGACTTGGTCTAATTTTTTTAAATTCTCAAAATGCTTCCAATCAGACCCCTTTTAAAATTGAGAAAACGCACTTTTCTCAAGTTCGCGAACATTTTTCCATGCAAAAGTACTATGAATTTTGTGAATTTCGGTCTAAAAACTCCTTGATGTCAATCGGAATCGGGGTGAACTTTTTTTTGCCAAAGCACAATAACGTCTGGATTCAGAATCAGCAATAAAATCGTGGCTATGTAGTGTTAAAATTTTTCAGGACGAGCAGAAAACTGAAAAATTTTCTGAAAAATGTCATAAAACAATATTTTTCTCCATGAAGGAGAAGTGATAAATTTTTGGTGCCAACATGAAAAATGCTTAAAAAGATGCGAGAAATCGAATGGTTTTGAGTCTGAGACGCTAGCATTTTTTTGAAATTAGTTACAGTTTTGACCTATTTTGGGATCGTGACCGGACTAGGGAACACGGAGCCAGACCAAAACTTGCCTGATGTATCACTGTTATGTAAGTACCTATTGGGTATAATATGGGACAAATTAAAGCATTCTGAATTTTTTAGTGTCCTGTAGTTTTTGAACTTCTCAGACATTGCCTCTTAAATCTCGAGATATGGGTATCTGAATATAAGGCCGACGAAAAAGACTTTGAGGCTCTAGACCAGGCTCCAGATTTTGAATAAGAAAATGAAAACGAACCGAGGAAGTATTCGAGAAGGTCCCGGACGACGATGAGAATGAAGAGGAGCGACGAAACAATCAGCATGAGTGTGTGTGTGTGTAAAAGGAATGTAGAGAAATGGACAATATTCTAAAAAGAGAGAGAGAGAGAGAGAAGGTCACTTTCTTTTTGTTTGCACAAGCAGAAACCGACTAACCGACTGTTATCCTAAAGAGAAAAAAAAAAGAGAAAGGGAGAGCCGGGCGCCCTGGGACCGCGGCGAATGTGTCATATTAATGGGATCGTCGTCGATGCACTTTTGCGAGAAATTGGAAAAGAAGGGAAAGGGATTTAGGTGAGAATAACTGGGGACCTGATTTGTCTAACTTTCCGGGCCCGGACGGCACATTTTCCACAGAAAAGTTGTCAAGAGTTTACTCTTTCACTGATACCTTTTGTTTATAACACGATATCTCAGCTGCCGGCGCAGATAGCAAAAAGATGTCAACTAATAAAATGCTCATCTTGAAATTGTGTACATTTTATCAGTTGACAAGTTTTTGATATCTCTACCGGCAGCTGAGATACATTATTTTGAATAAACGCTATTTTAGTTTTACCCGCTACTTGATTGTAAAGTCATAGCTTCTCAACCGATATAGATATCAAAAAATGTTTTACTGCAAAATTGAGCATAATAGTTTGCTCATCAAGTTTGTAGTTGATCGATTTTTGATATCTCAACTAATAAACGAGTTATCGAGGAATAACTACAAAACGTATATTGTCGCATTCAAAAAGATGTCCTCTCAACTCTCTCTCTCCAAAACTATAACACGAATCAGTTTAAAATCGTATTTATTTGGCAAAAAAAGCGTTAAGGTGTGATATCAATGTCATCTGGACCCGTCCTCTGATTGTACTTGTTCAGCCAGTAGCTCTTCGCCGCCACGTACCTCCGGCCACGCATTACCACGTAAATCGCGAGCCCTTGAGCCGAAGTGAATGCGATCTGCGAAGAAAACGATAATAACACGAAGAATAGCATCAATTAGAAGAGGAAACAACCTGAAATATGGTCCAACCCAGGTCAAATCGAATATTTCCGAAAATGCGTCGATGCAAATCCATGGCGAACGCGGCCAGGGTCAAAACGGTAAAAACACAGTTCAAGATGAAGTTGGTCATGTAAAAAATGAGAAACGGACTGAAAAACAGTTTTTTGTCCTTGAGAAGCCCGTAGAAAAGGAGCACGTGGCATGGAAGACCGACGATGAACGCGAAGATTAGGTCGACTGAAAGTTGAGTTGAAATTGAGTTGTTTTCAAGAAATGGACAATACTCACTGATTTCGAGGTGATCGATGAACGGATTTCTTCCCTGACCACGCGAATGGAAGAGAGAGTAGGAGACGCAGAAGGCGATGGTGACGGCGAATCCGATGGCGCACGCGATGTACGAGCCGACCTGAACGAGTAGTTTCAAGGACCGTAACTGAAGTCAATGCGAAGTTAGGCTTTAAGTCAATTGTACCATCGGATAGAGCATAAAAAGTTACACAAAATCGTAGTACATCATTTTTTACCACAATAACTTTCAAGGTCTGATTTGGGGCCTCAAAGTTAGCCCTTAATTTGGCTACCAACCAAAAGAACCGTATGTTTAGGGACTTATATCTTGAGAACTATTGTATATTTACAAATGTGGTCAACTGGAAAATTGTAGGAAAATTTGTTCTGAACAACTTTGTAGTTGACACTTTTATCTGAAAATGTTTCATTTCTGAGTTATGACCTTGTTTCCAGACAGTACACTCACAATAGCTGTCACTCAAGATTATCTTATCTTTAAGGACCGGTACCTTAAGAACTATTGTACATCTAAAAAAGTGGTCAACTGAAAAATTGTAGCAAATTTTGTGCTCAGCAACTTTGCAATTGACACTTTTATCTCAAAATGCTTTATTCCAGGAGTTCTGCCCACTTTTTCGTGCTCTATCCAATCGTTTTTGACGATAACTGACCTTTACATGCACATTGGTGCCAAATAATCGGAATGCCTTATCATTCTCACGGAAAGTGATAACATCGGAGCCGTCGAGTCTGGAAAACAAAAAGTGGGTGATAAGTGTGAAAAAGTGTTATCATTTGTGGCTCATTTTAAAGGCCCAGCACACGTTTTTGTTTCGTGGCGAGACCTCAGCGCTTACGGTACTTTTCAAACAGCTTGACAACTTGATTTGAGCTTACAATTAACCGAGACGGTCTAGCTTTTTCTAGGCCATACAAATAAAGGCACGAACCTGGTCTCAAACCGTGAATAATCCACCTCTTGCTCGTGAATGATGCCGCCGAGAAAGTGCTTGACCTGCGTGAGTGTGGGCAATTTCGAGCGCCACGTCGACATCTGAAAGTACTCTTTTTTTGTTCCGTGAATAAGGTATAAAGCATCGCAAATTCGAGTGGAAACCAACTGGTCAGCTAAATAGCCATTTCCCTAATCCGTCTCTCTTTTTCGACACTGATCCAACTCGTTTGTCGGCGTTGCCAACAACGATTACAACAAAAAAAAAGATGGACGAAGAAAAGATATTATCGATTGGTACTTTTCGGAGGAGAAAAGTACTAGGAAACGCCAAAACAACGTACACACTTTGCTTCTCTTTCCCTCCGCAACAAAAGATGTTCAATGTGAACCGGTTTTTTGTGGTTTCTTATTGATTTGAGTAGAACTGGTGGCGCTAGAAAACCGAGAGAGAAAATGGCAGAATTTCAGCGAAAAATGAGTATTGAAAAGTGCAAAAAAAGAGGAAAGAGGCGAAAGAGGATGTAGTGTCAAGAAGGCAGGCGGGTCGAGAAGGATTCGGAACAAGGTCGGACCGTCTTTTGCATCTTCTCTCTCTCTCTCTTTCTCTCTTTTCTTCTTCTTCTTCTTCTTCTTCTTCTTCTTCTTCTTCTCAAATCTCTCGAAATGGGAAACAGTGAAATTAAGAGAGAACGAGAGAGTGTGCGCCGCCGTCGCAATTCGAAAACGGACGTGTTAATTGAACGGAAGAAACGTTGTAAACGGTGCGGTTTTATGTGAAATGGGTGCGTTTTAATTAGAGAGACACACACACACACACACACGGTGAAAATACGGTCAACGAGGGAAAATTGACGTGGGGAACCGGATGGCCTAACTTTTGCCACGTCGGATTCTAGGCCACCTCTCCTTTGCTTCTTAACAAGTATTGTTAGCATAGTTAAGAACACGGAAGAATTTTGTATCTTTTTTAGAACATTTTTTCATGAAATGTGATCAAAGTGAACTCTGCTCATAGAAAAATAATTGTAAATTTAGCTTTTCATACAAAAAAGTTAAGGGCTAACCGAAGAAGGAAGGACATTTTCACTGAACAACTCGAATAACTTTTTTGTGTGAAAAGCTAAATTTACAATAATTTTTCTATGAGCAGAGTTCACTTTGCTGTACATTTCGTCAGTTGATCACAATTCATGAAAAAATTTTCTAAAAAAGATAAAAATTCTTCCGTGTTCTTCCGCTCAACTCTGGTGTTTAGCCGTGAAAACCTGAACTTTTTTCACCCGGCCCCTTTCAATTCAACCTCTTCCCTATGAATTCTCCATTCTCGACACTCGAAACTTAAAACTCGTCTTGAAAGTTCTCGCTCTCTCTCTCTCTCTCGTTTCTCACAACAATGTTCGGTCGAATGAAGCAAAAAGTGAAGGAGAAGACAGGCCGCTCGAAAGCCACAACGTGAGTTTGGCCCCCTCCAAACCGGCGAGACGATTAGCGTCGACTTTTCAGTCTTCCTGAAGACGTCGAAGGCTCGATCAGCTTCTTCAAAGCGCTGCAGCCACGTGTCAAGGACCTGCACAAACACATGAACGACCTGAACGACGTGTTCAAGTGGCACAAGAAGGCCAACTTTCTGAGCCCGCTCGCGAATCTCGGGCGGCTCGGCGACAAGGTCGACGTGAAGCCGTTCGAGGAGGCCGTCAACGCGAGACAGGCGGCCGAGGCCGACTCGCAGAAAGGAGTGAGTCGACCACCACCGCCACCACCGCTTTTTTCATTTTCAGCTGGGCAACGAGATCGACAAGTTCAAGGCGTACTTTCAAAACGACTGCAAGCTGCAGCAGGAGTGCATCGCCGCCGTCAATCGCACCCGTTTGGATATGGACAGCGCAAACAGCACGTACGTCGGAAACGAGACGGAGGCGAACAAGATGCGCGCCGACGCGGCCACCAAAGAGTTCGAGGCGGCGTGTGCCAGGTGAGCGAGTGTCGCACAGTCTCCTCAGAGCTGACAATGGGCGCGCAAGTGCGCCCCGCCCAATTAGAGTGATACATTGGCGCGAAATTCAAATTTTAACAGCAAAATTTGTGTTTTTTGCGAGATTAGCTACGAAAAACCAATAATCTCTCGTTTGACTTTCGATAGACCGATTGTATAGGCTATTACGAATTTTTTAAGCGTAAGAGCGTTAAATTTGGTCAAGTCGCACATCACATTTATTCGTTTGAACGTTTTTGGCTAAAACTGCGTGAATTTTAGTTGCTTTTCGGTAGTTTTCGCGGTTCGAGCGCTCAAAATGCTTGTATTTACGTGATTTATCATTCTCAAAACCAATTCTGTCGGAAAACGGTCAAGAAAGCGCAAAATGAGAAGTGCGGCGATCGGCGGCGAAGGCGAAGAAGCAAAGTCCGCGAAAAATGCGCCAAAACGTCATTAATTCTGAGAATTAGTGTGTTTTCATGCCAAACAATCATTTTTCATCGCCGTTGACCACAAAAATCTGAAAAAAACCTGCTCAATTCATGAAAACGCCATTTGGCCGCCGAGGCCACGCCCATATTGACAGCTCTGGAGACCGTGTGTCGTAGAATCTGAAGAATTGTCAGTGAACACGCGTGTGATTGCAGAGTGCGCGAACTCATCAACGGAATCAAAGACCTCGAGGCGAACCATTCGGCGTGGATGGACTCGATCATCAAGGAAATGAAGGTGGCGTTCCGCAAGTGAACTCTGAATAAATGCATCATTTCTTGTGTCTTATTGCTTGCCCGCCAGTGTTGAGCGGAATTCCGTCTACCGTCTTCCGTCTTTCGTGGTTTTTTTTTGTTCCGTCTTCCGTCTGCCGTCTTCGAAGATCCGTAAAAAATTTTTCTAAACCGGAGAAAAAGGTTCTGCATTGACGATTTTTTTGTTCCGTCTTCCGTTTTCCGTATTCCGTAAAAAAATTTTCTTCCGTCTGCCGTCGTCTGCCGTCTTCCGGATTTCAAAATTCAATTTCCGCTCAACTCTGTTGCCCGCACGGAAAAATTAGTCGGTAACCGCTGTTGCCCCGAGCGGTTACCGACTAATTGCATTTTTATTCGAGTAAAAATCGATCGAGTTCACTGAGTCTTGTCGAGTTCCGACTCGTCCGAGCACGTCTCCTGTTTCTCGCGAGCCGCCGACGACATTGGTCTGCATCTGAAGTACGTGTGCGTCTTTGTCAGCTTCAAATCGAACGTGACCATGTCCTCGGCCTGCGTCGCCGCCTCTTCAATGTGCCGCGCCTTGGAGGTGCTGCCCGACGGCGTCAACGATCCGAGATCCTTGTCGCCCTGCACGTTGATCAGCGATCGGACTGTGTTCGAGAAGATGAGGTGCGGGTGGAAGTGCTCCGCGTCGCGTTTCGTGAGCAGCGCCAGCGGCTGAAACTCGTCGAGCACCAGTTTTCCGTTCCTCACCGTCTTCAGAGTGATCGCCTTGTCGCGCACTTGCTCCACGTGGTCACTTCCCACCGAGATCGGCGGATCCACGTCTTTCTGAACGTTGCTGGTTTAATTTTAGAACTGTGCACTGTCTCCCCAACAGCTAATGCTAAATTGAGCGCCGCGTTAAAACGGAGTGTCGTTGAAAACAAAAGCAGGTAAGACATTTCTGGATTCTTTTCCGAAAACCCGAAATTTCATCCGAAAATGAGAAAAATGAAGTAAAACAGAGAATTTCCGAATTGTTAATGACAGCTGTGACCTTAAATTAGCGTTTCGCCCACAAAAAAGCGCGCATTATTACACTTTTCTGTGAATTTCAGTCTGCGGCGCCTCAAAAACTGAAATTTCTCAGTCATTTTTGCATTTTATGCGCCGTCTCTGTGCTCAAAATGATCGCCTTTGTCTGCTGAACAACCGTGAGGCAACTGTTTTTTGATTCTGTCAATTGTTTTCTCAAAACTTCCGAAAGTTCGTTTTTTCAAGCCAAATTTAAAAAACGAAATTACTCTTCGAATTTTCACTTTTACACGAGCACTCTGTGTGATCATTTTGTAGCTATCGGTTATATGAGCAAACGTGAGGCAAAAGTTTTGAAGGAAAACTGTGCAAAATCCCAAAAAATCGGGAAAACACGATCGTTTTCAGCGGAAAACCCGTCTCCCGTAAATCGACACTGAGAGCCGCACGCAAGAAAGCGCGCGAAAATTGTTTTTCGCCGAAGGGGAGACAGTGATGTGATCTAAAGCGATCCATACCATTTCCTCTTCATCCGGCTCGAGCGTGACGGCCCAAAACGGAACCTCGGCGCCGTTGCCGTTCGGCATGAAAACGTTCTCCTCCGGCTTCAGCAGCACGTCCGCCAGTTTCGGCACATTGTCGTACTTGTCCTCCGGGATGACCAGCGTCAAACTCTTCTTCTTGCCGTGCGTCGGTCGAAAAAAGTCGGAACCCTCGTCGGCGGCGAGCATCTTCCACTTGTCCTTGTTCTTCTCCGAATACTTGAGCGGGTACGATTTGCGCTCGAGCCGATCCATCAGAATTTTGTCCTTTTCGGCGAGCACCGGCAACCGCAGCGCCTGATTCCGGTTCTTCTCGTGCATTTTCGTGAGCAACTTGCTCATCTCCTCCTCGTCCACTTCTCGATTCTTGATGTCCACTTTTTTGGGACGACTCTTCTTCAGAATCGCCACTGGAAAGAAGTGGATGTTAGGCGATGGTCTGGCTGGTTGCGAAACGGCTTACCCTGGCTCTTCCTGGAGCCCAAATCGGCGTCCTCCTCCGACTCGGGCTCCTTCTCCTCCTTGAAGTCCTTCTCGCGGCAGTCCAAAAGCGACTTCTTGCGGTCCCTCGCCGTGTTCTGCTGGTCCGACCGCTTCTCCTTCTCCGTCTCGCGCTCCTTGTTCGGCGTCAACGGCTTCGGAACGGTCAGCTGCGATCCGACGGACGTCGTCACGCTCTTCTTCACCTCCTCGGCCGGCCTCGACGAGCCCACCTTCTGTTGTTTCTTCTTTCGAAGACGACTCTTCGTCTTTACTTTTCTCTGCAACAAAAACGTGTCCGAATTGTTCTGAAAAACGTGCGTCTAAACTCACGGTTTTGCTTGTCAGCTTTGCTTTTTTCCTCCTCTCCGCACTCTTTGTGAGTTCCACCATTATTTGAGTGTGTGGTCGTGCTAGCAATACCTAAAAATGCACAAAGCATTGTCGAGGAGTTTGTGTGCCACGTAAACGCTCTAATCAGTTGAAAGAAACGTGGAAGCGTTTTGAGACGGTTTCCAAACTTATTTCTACGATAAATGGCGACCAGAGAGAGTACGAAGACGACGACCGAAGAGGGACCCGCGCCGAAAGTTTTTTATGGTAATGCTGTAAGCACCAAAGCTACCGTACGGCCCAATTTATTCGCACTCAACTTGACAGGAACATCCGAATAATGGAATTTTCTCGTCGTTACTGAAGCGAAAGGGTCGAAAATTGTCGATGACAGATGACTGCAAAGCGGCGTGCAAACAGGTCGAGGCGTACAAAACGTCGGCCGACAAACTGCACCAGGCGCTGATGTACATGCTCGTCGAGGATCGCGAGCACTCCAAACAGCTCGTCAACCAGGTGCGCACCGAGCCCGGCTACCGGTACGAGGCACAGTTTCTGCGCGGATTCGACGCGCTGCAGAAGAAGGGACGGAAGGGCGTCTACGAGAATCTGGAGCCGGCGATCAAGGCGTGCGAGCAGATGGACGCCGAACGCGAAAAGTACGTGCGGAGGCAGCTGGAGTCGTTGAAGGCGTTGAACAAGTTCATCGGGGAGGACTACTGGGAGTACGTACGTCTTCGCAAAGGTAATCAATAAACTTATGGGGTTATTCAGGCTGTGAAAAAAATGATTTTTTTTCCGTTTTTTTTCTGTTTTTTTTTCGTTTTTTTACGTCAAAAAACCCAATTCAGCGGTGTAAAAAAACGAAAAAAAAATCGGAAAACAAACATACGCTGAATAGCCCCATTAGGCACGGTCCACGGTCTCCAGAGCTGACAATATGGGCGTGGCCTCGGCGGCCAAATGGCGTTTTCACGAAGTGAGCAGGTTTTCTCTGATTTTTGTGGTCAACGGCGATGAAAAATGATTGCGCGACATGAAAACACACTAATTCTCAGAATTAATGACGTTTTGGCGCATTTTTCGCCGACTTTGCTTTTTCGCCTTCGCCGCCTAAAAACCGCATTTGTCATTTTGCGCTTTCTTGACCGTTTCAGACAGAATTGGTTTTAAGAATGATAAATCACGTAAATACAAGCAATTTGAGCGCTCGAACCGCGAAAACTACCGAAAAGCAACTGAAATGCACGCAGTTTTAGCCAAAAACCTTCAAACTGATAAATGTGATTTGCGACTTGATCAAATTTGACGCTCTTTTGCTTAAAAAATTCGTAATGGCCTATACAATCGATCTATCGAGAGACAAATGAGAAATTATCGGTTTTTCGTGGCTAAACTGGCAAAAAACACAAATTTGGCTGTTAAATTTTGAATTTCGCGCCAATGTATCGCTCTATTTGGAGGGGCGCACTTGCGCCTATTGTCAGCTCTGGAGACCGTGCGGTCGCAAATAGTCGGAGAACGTTTCAGCGTACTGGGATGCACTGGAAGCCTACGACGACGCGGTCACTCTGCAGAACAAGGAACGGACGGAGCAGTCGGAGAGGGCGACGATGACCGCGCAGACGTGGCGAAACGAGTGCCGCATGAAGATGATGGAGTTCATCAAGAAGGCGATCAACGAGCAGAAGGGACAGCACGTGGAGAGCGTGCTCAAGTTCCGCACCGAAGTCGCCGCGCATCACAAGACGATGGCCGAGATGATCCACGTGGATGTGAAGGAGGAAAAGAGCGGGATGAAGGCGCCGAACACGAAGTGAACAACTCCTTTTCAGAAAATAAATCTTGCTGCTCATTTATCGCACGATTTTACCGTTCCCCTCTTGCTTTTTTTGCAGCCAAACGAGCCGAGCGGAATGGAAATGCTCGCGAAGGACGAGAAGAAGTGTAATTATGTGTAATTCTGCTTCCTGAACTCTTTTCGAAGGTAAATGAACAGCGTGGAGCGCGCTTGCTCCACGCAGCGGGCCATCGAAAGTTTCAAATTCAACTTGCTCGTCAAAAAGCGCCCTGGCGCGCATATTGGCCATTAGTCGGCTACCACCACCGCCAGATTTCCTCTCGCCGTCAATGAAATATGTACATAGTGAACACACACACACACACACACAGACGGCCGCACCCTCGTCGGCGGCACGAAATAGCGCGCGAAACGGGGAGAAAACGGCGGCGACGGGCTGCGACTCGTCCGAACCGAGGGAAGTACTGGCGGCGCGGAGACGGAGAGCGACGCGCGACGGCGACGCGTCGCGGCTGCACCAGACAGGCCTCGACCGGCTTCTTCAAGCCGTTTCCTTACTGTTTTCACGCTTTTTCAGCCCCGAATCGCCCGCCGCTTTTCGCTCGCCCCGAAACTCTGCACTTTTCCAGAGTTGCGCACAAAATTTCGGCGAAATTGACGCTCTCGAAATTTTTTTGGCTTTCTTTATAGTTTTCTGAAAATATTTTGAAATAGCCGTGTAGATGAAGCGTTCCTCTTTCGATTCCGCTAATTGTCGCAAAAATCGGCTGAAGAGCGGCCGAGAACGAACTGTTTTTCGCCGAGCACACGTCACGGCCGCGTCGTGGCCGTGGCCGTCGTCGCCGCAAAAACTAGGTCACCGCCGCCGCGATGTCGCCGAATAGGGGATTTCGCGGCGGAAAATGCGACAGAGAAGCACGGATTTTGCAAAAGGGAATTTGAAAGATGGGAAAATTAGGGGAAACCATAATCAAATTCTTGAATTTTCAAAAAAATTTCGCCGTACGTTTCCAAAAAACCTTCATTTCAGTATAAAATGGCTCTATGGACAGATCCCTCTCGTCAGTGTCTCATCAATTGCATCCGAAATCGTCCGGTCATTTGGGACAAGAACTATACGGGCGAGAGCAATTACCGTAGTATAAAAGTACTGTAAAACTACAGCCACCCCTTCGCCAGTCTCTAACTACTCTTTTCCAGAACAATTCGTTTCGTGAGGTGACGGATGAGATGAACAGTTTGTTCCAAATGTCGGTCAAGTTCACCGTCGAAGACGTCCGATCGCAGTGGAAGAATCTGAAGGACACGTTTGTGCGCAAACTTCGATGGGTCCACGAGGGCAAGTACGTGGAGGACGCGTCGAAGGAGCCGACGTGGAAGTTCTACCGTATGCTCACATTTCTGGATGACAAGGAGGAAAAGCAGTTGGCCGACGACGTGGAGCACACGTACGAGTTGGCTCAGACCGCTCAGAACAACATTCAAAAGTGAGTGGCCTGAAAACCTTGATGGCCTAGCATTCAATGAATTTCCTCTTCCAGTTGTCATCTGAAACAAGACCGTCAGCAGTCGTCGATGATGACGGCCACGTCATCAATGATGCCGATGGGGTACGAGCCGGCGTCCAGTGAGGAGCAAATGCTGCAAATGTTCAACGCGCCGCCGGTGCTCGCACAGCAACAACAACAACAACAACAACAACAGGCGCCTTCGCAGCTCCTCGAGCAGCGGATGGCCACGTGTTCGGCCGAGATGGGCAAGACTGAGTACAGCCCGCGCAGTCAGAACGGATCCAGCAGTGGAGTCGAGGAGGAGGAGGAGGACGAGCAGCCCGAGAGGAAGAAGGTGACCTGAAAACGCTCATCGCGGGCCTGAAATAAAACCTAATGGGGCTATTCAGCGTATGTTTGTTTTCCGTTTCTTTTTTTCGTTTTTTTACACCGCTGAATTGGGTTTTTTGACGTAAAAAAACGAAAAAAAAACGGAAAAAATCATTTATTTTTCACAGCCTGAATAACCCCATAAATACTTGCCTGAACTGATTTTCTATCCTAAAATTATCTATTTTGCCCCCACTTTCCAAGATATCACTTCAAAGCCACAGGTGCTGGCCTAAAAAACGCGTGTTCTTCCAGCCGTACCGCCGTCAACCGACGTCGATTCAACCGATGCACGTCATCCAAACGCCGCCGATGGGCCAGGACGAGTTCGATCATTTCGGGGCTCTGGTAGCCTCGAACCTGCGGAGGTAAGCGGCCCGTGTGCCCGAAAATCGATAATTATAATTGGGGGCGCACTACAGGTTGTGCGCGGACCAGGGCCGACTGACGGCGATTCGAGTGCAACGACGCGTCTACGATGCACTCTTTCTCGAGGAATAGCACAATCATGTCACCCTTTTCATAGTCTTTATTTTTGCATTTTTCATCTCCCCACAATTTTATCGGTTATCTTCAACCTATTCGTTTTTGTGATGTTTCGCTGGTTTTACGATGAAATTTTCTCATTTTCATGCGATCTTTTCCGGAAAAATCGTTAAAAAATCGATAAACCTACATTTTTCCGGGTTCAGAAACCGAGAATGGCCCTCAAAAAAAGCTACTCAGACGATATGGAGGAGGACAAATTGCCGACGGTCTGGCATGAAGTAATCGAGAACAATCTGGTCGAGCTCGTCGTCGAGTTCCCGTCGTTGTGGAAAGTAAAGGAGGACAAGGATTACGGACACGAACAGAGGGTAATTTTTTGAGTTGTTAAAGTTATGGACTCATTTCAGTCTGGAAGAAATTGGGTTTTCATCGAAAAACCCGGAATTTGTTCCCCGACTGAATGAGCCCATTAATCCGGTTCAAAAAACGTTTTAAAAACTGGCAGAGAGCTAGTAAGAAAACGATAAACGATCGATGTGAGAAACTGACGAAAAACCGGTTAGAACACGTAAAACACTGGCAGAAAACTGAGAGAAACGATTGAGAAATGGATAGATAACAGATTTTTGAATGAAACACGAGTTTTTCGAGTTTTCTTACCAGGTTTTATCAGAAAAAAAGTAAACTTTTTGCTTCAGTTCACCCACACTTTCGAATTGAAAGCAAATCATCAATAGAGCGCGTTTGCATCTCTCGTTAGCGGGAAACAATTTTCAAATTTGTTCAACGGAAACGTCTTAGAAAAAGTAAATTTTTCAAATTTTCCAGAAAGATATCAGCAGTATCCGTGAGACGCTCAACATGAACTACTGCAGCGGATTCACAGGTTTGCTCTTTATTCGTTGTTGTTGAAGAATTACCCAAAAAACGTGATTTTCAGATGAATTGATTATGAAGAAATGGGTGGAAATTCGGATGCTTTTCGATTTGAAGTACGCGATGAACGGCTACAAAATGGACAATCGAGGGGTGAGTGATTGGCGAGAAAATTGTGAGAAAATTGCGAAAAACTTCAAAAACACTGTAGAACACGTGTTTTTTCCTATGAATGGCTTGAAATTCTCGAAAAACTTCCCCACTTTGCAGGTGACAACGCACCGAGACGGGTCGCTGAAAGACGATCTGAAAGAGAGCTGGAAGCTGTTCAAGAAGCTCGCGTTCCTCGTCGAACCGATGGACGACGAGCAGGACTACGGAACGGAGGTTTTTCCTAGATACTCGTAGAGATCAGGAACTGAAAAAACAAAAAATTTTAATTCATTTGTCAGAAGAAAAAGAAGGGACGTCCGGCTCAGTGCTGACCTGTCTGCGAGACATTATTTATTGTGTTAACTGTTATATTTACTCGACCCTCGACTTCTGATCTCACTACCCAATCACTCTTCATTACGTGTTTTGCATTAAACGGAATAAACGCATTTTTTGAAAGCATACAATATCCTTTTTTTTGTGATGGTCAACTTTGACCGGGTCTTTGGCTCTGAAAATTGTTCTCCAGGGAGTGGTCCTACGAAAAAGTTGTAAACTACAAAAATACAGTACTACTTTTGAACTTTATTATCCGCGTGACACATTTATTGGAAAACCGTCCCCTTTCCTTCTTTTTCTCCCCTCCGCTCATTTCTCAAGTGTCCGCCCGCGTTTTTCGACACCTTCCGCACATGGTACATTCTAATCAAGTGAGTCTCGTCCCCGGATCCTGAATCGTAACGCCGGAGCATCGTACAGCGTCTCGCGTGGTTCGACGTGCTCGTCTCGCCGATCGTCCTCTTCTGGTACATTGGCATCTTCTACGCGTTCCTCGTCTTCGTCGTCAAACCGTGCATGATCCCGAAGGGCACCGCCAAACAGGTATCCAAGCTCGCAAGACTGAAATCTTCAAATAACAACACTAATTTGTTTGCAGCCATTCTTGTTGTGCGGTGAGAAGCCGGCACCGAGTCGCGCGCTCAACATTCACTGAGAAACGAATGGGAAATGCAATCCGAATGCCTGCACGAATATGTGCTGAGAATTGAATAAAGTGTCGATTTCACAAAGCAAACGAGTTTTTTAAGAGGTGGAGTTCGAACCCACGACCGTCAGGTTACAAGTCCAAAATGGTGCCAATGCGCTAGGCGCGTTACAGCACGCGCGAAGTACAACTCCGATCATGAGGAAGGAGCTGAAGCCGGCGCGAAGTGGTCGATCGCTAACCGCCAAGTCTGTTTTTGCTCTCCATTTGACTGTCCTCTCGCTCATCGTCGACGGAATCGGCGTCTCATCTCTGAAAACATAGTTTTTCTGTTTCGGAATCGATGAAATCAGAAAAATTCAGAAGACAAAGCGAGTTTCTAACTGCTGTTCGATGAAATGAAAGATTACCATTTAAAACACACGTGTTATTCCATTAAATTCTACCGGAAAACCCAAAAATGACCAACTAACTGTTTGGCATCACCGTCAGGGCGCGGCGTAAAATTTTATTTTTACGGATCCGTAAAAATGCAAATTTACGGAATCCGCAAATTTCGTAAAATCTGTAAAATCCATGAAGCGCGTGCTCTGTTTTTGTCGGGAAATGAAAACTAGCATACAATTCAATATAATTCAAACTTTTCTATAGTCCCTATCGTTTTTTGAACGTTTCGGTCCACCGCGCCTCTATTCCCACCTTGTCTCCTTGGAAAAATCGCTGGGCGGCAGCCGCACTAACAAATGTTGTGTGCTGTGGTGAGGCCCTTCGTTCTCGCCGTCTCTCGGACGTGTCGGTTGCGCGCACTGTTTAAGAGCGGCGACGCAGCGTTGGGGTCGGTTTAATTACCCAAGTTTGAGGTGCGAACCTGGGAATGACCTAAAGAAATTTAGCGTCAGCTTTCTAATTTTGGAATGTCTCCTTTAGGGGAGACAAAGTAACTAACAAGGGAACCTTTTAAGCAGACTTGCCAAATTACGGGCCGAAAATTTGCTGGCCTGGCCCGGTCGGCCCGGCTCAAAAGGCGCGAATACAAATTTTTGGGGGAAATCTATTTTTTCGTTTTTTTTGCGGGGATCAAAATTAAAATTTTTGCTTTGATGCCAATAAAACTATTTTTGAGAACTACATTTCTTTTTTATGCTCGATACTTGCAAAATTCGTTAGTTTTACGAAAAACAAACATTTTATTTAATCAATAGTTCAAAATTTGGATTCCCGCTTTTTGAACCGGGCCGGAGTTTTGAAAATTTCGGCCCGGCCCGGCCCGTGGCAACTCTGCTTTTAAGTGGGTGTTATCTCCAGCACAAACGAACGGCAATGTTCGAAAAAGGGACTTTCAAAACCTATATTCCAGTTTAAAAAGAAAGCTGGTTACGAGACCTCTGAGATGCTGAAATTCTAGTCCGAAGATTGCTATTTTTTAACCCTAGATTTCGCATTTTGGTGGCGCGGCGACCCACACTCACACCCTCGCCATGCGCCACGGTTGTCACCGCCCGCAACACCCTACGAAAATGTGCACAGGAAAAACGGCAACACTCGGGAATTACCGAGCGATCACCGAGTAGACGCTGATTAGCCAAAAATCTTTGACTGCAACATCCTGCGAATTTTTCGGTTTTCCGGTAGAATTTAAAGGAATAACATGTGTGTTTTAAATGGTAATCTTTCATTTCGTCGAACAGCAGTTAGAAACTCGCTTTGTCTTACGGCGCGGCTTTTGCGACGTTCACCAAACGTTTGATCCTCAGTCTGTGCATTTTTGCACGCCGGTGTTGCTCTGCGTACAGTGCATTTTATGTTACGAGCAAAGTTCATTTTTTTAAATTGCTGATGAATTTTCTCCAAATATTCATCTCTTTAAAGCGTTTTTCTCCACTTTCTACCTCAATTTGACCTTTTTACAGATTCCAGGTGAAGTAATACGCGAAGAGAAGTCGATGCGATGAAAAGAAACGCATAAGTAAGTGAAAGTAAGGTTTTATTCAGAAAATGCACGATTTCTCGAAAAACGTGACTAGATTTTCTAATCTTTTGGTTAAAAAACTTTAATTACATTTCTGAGAATGTTTTCGAACCAAAAAAAAGTAGAGTGACGGCTCGCTTTCAAAAACCGATAGTTTGCCGGAAGACAGTGAAATTTTGTTGAAAAATTTTTTTTTTTTCAACGAAATGTCACTGTTTTCCGGCAAAAGACCAATTTTTACGCGAAAGCGAGCTGTCACTACTTTTTTTAATTCGAAGACATTCACTGTCATGTTAGTGAACTTTTTAAATCGACATCTTCTGCATTTTTCTGATTTCATCGATTCCGAAACAGAAAAACTATGTTTTCAGAGATGAGACGCCGATTCCGTCGACGATGAGCGAGAGGGCAGTCAATTGGAGAACAAAAACAGACTCGGCGGTTAGCGTTCGACTCGTTTTACTTCGCCGCCCCCCTTTTTTTCAGCTGGCTGCCACAGAACAGCGGCACAATCCTGACGGCTCATCGCCAAATCGGGGAGAATGAAGCAGTAATTGCGGATTGGTGAGTTATTCTCCGATCGCATCGATTCCGACAGAGAAAAACTATTTTAACTAGTTAACGGTGGGGAAGGGGGAAGTGTGGTCACGGGTTCCACTCCCTCGTTATGCTTTTTTTTTTTTTCCTTTCTTTTTTTCATGTACTTTTGACGAAATTGTTTTGAAATGTTGATTTTTGAAGAGATTAAAGTTGCCAACTGAAGTTCTTCATCGTGTATGCGGAAATTCGTCATCAACACATGAATCTTTTTTGAGATGGTTTTTTTCAGAACAGCGTTTGAGTGCAGTCACGTCGGGGGTCACGCCGTTTCCGCGATGACCGTTTCGTGACGTGGAAAGAAAAAAGAAGGTAATGGGGGAATAAAACCAGAGCAACAAGATAGTGGGGGGGAGGGGGGATATAAAAGGTTTTTTCGTCATATTCGAAACTATCCCTTTCGGAAAATCGTCTCCGGCTTCTGGAAAGATCTGTCGTGCCGAAGAACGCCGAAGAACTGCAGCAAAATCGCCGAAGACTCTGAACGAAAATGAGTTGGAATCGCTTCCATCTTCTGCTCGCCGTGTTGCTCATATGCCAAGGTAATGCCTCTGTTTGAATCGATCAATGTTAATGCGCCAGTCTGCTACTCTTAATTTTTAGCCATTCCCGGAGCAATGAGCCAGACACCGCCCGATCCCACTACCGTCGATCCCAATGCACCGGCTAATCCGGGGCAACCGGTGCCCGCCGATCCCACGACCGTCGATCCCAATGCACCGGCTAATCCGGGGCAACCGGTGCCCGCCAATCCCACGACCGTCGATCCGAATGCACCGGCTAATCCGGGGCAACCGGTGCCCGCCAATCCCACTACCGTCGATCCCAATGCACCGGCTAATCCGGGGCAACCGGCGCCCGCAGATCCCACTACCGTCGATCCGAATGCACCGGCTAATCCGGGGCAACCCACTACCGTCGATCCGAATGCACCGGCTAATCCGGGGCAACCGGCGCCTGCCGATCCCACTACTGTCGATCCGAATGCACCGGCTAATCCGGGGCAACCCACTACCGTCGATCCGAATGCACCGGCTAATCCGGGGCAACCGGTGCCCGCCGATCCCACGACCGTCGATCCCAATGCACCGGCTAATCCGGGGCAACCGGTGCCCGCCGATCCCACGACCGTCGATCCCAATGCACCGGCTAATCCGGGGCAACCGGTGCCCGCAGATCCCACTACCGTCGATCCGAATGCACCGGCTAATCCGGGGCAACCGGTGCCCGCCAATCCCACTACCGTCGATCCCAATGCACCGGCTAATCCGGGGCAACCGGCGCCCGCAGATCCCACTACCGTCGATCCGAATGCACCGGCTAATCCGGGGCAACCGGCGCCTGCCGATCCCACTACTGTCGATCCGAATGCACCGGCTAATCCGGGGCAACCGGTGCCCGCAGATCCCACTACCGTCGATCCGAATGCACCGGCTAATCCGGGGCAACCGGTGCCCGCCAATCCCACTACCGTCGATCCGAATGCACCGGCTAATCCGGGGCAACCGGTGCCCGCAGATCCCACTACCGTCGATCCGAATGCACCGGCTAATCCGGGGCAACCGGCGCCTGCCGATCCCACTACTGTCGATCCGAATGCACCGGCTAATCCGGGGCAACCGGCGCCTGCCGATCCCACTACTGTCGATCCGAATGCACCGGCTAATCCGGGGCAACCGGTGCCCGCAGATCCCACTACCGTCGATCCGAATGCACCGGCTAATCCGGGGCAACCAGTGCCCGCCGATCCCACGACCGTCGATCCCAATGCACCGGCTAATCCGGGGCAACCGGCGCCTGCCGATCCCACTACTGTCGATCCGAATGCACCGGCTAATCCGGGGCAACCGGTGCCCGCAGATCCCACTACCGTCGATCCGAATGCACCGGCTAATCCGGGGCAACCGGCGCCTGCCGATCCCACTACTGTCGATCCGAATGCACCGGCTAATCCGGGGCAACCGGTGCCCGCAGATCCCACGACCGTCGATCCCAATGCACCGGCTAATCCGGGGCAACCGGCGCCTGCCGATCCCACTACTGTCGATCCGAATGCACCGGCTAATCCGGGGCAACCCACTACCGTCGATCCCAATGCACCGGCTAATCCGGGGCAACCGGCGCCCGCAGATCCCACTACCGTCGATCCCAATGCACCGGCTAATCCGGGGCAACCGGCGCCCGCAGATCCCACTACCGTCGATCCCAATGCACCGGCTAATCCGGGGCAACCGGCGCCCGCAGATCCCACTACCGTCGATCCCAATGCACCGGCTAATCCGGGGCAACCGGTGCCCGCCAATCCCACGACCGTCGATCCCATTATTCAGGGAAACACAGCCAATGGCAGGGTCTGTTTTTTTTTCTCCCAAACTCTTTAAGATCGCGTATTTCAGAGGGGAAATCTGGAAGCGCTTCCGAACGGTGTCAAGTACAACGTGCTCACCGATCAGTTTGAGGGCTTTGTAAGTGGAAGAGACAATTGGAAACACGAAAAATTGGTTTCTTCGTTTCAGGAAGGAAACGATGACTTCAGCAGAGTGGTGGCCAACGGCAAGGAGGTGTACGTGCTGCATCCGGTGCAGACGAAGAACAACACGCTCGTCTTTGACCCGTACACGATCGGGCAAGTGCTCGGCTACATCTACGAGCTGTCCGAGTTTGGACCGGCGGGACCGCCTGCCGGATTCACGATCCTCATGATGGGTCAGCCTGTGCCTTCGCTGCAGAAGAGAAAGCGTGGCGCGGCGATCACAAACACCCGTACCGGAACGCTCGTGTTCACGAAGAAGGAGCGTCGCGAAGTGAGAGACAAGGAGGACGCCTACTGGAAGCACGTGCTCAAGAGCCTTTAAGGAGCCACGCTTATTTTTGTGTTCTATTTGTCATGGAATGAATTGTATTTGATGATCCTGTGTTGGTGCCTTTGTTCGGCCAGAAATTTTGGAACTGGATCGACATTGTTCACACTCCTATCGTTTTTTGAACGTTTTGGTCCACTGCCCGCCTCTATTCCCACCTTGTCTCCTTGGAAAAATCGCTGGGCGGCAGCGGCACTAACAAATGTTGTGTGCTGTGGTGAGGCCCTTCGTTCTCGCCGTCTCTCGGACGTGTCGGTTGCGCGCACTGTTTAAGAGCGGCGACGCAGCGTTAGGGTCGGTTTAATTACCCAAGTTTAAGGTGCGAACCTGGGAATGACCTAAAGAAATTTAGCGTCAGCTTTTTAATTTTGGAATGTCTCCTTTAGGGGAGACAAAGGAACTAATGCCGCGTCCAGAGTGTCGGAAAAACCGTCAAAGCCGCGGGTTTTTGTGTCCAAAGTCGGCCGAAATTTGCGTGAAAAACGGGCTACGCACAGTTGAAACGAGTGATACCGTCCGTAGTGGCGCTCGCTTCGAGACCCGCGTCATTCAAAACGCCATTTTCGCTATTTTTCTCCGTTTTTTCAGTGTTTTTTTGTAAAACGCTTAAAAAATGCTCACAAAAATTTCAAAATCGAGTGAAAAAATGAAAAAATGAGTAGATTTTCAGGTTTCCCCGCCCGCCAACATGGATTCCGACGATTCCGACGATTTTGAAATCAAAGAGGAATCCAAGACACCCGCGGACAAAGAAGATGACAAAGATGCGAACGGAAAGAGAGCGAGTGAAAAAAATGCGAAGATTTCGATGACGAAAGGCGACAATTATACGAAGGTAAACATTTTGTTTTTGAAAAAGTGGAAAAATATCATTTTCAGCTGACGTTCACGCAGTGTAACCGGATCATTTTACAAATTGAAATAAATCCCTGTCTCTGGAATCTGCGAGAAAAGGACTACAAAGACGCGCCTTTGAAAAACGGTCTGTGGACCGACATAGAGAAGTCGGTGGAGTTTCTCAAGAGAGACCGAGGTATCACTTTTGATTTTTCAGGCTGTACTTTGCGGAAAGTTTGGAACACGCTGGTGGCCGCATATCGAGTAGAACGAAAGGCATCCATGGAGCCAAGTGGGAGCTCGAGTGCAAAAGTCCATCCTTCCTTCCCATATTATCAAGAAATGGCATTTTTGGACAACGTATACAGAGACAAATCACCACCTCCTGTAAGTGAAAGATTAGAAGGCCGACTGAATCAGAAATCCTTCAGAATTCACAATGAAACTCCTGGATTCGTCCGTCGAGATGTTGGTGTCGATACTCCGAAAAGAATGAAAAGAGAGAAGTGCGACCGGCGAACTGGAAGCGACGGCGCCGACGCCGATTTGAAATTATTCATGAAGGAATCCCGCGAAGTTCTGAGAAGTTTTGGCTAGCGCAGAAACGACGGAAGGGGGGAGTTCGAGGCAGTCACCGGGTTGCTGACTGAGACTCTCCGCTCGATTCCTCCTACTTCTCAGCTTTTTCTTCAAGGAAAAATAGCACAACTGTGCGAAAAATACAAGAAGAAAGATGTTACGCTCACTTCCACCGCATTGTTCTTAGTGTCTGGAGGAGGATGGGAGAACATGGACACGTTCAATTTTCATTTCTAATTTTACAAATATAAAGTTTTGCGAGTGTAAGATTGTTGTGTTTATTAGTTAATCAAAAAATCGACTAATGCGTCTCGTTGGTCGTTGCCGTCGTGGAACTGCTCAGTGGCGGCTTCCACAACAGGCTCGCTCCAACGGTCCGACAAATGGAGGAATGAGTAAATTGTGCAAATGCACAAGGGAAGAAACGAAATTAACAGCATCGGAATACGGAAGTTCAATTTGAGAGTGCAAAACGCGGAACCGGGAAGCGAGAACGCCGAAAGCATGCTCTACTCGAACTCTAGAATTTGACAGGGTTCGATTAAAAATTGTTTGTTCATGGGTGAGCTGAGCTCGTCCGAAAGGCTTCATCAAAGTCGGCGTCAGTGCGAAAATGCCATCCGCCAAGACGAACGACGGGAGCACAAGGTGATCGTTGTAGTGCACGGGCGGTGGTAAAGTGGCTCGGGTGTCGAGGATAGTCTTCAGAAACGTTCCATTGAAAATGGACGTGTCGCTGACACTTCCGGGAGCTCCTGGAAAAAGAGGCAATTTGATTAATGATAGTTTTCAGTAACTATACCAATATCCAAATATCGGAAGCGGAGATCTGCATCGGCTAGCGCCAACATGGAAATGCTGAAGTAACTTTTGTAGTTGTAGAACAGCGATCCGGTTCCAGGAGGCGCCTTCACTCGGACGTGCTTGCCGTCGAGACACCCAATGCATGTCAGAAACCCTCGCCTGACGAATTTCTCCTTACTTTCTCGCCATTCCGAAGGCGATGATGGTAAGCGAACGGTTGGAATACGTTGAATGATGACCCGCGAGACGCGCTTCACGATCGAAGAAATAGTCGATTTCGATGCGCCGATTCGCACTTCCCATTTTGCTGTAGTTCGTGGAAAAAACTATTCAAATGCCTTCCGGACGTGGCAAACTGGAGGTACAGCAGAAAAGGTCCAGTTTTCAGCGATTCCGTCGCTTTCGATCGCTTCCATCACCCGTTCGACTACTTCTCCGGGAACGAAGACTTCTTCCTGGACGGAAATTGATTTCAGAAAACCAAGCAATGAAATACCTTGTACAAGTGGGGAAGGGAACGAAGTCGCCGACAGTAGTTCTTAAAACTCTCAGTCTTCTCTTTCTTGAACAATGTCCTCTTCGCTTCAACTTCTTTCTTCTCAGACTCCTGCTTTTTCTTCTTACATTTCCTTCTTTTCAGTGCCACGGACATGATCAGTCTGATAAACATGTCTGTAAAATGTTACCCATTTTCCACACAAAACCTCTTTTCTTACAGTCCAGAGCTGGCAATATGGGCGTGGCCTCGGCCAAATGGCGTTTTCATGAATTGAGCAGGTTTTCTCTGATTTTTGTGGTCAACGGCGATGAAAAATGATTGTTCGACATGAAAACACACTAATTCTCAGAATTAATGACATTTTGGCGCATTTTTCGCGGACTTTGTTTTTTCTCCTTCGCCGTCGATCGCCGCCTAAAAACCGCACTTCTCATTTTGCGCTTTCTTGACCGTTTTCCGACAGAATTGGTTTTGATAATGATAAATCACGTAAATACAAGCATTTTGAGCGCTCGAACCGAGAAAATTACCGAAAAGCAACTGAAATTCACGCAGTTTTAGCCAAAAACCTTCAAACGGATAAATGTGATTTGCGACCTTTAAAGGTAGAAAAATCGGATGTGATTTGATGAAGTTATGCCAATGATTTGGGATCAGGGCCGGGATTTTACGTTTACGGTGGTTTTTAAATCTTTTTTTGTGATAAAATAGATTTTTCTCGAATCTATTACTTTTGTACTATTTGTCTAAAATCAAAAACGTCTGATTTGATCGGTAAGAACAAGAGTAGGCATCAAAAGACACCAAAACGTTCAAAAAACGATAGGGACTATAGAAAAGCTTGAATTATATTGAATTATATGCTAGTTTTCATTTCCTGACAAAGTAGAGTACGCTTCATGGATTTGACAGATTTTACGGAATTTACGGATTTGTTGGCAACGCCCACACAAGGTCGGATCTGCCCTGGCGAAAAGACAGGATAATCTTATCTGATATGGTCTGAGAGAGCCCTGAAAAATGCTCGGAAGGTTGTTTTGAGGAGCTTGAAAACAAATTACTCATTTCAAATCGAGATTTCATTATTATACAATTCAGAAATTACTACAAACGCTACGAATTCTTTTGTGGCACCTTGATCGTGACCGTCTTCACCTCGGTATAAGCCTCCAATCCGTACTCTCCAAGTTCACGACCAATACCTGAAATCTCTCAATAGTATTACAAAGCCGTGACTGTTTGAAGTACCGTACCTGACTGTTTGAAGCCTCCAAACGGCGCGGCGGCCTGGAAAACGTCATAACAATTGACCCAAACCGAGCCGGCTCGGATCGTGTTCGCGAGGGAAAGCGCCTTGTCCAAGTCGTTCGTCACAATTCCGGCCGCCAGTCCGTAAATGGTGTTGTTCGCCTTTTCGACGAGCTCTTCCATCGTGTCGAATCGGATAATACTCATGACGGGACCGAAGATCTCCTCCTGCGCAATCCGCATCTCATCGGTCACGTTCGCGAAGATTGTCGGCTTCACAAAGAATCCCTCTTCTCCGTGACGGACGCCTCCGGTCACCAGTTGTGCGCCGTCGCGTTTTCCCTCGGAAATGTAGTGGAGAATCGTGTCCACTTGTTTCGCGTTCACTTGAGGTCCGTGAGTTACGCCGGTGCCGAACGCGTCCCCGATGACTGCCGACTCGGCGATCGCTTTCGAACGAGCCACAAACTCGTCGTAGATCTGGAATATAATTGAAAATCACCCAAATTCTCAGCAACTACAGTAGTCTTGCGAGTAATTGTACATGAAAGTGATCAATTAGAAAATTAAAATTCAGAATTAGAACTATATTTTTGTAGTTGACAACTTTTCTGCACAACCACTCCCATGGTTACTGTAGCTCTTAGAAATTATCAATAAAACGCGAGTGGATTCAAATAGTCCCAACTTCCAAGCGCTACAGTACTCTAGGGAATGGTTTTAGAAAAAAGTTGTCAACTAATAAGGTACAGTACTAATTCCAAACTTTAATTTTGTAGTTGAAAACTTCCTTCCAAATCCACTCCCTGGTGTACTGTAGCTCTTGGAAGTCAGTACTGCTTTAGTCTGTCCGCCAACTTCCAAGAGCTCTTGTGCAAACCTTTCCCTCCACAAAAGTACGAGAACCGGCCGCACAACACTGTCCCTGGTTGAAGAATATTCCGTGATTCGCCTGCTTAACCGCTTCCTCGATGTTAGCGTCGGCGAAAATGATATTCGGGCTCTTGCCGCCGAGTTCCAGAGTCACTCTGAAATACCATAAGCTCTCCACCATCGCAGACCAACAGCCCGACATACTTTTTGATGTTCGAGTCGGCGGCGGCCCTCATCACCATCCGTCCCACGTCCGTACTTCCGGTGAACGCGACCTTATCCACGTCCATGTGCTCCGAGATGGCTTGTCCGGCAGTGTGTCCGTACCCGGCCAGCACGTTCACAACTCCATCCGGAAATCCGGCTTCCCGACTCAACGCGGCCACGTGAAGCCCGCTCAACGGCGTCTGCTCGGCCACCTTCATCACGACCGTGTTGCCCATCGCGAGCGCCGGCCCCAGTTTCCACGCCTGCATCAACAGCGGAAAGTTCCACGGAATAATCTGCCCGCAGACGCCGACCGGCTCGTGCCGCGTGTACGTGAAGTAGTCGCCGTTCACCGGAATCGTCTTGCCGTGGTTCTTGTCGGCCCAACCGGCGTAGTACCTGCACGCATTGTTTCAGGCCACTGGCGGATGGTACAGTAACCAGAGTTGAGCGGAAGAACTCAACGGAAGAATTTTTTTCTTTTTTAGAAAATTTTTTCATGGAATGTGATCAACTGACGAAATGTATAGCAAAGTGAACTCTGCTCATAGAAAAATAATTGTAAATTTAGCGATTCATACAAAAAAGTTATTCGAGTTGTTCCGTTCAAAAAAGGGCCAACGCAACAACTCGAATAACTTTTTTGTATGAAAAGCTAAATTTACAATTATTTTTTTATGAGCAGAGTTCACTTTGCTCTACATTTCGTCAGTTGATCACATTTCATGAAAAAATTTTCTAAAAAAGATAAAAATTCTTCCGTGTTCTTCCGTTGAGTTATTGCGCTCAACTCTGACAGTAACCCGCCACCTACCGTATGGTCTTGATCGCCAGCGACAAGTCGGCCGAATAGGCGACAGAGTAGGGTTTTCCTACATCCAACGCTTCCAAGCTCTGGAAAAAACCATGCTTCAGTTGCGAAACGTCCAAACTAACCGCCAAAATGACGCGATCCCTCTCCATCAAATCGGCGAATGTGTTGAGAAGCACGCCTCTCTGCGACGCGTCCATCCGCCGCCATTCGCCGCCAATTTCGAACGCTTTTTTGGCGGCCTGAGACATGGAAAAGTGTAATATTTCAAAGAAAAAAACGGCAAGACTCACGTTGACCGCCGCGTTCACATCCTCCTTATCCGCTTCGGCGACTCGAGTGATCGGTTTTCCGTTCGACGGGTTGTGCGTTTCGAATGTTTTTCCGGATTTCGCCGCCACAAACTGGTTGTTGATGAAAATCTGAAAACGACGATTTTGGGCCTTCTGGAGGACTTTGACACTCTTTTGAAATACGTCTGTAACTCAAAATATGCTCAACACTTTCTATGTTGACCACTTTTTGAAATTGGCACTACATCCAAAGATATAGTTGAGCGGAAATGGAATTTTGAAATCCGGAAAACGGCAGACGGCAGACGGAAGAACATTTTTTTTTTACGGAACACGGAAAACGGAAGACGGAAGAACATTTTTCTCACGGAAGACGGAACAAAAAATCGTCAATGCAGAACCTTTATCTCCGGTTTTTTTTTTGAAAAAAAATAACTAAACAACAAAAATTTTGGGTCTGGGTCACTGCCCGTGGAAATTTGTGTTTTTCGGGGCTAGTAAATGGCTTCTGAAAAGCTGTTACTCTTTTACGGTAAGAAGAAAAAATCCCGGAAGACGGAAGACGGAAGACGGAACAAAAAAATCCACGGAAGACGGAAGACGGAACAAAAAAAACCACGGAAGACGGAAGACGGAACAAAAAAATCCCGGAAGACGGAAGACAGAACAAAAAAATCCACCAAAGACGGAAGACAGAACAAAAAAAAACCACGGAAGACGGAAGACGGAACAAAAAAATTCGCGGAAGACGGAATTCCGCTCAACACTGATGTACCCCTCCAAACTCACGCCAGTATGTTCTGGAACAATGTCCGAGATTCCGGGCGGCGGGACAGCCGCAGCCGTCGATGCATTTCGGCAGGTTCTTGCCACGTGGCGCAGCAGCATTTTGAACTGAAAAAGGGGGGAATAGAGAAGCAAACGGTTATCTATTTCTCGCGATGCGAAGAGTGGTTCCGAGACAGACGGAAACGCGTCCTATTTATGCGTTTTGTAAAATGCTGACAATTATTGCACAACATCGTTGCGGAGAGGGTTCATTGAACACTTTCGCTCGGAATCTGGATCACTTGTAACACGATCATTGGCGGAGAAAGGAGGAAGGGATAGAGAGAGAGAGACAGACTTGAACTTTCGGAGGGATAGGGTACAGAGAACACTCAACTATCAGTTGGTTAGAGCGTCTTAGGAACAAACGGATGCGCTAAAAGTGCGTCAAAGCTCTGAAAGACGATAAAGCACTCAATTTTTGGGAGGAAAAAGACGCCAAGACGCTGGAAAAATGTACAATCTCTGCTTTATTTGATGATTCATAAACGACAAGTGTAGTAAGTCTTGAATATCTTGGATATTCATGAAATCTAGCCTTGAATAGACGCAACGCTTCCATTACAGTAAGGCTACAGTAATCAAAGAGCCCTCAACAAGTAGTTGTCCTGTTTCTTCGTCCGAATCATCCTCGTTTTCTCGTCTGCGCCCTCCTCCTCCATTTCCACGTACTCGTACCGCTTCTCCTTCTCGTTGAACGCGTACTTTTCGTTTTTGCCCTCCGCATTGCACGCGAGCACGACGGTCCGTCCGTCGTGTTCGGTGCACAGCCGGAGGTGCGAGTGGGCGGAAGAGGTGAACTCGTTGGCGGGTTCCTCCTCGGCCATCCGCTTCCGCTTCTCCTCCTCCTTCTCCTTCTTCTTCCGCTGCTCCACCTCCTCCTTTCGCTTCTCGCGGATCACATCGTAAAATGCGAACACGTTGTACTCGCGCTCGAGTCCCAATTCCTCCTCATCCTTCCACACGAGCGCATGACTAAAGCCCAGATAAATGCAAATTCCGGCGAGCCGCATGTGCCCGTGCTCCCAGAAATAGACGGCCTGCACGCGGTTGCACATCATCTGGTACTTGCAGAAACTTCGCGAGTCCGGCTCGTAGTCCGGTCGGAAGTCGAGACAATGATCGCCGTAACGGAAGCCTTCAAAGGCGTAGGACACTGTCCGCGTCCCCGGAGGGATCTGATAGTTGGCGTCGTCCGACGCAAGGACCGTCTTGATTCCGTCGTGCTCGAGCGGCTCGATGCGCCAACTCTTCGCGTTGCCAATCGTGTAGGCGCAGTGCGGAGTGACGACGAACGAGTAGTCCGACTCGTTGTTTTCCAGATCCTCGTTGACCGTCCTCGGAAAGCAGGAAATGGGTCCGATCAGCGATTCGCGTTGGCGTTTGATCGCCTTGTCGAGGTCGAACGAGAAGAGATGGTCCTGCAAGAAAACGAGCGGTTTTAGAGACAAGACGCCAACTACACAATTAAAGTTCATGACTAGCAGTGTAGTTTTGTACAACCAAATTGGAAACATGCCCTAACTTTCAAAGACTGCAAAAAACTCAAAGTACTTGTGACATGGAGCGCTCACTCAAAACGTTTCAAAACTCGCTTCTGTGCTCACCTTGAAAACCGTGACAATGACGACGACAACAAAGATTCCGGCGATCGCAACCGCCCATGTCGGCACTTCGAGCGGCGGTGACACCATTCGCAGAAAATGAGAGAAAGCGTGAGTGGCGCGGATCGATGTGAGCGCGCGACTGCACCTGCTGCTCTCTTTGTGCTCTTGCTTGTGCTCTGGAATGGCGATTCAAGCGTCGCCATGGTTACAGTGTGCTCGGCGAGCAGTGTGTTTGTTGCATGCGAGCTTCCGCGGAAAACGAGTGGCGCACGGTCTCCTCAGAGCTTACAATGACCGCGCAAGTGCGCCCCTAATAGTACAAAAGTAATAGATTCGAGAAAAATCTCTTTTGGCACAAAAAAGATTTAAAAACCACCGTAAACGTAAAATCCTGGCCCTGATCCCAAATCATTGGCATAACTTCATCAAATCACATCCGATTTTTCTACCTTTAAAGGTCTCTAGAGCTGACAATGCGCGCAAGTGCGCCCCGCCCAATAGAGCGATAAATTGGCGCGAAATTTAAATTTTAACAGCAAAATTTGCGTTTTTTGCCAGATTAGCCACGAAAAACCGATAATTTCTCATTTGTCTCTCGATAGACCGATTGTATAGGGCGATTACGAATTTTTTAAGCGCAAGAGCGTTAAATTTGGTCAAGTCGCAAATCACATATATCCGTTTGAAGGTTTTTGGCTTAAACTGCGCGAATTTCAGTTGCTTTTTGGTCGTTTTCGCGATTCGAGCGCTCAAAATGCTTGTATTTACGTGATTTATCATTCTCAAAACCAATTCTGTCTGAAAACGGTCAAGAAAACGCAAAATGAGAAGTGCGGCGATCGGCGGCGAAGACGAAAAAGCAAAGTCGGCGAAAAATGCGCCAAAACGTCATTAATTCTGAGAATTAGTGTGTTTTCGTGTCGCGCAATCATTTTTCATCGCCGTTGACCACAAAAATCCGAGAAAACGGCATTTGGCCGCCGAGGCCACGCCCATATTATTGTCAGCTCTGGAGACCGTGTGGCGTCAGAATAAAACAATCGAAAAACGTCTTCTCAAAAGATTACAAACACAAGACAAATGAGCGTGGAGAGTTTGACGATGGCCGTTCGCTGCGCACCATTCTCTTCTTCGTCCCTCTCCAGCGGCGCCAAATAACTCAAAAAGTTCTCCGGGTAATCCTCTTCGGTCTCCGCAATTTCGTCGTCGTGCGAATCGTTGTCGACGGGCCGCTGCTCTGGCCACGGACCGGGCGGCCAGTCCCAGACGAAATCGCTGAAACGTGGCACTCTTTTGATGCGAGATTGTCAGACAAACGCACTGGGGACAAATGCCCGTAGCCAGACAAATATGGCTCTCGATTATCCACGACATGTCCATAAACACACGAAACTCCTTCTTCTCCTCGTACCACCCTGCAAAAAGAGTGATGGCAAAGAATTTGAGTACACGGTCTCCAGAGCTGACAATATGGGCGCGTGGCCTCGGCTGCCAAATGGCGTTTTCATGAATTGAGCAGGTTTTTTTTTCGGATTTTTGTGGTCAAAGGCGATGAAAAATGATTGCGCGACATGAAAACACACTAATTCTCAGAATTAATGACGTTTTGGCGCATTTTCGCGGATTTCGCTTTTTCGCCTTCGCCGCCTAAAAACCGCACTTTTCATTTTGCGCTTTCTTGACCGTTTTCCGACAGAATTGGTTTTGAGAATGATAAATCACGTAAATACAAGCATTTTGAGCGCTCGAACCGCGAAAACTACCGAAAAGCAACTGAAATTCGCGCAGTTTTAGCCAAAAACCTTCAAACGGATAAATGTGATTTGTGAATTGACCGAATTTGACGCTCTTTCGCTTAAAAAATTTGTAATAGCCTATACAATCGGTCTATCGAGAGACAAATGAGAAATTATCGATTTTTCGTGGCTGATCTCGCAAAAAACACAAATTTGGCTGTTAAAATTTGAATTTCGCGCCAATGTATCGCTCTATTGGGCGGGGCGCACTTGCGCGCCCATTTTCAGCTCTGAGCAGACCGTGTAGTATACTGTATAGAACAGAAGAACAAGAAACAAACATGAATCCTTCGAGATCGCCACCATCGTCGCTCTACCGGCCCTGTTGGTCACCAGTGGCACACCAGTTTCCGCTCCGTAATCCTGCCCGTTTTCTCTTCGATTCAACAGACTATTCTCGTCGGTGCACAAGCCCAATTGAGAAAACGGGCAGTACTCGATGCCCTGAAAGAGATTCTTCGTTGCGGGGCAGACTCAAATTCAAACCGTTGACGTGTCCGACTCTGTCAGATTCCAGACTCGCATCGTCGTGTACTCCTCGTACTCGCTGACTCTCCAGTTGGACGACATACAGATCGGCACGTTGTTCAGGTCTCTGTCCACTTCAAGGATCATGATCAGGGTCCACGGTTCTGGGCTGCGAGCAAGCATGAGGAGCTGCAAAACGTATGATGTTCTGATTTCTTAGACCATTATTTAGGTCTTTCAAAAAGCGACAAGAAATGTGCGCCTGCAAGCGAAACTTTGCCCCTTTTCGATACTCAACTCCAGAGTTGAGCGGAAATGGAATTTTGAAATCCGGAAGACGGCAGACGGCAGACGGAAAAAATTTTTTTACGGAACACGGAAAACGGAAGACGGAAGACGGAACGAAAAATCGTCAATGCAGAACCTTGTTTTCCGGTTTTTTTTTTTGAAAAAAATAACTAAACAACAAAAATTTTGGATCTGGGTCACTGCGCGTGGAAATTCGCGTTCTTCGGGGCTAGTAAATGGCTTCTGAAAAGCTATTTTACGGGAAGAAAAAAAAATCCCGGGAGACGGAAGACGGAAGACGGAACAAATAAATCCACGGAAGACGGAAGACGGAACAAAAAAAACCACGGAAGACGGAAGACGGAACAAAAAAATCCACGGAAGACGGAAAACGGAAGACGGAAGACGGAATTCCGCTCAACACTTCTGAACTCACGTTTGCAATCGCATACGCTTCGGTTTTCGTCGTTGTGCAATCGGCGTCGACGCACTCCTGCACTTTGATTTTAACGTCGGCCTTGATGTTGTCAGCAGTGTACGGCATCACTCTGAAATATTGTCCGTTCGCGGCGGGAAAGCTCGATTGCAGAGCGCCTACCCGTTCGTAAAATCGTCGGCCATCTTTGTTTCGTTGTACTGACCGGGAATGAGGAAGCGCGCCAAACTTCCATCGGCCAAAATGTGTCGCTTGGAGATGATGACACCTTGAAACAACGCAAGATTCATGCTTTGCGTCTCGAATCGAACGAGCCACGGAGCATCGTGAGCACTGGTCCGGCTGGCCTTCAATGCTGGCAACGAATTTATAAATTACGGAGACTTTTGAGCGACTCACGATTGTTGGCGAAGCCACAATTGTTGAGTCTCTCCAAGTTCGCGTCCTTGGTGATCTCGTGCATTATTGGCGCTCTCGAAACGACGGACGACATGAGGAGAAGTGCGGAAATCGGCAGCGACATCCGCATGTTTCCTTGGTGCAAAGTGATGAGCAAAGTAGAAGTAGAAGTGAAAACGGGTGAAGAGAGATCTCCACGGCGCGCCGAACTCCACGACGATGAATAATTGTTGGAAGTCGATCAGGGCACGCCGTTTCGTGACGCGGGAAAGAAGAACGCGGGAAATGGGGGAATAAAACCAGAGCAACAAGATAGTGGTATAAAAGGTTCTTTCATCGTATTCTCGAAACTATCACTCCCGGAAAATCGTTTCCGGCTTCTCGAAAGATTTGTCGTGCCGAACAACGCCGAAGACTCTGAACGAAAATGATTCGGAATCGCTTCCATCTTCTGCTCGCCGTGTTGCTCATATACCAAGGTAATGCCTCTGTTTGAATCGATCAATGCCAGTGGGCTACTCTGAACTTTTAGCCATTCCCGGAGCAATGAGCCAGACGCCGATCATTTACATGCCCGAACATTCCACGACCGTCGATCCCAATTCAACGACTGAAGACCCATTCCTCCCAGTTCCCACTACCGTCGATCCCAATGCACCGGGTGATCCGTGGCAAGCGGTGTCCGCAGATTCCACGACCATCGATCCGAATGCAACGACTGAATTCGACCCATTCCGCCTAAATCCTGACTACGAGGGTTATCCCATTGATTATCCCCAGCCAGCCAATGCCAGGGTCTGTATTAATTTTTGTCTCCCAAACTCTTTAAAATTTGCGCGTATTTCAGTGGGGAAATATGGAAGTGCTTCCGAACGGTGTCAAGTTCAACTCGCTCACCGATCAGTTTGAGAGCTTTGTAAGTGGAGGAGGGGAACAATTGGAGACACGCAAATGCGGCTTTCCTCCTCGTTTCAGGACGGATACAATAACATGAGCAGAGTGGTGGCCAACGACAAGGAGGTGTACGTGCTGTATCCGGTGCAGACGAAGAACAACACGCTCGTCTTTGACCCGTACACGATCGGGCAAGTGCTCGGCTACATCTACGAGCTGTCCGAGTTTGGACCGGCGGGACCGCCTGCCGGATTCACGATCGTCATGATGGGTCAGCCGGTGCCGTCGAAGCAGAAGAAAACGCGTGGCGCGGCGACCGCAAACACCCGTACCGGAACGCTCGTGTTCACGAAGAAGTTGCGTCGCGAAGTGAGAGACAAGGAGGACGCCTACTGGAAGCACGTGCTCAAGAGCCTTTAAGGAGCCACAATTATTTTTGTGTGCTATTTGTCATGGAATGAATTGTATTTGATGATGGTGTTCGGCCAGAAATGTTGGAATCGGATCGACATTCACAAGATGCTCCAATCTCGTCAACGTCATTCAAAAACATAAGCGGTGAGTCATCGATGAGGTGTCACAATATTCGGCGCCTACTTATACCGCTCGCCGCGATCCGTTGAGCACCGCACTCTTGGCCTCGTTCGAGCGAAAATGATGTACAATGCTTTGATGTTTGTCGGATTGACACTTCTCGCGATCCACGGTAACATTTGTGTCGTTCTTTGAGCGACTTTGATAATGGCTTTCAGGCGCCCAATGCCAGATTTGGAAGCCGGAACATTTGACGCTTGAAGAGGGGATGAATGTGGAGGAGACCAATGAAATGCCCGACGCAGACCTGAACGATGAGTCAATCGAACTCCAAAAAGGTTAGAATTCTTCGAAAAATGCTAGAGCAAACTTGATGATCTTTTCAGAAGAACTAGAAGAATGGGAAGCTCCAGCTGAACCCCAAGTTCAGGAAGTTCTAGTCGAGTCCGAGGCTCAAGATCCAGCTCAAGTTCAAGTTCAAGAAGGACCGTTTGAGCAAGTTGACGGTCCTTCGGCCCACACTCCTGAACCCTTGCCAGTCGTCGAGGCCTTCATGTTCAACTCGACCGAAGTTGATGACGCATCCATCGGGACCGAATCCAATATTTCCATGATCGAACTTGTCGAACTCTCGGCCGAATCGGTCCCCGAATCCGTGATTGACCTGACGCGTGGCAACAAATCGGCCGTCGAAACTGTCGAACATGGTGCATCGGCCGTGGCGTCCGCGCTGAGAGATCAGGTCGAAGAGCTCGTCGCCTCCTCCACCTCTTTCCATCTCGCACCACTTTCCTCGCTCATCGCGCCCCTCCTCGTCTGGATTCTTGTGTGATTTTTGTGGCAAAACTCGAATAAAAAACATGTTTTTGTGTCGTTGAAGCGCGCCAAAACGGATTCGATCAGGATGAGATTCGAACTCACGCGGGGAAACCCCAATGGATTAGCAGTCCATCGCCTTAACCACTCGGCCACCTGATCACGCCGGCAAGCAGTGTGTTACGAGTAGGACAAGAGCGTTGACGGCCACCCGCTCGCTCGTTTTTCCCGTCTGCGTCTGCACACGGAGACTGGGAAATGGCCTAGAATTCGAGTGAAAACGATGGAATTCGTGTTGGGGCAACGTCACGGACGACAAACACACATCCGGGACACGTACAGACACATATAATAGTCAAAGTGTGCGCCGAAATCGAGAGTACTGGGAAAAAGTGCGAAAGAACGGTCGCGTCTGGAACTTTTCCTTTTCAGGCTTCTCCTACTTCTTCTCTCACTTCTTTTCCTTCCACTTCCTCAAATGTCCTCAAAAAAGGTACGGTAGACGTTTTACGACTTTTTACCACTTTGACACCTTTCTTATCAACAATTCTAGGGCAAATATTGGCAAAACGGTCTAGATCTATGGTATTTTCGGTGAATTCACGGGTGTGTGTGAGTGCTTTTAAGCGAGCTGACGCGTTTCTGGTGTCTTGACGCATTTCTGGTGTCTTGACGCAATCCTATGCCCCTTTTCCGTCATTGGATCTTCCGCATTCTCTCCAAAAGGCTGTACCTGTACGCTCACACAATCTCCGTTCTCTGGCATACACTCTAAGGGTTCAGTTCAGGGTTCCTCTATTGTCATATCATGGCATGACACAATTACGGTGCCTTGGCGCTTTCTTAGTGTCCTGGCGCCTTCTCAGTGCCTCCTAGACGGCCACGCATTCTCATCACTTTCCCAGTACACATTCTCCACTTTCGTACCCATTTCTCATTGACGCGATGATGATGATGATCGAAAAAAAAACGTTTGTGACTTCTTCTTCTTCTTGTCCTACTCGCCAATCGATCCAGTATTGTCGATTCATTTTTTTTTGTCCGCTCTCCTCCCAATCTTCTGACCTTTCCATCTTTCTCTTCTCCGCGCACATCAATAGAACGGGAATTTGATAAGAGAAGGGAGAAATTAGGGAGAAGAAGAAGAAGAAGAAGAAGAAGAAGAAGAAGAAGAAAAAGAAGAAGAAGAAGAAGAATGGTCGAATGTTCGCAGATCACATCATTTTGTTGTGTATATGCCAATCTTTGTGCCAATCCATTCGACGTTCCCAACATGCCTTTTCCTTTCCATTTTTTCACACAAATGCTTCACAATTTTTGCATTCTTTTGCAGATGACCGTTTCCTACAATCTCGACGTCTCCTCCGTCTCGTTTTTCAACTTTTTTCGGGTAAGATTTAAAGCCGAATCTATGCTACTATTGGCAATCGAGCCTAAAGTGCAAATATCTGAGCTCAGGAGCAAGATGGCCGAAAATGATGTACTAGAAAGTTGTAGAGCATGAAATTATCTATCAATTTGTTTTTTAACTTTGCAAAAATCTCAAAAATTGAGCAAGTTACAGGTGCTTTTTCGTTGGCACGGTTCTGTGTGGAAGTCGGTCTGGTCCGAGCTCGTCATTTGGCTCATTTTCTACTATTTCGTGATGGTCACCTACCGCTACGCCCTTCCGCCAGACACCCGACAGTAAGTGACGAGCACTTGGGGGTTACTGTAGTGCCACGTCATCAGGTTGGTCACCCAGTACATCACTCCGCTCAACGATCAACTCGACAACTGTGTTCCGCTCACTTTTATGCTCGCCTTCTTCGTCACAGTTATTGTGGATCGCTGGAAAAACATTTTCGCGAATATTGGCTTCATTGAAAAGTAACTTAACGCGGGTTCCATGAGGAGAGGGGACCGGATTACTGTAGTTTTACAGTACCGCTCTGGCGATAGCCACTTTGGTGCGTGGCGACACTCCGGAAGTCGTTCTGGCGCGAAGGACCATCATACGGTACTTGGTACTGTCACAGGTTACGCCAAAACTACAGTAACCCGTGAGGAATTCGGCACTTTAGGTTCTCGTTTTCCGCGACATTTCGCTAAAAGTGCGGCGTCGATTTCCAAACGATGATTCGATTATCAAGGCAGGTGAGCGCGAGTGACGTTTTGGAAGGCGGAAAAAAAAAACGAAAAGGGTTTAGGATTCATGCACGAGCACGAACGCATCATGTTGGATGAGGTCGAGTGCCGGTACAACAAGTACTGGGTCCCGATCAATTGGGCGTCAGCAATCCTCCAGAAGGTTTTTGTTGTGAGTGTGCCGGGCTTCTGCGCTTTTGTGCACGACTTTTTTCGCTTGGCCCAACTTTGAGAGCTTGTAACTCCCCAGCTTGCCGTTATTTCGAAAAGTGTTCCACAGAAAAGGTGTAGAGAATTTCATGCTCTACAACTTTGTAATTGATAAGTTTGCATGAAAGTGCGTAGTTTTTGAGTTACAAACGATTTTACAAGTGGTGACACTTTTCAGGAAGGCAAAATCACGGCGCCGCCGCTTTTCAATGCGGCGTGGCAAGAAATCAAAGTGTTCCGCTCGAACATGGCAATTTTGTGCAATTTCGACTGGGTGCCAATCCCTTTGGCCTATCCGCAAGTCATTTTCGTCGCCGTTCGATTCTACTTTTTCATGTGCCTTTTCACGCGGCAACACTTGGAGTATGCGGACAAAACGAAGAACACTGTTAGCGTGAGTTTATTCGATTTTCACTTGAGAACACGTTTATTTCGTTGGAATAGACATAGAGAGCATAAAATTTGCTACAAATTTCATGTAGATCACTTTTTTCGAATATCGATTGATTCTCGAAATACAAGGGTTCAAAGATGACGCTTGCTAGACACTTGATTTTTAAGTGTTGCTTACAAACAAGAGTATAACTCAAAAATGGCTAATTTTGGAGCAAAGTGAGCAACTACAAAGTGATTGAGGACAAAATTTGCTACAACTTTTATTTGAAACATTTTTTGATACAATTATTGGTTCACGAGATATACGTCTTCAAATATAAGGCTTGCGAGTTACTTGTTCGGTGTCTGTAAACAAGAGTGTAACTTGAAAATTGTGAATTTTTGAGCAAAATTATCAACTAGAAAGTTGTTAAACACAACATTTGCAACAACTTTTTAGTTAGTCACTTTTTGATACAATCACGGGTTCTCGAGATATAGGCTTCCAAAGATGCTAACAACATCTCTAAAAAACTTTATTCTATAATATCAATTTCAGGTCGACCAGTATTTCCCGCTTTTGACCGTATTCCAATTCATTTTCTTCATGGGCTGGATGAAAGTGGCCGAGGGTCTTCTGAATCCGCTCGGCGAGGACGACGACGATTTCGAGTGCAACTTTCTCATCGACAAGAACATTGCCGTACTTTTTTTTTCTTTTTTGGAGTCTTCTCCAACGTCTTTTTGCAGACAGGCATGGCAATTGTGGATCAGACGTGGAACGTGCATCCTGAAATGCGGCCCGACACTTTCCACGCCGCTTCTTCGCCGTTCTATCCGGAAGACGTCATCAATTCGGGAGCCGATCACGCGCTCGTCGGCTCTGCGCAGACTGTCACGTAAGTTGCATGGCTTACTAGCGAATGGCCCGCACTTACCTTGGGATTTTGCAAAATGAGACCTATATGATTCGAAAGAGAATTTCACGGAGCTCTCCATTTTTGCTAAAGAGCACTGGCTGGCTGGCGAGAAAATCTGCCTGTTTCTGCCACATTTTCCTAGCAAGTTCATCTTCGGCAACGTGTATCTCAAGAACCACGCGTCCGTTGCAAAAGTGGTCAACTGGTAAGTTAACGCAAATTATCTCGTGAATAACTTTGTAGTTGATCGTCTATTTTTAAAAAAATTAGTTTTCGAGTTATGAACTGTTTTCCTAGAGCGACAAGGAAAAAGTTAGTGCTGGGCTCAAAGCGCCGATAACTCGAAAACTAATTTTTTTTTAAATAGACGATCAACTACAAAGTTATTCACGAGATAATTTGCGTTAACTTACTAGTTGACCACTTTTGCAACGGACGCGTGGTTCTTGAGATACAAGTCGCCGAAGATGAACTTGCTAGGAAATGTGCCGGTCATTTCCTAGTTAGAAGCCAGAAACTAGGCCACGAGCTCTCAGATTGGCCGATCCCAACGATAATATCGACATGATGAAGGTGGACGTGAACTCGCCGATCGTCGTCGGCCGAACTTTGGCGGCGGCCGACTCGCGCGCGTCCACCTTCCGAAGACGTCTGAGCTCGGCGTTCGGGAAACGGACCCGAAGCCATTCGGTGCAACATCTGGGACCGGAAAAGCCGGAACCCGACACACCGTTCTCGCAGTCGATGGCTCCACAACGACCCTACGCCGCTTTCGAGCTCTCCAACGGATTCGGCTCCGCAGTTCTCGGCAACACTTCGCAGAGCCACTTGCCAAAGTTGGAGGAGGAGGAGTCGACGTCTTCCGCCGATTCCGACGCTGTAATTCTTCAATTCACAAAGGGTTTTTGTTGATAAAAAGTGTTCAGACCGAGCTGGCGGATCCTCCCACGCCGCCGCCGCCGCCAATGTTCGTGTTGGCTCGCGGCTTCAGCGAAGAGGCAAATGGTCCCACTAGCCCGACGTTGCCGTTTAGTCGGCCAGTTCCAAGAGACGACGGGATGAAGTTGGACAAGATGAAATTGAAGTTTTAGTATTGTTGTTCTATTACGCTCTCGCTGTGTGTCTGTCTGTCAAATTGGCTATATTAATATTATGATAAAGATTGTCAAACCTCAAGAATTATATATATACAAGATTAGAATTATGTACTCCAAAATTGGGTTTTGAAAGTTCCTTGCCGCCTTCAAAAAGTAGAAATAGCATTGTGATCAGCAGAGTTGAGCGAAAGAACACGGAAGAATTTTTATCTTTTTTAGAAAATTTTTTCATGAAATGTGATCAACTGACGAAATGTATAGAAAAGTGAACTCTGCTCATAGAAAAATAATTGTAAATTTAGCGATTCATACAAAAAAGTTATTCGAGTTGTTCCGTTGGCCCCTTTTTGAACGAAAGAACTCGAATAACTTTTTTGTATGAAAAGCTAAATTTACAATTATTTTTCTATGAGCAGAATTCACTTTGCTATACATTTCATCAGTTGAACACATTCCATGAAAAAATTTTCTAAAAAAGATAAAAAAAATTCTTCAGTGTTCTTCGAGATGCGTCCCGATATCTGCAAGCTAGGAGTTGTGGTTTTGCATCCGCAATGACCAGCCGCAAAACAAACCATCCAGCGCACGCGAAGCCGTCGACGACGTCGGTTCCAGCACGATAAAGAGCATTGAATGATGCACCGCTTGCCGCGGCGAACAACGATCAATAAAAGGACCAGAACAACAGTCCTGACGGTGCGGAACCGAGTCGGAGAGAATTCAACAATATTTTTAGGTGTTACGATGTACTTGAAACATCTTCTAATCCTCTGGCATTTAGTTATTAATCTAACGGCGGCCCTAATTAGATTAATAAATTGTCTAGCTAGATTAATAAATCTTCTAGCTAGATTAATAATTGCTCAAATCTCGATTGCGCCAAGAAAAAAAGCAGTCGAATCGAATTAGGTCGCGTTTAGATCAGCAACTTTCTAATTAGATTAGAGAGTCTCCGGTCTCCGGACCCATCCGTCGTTATCATTGAGTAGTTGGTCCGGGCTGATTACATAATCCCAATCGGATGACTATCACTCCACCATATTTGCTCGGAGTATTACAATAACAATAGAGTGACATGATTATGCAATTGCCCAAAAAAAAGGTGATCTGACATTGACCCCCACTCTTTCTTTTCTTTTTTGCTTGGTCAACAATACCCGCCGATTTGTGTTTGTTTTGTTGCGAGAAAAGCATCGAAATTCGAGAAGCACTAACACTATTTGGGTTTTCTTGAAATTTTTGGTCAGGAGTAGGGGGCTAATAAATTGTGCGCCGGCAGTAGTAGCCGATGATATCGGAATGGGGGGCGGATAAGGAAAGCGGGACACAGTCATTAACGGGGTAATAAATGAGCGAAACGACAAAAAGGATGCGGATTACGGTAGGCACAAGGCTATCAGTGATCGAGTGATTAGTCAGTCAGTTCCGTTTGATTAACAGTGGGGTCTTTGAGGCTTCCAATCGGGTAAGTGACGGGCGGATGGGTTACTGTACCTTTTGTGATGTTATTACACTTTTAATTGACAACATTTCTGAATTCTTGGTTAGTTTGTATGTTCGCAAAGACTACAGTAACCCTGGAAACCCTTCTTTACTATAAACTTTTGGCTTTTTCAAAGAACAAATTGGTCTAGAATCTTAAAGCAACAATTCTAGTCCAGGTTTTCAACGTTACATGTTTCCTAGGCCATCTGGTGCAAATTTGAGTCAGTTTTAGGCTGCCCACTAGGAAAAACCGGTCGATTAGGCGGCCTGATTTGGAAAGTTAGGCCCCCCATTTAACAACAATATCCATTACCGATGGATGATGCGATGCGAATCGCTCACTTGTCATCATTATTCTTTTTCCGGTAGAATGGTAGTAAATTACCATGTCATGCCCCTCTTTTTAACTTTTTTCCCATAATCTCTTCCACTACATTTCCATTTCCACTGTCACTTTCTCTCTCTTTTCCTCTACTTGTGTGCGGGTGTGTGACACACTCTGTGTGCCCATAAAATCATTATAAATTCCACTCGAAAAGATGCATTCTCCTCTTTTTTGTGGTCCTTTTTCATTAATTAGAGAGAGAGAGAGCTCTCTAGGGCTCCAGCGCCCCTATTCTGATGACAATTGAATTGCCGCCGAGAACCACTTTTTCAGCCAAATAATGCTCAATGGCTGAAAAAGCGGGAGTGGTTTGAGAAGAGTTTGGTGAAAAGTAAAGCCACTCATTCTGGGCCGCGTTGTTAAAGGCCCCGGGGAACCCAAAAAGTTTTTGATTTTTTTGTGAAATTTTTTGTGCCTGTTCGAATTGTCTCTTATTGCCACTCATACACTGGTGAAATGCTGCCTCTCAAAAATGCCAATAAACGAAACGACGTGCAGTTGAAGTTGTGGCCGTGGCCTAGCGCCAATGGCCTAGAAATATGCGCTTCTCGGCCATTTTATTTTTTCCGCCTTTTTACCGGTTTTTTCGCGATAAAATCGAAAACTCGCGTATCGACTGAATAAAAACAATTTCTTAGCAGTGAAAAAATAAGCAAGTGCCGAACAAATGTCAATCAACTGAAAAATGGGAGAAACCGTTAATTTTTGGAAAAAAAACCGGTAAAAAAGCGGAAAAAATAAAATGGCCGAGAAGCGCATATTTCTAGGCCATTGGCGCTAGGCCACGGCCACGGCCACAACATCAACTGCACGCCGTTTCGTTCATTGGCATTTTTGAGAGGCAGCATTTCACCAGTGTATGAGGCAATAAAAGACAATTCAAACAGACACAAAAAATTTCACAAAAAAATCAAAACATTTGAGGGTTCCCTGGTCCTTTAAAGATAAAGTTAGGCGAGCGGTCTGAAATCCTAGGCCACACACACATACACTTGATCAATTGACGAAATGTATAGCAAATTGAACTGTGTGCTCATCGAAAAATAATTGTAAATTTAACTTTTCATACAAAAAAGTTATTCGAGTTGTTCCGTTGGCCCCCTTTTTTCACGCAAAAACTCGAATAACATTTTTGTATGAATCGCTAAATTTACAATTATTTTTCTATAAGCACAGTTCACTTTGCTATACATTTTGTCAGTTGATCACATTTCATGACAAAATTTTCTAAAATTTCAAAATTTTTCTAAATTTTTTCTAAATTTTCTAAATTTTCTTTTCAAAATTTTTCAAAATTTTCAAAATTTTCTAATTTTTCTAAAATTTTTCTAAAAAAGATAAAAATTCTTCCGTGTTCTTCCGCTCAATTCTGGCCATTGCTTCCACTTTTTTCAAGCCTCTCGGACAAAAACTGATTATTATGAAAGCCTAGGGCCACGTTCTGCTGTGCCAACACACACTTCTCCTAATCCCTTCTGCTCTCAACTAACCCATCTCTGGAAATTTGACCCAATCGCTCGTCCATTTTCGTTTTTGTTTAGATTCCTCAATGTGTGTGTGTGTGTGTGTTTTTCTCTTTTTCCCCAACAAAAAGAGTGTTAATCTGTTCACAGGATTAGAGCAACTTTTGTGGCCACGTACTCTTGCCGAAATCTCTTGTTTTAGTACGAAACGAGGAAAACAAGAAGAAGAAGAAGAAGAAGAAGAGAGAGAGAGAGAGAGAGGAAGCGGACATTTGAAACCTATAATTATGGTCACTCTCACTCTTTCTCTCTCTTCTTCTTCTTGATATCAGAGAGCGCGGCTTCCGGTGAGCCAACATTTTTCGAGCTTCTTTTGCGCGCATCTCTGCCGATTCATACGCGTCTAGCCTACAATTTTTGAGTGGATTCGCTCTCAATGTTCTGGACTTTCCGAAGACATTTCCCCCCCACTTGTTTTGCTCAAATCTGCATCTGAAAATAGTCCGGATTTCCGAATCGATCACACTTTTCCTCACACACATAAATCCCCTTTTTCTGTCAAACTCTCTCTCTTTTTTCAAAAAAGTCTCCTAATTTCGGCCAATTTCAACGTTGAAAAAACGTGTTACGTAACGGTCTCTCCTAGTCTCATAGCATGGTCGATGCACCATGTGCAAGGACGCTGCCTGCACACGTAACACACAATTGAGCCATTTAGCGTGTGGCTGGACCTCTTTGTTCTCTTTTCTCGGGGGAAGGGGGCTCGTTTAATTTATTGAGGAAATACCGTAGAACAATGGGGGAGGACGATTAATAATTGTAGGAGAGATTCCAAAAGGTATGCACCACATAATCACCCGGTCTTGGGGCACTTTAGAACGACCAAAAACGGTGCGCATTGTCGAGGGGGGATAATGGGAAATTTGAGGAGTTTTTGTGGGAAACGGGGCAGAGGAGGACACAAAGTTAAGGTCATAACTCTGGTATTGTCCAGTTTTTTGGACAGATAATATAGTTTAAACGCCAATTCAATTCAAGACGATGTATCTCAGCTGTCGGTACACGTACCAAAATGTGGTCAACTGATGAAAAGTGCACAATTTTATAATTAACATTTCATTAGTTGACAACTTTGCGATATCTCTGCAAACAACTGAGATATAGTGCTTTGAATAGAGTACTTACGGTAGACCCCCTAGTTGAGATATTGTATAGCTCTAGAACAGTTCTTTCCAGTGAAAAGATGCTTAGTATTTACGAGATCTTGCCATTCACAAGTGTATTGCGTAATTTGTATCACACACTCTTACACAATAGTCGAACAAGTGTTCCTATTATTCGCCTAATCCTGTACTCCCTCACACTATTAGCAAATATAGTGTGAGGGAGCAGTAATCCAACTGCGAGTATGTGCATAATCTCTCTGGGAGCTGATAGTAGTTATCAGGGGAGGGGGTAGAAATCATGAAAAGGTCTAGAAGGACTCGACTAATTAGCAGCTGAGTGTCAGGAAATGAAAGAGTTGACGGATAATATTATTACTGACTAGTTTCGTAGCGTTTAGAAGCTTATGCATAGTTTCAGACACTTTTAGCATTGGTCAGTGGTCAACTTTTGACATTTTTACAACCGTTTACTGTCAAATACGGTGAAAAAGTATCAGGATTATACAACCCCGCCCCCCAAACACCGCTCATTCAAAACAATATATATCTCAGCCGGCGGTAGAGATATCTTAAAGTGGTCAACAGAAAAATTGTGCACAAAGACATTTTGAGTATTTTATCTGTTCACGACTTTATGATATTTGTACTCGCCGTTGAGATACACAGGACAATATTCGTTGCAAACTTTCCAACTCCTGGACCAATCAGCCAGGGTTCGTCTGAAAGGAAAAATGGCGGGAAGCACAACAATTGCCTTCTCCTCCCAATCCATCTACAAACAACAAACAAATAACGTCGTCGTCGTCGTCGTCTTCTGCTCTTCTTCTTCTTTTTTGTTACCTGCCTGCGTCTCTCGGGTCTTTCGGGGCCTTTTTCCCCCTCGGCTAGACTCCGCCCACTTTTCGGGGCGAGGTACCCCCTCCCCCCCTTCCCCCGCCCGTCCTTCTCTTCCTTTGGTTCCGTTTGCTTTGTCACCCGTCGACGACCAGAGACACAATTTTAATTGTATCATACAATACTCGTTCTATTTTGATTGGTTTCGACCCGTTTCTCTCGGCTCTCGACGCATAACATAAACACGCGGAGCAGCAGCAAAAAAAAAAAGAAACGAGCGACGCTTCTCTCTTTTCCATTCATAAAATATGCAAATTGGACTCGTTAACTCGTTAACTCTTCGCTCTTTTTCTCTCTTTTTGCTACCGCTTTTTGTTACCCCCTTTTTCGACGTTTCAGTTGATGAAATGCTAACAATCATCGTCTGGCTTCTGCTACCGGCTCTCGGCGTCGGCGACGAGCTCATTTCGACCAGATGCCAGGCGCAATGCCTTCATTTGATGGACGAGCGGTTACACGTGAGTTTTTGTACTGTTTTTTGGGGCAGAGCGGCGCCTGACAGTCTCAAAATCCGGCTTCGGCTTGCTGTGACTGAGAATTCGGTGACTTTTCATAGAATCATAGATTCTTCCCTCCTCCACAATCACCAATCACTTTAGTACAGTATCAGGCTTGTAAATCTTGTCCCCCCTCCCCCCTTTTCGCGTTATCTCAATTCTTGATCTCTACCGGAATTCGCCCTTGATTGACATGTTTGTACACTACCAACCCGGGAGTCCAGGGGGGACCATGTCACCTGGAAGAAGCATGTATACAGTAACCCGATAGTTGCACTTGAAAAAAAAAACAAACGCGGCTCTTTGTCGTCGTCGGCATGCACACGCAAAAAGCGAGACACAATAGCAATAGGTGATGGATAGATAATACAAGTGGTCATCGAGCCGAACCGGGGGGGGACCAGTGGTGCACTTTTGCAGTTACGCAACTTTAGTACATGACATTAACCTCAACTGTGAGAGCGGCGCGCTTTTGATGTGCTATTGTGTCTGCAAAACATTATAAAAGCGTCTAGAGTTGCGTAACTTTTGTATCAAAAGCGACCATCTTTGAGTGAGAGTATGTTGGTACTTGATTATTATCACAACACATTACAACTCAGAGTTGAGCGGAAGAACACAACGGAAGAATTTTTTTATCTTTTTTAGAAAATTTTTTCATGAAATGTGATCAACTGACGAAATGTAGAGCAAATTGAACTGTGCTCATAGAAAAATAATTGTAAATTTAGCAATTCATACAAAAAAGTTAAGGGCTAACCGAAGACGGAAAGACACATTTTCACGCAACAACTCGAATAACTTTTTTGTATGAATCGCTAAATTTACAATTATTTTTCTATGAGCACAGTTCAATTTGCTCTACATTTCGTCAGTTGATCACATTTGATGAAAAAATTTTCTAAAAAAGATAAAAATTATTCCGCTCAACTCTGGCTGCAAATGCACAGAACGCCCTCCATTACTAACAAACAAAGCAACAATTGTCTTCCGAGGTACGTCGTCTCGTTTCCTGTGTCCATCAGAGATAACTACAGGTGTCATATGTTATTCTAACCGAAATGCCTGTTGTGTGTTGTAAAAGCAGCGATGAGACAGCTGTGTGTGCGGGACCTAAAATTAATGCTATGTTGACTCTTCTTATCCCTCCAAATGACACTAAAACGCATCAATTCGAAAGTTTTATTGGTGCACAAGGAGAGCGCCTAGACGCACACTTAATAAGTGTGAAAGAATGTCCTTACGGTGTGTGCGAACTTTTGTGTTTCGAATGAGAAAAGGGGTCCGCGCGAGCGAGGAGGAGGTCGCGTTGTAAGTGCACTCGAGAAGAAGGTCTTTCGAGGATGAATGGTGGTGGGGGGGGGGCAAAAAGGACAATATGGACTGCTGCTGGGGGTTCCAAAAAGTACCGTAACCGTGTGTCTCTCCATAAATTTCGCGCACTAACCGATCCCCCCCCCACCGAAATCTTGATAAGAGCGACGTGCTTCCAATGACAACACAACATGATTTACTACTGATTTATGCCCCCAGCCATAAGAAGACCACACACACACACACATGAAATCGTCACGCATCACCGAAGAGGAATTCCGCAAGTGGTGGTGGACGGCAATTAGTTTTATGGAGATGTCTCTGCCGCGAGATTGAGATTTAGATATATACAACTCTTACTCGAAATCCTCCTCGTAGGCAAAGCTTCTTGAGGAGGAGCGGTGAAGACGAATAATTATTATAATGAATTTCGCAATGTATATTAGATCTTGGCCTCAAAGTTGTGTGAACGTTTGGACACAGGGACGTTTCGCAACCACCAAGTCACTTTGCAACCGAGACATCTTTTATTTGTCATGACAATTGACGACAATCTGCCTTTGTTTTTGCAACTTTCAAGCAAAGCATCGTCTAGTTGCAGAAAGAGTTGAACGGAAGAACACGGAAGAATTTTTTTTATCTTTTTTAGAAAAATTTTTCATGAAATGTGATCAACTGACGAAATGTATAGCAAAGTGAACTGTGCTCATAGAAAAATAATTGTAAATTTAGCGATGCATACAAAAAAGTTAAGGGCCAACGGAAGACGAAAAGACATTTTCACGGAACAACTCGAATATAACTTTTTTGTATGAATCGCTAAATTTTCAATTATTTTTCTATGAGCAGAGTTCACTTTGCTATACATTTCGCCAGTTGATCACATTTCATGAAAAAATTTTCTAAAAAAGATAAAAATTCTTCCGTGTTGTTGTTCTTCCGTGACTCTTCCGCTCAACTCTGGTTGCGGAATGTCCTATCAGTTGCAAAACGTCCAAGCATAGTCGAAGCAGTTGCAAAGCGTCTTCTCCTCAAATCGGAGCGCCCAACCCACAGTGACCCCAGGGAGGGGGGGTCAGGTGTGTGTTGTTAGTTTGGCGGCGGCTCATCCTTTCCGCCACAAAAAACACCATCAATCAGTGACACGGGGCGGGCGGGCGGCTCGGCAGCCAGATGGATAATATAGACAAAAGGAAGAAGTGACTTGGTGATGAGGGTGGCCGGCGGCCGAAGGTCAATCATCTTTTCTAACTTTACTACTATGTACAACACTTGCCACTAACTTTTTTTTGCCACTACTTTTCTCTTTTGCTGGCGAGCGGGCAGCAGCGGCAGGAAGCACACATAATTATGGGGGGTGTTGCAAAGGGAAAAAGCGAGGCGATGGCAGTTTTGAATGGAAAAGAAAAAGGTTCACTCAAGGCTGGTCCCTAGAGGATCGCCTACAAAACTTTCCTACGGTACTTTTGGCGCCAAACTTCCGGCGCCCATTCTCATTCTCATTGCGATGAACATCTGTCGAATTATTGTAACCTTTCCGCTCGCCATTCGATGCTTATCTTCACCAAGTCACTCACTCACTCACTCTCTCTCATCCATCTTCTTCTAAATGTCTTCCCCGGTGGCGCCAAGAAGGGTGGCGCCACTCCAGTTTTGAGAGAGAGAGAGAGAGAGAACCGAATTGATTGAGTCGCTCGTAAAGAACGAATTTTGTGTAAATCTTTATGAATCATGAGGACCGGAACATATGGCTCGACGACAAAGAACCGAACAATAGAGGGATGGGAAGAGCGTCGTCGCTCACAAAGTTCTCATTAATATTTCATCAAAAGTTCTCGCACGACTCCTGAGAGAATCGACACCCGTTCACAAAATATTCGTTCACACAAATCGGCGAGTGGTGGATGGATACATTAGCATATTGTACATTTCAAGGGGGGGGGGGATCAAAGACGGGCGGCAATGATTTGTGGATGACGTGGCACGACGGTCTGGCCTAATGAATTATTAGCGAGAAGAGGGGGCATTGCGTCGTCGGTGATTAGACGGCTCTTTAGCTCTTTTTGGGGTTCTCTTGAGAATTGAATGGAATGCACTGTGGGGGCGGCTCACATTTTTCGACATCCTCAGCAGAGTTGAGCGGAAGAACTCAACGGAAGAACACGGAAGAATTTTTATCTTTTTTAGAAAATTTTTTCATGGAATGTGATCAACTGACGAAATGTATAGAAAAGTGAATTCTGTTCATAGAAAAATAATTGTAAATTTAGCTTTTCATACAAAAAAGTTATTCGAGTTGTTCCGTGAAAAAAGGGCAAACGGAAGACGGAAGGACAACAACTCGAATATAACTTTTTTGTATGAAAAGCTAAATTTACAATTATTTTTTTATGAGCACAGTTCACTTTTCAATACATTTCGTCAGTTGATCACATTCCATGAAAAAATTTTCTAAAAAAGATAAAAATTCTTCCGTGTTCTTCCGTTGAGTTCTTCCGCTCAACTCTGATCCTCAGGCAGTCCTAGTCGAATTCGTCTCTGAAAGAATGGACGAACTTTTCCACTCGCACACCCTCGGCCACGTCTAATTACCGTTCTGGCGCATCGCGAACCGCCTCAAAAAGAAACACTTAACCTGTAATTAGCAATGAAGCAAGCGTACACAAATAATTGGCACCGTATTGTTGCTTTTCTCGTCGTTTTCCGGAACACCCTTTGAAATACCGCAAAGCTATACAATACTTTTCTCTCTTTTTTACTTGATTTTGGCACCGCCGATTCGTCGTCACCGATTATTTATGGGGGAGGCGAAAACGACGCCGATGCATCAGTGTCTGTGGCAAAAAAGAAGACATGGTGCCAGATGGCGACACGGTTTTTATGGTTGTGTGTGGGCAGGAATAGAGGAGGGACACAAAAACATTTGAGACATCGGCTGCGGCGGTTTGAAATCGGAGAAGAGTTAAAAGAAGAGAAAAATGAGGCGGGGGGCGGTCAGGTTACGGTACTTCTTTCGGCACTGCTTCGAAAACTGCGCATAACCTGAAATTGAGGCGTTTTTCGATAAAATGCTCAACTACAAAGTTGTTCAGCTTGAAATTTGACACACTTTTTCTGTTGACCACTTTTTCGAATAGCCATTAGTTCTCCAGATACGTGCATTATTCTTCTTCCACCCGACTTCCCCATTCCATCTCAATTTCCGTTAATTCCAAATCCTACACTTTTCGTTCTCTTCTTCATATTCTTGGAATCCGTATTAGTGCCGCGTCATTTGGCACACTGTCTGTCTACTTTTGGACGAACGAACGGACGGAAGACAGCACCCGAATAATCCGGAAAGTACACACTGCGCGAAAACAGACTAGGACGCCAATGTTCACGCCTGAATTAGTTTTCCCCCCGCCCGAAGACGGTGTATGTACATATTGTCACCAAACCGCTAAGATTTGGTAGTGGGGGGGGTCTAAAACTTTTAGGCTAAAAGTGAGCATCGCAAAAGCCTAATAGCAACAATATCTCGTTTTGCAGAGCAATCAGGAGCTGCGCAAGTCGCTCAAACATCACATAATTCAGATGTGCAAGGAGGACGCGACGTGTTCGGCTGTGAGTTTTAGTACTGTTTGCGGTTGCGATTACTATAATAGCGAGCGGAACCCGCCGGGGAGGGGGCAACACACATGTACATGAGCGATCGATGGATCCAACTAGAATTCATGGCCGTTTTTGATGCACGAGGTTAGCTCTTGACGACACACTCGAGAAACAGATGAAGTGTACTCGATACATTGTGTCATACAGCACACACACCAACAGCTGCTCCCGGCTCCATTTTGGGGTGGTACCACCACTACGGGACCCCAAAAAAAGAGAATGAAAGGGGGGAATCTCATCTGGAGAAGAGTCGAGTGATTGATGGGCTTCTGGCGCCACCTACCACCACCACCATAAGGAGAGAGCGTAAACGAGCCGCGACGAATTGGAAAGACCCAAATTTCCGGCGGTCCCTCACCCCTCCCCCCATCTGTCATGATCTCGGATTGATCATGAGTCAGCTGTTGGATTTTTGAGGGGTTTTACATAGATGTGCTAGGCACCTAAACGTGTAACTTGTGACAATTTTTAACAAACGTCGACTAGGCGCCGTGTTGAACCGTAATGCCGCGTCCAAAAAGTCTCGGAAAACGCGCAAATCTCGCGGAAATTTGCGGGAAATCCGGGGTGCGCACAGCTGAACGAGTGTTACCGTACACCATAAAAACTACGGTGTTTTTTTGAAAATTTACCCAAGAAATTTGAAAAAAATTTCAAACATTCTTGAGAAATTTAAATTTTTTTTCAAAAAAATTCCGTTGAAAAATTTACCCAACAAGAAATTTGAAAAATTTTCAAATATTCTCGAGAAATTTAAATTTTTTTCAAAAAAATGCCGTTGAAAGTTTGCCCAACAAGAAATTTGAAAAATTTTTCAAATATTCTCGAGAAATTTAAATTTTTTTCAAAAAAATACCGTTGAAAGTTTGTCCCAACAAGAAATTTGAAAAATTTTCAAATATTCTCGAGAAATTTAAATTTTTTTCAAAAAAATACCGTTGAAAAATTTACTCAACAAGAAATTTGAAAAAAATTTCAAATATTCTCGAGAAATTTAAATTTTTTTCAAAAAAATACCGTAGTTTTATGGTGTACGGTGACACTCGTTCAGCTGTGCGCACCCCGGATTTCCCGCAAATTTCTGCCGTCTTTGGACTGCAAAATCCGCGAGATTTGCGGGTTTTCCGAGACTTTGAACGCGGCATAAGTTAGGCGCTCACGATCTATGATAGAGATGATGGCCTAGGATCCGACACAGGCGAAAGTTCGGTCACCTTGACTTTTAGCTTCTAGCTTCTAAGGTATCTATACAAAAATGCTCCCGTCCAAACTCTTTAAAGTTCAGACCCGTACACGAATCACAGGGCCCGCGTCAATTAGCGCGACCAGACGGGCGGCGGCAAGTTCAAGAATCTCGGACACATAAAAATGCTTAACGACACACGGCCAGATGTGTCATTTTCTTTGCTCTGCACCCATAATTACCGTAATCGTAGAGCGTCGTTAACATCATTTTGTGTGGTGTGGGAGCTTTCCGAGATTTCGGAACTATTTGGTAACATGTGGGGGGGGGGGTAATACTTTGTCATAATTATACCCTTCAAGTGGCACGCGGGGCCTACTCGACAAAACATTTATGCGTTTGATTCGCGAGACTGAATCGAATTAGCTCGATGATTATGATGGAATGAGTGGGAGGGCAAAAGTGTCACAACAACAAGAAGCAGATATTGTCCAATTCGAACTGCATAATGCTGACATTTTTCAGTGCTCCGCACCTTGCCGCGAACAATTCGACGATATCAAAGCGTGCAAAAAGTCGTGTGTCTCGTCGGATGACAGGGAAATGTGCGAGGATTCGTGTCACTACGTGCAAACGATATATCAGGAAAAGCCCGGAGCGTGCCCGAGCGTTAGAAATCAATCGAACTACGTAGGAGATTTGAGCGGCTCCGTCACTATTCACCTCTTTTTTGCAGGAGTGCTCAGCGCTGTGCCAGATGGACGGCGACTGTGCGGAGACGCAAAAGTGCTGCTCGTCGGGCTGCTCGCGCCAGTGTCTTCGGCCCCGATCCGCCGACGTCAAACTGCTGCCGATCCCGCGAAACATCACGGTGCAGGAGCGGAAGCGGAAGCGAAGTATCATAATTCGATGGGCGACCGGACGGCTCTCGAGAGCGCAGCAAAACGAGAACGCCAACCTGTTTTTGGTGCAGTGGCGATGGGGTGTGCACGCCGGCGAGCACGCGATGACCGAGTGGCAGACGGTGACGGTCCGCAACAAACCCTACGCGATTCTCAAGCACTTGCTCTCGCCCGGACGCTTCTATCAGTTCCGAATCGCCGCCGTTTCGCAGGAGGGAAGTCTCGGCTTCAGCACCGCTTCGCAGCCCTTCAAGATTTCGAAAGAGGCGAAAGCGCCGCCGCCGCCCAAGGATATGTCGTTGGGCGCGTCGAAATTGATGTCGAACGGGTTGTGGAATCAGATGGTCCATTGGAACCCGCCGCCCAGCGATTTGCCCATCAAGAACTATCAGGTAAGAGAATGAATGTGGTTTGAAGTGATATTGTTCATCCCTAGTACTTTTCTCTTCTACACGGTCTCCTCAGAGCTTACAATGGGCGTGCAAGTGCGCCCCGCCCAATAGAGCGATACATTGGCGCGAAATTCAAATTTTAACAGCAAATTTTGTGTTTTTTGCCAGATTAACCACTAAAAATTGATAATTTCTCATTTTTCTCTCGATAGGCCGATAGTATAGGCTATTACGAATTTTTTAAGCGAAAGAGCGTCAAATTTGGTCAAGTCGCAAATCACATTTATCCGTTTGAAGGTTTTTGGCTAAAACTGCGTGAATTTCAGTTGCTTTTCGGTAATTTTCGCGGTTCGAGCGCTCAAAATGCTTGTATTCACGTGATTTATCATTCTCAAAACCAATTCTGTCGGAAAACGGTCAAGAAAGCGCAAAATGAGAAGGGCGGTTTTTAGGCTGCGAAATCCACGAAAATGAGCGCCAAAACGTCATTAATTCTGAGAATTAGTGTGTTTTCATTTCGCGCAATCATTTTTCATCGCCGTTGACCACAAAAATCCGAAAAAAAACGTGCTCAATTCATGAAAATGCCATTTGGCCGCCGAGGCCACGCCCATATTGTCGGCTCTGGAGACCGTGTTCTAGTTGACATTTTCTTGGTACAAGTTGTGGGTAACTTCTAGGAGCTACAGTACTCTTCACAAAAGTCGTCAACTACAAAACTAGAGTATTTTGGCAATTGACAACTGTCTTGTAAAAGTACTGCTCAGTAAAGTCTTCTATTGCAACCCAAAAAAAGGTGTTGAGCAAGCAAAGCCACCTGTTGCGTGGGCGGCATATGGTGCATCGAATAAAGTAATCTCGGCGTGTTTGCCGAGAGGCTCACACCTTTTGAAGTGGCCCCGAATGCCCACTAATCCCTCATTCCAATGCACTTGAGGGTGTGTTCACATGAGAATTCATTGCCAACCCGAATGGACCGAATGTTCTTTCAGATCTCGTGGGCCGCGTCGACAAAGTCCGAAGCCGACGCGTTCGAGGAGCAAATGCGAAAAAAGAGCACTCTTGAGTTTGCGGCGCACGAGAAACGAAGCCTGTCGGATGAGGACGAAGAGTGGGGCATTCAGGAGCGGGACCGGCACTCGCTGGTGGTCCCGAGTCACTCGAGCAACACGGAAATCACGGGCCTCTTCCCGAACAGTGTGTATATTGTGGAAGTGCACGCGTCGGTGGATTCGAGCGACGGCGAGCTGCACGGCGAGAACGGCATCGTGTTCATCAGGACTTCTGGGCCTTCTGGAGTGGCGGCGGCGGCGTCTGACGAACCGTATACGGGACCGATTGCTCGAATTGCTCATGAAAGTGAGGAGCTGACCCTGGAAGAGGTGACCACTGTCGCGTCGCCAACCAAAAAACGAGTGCAACCAACTGCTGCGGCCTCCTCCGTCGCTCACTTGGAAATCCAGAAGCCGTTCTTCGACGCCGAGCTCCAGACCAATCTAAACTGGCTGAATAGCGTCCATTGTACGCCCGGCAAGCGACAATTCTCGGTGAAAGTGCGGAAAACGTTGTGCCGAGAGTACCAGCCGAACCATCATTCGGACACGAGATGGCACGATCTGCGCGTCTCCGACTGCTCGGCGCTGCTCAAAGGACTCAGTTTCGATTGCGACTACAAAGTGGAAGTGACGGACACGCTGACCGGGGAGCCCGTCGTCGACGGTGTCTTCTCCACAGACACTTGCGAACAGACGAACGCGTTGAGTCCGATCGAGTGCTCGAGTCTGACGACTCCGATCCAGTGCCAGGTGACTTCCGAATCGTCGGCGCACTGCCATTGGACACGTCATCACGACGCGACGCAGACAGTCATTGGATACCGTATTCTGTTGAGCTCTCCGATCAATCAGGACACTAACACCACCATCAATCAGCCGCAGCTTCGGGAAGTTCGCTACGAAAGTCTGCAGCCGGGATATGTTTATACTGTTGAGGTTTGTGTGATTTACTAAGGAATGGCCCCCGGCTTTTGGAATGAGACCTATATGATTTGAAAGAGAATTTCACGGAGCTCTCAATTATTGCTAAAGAGCACTGGCTGGCGAGAAAATCTGCCTGTTTCTGCCACATTTTACTAGCAAGTTCATCTTCGGCGACGTGTATCTCAAGAACCACGCGTCCGTTGCAAAAGTTGTCAACTAGTAAGTTAACGCAAATTATCTCGTGAATAACTTTGTAGTTGATCGTCTATTTTTAAAAAAATTAGTTTTCGAGTTATGAACTGTTTTCCTATCGTCGCTCCGACCCCCCAGCACTAACTTTTTTCTTGTCGCTCTTGGAAAACAGTTCATAACTCGAAAACTAATTTTTTTTAAAATAGACGATCAACTACAAAGTTATTCACGAGATAATTTGCGTTAACTTACTAGTTGACCACTTTTGCAACGGACGCGTGGTTCTTGAGATACAGGGGTCGCCGAAGATGAACTTGCTAGGAAATGTGACAGAAACGGGCAGATTTTCTCGCCAGCCAGTGAGTGCTCTTTAGCAAAAATGGAGAGCAGATTCGGATTCTCCGTGAAATTCTCTTTCGAATCATATCGGTCCCATTCCAAAAGCATTCCAAAAAAGTGTTCAACTACAAAAATAAAGTTCACAAATTGAACTTCAATTTTGTAGTCGATCACTTTTCTGTGCAATAATTCCCAAGACTACTGTAGCTGTTGGAAGCCTACACACCCAAATTCCCCGTATTTTCAGGTGCAAAGCATCACGAACAAAGGTCTGGGACGGACGGTGAGCACTCAATTCGTGACGCATTCCGATTTGGATCAAAACGCGATTCAACGCTTTCCGGGCGGCGAAATCATCGAATTGCCGCTGGAATCGTCGTCCCCAACGCGCCCACTTCTTCTCTCTCTTTCCCTTCTTTTCCTTTTGCTCTGGAGGTTATTGTAGCCTTCGTCCACTCAATTTTTGCCAAATCTAGTTTGTTAGTTTTCATGTCATGTACGGTCTATTTACGGGTTTTCTTGATACTTGTGCGACACTTTTCTATCTGATTTTGTTTCTCCCGTTCATTTGTACGTTTTGTATGTGTTTGTAAGTTGAGATAAAGTAACTATATACACGGTCTCCAGAACGCAAGTGCGCCCCGCCGAATAGAGCGATACATTGGCGCGAAATTCAAATTTTAACAGCCAATTTTGTGTTTTTTGCCAGATTAGCCACGAAAAATCGATAATTTCTCATTTGTCTCTCGATAGACCGATTGTATAGGCCATTTCGAATTTTTTAAGCGCAAGAGCGTTAAATTTGGTCAAGTCGCAAATCAAATTTATCCGTTTGAAGGTTTTTGCCTAAAAATGCGTGAATTTCAGTTGTTTTTCGGTAGTTTTTGCGGTTCGAGCGCTCAAAATGCTTGTATTTCATGTTGAAAAAAAAGGTTCGACATTGGAATCGAAGCTGGCAGCGTGCCAAGGCCCGGCTTCCCAAACGCATATGCTGCGCGCGATTGTTGCAACATTGCCGCACGCTTCATTGTTCTTCGTCTTGGTTTTTATTTTTCGGCTAAAAATCAGCAGAAATTTGGGTTTTCCCGTTTTTTACCCGTATTTATTCATTTCAATCGCCTTTTGCTATAAAAAATCAACTTTGAAAACAGATTTATCGATTTTTAGCTTGAATTTTCGAAAATTTTTCGATTTTGTGTTTTTCTCCTTTCGATTTCGCTGAATTTTGAGAATTTTCAGGATTTCCACCTACGGAAAAGTCGAACAAGCAACAAAAGGGCATGGATTTCTTCTTTTCGTGTTAGTTTTTGACAGAAAGCGCAAAATGAAAAGTGCGGTTTTTAGGCGGCGTCGGCGGCGAAGGCGAAAAAGCAACGAAAAATGAGCGCCAAAACGTCATTAATTCTGAGAATTAGTGTGTTTTAATGTCGAACAAACATTTTTCATCGCTTTTGATCGCAAAAATCAGAGAAAACGTGCCCAATTCATGAAAACGCCATTTGGCCGCCGAGGCCACGCCCATATTGTCAGCTCTGGAGACCGTGATATGAAATCCTAGGCCACCCTCGTCGGATTCTAGGCCATCTTCAAGGCATTCAAAGAGAAACGCAATCGTCCATCAATGTTTCAACGTGAAAACCAATATTTCCACGTGGCAAGTGGTCAAACTTGAACCAACTAAAACTCGATGTTATTGTTGTTCAAAAACCGATTCGATTTTCGCATCGCATCGCTACAAAGAAATGGGAATTCGCGGACGTCTTCAGAAACAGAAGAAAGACAAGAGATCATCATCGTCCGCGAGAAGTAAACAGAGGTATGCGGCCGCAGATTCGCGACGACGCCTGAAAACAGTTCCGTCCGGCTCAGATCGTCATCGCGCTCGAATGCGTCGTCGCAAACGTCGGAGCGGAGTCAGAGCTCTGTCAAAAGTAAAGTGGCGAGGAAGAAGAGCAAACGGACGGTGCGAGTGAGGAAACTGTTCGAGGCAACCGGTCCCCGTTTGTCCATCATTTTGATCAGTTGGATCCAGTCGATCCTCATCGTCTACGTCATCGTCGCCAGCATTTATAACCTGTTCTGGAGCAATCAGGGCTCGCTTTTCGTCTTCATCGCCATGCTCGAGGTACTGACTTCCAACAGCTACAGTAATCTAGGGTGAAGTTGTACGGAAAAATTGTCAACTACAAACTTAAAGTACTCGAGTTGCACTTTATTTTTGTAGTTGACAACTTTCTTGTACACTATCCCAAGACGACAGTAGATAATGGAAGTTTGAGCTGCAGCAAATCGTAGTGCCAACTTCCAAGAGCTACAGTACCCCGCAGAGTAATTGTACAAAAAAATTGTCAACTAGAAAAATGAAGCGCAACTCGAGTACTACATATTTGTAGTTGACAACTTTTTTATACAGTCTGGCCCAAGAGCTACAGTAGCCGATTGTTCAGACGTGTGCGTGTTTCCTGGAGTATCACGCGTTCAGCAACTGCTACACGGGCGCTTGCTGCACATTTTTGGCCTATCAATACGTTCTGCTCGTCTGCTTCTTCTCCACCTTCCTGCAATCGGACTACGATCCGAATGAGTGGGTGGCCTAGCTTTTCCTCTTCCACACGGCCATTTCCAGCTCGTTCTGGGCTAAACTGTTCGGTTTGGCGGCGCTCACGCTCTTCGCCTCTTTGCTCCATTTTGCCATTCTCATCCAATCGATCGAACTCATCGGAGTGTCGCAGAAGCGCAACGACTACGTCGGACAGCTGATTGTGGAGTCGAAGGAGACGCGCCGCCGCGACGTCTTCACGATGGTCGCGCAGCTCATTCAGACGGTGTGCTCTGGCGAAGAGGACATGTGAGTTTACCGCGGGAAATTGTGGCTTGACGCCACCGTCTCCCAGGGGGCGCTAACGCTAAACACAGTGCGCTCGTAAATTGCGGAGTGTCGTTGTAACTTTTTTGAAAATTTGCACGTCTAAAAATGCACTTCAATTCGAGTTTATGACCATTATTTCTTTCTTTTTGTCTTGAAAAACGTCTAGAAAACAATATTTTACCGGTTGGAAACCGTTCTTTACAGAATTTAGAGTTTTTCATGTTTTTCGCATTTCGTCAAAACTTCAAACCTTTATATTTCAGCTCATTTTGCATTTCATGAGCCCAACGAACGATAAAAATGTTCGCTGAATCTTTCTTCACAAAATTCAGGTTCCGGCGGTTAGTTTTGTTGAGCAGTTTTAGAAAACTATTCGAAAAACATCAAAATCCAGGCCAAAACGTTCAAATCGAAGCAACTCGGCTAATTCTCAACGATATGCGAGATTTCTGTTACCAAAACGTAGCTAGTACTCTAATTATTCGACGCCAGGTTCCAGGCGTACAAAAAAATAGGTGTATTGTACAGAAAACATGGAAAGAATGCGCGAACTCCCGTTGAAAATTAATTAATTGGCCGCCGCCGCGTAAATCGACACAGCCCGCCTGCTGCAAGTGTGCTCCATTGAAATCATTCGTGTCACGTAGAAGCGTCTAAACCGTTTTCAGAAAAGTCAACCTGATGGTGGCCGACGAGACGGGCAAACCGATGAAGTTGAGCGGAGCGGGAGTGGAAGCCGGTGTCAATCGGACGATGGAAATGCGAGCGGACGGCCGCAGCGTCGAACTTTTGGCCTCGAACACGGCCGCCGCAACGATCCACGTGCCGAAGACGGAGAAGGAGAAGAAGAAGAAGCCGGCGGATCCCCTCGAGCTGGTGAACGGATCCATCTACAACAAGTGCTCCAAGGTGAGTAGTACTCAACGGAAGAACACGGAAGAATTTTTATCTTTTTTAGAACATTTTTTCATGGAATGTGATCAACTGACGAAATGTTGAGCAAAGTGAACTGTGCTCATAGAAAAATAATTGTAAATTTAGCTTTTCATACAAAAAAGTTATTCGAGTTGTTGCGTGAAAAAAGTGCTAACGGGACAACTCGAATATAACTTTTTTGTATGAATCGCTAAATTTACAATTATTTTTCTATGAGCACAGTTCATTTTGCTCTACATTTCGTCAGTTGATCACATTTCATGAAAAAATGTTCTAAAAAAGATAAAAATTCTACAGTAATCTAGAAATTGTGTGACTCTTTTTTTCAGCAAGACAACACGCTGAGCCCTGGGAAACTGCTGTAAACTTCAAAAAAGAGAAGAATAAATTTGTGTTTATGCTTTTCGTTTTTGACAATACAATATCGGCGTAACCCTCTTCAACTACGGTACTTCATCCATTCTCGCGACCTTTCCTTTGGTCTCGTCTTCCACATCATTTCTCACATTCGTTGTAACAAAATTTGCAATGCCAAACTCGGTACATCTGGCGCCAACAGGCAGCGGACAGCAGAAGAAGGCGAAATGGGGCACGCGAGAGCCGAAATCGGGCAACGAGAAGGGAAAAGGCGAGAAGCCGTCGAACGAGAGACTTCTTTCCGCCGAAAAGCTGTCGGATCTGGTCGTCAAGAAGAAGATCGCGATGACTAATGCGACTGGCAAGAGGAAGAAGGTGGGACTCGCTCAAAACACGACTATATCTCAGCTGCCAGTGAAGATATCGAAAAGTTGTCAACTGAAACGTTGTTCATCGAAAAATTGTGCACATTTTATCAGTTGAACACTTTTCGCCATTTTCACCGGCCACTGAGATACAGCGCGTTGAACCATCACTTTAGGAGAAGGCTGAAAAGGAGAAAGTGGTGCCGGAGCCGCCGAAAAAGTCGTTGCGCCGTCGAGTTCTGTCCAAAGAGAAGCCGTCCAGCTCTTTGCAGGCGCCCAGTGACAATAAGGTTGGGCAAAATCGACAATATCACTCAAATTCGACGCAATTTCAGTCGGATATAGTGGAGGTGGTGTCGAATGATGAGAAGTCGATGGACAAAAAGCGATCGATCGAGCCGTCGAAAGAGGACGGATCCAAGGTGGAGGCGAAGATCGAGGTGAAGAAGAAGAAGAAGAAGGAGAAGGAGACGAAGCCGGCGAAAAATGTGAAGCCGCCGCCGGTGCCGATCGAGGACAAGTTCAACATGCAACTCGCGCAGAAGTTCTTCAAGCAAATGCTCGAATCGAAAAAGAGTAGCAAGCAGACGTTTAGCAGCGATTTGGTGAGTTGTGTGTCGAGATACGCAAAAGTGGTCAACTGAGCAAATACTCTTGAACACATTGGCTACATTTCATCAGTTGACCGCTTTTTGATATCTCCACCGGCAGCCGAGATATACAGAGTTTGAGGGCATGGAGACAATGCCGGAACCGTCGGACATTCGAATGTCGTTGAAGGCGGCGAAAAAGAATCGGAAAAAGCATGCGAAAACGTCGCGGAAGCCGCTGGATCGCAACATTTTCAAACCGAACGGCGAGCCGGTGTGGGTGGTGCACGATTCGAGCACGGAAGTGATCACGGAGGACGGCGTCAAAACGAGATACCCCGAGTTGTTGGCCGCGTTGGAAGAGGACAATCTCGAGATGGACGACACGAAACAGTGGTGCAGGATGGTGAACGGCTTCCTCGACGGTCTCTACACAACGGGCATGATCAAGGAGGTGCCCGAGTTTGATCCGTACGCGCCGTACGACGAAATAATGGAACGATCGGAGATGCTGAACCGGAAAGAGTCGGTCATCTATTATACAATGTGCAATTTGTTGTGTCTTTGCAAAGGTGGGTAAAGTGTTTTCGTTGATCGACTGGGACCACACACGTGATTCTCACAGCCGCGATGGATCGTTTCGATTTGCACAAGGATGAGAATCCGCGAGAGAAATGGATGCGAATTCAGGAGGAACGGTTGCGGGCAATGAAAAGGGAGGAGGAGGAGGAGCGCACCGCAATCGTCACTTCGATCCGATTCAATATGGAGGGCACGTTCAGCATCAGTTATGATGTACGTGATATCGCCTCTTAATCGACGACCGCGCGCCCCACAATATCGCCAATTTCCAGAGACGTCGTCCGATCATGTCGATCCAAAAGTTCCGCAAAAAGTACCAGAACCGTCTGCGCGTGTCCGCCGAAAAATGCTCGCGTGAGAATGGAAAATGATATGTATGACGTGATGAATAAAGATTTGGTTGCAAGAAAATGACCGTCATGGCACGGCGACCAAAAACGTAGAAATGGGGGCGCGGGGGCCTAGCGCGTGCACGGTTTATCACCATTTTGGCGCGAAATTCGAAATTTAACCCCATTTTTCAAAAATTACCCAAATTTTGTACGATTTCGACGATATAATTGCATAATAACTTTGTTAAACTAATCATCGCGCACTTTTTGAGCTTAAAACGAGCAGGTTTCATTCAGAGAATGAATCAATTTAATCGATTTTCAAGTTTTGTGCTGAAAATGCGCGAATTTCAGTCATTCGCCGATACTTTTTGCCGTTTGAACGCTTAAAATACTTGTATTAACGTGCTTAATCACTTCCGACACTCACTTCGTCTCAAAACTATCCAGATCGGCATGAAAATTTATATGGAAATTCCGAAATTGCGGCGGCGATTGGCCGCGGAGAGCGTATTGCGAATGATGCCAAAAACGTCTCAAACGCGGCGTTTTCACGAAAATTTCAATGTTTTCTCTCTTTAATGTCTCTTCTTTCGTCGATATCAACACACAAAAATGACAAAATTTTCAGAAAACGCGTCTCGGATTAGGCCACGCCCCTTTCTACACTTTTGGTCGCCGTGCGCGTCATTTTTGAAAACTGACAACTTTTTTGTACAGCCACTTCCTGGAGTGCTGTAGCTCTTGGAAGTTAGTGAACAAACATTTATTACAAATCATTCTTATCCTTTTGCTCAACATATCTGCCGCAGAAGAAAATGATTTTGGACGAGCACCTGCAAAACGAAACGTTGTGAGAAGACGTCTCCATCTTCTTCAAACTAACGAAATGTCGTCGAGGTAGCCGACGTCCGTTCCGCTCCACTCCATCTTTCCGTGATTGAACGTCATGCAGTCCTGGCCCTTCTCCGAGTAGTCCGGATTCACAAACCTTCCGTTCATCCACATGTCGTCGCGGATCGGATTGCGCGCCACATTCTCCAGCCACTCCATCACGACGCCACGTGCGCACGGACTTTTCAGGTCGTTCGAGAAGCCGATCATGTGTTTGCACGCCTGTTTTCGCTGGCTTCCCAGCCAGAGAGCCGTGTTCTCGGGCAAACCGGCCTTTTTGCACATTTCTGCAAAAAACAATTGAGGACGGGGACGCGTCGAAACGAAAGAGTCGAAACGACGCACCCTTCAAGTGCTCCAACTCCTCGATACTGTCAAAGCCGCTGATGCGGTCTCCGCTCTCCATGCACGTCTTCTGCGCCTCCTCCCACGTCTTCTCCTCGCGCACAATTCGGTGGATGACCGTCAGTCCGTTGCCTCGTTTGAACGGATAATAGCCTTTCGGGATAGTGTTCGTGTAGTTTCTCTCAATGTTCAACTGGCACCAAATCGGAGCCGCCCGACTGTCCGACATGGCTCGAAGGCTCGGGTGAGTGTCCGGAAAGTGCGTGATGGCCGTGCTACGCACGTTGTCGCAAGACGCTCTCGGTTCGGGCTTCTGGAATTTGACAGGCACTCTGGCGTTTGAGATGTTCAATCGGAATTGTGTCGGCAGCAATTCCGAGCACTTTGGATCCCTCATTTGCTTCGCATCCAGCAGGACTTCTGCGATGGCGCGACTGAACGTCAGGTCCTGAAAAAGATTGATTGAGGCGGTTGTCGGAAAGCAATTGCGATTCATGTACATGTGGAATATTGTCGCCGGCAAACGGACTCAATTTTGCATGATTCGTCAGGGATCGCTTCTGCCTAGTCTTCTGACTGCGTGTGAACGGCACCAAAACCCTTCTGCACACGTTCTCATACGAAGTGCCACGTGCATAGTGCGACGCCGTTCGGATCAGGACGCCGTTGTCGAGCGGCGCGCCCGGATGGTAGATCTCCGCGTAGCGACGAGCGAGATAGGTGATTTCCGCTGCTGTCGGCCGCGGTCTGTACTCGCACAGCACCTGCAGCTTGATGCTCGGATCGATTCTGATGAGCGAATTGGCGGCGACCGAGAAATTATAGTGTTTGCCGGTGAAGGCCAGCGCCAGCGCGTCGCCCGCCTCGAGCTGAACGTACTGATCCCACGCTGCCGTAGCACGCACCCAAATCTGACTGATTCCTTTAAAGTATCCTGAAGAATAAGTTTTCTCGTTGTCCAGCCACACACTCTTCTACAATCGCCTTACGTCTCCACACGCCGACAATGTACCGACGAGTCATTCGAGCGGTATGCGCGTTTTCCGAGTTGCATTTCTTTTGCGCCTCGGCTAGGGTGAATCGCTCCGACTTTCTCGGCATCCAGTAGCAATAGCCGAACATTTGAACCCATCCCGGCTTGCACATCATCGTCGCTTCTGCAAAAGTGTCGTCGAATCGGGCACATTTTTCGCCGACACTAACCGACAAAGCACACCGTTTCCTTGCCGTGCGTGGCCTTCAGAAGCCTCCACGGAGCATAAATCTTGCAAAACTCATTGGCGTCCAGCTCGTCGTGTGTGGCCACTTGAAACTTCATCTCGCACGTGTCGCCGGTCGTCGACTGAAAACGAAGCGTGATGTGATCGGACTCCGTTTCGCAACCGACCTTCTCGCCATCCGCTCGCTGAGTGAACACGCCCTCCATGTGCGTGCACGCTTCGCGCAAGCTTCGATCCTCTTTGAGTTGGCACATCGCCAGCGAAATACTCGCAACGAGCACGAAAATTGATTTCCACGTCATCATTGCTCGAGACAAGTTGAAGAACTGATTGTGGTGAGATTCAAACGCTTTCGCGCCAAACGTTCGTGTGTCAGTTCACGGTTTATCTAAATGGAAGAAAACGAAAAAAAATGTAGTTCGAGTTTTGGGGGGCGGGGCGGAGATGTCGATGTTGTTTTCTAGAAAATTTCAGGCTCAACGTACTTGCCGCAAACACAACCATTCGACCAAGAACAGCTGGAAGAGGAAATGAATCGGTCGGATCCGTCAACAATATATCCAAACACAACTCACTTATGGTCGTCCAGCACTCCGGTGCTGTTCGGATCGGACCAACCCGGTTTACCGAGTACCAAGTGTAGACAGTGTTGACCGCGTTGAAAGTACGACGGGCCCTCGACTCCATTCACGTCTCTCAACCACATCTCGTCGGCGATCGGCGTGTTCGCCACGTTGTGCATCCACTGGAAGACGACGCCGCGCGCGCAGACGTCGTTCACGTCTTTCGAGAACGGCTCTCTGTCGATGCATTCCGGCTTTCGGCGGGCTCCCAAATAGAGAAGGGAAGGCGGATCGGAAGTGAATCCAGCGTCTTTGGCAAGTTCTGAAAGTTGGTAAACGTTTGGAGATGTCAAGTGTTGAACTCGTTTACTTTCAATAAACTTCAACTCCTCCATTGAATTGAATCCACTCAAATGACTGTTATCTTTTGCGCACTCCGCCTCGCACCCGTCGTAACCAATACCCTCTTGTTTGAAGACTCGGTGCACGAACACAAGTCCGTTTTCCCGATCGAAATCTTTGAAACCATGCGGAAGCCTGTACGTGATCTTTTTCGTCCGGCCCAATTTGCACCAAATCGGCGCCGACCGAGAGTCCGCCATCGCTCGAAGCTCCGCTTTCTTTGCGGGAAAGTGGACGATAGCCGAGCTGAGATGGTTGTCGCAAAGTTTCTTCGGCTCGGGCGCCGTGAAGTTTTGAATGAAGGTCATGTTTAGGCCGCCGTTAAGCGAGAGCTGTAATTGGAACTGGCCGGTTAACACTTGACACGTCGTCATCTTCATTAGGTTCCAGTCGTAGTTGACTTCGCCGCCCGATCGAGTGAAAGTGATCTGAATTGAGCTAGTTTCGAACGAGGACATGAGTCGAATTCACCTGCGGAACATGTTCGGACAGTGCCGCCAGTACATTGTCGTGCGGAATAAACGACTCGATTTGTTTTTCCATAAACGGTGTCGCCACATGTTCACACGTGTCGTCGTGCGAAACGCCACGTGCATAGTGAGACGCCGTTCGGATCAGGACACCGTTTTCGAGCTGAACCGCCGGATGATAAATCTGCGAGTATCGATTCGCCACATAGTAGATTTCTAAAAAATTGAATGACGCGCACGGTCTCCAGAGCTGACAATATGGGCGTAGTCTCGGCCAAATGGCGTTTTCATGAATTGAGCAGGTTTTCTCATATTTTTGTGGTCAACGACGATGAAAAAAGATTGTTCGACATTAAAATACACTAATTCTCAGTAGTAATGACGTTTTCGCGCATTTTTCGCCGACTTTGCTTGTTCGCCTTCGCCGCCTAAAAACCGAACTTCTCATTTTGCGCTTTCTTGACCGTTTTCCGACAGAATTGGTTTTGAGAATGATAAATCACGTAAATACAAGCATTTTGAGCGCTCGAACCGCGAAAACTACCGAAAAGCAACCGAAATTCACGCAGTTTTAGCCAAAAACCTTCAAACGGATAAATGTGATTTGCGGCTTGACCAAATTTAACGCTCATGCGCTTAAAAAATTCGTAATAGCCTATACAATCGGTCTATCGAGAGACAAATAAGAAATTATCGGTTTTTCGTGGCTAATCTGGCAAAAAACACAAATTTGGCTGTTAAAATTTGAATTTCGCGCCAATGTATCGCTCTATTGGGCGGGGGCGCACTTGCGCGCCCATTGTCAGCTCTGGAGACCGTGTGACGCTGTTTTGAGTCACAACCGACAAAGTATTGATTACCTGCAATGGTGAGGGGCGGTTTGTACTCGCACAGCACCTGGAGCTTGATGTTCGGATCGATTGTGATGAGCGAATTGGCGGCGACCGAGAAATTATAGTGTTTGCCGGTGAAGGCCAGCGCCAGAGCGTCGCCCGCATCGAGCTGAATGTACTGATCCCACGCTGCCGAAGCACGCACCCAAATCTGACTGATTCCTTTGAAGTATCCTGAAATGTGTGTTTTATCGTTGCCGATGCAGAACACTCTTACGTTTCCAGACACCAGCAATATACCGGCGACGCATGCCAGCAATCTCGGCCTGCTCCTCTGCACATCTTTTCGTAGCCTCCTCTTTTGTGAAGTGCTTCTTCTTCTCCGGCATCATGTAGCAATAGCCGAACATTTGAACCCATCCCGGTTTGCACATCATCGTCGCTTCTGCAAACGTGTCGTCGAATCGGGCACATTTTCCGCCGATACTAACCGACGGAGCACACCGTTTCCTTGCCGTGCGTGGCCTTCAGAAGCCTCCACGGAGCGTAAAGCCCGCAAAACTCATTGGCGTCATTCGCACTCTTCGTCGCCACTTGGAACTTCATCTCGCACGTGTCGCCGGTCGTCGACTGAAAACGAAAAGTGATGTGATCGGACTCCGTTTCGCAACCGACCTTCTCGCCATCCGCTCGCTGAGTGAACACGCCCTCCATGTGCGTGCACGCTTCGCGCAAGCTTTGATCCTCTTTCAGTTGGCAAATTGCCAGCGAAATACTCGCAACGAGCATGAAAATTGAATTCCACGTCATCATTGTTCGAGAGAATTCTGCAGAATGGTTTTCTTCTCTTCTGTTTTCGTATCAAAGTTCGACGACTTGGTCACGGGGGAAATGGACGTTCTATTGGCCTGGTTTTGGGCTCCTTTAGTTGAATCTTCATGGCCCAATGAATGATCACGGTCTGTTTGAATGGAGGTATGAAAAGACTTCACGTTCGCAGGCATTCAATAATAAGTAAATCGATCGTAACATAATTTCCGTTGTTCGGTCAACGTGGTCCATTATAAATAATCATTTATTTGTTGTGATTAGTGCAAAATAGATAAAAGCGTCTCACTGGGAGATTTTCAAGTACAGTAGTGTGTATACAAATTAGGTCGTTTGGATGGGTGTGAGTGAATTATTATTGTCGGGTTCAATCACAAGAGGACGAGTTGTTGGAGAGACGAGCATCACTAGACTAGGAAGTTGCGATCTGACGGAGGAAGAGGTTCGGAGGGCGCAGGGCAGGCAGACTGATTGGGCGACAAAATGAGGACTACAATTGTTCGGTGAGATCTTTGAACGTTCGAAATGGTCATGAACGTGGTGGGTGGGAGATTATAATAATCCCTCTACTAATCGAGAATATACTGGACCTGCCAGGGGGAGCGATGGAATACTGTCAGAAAAGGAAGCATTAAAGGGACATTGCAGATTGCACATTTCAAATAGCGCCGTCCGGAATGGCGACGCGCATCTTGTACAAAAAGTGGAGTATCGATTCGTACAGCTGCGAGGATTGGCGCGATTCGAGGCCGTCGGAGAGGCATTTGACTGGAAAAAAAATAGTTTAAAAGCTATCTAAACAATTTTTAGGGGAGATTCTAAAAGTTTCTAGGCTTCCAGACCTTACACAACTTCCGCAGACACTCTGAGACTATTCTGTAACATTCGAAATGCTTTCAGAGCTCTTATGATGTTCCAGAAGCTTTCAGATCACACACAGATTCTTCAAAGTGCTTCCAGCTTTCTCAGAATGTTTACAGAGCACTCAAAGTGCTTTCAGAGCTCACAGAATGGTAAAATAACTTTCAGAATGTTCATAGATCTCTCATAATACTCCCAGATTGGTCACAGAGCGTTCCGATTGCATACAGTGCTCTCAAAGTGCTCCTAAGAATGCGTTCAGAGTTCCGAGAATGCTCCAAAAGCTTTTAGAGCTCTCATGAAGCGTTAGCAGCCTCAAACCGCTCCAAACTCACATTGTCTCTCGAGCTCAAGTCGTTCTCCATGCGAGGCGGGCGTTCTGGCCGCAATAATCTTCTTGACCGCCTTCTTCGGCACCTGATTCTTGGCGACCCGAGCGTACAACTCGGATACCTCGGCCGTCAACTGCCGATAGACGTGCCGGCAACTGACCCGATGCGCGGCCATCAGCACCGCCCGCACACACATCTCAAACTCGTCGACGAGCGACCGATCGAACGGTTGGGTTCCGGGAACGGGGCCGAGCGTGTGTGGCAGTGGGAGATCGTCGAATGCGGTCAGTCGGAGGTTCGGCGCCGATTGTTGGTGTTGGAGGAGTCGGGTGTGCGGGGGCAGGTGAAGCGGATGCGGCGAGATTCCGTTCATGACGACGCCGTTGATGATGGTCGGCTTGAATTCGGGCACTTGCTGCAATGATGTACCGGTTAGAGGGGGAACATTTTGGAAACTATTTGTGATTTGCCTATCTTACCACTGGCGAATGCATCGAGACGGGCGGCGACGCGGTCATCGAGTTCTGCTGCTGAAGTTGCGGATGGAGCGGCGAGTTCATCTGCGGCGTCATGTACGGCGACATGTTCGGAAACTGCGTGGGCGGCGAGTTGCGTTGTCCCTGATTGTTCTGCGCGTATTTGCTCAGAGGCGGCGACGATTTCTGGCTGGAGGCGAACGAGGAGCCGGGCGATCCGAGATCGGCGAATCCGTTGGAAAGTGACGAAGGCGAGGGGCCGAACGGGTTTTTGGGGTTGAAGTTCGAGGTGGTCGAGTCGCCGAGAATGTCGTCCACATCGTCGGCGGTCATTTCGAGTGCCAGCTCGCTTTTGCTGCAAGAGGATAAAGTTGGTTTTAGTCGAACACTTTCTAAAATTACCGTTTCTTCAACTTCTTATTCGCCGAGTTGTTGCTCGTTGCGCCGAGAGCCGCCGGATGATCGCCCGTCTCCTCCTCCTTTTTGATCTCGATCGACTGGTCGCCGAATAGTGTCGCCTCGAGACGGATCTCTTCGAACAGCGACGAAATTATCGCGTTCTTTTCGGTTTCTCTGAAAATGAATCGACTTTTATATTCGAGATAGGGGAGGGAACGGGAAGCAGCTCCGCCCAATTCGTACTAGTGCTACAATTTATTGTCGTTGTCGCTATATTTTCAGTACATTTCTGGCGACGGACGGGGACGACTGGCTGGCTTCAAAACACACGATGCGCCTAGAATGCACCTAGAATGCACAATCTACATTCCTAATGTTCCTCGCCGCAAAGTTCCCATTCTCGCGTATCCCGAAAGCGCGCCAGCGTCCCTCCCCGTCCAAACCACCTCATTATGCTCACATTCACTCTAATTGCGCCCTTTTCATTCGACCATTCGATCACTATGGTAACTACTCACGCCTTATCTTCGTCGCTCATTATCATGCTCATCTGTTGTTGTTGTTGTTGTTGTTGTTGTTGTTGTTGTTGTTGTTGTTGTTGTTGTTGTTGTTGTTGTTGTTGACGATGCTGTTGCTGTTGCTGCAATTGTTGCAAGTGTTGCGCCTGTGCTTTGGCCAACGGAAGCGGTGTCGACGTGACGTACGCCGTCGGCAGTTCTGCGGACATTCTGGAAGAGATGACGATGTTTGAGACGCGCTTCTCAAAAGGGCTTTAGAAAAAGGTCATGGATTTTAAGGATCTGGGTATTATCAGGACTTTCGTGTCGAGGATTCTGACTTGAAAACTCGGACAGCTCAAAAAGGCAAAAAGGTTGATCATTGTACATGTACACACTCCTAACCTGTACGGAAAGACGAAATCTAATACAAAGCACGGTGTCATGATAAAGTTTTCAAAAAAAAAAAATCGACACTTCTATCACTCACTTTTCACCATCGCTCACTCAAAATAACTAATAGTAAACACCAGAGTTGAGCGGAAGAACTCAACGGAAGAACACGGAAGAATTTTTATCTTTTTTAGGAAATTTTTTCATGGAATGTGATCAACTGACGAAATGTATAGCAAAGTGAACTCTGCTCATAGAAAAATAATTGTAAATTTAGCTTTTCATACGAAAAAGTTATTCGAGTTGTTCCGTGAAAAAAGAGCTAACGGAAGACGGAAGGACATTTTCACGAAACAACTCGAATAACTTTTAAAAAAAAAGAAGCTAAATTTACAATTATTTTTCTATGAGCAGAATTCACTTTTTTATACATTTCGTCAGTTGATCACATTCCATGAAAAAATTTCCTAAAAAAGATAAAAATTCTTCCGTGAATTTTTTAAACACGAGCAAAATCGAAATTAGTCGACACCATTTCTTAAGGAGCCGAGTTTTTACAAAGTCTCAGCGATAAACGCCCTATACAATAAAGTGGTTCGATCAAACAAACTGACCCTCCACCCAACAACCGTCCGACGTGATCGTTGCCCATCGGCGGTGTGCCCATCATCGGCGGCGGTCCGGCTGATCCTCCGCCGTGCTGCTTCATACTTTCGATCATCATTTGTGTGAGCCCAAGGATTACTGAAAGAATAGACGATTGAGGTAAAACCGGGAAGCGGAAAAAAAAACGAGAGAGAGAGAGAGAGAGAGAGAGAAGAAGCAAAGATCAGAAGAGTGGCGCTGGAATGAATCCATAGGATCGTTTTTTTTTGGGGGGATCGAGGGGCTTCCACAGATGAATGATTGACAAAGTTCGTTGAAGGGCTACATGCGTCTTGTTCAGGAGGGTGGCCAGCAAAACCGAGGCGACAAAGTCTAGAGTGATAAAATGTTTTAATAAATTAAGATACTACTATGTTAGTTCATGTAAAACTCCACATGAAAAGAGCGTTACGTAGCAGAATTCACAACTTGCTCTTCATGAAATTACTGGTTTTATGTTTCGTGTTGCGTTGATTCATAATAGTACATATCATCTAGCATTTCAGCACAAGAGGGATCTTAACTTCTCGGTTATCTGCCTATTTTCATTTGACTCCCGGACATTTCGAAATGAAAACACAACTTCCAAGAATAGAATCGTACGCCCCCTCCCCCCACTATCACAAGCTCAAAAATACGTTCATTTTTACCGAACGCGCCCAAAAATACGAGTCTAATGACGTTCATCATCTGCTTGTCAACGAGAAAAAAAAGCGAGAGGGGAGCCGAGTGGCGCGCGCACACAAATCTATGTGTTGATGATAAGCCGCGCCGGCCGGCCGGCGTTGGCTCATCAAAAGTGGGCGGAGCCTGGCTGGCTATCACATGGATGCGCTATCGCTGATGATGATGATGATGATGATGATGATGATGATGATGATGAAGACGTGACGAGGTGAAATCGAAAAAAAACGGGAGAGCGAGACACTTCATCCATCTAATTTCCGGTGCCGCGCTCCGGATATTGGATTCATGGAGACACGAGCACTATGGTTACGTAACCGACCGAAATGTTTGCTCCTTTTGAGGGAGTCTAGATTCTGTGAGCCGACAATGAGCTGTGAGCATTAAAGGAGAGGGGGGGGGGGTAATTTGACTGAAAGATTGACTCTGAAACTTTGAAGGACATGAGAACTTTGGGCCCACAACTTTCCTAGATTCTCTAGAAACTGAGCTTTCTGGTGAACTCTAAAACAATCCCCCCGCCATAATCCCAATCCTCATTTTCTGAGGAAATGTGGCTAACCGTGGACGGATTTCTGCAAAAAAAGTAGAAGCCTTAGGCTCGCACTGAACTTTGTCTCCGTGTGTCTATTGTCTTCTTTCATTGGATGGATTAATCGTTACTGTATCCGGAGGGTCTTGTCGCGAAATAAAAGGCGGCTGTTTTCTATGGGAGCTGAATGCGTCTACGTCTTTTTTAGACTAATAGAAGTTGGGAGAAAAGACTAGATTTCAAAGTTAGAGTAAAAGTAACATGTTCTAGAAAACTACAATACATTGTACTTTTAGAAGATTGGTATAGAAACTCAAGCGTTTTTTAGACACTACAACAATAGCAATAGCTAAACTTGGTAGAGCTACAATACTCAAAGTTAATGTTCTCTCACTAACAATAAGCCACGGGCCGGCAAAGCATACGGAGGAGTGGAAATTGTGAAGCTGTAGCTTCTCTCAGAAACTTTACATTTACCTCTGACCTGGCTCATTTTGAAGAACCCAGTAAAATTGAACTCTTATCAAAAAATCAGAGGTCCCTATGTTCGATTTCTGGAGATATATTGAAAAAACCGAAAGTCCTATGTTTGAAAAGCCGGACCGTGTAAGCTAGAGCAAAAGTTCCTTTTTCCAGAAGACTACAATATCTTTAAGCTCTCTGTTTACAAAAAAACCGATAGCAATGACTCTATTCCGTAAACGTACAATGTCTAAGGTAACTTTCACTAAGCTAGACTAAAAGTGACAATATCTGGAGAACCATAATATCTTTTAAACTATAGTAAACAGGCAATATCGTAATTTTGGAGGATTGGATGTACAAACTATGCCGAAGCTTTCAAAAGATGGCAGCAATGCGTGAAACTTTCGCTAAAAACTAGAACTATAGTATCATTTAGCATTTCCCTAGCCTCTTATCAAAACTATGACGGCATACTCACAAGTTCGGGAACATCGTCTACAATAGCGGGGGAAAGAGGACAGGTAAACGGTAAAAGTTTTGATGCGGAAAGGTGAAATGAAAGGAAAAAGAGGAAGAGAGAGAGAGGGAGAGGAACCTTTTCGAGGCAAAGACTATGCGATAATCGTTTTGCTGCTGCTATGCGAGTGTGTTTCGCGCGAGACACACACACACATTGCCTGGCCATAGACCCCCCTCTTTTCCTGCGCAGGAGACACTTTTTCTTCCTTTCTCTCTCTCTCTAGCCCCCCCAGATTGTATGACGCAATGACTCGGCTTCGGCGCGAGAAACAGAACACAACCGAAAATCGATTAATCGGACATTTGGCGCCGTGCCAACTATTGTAAACGGGAGCAGAGGAAGAGAAGAAGAAGAAAAAGAAAAAGAAAAAGGAAGGAAGATGGAGATTTGTAGAAGACGAATTCTTATTTCGGAAAAATCGGGAATACCTTGAAACCCTAAACCATATTACCAATCAAAGTCAAAGTTGGACGGGATGCAAATCAGAAAACGGAAGATGTTCATACAAAAAACAGTGTGGTCTGTTTCTATCAACACTTTTTTTTTAAACAAGGACACAAACCTTTTTGTTATTCTAGGCAGTCTGTCTAACTAAGCTTGTTTAGAAAGTCAAAGAATCAAATCTTTCAAATCATTGATACCATTACATAGAGCATTAAAAGTCACCTATTTTTGCGGTAGTATTCTCAAAAGTCGCTTGCCTTTCAAGGCCTACATCTCGTGAACCAATTATTGTATCGAAACGGTGTCAACTGAGAAATTGTTGCAATTTTTGTGCTCAACAACTTTGTAACAGATCATCTTGTCGCAAATGTGATCATTCTTGAAATAAGACTCTGTTTCTGCATCAATCATCGAAAATTTAGTTCAAAAAGAGTACATGTTTCTTTTTGGGAAGAGATCTGGCGGCTCGGAAAACACGTGCGCCCGGGATGACGTGAGCACGTTCTAATGTATGCGTGACACCTCAGAAAGAAGAAGAAGAAGATGGAGAAGAAGAAGAAGAAGAAGAACTTGTGGGTACGTGACTAGAGCACTCTCTGGAAGACTTTTCCAGAACAAAAAGATTAGCTGGACGAACTAATCTGATCCTATATCCCATTTTTCAGCAAAAAAAAACTGAGGCAACATCACGTAAAGCGGAATTTGGAGCGGATATTGTGTGAGAACAAAAAAGCGTCCGAAACAATGGACACTGACAGTTTTTGTGCGTTTAGGAAACACTTTTTAGAACAAATTTTCTTGTTAGTTCAACTATTTTCTAGTCCAAGAATTAGTGCAATCTCGCGGAAAATCATATTGGGAACCAAAACCATTTGATCATTCAATTTTTGTTTGAGATTTTTGCTCGGAATTCTATGATGCATGCAAATTACCAAATTAAAAAAGGAAATAAAGCGGAACCGAAAAACGCAGATCATTTTTTGATAATCTGATCATTTTTGCAAATAAACAGTTAACAGGGAAAATGGGCTAAAAGTAGGGTACTTTCAAAAGTACTCTGGTTAGAAAAAGAACACCAGAAGTGAAAAAACATAGAGAAAACTAAATCGTAGTAAGGTTTGGAAGGATTGGGCGGATGAGGGCGCCAAGATTGAGAGAGTGTGGGAAATGAGGAGGGCGCCGAGAAACGAATAAACAAAACGACGTCACAGAAAGAGAGAGAGGGAGAGCATCGAAATAGAAGGGGACCGGCAGGGATGAGCCCAGAACATTGATGGACGAGAGGGACCGCCGAATCGGAGACGCAGACGCACACGTATGGTGCATCGATCACAAGTAGAGAGGACAAGGAGTACGGTAGGTTTTGAAGGCGCATGCCTTTTTGGGGAAGCAAAAGTTTTTGAGTCATTGAAGTTCCATTCCATACAGTAAGAAAGCGTGGGGTTTCGATGAAAGGAGAAAGGACACTCCGCAACTAAAAGACTTTTTGCAAATGATGGACCGATGATGGACACTTTTCAACTGATGGACAGTTTGCAACTAGAAGGACCTTTCGCAACCAGACACACTAGCCCACTCCATTTACCTTACAATTTGAAAAAAGTATCTGGACCTCTGGACATAGGGTCACATTGAATCCAGGGGTGTGCGGAAAATATTTCGATTTTCCGAAATGTTCCGATTTTCCGAAAATGTTCGGCAAAATTTTCGGAAAATTAGTGTGGATTCAAGGTCAATTTGTCCGAAACCACCGTATGCTTTTTAAAGGAAAAAAAAATTCACAGCTTCCACGGAAAATTTTTGCTGTACTCCCGCAACGACTGCAGAAACGGAGCGACTCTTTTCAACCGCGCGTCTCATTCTCACTGACAATCGGAAAACACTGGACCCGGAGAGCTTCTCTCGGCTAATTTTTTTGCAAAAAAATATTCCATTGCTTGGCTTCCGCCCACTCAAGTGATTTCAAATCATAATAAGCATTTTCCGAAATTTTCCGAAAAAAAAATTTCGGAAAACCCGATTTTCCGAAATTTTCCGAAAAAAAAAATTCGGAAAAACCGATTTTCCGAAATTTTCCGAAAAAAATTTTCCGCACACCCCTGATTGAATCTCATGTGCAATTCGCAACCAAAGTATCTATTGGTTGCAGAACGTCCCTCAGACGGATTGCAACTAGAACAAGTCTAACAGAAAAAGTTCTAATCTCTCGAACTCTAGTGGAATGGAATTCGGGGGTGTCGAACCGGAGCATTCGAAGATCACACTAGATTAAAATCTAGTAAAAAACAAGTGAAGTGTGTGTTTTTTTCGAGACTAGTACCAAACTAGACCCAAAAACTGATGATACAGGAATTGCAGTAGTCGTGCCGGCCCAAAAAAAGCGGACTTTTTGGTGAAAAAGTCAAAAAAAAGTTTGTTGTTGCTGTGGTGGGGTGGGGTGGCGGCTCAGTTCCGACGAACAACAACAACCACGACGAGCAGAAAACAAAAAAAAAGTGAGCAAGCAAAAGTTTTCATAGGTGCGCGAGGGCGTGGGCGGAGTACTTTGAGAGTTGAGACGGATTACGGTCGGTGTCTTTAAAGGCGCATGACTTTTTCGCTAAAAATAATGTGGTCTTTACGCAACAATCAAAATTGCAGCAGAGAAACAAAAGGAAAAATTGGAAAAGAAAGGACACTTTGAAATTCGCAACCAGATTGTGAGTCTTGGTTGCAAAATGACACATTGCAACTGAACGACACTTTGCAACCAAATCTGACTGTAAGCAGAAAGAAATCTATAAAGCAAAAAGCAAAAAAACTGTACAAGTAATGTTCTACAACCGTTTGCCGTTTCCCATCCAACACTCTACAAGATCATACAATGGTTGCAAAGTGTCTCTCGGTGGCGAAACGTCCGGGGAGGTCTCGCATATTGATTAGAGAGCGTGAGAGAGTGAGTGATAAGCGAGAGAGTGCCGGACGGCCAGACGGAACAGTTCCTCCGCCCGCCGCGCACTTTCCAATGTTTCCTCAAACAATACATTTATTCTATTTCGTCATCGTCGTCAAAGTGCCGCGTCACAAAAGGCGTACAATTAATTTAAAGGCGCACAGCTTCTTTTCTGTAAATTTTGGCATAGCCTTAACGTTTTAGGACCTAAAAATCTAGAAATGCAAAGAGAACGTGAGGATTATGAGGAAAAAAGGAAAAAAGGAGAAAAGAGCGAAAAAAACAGGAAGGAAGGAAATCGGGCACCGCCAGGCAGAGAAAAAAGGCCAAACGGGAGGGCAATTCACCTGAATTCCCTTTTTTCTTTGATGATGATGATGATAGAAAATAAATGCGCTTTTCGTGGCAGGACCCATTCGGGAAAGTGAATGAACGCCGAATGTGTGTACTTAAGGGGGGCGGGGCTACGAAGGCGCGGAAAGACGACGAAATGTTACGAAATCACGTGACTGCAGAGTTGTACAAAATTGTACGCTTTCAAAATATCCTCATTAGCACCGTTTTTTTTTGGCAATTTTACCGAAATACGATTTCTAGAAGTTGTCAAAGACATATTAGCTGAAGGCCTACAAAAAATTTGAGTGCTCCCTCTTGCTAATCCGGCTAATTGCGTTCGCGCAAAAAGAGGGAAGGCTATCGCATTTTGTAGAGAGCACAACTTTTGCGATAAATTTAGCGAATTTGAGCGCTTAGGAACTTACTAAAACATCACTACTTTCATCGATTTTCAAAACAACGAGCATTGAGGTAACGGCTTCAAAAAGGGCGCTTTAAAAAGTGGAAAAAAGGTGAGAAAGTGAGAAATTGTGGATTTCGATTCCGTATTCCGAGCGTTTCGGGTTAGAACGTCCTGCGGGGATGAGAGAAACGAGAAAACGAGAAAAAGAGAGTCATGAGGAGGTGAGAGGGCGAGAGACGCAGAGTGCGAAACGAACCAAAGTGGTCGAGAAAAGACACGTGCGGTTGGGTACTGATTGCCGCCGATTGTTCCGATAATACAAAAATACCTGTTCGGTTAGTTTTTCCCGCGGCGGTGAGCAAACGCGCTCCACTGCACTCCGGCGCCAAACGTGGCCATTCCGGCTGAAAATTCATTATTCTTCTACTCCTTCCTTCTTTCCATCGTTCAGAGAACTCAATTGTTCTCTGAATGATTTGAAAGCAGAAAAATGTGAAATTTCAGCAGAACATACAAAGAATAACGAGATTTGCAGTAGAGCGCCTTCAACACACTGAAGTGACGAAAAAATCGCAAAATCCGGGATAAGTGTTGGCTTTTCCAAAGGAAAAAAGTAACAAAGAGGATGATCGGATGTACACAGAAAAAAAATGGAAGGAAAAACAATAAAATCATATTTGGTTCGAAAATTCAACGTTTCGAATTCGAAATCAACGAATAATAATAATAATAATGAATGATACAGGTGACAGGGAGAGAGATTGAGATATAAAGAAACTGGGATTAAAACAAATATAGATCACCTGTTCAAAAAGGGGTTTTCGCGGTGACAAAAAAGACGACACAATTCGAATCGAAACGGAAAAGAAAACGAATCAATAAGGGCATCGACTGACTACTCACAATCCGATAATCAACAATTCTGCACTTTCTCCGGAATAAAAATAAGACAAGAAACGAAAAGCGTGGGGAAATTCGGCGTTTTTATTGTCCTGGGCTCGGCGTGCGGAGCAGCGGCGATCGTGGGAAAAGCTCCTCGTCGGCGAGTGGCGCGTAGTTCGCATCGTGCTGAAACTACACCGAATCAGTTGGAGATAAAATTGTCAAAATTCTGGTAATCGAGCGTTTTCCCGCAAAAATTTGAGCATAAAAGGAATTTCTCAACAAATTTCCATCGAGTTTGAACGAAAATGATTATTTTTGCGCGACAAGTCTATAAAACTCGAGTCGCCCTCTCACCAGCGGCACTTCGAATCCGTTCTCCGGATGGGTGACATCGCTGAGCAGCGGATCCAGCAGATCCTCTCCGTCGGCATACACGTCCTCTTCTCCAAAAACGTCCGCATCGGGACCGTTCTCGAGCGCGAGCGGCTGCTGATGTTGCAGTTGCTGGTGCATCGGGTACTGCTGCTGCTGCTGCTGTTGCTGGTGCTGTTGGAGGAACTGCAGATGGTCCTGCTCGTCCTCCTCGTCTTCCGGCAGATAATCGCCGAAACTCTCCCAGTTGCTGTTGGCCATCATGTCGCGCAGATTGTCGAGTTTGCTGTCGTAGCCGGTAAAGTACTCCTGCAACTCGTTCGAAATCGATCGATCCAGTGAGGGGTTGATGGCGAGCGTCGGCGAGTAGAGATCCTGATGCGGATCGTCTTCGAGTCGCGCCAGTTGGTTCTGATGCTGCTGCTGCTGCTGCTGATGTTGCGGAGGTGGTTGTGGTTGGTAGGCTATCTGGGGTGGGACCGTCGGGTAGATCGGTGGGATCGGCTGCGTCTGCTGGGTCATCTGCCGATTCGCCGTTTTGTACGGAGCACGTCTTCCGCTGCCTGGCGCCGCTTTTCCCATCGACATTTGAGGATTCGGAGGGGGCGGAGCAGAAGAAGTAGATACGCCCTGATAGTCCCGTTTCGCGCCCACATTTGCGCGGTGCACATTCTCGTGCGTCAACGCGCCGCTTCCCATATAAACGGACTTCGCGCCCATTCTCCCGCTGCTTCCGATATTGTCGTCGTAGGCGGTGGCGGTCTGCGCGGCACTGCTGGAGGACGGTTGCGAAATGGTCGGGTGCGGCGACGGTTCGCGGCTCGACGAGCTGTCCGGATAGCGCGGAACGCCGAACGCGTCGGAGAACATGTCGCCGCCGCCGCTTCGTGCTCCGGGCGAATTGCCAAACTCGTCGGTCACTTCCGAGATGAGCGGTCCGCAGTCGTTCTGGCTGAAGCGGCGGAACTGCTGGCTCTCCTGGCTCTCGCGTTGCAGCGACTCGAGCAGATCGCACACGTCCTTGTAGGGTCCGTCGTCCGAGTTGCGGGGGCGTTTCGCCGACGATGAGCTCGCCGACGCTATTTCCAGAACGCCGCTGAACAAGAAAAAGTTGAAAGCATAGGAGAAAAGGCGACGAATGTACTTACCGTTTCGCAACTCGCTTCGAAAGACCCGGTTGCATGACGGAGACGAGAAAGTGGAGGAGTTTTTTAAAGTTTTGCTGCTGACGAGTGTGTTGTTGGCGCATCGTGTGCATTTGCTCCCAAATGTCACGGTTCTCTCTGCAAAAAGTGGCTCAAACTTGAAATCTTGAGACTATTTTCGCAAAACGGTGCTCACTTGGTCAACGAGTTCATTTTGGACTCCATATTGCGCGCCTTGTCGCGCATCATCCGCATTTCCGCCATCATCACCTCGAGATTCTGCTGCGTCTGCTCGCTCGCCTGCTTGTCTTCGACCACCTTCGCCGACTGCTACAATATCGTATTTTCGCCCATTTCCCCTCGGAGTTCCCCTACTTTTCGCTTTATTTGACACAACAGTTCGGGTCGGTTTTGCAAAAAGAACGGATGGCTGAATTCGAGGTGATCCTGGTCGGATTCGGTCCGTGTGAGACCGCCCTGCGAAAGGGGCGTCATTTTTCGGAATCCATCTGCAAGAAAGAAACATTTCGAGTGGTCCACACCCGGAGTGGAATAGCACTCGAAAATCTCGAAAACTGGAGAAATTGTAATCGCTAAAAAACTGCAAATTGGAGAAACGGTGAAATTGTTGGCTAAAAATCCCAAACTTACACATATTCAACTGCCGAATCAAACTGTTCAGATTGTTGTGTTTGAAATAGTGCGGCAGCACATTTCGGCAGAACGAGTACGGATCGGCGATGTGGAACGAGGCTCCGGACTGCAAAAAAATCAGCATTTTCTTGTATTTTTCTATATTTTTTTTTGCAAACCTCGTCCCAATGAACGATGTTCTGCAGATTGTTGTCTTCGACAATATTCCACAGCTTAATGAGGAACACCGGCAGTTTCTCCTCGTCCACTTTGTTGTTCGAGTTGGTCGGCGTCGCCGAGTTGTTCTGAGAAGAGAATTCATTTTGTGAGGACAAAAATGCAATAAAACCCGTACAATGCTTTCGAGAAATGCGTGATTCGGCACTTCCTCTATCGTCATCGACGACGACACTTTTCCGTTCTGACTCCCTTTGGCTCCGCCGCCTGATCCGTTCTGCTGTGATCTCGTCGTCGGCGCCGACTGATGCTGCTGCTGCTGTTGCGCATACCGACGGCCGCTTCCAGCCGATTCCTGCTTCGGAACACGCGCCAACTGCTGCTGGTTCGGGTTCATTTTGCGCACAAATGAGAACACTCGGATTCTGCAACAAAAAAAAATAGGCGATATTTTGGTTTGAATTGAGAGACTGTACAGTGAAAGTTTAAGGATTCGTCGATTTTAGCGGATTTTTCTCGCAAACATGCAGGATTTCGGTAACAATTTTCAGATGTTTCACGGTTTCACCGAAGAAAACGCGAAAAAGCAGTTTCTCCGTGAAAAGGGTCTCGCCACGAACAAAGCTTTACATTTTTGGAGCTGTCTCTTTAATACCGCGCCAAAAGTGTTTTACGGACTCAAATATCGTTATTTTGGGGTACATGCCCAAATTTGAGAAATTTTCACTGAATACCTCGGTCTATTGTCATTTTTCGTGTTGCGATTCGAATGAGAATACATAGTGTCTGATTGCCAATCGCACTTTTGCTGCAACTGCTCCGAGTGGTTTCTAATAATTGGGGGCCGACACCTTGTGCTCACGGAACCGAAAGATCGGACGAATGAACGAATGTGTGGGTTGTGAAGTGAAAGAAAGACGGGGGCAGGAAGGAAGTGCACCGAAGAGAGAGCGAGAGAGAAACATACTCTGAAGGGATAATTTCTCGGCCGTCTCCTCACTTTTCCCCACTATTTCGGCCCAAATGTTTCCGGACGGCTCTGGACCCGTCTCCGAATGATCCACCCCCCAATGCATTTGATAGTGAATCGAATTGAATAATTCCGCGACACACGGACAGACAGCTGGTGCAACGAGCGAACGATCAGTGATGAATATTAAATTTTAAAGTTGGGCGAAGAATTGAATAAGAATGCATTTCATTCTCTATTCACACAATGTCTTTTCTTTTCGTTCATTTAGAAAGCTCGGAAATTCTTGCAATGAAAATGTTACGAAATCTCGGGGTTCATTTGCAAAAATCTGCACTGAAATCGACGATTTTGGTGTTAAAATGATGGGCGGAACGTGAAAAATTGCAACATCAATGTTAAATGCCAAGAAATCGACTCGAAATCTGTCAATTAAGCTGCGGAAAAACAAGAAATTGGGCGAGGAAAATCATGCGAAAAAGTGTGCGGTGGAGCGTACTTGCATACCGCCCGCCGACAAAAACATGGGTTTCGCAGGGAGAATGCGGCGGAAATTTACAATTGATTGATAAGAAATGGAATCGAGGCGACGTTTATCAGGCAAATTGGGAGCAAAAAAACAGGATAATTGGGAATCAGGCAAAAAATCGATGATTTGAGAGGCTCGGAGGCGGGATTGTTCGATGAGCACTGTTTGCTCTTGACTTTCGAACGGGAGAACGAGCCGACAATCGGAAGAATATTAGTTTTTGTATGGATTTTCGAACGGATTATCGCTTTGCTTTGATTTTCGTTTTTGCTCTGTTTTTAAGTACTGGTTTTCGAGATAAGCGACAGTAAATTACACACAAAATTTGAAGCTAAAAGGACCGAAATCTGTCGTTCTTTTCAAGATGCTCGCAAAAAAAGACACAAACGACGAGAAAAACAGCCAAGAACCGTATTTCTTGTGCTGCCGCCGTAGATCAAGTGAATGGGTCTCGCAGCGATTGGACAAATTATATGGGTGCGCGTTTGAAGTGAGTGCGCGGCGACGCGTTGCGGTTCGGGGAGGCAGGACGAGGAGGAAGAAGAGGACCGATCTGCCGAGAGATTTGCCAAAAACAGAGCGACTGCGTTGCGTTGCGGTGCTTCCGAATGACCGGGTGGTGACCGGTTGACGCGTGTCGCTTAGATCAAAGGATGTTCGGGTGACACGTCAATCAAAAGTTGTAGTTTGTAGTCGCGTTGTGCGGCCCTTCCTCTCGACGGTCCGTCCGTCCCGAGGATTTTCTTTTTTTTTCGGCCGATCGCTCGGCTGGCTGCCATCCGCCGCACTGCCTTCCCGAGAGCGAACGTTCAAAATTGGCGCGCCGTTATGAGCGGAGTGTCGTTGGACACAAGGGTAGGTCTAAAATTGCAAAAATTCGCAAATATTTACTTTCCGCACACTTTCTGGTATCATTTTGTAACCATCGGTCTCACGAACAACCACGAGTCAACTATGTTCCGTGAAAACTATTAATTCTCCAGAAAACACGGGACAATTACATATCTCTTTCAAAAACAAAACATTTTCGCGCCAAAAAGTGCGCGCGAAAACCGCTGCTCGTCATCATTTGTTGTTTGTTGTTTTGCTCTCTGTTCGGTCTCTTCTCTCGACATTCCCGTCAGTCTCTTCGCAATCTTTTTTGCCGTTCGCTCTGTTGTCTTTTCGATTTTCACAGGTTATTTTTGCTCAATATTTTCGTAAACTTCGATGAGCTTTTGCAGTTTTTCTCTTAAATTACTTACTCTGCACAATTTTCGCTGAATTTCTTGTTTTCGGAAACTGTTATGGGGCTATTCAGCGTATGTTTGTTTTCCGTTTTTTTTCGTTTTTTTACACCGCTGAATTGGGTTCTTTGACGTAAAAAACGGAAAAAAATCATTTTTTCACAGCCTGAATAACCCCATTACACACCTTTAAAGCTACAGCATTCTTCTCGCTCTGTTTTTATGGAAATTTCATTTAAAAACCGTTTGTAAAAAGGCAAAAAGTAGAAAGAAACAACAATTTGAGGAAATTCTGACAAAAATGCAAAAGAGGACTTTTTGAAGACGAAAATGCATTACTTTTCAAGCTCGAATGCTCAAAATGTGCGCAAAACCGCGCTTTTATCAGAGTAGAACCAAAAATAGCCTTCGAAACATCTGTGAACGCACGGCTGAGCCTAATCGCAATCTTGTCATGTTGTTGTCGTCGTACGTACACGCGTTTCTTCCCTTCTTTTCTGTTTTTGTCGTCAAATCTCCGAGAGATGCACGTAAAATGCGGTGAAAAAAAACGTCTTGAGGATTTGATTTGACGTCGTCGTCGTCGTCGTCGTCGTCGGCCGGCGGTTCCCATATACTTTTCAATCGGCAAAAAGTCGGAAATCAGGTTAATACCGGATTTGGCGGGGGGTTTCGATGGGTGTTCTGTAAGAAGCGCGGGGTCAAAGGTGCACTAAACGATCGCCAATTATGTTCTAATTTTGACAATTTCGCTGGAGGAATATTCCGAAACGTTTCGCTAAACTTCCGCCCGTTCAAGTTGTCCAATTCCAGATCGTTGTTGTTGTTGTTGTTGTTATTGTTATTGTTATTCTTGACATGATTCTGCCCATATCCGATTCGGTTCCCCCCGCCCCTTCCCGTCCCGTTTTCAAGTATCGTCGACGTCGACGCAACTGTAACGCTCTGCCGCGTCTTTCCGCGTTCTCTCTTTCTCTCGTGCGCGTGCGCGCGCGCGCTCGCCTCTTTTCGTAAACGGAAAAGTTTTCGAATGAATGGAGGAAACGACGACGGGAGAGGAATTGAATGGAATTGAAAAGCATCAGTGGTTGAACAGCGAGCGGAGGGCGAAAACCGTTTTGTATATGGATTGACGGCAAATCGAGAAGACGATTGCATCTGTTTGCCTGGATTCTAGCTGCTGCTGCTGCTGTTATTGTTTGGTCTCCAACTACTACTTTTTCATTAAATTCGCTCAACGAAACTGTTTTTTGCCTAGAAGACCCGAACTCTTTGTTTAGACGAGTCTCCCACCAATTCATTGTAAACGCAGATTTCTTTCTCTCTCTCTCTTCCCATTAGTTCAGTTAGTTTATGTTTATTCATTATAAATTCCTCTTTTCTTCTCTGCTCAACTTTTGATTTTCCGTATGCAACGAACGAGTGGAGAGCACAGGAAAAAAAAACCGCTTTTTCGCCAGTGACGATGGCCATTTATGACGATGAATAGGCAAGTGAATAATCGGGTGCGAGGTGAAAGAGAGCTGCTGCGAACCGAATCGAACAGTGCTCCAGAGAGTGTGCTCTCGCGGCCGCCGCCGGCTCCCCCTGAGTGGAAGCGAGAAAGAGAGAGAGAGAGAGAGAGAGAGAGAGAGAGAGAGCCAATCCAATTCAATGAATTGTCCGTTTCTCTCTTTCTTTTTCTGCCTGCCTGTTTCTCAAGGACTGGTGGTGGCCGGTGGCTTGCAACTCACACCTCAAAGAGCCAAACACGGAGGGGAGGTGGTTTTCATGCCCCCATCTGTGAGCAATTCCGGCAGCACTGACCCTTTTTTGTTTCTGTATGAATCTTTCAAGTTTCGAACTAAACTCTGCAAAAAATCATCTTCCGTTGCGGGGAATCGAACCCCGGCCTTATGGGTGAGAGCCATAAATCCTAACCACTAGACCACAACGGAGCGTGGCGTCGGGGCGCCGCAGGCACGTGACATTACCGCCGCGGCGGGCAGTCTGCCGTCGCAGTCGGCACTCGGTGAGAGTGAAAATAATTCAAGTTTTTCGGTAATTTTATCAATTTTCACCTAAAAATGCCATTTTTTTGCAATCTACAAGGAGTACAATAGAGCCTCCTCGTTTTAGCCCATTTATTTTTGATATTTGTGTTTGACACCATCTCTCTCTCTCTCTCTTCGACTCTGCCGCCTCCGGAATCACCGCACTCTCTCTCTCTCTCGCCTCTCCTTCTTATCCAAACAGGGCAGGTCAACCTCTAAACGATACCCATAAACTCTTGACTCACCACCTCTACACTTATATTATACTTCTACTATCCATTCGCTTTTCGTGTAAACCATCGGAATGTCTGATTGAATTGATCGTTCCTTGCACCCTTCTCTCTTTTTGCTCTTTCTCTCCAATCTTGCTTTGCGTTTTGCAGATTTTCTGAGATTCCGATGATGTCATTCGACTCTTGTCTCTTCTCACATCATTGGAAACAATATTTCTCGAAAATCTGAACGATCTGGAGGCATCAAAGTACTTTTCTCCGCCCAACTCTAAAAACCGCTTATCTTCGAACACTTGTATCTCGAGATGCGATGATTATTTCAAAAAATGGTCAACTGAAAAATTGTAACAAATTATGCGCTGAACAACTTTCCAGTTGACCATTTTATCACATTTCTTGCCATTTTTGAGTTATGGCCCAGTCCAAAGTCGGCAGAAATTTGCGGGAAATCCGGGGTGCGCACAGCTGAACGGGTATTTTTTTTCAAAAAAATTTAAATTTCTCGAGAATATTTGAAATTTTTTTCAAATTTCTTGGGTAAATTTTTCAACGGTATTTTTTTCAAAAAAATTTAAATTTCTCGAGAATGTTTGAAAATTTTCAAATTTCTTGTTGGGTAAATTTTTCAACGGTATTTTTTTGAAAAAAATTTAAATTTCTCGAGAATGTTTGAAAATTTTCAAATTTCTTGTTGGGTAAATTTTTCAACGGTATTTTTTTTGAAAAAAATTAAATTTTTTTGACAATATTTAAAAATTTTTTTAAATTTCTTGGGTAAATTTTCAACGGTATTTTTTTCAAAAAAATTTTTAATTTCTCGAGAATATTTGAAATTTTTCAAATTTCTTGGGTAAATTTTCAAAAAATACCGTAGTTTTATGGTGTACGGTAACACTCGTTCAGCTGTGCGCACCCCGGATTTCCCGCAAATTTCTGCCGACTTTGGACTGCAAAATCCGCGAGTGTTGCGGGTTTTCCGAGACTTTCGACGCGGCATTATACAATATCCACAAGGGCGACTATCAGTGAGAAGAGGACGAGGCAAAGTACAGGCACTAATTGTGATTTTGAGGATGTGTAGTGACTTTTGACGCCTTGGCCATTGGTATACGTAACTTTCGGGCCGCACATCCGTTTAGTCATCGTTTGTGACCATTCTCGAGCGCGAAGTGAAGAAAAAAAAGTGTAATCGCCTCATTTCCCTCTCTCTCTCTCTCTCAAGACTTTTGACATCAATTCTTCGTGGTCACAAGAATACGAAGACGAACTTTCGCTTTAATCCCCAAACGAATCTTCTCCGCAAACGCAAGAAGTGCATCATGCGAAAGCGTGTTGACATCGTTTCACTTTTACGATTATCCATAAACTTTCGTGCTGCAAATCAGAAGAATTTCGACTTCACACAATATTCAAAACGAAGAATCCAGTTTGTGGCGAAATACGTTCAAATTCAGTTTATCACTTTGCCTTATCATCCAACAGTGCGTTCATCGCCCCCCCGCCGCCGAACAAGACAATAATAACAAGAACGGCCTCGTTTTAGACGTCGTCGTCTCGCCGAATTTCACAATATATCGTGTTCGAGAGAACCTATCGCATCCTGAAATCATGTTTCACTTTCGTTGCGCAACCGCCTCAGCACCAAAGTCTCGGATGAATTGAATTAAAATGCCACTCCCCCCTATACATAGTACTCGAGATACGGCCACAGATACATTTGCCATTCAAGCTTGTTTCTGCTTCTTCTTCTTCTTCTTGAACTTCATCGACACACTTGTAAGACGAGAATATAGGTTTCATTATTTATTTGTTCAAGTACCCCTCACTCCCCGGGGTGTTTTCCCGGGGTGCTTGGCGTTTGTAATTGACAACGTACTGTGCAAAATCGTTTTCCAACTTCAAAGCGCTACAGTGCTCTTAGAAGTGGTTGTACGGAAAAAGTGTCAAGTACAAACATGAAGATCACGAGTTTTACTTGATTTTTGCAATTGACCACTTTCTTGTACGATCACTCCCTGGGGTACTGTAGCGCTTGGAAGTTGGCACAGCGCATTGAACCCTTAAGCTTGCTTTCAAGAGCTACAATAGTCTTAGAAATGGTTGTAGAGAAAAGTTGTCAACTGAAAAAGTGTAGTACTAGATATGGAGATTTCACAAAAAAATTTCTAGACTGATAGCACAACTCTAAGCTTCACAATAGCTATTTTTCTATAGCCGTTTTCTATGATTTTGCCAAAATGCTTCCGAAAACCATACACAAGTGTCCGAACAAAGTGAATGACCTTGGCATCGCCTTCTTTTCTTCCTCTCTCCTACACACACGTACACACATTTGCATATTAGTCACAAAACCGTCTTCCCCCCTTTCCTTTGACTATTCTCTGCCTAATTGCACCCTCTCATAAGCCTCCTAAGCTGTCCCCCACCTTCTTTTTCTTCCATTTCGTCTTAAGACCCACCAAAACGTGCAATTTTCAATGTTTTGCAGACATTTTTTGTTCGACCGCAAAAACGGATGGAATCATGATCAGCAGCAACAGTTCGTCGACGAGTTTGAACGTCGAAAACGATCATCATCATCATCATCACTTTCCGGCGAACGGAAAAAAGCCGTTGAAGGAGGGATCTGTTCAGTTGACGTCTCTCTCCACACTTCTCTCACATCATCGATATTTCTTCCTCTATCATGAAACACTGATTATTTCAAAACAAAAGTGAGCTTTTTCGTTGTTGCCTTGTCACACGGTCTCGCACGGCGCGAATGATGATTCAATGGGGCGCACTTGCAACAGGCGGGCTGTGTCGATTTACGCCGATTAATTAATTTTCAACGGGAGTTCGCGCGTTCTTTCCATGTTTCCTGTACAATACACCTGCTTTTTGTACGCCTGGAACCTGGCGTCGAATAATTAGAGCACTAGCTACGTTTTGGTAACAGAAATCTCGCATATCGTTGAGAATTAGCCGAGTTATTTCGATTTGAACGTTTTGGCCTGGATTTTGATGTTTTTCGAATAGTTTTCGAAAAGTGCTCAATAAAACTAACCGCCGGAACCTGAATTTTGTGAAGAAAGATTCAGCGAACATTTTTATCGTTTGTTGAGCTCATGAAATGCAAAATGAGCTGAAATATAAAGGTTTGAAGTTTTGACGAAATGCGAAAAAGACGCTAAAAACATGAAAAACTCTAAATTCTGTAAATAACGGTTTCCAACTAGCAAAATATTGTTTTCTAGACGTTTTTCAAGACAAAAAGAAAGAAATAAAGGTCGTAAACTCGAATTTAACTGCATTTTTAGACCTGCAAATTTTCAAAAGTCACAACGACACTCCGCAATTTACGAGCGCACTGTGTTTAGCATTAGCGCCCCCTGGGAGACCGTGTTGTTCACGGTCTCCAGAGCTGACAATATGGGCGTGGCCTCGGCGGCCAAATGGCATTTTCATGAATTGAGCAGGTTTTCTCTGATTTTTGTGGTCAACGACGATGAAAAATAATTGTTCGGCATGAAAACACGCTAATTCTCAGAATTAATGACGTTTTGGCGCATTTTTCGTGGACTTTGCTTTTTTGCTTCGCCGCCTAAAAACCGCACTTCTCATTTTGCGCTTTCTTGACCGTTTTTCGACAGCATTGGTTTTGAGAATGATAAATCACATAAATACAAGCATTTTGAGCGCTCGAACAGCGAAAATTACCGAAAAGCAACTGAAATTTACGCAGTTTTAGCCAAAAACCTTCAAACGGATAAATTTGATTTGCGACTTGACCAAATTTAACGCTCTTTCGCTTAAAAAATTCGTAATAGCCCTATACAATCGGTCTATCGAGAGACAAATGAGAAATTATCGGTTTTTCGTGGTTAATATGGCAAAAAACACAAATTTTGCAGTTAAAATTTGAATTTCGCGCCAATGTATCGCTCTATTGGGCGGGGCGCACTTGCGCGCCCATTGTAAGCTCTGGAAAACCTGAAATATCTCAGCGGCGGGTAGAGGTATCAAAAAGTGGTCAACTGAGAAAACGTTCATTATAACGTTCAGCACATTTTTCCAGTTGACCACTTTTTGATATCTCTACCCGCATAGTCATGACTATAACATTATTTCAGAGGCGCCTGCTCGTACAAACTCAAAGAGAAGCTAAAACTCGAAAAAGTGTGGATCGCGTCGAGCAACACGGCCGACTCGTTCCTCATCGGCTGGCCGTTCACCAACTACCTGGTCCACTTTCGGTACGGTCGCCCCAGTCCACACCGTAATCCTGTAGTGGCATAACTTGCAGAAACTCGGACGAGAAGGATGAGTGGTTCGAGCTGCTTTCGTGCTGTGTTCAGCAGTGCCTCCGCCCGCTCTTCACCACAATCTCGATGGATATCAATGTGAGGGGAAGGAAGCAGGTACGGTGGCCACGTGTCTTTCTTTTTTTTTCCCCCACAAATACTTCTCACAGACGATCCGCCGACGAGTGGACAATGGCAAAAAGTCGGGCGAGATTGTGGTGGATACGGCCGGCGATTTGGGCCTTCCGCACACGTCCTATCAGCTGACACTGTCTGTCGGTGAGTAGTTCGTCGTCAGTCAGCGACGTTTTGCAACTGAACTGAACACACATTTCGCAACCGTCAGGCGACAACTCGAACCGCTCGCTGCAAGGCCCCGAAAATGTGTACGTGGCGATTATGAGCGAGATTGAGCGGCAAGGGACGCGGCTCTCGGAGAGCCAGAAACAGTCGCTGGACACGTGTCCGATCGCCAACTGCCGACTCATTCTCTCGACGATCAAATCGACGACGGGACCGTCGGCCAAGCAGATCGTCAATAGCATCAAGTACAATCATTTCTATCGTTTTCCTTTATAACAATTTCAAAACGATTTATCTCGGCTCTCGGTGGAGGTAGCGAACAATTGTGAACTGATAAAATGTACGCAAGATTTTGGGGAGCATTTTATCAGTTGACAACTTTTTGATATCTACATCGGCGGCTGAGATATACGGCATTTTTCAATGATGACAATTTTTTGTTTTCTGCAGAAAGAAAGTGCTCACTCGATCGGACAGCCGCTCAATTTTTGGCAAAGAACTGAACGGTCCGACGCCGCCGCAACCCATAATGACTATTGTCGATCACCTGCGAATGGACGGCTTCGACGCGGAGGGCATCTTTCGCAAATCGCCCAAACAGAGCACTTTCAAAGAGCTGAAAGGCGAGCTGGACAAGGGTGTGGTGCCGGACTTTCACAAGTACAACACCCACGTGTTGGCGTCGATTCTCAAAGAGTATCTGCGAAGCATTCCGGGCAAAATTCTGCTCTCCGGAAACTACGAGCTGTGGATGCGCGAGGTGACCGACGAGCCGGACCAGGAGCGGAAGATCGGCTCGTGCAGAGCGCTCCTCTCGCACCTGCCCACCTCGCACTCGATCCTTCTGGCCAACGTGCTCAAGTTGCTCAACCGGGTCTCGAACTCGCCGAGCTCGAAAATGAACGCCTCGTCGCTGTCGGTGTGTCTGGCGCCGAGCTTCCTCGAGAGCCCCGATCCGATGGAGGGCGGCAAGAAGATTCCGCCGCTCGTCGAGTTTCTCGTCTCGAACGCCGCCCAAGTGATGCCGTGCTTCTCCACCGACAACGTCTTCGCCATTATGAGCTCGCCGATGGTCGACCACAATGCGAATATGGTGTGCTCGCCGGCGCCGAGCTCGTCGAACTCGGACGAGGGCGGCAGCTCGCAGAGGACGCCGATTATCGAGGAGTTGAACGGTGGGTGAAGTCAAGTTGCGAGCATTTCGCAACTAGAATCGTTCTTCAGAAGGCGACGACGCCACGTCCCAATCCTCGCTGGCCGAATCCGATCTTCCCGATGAGCCACGTGGAAACTCTGCGCATCTGGAGACGATATCGGAAATCTCGGAGCCGCCGACAGCCGACGAACGCCTCACTTTCTCGTCTTCGGATTCGGAAGACGACGACGAGGACGACATGTTTCGGCCGCAGGGACCCTCCTCCTACTCGCGAACCTCGTTCGTCTCGGAGACATTACGGAGTTCATCGGACGAAATGGACAAGGCGCTCAACAAGGAAACGCCCCGGTCGCCGTGCCTCAAACGCATCCATTTTCAGAGGACCGAGGCGCAGCACAGGTGAGTGGGCGGAGAGCAGAGCGGAGCGGAAGAGCTCAACGGAAGAACTCGGAAGAATTTTTATCTTTTATAGAAAATTTTTTCATCGAATGTGATCAACAGATGAAATGTATAGCAATGTGAACTCTGCTCATAGAAAAATAGTTGCAAAATTTAGCTTTTCTTACAAAAAAGTTATGCGAGTTTTTGCGTGAAAATGTCCTTCCGTCTTCCGTTAGCCCTTTCGCACGGAACAACTCGAATAACTTTTTTGTATGAAAAGCTAAATTTACAATTATTATTTTGTGAGCATCACGGCCTCCAGACAGAGTTGAGCGGAAGAACTCAACGGAAGAAAACGGAAGAATTTTTATCTTTTTTAGAAAATTTTTTCATGAAATGTGATCAACTGACGAAATGTATAGCAAAGTGAACTCTGCTCACAAAAAAATAATTGTAAATTTAACTTTTCATACAAAAAAGTTATTCGAGTTGTTCCGTGAAAAAAGGGCTAACGGAAGGACAACGGAAGACGGAAGGACATTTTCACGGAACAACTCGAATAACTTTTTTGTATGAAAATCTAAATTTACAATTATTTTTTTATCAACAGAGTTCTCTTTGCTATACATTTCGTCAGTTGATCACATTTCATGAAAAAATTTTCTGAAAAAGATAAAAATTCTTCCGTTTTCTTCCGTTGAGTTCTTCCGCTCAACTCTGCCTCCAGAGCTGACAATGGGCGCAAGTGCGCCCCGCCCAATAGAGCGATACATTGGCGCGAAATTCAAATAATTAACAGCCAAATTCGCGTTTTTTGCCAAATTAGCCACGAAAAACCGATAATTTCTCATTTGTTTCTCGATAGACTGATTGTATAGGCTATTACGAATTTTTTAAGCGTAAGAGCGTTAAATTTGGTCAAGTCACAAATCACATTTATTTGTTTGAAGGTTTTTGGCTAAAACTGCGTGAATTTCAGTTTTTGGTAATTTTCGCGGTTCGAGCGCTCAAAATGCTTGTATTTACGTGATTTATCATTCTCAAAACCAATTCTGTCGGAAAACGGTCAAGAAAGCGCAAAATGAGAAGTGCGGTTTTTAGGCGGCTATCGGCGGCGAAGGCGAAAAAGCAAAAGTCCGCGAAAAATGGCGCCAAAACGTCATTAATTCTGGGAATTAGTGTGTTTTCATGTCGAACAATCATTTTTCATCGCCGTTGACCACAAAAATCAGAGAAAACCTGCTCAATTCATGAAAACGCCATTTGGCCGAGGCCACGCCCATATTGTCAGCTCTGGAGACCGTGAGCAGAGTTCACTTTGCTATACATTTCGTCAGTTGATCACATTCCATGAAAAAATTTTCTAAAAAATGTAAAAATTCTTCCGTGTTCTTCCGTTGAGTTCTTCCGCTCAACTCTGACGGAGAGAATGGAGGCACCTATATATCAGCATGATATACTTTCAGAACAAAAGAGGGCACAATCAAGTTGGACTTTGAGGCGATGAAGTTCCGCGGCGGTCGCAAGAGCTCTCTGGAGGAGGTGGCGCGCAAGAACTCGGCCGAATTCCTGGCACAGCACAGCCGAGAACCGAGCGACGCGCCGACGCCCACGCCGCCCAAAAACGGTGCGAACGTGCGGAAAGAGTCGCGCGAGGAGGCGACGCAGACTGCCGACTGCGGGCTTCCGAAGATCTCCTCCGATCAACGATTCCCCGCGTTCAAGAGCAGCAGTGTCGCGTTGAGGAATGAGGTGAGCGCAGAGGGAGTGTAAACGTTGGTGACAAAATTGTCTTGCAGATCCCCTACAAACCGCCGCCGGCTCAATCGGCGATCCCAGCGGACCCGGCCCCTCGTCACTACCACCTCAAAGACGAGTACACCCCTTCGGCCACAAAACCGACCGTCCAAGTGGCGCCGTTCTCGCAAGAGCCGAGCCTCAAAACGATAAACGATCGGCTGACGGCCCTTCGTCAAAACTCGCTGCTCGCGGAGCCGCCGATCCCTCCGGAGCCGGTAATGTCTCGGTTGCGAAGTGACGCGCGGTCGCTCACAAACAGTCCGATTATGACGAGAAGTTTCATTGGCGGAGCTCAGAGGGAACGGGAAGAGTACAGTTTTACGCCGGACGGTAAGAATAAGAAAAATGGAAAGAAATGTGAGTAAAATTAAAACAATTACAGATTTCTACAAGGCTTGCCCGAAAAAGACAGAGCTCCAAAGGTCGTCATCGCAGAGAGGAGTCTCGAATAACAATAATAACAATAATAATAATGAGTGCGCCAAACAAATTTATCAGTACGTTTTATTAATCGAGCGTTGAAAAATCGATAATTTCTCTGTTAAATCTATCCTTTTCTGATGCGACATGGACTTGGCGTGGCGTCAGACTCGGACGTAAAAACCGAGTGTTGTAACGCGCTTCACCCGCTCACGCCACGCCACGTCCATGCTAACTATCGGATCAGAAAATGATCGCTTCATTCTGCCCCGTAATTTTCGTAATTTAAAGGCGCCGCACTCATTTTTCTTCCATTCTTTCTAATCGTTTTCGTTGCAGTTCACGTCCGTCGTCGGTCAAAACGGTGCGCCGAAAAATCGAGCGCGGCGTGGAGGCGTGCGTCGGAATGGATCCGTTGGAGATCAATTGGAGCGTCAGCCAACTGAAGACGCTGTTCCAGGACACGAAAGCGCCGGCGATCGACACTGTGTACACACAAGACTGAAGAAAAAGAAATGATATTTCCCTCCCGATTTTTCCTCACACTCCATTCCCGCTTGCTTTTTGTGTGTTAATTTTCAAATGTCTCACACTCAATCACTCACTCACATTCAGTATTACACGCACGAATTTCACCGTGTTGAAGAAATGAACAAACTTCGTTGAAAAGTCGGAATTTTTTCGAAAAAAAAAAGAAAAGAAAGCATAGAAAACAATTAGGGACATGAAGATGTTTGATTTTTAGCGAAAAACGGTTAGCATAGCAGGGGTATCACATTTAAAAGGTGGAAAATTACACGAACGTCACGTCACTTGGTGAAATGGCGTCGAACAGAGAGACAAAAAAAAGGAAGCGACTAGTTGATTGGTACACAGCGATTTGGACGGGATAAAACGGACAAATATCGGAGATCAGTGATTTTGGGTACGGAAATATTGTTCAGAAAAAGGTAACACAAGTGAAATGGGAACGAGAAATGGCTCGATTAGTTGAGTTTGGTCGCCCATTTCAGATCGTCCTCGCGCGGCTGCATTCCCGTCGCCGCCGTCACCACCCACTCGAGTTTGCGCCAGAATCCTGCAGAATTTAGTGTGAAATTTTCTGAACTTTGCACACAAGCGAACCAAAATATTCCAGGGGCCAGTTGAGCCATCCGGTCGTGATGCAATAGTAGCACGCGTGCGGCGAAATGTGATGGATCTGAAAAAATGTATGGGTTTAGAGAAGGCTAAACGGGAAAAATGAGTACCTTGTGATGACTTCTCGGCAGAATAATGTGCGCTTTTTGCAGGAAAACCACCCATTTCGAGAGGCCAAAGTAGGTGTGCGACCATTTGTGAATCTGAAATGGACAATTTAAATTAATTTGTAAAAAATTGCAAAGCACTGGCAGCTCGTCAAACCTCTGTGACTTTTGCGGAAAAGCTACAAGCTCGAAAAGTTTGCGCAGACTTTACGCAGCCTTTGCGCAAGCTTTTAACAAAACTCGTTGTCGAATTCAGTGTTTTCTAGAGAAACGAGGCCACAAGAATGCTAAAGTCGCGCTTGAAATCACCTGATTCGTGAGCGCGACGTAGATGCCGAGCAGAAGGATATACCAGTGGAAGGAGGCCCATTGCGTGAGCTGCTCCTGCTCGTACGTGCACTGTTGATAGGTGATCCAGAGGAGCGGCACGATGCAGAGCATGAAGTTGTCGCCGTTCACTTCGACGAAATCGTGTCGCGTGATGGCGGTCGGGTCGACGTGGTGCTCGCGGAACGGACGGATGAACGAGCGGCCGAACCACGTCTCGACGCTTCCGAACGTGTCGGCGCCCCAGTGAACGAGTCCTGACGCGAAGTCGGCGGTCATTACGCCCAGCACCGCGCAGAACACCACCGATTCTGAAGGTAAATGTGATTTCTCATGAAAAAATCGGTAAAATGCGGAAAACGAGACCTTGACGATCTACTTTTGCAAAAACCTACTCCAAATCGACGATTCCCAACTGAGCAGCAGGTTGACGAAGACGGCGGCGAACAGAAAAATGGCGACGACGAGCGACACTTCTTCTTGGAGTCGCTTTTCTGCAATTCACCACAATTTCAGTGATTTTCAGGCTGGAATAGCATTTTTCGTAATTTTTTGTTCAGACATCTCAAAAATCCCCATTTTTCCACATTTTTCCTAATTCTCCACCCTTCTTTTTGCAATTTCCGCCCGAATCGAGTGAAAAGAACAATTCTTTGAACCCCAAAATGGCATGATAGTGCAGTGGTGTGATAAGACCGTCTCCGTCTCTTTCTTTCTCTCCTTCCGAACCTTTGCTGTACATTGACGCGAGCTTCTTGGCTCCGGCGTGTTGTGGACCCCATCGTGGCGCCTGGAATCCAAGATCGCACTCGACCACATTTCCGTTCGGATCGTCCTCCAACATTGACGGCAACGTCGCAATGTCGACCTCTTCGTCGAGCGTCGGCGCCGGGTCCGGCGATTTGAATCTGAACGCAAAATGATGGGATTAACTTTGGAGAAAAGCGGTAATTTGGCGAACGGATTTGATCTGACTTTTAAAATCAAGAATTTATTACACGCTTATTCGTTCGAAGCTGTCAGATTTTGCAGAAAGAAAAAAAGCGAACCCTAACTTGTCACAATTATTAGTCTCTCGGCCTCTTTTCAATATAAACCGATCGAGCTGAAACTTTTAATTCAGACACTCCAAACAAAACGTAAAAATTCTGTCAAGTGTGGAAAATTGTAAGAAATTTAGCGATCTCGCGCAAAACCTGACTTATTTCAGTCGCTCACCGTTCTTCCTCCTTCTTCAGACACTCGCTCTCGTCGGGCACCATCGTCGTTGTGGTCGAAGAAGAGGTCGCCGTCGAAGTGACCGTCATGATTGGTTTCTCGCTGAAAATCGCACGAAAGAGTTTACGTGAGAGGAGAAGGAAAAAACGAAGAGAAAAGTGGCCAAATAGTGTATCATTTGGCCGACAGCTTCTAGAATCCGGCGGAATGACACGATAATTGGCGTCGTTATTATGACGCCTTCAGCCAGAACGAAGAAGAAGACGTAGAAAAATAGATTTATGGTTTTTGAATGCGAAAATGTTACTATAGAAGGGATTATATCGATAACTTGATGACGTTTTTAGGATTTGAAGAAAAAAAGAACAGAGAAATGACAATGAAAGTGTGCTTATCGTCTTATCGTTTCGAGACAAAAAATTGACACTTTTTGTTGCGAAAATTTACCTTTTCCGGTCCAAGAAGAAATTCGCCAAACTAGAGAATACGTGAAAATGCAGCTTCGCCGGAAAATTCAATAATTATCGATAACCCGCGCGCTAGCGCGCGCCCGATATCAGTTGTAGCAAAAATGAAATGGCGAAAAAAGATGATGTTTCATCGAAACCGTTTCGTTTGATTGATAAGTGGTGTCGGTCGGCAAGAGGGAAATGCGACAGTCAGCCATCTTTTCTACGAAGGCAATTCTCGAATAATGGCGAAAAGAACGAAGGCAGTATTATTTATGTAAACGTGTTGTTTGATCGGAAACTGTCAGGAATGCGATGGGGGAGAGAGAAAGAGAAAAGTACGTTTTTGATGGGAAATGGGTTTGAAACCAAGGCTTTGAGAAAAAGCTTTATGTTTTATATAGTTATACGAATTGTCAGAGTAATTTTCTGCAGCACAAAAATTGATGAGTTTCTTTTTATACGACACAAATTTACTTTAAAACAAACGTTGAAGCAGAGCTATTCATTTAGATTCTGAAAATTCCGTTTATAATTTTGAGAAGGTTTAAAACAAAATCACAAAGGAACGAGCACACATTTTTGTTATGAACAAAGTCTGGCAGACAAGAACACGCGCACGAAATGAGAAAAACTGCGGATCACCCCGATTGATGGCTCGTGTGTGCTCTTCTCTCAAAGAAACCAGGCAACCAATATAATAAAAATCAGCTGTTCTTCTTTCTTTCTTTTTTGTATTTCTGTCAATCTTTGCAGTCTTGCCACCACAATCGAAAATGTGTTCACCGATCAGGTGAGCCTCTGATCTTTCTCCTTCCAGAGACTCTCCGATGGTCAGAGTACTTTGGCACAGAGGAAGTGGAAGAGAGTGAGTGCGAGAGAAAAGAGAAAGAGAAAGAAGAAGAAGCGACGGCGGCGGCGGCGGAGAAGGTGATAAATTAGTCGATCTATCGGCTGATCTGGCACGGACCGAGAGAACGAGAGAAAGGTCAGTTTGGCCTCGCGCCAAGTGGTTTGGGCGCGAGATGTTATTTCAGTTTCGAGAAACGCCTGGGAAAATAGTCTCTACTGCTTTCGACAACGTTACACACTTTCAATTTTTCCAGACGTTTCGCATATAGAACCTCAATTTTGCCCAGAAAAAGTGAGCACGAACAAACGTTGATCCGAATTTAGCGAGAAGAAAGAACAACAGAAAAAAAAGGAGAAATCTGCTGATTCTGATTTCAATATTGACGATCAAAGTTGAGAGCGGACTGACAAACTGATAGCGCCACCAAAAGTGGGCGTGTCTTCCGCAAAAACATGGCACGAATGCGAAAATACGTGTGATCCGCCGAAATTTTGTGTGTGTATGAGCGTGTGTGGTTCTGCTCCACTACACGGTGTAGTCGAGCGGTGGGCTCGGCGAGCCGAAAAGTGTTTTGATTGCCCCCCCTTCTCTTTTCTTCTGCTCCCTACTCGGTCGGTCAGCGTGTTGCTGATTAGGCAAAAGTACATTGGAAACTGATCCGCTCGGAACATTTCATCACGGCGCCTTTTTTGTTTTGTTTTTCACCGAAAAACCATTGAAACTTTCGACGGGGGGACAAACAGAGTAAAGCGTGTGAATTTCACGTGGCGAGAGCAAAGAGCACAAGTGCGAGCTTGATTAGAAAAGCCCGCAGGTGGAACCGATTCAATTCGCTTCGTTTTCATTTTCCGACAAAAGCTCGGAAAACTCTAAGCAGCAAAAGTTGAGTGAACACACATGTGGTGCCATCACACACATACACACACACACACACACAGACCAGGAAATCTGGTCGGAAAATGAGATAGCACAGCCGGAGCTGCCCGGAACAAAAAGATGAGGAAGGAGGAGGTGGAGGAGTCAGTTGCCGACACATTCTAGTCTTTTGAATGGATTGAGGAGCAAGAGTGGAAATTTGTTCAAAAATCACTGTTACTTTGCAACAAATGATCGATATTTTTCAGTTTTTTCATTGAAAATTAGCTGGTACAAGGCGGGAAACGTATTTTGCAAACATGTGCACTAAATTTGGTACTAAAACCCCGGGACCGGCCTGCGCCATGTCTAAATCGGACTATTTCCAATTGGAGAACAAATTCGCTTATTCTATTCTAGACTACAAAACGTTCCGACCATGACAAATTGCCCGAGATTGAATTCTAGGCCTCGCAGCTACTGTAGTAACCCGTAAAAACAAATTCGTTTTTGTCGGCGATCACATGTGCGAATTGCAAACAACAATGGGAACATTCGACACGCAATATCTATGAATATGGAAATTTCGCTTTAAAAACAGCGATCGGATTATTTGTTGCGATGAACTGTTTTGTGTGTTTTCAACAACAAACAGCGTGTACTGTAGGGATCATATTTGCAAAATATGCTGATTTTAGGATAGTTGGAACAACTGAAAAATGACGCTTCAGTTCGAATTTCCTCAATTTTCATGTCAGGCTGGCGAGCCGCGCCTTGCAAGCAATCTTTAGGTAATCGATAGCTTATGCCGAGCGGATCAAACGTTCTGTTGATCATTTTTGCAAAAAGCGTCAAGAAACTGAGGCCAAGTTACCTACGGATCATTCTCTAGTTAGAAGAACAAAAAACAATAGAAAAGCAGCGCCATGACTACCGTAGTTCTGGCGGTGCTCATGTTTTTTCTCAGCTCTCTCTCACCGGAGCCCTGTCGCCCGTGGCAACTCTTCGCCCGCTAGTCCTCTATTCTGGTGTGTTGGTGTTGGTGTGCAAGCACTCCGTAATTCTCGAGCGCCCTAATTCGTTTCCGCTTGCACATTTTTAATTAGATGCACACGCCAACGTGTGTGATTTTTGTGAGCGCCCAAAAATATATCATCATCATCATCGTGTTTTAGACAAAAGTACATTTATAGGAGTTTCCGAGAAAACAGGAACGGCTGTAAATTGGAAACAGACGACGGAGAAGCGGGCAGAAAAAAGAAATGCGGTGTCATTTCGGAGGCGCACGAATGGGCTCGTGTCTCGAAATTGGAATTGTGTGTGGTTTGACAAGAAGCCAAAATGAAAAACATCTTCGTCGAGAGAAGTGTACTCAATTTCTTCTTTTTCACCGCCGCAATTGAGAAGAGACATTTACGCAAATGGAGCTTTATTTGAGTGAGAAAAGAGGCCAATTTTCAGGGTTCATTAACGGTAAAGAAGCCTAGAAAATGACAAAATTGACCCAATAGTTCTTGTCACAAAACCTAGAGTCTGTAAATATTGTTCGAACCGATCGGTTCGGAACACTATAAAAATGACGCCATTTGTGCAAAGTAGGCTACAGCAAATATTGTAAGAGCACTTTATATTCGGTTAAGATCAACGGAACACTCGCAAAAAAATCGGTTTCCAGTTGAATTTTCGGGCAGAAAAAGGTACAGCAAAGCACATTTTTTCTAAAGTGAGCATGATCGAATTAGCGAAAATGTTTGCAGAATCTTATTTCATCACTGACCCTAAAAAATGACGCTGAAAAAGAGGGAAAGAAAGTGGAAAAAAAGAGTGAGAATCCCATGCTCTTCTATTTATTTGCTGCTCTGCTCCGGATCCGGACGGGCGGACGGCTACATTTTGTGCCGAATAGAATATATATATTCAAGGTGCAAATGAAGAGAAGACGGAGACGACGGAGAAGAAGAAAAAGAAGACGAAGAAGACAACCTAATGAGATCGTGGATACACTCTTCTTCGTCGCTTTTTCGAAATAAAGTGTGTTTTTTCATTTCCGGACATTTTTTTCGGACGTGGCGAAAAACAGAGAAGCGAGTTGAATTTTTAATGCAAGTAAAATACAGTTTTTTGAGCTAGTCCAATTAAAAAAGACTCACCGTTCGATTTTTCGATGACGAATCCAGAGAGTTTCAACCGAAAGACGGTTTTGCACGAAACAGAGTCAATGTTTGAAAACTTTTCGTGATTCATGGGAAAATGGCAAATAGATGGGCAAAAAAATCGGGTGGAAATGTTTGTTTCGAAACTTTTTACAACAACATAATAATTTAATAGCGGAGATTCAATCGGCGGCCCGCACATTTCAGCGAAAAACAATTGATTACTATTGGAAAATTTGATGAATATAAAACAAAAATGCAGTAAATAATAGGAAGGCGATGATTGATGTTTAAACAATCGGCGACGCTTCAAGATTCAGCGGTTAGCGTGGCCAGTGTGATCGGTTTTTCGGCGCGAGCCTCCACGAGAATCGTTCTCGCCTTTTTGTGACTGATTCCATCTGAATTGAACTGAACCCATTAGAGAACTGTTTAAAATTCGAGAAAAAGGCCTGCAACTTACTTTGGCCGCCGTCGGACGCTCGTTTCTTCGTCACGACCGTTTCCGATTCCATGAGCACGTCTTCCGGCTCCACGGGCTCCGCCTTCACCGTTTTCAGAGCGCTTTCGGCCAAAATTCTGCGCACAGTGTGATCGGTTTCGTTGAAAACGCGCTGAATTTGTGCGCGTGCTACTTCTGGCTCCATTTCGGCGTATTTCGCGTCGCGAGACAGGACGACGTGGAATTTCTCGAATTCTCGGCGCTCTTCCTCACTTTGATCCTCCTGGAAATGTGGTTTTGAAGAAAATATGGAAAAGTGAGAAGGAACCTTCTGCTAGGCTGGCAGAATAGGCGAAAAAACGCGTTTGAAGCCTTTGAAAGTCGGGTGTTCCGCTTTTTTGGGAAAGACAACAGTTCGTCTTCGCCTGCTCATCGAAAGCGGACGGCCGCCTGCGCCCGACTTTCAAAGGCGTCCGGCTGTCTTCGCCTGAAAAATTCAGGCGAGGCGGCCTCCGGTCAGCCTACCTTCTGCTGAATTTTAGTGTTAATCCTGAGTATGGTGTCGTGAGATCGCTTGGAAAGCAAAGCGACGTGCTCCTTCTGCTCCTCGCTCATTTCCTTTCCGTGCTCGCCCAAGAACGCGGCGAGTCCGTCGACGTATGCGGCCACGTGGTCCCGCCACGAAATCAAGTGCTGCAACACTTCCGGCGTGCTCTTCGCGATCTGCTGGAACTCGAGCTTCTTCTCTTCGTCGCTCAATGAATTGTCGCGGAAAATGTGGTTGAGAAGGTTGGCGGCCGGCGGTTTCGGGAAATCGGGCAGCAGTGGAAACGCCTGAGAACTCGAGCACGCCTCACGCACTATCGTCAGGATCGTCACTGCAAATTTTTGGGATTTTTAAAGAATTCTCTATCAACTTTATCTTTTCGGAGTGTTCACACTGACTTAGCTGTAATTTGCGGAACATTGGCACGGCGAGCAGAGTGAGTTTCTGCAGCTCTTCGATGATTTCACGGTGGTTTTCCTCGAATTCGGGCAGAATTTCGGCCAGTTTATCCAGCGATTTGTCCAGAAACTCTTCGCCAATATTATCTTCATTCTTAAATTACAGAATTTGCGAAATTTTCAGCGGAAAATCAAAGTTTCACCTCGAAAAACTGGGCGACTCGCCACGGAGCACTTTTGATGGGCTCTCGACGCAGCTTTTCGCGAATCAACTCCTCGACGGACATTTGCTCTTCTGAACTCATCGTTTATTCATCGATTCGAAACGTTTCACGGACTCACCGGGCGCTGAATTCTCCATGGAAACGGCGGGAAATGGATGGCGGAAAATGAGGGGAACATGGGCGAAAATGCGTGCGGCGCGGCTGCGAAAACGGGTGCCAGAGTTGCAAAATAGGATACGCCCACAATCGAAATTCGCGAGAGCGCCCGAAAATCACGGCGTACGCGGTTTTTTGTGCAGTTTTATGGATTTTGAATCGATTCGGATCCACTCATGAATAAAAAAATACTCGAAAAGTCATCCGCCCCCGTCACGCCCTCAAAATCCATCTCGAAATTGCTCTTTCCTCATTTTTCTCAATTTTTAACAATTTTCCCATTTCAGCGTTATGTTCAATCTGCAAAACCGCATCAACGGCAACGACGACGACCGTCACTACCTCGAGACGAGAATTGCCGTGCGCGACAAGCTTCTCGCGCAAGGTAAATTGGATTTTTTCCAGAACATTCTTTGTATTCGCATTTTCCAGAAATGAAAGACCTAGAGTTGGGTCTCCGCCAGCAGAAGCTCTGGAATCTGCACGTGCCGTCGACGTCCAAGCTGCACGAGCTGGATTTGACGGTGACTCCGCAGGAGGGCATCTACAAGGGCGGCGTGTTCAGGTTCAAGATAACCGTGCCGCCCGAGTACAACAATACGGTGAGGAAGCGAGAAAAACGCGAAAATTCGAGTTAAATGTGGAATTGATAATTTTTCCACCAAATTCGTCCAAACTCGAAATATCGAGTGATTGTTGCAGCCGCCGATCGTCAAGTGTCTCACGCGCGTCTGGCACCCGAACATCAACGAGGACGGCTCGATCTGTCTGTCGATTCTGCGGCAGAACTCGCTCGACGCATTCGGATGGCGACCGACTCGCAACCTGCTCGAGGTCGTCCACGGACTCGTCGCCCTTTTCACCGATCTTATCGATTTCGACGACGCGCTCAATATTCAGGTAGGGAATTCGCTGAAAATCTCTGTAATTTTCAGACTCAGGTGTGAAATATTAAAAATTTGCGGTTTCTACTTTAAAATACCTCAATTTTCAATTTCAGGCCGCCCAAATGTGGACTCAGAATCGCGACGCCTTCAAACATCGCGCCCGCGAGTACATTGCGAGATACTGCTGAAAAGGACCCTTGACTGATGATTCCCCGCCGCCACCGACTGATTTAACTCCGTTTTTCCTTCCGATTTCCCCCTATTCGTCGTCTCCTGTTCAATATACACACAATTTTGTTCTAAATAAATTTTGCTTCAGTCACTATAAAACGAAGAGATTTTATTCCAGATGCAAAATGAGAAGAGGAGAGAAAAAAGGAAAAAATCGAATAAATTAGGCGGCGAAATCAATTGAAAATTGGATAAAATAACATTTTTTTGTGTGTACGTGTGGGCGGATCGATTTAGATGGGCTTGATCTTGAAGTGGAGTCCGATGAGCGAGAAGACGAGGCACTTAAGGTCCTGGACAAGGTAGTAGAACGAGCGCAGACCGTCCGGATCCTTCGAGTTGTTCACGTCGGCCAGCGCGCCGATCTTGCCGGTCGTGAACGAGATGTGCTCGTTCTTGTACAGAATCTCCAGCTCCTGTCGGCCAACCTTGTCGGGCTCCGGCCAGTTGTCGTCGTCCTCCTGCATGATCTCCGAGTCCTCGATGATGCGCTTCAGCTCGGTGAGCACCGACTCCGAGACTGTCGCCTCTTTGCGGATCATCGTGTCGTTCTTATAGTTCGAGTTGTTCGCATAGCGGAGAGCGCCGTTCGGACGGAACTCGAACTCGAGGAATTCGTGACCGAATTTTCCCTGGAAATCGATATTTTTCAGATTTTTACTTGAATCTTTGCACTAACCTTGTGTCCGACGTAGTATCGAACGTAGAAGTCGTTGGCTTTATCGTCTTCGGCACTCATCCTGTAAGAAGACCAGTAAAATCGCTTAATTGTTTAGACTTCACAAAAACCGCGAAATTCGATATGACCAAGGTTCAAAACCTGCGAGACTTAGAGGAAGATATGAAAAATAGTATAAATTAATAAATTTCATAAAAATATCCAGGATAAGCACACGATATAGCGTTTAAAAGGGGTGAGAAATTCAAATAATTATTTTCGAAAATGCCAAAGTGTGCAGTCGAGCGTCGGCGGTGTTTGCACACGATGCACCAGACGCGACGACAATGTACGAGAGCAAAATGGTAAAAGATCGGTTAGGGGGCGGTTTGTCGTCGGATTTGGGCCAAAAAATTGAGATTCAGATTGAGAAATCAGGTAAAACAATGGATAAGTACATAAATTATCGATTTTCGGTGAGAAATGCTCGTCAGGCGTCCTCCATCCGCGTCTTTTTCATATCTTCCGCGTTAGCCAACGGGCTCGCCTGCCGCTTATTCGATTGGATATTCCGTGAGGGACCAGCGGCGTCGTAGAATTCCGCGTCGTTCTCCACGCGCGAGTCCCGCTCGAATTGCGAGTTCCGGATCTGAAAATTTTCAAAAATTCTAATTTTTCTAAAAAGAGGCGTACATCATCGTTTTGGTGATCTCGGAGAAGTTTAGCGTCGAACGTCTTCACAACTGATTCCGAATCGTCGGCCATCGGCTGCATCTGCACCGAAGGCGCGTGATTCAGTTGCTTGAGATTCTCGAGAAGCGACACGATCGTCTGGTCGATGAATTCGGCCGAATTGTAGTTGATCAGCGAGGAGAGCGGTTTGATGTGCAGTTTGTAGTCGGGAATGAAGTAGTCAAAGTAGTCGTGCACTGGCAAATCTGCAATTTTCATTCGATTTGTTAGGGAAACTGACAAAATGAGCCTAAAAATTGTGTTTCGTGGAAGGTGCAAGAATACTCAACGGATTCTCACAAAAATCAAACAAAAAGTTTGAAGCAGTCATTTTCTACCGTAAATTCTAAGAATTCTCACTGAAACATCGAAAAACGAACCGTCGCCGACGGGCTGATTCAACGCGATCGACGTCTCGTAAAGCCAGCAGCGCGACACGTTCCGAATCGTGTATCCGCCGCCGCCGACGAGCAGAAGCGGCACGTTGAAGCTCTTCATGTACTCCACACACTTTCCGTGGCCTGTAAATCGTAAGAAATGTAGAGACGCGTGTTTTCCATGTCAAAAGTGACAGTTTTTCTTTCATTTTCCCACACTTTGTGTACGAGTTTCTGGACGATGAAATTTAGCATCAATATCACCAATTAAGTGTAAACCGCTAAAAACATGCGGAAAACTTGAAAAAAAACCACTATTTCCCGTAACAATGCAGAAATGTTGAGAAAATCCTACCCAAAGTGGTCAAATTGAAGACGCCGAGTCGGTCCCCAGCAAGCGAGTCGGCTCCGCACTGCAAAACGACGGCTTCGGGCCGGAAGCGGGCCATCACCTCGCCCATGATCGTCCGGAAGATGCGCTCGTAGGTGGAGTCGTCGACGCCGTCGCGCAACGGCACGTTCAACGCGTAATACTTGCCCCTGCCGGCGCCGACGTCCTTCAGATCGCCCGTGCCGGGAAAGTACTCGCCGTGCTTGTGGAACGAGACGGTCATGACTCGGTCCGTCGTGTAGAAGGCCTCTTCGACTCCGTCGCCATGGTGCACGTCGATGTCAATGTAGAGGACGCGCGCGTGCTTCTTCAGCAGCTCCAGAATCGCCAGCACAATGTCGTTCGAGTAGCAGAATCCCGAAGCCTCGGATTTTTTCGCGTGGTGCAAACCGCCCATCCAGTTGATCGCAATGTCCGACTCTTTGCGGTTCAAATGCGCCGCCGCCGCGAGGGATCCGCCGCACGACAACTGGCAGAACTCGTACATTCCGTCAAAGACGGGACAGTCCTCGCCGACCGAGAAGCGCGCCATTTGGTCCGAGAACTGCGAGAGATTGTCCGATTTGACGTCCTTTAGAAAGTTTATGTAGTCGTCCGAGTGGTACCGCGTGATCTCCGCGAAACTCGCACGCGCCGGCCGCTGCAATTTTCAAATTTTTTCTCTAAGAAGAGGAATTTTCCGCATTTCCCCGCTGACATTGTACTTTTCCCGTTGCGTACCATGACGTTGAGCTTCCTGTAGAGTCCGTAGTTGACAATGAGACTGTGGGTCATTCGGACGCGGTGCGGCTTCATCGGATGGCCCTGTCCGTAGTAGAAATTGCCGAAATCGCCGTCGTAATAATAGGAAACGCGAGTTTTTGAGTGCGACATCTGCCAAAAATACAAGATCACAAAATTCTAGCAGAATAAGAGGTACAGAGACATCGATAAAACGGTCGAATTATGTCGGAAATCGGCAACAATCTTTGCAAGCATTTATATAAGTTCAATAAATTTAAAAATTCCTCAAAAAAGCAAATCAATAAAACGAGGCGAACTGGGACGGAAAGAGAGAATCGGAATCAGAGACAATATACATGAAAAAGGGGTGCGGGACTTCGCGCGCTCAGGCGTTTCTTTTCACCAATTTCGTCACAAATCCGTCGAGCACCGGCCGCAGCGGTTCAATCACATCCGGAATTTCGGCAATGCTCTTTTTGATCTGAAAAATGAGCAATGTAGGAAAACGGTTGTAAAAAATACCTCTTGTGAAAAGTGCGTCTCGAATCGTCGAAACTCGTCTCTCAACTGCAATTCCTCATAAATCGCCTTCACTTTTTCAACCTTTTCCGTGTCGGCCGACCCGAAATTTGTGGCAAACTCGTCGAAAAGCGCCGTCTTCTGCGCCGTCTGCATTTTTTGCAACGCGCGTACGGCCAGCCACGTGCACTTTCCGTCCTGAATGTCCGTTCCGATCTTTCCGGTCACCTTCGGATCGCCGTACACGTCCAGGAAATCATCCTGGGACTGGAACAGGAATCCGATCTGATAGGCGGCCTTTTTGACGGCGCCGTGGTAGGCGAGCACGTCCGAAATGAGCAGGGCCATCTGGAGCGGGTGGTAGACCGTGTAATGCGACGTCTTATTCTCGACCATCAGCTCGTAGCGGTCCCACGTGAACGAGCGGATCTGGTGGACGGACGACGTGTCGAGCACCTGTCCGATCAGCGTTTTCTGCTTCGATCGACGGTACGCCTCGCACAGACGGTCCACGTTGACGTGGCCGGGTAGCGAGATCCGCAGCACGTCCTCCACGAACGAGTCCATGATAAACGCGTCGTTGATCGCCGACATTCCGACGCCTTCGCGCCGGTACCAGCACGGTTTGCCGCGCCGCATCTCCGAGCCGTCCATTATGTCGTCGGCGATCAGGTAGAAACTTTGGATCTGAACAATTTGTCATGAAAAGCATAAGAAAAGCCACAAAAACTGGCAGAACTTCGATTTTCCGCGAAACGTACAATTTCCAATGTGGCGGCCGCCTCACAAACAGCCTTCAACTCTTGTGTTTCGTCGCGTAAATGCGGCTGGAGCGCCCGTGTCGCATCCACGCAAAGCGAGGCCCGCGAGTATTTTCCGCCGATCACAGTGTTGTCGAATAGCTGAAAAATCGTTCGTTTGCCGTTGAAATAGCAAATTTTCCGGTCAAAAGTGAAATTTTCATCAAAACGAACGTTGCATTTTTTTTCTCAAAGAAAATCTTGTGAATCCGGACAAAACACACACATTTCTACACCTGTACTGAACCAAATCGAATTCGGGCCCGTCGAACGGCAATTTGGCCGACACCACCTTCACGAATTTCTTTTTCACCTCGCCAAGTGCCGTCTCCACTAGTTTTCTACTGGCAAACATCTGAAAGTGCGGAGAAATAAGGGGCTCAAAAATGGCGAGTTTAAAACAGCGAAAAGTCGAACGAATGAGTCATCAAAAAATTATTTCGAAATAGTGAAAAGCGGGGCGGAGAACCACAGAAATCAGATGGAAAAAGAGCGATAAGGGAACAGAATTTGTTCATTAGGCAAAGATTAGGAGGGAAATGCGTAAAAATGCGAATATTTACACGAAATTTGGGGTGAGCATAATGAGGACTTTGATGCTTTTCTAACGAAAATTCAAGCGTCGTCCCACTCGTCGCTATTGTTGCCGTTGTCGTCGTCGTCGTCGCTCGAATCCGGTCCGATCGCCTGCTCCATCCGCCGTCTCAGAATGGCGGCCACGTCGTTCCGCTCGACGGCCGCGTTCTGCGCCGCCGCCTCTTCCGCCTTCTCGACGCGGTTCAGCTTCATTCCCTTCTGGATTTGCTCCAAAAGTCCCGCGGTTATCGGTCCTCCGCTTACGGCGGGCCGCGACGACGTGCTCGCCTCGGTTTCCTGCTGAAATTCATCCGTATTTGCTGTTTTACGTGAACTTGAAATGTCTCGTTTTCGATGGGTTCCCTCAAAAGGAAGCTCGAACGCAAACTGTTTTATGACCATTTTTCAACTGAAAAATCTGAGAAAGAGGGCAGACACAGGGTTAGACAAAGCGTTTTCCCCTATTTCTATACCTTTGGAGCAAACGTGGCGGCCGAGGACATCAACGGAGGCGGGGGTGGTGGCGGAGGCGGCGGGGGCGGGATCTGAAAGCGAACGGACTGACTTGAAGTGAGGGAAACATAGGGAAACACGAGAAAAAGCAGAGGGCGTTTTCGGCCGGAAAAGGAGAATCACGTACATTCGTCGGCTGCTCGGCGTTCGGCACTAGTTTCATGAGGTTCTGCGGCGCCTCGGCGGGCACCTGATGGATCATCGACTGCTGCATCAGCGCCGACGTCATCGGCGGCGGCGGCGGCGGGAATTCCTCCTCGTCGTCGTCCATCGAGAGCATCGAGAGGTCGGGCGGCGGCAGGTGATCCAGCACGGAACACGTCGTCGCCGTCTCCGAGGGCCGCTTCACAATCGGACTGCCGCGGTTGTTGAGGTGTCCCGGTGGGGGACGCGGTTGCGAAGAGGACGAGGAGGACATCGAATTCTGTTGCGGTTGGTGGTGGATCGTCATTCCGAGCGGCGCGATGATGTGGTGATTCGCGGGATGCTGAAAAATGCAATACATGGGTGTTTTGAACTGAGCGCCGGTAGTTCGGGACAGGTGAGTTCGCACAAGAGCACAAGAGACGGAAATGTTCAGATTGCTGGTATGTCCTTAAGGGGCAGCAATCTGAACATTTCCGACTTTACCGCGACTGTATGAGGTTGTCAGGTTGCCTCAAGTGTCTCCATTACTCCTATGGGCTATGTTCTTCTAGTTTTGTCTCACTTGGATACACGATATAAGAAATTAGAAAAGAAAATATGACTCGTAAATCATATCTCGAAATTTTAGTACTATCACTAAGTCCGTGGCCTACCTGGTTCTGATTCCGATAGTTTAGCTGAAGACCCAACGCCTGCGGGGCCTGATACTCTTCCGGGAACGAGAACACCTCCGTCTGCTGATTGAGGCGGGCACCCGAGATCTGCCGGCCCCGGTCGTTGTAGGGCGTCGTGCCGAGTGGTCCCGTCGGTTGCTTCCGCCGCTTCTTCGGACTCTTGCTACCGTCGTTGGGGCTTTTGACGCGGCGCGGACGTTCGGCCACGTCTTTCAGGGTCTCCTTCTTCCACAAATCGAAAAAGAAGGAGGGATTTGTGTAAAGCGAGAGCGCCGGCACAGTAGACTCTCTGAAAAATGATAAATTAAAGTTAAGGGAAATTGGATTGCAATTGTTTAGATTTTTTTACCAAAAATGACTCTAACTTGGCCCTACCTGTATGGATTGAGCGCGTCAAGGTTCGGCGGTCGATCACATCGCTCATAGCGATCCGCGAGCGCTTCTGGAAGCGTACTTCTGTCCAGAATGTGCTGATCGACGAGCATCGAGCTTTTGAACGCCTTCAGCATGTTCGCCTCGTTCAGAGGAGCTGAAAAATGTAGATTTTGACAATTTTAATGTGAATTTCATCAAGGAAACGTACCTTGGTCGGTGTTCGCGTCCAACTGTTCTACTTTTGACTGCAATTTTTCGATTCTCAACTGAAGTTGATTGGTTTTGTAGTAGATTTTGGTGGCGTCGTGATGAATTTCGCTGAAGATGTTTTCGGCGTGTTTGCTGCAAATATTTGAATCATAATTTTAATGATTTGAAGGAAATTGGCACCTCAACGAGCTCAGCTGCCGGATGAGGTTGGCTATTGATCCGTTGGCGGTGCACTGAAGTTCGTCGCGTTGAATCGACTTGTGAATGGTCCCGCGGCTCACATTTACCGGTGAAACGGCCCGTTTTGTCAACGGCATCGCTGTAAAATCGAGATTTTGAAAGAATTGGAACAATTGAGACAAAAAGACAAAAACGAAGCTTTTAGTGTCGAAATCATAGAAAAAACAGTGATTTATTTAATTGTCTATATCACAGAACGCTAAAAACGACAGAGAAACTCCAAACAGTACGTGAAAACAGATGATGATGAAAAGATCCATCTCGCATATTGTATTCTACTTGACCTGTGGGTATTGCCAGCCAATTGTCATTTTAGTCATTATTCCTATTGTCATTTTAGTCAGAATTTTTTAACATAAAATTACATGACTCAATCAAAAAATTCGGTTTTAACAGAAAAATATGCGAAAAATAAACAAAAACCGATAAAAGCAATCAGTTTTCTTATTTTTCAAACCTTCTGACTCAGCGCGTAAATCGACACCTACCGTATCGCCGCATTTTCGTTGCGAGACCCGTGACCGCATCGTCAGCCTTTTTTAGGGCCGAAATCAATTTCTTGCCCTCATTTTCTGCCTATTCCACGCGGAAACACACGTTCACCAAACGAATCTACGATGGCTTCTGGAGGATTCTCTGTATACGGTGAGTGAAATACCCAAATCAACGGCTTTTTGTGCAAATTACGCTCACATTTCCTCCGAAATTCACCGAAAATTGCATCAAAATTCAAATTCTGCAATCCTAAAATCCTAAAAATTTTGCAACATGAATTTTAACCCATTTCAAACATGTCCCTTCAAAACCAGCTTGTCTTCTTAGTGTCTTCCATCGGCCTTCGTTCTCTATGGTTCATTCGTGTTCCTTGAAAACAAATCCCGATATTTCAGGTAGTTCCACACGTATAGTAACCGTCGTAGTAAACTGAGAGCGGGATATCGGGAACACGAGACGTACAGTGTCTAAAATGCGGATCGACACCCTCGGAGACGGATGTTCTACGTTCAACCTGCGCTGAGCCACGCACATTACTGACGAAAGTACGGGTGATGAGACTTTTGAACTCGGTCTCCGTAGTTTAGGCTAGGCTAGGGTGCATTTGCTATGTGAGCGTGCATTGTAAGTGTCCTCTAACTTTATGCATTCCCCACATTCCCGAATAATCATTGTTTTTCAGTCGGAAACGTCCCATACCAGGGAACCGAGCAGGAGATCGGACAGTACTTCAGCGCTGTCGGACAGGTCAACACCGTCAGAATCGTCTATGATCGTGAGAGCGGGCGCCCGAGAGGATTCGCTTTCGTCGAGTTCGCCGAGGAGTCTGGAGCTCAGAGAGCCGTCGACGAGCTGAACGGACAGTCCTTCAACGGCAGAAACCTTCGCGTCAACTACGCCAACAAGTAAACGCCAGCCAATGGCAATGAAGAGATTGCACTTGTAATATACATTCCCATCTATATTTCGTGCATGTTTGTTATTAATTCCATCTCCGAATAATAAACCTCTAAGATTAAAATATTGTTTTTCATCCTTCGAGAGGTAAAGTCCGCCGCACAGATTATCTCTAGTCCTTCCTTGCGCGCGGTCTCTAGCCTTCGCATCTGCAGTTGTTCCGAGTCTCGCGAATTCTGAGAATGTCCAAGCGCAAGGCTGTCAACGACGACTCTTCGGCGCCAAAAGTTGCCTCGATCTTTGTGAAAAAGACCAAACCGTCCGTGGCGGAGGACGACGGGAACCAGAAAAAGTGGAAGTTTTTGTGCTGGAATGTCGCCGGGCTTCGTGCGTGCGTCAGAAGGAACGACTTCTCGGAAGTGCTCACCGAGGAGCCCGACATTGTCTTTCTGAGCGAGACCAAGTGCAAGGAGTGGCCCCCGGAGATTCTGGATACGTTTGAGGTTGAAAATATCGGCCTAACATTTGAAAATTGGGGAGTTTTTTTTAAGGATTACACAAAAACGTTATTGGTTTCGGAGGAAAAGAACGGCGGCTACGCGGGCGTCGGCCTTCTGAGCAAAGTGGCGCCGTTAAGCGTCGTCAAGGGCATCGGAGAGCCGGAATTCGATTCGGCCGCCCGTCTCCTCATCGCCGAATACGCCAATTTCTATTTCGTCGGCGCGTACGTCCCGAATTCGGGCGCCAGATTGGTGGCGATCGACAAACGCGAGCGCTGGGAACGGCTGATGCTCGCGAAGATTCGCGAGTTGGACGGCAAGAAGCCGGTCATTTACGGAGGCGATTTGAACGTGGCGCACGAAGAAATCGACCTGAAGAACCCGGCGTCCAACCGGAACAAGACGGCCGGATTCACGGACAAGGAGCGCGGATGGTTCTCGGATATGCTCGCCGCCGGATTCAAAGACACGTTCCGAGAAATGCATCCGGACGAGAAAAAGTATTCATTTTGGAGTTATATGGCCAATGCGAGGATCAACAATGTCGGATGGCGCCTCGATTATTACGTGGTCAGCGAGCGGATCATGGAGAAGGTGAGGCGAACATTTAGAAGCACTTTTTCTTGAAAATCGGGAAAAAAACATCAATTTTCTAGAAGATATTTGGGAAATTTCGAACAAAAGTGTTTCTTTAAAAGAAATTCTTTGAAACCTCAAATTTAAAATATTTTCCAGGTCACACACAGCGATATCCGAACGAAAGTGAAGGGAAGCGACCACGCGCCGATCGTCATGCAACTAGAGTTGTAAACTCGAAGAATTTTGTGAATATATGTAAAATCTCATCTCAACTTTACCACACCGACCTCATTTTTCATTCCACTTTCCTCTATTTTTTGAGAGATCTCTATAAATATAACGAATTTCCTCGAAAATTTGAATTTGAAATTGGTTTTCGCTTCCGAAAAAGAAGGCATTGACCAATAAGAGATGGCATGGAAGAAATGGCATAAAAAGAAAAGTATTGGCGCCACTTTGCTCAGAAGGCCGACGCCCGCGTAGCCTTTTTTTTTGAGTTTTTTGAAAAATACGTTATTCCCTCTCAATTTTCTGATTTTTAATAGACTAAAAGACACGCGTTGCAGATTTTATAATTCATCAGAATTCAATCGATTAGAAACAGCATCGTAATATTCGGAGGTGTCTGTCGATTTCAAAAGACAAAAGTATTGATCGAAAAACACTCTGCATGCCAATCCTTTATTACTCATCATCCAATCCATTATCATTAAAATCCTAACACAGTTTCCAGATTAGTTTCGTATTCCAACAACTCTTTTTCAGATGCTCATTTGAGACGAAGAAAGAGTGGTGAAGGAGGAAGTGCCGGCCGAGGAAGACGTGCTCGCGCCGGACGAAGCTCCAGAAGCCGAAGAGCCGGAGGAGAAGTTGCGCTCCGAACTGGTCGTTCCGTTGCTCGAGCCCGTCGACGGCGCCGCGTTCCCTTTCGAGATCATCGCGTAGAAGTTCTGTAAATTTGATTTGCCGTGCTTCTTTTTGCAACCTTTTGCGATCAGAAAATAAACTTGAAATCCTTCGAGATTTCTTGAATTTCAAAATAATCGAAGATTTTTGAATTTTCTATATTGTCACAAACTTTTCGATCGATTATTTTGAGGCTCTGCCGTCGAACAATACGTTTTCCGGCTAATTTCAATGAGAAAAAGCTGTTTTGCGAGTTAAAAATTTGAAAAGTCGATAATTTTCCAGTTGTCTACCTTATTGGAAGCGGCGTCGCGGAAGACACGCAGCTCGGCGGCCAGCTTCTTCGCCTCCTCCATCACTTTCGGATTGTTCGATTTTAGGCCGTAGAGTCCCTCGATAGCCGCGCGGAACGCTTGCTCCAGCGACTGTTCGTCGGTCTTCCTGCCCGCCAACGCCTCCTTTTCCTTCTTTTCGGTCCGATAGACCATCTCGGTGACCTGCTCCATCAGATCCTTCATGTCGACAGTGTTTTCGTACTCGTAGTACGCCTTGTTCACTTTGATTACCGACTCCTTCAGACTGTGCACCTTCTTCTCGAGCAATTGCACATCTTTCGACATCAGCGTCGACGAGAGCTGCAAAATTTCTTTGTTTGTCCGCATAAAAATGCATTAACGCAGCCGGGAAAAGCTGATTTTCCGAAAAACTTCCACTCTTGCTGAATTTTCACCTAAAAATTGTCGAAAAGAGAGACTGTAAGAAACTAACCGCTTGGTCGGCAGTGGCTCTGGCCGTCTCCAACTTTTTCTCCATCCACTTGAGACTGGCGGTCCGCTCGCGGTAGATTTGATCGTCGAACTCGCGCATCAAATCGCGCAACTGCTGAAAGTCGGCGTGCGTGGAGACTTGCAGCTCGCGGAGCTCGAGAGCAGTGTGCCGACGGACGAGGTCTCCCTCGCGGATCGAGTCGACCGCCCGCTCGGTGGCCGTCAGTCCGCGCTCGATCAGTTCTTCGTTCGAATTTTGCTCGACTTCCATCTTTTCAATCGCTTCGCCAAGCCGTGGGGTGTGAAACAAAAGGGAATAAAATTTGTTGAGCGGGCGTAAATCCACGTAGAACTTTTCATGACAGAAAGTTGTGACAGTTAGTTCACGCCAATTTTTCTGTGGTTTTTTGTTCTTGCGACCTCATTTTTACATTTGCCAAGCAGAAAAGAGCAGAGTGTATTCAAAATTAGAGAGAATTACACCCGCAAGTAATGCCGCGTCCAATGTCTCGGAAAAACCGTAAAAACAGCTGATTTTTCTGTCCAAAGTCGGCCGAAATTTGCGTGAAAAACGGGGGTGCGCACAGCTCAACGAATGTAACCGTACCCCTAAAACTACAGTATTTTTTGAAAATTTGCGCAAGAAATTTGAATATTTTCAAATATCCTCATGAAATTAAGGCAAATTCACGCGAATATATTCTCACACTTGTCTTTTAGCTCGATTTTCAGAGATATGCAATGCAAATGCGCTCCGTTGCAAAGGTGAAGTTGGCACGAAACTCAAATGATTCCGCATCAGTTTCTTTTTTTTTCAGCGAAATCTCATTGCATGCCAGCTTTCTTTCTTATAGGGCTATTCAGCGTATGTTTGTTTTCCGTTTTTTTACATCGCTGAATTGGATTTTTTGACGTAAAAAAACGAAAAAAAACGGAAAACAATCATTTTTTTCACAGCCTGAATAACCCCGTTACACCGCATTGTTGCGCAGCAAAAACGCCAAATACCGTCTAGACGTTGCACAGCCCCAGCGGTGCTGACTCGCAACATTTTTTGGAGGGGGCCATGAATCTATTTTTTCTACGTCTTCTTCTTCGTTCTGGCTGAAGGCGTCATAATAACGACGCCAATTATCGTGTCATTCCGCCGGATTCTAGAAGCTGTCGGCCAAATGATACACTATTTGGCCACTTTTCTCTTCGTTTTTTCCTTCTCCTCTCACGTAAACTCTTTCGTGCGATTTTCAGCGAGAAACCAATCATGACGGTCACTTCGACGGCGACCTCTTCTTCGACCACAACGACGATGGTGCCCGACGAGAGCGAGTGTCTGAAGAAGGAGGAAGAACGGTGAGCGAGTGGAATAAATCGGGTTTTGCGCGAGATCGCTAAATTTTTTACAATTTTCCACACTTGACAGAATTGTTACTTTTCGTTTGAAGTGTCTGAATTAAAAGTTTCAGCTCGATCGGTTTATTTTGAAAAGAGGCCGAGAAGGCCCCAAGGTCTCCAGAGCTGTCTCCAGAGCCTCGGCGAAATGGCGTTTTCATGAATTGAGCAGGTTTTCTCTTATTTTTGAGGTCAACGACAATGAAAAAAGATTGTACGACATGAAAACACACTAATTCTCACAATTAATAACGTTTTGGCGCATTTTTTGCGGACTTTGCTTTTTCTCCTTCGCCGCCGCCAATCGCCGCCTAAAAACCGCACTTCTCATTTTGCGCTTTCTTGACCGTTTTCCGACAGAATTGGTTTTGAGAATGATAAATCACGTAAATACAAGCATTTTGAGCGCTCGAACCGCGAAAATTACCGAAAAGCAACTGAAATGCACTCTGGCAAAAACCACAAATTTTGCTGTTAAAATTTAAATTTCGCGCCAATGTATCGCTCTATTAGGCGGGGCGCACTTGCGCCCAGTGTAAGCTCTGGAGACCGTGCGGCCCTGAGTTTTTGGCCTTTTTCGCTATTTCCAATAGAGATGAAATTTGTAAAGTAGACCCGCTATTCCAAGACTAATAATTGTGACTCCAGCGAGTGTTGGTCGGTCTTCCTGCCCGCAAATTCACATTTGACTTCTAGCTCGATTTTCAGGACAACAACATCGACAACGAGCACAATTCGACGTTTCGTGTTCTAGAACCTTCTTGAAACGTGACCAACTCGAACATATTTTGCCAATCCACAATTATTGCGTAATCGAAACCAAAAGCTATTCGGATGAATTTCAAACTCGCACTGATCGTCTGTCTCGCGGCACACGCCCACGCACTCGACAATGCCACCGCAAAAACGGTACACAATCCGCAGTGCAAACCGCCGAACGGAGACGTGTACAAAGAGCGGAACGATGTGCAATTTCTGTTTTTCGTCGATCGAACACTCGAGGAGGCGCTGGCGAGTTTGGGTGGCGGGACACTTTGCAACTGGGCGTTTCGCAACTAGTGTTTCTTGAAAATAGGCTTTACTTTGACATGATCACACTTCAAAACAGTTTGCAACCAATTTTTCAGAACAAACGGTACTCGTGTGCCGTTGTATTTCAGTATTTACGGTAGATTTTTAAGATTTCCGGTTGCGAAACGTCCATGACACTTTGCAACTGAATGCATTCTCGGTTGCAAAGTGTCCATGACAATTGCGAAACGTCTTGCAGCTCTCCCGGCTCTACTACCTGTTCAAGGCGATCTCGTGCGAGATTCCGCTCTCGAAAAAGATTACGGTGGCGGTGTCAAAGTATGGAGGCAGTGAGGTACACTAATTTTGGACCGACAATATCACAAATTGATGAGCATTTCAGAACGACCTGCGAAAAGGACTGAATAGCGCAGAAGTGCCCGAGTATCTGAGCGGCGAACGAATAGGTAAATTATCAATGGAAGCCTGAAAACCTTTAAGCGCTTTCCAAATTTCAGACGAAGAAGGCGGTTGCACGGCGTTCGGAAACACTCTGAGACGGTCCCTAGAGGGCGAGCCGTTCTCGAAAACATTTCAGTTCATAGTTCCCACTTTTTCGGCCGCCGAGCACGAGTGCTACGTGAACACTTTCCAGAAGACTTTTGAGACTTATGCGAACAAGCAGAAGATCATTTTCAATGGAATATTGATTGATTCGAATTTGACACAACCTAAAAATGGCAGTGATTTGGTTCGGATGCACATTTCAACCAATCTCACCGAGGCTATCAATCTGAAAAGTGAGATTTTGAAAAAATTGGAAACTTTTCTCGAAAACGTATTTTTTCCAGAACCGTTGATGGCTGGAAGCGATCCACTTGTGCAAAGTTACTCTCGAATGTGTGAAATTGCACTTTATCCTTGTAAACTATTCACTTTTTTCCAGGATTCGTGGCATTTTGCACTTGGAACTCAATGTTTCGAGCACTGCACAAGTGCCAAACACTACAGCAATCCAGACAACGATGTTGACGACTTCGACGACGAATCGACCTGGAAATAGTACTACGGCTCGAGCTGAGACTACGGTAGCGACGTTGAAATTAAAATCCGAATCAGAATCCGAATCCACGACGAAGACATTCACATCGACTTCCACATCCACTTCTACAAATCCTGGAAACATTGCAAAAGCATCGGGAGACGTGACATCGAAAGGAGACAAATTGTCGGAAGAACTCGACATTCCATGGGCGACCACTCGTATCCCAGGTGACTTTTCCCCCAAACATCGTACCCCTTACAGTAATAACCTTCTTGTCGCTCTCAGGCTGGGAAGCCGACTTCATGATGTACGTGCTGCTGCTGCTGCTGCTCATCTGGCTGTTCTGTCTGTTCATGTGCCTCATCTGGATGTTTTATTGTGCGAAACGGAAGAAGGACAAGATTGAGAACGAGGCGGAGCGCCAACGGATTCCACTTCTCGAGCACGAAATGAACGATGCGCCGGCCACGAATTTGGCGTCGTCGAAAAGTGGAGAGAATGAAGGAGTGGAGGAGGAGGAGGAGGAGGAGGCGTGGAAGAATGTGAGTGGTCCCCCGATCGGATGACGTGGATTCAGGATTCCTTTTCATTTCCAGATCACGCCCGCCAAGTACGTGGAAGCGCCAAAGTCCGAGCTGGAAAGTGTGCGTCAACCACCGCTCGCCGCCCGATACCGGCCCGTCGAAGTCTCGGAATTCGAGGACGGACGGCACGAGGAGGAGGCCAACGAGGCGCCCCGACACGGTTTCGTTCCCGCCAAAAAGGCTGCCGAGCTCCGTTTCGAATGATCTCTCTTCTGATACTAATAAACATTGCATCTCCGTGTTCTGTTAACCGCGTGACCGGAGCAAAAACCTCCCAAGCCTCTGCGGTCCTCGCCATCAATGCGAACTCAAAAAAAAACGCTGAATCGAATGAATTTCAAACACGCACTAATCATCTGTCTCATCGTCGCCGACGCCGTGCTGGCGGCGAATTCGATCGAAGAGCTGCAATGCAATCGGATCGGCGATTTCAAGGACGACCGACACATTCACTTCATCTTTTTCGTCGATCGGACACTCGAAGGGCCGCTTGTGAGTTGCCAGTCACTTGCGAATCCTACAAATGAATTGGTTGCGAAACGAAAATTGAAAACATTTTGCAGCTGACTCGTCTGTACTACCTTCTGAAGGCGATCGCGTGCGAGATTCCGCTGAGCGACAAGATCACGGCGATCGTCGGAAAGTACTCGGGAAAATCGACGGATATTCAGCAGAACGGAATGAGCATCGACAAGATTCCCGACTATTTGAGCGGCGCCCGACAAGGTAGTCAGAGTTGTGGTCGTGGTGATCCCGAAAAAGTCTCGGCCAAGAGTTTCCTAGGCTAAAGACGTTTTGCCACCCGACCAACAATGTTTTCTCGATTTCAGACGAATTCGGAGGGTGTCAAAGTTTCCGGAACGCCCTCGGCCACGTGCCCGCACCCTCTCTCGACCACCCGAACGTCCATTTCATCGTTCCGATGTTCGGCGACGAGCACGACTGCTACCTGCGAACATTTCAGACCCAATTCAAAGACGATTCGCGCAAAGAGAACTTCTTCTTCAACGGAATTCTCATAAACGCACAGTTGACGGAGAAGAACAATCAGTCGGTTCGCGTCTTTATTCCCGATCTCATCGAGGCGATCGATCCGGATGGTAATCAGTGGCAAACGATGGAAAAACATGTGAAGTGAATGTGTAATATTCAGAGCCGTCGCTCAAGTACTCTCCGAATATAAGTGTCGTTCAGAACAGCGAGCCATTGTTTCAAAGTTACTCGAGAATGTAAGTGTGCGCCAGAGGAGAAGAGCAATAATTTAACGGTTTCAGGCTTCATGACATTTTGCTCGGGAAAAGTGTTCACGATTGGGAGTTTGTGGAGACAACCACTACCACTACAACAACCCGAACATCCTCCCAAAAGTCGGTTGCCGACGATGAAGAGGAGATGTTAATTGAGCACGACGCTGAGCGAACAACAAGTGAATCCACAACGGTCACGTCGCGGACAAGTTCTACAGTAACCTCTACAGTATCTACAGCAGTAGTCCGTTCAAATGTTAGCACTGTTGTGCCATCGTCTACTACCCGGAAATATTTGAACATCAGCACAACTTTGACAAGAACAACTGCCAAGAACACTTCTACAACGCAACCGGATAAAAGAATAAGAATTCATGAGGTGACGACGTCGGAAAACGTTTTCGAGTACAATCCTGACGACGAGGAAGACTCGGAAGAGATGGCAAAAGCATCGGGAGACGTGACATCGAAAGGAGACAAATTGTCGGAAGAACTCGACATTCCATGGGCGACCACTCGTATCCCAGGTGACTTTTCGCCCAAATATCGTAGTAATAACCTTCTTGTCGCTCTCAGGCTGGGAAGCCGACTTCATGATGTACGTGCTGCTGCTGCTGCTGCTCATCTGGCTGTTCTGTCTCTTCATGTGCCTCATCTGGATGTTTTATTGTGCGAAACGGAAGAAGGACAAGATTGAGAACGAGGCGGAGCGCCAACGGATTCCACTTCTCGAGCACGAAATAAACGATGCGCCGGCCACGAATTTGGCGTCGTCGAAAAGTGGAGAGAATGAAGGAGAGGAGGAGGAGGAGGCGTGGAAGAATGTGAGTGGTCCCCCCGATCGGATGACGTGGATTCAGGATTCCTTTTCATTTCCAGATCACGCCCGCCATGTACGTGGAAGCGCTGGAAAGTGTGCGTCAACCACCGCTCGCCGCCCGATACCGGCCCGTCGAAGTCTCGGAATTCGAGGACGGACGGCACGACGAGGAGGCCAACGAGGCGCCCCGACACGGTTTCGTTCCCGCCAAAAAGAGTGCCGAGCTCCGTTTCGAATGATCTTCATCTTTATTTTTATTAAATGAAAACAGGTAAATACATATTATATTCACTTTAGTGTTGTTTGTTTGAATTGCTCGACGAGCTCCTCAATCTGTTCAGTTCGAATCCTCGCGCTCGCCATCGTCCACTGTGCGATTTGGCGGAAGCGTCCCACCGCCGTCGTCGTCTTCTCGGCATCCAATTCGTCGTACGTGTCATTCAACATTGCGACAACCTTCTGGAAGTCGTTCGGCTCGACAATGTGGATCAGCTCGAATCGGCCGATCCAATCGAGACTCGCGATTCGGATGACTTCCACGTACACCTCCTTCAATCCTCCCCCGTCTTCACGCTCCTCTTCCTCACACACTCGCCGAATTTCGACTCCGCACGGGTAGACGTGACTGACGACCTTTTTGTGCATCAGACCAGAAGACTGTGAGCGCGTGAAGTCCAACATTTGCACGTTGCCGCTCGGATCGGTCATTTTGACGCGGTAGTTCAAGCCCGCCTCGAGCTTCACCGTTTCGCGACGAACCGTCTGCGAGTCGAGCGTGTCCGTCCAATTCAAATAATCGACGAGGAGCGCTCCGGTACCGTGGTTCACCAGTTGCGCTAATGGGTGTTTCGAGCGCGCTCTTCCGGACTCCCTCTCCTGCTCTTCCCACATTCTCTCGTCTTCGTCGGTCCATTGTTGCAGCTGAAACGATTGTGGGGATTGCAACAACCGGTTGCGAAGTGTCTCTATGCACTTACGTCTTCATTTTCCACGTCGAGCTCAGCATCTTCCAACTCAATTTGACCCGGAACATCATCGATTCCGATCTCTTTTAGCGCTTTTCGAACTTGTTCCTCCTGAATAATTGGTAAAATGATCAGAATTTTTGATGTTTTTGCTGGACTTACTTCATTCTCCTTCTCATTGTCTTTTTCGGGCTTCTCAATCTGCTCCGTAACCTTCTTTGCTTTTTTCCCTTTCGGAAGAGTTCCACAGGCTTTGCACAAGTGCTCCACCATGGTCCCTCCGATCGATTCGGTCCGTTTGACGTAGGCGAACAGTTGGTTGGTCCCGTCGGCGCCGACGACTCTCACGAGACTGGTCCCGTCCGCATCGCAACTGTGCCTGTAGAAGCCGATCTGGCCGGAGGCTCTGAAAAAGCGGGTACGGGTTACGGTAGTGGAAAGCAATCACTACTCAGGTAATTTTCGGCAAGGGTGGGGCGCGTGAGCGGCAAGCGAACAGCAAGTTGCACAGAAATGGCGCTCTGTTGAGAATCTCTTTTTGCAGTGCAAATTGAGCGACCGCGGGGCCGAGTTTGAAAAGTTAGGCCACGTTTTCAGTGGAAAATTACTTCGCGGCCTAGAAATTCGGTCAGATTGCGAACAGCGCGGCGCCCTTTCTGTCCGGTGCCCCTATAATAGCATGGGGTGAGCATGTGTCACGCACGGATCCGGCATGGCATCAGCATGGATAGGGCGTGCAACAGAAAAGAGTGGGATGGGAGGGAAGCAAGGTTTTTGAGCGGCACGGCAGCAGCAACGGTAGCAGGGTGGTTGTGGCAACGAAGTAGCAAGGGTTCAGCGCGTAGCAGGCACGGAATCGGCACCCTTACAGCAATTTGCCGTGGAAAACGGCACGGATGCCGATTCATGCGGCAACTTGCCGAAAATTATCTGAGTAATGGACCAACAATGTCTACACTCAAAAGTAATTCATAATATCAATGCCAGGAACCCGCAAAAAACAGTTTCTCGTCCAAAAACCGAGATCCTAATCACTTACATTTGTTCAGAATGGAAAACCGCGTCGAGCAACTTTGTCAGATATCCGGCCATTTCTCCGCAAGAACAATGAGTGGGGGAGAACAGAATGGGCAGAATGCGACCGAATGCCGTCTTGTGCCGACCTCAATACCGTCGGCCTTCTCTGGGTCTCTCCGTCGAGCACAGTCACTCGCCGCAAAACACTCACGGGCTGTTCGGGGCCGTTGAGAACGTTTAGACGGGTTATTAGCATGGAGAGAGAGAGAACGAGAGAGAAAGGGACTGTGTACGTTTTTTACAAGATCGCAACGGTAAGAGTGGATGATGTGGAATATGACATCCGAAAACGGAGAAAGTTGAAATGAGCCCGAAACTCTAAAGCCTTCCACTTCCGTCTTCCGATTTCCGACTTGCGCACAATTCTCCTGTAGAGTTGAGCGGAAATGGAATTTTGAAATCCGGAAGACGGAAGACAATTTTTTTTACGGAAGACGGAAAACGGAAGACGGAAACATTTTTTTTTACGGAATACGGAAAACGGAAGACGGAAGAAATTTTTTTTCCCGGAAGACGGAAGAAAATTTTTTTACGGAACACGGAAAACGAAAACGGAAGAAATTTATTTTCCCAGAAGACGGAAGAAACATTTTTTTACGGAACACGGAAAACGGAAGTCGGAAGAAAAAAATCGGCAATACAGAACCTTTTTCTCCGGTTTTTTTTTTGAAAAAAATAACTAAACAACAAAAATATTGGATCTGGGTCACTGCCCGTGGAAATTCGCGTTCTTCGGGGCTAGTAAATGGCTTCTGAAAAGCTATTACTCTTTTACGGTAAGAAGAAAAAATCCCGGAAGACGGAAGACGGAAGACGGCAAACGGAGAATTCCGCTCAACACTGCTCTCCTGTAGTAAAACAACGCAGAAAAACAACAAGACAAACTTTATCGAGGATTACGGTGGTACACCCCGAACGGATGATTGTCAAAATCTCTCGCTGGTCCGAAACGACTCGATTTTCAGCATCGCCGCCGTCCTTTTTTTCCGTCTAAACATCGGATGTGTGCAATAAAAGTAGCAAGTGACGACGTGGCTTCGAGCGTCTTGGAAAAACGGCCGGACGAGTATCAAAAAGTGGAAATGGAAGCCGAAAACTTCGGTGTAGATGAACAATTCGTTCGCCAAAATCGGCAGCATTATGAGGATTGTCGTGACGAACAACGTCTTTTCCGCGTTCCACGTCGTCTTTTGCGCGCGGCTCGACGTTCTGGAAGTGACTCGGATTACTGTAGGGCTACTGTAGGCCGGCCTACAGGAACAATCGTTTCCGTCGAACTTTCAACGATGTCAAGAGTGTCAGGGAGAGGAGTGCGACGAGAATGCACGGATAGACACTGGATTCGATGAAAGGGTAGAGGGCCTGGAAGGATACTGTAGTGGAAGGGAGTACGGTAGTTTGGGGGGGACACTTACCCAAGTATCTTCCCGAGGTTCGGTCACAAGTTCTATGGATCCGAACGGTAACGGATCGGTCATTTGGGCACACACTGTCGGGTGAATGTAGCGGAGGTAGGCGAAAAGTGCGGAGAGCACGAGACATAGGAAAACGATGAAGAACATCGGTTTGAGGCGTGTCTGCAAATGGGTTAATATTCGTTTTTCTGAAATTCACTCACTTTTTGACCGAAACTACTTGAGAAAAGGATGAAGACGCGTAGCAAACAGAACAAAACCGTTATAAAGTTGGCGTAGAAGAGCGCTGTGATGAGTAGGAAAAACGAAATGTTGAGAAGACGTTCCGGATTCTGAGAAGCACAAAATGAGGTGAGAATCGAGGTGGCCGGCAGTCGGACAACTATAATATCGAGGAGGACGTTGATCATCGCCAGCGATTGCATTAGGAGGAAAAGCGCGAAAACGTCGACTCTCAACACGTTTCGGGGCACGTGGTTTTGATAGTTTTTGAAGAAGAATCGGATCATGACGATGACAATGACAAGTGGAGGTATACTGTAGACGGTCGAGACGATCAGGAATACTGTAGTGTAGTTGAATCGGTACGAAAAGCCGATGTATTCCGGCAGACCGGCTATCGACGTCGTCGGCATTCTGGCCCACTCGGGCTATAGTTTTCAGGGTGTTCCCTTTTTTGTTTTCCGCGGGGGGAAAAAATGGGGCGTAAATTGGATAACAAGGTGCAATTCAGCCGAGTGGTTTTCGCCGAAAACGCCTCCTTCTCACTTTTGACTTGTGTACCAGAGTTGAACGGAAGAACTCAACGGAAGAATTTTTATCTTTTTTAGAAAATTTTTTCATGAAATGTTATCAACTGACGAAATGTATAGCAAAGTGAACTCTGCTCATCGAAAAATAATTGTAAATTTAGCTTTTCATACAAAAGCAGATTTTCTCGGCAGCCAGTGCTCTTTAGCAAAAAAAGAGCTCCGTGAAATTCTCTTTCGAATTATATAGGTCCCATTCCAAAAGCCAAAGGTAAGTGCGGGCCATTCCCTGTTCAGGTAATTTCCGGCAAGGGTAGGGCGCGCGAGCGGCAAGCGAACAGCAAGTTGCTACGGTAGCATGGGGTGAGCATGTGTCACGCACGTATCCGGCATGGCATCAGCATGGACGTGCAACAGAAAAGAGTGGGATAGGAGGGAAGCAAGGTTTTCTAGCGGCACGGGAGCAGCAACGGTAGCAGGGTGGTTGTGGCAACGAAGTAGCACGGAATCGGCACCCCGTTGGCCCTTTTTTCACGGAACAACTCGAATATAACTTTTTTGTATGAATCGCTAAATTTACAATTATTTTTCTATGAGCACAGTTCACTTTGCTCTACATTTCGTCAGTTGATCACATTCCATGAAAAAATTTTCTAAAAAAGATAAAAAAAAATTCTTCCGTGTTCTTCCGCTCAACTCGGTTGTGTACGTACACAAAACATTAGAACTTGTCGCTGCTCCTAATCAACTCGATCTTCCGCTTGAACATTGGATGCCTCCAATAGAAATAACAAGTGACCACGTGGCTTCTGGCGTCTTGCAACAGCGGCCGCACGATGCCGAAAAAGTGGAGCGGACATTCGAAGTAGTCGGTGAACTTGAACAACTGGTTCGCCAGAATCGGCAAAATTATGAGCATTGTGGTGATTAACAGCGTTTTTTCGGCGCTCCACGTCGTCTTTTGTGCGCGGCTGGAGACGCTGAAAGGGGCTGCGGTTACTGTAGGCATACTGTAGGCGGCCGGCCCTACAGGAACAATCGTCTCTTTCGAACTTTCAAAGATGTCAAGAGTGTTATGGAGATGAGTGAGACGAGAATGCACGGATACACACTGGATTCGATCAAAACGTACGGCGCCTGAAAGGATACTGTAACGGGTTACGGTAGTTTGACCCACTTACCCAAGGCTCCCGAGGTACGGTCACAAGTTCTATGGATCCGAACGGTAACGGATCGCCCATTTGAACGCAAATCGTAGGGTGTAAAAAGCGTAAATACGCGAAAAGCGCGGAGAACACAAAGCATATGGAAACGAGCAGTGACAATGGTTTGAGATGAGTCTGGAAATGGATAATATTCATTTTTTTCTCCGGCCTCATACTCACCCTTTGACATAGACCATCCGAAAAAAGGATGTAAACTCGAAATGCGCAAAACAAAACAGTGATAAAGTTTTTGCAGTGAAGTTCTGCGAACAGTGCGAAATATGAAATGTTGAGAAGACGTTCCGGATTCTGAGAAGCACAAAATGAGGTGAGAATTGAGGTGGCCGGCAATCGGACAACTATAATATCGAGGAGGACGTTGATCATCGCCAGCGATTGCATTAGGAGGAAAAGCGCGAAAACGTCGACTCTCAACACGTTTCGGGGCACGAATTTGAGATAGGTTTTGAAGAAGAATCGGATCATGACGATGACAATGACAAGTGGAGGTATACTGTAGACGGTCGAGACTATCAGGAATACTGTAGTGTAGTTGAATCGGTACGAAAATTCGATGTATTCCGGCAGGCCGGCTATCGACGTCGTCGGCATTCTGGCCCACTCGGGCCGTCGTCGCTTTTAGTGTGTTTTCGTTTGTTTTCGTAGAAATAATAGTGCTAAATTGAGTTATCAGGTTCAAGTCAGCTGGGTGGTTTTTGCTGAAAACACCATCGAGTCTGGCCTGAAAATGCTACACAGCAGTACAAGTACTTCTCCTCGCCCCCCATTTTCAACTGTTCAGAAACCAGACTATAACTCAAGAACTACAAAGTTTCGGATAAAATGAGCAACTGAAAAGTTGTTCAGCTCGAAAATTGCTACAACTTTGCAGTTGATCACTTTTTCGAAATATCATTGAATCTCGAGATATAAGTGTCCAAAGATGAACGCGTTTTAGAGTGGAGCCGACAAAAGTACACTGGCCCTAAATATGATTTTTGAGCACAACGATGCACTACAACCCACCACAGTTTTTCTGGTTTTTCAATCAAAAACCTCTAGAACCACACGTGATTGACAAGGATAAGTTTTTGTTTTCGTGAAACCGAGTGTAATTGGCACACAGAAGAAAATGAAAATAGCACCGGCAATGTTCAATTGAACGGCTCCGCGACATTTCGAAACCAATTCAGTACAAGTTTAAAAATTCAAAAAAAAACCGCCTAATGAACAGTAATTTTTCGTATTGCTCAGGTTAAAAAAAACATTTCTGCTGGAAATAGATGTTTTTTCACTGTTTTTTCGGCTTTGTTCTGTGTTTTTGTCGAACATTCTTATTATCTAACTTTTCGATCGTTCTCTTTCCGCAGAATTCCGTTGTTTTCGCGAATAATTTTGTTAAGTTATACGTTTGTGTTAGTATAGATAGTCCGAAATCATAATTAATTGCTAAAATACACTTAACATGCATTTCTACCGCGAATTTGGCGGTTTTTTGAATTTTTAAATACTTGTACTGAATTGGTTTCGAAATGTCTGGTTTCGAAATGTCCGGTTTCGAAATGTCCTGGAGCCAATTGAATCACGGTCTCCAGAGCTGGCAATATGGGCGTGGCCTCGGCGGCCAAATGGCGTATTCATGAATTGAGCAGGTTTTCTCTGATTTTTGTGGTCAAAGGCGATGAAAAATGATTGCGCGACATGAAAACACACTAATTCTCAGAATTAATGACGTTTTGGCGCATTTTTCGCCGACTTTGCTTTTTCGCCTTTGCCGCCGATCGCCGCACTTCTCATTTTGAGCTTTCTTGACCGTTTTCCGACAGAATTGGTTTTGAGAATGATAAATCACGTAAATACAAGCATTTTGAGCGCTCGAACCGCGAAAACTACCGAAAAGCAACTGAAATTCACGCAGTTTTATGGGGCTATTCAGCGTATGCTTGTTTTCCGTTTTTTTCGTTTTTTTACATAATTTGGTTTTTTGACGTAAAAAAACGAAAAAAACGGAAAAAAATCATTTTTTTCACAGCCTGAATAACCCCATTAGCCAAAAAACCTTCAAACGAATAAATGTGATTTGCGACTTGACCAAATTTATCGCTCTTGCGCTTAAAATATTCGTAATAGCCTATACAGTCCGTCTATCGAGAGACAAATGAGAAATTATCGATTTTTCGTGGCTAATCTGGCAAAAAAAAACAAATTTTGCTGTTAAAATTTGAATTTCGCGCCAATGTATCGCTCTATTGGGCGGGGCGCACTTGCGCGCCCATTGTCAGCTCTGAGGAGACCGTGTATTGAAGGCTTTATTTTTCATATATAAAACGCTATGTGTGACTAATCGATCTGGTCACAGTGGTCACAGTCATGGGCATCGGAGAATTGGTGGTGACGCCAGATTTCTTGCGGAACATCGGATGCGTCAGGTAGAATGCCCAGGGCACGAAAACGATGGTGATGTCGAGGAAAACGGGACGGACGGCGAGAATGTAGCCGAGAAGCGACTGATCATTGTAGAGTGCCTGGCAACAAAAAAAGACGATAAAAGAGACGAGAAAAGCGCGGAGCGTACCACTATAAATCCATTGAATAGGAATGGAACGAAAAGTGAGATCATGATGATGGTCAGTGAGAGTTCCGCTTTATAGTTTTTGTTGATATTCCGACTGAACATTCTGAAATCATTGTGAACACTTTGCAAATCTTCAAAGTTTTTCACTTGATCTTTGTAGTTGACAACGTTTTCGCTTGGAAGTTGGCCCTGAAACACACTTGCCCAAACTTTCAAGAGCTACAGTAAGCCTGGGAGTGGTTGTACATAAAAGTCGTCAACTACAAAAATACTGTACTAGTTGGGATCTTTAATTTCTTAGTTGACAACTTTTTTGTACAACTATTCTCCAGAGTACTGTAACTGTTAGAAGTTAGGGCCGCTTTTCTAGCCCGCCTATTTTGTGCAAACTTTCAAGAGCTACAGTATCCCCAGGGACTGGCCGTACAAAAAAGTTGTCAACTACAAAAATAAAGTTCATGACTAGCACTATAATTGTGCAGTGAACAATGTTTTGCTACAACTACTCCGACGGGTACTGTAGCGCTTGGAAGCTGACAATAGCCGAGACTTCCAAGAGCTACCGTACTCCAGGGATTGGGCGTAGAAAAAAGCGGTAAACGACAACAAAAGTACACCAAAATTTGTGAAATTTTCAATACCCACTCCTAAAACTCACTTTTTATAGAACAAAATGTGCCGAACTTTGATGAGCATTGTGATATTGATAGAAAATGTGAAGACGGTGCAGAGCAGCGAAACGCCGAGATGGGTGTACTCGTTGATTGGCTGAAAAATGATACTGGTAACCGAATTACGAGTACAGTAACCCACGGTTGTCGAATTTAGTAAGAACACAACGGCGCCGTGCGGAAACGGAGCCGTCAATTGGCTGCAGAGTCCGACACTGGAGACCAAGAACCAGGTGAGACAAAACGGGATTGTGACAGTGATTGGGATGCAGATTTTCATGAATTTCGAGCAAATTTCGCCGTGTTGTTGCGGAAAGAAGACGATAATAGCGCGGTTGGCGCAGAAGATGACCGGAAAGAGCATCGAGAGATAACTGGAGACGAATGCCAACACGTAGGGCACTTTGAGCAGTTGATTGGGCTCTGTGGAGGCGCACGCGGAGGTTATGATCCCGGTGGCCGGGATTCGGATGACCGCGAAGTCGGTGACGATGAAAAAGACGTTCTGGAAGGTGGCGGCTTATGAATATTGTTGGTCTACTGCGTCAGAACAGGCGAACATCAGAGTTGAGCGGGAAGAGCTCAACGGAAGAATTTTTATCTTTTTTAGAAAATTTTTTAATGGAATGTGATCAACTGACGAAATGTAGAGCAAAGTGAACTGTGCTCATAAAAAAATAATTGTAAATTTAACATTTCATACAAAAAAGTTAAGGGCTAACCGAAGACGGAAGGACATTTTCACGCAACGACTCGAATAACTTTTTTGTATGAATTGCTAAATTTACAATTATTTTTCTATGAATAGAGTTCGCTTTGCTATACATTTCGTCAGTTGATCACATTCCATGAAAAAATTTTCTAAAAAAGATAAAAATTCTTCCGTGTTCTTGCGTTGAGTTTTTCTGCTCAACTCTGGCGAACACTAGATCTTTGTGAGAAAACAGACTACACAAAGGAGCAAGACGTTGAAAAAGTGCCAAGAACTAATAATATTATTGTTATCAAGGCGCTGAATACACGTCTGGCGTAACTAGAAACGTGTCAGGGCACTAGAAAAGCGCCAATGACCAATTTCCGATAAAACGCGCCAACTCACCCCAATTTGCATAAGCATAAACGCCAAAAACAAGTGTTTCTGTATGCTTCCATTCCGATTGATTCGGCAAGAGCTACAATATATTCGCCACATGCGACCAACGATAAAAATGGTGGGAAGCCAGTAGAACGGCGCGACGAGTACGGTAATTTTGGCGAAATCCCACGAGTTCCATTGGAAGTGATAGAAAATGTAGTCGGGGTTTCCGTGAATGCTCATTCTGAAGCGGAGGAGGAGAAGAACAATTTTGGCGGGGGAAAACTGAAGAAACGTTTCTTACCCGTACATTTCGCGTTCGACGCTTGACTAGTGAGTGACACAATGAGGAGAATGCGTCAGACGACGTCTTCAGAGGAAGTTGATAATTAAATAATGGAACACATGAGTGGTAATGAGGTAATGTTGCTTGTATTCAGTGGAGCAAGATGTCAGACACCCCGTTTTGAGAACACATCACTGAGCACGTTTTCAATGTTCTCTCACACAAGTCTACAATAGTTGTGTCGGAAGAACTCAACGGAAGAATTTTTATCTTTTTTAGAAATGTTTTTCATGGAATGTGATCAACTGACGAAATGTAGAGCAAAGTGAACTGTGCTCATAAAAAATAATTGTAAATTTAACTTTTCATACAAAAAAGTTATTCGAGTTGTTGCGTGAAAATGTCTTTCCGTCTTCTATTAGCCCTTAACTTTTTTGTATGAAAAGTTAAATTTACATTTTTTTTTCTATGAGCAGAGGTCACTTTTCTCTACATTTCGTCAGTTGATCACATTCCATGAAAAAATTTTCTAAAAAAGATAAAAATTCTTCAGTGTTCTTCCGTTGAGTTCTTCCGCTCAACTCTGAAGTCTACAATAGTTGTGTCGGAAAGAAACTTGGAACTGAAGATGTTCATTACAAATACATATCGGACGTTTTGCAACCTCGACACTTTGCAACTGCAAACCTACTGTAGCTCTTGGAAGTCTCCAAAGTTGAAATACAAATGCTTTGAGCGAGTTGCACACTCCAAGAGCTACAGTATGTCTAGGAGTGGTCGCACAAAAAAGGTGTCAACTACAAAAAGCTTGTACTAGTCTTGAACTTTATATTTGCAGTTGACAACTTTTTTGTACACTCTTTCCCAAGCCCACTATAGTTCTTCCAAACCTTCTTTGCAATTGGCTGGCCCTTGACCTGGACTTTTGAACCACTTGCAATATTCCGATCAGATCCAAACTTTGCAGGATTGTTGGACTTGGATTGAGGGCCATTGGGTTCAAATTTCAGCCGGATCGGATCGAGATATGTGGATCAATGGCCGATTTTTTCCAAAAAACCCGGGCTTCCGGCCGATTTCGGCCAATAATCCACATTTCTCTTGAGCAAATAATCCGATCGGGCTGAAACTTGGTCCCAATATGCTTCAACCCATGTCCAAAAAGCCTGCAAAGTTTGGTTCCGATCGGATCATTGCAAGTAGGCCAAAATTCCAGGTCAAGGGCCGGCCAATTGCCCAAGAGCTACGTTTCTCGCTGAAACCATATTTTTGCGCAAAGTTAGTGTTCAGTTCAACGTAAAGTGCAATTAATTCATGATTGTATAGCTATAGGATTGAGGTACATCAAAAATGCACGGAAAAGTGATCAAACATTGACGGCGCCCTCCTCCTCGGCGACTTCGTTCAGATCGGGCATCGGAGTCACGTGTTTCGGATGGTTTCTCTTCGCCTTCGCCGCCTCCAATCTATCATTGATGTCCTGCTTCACATTGTTCAGCTTCTGGACGACCATCGTGAAGAACTCTTGAATGTCGCGGAGGGTGGTCTGGAAGACAAAAAAAAAAGAGTTAGACACACAAAACGAGCTTACGTCGAGGTCAAAGTTCTCGTACTTTTCCTTGAGAATGTCCCAGAGCGAGAGCACGTATTCGTGCAGTTTCGCGTAGTGTTTCGACGCCTGACACGCCACGTCACACTCTTTCGTCGGCCGGAACAGCTTCGGCACTTTGCCGATCTCGGTCACGTTTTTGAAGCAATCCGACACGATTTTGATTTTGTCGTAGTCGTCGAGCGAGGTGCAGTCAAAATCGGCGTTACGCTCCACGTCGATCACCTGCAAAAAGTGGAGAGCTACAATATTAGGCGAAAAATCCACAAGGCCGAGCGGCGGTTTTCTAGGCCACCAACCAGAGTTGAGCGGAAGAAACGGAAGAATTTTTATCTTTTTTAGAAAATTTTTTCATGGAATGTGATCTACTGACGAAATGTTTAGCAAAGTGAACTCTGCTCATAGAAAAATAATTGTAAATTTAGCGATTCATACAAAAAAGTTATTCGAGTTGTTCCGTGAAAATGTCTTTCCGTCTTCGGTTAGCCCTTAACTTTTTTGTATGAATCGCTAAATTTACAATTATTTTTCTATGAGCAGAGTTCACTTTGCTCAATATTTCGTCAGTTGATCACATTTCATGAAAAAAATTTTTAAAAAAGATAAAAATTCTTCCGCTCAACTCTGCCACCAACCTTGACATCCGGGAACTTGGACAAAAGGGTCTCCTCGTCGGGAAGTCGCACAAGTTTATTGTAGGTCAATCCGATGACTGGAAATCCGCGAAGACGTGCTCCGGCGGGCAGACGCAACTGAGTACGGTCGCCGTTGTGACAATGGATCACCTCGTCTTCGGTGTCACACTCACAATCATCGAGACACTCGAACACGTAGCCTGGATATTATGCAGTTTGTTGAAAAGTTGAAAAACCGAAAATTGGACGATGGAACTCACTGTGAGCGGCGTAGAAAATCGGCAAGAGCCAAACGATTGAGCGCATGTTTTTGTGTGACCACGGACGCCCGAGCACTTGGTTTATAAAGAAGAAGAGGAAGAGAGACAGCTGACTTCCATTCACCACTTTACACTTTTTCGTTTTGAGCCACAAGATGGGCGGTTTCCAACGACGCAAGTGAGTCATGAAAACAAGCACTTTGACCCCCCTCTCGAATCACGAGTTGTTCTGGAGGTTTTGAGGAAAAGAAGGAAGTAGTGGCGGGTTGGGATGAGTCATCTTCTCGGCTACGGTACTACTACTTAACAGCTCTAGTTTGGAAGCGCCAAACAAACGCATGACACGTTCTACGATAAGCCAAACATCAGTTTGAGATGTATGTCTGAAAGCTACAAGATATTTCGACATTATCATCATCATTATCCGCTTCATCGGCTCCGAGAAGAACAGAAAACGTCTGCCGATGACGTCTGATTTCGTACTCTGCCTACACATTCGTCTTATGGCATACGGCAGAGTTGAGCGGAAATGGAATTTTGAAATCCGGAAGACGGAAGACGGAAGAAAATTTTTCTCACGGAAGACGGAAAACGGAAGACGGAAGACGGAAGAAAATTTTTCTCACGGAAGACGGAAAACGAAAGACGGAAAACGGAAGACGGAAAACGGAAGAAAATTTTTCTTACGGAACACGGAAAACGGAAGACGGAAGAAACTTTTTCTTTCGGAACACGGAAAACGAAAGTCGGAAGAAAGTTTTTCTTACGGAACTCGGAAAACGGAAGACGGAAGACAATTTTTCTTATGGAAGGCGGAAGAAAAATTTTTTCACGGAAGACGGAAGAAAAATGTTTTTTACGGAACACGGAAAACGGAAGTCGGAAGTAAATTTTTCTTACGGAACACGGAAAACGGAAGACGGAAGACAATTTTTCTTATGAAAGGCGGAAGAAAAATTTTTTCACGGAAGACGGAAGAAAAATGTTTTTTACGGAACACGGAAAACGGAAGACAGAACAACATTTTTTTTACGGAACACGGAAAACGGAAGTCGGAAGAAAATTTTTCTTACGGAACACGGAAAACGGAAGACAGAACAACATTTTTTTTACGGAACACGGAAAACGGAAGTCGGAAGAAAATTTTTCTTACGGAACACGGAAAACGGAAGACAGAACAACATTTTTTTTACGGAACACGGAAAACGGAAGTCGGAAGAAAAATTTTTTTCTTACGGAACACGGAAAAACGGAAGACAGAACAACATTTTTTTACGGAACACGGAAAACGGAAGTCGGAAGAAAAATTTTTTTCTTACGGAACACGGAAAAACGGAAGACAGAACAACATTTTTTTTACGGAACACGGAAAACGGAAGTCGGAAGAAAATTTTTCTTACGGAACACGGAAAACGGAAGTCGGAAGTAAATTTTTCTTACGGAACACGGAAAACGGAAGACGGAAGACAATTTTTCTTATGGAAGGCGGAAGAAAAATTTTTTCACGGAAGACGGAAGAAAAATGTTTTTTACGGAACACGGAAAACGGAAGTCGGAAGTAAATTTTTCTTACGGAACACGGAAAACGGAAGACGGAAGACAATTTTTCTTATGGAAGGCGGAACAAAATTTTTCTTACGGAACACGGAAAAAAATTTTCCTCACGGAAGACGGAAGAAATTTTTTTTACGGAACACGGAAAACGGAAGACGGAACAAAAAAATCGTCAATGCAGAACCTTTTTCTCCGGTTTTTTTTTGAAAAAAATAACTAAACAACGAAAATTTTGGATCTGGGTCATTGCTCGTGGAAATTCGCGTTCTTCGGGGCTAGTAAATGGCTTCTGAAAAGCTATTACTCTTTTACGGTAAGAAGAATTTTTCCCGGAAAACGGAAGACGGAAGACGGAAGACGGAATTCCGCTCAACACTGGCACACGGGTCTTTATCAAACGAGTTCAATTCATTCGTCACAAAACGTTGGCCATTCGTTCACTGGAATGTTGTGTAGTAGCATTGGTTGATCGATGTGAAATTGGGAAGCAGCGGCGACACGGGGAACTACTCCTTCCACAAGCTTTTGAGCTGAGAACATTAATGGAAAACACGTAAAATGAGCTCTTTTTTGTACCTTTCCAAAGAATCCGAACGTGTGTTGGTGAGCCGGCTCGGGCTCCTCAAAAATCTCGACAACGCAAGAATCGGCGCCGCCCGCATTTCTATTATTATTATTATTATTATCGTGTTCTCCTTCGACGGGCTCTTTCGAGCCGGACTTCTCGTCCTTCTCCTCCTTTCTCGACGATCTTTTCGACGATTTCTTCGACGATCGAATGCTTTTGAAGCTCTTCGCCAGCGAGTTCGCCTCGTTCAACGCCTCCAGTTTCTTTTCGTTCTTTTCGTTCGCCGCCGGTTTCGACTCTTTCCCATTTTCGGCGATGACGTGCGCTTCGACGATCGAATGATTGCACGGCTTCGCTTCTAGAACGTTTCGGTGGTTGCGAATTGTGGGTCGGTTGCGAAACGCGACGACTCACTTTTGAACGTGCACATGGCACAGAAGAACCAGGCGATGCAGCTGATCGTGCAGAACATTGCTCCCGCAATGCAGATCAACCAGAACCACTGGAAAACGTTTTGGTCCCCCCCAGCTGCTCTCGGAGTATTTTCTCGATTACCATTGGATAGTTGGTGGAGGCCAGCTCGACAACATCGATATTGGTCCCGATGATCAGAATCTTCTGGATGCGCTCGGTGGTCGCGTCGATGAGCGCAGTGGTGACGGCCGACGAGACGGTCCCAGTGGATAGGGTACGAGGTGCCGAGGAGCTGATGAAACGTGCGGCGGTGCTAGTGACGGCGGCGGCGGCGGTGGTGCTAACGGTCCCACTCGACGAGGTGATGGTCGTGCTCGGAGTGGTGGAAGACATTCCGAAGAAGAAGAAGAAGAATTGAATAGGAGCACGAATATGTGGAAAGATTTCGGAGAAAATGGGGCGTCCCGGTGACCTTACGCAAAATTGATAAAATTCCACTGTTTTAGAGGACAATTTTTCCTGGTTCACGGTCTCCAGAGCCAAATGGCGTTTTCATGAATTGAGCACGTTTTCTCTGATTTTTGTGGTCAACGGCGATGAAAAATGATTGTGCGACATGAAAACACCAGAGTTGAGCGGAATTCCGTCTGCCGTCTTCCGGGAAAAATTCTTCTTACCGTAAAAGAGTAATAGCTTTTCAGAAGCCATTTACTAGCCCCGAAGAATTATAATAATAACACATTTATTCTCTTCAGCCACCTAGGAATAAAATTACAACAAAAAAAGAAAGAAGAGAAAAAGAGGGGGAACGTGGGTGAACGCGAATTTCCACGGGCAGTGACCCAGATCCAAAATTTTTGCTGTTTAGTTATTTATTTTTAAAAAACCGGAAAAAAAGGTTCTGCATTGACGATTTTTTTGTTCCGTCTTCCGTCTTCCGTCTTCCGCGAAAAAAGTTTTCTTCCGTCTTCCGTTTTCCGGAATTCAAAATTTCATTTCCGCTCAACTCTGTAAAACACACTAATTCTCAGAATTAATGACGTTTTGGCGCATTTTTCGCCGACTTTTCTTTTTCGCCTTCGCCGCCGATCGCCGCCTAAAAACCGCACTTCTCATTTTGCGCTTTCTTGACCGTTTTTCGACAGCATTGGTTTTGAGAATGATAAATCACGTAAATACAAGCATTTTGAGCGCTCGAACCGCGAAAATTACCGAAAAGCAAGTGAAATTCACGCAGTTTTAGCCAAAAACCTTCAAACGGATAAATGTGATTTGCGACTTGACCAAATTTAACGCTCTTGCACTTAAAAAATTCGTAATAGCCTATAAAATCGGTCTATCGAGAGAAAAATGAGAAATTATCGGTTTTTCGTGGCTAATCTGGCCAAAAACACAAATTTTGCTGTTAAAATGTGAATTTCGCGCCAATGTATCGCTCTATTGGGCGGGGCGCACTTGCGCGCCCATTGTCAGCTCTGGAGACTGTGGGTTGCGAAGTGTCTCATTAAGAATTGGTTCTGAAGAAAGTCCTCAAAAACTTTGGCGCGAATTATGGAGAAATTCTTGAGAACAACAGTTGCAAAACGTCTAACTCTCAACTCACAGTTCTACTCGAGGCCAAAAAAGCAGCAGACGCCGTTGTGAGCTGAAAAGAGCACATTCTGATAATTTGAAAATGAATAGAGCACTGTCTCCCCCAATGGCTAATGCTAAATTGAGCGCCGCGTTAAAACGGAGTGTCGTTGAAATTTCCGGGATTTTTTTGCGAAAACCCTAAAATTTAATCCCAAAATGAGAAAAATTAGGTAAAACAGGAATTGTCAGAATAGTTTACGAGAGCTGTGATCTGAAATTAGCGTTTTGCCCACAGCGCGCATTTTTTCCATTTTTCTGTGAATTTCAGTCCGCGGCGCCTCAAAAACTGAAATTTCTCAGTCATTTTTGCATTTCATGCGCCGTCTCTGTGCTCAAAATGACCGCCTGCGTCTGCTGAACAATCGTGAGGCAACTGTTTTCTCAAAATTTCCGAAAATTCATTTTTTCAAGCCAAATTTAAAAAAAAACGAAATTAATCTTTGAATTTTCACATTTACACGAGCACTCTGTGCGATCATTTTGTAGCTATCGGTCATATGAACAAACGTGAGGCAAAATTTTTGACCGAAAACTGTGCATAATCCCAAAAACTCGATAAAACACTATCGTTTTCAGCGGAAAAACCGTTTCCCGTAAATCGACACTGAGAGCCGCACGCAAAAAAGCGCGCGAAACATTTTTTTCGCCTGCCGAAGGGGTGACAGTGTACTGTAGGTGTTAGTACATAGAAGAAGTGCACGTTTTGCAGCAGGGTGCTGATGTCTGGCCACTTGACACATTTCCATAAAACTTCATAATATATGTACTTCCTGAACCGCCTGAACTCACCTTTACCCTTTGTTCTTCCAAATCGAATCGAATATTCGCAGTTTTGAAGAAGTTGCGCGCATTTTCTTTTAACGACAAATCAACTTATCCTTGGCCAAAGTGTGATGATGTCGCTGGGCAAACACATGAGGAGAAGGACACGCGCCGGAGCGGGGAGAGGAGGAGACGTCTCTAACATGTACATACTTTATTATTATTATTATTCAAATGAGAAAGAAGACCTTCACACACACACAGTAGGTCATCTTGGGAGAGAGAACTCTCGAATGATCGACGAACTTCCGTGGTGAAAGTGGTGTGTTTGGACGACACCATTTCCCTTTTCCAGACCAAATATCCCGGTTCGGAAAGGTTGTGTAAGCAGTGGGACGTTTGGCGTCTGTGTCAATTCTGTACAATAGTTTAGAGGGTGGACGACGCTTTGCAACTGCAACTGGAGAGAACTAGAACAATAGTAGAGAACCAAGAAGATACAGTAATCTTATGACAAGTAGAACTCAACGGAAGAACACGGAAGAATTTTTATCTTTTTTAGAAAATTTTTTCATGGAATGTGATCAACTGACGAAATGCAGAGCAAAGTGAACTCTGCTCATAGAAAAATAATTGTAAATTTAGCGATTCATACAAAAAAGTTATTCGAGTTGTTGCGTGAAAATAAGTGCCAACGGAACAACTCGAATAACTTTTTTGTATGAAACGCTAAATTTGTAATTATTTTTTTATGAACAGGGTTCACTTTGCTATACATTTCATCAGTTGATCACATTTCCTGAAAAAATTTTCTAAAAAAGATAAAAATTCTTCCGTGTTCTTCTGGTCAATTTTTACCAAAGCCACAGTAGCGGAAAGGTATGTACAGTAATGCCTTGCGGGTCCCTTAGCCATAATTTTAATCGTTTTTTTCTTCCTTCATTCCTCGCTGCCAAATTCCCCGGTCTCTGAAGTTTGTTGTCCATGCGACAACCTTCAAAACTTCATCTCGATTACACAAGTACATGCACGATCCTTCCGCGTTTAACCCTTCTTCTTCTTCTTCTTCTTCTTCTTCTCGGACACGCTTGCTCAAGGTGAAGTGGTACCGCAAAAAGGGGCGGCGTCTGTGCGCGGCGGCCACGAATAAAAGAAATGGACGGAACGGGAGCGAGAGACGGTGTTCATTTCGGTTCCATTTCATTCCCGCCGCGAATCTCACGATGATGATCCGCTTTTTCTGGTGTCTTTCGGCTACTGTAGCGTTTGTGGCCGCCGGCATCGCCGATCCGCCGACGCTTGACAACGGCATTGCAGGTACGTACAGTAGTCCTACAGTAACCCCCCATTCCCCAATTTGATTTCACCAGAACTGCCCACAGTCGATTGTATGGAAGACCGCGTCAAATTGACGTTCAAAACGCAACGACCATTCCACGGTCGGATATTTGTGAAGGGAATGGTCGACAAGGTATCTAGTTGCTACTACAGTAATCCTACTACAGTAGTATCGCATTTTCAGCAACAATGCGTCCGAGACTTTGTGACGAGTCAGGCGAAAGATGTGCAGTTTGAGCTCGAGAACGGCGCGTGTAACATGCGACGCCAGCGGATGGTAGGATTACGGTACAGTTCTCGAGAGGTACAGTAACCTTTGCGGTTCCAGTTGGGCCCGGAAAAGCGTGGAATGGAAATGTCGATGACGATCATCATCTCGTTTCACTCGACGTTTATCACAAAAGTGGACAGAGCCTACAGATGCACGTGTTTCTACATGGAAGCCGATAAAGTGGTCACGAATAAGTTCGACGTCAGGTACCGTAATCCGGGTGGGGTGGTACTGTACTCTTCAAACGCGTCTCTTACAGTATGCTACCGACGACGGATCTCATCGATACGGCGCGTATGCCGCTGTGCACGTATTCGGTGCGTCGCGACTCGATCACCGGTCCGATTGTCGAGTACGCCAAGGTCGGAGAGACTGTTTTCCACGTGTGGAATTGTGAGAGCGGTGAGTGGCCTAGGATCCGAAAGTTAGGCCATCTGGAAGTGGCTGGCCTAGGAGGTGCAAGAAGGGGAAACAAAAGTTAGGCCACCAAATGCGAGACTAGAGATAGCCTAGGAGCATCGGGAAAAGTTAGGCCAGCAAGTGTGACGATCTCTCTTTGCAGACATGTTCTCGATGCTCGTGCACAGCTGCTTCGTCGACGACGGCAACGGCGACGAGCGGAAGCCGCTGCTCGACGAGCACGGCTGCGCGATCGACCCGCTCATCCTGCCCGATCTGACCTACAACAAGGAGAACAATCAGGCGTTCGCGCAAGTGAACGTCTTCAAGTTCGCCGACAAAATCTCGACGTACTTCCAGTGCGCGGTGAGCACGTGCATGAACAGCGAGGGAATGTGCGACGGGAAGACGGTAAGCATCTTCGGATCATCTCTTTTCGAACTGCGTCTCCGAATTTCAGCCGCCTCGTTGCGGTCCGGCCGGCAGTTTCGGCGCGTCGAACAACCGACGGGCTCGGCGAGCAGTTGTGGATCGGTTGTCGAACAAGACGGCGGTCAACTGGGTCCATCTGGCCGACACTATGGACCTGGCCGCCAATCGCATCACCGTGTTCGAGTTGGAAGAGAAGCGAGAGGACGTGGACAGTGGTAAGTGAGTCGGTGCGACGACGTGGCCGAACTTTCGCTCTTCCAGCCACCTCGACCCGTCTCGCCATTCCGGCCATCGGCCGCCCGCCACAAACGCCCGTCATTTGTCTCAATCAGTCGCGCATCACTCTCTTCCTCGTTCTCTCGTTCCTCATGCTCTCCGTCGTCACCGTCGTCACGTTCTACACGCTGCGGAGGACGATGTCGACGACGCACAAAAAGTGTCAACTCAACGCCTAACTACGATATTTCCCTAGGTGCCTTTTTCTTTTTTATTGAATAAACGGTTTTACTCATCACGGTCTCCAGAGCTGACAATGGGCACGGTCTCCCACAGCGCGAATGATGATTCAATGGGGCGCACTTGCAACAGGCGGGCTGTGTCGATTTACGCGGCGGCGGCCGATTAATTAACTTTCAACGGGAGTTCGCGCGTTCTTTCCATGTTTTCTGTACAATACACCTATTTTTTGTGCGCCTGGAACCTGGCGTCGAATAATTAGAGCACTAGCTACGTTTTGGTAACAGAAATCTCGCATATCGTTGAGAATTAGCCGAACTATTTCGATTTGAAGGTTTTGGCCTGGATTTTGATATTTTTCGAATAGTTTTCGAAAACTGCTCAAGAACACTAACCGCCTGAACCTGAATTTTGTGAAGAAAGATTCAGCGAGCATTTTTATCGTTCGTTGGGCTCATGAAAAGCAAAATAAGCTGAAATATAAAGGTTTGAAGTTTTGACGAAATGCGAAAAAGACGCTAAAAACATGAAAAACTCTAAATTCTGTAAAGAACGGTTTCCGCACAGTAAAATATTGTTTTCTAGACGTTTTTCAAGTCAAAAAGAAAGAAATAAAGGTCGTAAACTCGAATTGAACTGCATTTTTAGACCTGCAAATTTTCAAAAGTTACAACGACACTCCGCAATTTACGAGCGCACTGTGTTTAGCATTAGCGCCCCCTGGGAAACCGTGATGGGCGCAAGTGCGCCCCGCGATACATTGGCGCGAAATTCAAATTTTAACAGCAAAATTTGTGTTTTTTTGCGAGATTAGCCACGAAAAACCGATAATTTCTCGTTTGTCTCTTGATAGACCGATTGTATAGGCCATTACGAATTTTTTATGCGCAAGAGCGTCAAATTTGGTCAAGTCGCCAATCACATTTATCCGTTTGAAGGTTTTTCGCTAAAACTGCGTGAATTTCAGTTGCTTTTCGGTAGTTTTCGCGGTTCGAGCGCTCAAAATGCTTGTATTTACGTGATTTATCATTCTCAAAACCAATTCTGTCGGAAAACGGTCAAAAAAGCGCAAAATGAGAAGTGCGGCGATCGGCGGCGAAGTCGAAAATGCGAAATCCACGAAAAATGAGCGCCAAAATGTCATTAATTCTGAGAATTCGTGTGTTTTCATGTCGCACAATCATTTTTCATCGCCGTTGATCAAAAAAATCCGAGAAAACGTGCTCAATTCATGAAAATGCCATTTGGCCGCCGAGGCCACACGCCCATATTGTCAGCTCTGGAGACCGTGCTCATCAACATGGTATATACGACATTCGGAAAGCCATCACGGCCGTCTCTTTTGTCTGAAACAGCGCAATAATCGACTTGAGATAGCTGAAATAGGCGGCCAGGATCCACACGAACGGCTGATAGATTGACATGAAAATCGTGTTCACAGCCACACTGTGCTCGGCTTTTTCGTTCGACTCCTCGCCAAATTGGACTTGTTCTATGAGCAATGGTGTGAAGAGAAGGAGCTAAAGAAATCGAGTTTCTCGAGCACAATTTCCAGAGCGACAATATGTGAATACCGTGGAAATTGTGGCGCTCACAATTCCATTCACAAAATAGTCGATTTTGAGTTGATTCAGATATTTTCGCTTTTTGCACAGAATCCACGAGAGTAGCCAGACGAGCAGAATGAGCCATTTGAAGATGAGCAGGTAGATGTCAGTCATGTCGAGTCTCTGAAAAAAAAAAACAAATCTTCGTGGAAAAGCAAAGAGTTTTCAAAAACTTACCAAGTTGAAACTCTCAAACTCGAGCACATAATACACAGAGAACTTTCTCAAAGGCAACAGGATTATTGTGAACACGGTTATCATGCATTTTTTTCTGCAAAACCATAGTCTTACAATATCTAGACCAGAGTTGAGCGGAAGAACTCAACGGAAGAATTTTTATCTTTTTTAGAAAATTGTTTCATGGAATGTGATCAACTGACGAAATGTTGAGCAAAGTGAACTCTGCTCATAGAAAAATAATTGTACAATTATTTTTCTATGAACAGAGTTCACTCTGCTATACATTTCGTCAGTTGATCACATTTCATGAAAAAATTTTCTAAAAAAGATAAAAATTCTTCCGTGTTCTTCCGCTCAACCCTGATCTAGACCCCAAAAAAAACACGCACTTATCGTACTTGTACCCACAACATCGGCATATTTCGAGATACTCTGCGTACAAGAGAAAATTGTAGGTGAAAACTGTGGCTTCAAGTGCAGTCAACTCGAAAAACGCGAAAAACAATAGAAACTGAGAGTGGTCCAGTTGAAAAGAGTTGACAAAGGCCAAAGTCAGCGCCGAGGTGAGCACAAACACGAACATTATGATGTGAAGATGAAAGTAACTAGTGAACTGGCTCGTCTTTTTCAGAAACATCATTCGCATGTAGAGCATTAAGAGCAGAAACGGAATGACCATGTGGAAGTAGATGGTGCGAAAGTCTCGAATATGATCCAATAGGTCGATGTTGCTGACGATTTGGGCGGTAGTCGCGTGAAATCGCATTTGGCCGAATAAATTGAGCCGGAGGCGTGCTGAGGGAGCTCATAGAAGCACCTGTCGCGAAGGTTTTGAAGAAAACTCTGCTGAACTCGAGCTGACGTCCGTAGTGATGCACTATTACACCTGTTGAAGAGAGCACAACACAGTCTCCAGAGCTGACAATATGGGCGCGAATTAATGACGTTTTGGCGCATTTTTCGCCGACTGCTTGGCGCATTTTTCGCCGATTTTGCGCTTTCCTGACCGTTTTCGAACAGAATTGGTTTTGAGAATGATAAATCACGTAAATACAAGCATTTTGAGCGCTCCAACCGCTAAAACTATCGAAAAGCAACTGAAATTCACGCATTTTTAGCCAAAAACTTTCAAACGGATAAATTTGATTTGCGACTTGACCAAATTTAACGCTCTTGCGCTTAAAAAATTCGTAATGGCCTATACAATCAGTCTATCGAGAGACAAATGAGAAATTATCGATTTTTTGTGGCTAATCTGGCAAAAAACACAAATTTGGCTGTTAAAATTTGAATTTCGCGCCAATGTATCGCTCTATTGGGCGGGGCGCACTTGCGCGCCCATTGTAAGCTCTGGAGACTGTGACAAGGCAAAAGATTTCATGAGCACGAACATGATGCTCGGATGTTTCTTCCTGGTCTTCCCGGAGAGCCCGTTGTGCACAAATGGGCGTGGCAATGTGCACAAGAGAAGGCAAAAACCAGAAGACAGGTGAAGCTGAAAATACTTGAAACTACTTGCACACACCCAGGCAACACAAGTGAGTAGCGATGAAATGGAGTTTTGTTTCCGATACAGAATCCTCGAATTTGTCGGACACTCACGAAAACCGTGATATTTCGAGCGGAACTGTTGAGGTGAACGCAAAGTATCACTTTGTATTTGCCGCAGCTATGACTCTATTATATTTCTGGATGATCTTGAGGAAAAAGGTGATATTGTTGGTCCCTAATCAGTTGAAAGTACTTTTCTAGACGCACAACTTCAAAACGCTTCGCTATCAGCATAGGCTCATGTACTGGTGGCTCACAACATTCAGTGCTTACACATTGATACCCAATATGTTGAGAACTTCGACGGGCTCTCTTCTAGTTTTCATCGCTACGTTCGCAATTGAATACTTTGGCTGCCTTTTTTTTCCAGTTTCTTGGAACATGGCCATCGCTTTCATCATGATACAAATTCATCATTTGTTCACAAACGACTCGGACTATATTCGTTTTCATGGATATGCTCTTAAAGGACGATCTCTCACTTTGTTCATGATCAGTATCCTAGTTATTTTCATTATTGATTTTTTCGTTGAAGTGATGTACTCACTTGAACTCGAAACGGACACGTTTAGAGTGGTATTTTGAAAGATGTACTTTATTTCTAATAGTTTTTTACAGAGAATAAGTGTGATGGATACGGCTATGCTGATTCTCGCTTGGCTGGGATTATTGATCTGGTTTGTGTGGTGGATAGTTGTGAAAGAGCGAGAATTTGTATCCTCTGCCAAAATCTGTTATTTCCTGAACGGTCTTCTTCAAGTCGGCCTCTCGACAGTCCGTTTCTCGACGTTGAAGAACACCACAGAATGCGTTTTTTTTCCAGATGATCACAATAACGTACATCGACAGTTATGGAAGTGTGAGCACAGTTCGTGCGAGTCTGATGAACGCGTTATACTCCCCGTTCATCTGGATTCTCGCCGTTTTTCTCAGCGACCAACAGTCCGTTGTCAGATATTTCCAGCGGAAAAGAGCGAACGCGGGGGAAGCGGACATGCAGTTGTCCTACATTTCTGTTTGATTCCCCTGATTGAGTGCCTCAATAAATCTTGCTTCCTTCGAGGCACAAATGGGCGTGGCAATGTGCACAAGAGAAGGCAAAAACCAAAAGACGGGTGAAGCTCACAAGTGAGTAACGATGAAATGGAGTTTTGTTTATGACTCTGAAAAAGACCACGAGAAGTACACGGGAAGAGGAGTGTTCTAGCACCCCGGCAAGTTTCTGGTGCTGTGCCAAGAAGTTGTTCTGGATGATCATTATCCAAATCGTTTTTAAAATTGAAATAACTTTCATTGCTATTTTTTGACAGGCCTCCGTTAAGCCTTTTCATTCGAAAAACAAAAGTTCATCTGAATATATTGTTTATTCACAAAAGCAGTAAATTATGACACGGAATTTAGGCATTCACGGAGTTTATTCATTTCCTGTGTTAGCAGTTCCCCATTCAGAAAATTGTTTACCCTTTTCTTTTCCTCCAACACAAGTGTTTGCAGCGCTGATAATGCTTTTTGCAATATTTCCAGATAAGCTAAAAAAGTTGAGCCGAATAACATTGAAGTCAAGATTTTTGTATTTAATCAACAACAATTGGAAGTCCTGTCCAAAGTGTTTCCGATCAGACTGCAAATTGGACATCGAAATAATTTTTCGGTGTTTCGAGATACACGAAAACGTGGCATTTTTGAGGACACAACGAACAAAACTGGTTTCAGTTCATACCGAGTTATTTGAATTTGAAGTTGCTGCGAGGGCCCACATGAAAAATGCTATTTTTGCGCTTGCTCTAGACGTTTTGACTAGAAATGAGAGTAGTCTCGCAGAGATCATGAGCAATTTCGTTCGTACTCTGCCCACCGGATCAGCTCACTTGGAGCAGCAATGATCTCATGCCTTATTATTGGCTTACTAGGGAATGGCCCGCACTTACCTTGGGCTTTTGCAAAATGGGACCTATATGATTCGAAAGAGAATTTCACGGAGAATCCGAATCTGCTCTCCATTTTTGCTAAAAAGGTAAAGTGAATTGAAAGCTAAACACCAGAGTTGAGCGGAAGAACTCAACGGAAGAACACGGAAGAATTTTTATATTTTTTAGAAAATTTTTTCATGGCATGTGATCAACTGACAAAATGTATAGCAAAGTGAACTCTGCGCATAGAAAAATAATTGTAAATTTAGCGATTCATTCAAAAAAGTTATTCGAGTTGTTCCGTGAAAAAAAGGTCCAACGGAACAACTCGAATATAACCTTTTTGTATAAAAAGCTAAATGTACAATTATTTTTCTATGCGCAGAGTTCACTTTGCTATACATTTCGTCAGTTGATCACATTCCATGAAAAAATTTTCTAAAAAATATAAAAATTCTTCCGTGTTCTTCCGTTGAGTTCTTCCGCTCAACTCTGCTAAACTCTCGCTTCGCCTTGGATGGACCGTTCCTCTTTCGTTTTGCATACATCCACCATATTCAGGACGGACTTCAACTATCTAGCAAACTGTAATTTGGTCGAGGAGCTTAACAAAGAATTTCATGATCATGATCTTTGCTTCAGCTCACAGAACAACAATGTTGTATCTCACGCTATTGAGATCTCTCGGATGTTTGTTCCTGGTTCACCTACGTGCATCATGAAAATTTATATGATGTTTTGAAAACATGCCTGAAACTGTGCAAGAGCCCGTTGTGCACAAATGGGCGTGGCCAACTAAGGGGAAACAGCAGTATGCACAAGAGAAGGCAAAAACCAGAAGACAGGTGAAGCTGAAAATATTTGAAACTACTTGCACACACACAGGCAACACAAGTGAGTAGCGATGAAATGGAGTTTTGTTTCCAATAAAAAATCCTCGAATTTGTCGAACACTCAAGAGAACCGTGATATTTTGATCGGAACTGTTGAGGTGAACGAAAAGTATCATTTTGTATTTGCCGCAGCTATGACTCTATTATATTTCTGGATGATGTTGAGGAAAAAGGTGATATTGTTGGTCCCTAATCAGTTGAAAGTACTTTTCTAGACGCACAACTTCAAAACGCTTCGCTATCAGCATAGGCTCATGTACTGGTGGCTCACAATATTCATTGCTCACACATTGATACCCAATATGTTGAGAACGTTGACGCGCCCAATTCTAGTTTTCATCGCTACGTTCGCAGTTGAATACTTTGGCTGCCTTTTTGCTCTAGTTTCCTGGAACATGGCCATCGCTTTCATCATGATACAAATTCATCATTTATTCACAAACGACTCGGACTATATTCGTTTTCATGGATATGCTCTAAAAGGACGATCTCTCACTTTGTTCATGATCAGTATCCTAGTTATTTTCATTATTGATTTGTCCGTTGAAGTGATGTACTCACTTGAACTCGAAACGGACACGTTTAGAGTGGTATTTTGAAAGATGTACTTTATTTCTAATAGTGTCTTTTTTACAGAGAATAAGTGTGATGGATACGGCTATGCTGATTCTCGCTTGGCTGGGACTATTGATCTGGTTTGTGTGGTGGATAGTTGTGAAAGAGCGAGAATTTGTATCCTCTGCCAAAATCTGTTATTTCCTGAACGGTCTTCTTCAAGTCGGCCTCTCGACAGTCCGTTTCTCGACGTTGAGAGGAACACCACAGAATGCGTTTTTGTTTCCAGATGACCACAATAACACACATCGACAGTTATGGAAGTGTGAGCACAGTTCGTGCGAGTCTGATGAACGCGTTATACTCCCCGTTCATCTGGATTCTCGCCGTTTTTCTCAGCGACCAACAGTCCGTTGTCAGATATTTCCAGCGGAAAAGAGCGAACGCGGGGGAAGCGGACATGCAGTTGTCCTACATTTCTGTTTGATTCCCCCGATTGAGCGCCTCAATAAATCTTGCTTCCTTCGAGGCACAAATGGGCGTGGCAATGTGCACAAGAGAAGGCAAAAACCAAAAGACAGGTGAAGCTCACAAGTGAGTAACGATGAAATTGAGTTTTGTTTATGAATCTGAAAAAGACCACGAGAAGTACACGGGAAGAGGAGTGTTCTAGCACCCCGGCAAGTTTCTGGTGCTGTGCCAAGAAGTTGTTCTGGATAATCTTTATCCAAATCTTTTTTAAAATTGAAATAACTTTCATTGCTATTTTTTGACAGGCCTCCGTTAAGCTTTTTCATTCGAAAAACAAAAGTTCATCTGAATATATGTATTTTTTATTCACAAAAGCAGTAAATTATGACACGGAATTTAGGCATTCACGGAATTTATTCCTTTCCTGTGTTAGCAGTTCATTCAGAAAATTTTTGACCCTTTTATTTTCCTCCAACACAAGTGTTTGCAGCGCTGAAAATGCTTTTTGCAATATTTGCAGATAAGCTAAAAAAGTTGAGCCGAATAACATTGAAGTCAAGATTTTTGTATTTAATCAACAACAATTGGAAGTCCTGTCCAAAGTGTTTCCGATCAGACTGCAAATTGGACATCGAAATAATTTTTCGGTGTTTCGAGATACACGAAAACGTGGCATTTTTGAGGGCACACAACGAACAAAACTGGTTTCAGTTCATACCGAGTTATTTGAATTTGAAGTTGCTGCGAGGGCCCACATGAAAAATGCCATTTTTGCGCTTGCTCTAGACGTTTTGACTAGAAATGAGAGTAGTCTCGCAGAGATCATGAGCAATTTCGCTCGTACTCTGCCCACCGGATCAGCTCACTTGGAGCAGCAACGATCTCATGCCTTATTATTGGCTTACTAGGGAATGACCCGCACTTACCTTGGACTTTTGCAAAATGGGACCTATATGATTCGAAAGAGAATTTCACGAAGAATCCGAATCTGCTCTCCATTTTTGCTAAAGAGCACTCACTGGCTGGCGAGAAAATCTGCCTGTTTCTGCCACATTTTCCTAGCAAGTTCATCTTCGGCGACCTGTATCTCAAGAACCACGCGTCCGTTGCAAAAGTGGTCAACTAGTAAGTTGACGCAAATTATCTCGTGAATAATTTTGTAGTTGATCGTCTATTTTTAAAAAAATTAGTTTTCGAGTTATCGTCGCTCTGACCCCAGCACTAACATTTTTCTTGTCGCAATAGGAAAACAGTTCATAACTCGAATCATATAGGTCCCATTTTGCAATAGCCCAAGGTAAGTGCGGGTCATTCCCTAGTTAGTGTAAAGAGATCCATGAGATAGATATTCACGCAAAACGTTTCAGATCAGTTGGGAACACTTTGAGCAGGACTCCGAAGCTTGTAAACGCAGCGTTGAATAGTTACGAGAACATCGAACTAACAAATGACTTACATACCTTTAATTTGCTTGTTCATACACTTCGACATTGAAGAAAGTCCACTCACTAAAGAACAATTCCTAAAGAAACCGAAAGTGGGAAATTTGGCAATAAAATCTGAGAAAGTATATGTTCAATGTCTTAATTGTATTTAAAACCGTGAAAAATTGTAATAAATTGCGCTTCATCGTCGGCGGATATGTAAAACACAAAATGGAGCGCTGTGTCATTCTTCAATACGTTTTCGATCAGCTCATAAGCGCATTCGAGGGTATTTATCCATTCCTTCTGTAAAAAATTCTGGAGAAAAATTCAATTCAGAACAAAATTCATACGAAATCGGTTCGGTGATTTGTAGAAATACTGATTACTCAATAATTTATTTCACTGCAATCGCGCTCTGTTGAGAAACTCGTTTTGCAGTGCAAATTGCAATGACCTAACGGCCGAGTTTGAAAAGTTTGGCCACATTTTCAGTGGAAAACAACTAAAAATTACTTTGCGGCCGAGAAACTCGGCCAGAATAGGAACAGATCGTATTGCAGAGAAATGCCGCGATGTTTATAATTAAGAGTTTCCATCAGCGGGTCCCTATTAGTTCAAACTGGTTCCGTTTGCCTCATATCCAAGCCGTCAAAATTTTTCAACGATCCGACCCGGCCTGGCCGTAAAATCACAAATATGGAAAACACGTGTGTTCTCTTTTTCTGACCAGGAGCCTTCATTTATGGTAGAATTTTTTTACAAATTGGCTCACAAAAAATTCACCCGAACTGCTGCACCGAATGCATCACTTACTAGATTTAAAAATAATATCACATTGTCCAGGAACGACTGAAAAATGTGTAGTATCATGTTTTTATTTAACCTTGTTACATATAAACTCACCTTAGGGGTTGTTGTCGGGAAGTCGGTAGAAGTTTCGGAATCGGCAACCGAAACAGCCACAGTCAGAAGTATACAGAGACTCAGCGCGGAATGAAGAACCTTCATCGCGGAATATGAACATTTTCTTTTCTGCTCGCTATTTATACAGTTTATTTTTTCCCACGCTGTTCAAAATACCACATTTCATTCTTCTTGAATGCCATCCTAGCATGTTTTTTTTCGTTTTGATCTTTTGGAATTGCATCCGAGAAAAATATGGACTGGTCAGCATTACTGGATGTTCATGAATAAAAGCTATTAGAACTGATAGGACACAGCAAACATTCGTAATCATTGGAACCATCACCGTAGCATGAAAAATGAAAAGATTTATAACTGTTACACGGACTCCAGAGCTGATAATACCGTTTTCCGACAGAATTGGTTTTGAGAATGAAAAATCACGTAAATACAAGCATTTTGAGCGCTCGAAAAACTACCGAAAAGCAACTGAAATTCGCGCAGTTTTAGCCAAAAACGTTCAAACGGATAAATGCGATTTGCGACTTGACCAAATTTAACGCTCTCAAAAATTCGTAATGGTCTATACAATCGGTCTATCGAGAGACAAATGAGAAATTATCGGTTTTTCGTGGCTAATCTGACAAAAAACACAAATTTTGCTGTTAAAATTTAAATTTCGCGCCAATGTATCGCTCTATTGGGCGGGTCGCACTTGCGCCCACTGTCAGCTCTCGAGACCGTGGTTAAGCCTATGAAGTATTACACGGGGCCGTGACGAGTACATCGAAAATTAAACTTCCGCCAACGGTCGACTGCGTAGCGCCCCTATCGTAAAGCATTAGGCCAAAGCGAAATTTTTGAAAATTTTATTAGAGCGCACATGCGCCAGTGTACCATCTCGCCACGACTCTGTGTATTATACAGGTAACGTGAATTGAAAGCTAAACAGTAAACACTCGCTTCAGGACGGACTTCAACTATCTAGCAAACTGTAATTTGGTCGAGGAGCTTAACAAAGAATTTCATGATCATGATCTTTGCTTCAGCTCACAGAACAACAATGTTGTATCTCACGCTATTGAGATCTCTCGGATGTTTGTTCCTGGTTTACCTACTTGCATCATGAAAATTTATATGATGTTTTGAAAACATGCCTGAAACTGTGCAAGAGCCCGTTGTGCAGAAATGGGCGTGGCCAACTAAGACGAAACAGCAGTATGCACAAGAGAAGGCAAAAACCAAAAGACAGGTGAAGCTGAAAATATTTGAAACTACTTGCACACACCCAGGCAACACAAGTGAGTAACGATGAAATGGAGTTTTGTGTCCGATACAGAATCCTCGAATTTGTCGGACACTCACGAAAACCGTGATATTTCGAGCGGAACTGTTGAGGTGAACGCAAAGTATCACTTTGTATTTGCCGCAGCTATGACTCTATTATATTTCTGGATGATTTTGAGGAAAAAGGTGATATTGTTGGTCCCTAATCAGTTGAAAGTACTTTTCTAGACGCACAACTTCAAAACGCTTCGCTATCAGCATAGGCTCATGTACTGGTGGCTCACAACATTCAGTGCTTACACATTGATACCCAATATGTTGAGAACTTCGACGGGCTCTCTTCTAGTTTTCATCGCTACGTTCGCAATTGAATACTTTGGCTGCCTTTTTTTTCCAGTTTCTTGGAACATGGCCATCGCTTTCATGATGATACAAATTCATCATTTATTCACAAACGACTCGGACTATATTCGTTTTCATGGATATGCTCTTAAAGGACGATCTCTCACTTTGTTCATGATCAGTATCCTAGTTATTTTCATTATTGATTTTTTCGTTGAAGTGATGTACTCACTTGAACTCGAAACGGACACGTTTAGAGTGGTATTTTGAAAGTTGTACTTTATTTCTAATAGTTTTTTACAGAGAATAAGTGTGATGGATACGGCTATGCTGATTCTCGTTTGGCTGGGACTATTGATCTGGTTTGTGTGGTGGATAGTTGTGAAAGAGCGAGAATTTGTATCCTCTGCCAAAATCTGTTATTTCCTGAACGGTCTTCTTCAAGTCGGCCTCTCGACAGTCCGTTTCTCGACGTTGAGGAACACCACAGAATGCGTTTTTGTTTCCAGATGACCACAATAACGTACATCGACAGTTATGGAAGTGTGAGCACAGTTCGTGCGAGTCTGATGAACGCGTTATACTCCCCGTTCATCTGGATTCTCGCCGTTTTTCTCAGCGACCAACAGTCCGTTGTCAGATATTTCCAGCGGAAAAGAGCGAACGCGGGGGAAGCGGACATGCAGTTGTCCTACATTTCTGTTTGATTCCCCTGATTGAGCGCCTCAATAAATCTTGCTTCCTTCGAGGCACAAATGGGCGTGACAATGTGCACAAGAGAAGGCAAAAACCAAAAGACAGGTGAAGCTCACAAGTGAGTAACAATGAAATGGAGTTTTGTTTATGACTCTGAAATAGACCACGAGAAGTACACGGGAAGAGGAGTGTTCTAGCACCCCGGCAAGTTTCTGGTGCTGTGCCAAGAAGTTGTTCTGAATAATCTTTATCCAAATCGTTTTTAAAATTGAAATAACTTTCATTGCTATTTTTTGACAGGCCTCCGTTAAGCTTTTTTATTCGAAAAACAAAAGTTCATCTGAATATATGTATTGTTTATTCACAAAAGCAGTAAATTATGACACGGAATTTAGGCATTCACGGAGTTTATTCATTTCCTGTGTTAGCAGTTCATTCAGAAAATTGTTTACCCTTTTATTTTCCTCCGAGCGACGATAACTCGAAAACTAATTTTTTTTTTAAATAAACGATCAACTGCAAAGTTATTCACGAGATATTTTGCGTTAACTTACTAGTTGACCACTTTTGTCCTCCATAAGATATTCACACAAAAAGTTTCAGATGAATTGGGAACACTTTGAGCAGGACTCCGAAGCTTGTAAACGCATTGTTGAATAGTTACGAGAACATCGAACTAACAAATGACTTACATACCTTTAATTTGCTTGTTCATACACTTCGACATTGAAGAAAGTCCACTCACTAAAGAACAATTCCTAAAGAAACCGAAAGTGGGAAATTTGACAATAAAATCTGAGAAAGCATATGTTCAACGTCTTAATTGTATTTAAAACCGTGAAAAATTGTATTAAATTGCGCTTTATCGTCGGCGGATATGTAAAACACAAAATGGAGCGCTGTGTCATTCTTCAATACGTTTTCGATCAGCTCATAAGCGCATTCGAGGGTATTTATCCATTCCTTCTGTAAAAAATTCTGGAGAAAAATTCAATGGAAAGGAGACTGCTGGCGCATCTTGCACTCACTTGGCGCACTATTGGATTTTTTGGTTTCGCAATTAAAATCTTTTTCTCGTTTTTGTCTTTTAAAACATGTCGAAACGCAATTTTTCGTTACATATTTGTTGCAAAAAAACTCAAATTTGAATTTTCAGGACTCGTTGCAACAATTTCTGCAGTTGGAAAGGCGCAACGCCGATGGAAATTGCCGAGCGGCACGGAGTAGCGGTTAGAATAAAAAAGGACAGTTATTTTCTTCGCCGATTAATAATTTCAGGTTTTCCCCATCATTTTATCGGATTGCGGCGGACACGCGAATAGAAAAAAGCACTATTCAACTGAAAACCAGGAATCTCCAGCAACAAACGGAACACTAAATTTGTTTGATTGCTGAATGAAGCTCATTGAGAAAATTCTTTGTTTTCTTTTATCGCTATGTTATCTCACTTCTACAATTCTAAAATTCGATCCTTGTGGCCGGAAGTTTGCCTACAAAGTTCACTTTCAGCGACACTTCAGATTTCTGACGGCAAAAAGACGTAACAATCACGCACATAATCCTTTCTACGTTTGATAAAGCTCTCTTTCATCTCTAAAACTACTAATATTGACAAACTTCTGCTTTTCATGTATTTCAGCAAGAAATTCACGCTACTCTTTCATGGTTTTTAAAATGTAAATGTAAAATGTAAAATGTTGTATCTCACGCTATTGAGATCTCTCGGATGTTTGTTCCTGGTTCACCTACGTGCATCATGAAAATTTATATGATGTTTTGAAAACATGCCTGAAACTGTGCAAGAGCCCGTTGTGCAGAAATGGGCGTGGCCAACTAAGACGAAACAGCAGTATGCACAAGAGAAGGCAAAAACCAAAAGACAGGTGAAGCTGAAAATATTTGAAACTACTTGCACACACACAGGCAACACAAGTGAGTAACGATGAAATGGAGTTTTGTTTCCGATACAGAATCCTCGAATTTGTCGGACACTCAAGAGAACCGTGATATTTCGAACGGAACTGTTGAGGTGAACGAAAAGTATCATTTTGTATTTGCCGCAGCTATGACTCTATTATATTTCTGGATGATTTTGAGGAAAAAGGTGATATTGTTGGTCCCTAATCAGTTGAAAGTACTTTTCTAGACGCACAACTTCAAAACGCTTCGCTATCAGCATAGGCTCATGTACTGGTGGCTCACAACATTCAGTGCTTACACATTGATACCCAATATGTTGAGAACTTCGACGGGCTCTCTTCTAGTTTTCATCGCTACGTTCGCAATTGAATACTTTGGCTGCCTTTTTTTTCCAGTTTCTTGGAACATGGCCATCGCTTTCATCATGATACAAATTCATCATTTGTTCACAAACGACTCGGACTATATTCGTTTTCATGGATATGCTCTAAAAGGACGATCTCTCACTTTGTTCATGATCAGTATCCTAGTTATTTTCATTATTGATTTTTTCGTTGAAGTGATGTACTCACTTGAACTCGAAACGGACACGTTTAGAGTGGTATTTTGAAAGATGTACTTCATTTTAATAGTGTTTTTTTTACAGAGAATAAGTGTGATGGATACGGCTATGCTGATTCTCGCTTGGCTGGGACTATTGATCTGGTTTGTGTGGTGGATAGTTGTGAAAGAGCGAGAATTTGTCTCCTCTGCCAAAATCTGTTATTTCCTGAACGGTCTTCTTCAAGTCGGCCTCTCGACAGTCCGTTTCTCGACGTTGAGGAACACCACAGAATGCGTTTTTGTTTCCAGATGACCACAATAACGTACATCGACAGTTATGGAAGTGTGAGCACAGTTCGTGCGAGTCTGATGAACGCGTTATACTCCCCGTTCATCTGGATTCTCGCCGTTTCTCAGCGACCAACAGTCCGTTGTCAGATATTTCCAGCGGAAAAGAGCGAACGCGGGGGAAGCGGACATGCAGTTGTCCTACATTTCTGTTTGATTCCCCTGATTGAGTGCCTCAATAAATCTTGCTTCCTTCGAGGCACAAATGGGCGTGGCAATGTGCACAAGAGAAGGCAAAAACCAAAAGACAGGTGAAGCTCACAAGTGAGTAACGATGAAATGGAGTTTTGTTTATGACTCTGAAAAAGACCACGAGAAGTACACGGCAAGAGGAGTGTTCTAGCACCCCGGCAAGTTTCTGGTGCTGTGCCAAGAAGTTGTTCTGGATAATCTTTATCCAAATCGTTTTTAAAATTGAAATAACTTTCATTGCTATTTTTTGACAGGCCTCCGTTAAGCTTTTTCATTCGAAAAACAAAAGTTCATCTGAATATATTGTTTATTCAAAAAAAGCAGTAAATTATGACACGGAATTTAGGCATTCACGGAATTTATTCATTTCCTGTGTTAGCAGTTCCCCATTCAGAAAATTGTTGACCCTTTCCTTTTCCTCCGACGCACGTGTATGCAGCGCTGAGCTTGATTTTTGCAATGATTCCAGATAAGCTAAAAAAGTTGAGCCGAATAACATTGAAGTCAAGATTTTTGTATTTAATCAACAACAATTGGAAGTCCTGTCCAAAGTGTTTCCGATCAGACTGCAAATTGGGCATTGAAATAATTTTTCGGTGTTTCGAGATACACGAAAACGTGGCATTTTTGAGGGCACACAACGAACAAAACTGGTTTCAGTTCATACCGAGTTATTTGAATTTGAAGTTGCTGCGAGGGCCCACATGAAAAATGCCATTTTTGCGCTTGCTCTAGACGTTTTGACTAGAAATGAGAGTAGTCTCGCAGAGATCATGAGCAATTTCGCTCGTACTCTGCCCACCGGATCAGCTCACTTGGAGCAGCAACGATCTCATGCCTTATTATTGGCTTACTAAGGAATGACCCGCACTTACCTTGGACTTTTGCAAAATGGGACCTATATGATTCGAAAGAGAATTTCACGAAGAATCCGAATCTGCTCTCCATTTTTTTGCTAAAAGAGCACTCACTGGCTGGCGAGAAAAATCTGCCTGTTTCTGCCACATTTTTCCTAGCAAGTTCATCTTCGGCGACCTGTATCTCAAGAACCACGCGTCCGTTGCAAAAGTGGTCAACTAGTAAGTTGACGCAAATTATCTCGTGAATAATTTTGTAGTTGATCGTCTATTTTTTTAAAAAATTAGTTTTCGAGTTATCGTCGCTCTGACCCCAGCACTAACATTTTTTTCTTGTCGCAATAGGAAAAACAGTTCATAACTCGAATCATATAGGTCCCATTTTGCAATAGCCCAAGGTAAGTGCGGGTCATTCCCTAGTTAGTGTAAAGAGATCCATGAGATAGATATTCACGCAAAACGTTTCAGATCAGTTGGGAACACTTTGAGCAGGACTCCGAAGCTTGTAAACGCAGCGTTGAATAGTTACGAGAACATCGAACTAACAAATGACTTACATACCTTTAATTTGCTTGTTCATACACTTCGACATTGAAGAAAGTCCACTCACTAAAGAACAATTCCTAAAGAAACCGAAAGTGGGAAATTTGGCAATAAAATCTGAGAAAGTATATGTTCAATGTCTTAATTGTATTTAAAACCGTGAAAAATTGTATTAAATTGCGCTTCATCGTCGGCGGATATGTAAAACACAAAATGGAGCGCTGTGTCATTCTTCAATACGTTTTTGATCAGCTCATTAGGGCATTTGATGGCATTTATCCATATATCCTGTAAAAAATTCTGAAGAAAATTTTAATTCAGAACAAAATTCATACGAAATCGGTTCGGTGATTTGTAGAAATACTGATTACTCAATAATTTATTTCACTGCAATCGCGCTCTGTTGAGAAACTCGTTTTGCACTGCAAATTGCAATGACCTAACGGCCGAGTTTGAAAAGTTTGGCCACATTTTCAGTGGAAAACAACTAAAAATTACTTTGCGGCCGAGAAACTCGGCCATATTAGGAACAGAGCGTATTGCAGAGAAATGCCGCGATGTTTATAATTAAGAGTTTCCATCAGCGGGTCCCTATTAGTTCAAACTGGTTCCGTTTGCCTCATATCCAAGCCGTCAAAATTTTTCAACGACCCGACCCGGCCTGGCCGTAAAATCACAAATATGGAAAACACGTGTGTTCTCTTTTGCTGACAAGGAGCCTTCATTTATGGTAGAATTTTTTTACAAATTGGCTCACAAAAAATTCACCCGAACTGCTGCACCGAATGCATCACTTACTAGCTTTAAAAATAATCTCACATTGTCCAGGAACGACTGAAAATGTGTAGTATCATGTTTTTATTTAACCTTGTTACAAATAAACTCACCTTAGGGGTTGTTGTCGGGACGTCGGTAGAAGTTTCGGAATCGGCAACCGAAACAGCCACAGTCAGAAGTATACATAGACTCAGCGCGGAATGAAGAACCTTCATCGCGGAATATGAACATTTTCTTTTCTGCTCGCTATTTATACAGTTTATTTTTTCCCACGCTGTTCAAAATACCACATTTCATTCTTCTTGAATGCCATCCTAGCATGTTTTTTTTCGTTTTGATCTTTTGGAATTGCATCCGAGAAAAATATGGACTGGTCAGCATTACTGGATGTTCATGGATAAAAGCTATTAGAACTGATAGGACACAGCAAACATTCGTAATCATTGGAACCATCACCGTAGCATGAAAAATGAAAAGATTTATAACTGTTACACGGTCTCCAGAGCTGATAATACCGTTTTCCGACAGAATTGGTTTTGAGAATGAAAAATCACGTAAATACAAGCATTTTGAGCGCTCGAAAAACTACCGAAAAGCAACTGAAATTCGCGCAGTTTTAGCCAAAAACGTTCAAACGGATAAATTTGATTTGCGACTTGACCAAATTTAACGCTCTCAAAAATTCGTAATGGTCTATACAATCGGTCTATCGAGAGACAAATGAGAAATTATCGGTTTTTCGTGGCTAATCTGACAAAAAACACAAATTTTGCTGTTAAAATTTAAATTTCGCGCCAATGTGTCGCTCTATTGGCCGGGTCGCACTTGCGCCCACTGTCAGCTCTCGAGACCGTGGTTAAGCCTATGAAGTATTACACGGGGCCGTGACGAGTACATCGAAAATTAAACTTCCGCCAACGGTCGACTGCGTAGCGCCCCTATCGTAAAGCATTAGGCCAAAGCGAAATTTTTGAAAATTTTATTAGAGCGCACTTGCGCCAGTGTACCATCTCGCCACGACTCTGTGTATTATACAGGTAACGTGAATTGAAAGCTAAACAGTAAACACTCGCTTCAGGACGGACTTCAACTATCTAGCAAACTGTAATTTGGTCGAGGAGCTTAACAAAGAATTTCATGATCATGATCTTTGCTTCAGCTCACAGAACAACAATGTTGTATCTCACGCTATTGAGATCTCTCGGATGTTTGTTCCTGGTTCACCTACGTGCATCATGAAAATCTATATGATGTTTTGAAAACATGCCTGAAACTGTGCAAGAGCCCGTTGTGCACAAATGGGCGTGGCCAACTAAGACGAAACAGCAGTATGCACAAGAGAAGGCAAAAACCAAAAGACAGGTGAAGCTGAAAATATTTGAAACTACTTGCACACACACAGGCGACACAAGTGAGTAGCGATGAAATGGAGTTTTGTTTCCAATAAAAAATCCTCGAATTTGTCGAACACTCAAGAGAACCGTGATATTTTGATCGGAACTGTTGAGGTGAACGAAAAGTATCATTTTGTATTTGCCGCAGCTATGACTCTATTATATTTCTGGATGATTTTGAGGAAAAAGGTGATATTGTTGGTCCCTAATCAGTTGAAAGTACTTTTCTAGACGCACAACTTCAAAACGCTTCGCTATCAGCATAGACTCATGTACTGGTGGCTCACAATATTCATTGCTCACACATTGATACCCAATATGTTGAGAACGTTGAAGCGTCCAATTCTAGTTTTCATCGCTACGTTCGCAGTTGAATACTTTGGCTGCCTTTTTGCTCTAGTTTCCTGGAACATGGCCATCGCTTTCATCATGATACAAATTCATCATTTATTCACAAACGACTCGGACTATATTCGTTTTCATGGATATGCTCTAAAAGGACGATCTCTCACTTTGTTCATGATCAGTATCCTAGTTATTTTCATTATTGATTTGTCCGTTGAAGTGATGTACTCGCTTGAACTCGAAACGGACACGTTTAGAGTGGTATTTTGAAAGTTGTACTTTATTTCTAATAGTGTCTTTTTTACAGAGAATAAGTGTGATGGATACGGCTATGCTGATTCTCGTTTGGCTGGGACTATTGATCTGGTTTGTGTGGTGGATAGTTGTGAAAGAGCGAGAATTTGTATCCTCTGCCAAAATCTGTTATTTCCTGAACGGTCTTCTTCAAGTCGGCCTCTCGACAGTCCGTTTCTCGACTGTAAAAACGCGCCTTCCTCCGGCACGGTTTTCTTCTACTCCGACTCAGATACAACAAGCGAGATCTTACAGTACAACGGTTTATTATAGAACAGATTAACGAAATATAAAAGATTACAAAAATAAAGGGGATAAAAATAATAAGGGACAGGTCCTTGAGAAAAGGGACGACTAGCGGTGCATCCTCTCTCTCCAACCCAACTGACTTCTCTCCGACTTGCTGGCGCTCCCTCTGCAGGAGGGAGCAGACACAGCCAGTCGGGGGTCCATCGGGTAGCGCCACATGGCGCCTGTCACATCCCCGCTCCCCGAGAGCTGCGTCGTCCCGACGCAAAACTCTCCGGGACGGAAGGCTTTCAGGGCGACATGATGTTGGGGGTAGATGCTTGATGATTTTGCAAGTAGAGGACAATCAGGAGACATGCGGAAGGGTGGAGGATGGTTGGCCTGTTACATCCCCCCTCCCCCAAAGCGGCGACGTCTCGGCGCCAGGTTAGGCCAACTTGTTGTCGGTTCCCACCAGAGTTGGTCGGCTTCATTGCCACAGTCTCTTTGGCTCTCTGGCTCCTGTGCGTATTGCGAACTGTTCGGAGCCGTTGGATTTATCATGTGCATTCTGGCGACGGAGAGTATTGAAGTAATAGACGGTAACCTGACGGTTCTGGATACACGTGGGGCCCTTTCCCACTCGGCGCCGGTTGAGTCGGGTTCATGCTCGTACTCCTCTACCGTTTCTTCTGTGGTTTCGTCATCGTAATCTTCTTCTCCATGCCACTCATCAAGTTCCTCAACCTTATGCTCTTCGTCTTCAAGTTCTTCGTCGTCGAACTGTTCGTCCACGAGCTCTTCGTCTTCCAAATGATCCTTATCGGGGATTTCCTTTTCGAAGTCAATGACGACTCTGCAGTGCGAGTCCTTGCGGGTCCCAATCTCTTGGGGGACGAATAATCCTTCATTGGGTCCATTCCAGCACCAGTTTCCTTGCTGATTGTAGCTCTGCCGGAAGTTGTTCCGGTTCCAGGTCCCTTGAGACGGGTAGTCTTGTTGGGGGCTGGTTGGATACCAGTTCCCTCGGAACTGACCCTGGGCCCTGGGCTGCTGTGGGTAGCCCTGGAATCCCATGTTCTGGAGGGCGGCGATCATGGTGTCGTCCTCGTCCTCGGCCTCCTCGATCTCCAGAAGTCTTTGGATCTTCTCGGCCTCGGCCGTGGCTTCGCGAAGAGTGGTTGGCGCCTTCTGGAGTTGGCGCAGTCGGCTGCGAATCTTTTTGTCGGATCCGTTCACGAACTGGGCCGCGAGTAGTCGGTCCCTCGTCTTGGAGTAGACGTCGTCGTAGGCGTAGTTTCCGACTGTCCTGATCGCTTCGGCGAATTCGGATGGAGTCCGGGATCCCTGTGTGAGGGTGGTGAACTCCTGCAGCGCGAGTTCCTTGTCGGCTGGGCAGTTGTGGGCTTCCACTAACCCTCTCGCCATCGTCTCCCATTCCTTGGTGACCGATTCCGGGAGTGCGTTGTACTTGTGCAGGGCCGGCCCGCTCAGATAGAACGGGATGAGTTCCGTGGCCAGTTTCTTTGGCACACCCGTCCGGTAGACGATCTTCGAGTACGACTCCAGCCACTCCTTCAGTTCGGAGGATTTTCCCGACGAGAACTTCGGGATCCTCGGGTCCAATATCTTCGTGATCTCGGACTTCTGCTTCCAGCCTGGGCGTAGCGCCACCTCATCGGGCGCCGCTGGGGTTGTGGGGTGGCTCATCCTGTGGTCGGACTGAGTCTCCCTCCCAGTGGTGTAGGGCGACGTGAGGTCGGTCGATGGCCAACCGCCTTCCCACTGGAACGATGGCGGCGATGGGGCTTGGCCGGGTTTCGGAGTTGAGAAGCCTTGGGTTCTGTATCCTTGTCTCTTAGCTATCTCTAGCTAAGGGGGTCTACTAATCCTCCGGCTTCCTCTGCTCGCTGCCTTTCTTTTCTGGCTGCTCGCAGGAGTTTTCTCCCTTATTGCTGACTTCCCGTAAGTGGGGTCCACAACAGGGGTGTGTCCGTTTCGGGGCCTACCTGTTCTCGGCCCACCGAAGGGTACTTCCTTCTGGTGGTGGAACCAGTGGCTTCTCCGACCGGCTAAACTAAAAATTTCTTGTTAAACCGTTTGGCGGTTCCGCAAGATTCGGTGGACTCTTCCGCGGGCTCGCGAGGCTGTGCTCGGGGTCTCCGTTAAAAAGCCACCTAGGGTTCTGCTCTTCTTTTCTTTCTTAGGACCTGTCTTGCTGAATGGGAAAAAGAAACAGGCTTATACAATTTAACTATATCAAGAAAGTGTGCAGAAATCCTAAGACCCTTTGGGTCAACAAACGAGTGGGGGACGAGAAGTTGGGACTAGATGGGACGCTAAAAGAGAAAAAAGAAAAGAGAAGGACAACCACTAACTTTCTATGAAGTCGTTGTTGTCGTGTCGGTCGCTTCCTGCAGTCCTTCCGTCACTTCGTCACTTGCTCACTCCGTCACTCCGTCTGTTCGCTGTTCTGGCTTGCTGTGCTGACTGAAACCTGCAAATTGAGAGCATCATTGGGTGGTGGGGATGGGGGGAATTTTGAGGAATGAATGGATTCTCCTTTCCGCCGATCCTTTAAACTGTGGGCGTGGCTCCCACAGGTGCGTGGGATGGGTTTTCATCGTCCGTTGTTTACACCATCCGATGTCGCAAACATGTCGTTTCTCTGAATCTTTCCGCCCACGGGCGGTTGATTAATGAATTGCGGCAAGACGGTTCAAAGAGATGCTCACCCCCAGATGTAATTGTGGTACATCGGTAGGGAATGTCAGGTGTCGCATTTTCTGCGAATTGTTCAGAGTCACAGCCATTTATCACATGGCTCTGGCACGGCGGAGAGTCCCTTGATCTCCTACCGTAGTCCAGGTGTAACAAATGAGTTTTCTCTTCTGATAAGTTGGATGTTTGAATACTGTGGCCAAACCCCGGTAATTGGTGCTTTCACGTTATGGGTGCGTGGCTCAGAGTATCCCCCTAGTGTGCGTGTCTGCCGCCTACCGTACACGCCGGCGACTGAGTGTTTGGCCAACCCGAGGCCTGATGACGATCCGTGGTCAGTGGATCTAGGTTATTATGAAGAGGCGAGTTGACAAATCAAGCCTCGGACTCTTGAGGAAATGAAAATGAATTTTGAATCGCGGAATAGTGGTTCGCGGCACCGTAAAAATAATTTTGTGTCGTAGAGTTTCCCCCCATGGGAGCCTTGGCAAAACTCTGAGTCCTAATTTGGCTTTGGCTACAAACGACGGAGCAAGGTTAAATAGGTCCCACCTGGGCAATTTTTCAGCTTCCAGGGGCAGCCTAGCGGTATTTATACTGGAACTTTAGACCAATCCAGGTCGCTGGCGCAGGACAAAACAAACGGCCGATTTCGGTGCTTAAGGTGGTGTCCAGCCGGCCTAGCACAAAATAAGGCTCCTTTTCCTGGGTTGCATTGGGATGGGGCCCAGATGCTCTGGACACAGGAGTTCTTCTCCCCCAGGCGTCGTAAAAAAATGGGATAAAGATGATGCATAAGGAATAGGATGATGTAGCGGTCTATTGGGATGAGATATGATGAGAGGATAATATAGGGGTAGCCGTTTAGCCAAATTTTTGTTTTTTGGGTTCCCTACCTTTGGAGGGGTTGTCATCAGGGCGGGTCGAGCAAAGCTTATCTCCCAGACCTACTCGGAGCACCCTACAGGTTATGAAGCCTAATAGGGAGGGGTAAAGTGTGAAGGGATGGGTTCATGACTCCACATCCTCTCCAAACGGCTCGGACCATCTCTGAACTGGCGCTGGCCTCACTTACCACCTATCTCGAGGAGCACACACAAAGCAGAAGAGTGAGTTGTGGATGGGGAGTTTTCCTAAGGACTAATTGTTGCATCTGATGAGTAGGACTAGCACTTCAAGCTCTCTGGCGCAAACTGCGACCCTAGACGAGTTCGAAGGTGAAGGACCTCCATGTAAAAAAAAACGCCTTCCTCCGGCACGGTTTTCTTCTACTCCGACTCAGATACAACAAGCGAGATCTTACAGTACAACGGTTTATTATAGAACAGATTAACGAAATATAAAAGATTACAAAAATAAAGGGGATAAAAATAATAAGGGACAGGTCCTTGAGAAAAGGGACGACTAGCGGTGCATCCTCTCTCTCCAACCCAACTGACTTCTCTCCGACTTGCTGGCGCTCCCTCTGCAGGAGGGAGCAGACACAGCCAGTCGGGGGTCCATCGGGTAGCGCCACATGGCGCCTGTCACACGACGTTGAGGAACACCACAGAATGCGTTTTTTTTTCCAGATGACCACAATAACACATATCGACAGTTATGGAAGTGTGAGCACAGTTCGTGCGAGTCAGATAAACTCGTTATACTCCCCGTTCATCTGGATTCTCGCCGTTTTTCTCAGCGACCAACAGTCCGTTGTCAGATATTTCCAGCGGAAAAGAGCGAACGCGGGGGAAGCGGACATGCAGTTGTCCTACATTTCTGTTTGATTCCCCTGATTGAGCGCCTCAAAATTTGTTCATTATTCTGAGGCTTTGAGCCTTCGGCCCAAAGGCCCGGCTAGTCAGTGCACGGACTTGACCGCAGTGCTTTCATTGTGTTAAAAGTGTGCCAATTGATTATAAAATGTTGAATCATCGCTATTCAGTTTTGTTGCTTCAGTCGAATCGCTTTTAGTTTCGAGATTACGCAATATTAATTGTGGACATGTTCGGGTTGGTCACGTTTTGCGAACGTTCTAGAGCACGAAACACGGCTCCGTGACCCGTAGACACTCCGAAAATCCGAAAAAGTTTAGTGCGAAATTAGTAGAAAATGGAACTGCTGCGTCCTCCTCTTCTTCTTCTTCTTCTCCTTCTCGCCGTCGATGCGTTCGGCGCGAGAAAAGTTTTGAAAAAAGTTGGAAAACGATTCGTTCACAAATGGCTACTACCAGGTGCGTAACTTTTGCCCTACGAATCGATATTGATATTGTCGAGCGTTTGCGTTCAGCGACGTCGCAAGGCATCGAATTCTGGTTCAAAACGGCGGCGGAGATCAACGAGACGCGCGAGCACTCGGCTCAAGTGGTCAGTCAGCACCTGCTCCAGCAGTCCTCCACCGAGAATCTAGACTACGAGACGAGCGCCGAGATTCTGACCAGTTTGATGGGTTCGGACTTTGTCGGCGGCGTTTGTGGCGGTCCTCAGATGGAGTATTGTGAGTTGTTGTTGCTTTGGAATTGTAGAGTGTCGTCTCGTCGAGACTCGTCTCGCAAAGTTGCGAGAAATCTCCGTGTCTCGCCCTTGTGTCGTCTCGTTTTTTCTCGTACCTCCAAAAGTCTCGGTCTTTTCTCGGTGTCTCGTGCGATTAGAAATTTCATTTCATTTTTGAAAGGGTATTTCTATTTCTTCGCAGAAAATACACGTATCCAGTGCATTCGACCTCAATTTCTGCCAGTTGTTACAATTTTTCTTAAACATGTTTTCTGATACATTAAAAAATACATTAAGTATCATTAAGATTAAGATTAAGACACATTAATTTGATGCATTAAGATAATTAAGATAATTAAGATAAGATTATGAAGATAAGATAATGAAGATAAGATAATAAATTAAAGATAAGATAATTAAGATAAGATAATAATAATAACACATTTATTCTCTTCAGCCACCTAGGAATAAAATTAACAACAATAAAATTAACATAATGAAGATAAGATAATGAAGATAAGATAATAAATTGAAGATTATCTTATCTTAATTATCTTATCTTCATAATCTTATCTTAATTATCTTAATTATCTTAATGCATCAAATTAATGTATCTTAATCTTAATCTTAATGTATCTTAATGTATTTTTTAATGTATCAGAAAATATGGAAAAATTGTAAAAAATGGCAGAAATTGAGGTCGAATTCACTATTTTCTGCGAAGAATTAGAAGTACTCTTTCAAAAATGAAATTGAATTTCTGATCGGGCGAGACAACGAGAAAAGACCGAGACGACACAAGGGCGAGACACTGAGATTTCTCGCAACTTTGCGAGACGAGACGACACACTACTTTGGAAGTACAAAAAGCACCAAACGCTCGGTTTTCAGATCAACTCAACGACTATTGGAGGCGACAACGAGAGCAGTACAAGAGAAACGATCGGGAGGTATCCGCTGGGATCACATTATTTTTTTTGTCAAAACAAAACTCGTGTTGCAGATCCCGATCTACAAGATGCTTCCGGTCAACGACTACGTCTACAACTCGTTCCTCGTTTCGTTCAAACAATACTCGCGATGGGGATTCGCCGCGACAGTCACCTACGTCGTGCGAATGGAGCTGCTCGGCGGCACTCAGTGGTCGAACTACTCGTTGACGAGCATTCAGGAGGCGGGCGCGTGCACCGAGTACGGTACGGTCGGTCTGAACATGACCGAGGTGCACGTGACGTTGCACGAGACGGATCCGACGCGCAAGGACACGCAACAGAAAGTGATCAACCAAATCGACGACTTGTTCTTTGCCAAGTCAGTTTTGTCAATGGGGCGCGCTTGCATCCACCTGTCGACTCGCAGTTTCTTTTTTCAATTGAAAACCAGAATTCGTTCGTTTTTCTCTTAATAAACACTCTAATTTTGTTCTTTGCGAACCGTAGGGCGATTGTCTGAGTTAAGAGCATACATTTAAGCGCGAAACGGAGCAGATTCGTTCAGAATTGACCAAATTGAGGGATTTTGTCGAAAACTACTGAAAAAAACGGAGTTTTAACGATGATTTGCCGAATCGAGTTCCAGTCAACAAGGAGTTTATTGCGCGCATCTTTTAAGCGCTCAACGGAAGAACACGGAAGAATTTTTATCTTTTTTTAGAAAATTTTTACATGGAATGTGATCAACTGACGAAATGTATAGCAAAGTGAACTCTGCTCATAAAAAAATAATTGTAAATTTAGCTTTTCATACAAAAAAATTAAGGGCTAACCGAAGACGGAAAGACATTTTCACGGAACAACTCGAATAACTTTTTTGTATGAAAAGCTAAAATTACAATTATTTTTCGATGAGCAGAGTTCACTTTTCTATACATTTCGTCAGTTAAAATTTTCTAAAAAAGATAAAAATTCTTCCGTGTTCTTCCGTTGAGTTCTTCCGCTCAACCGTCGAAAAATATACAGAATTAAGATAATTGAGGCAAATTTTCGATTCCAAAAGGAAAAAAATTCTGTAATTTTCACATAAAACGTGTCGAAATTGATGACGATGCAGTTAACATTTCAATTTTTATTCATTTCTAATAATTCTCATAAGTTTTGACACTGATTGCTTCTGAAAAGATGAGGATAATGCAAAAAATGGGAAAATTGAAATAAAGAACTCTACAACAACGACGCTCCGGAATTACGCGTTACGCGCTTTGTTTAGCGCACGTGAATTGCGTGCCAAGGGAATTTTTGATTGGAAGGCTCGCGTTGCGTGTCAGGGGGGAATCTTTCTTTACACAATTTTTGCCTGCAGCCGTACCTACCTCGATGAGATTCCGTTCGAGTGGGTCAAATTGGCGGCACGACACGAATACCTAAAGGCCAGTGTTTGTCATGACGGAGCCCTTCTACCGTACACCAAATGTACACTCTTTTTTTGTTGTTATTGTTTAGTCTACAATATATATATTCAGACGAGTTGATTCGTTGGTGGAAGCGATTTCAGATCATGTGGCATCACAAGAACATGGAGGTGAGCCCGTGAATCCTGTGCCGACAAACTTTTTTTTTGCAAATTTCCAGCCAGGACCCGTGAAGATACAGCTGCTCGGCGGCGAATGGGACCGTTTTGTGTTCCGTGTCACGATGCGCCTTCAAATTGGCAAAGCAGCGGAGCGACCGATCGAAGAGTGGAACTTTAAGGTTCAAGTGCAATTTGTGAGTGTGTTCCCCGACGGTCCACACATTCGGATCACGTTTTGCAGAATGTGCACGGTGATCGCGAGTGGTACATTAACAAGTTTGAGGTGATGTGCCCGCCGATTTCCGCCGACAAAAAGTTGATGGAAATGAGTGCGCAGGCGGTGAAGGAAGTGATCGCATCCAGGTATTTGGGGTGGGCGGCAGAGATGTTGGGAATTCCGTGTTCCGTGTTCCGTGTTCCGTGTTCCGCGTTTTTTTGCAATATTTTTTCCGTGTTCCGTGTTCCGTAAAAAAAAATTTCCGTGTTCCGTGTTCCGTAGAAATAAGTTTTTCTCCGTTTTCCGTATTCCGTGTTCCGTATAAACTATATTTTCCGCGGAAAAATTCGATCACAAGTGGATTCCATTTTCAGTCGTTTTTTACTGTAGTTGTTTACTGTTGTGTTGTTGGTTTTGTTATTTTTATGAAATTTTCAGTAAAACTTTCACATGAGTCAAACAGCTGCCTTGTCAGTTAGATAATCGAATTAAACAAAAACATTATTTAAAAAAATCACTGGAATTCTCTTGAAAAACGCTTTTTTTTCCGTGTTCCGTAAAAATTTCCGTGTTCCGTGTTCCGTAAAAAATTTTTCCGTTTTCCGTGTTCCGTTTTCCGTAGAGTAAAAATTTTTTTATTCCCAACATCTCTGGTGGGCGGGCGGGCGGGCGGGCGTGCTGAACAATGGAGTGTCGTACAGAATCGGAAAGATGGTCGAGCACCCGGATATGTGGTACACGGCCACTCACTTTTTGAATGATTTCATTCTGAAGCCGGCGATTAACATTTTGAATTGTGGCAGTGACGACGGATCGGTGATGGAAGACGCTAGAGATCTTTGTGAGTTGAGCACGGTTTTGTCCGATCACTCCCGGGGGATACTGTAGCCCGTGGAAGTTCGTACACGCTTTCTTAGCTATTGTTAACTTCTAAGAGCCGAAAGTGCGCTTAGAAAAGGCTGGACGGAAAAGTTGTCAACTACAAAAATGCCGTTCACATTTTGCACTTTATTTTTGTAGTTGATCACTTTTCTGTCCGACCACTCGCGGGGATACTGTAGCCGTTAGAATTGAGCGCACGCTTTTTTAGCTATTATTAACTTCTAAAAACTAGAGCGCTCTTGGGAGGTGTTGTACAAAAAAGTGGTCAACTACAAAGCTAAAGTTCACATTTTGAACTTTATTTTTGCAGTTGACCACTTTTTCAAAAAGTCACGCCTAAGAGTAGTGTAACCCTTTGAAAGTCGACGAGCCAGTTGTTTAGTGGATTTGGAGCACAAATTCTGGGAGGCGAACAAGAAAACGAACGGAAAAATGGAGGGATACGATTTGGGCGGCGAGCAAGACATTTCGCCAATCGGCGAAGCGATGTGGCTCCAGCTGTACATTATTTGGACGCCGTTGCACGAGAACACGGTACACGAGTCGAAGTGGACTTTTCATCTGGAATGGGTGCGGAGCATCGTACTGTCCCCCCGACTGTTACAGTATCTTTTTCGGTTTCAGGACACTCGCCTTCAGTTTTATCACATTGTCAAGATGATTTTCGCGTGTCCGCAATCGGGCAAAGGCAACAAGTACTACAGTAGTCTGCGGCAGTACTGAAATGCCTCCATAATGAAGTTTTGTACATTTTATTCGTAAATTGTCATCAGAGCTCACTTAGAACTTCAAGACGCTTCCGAGCGCCATGCTTCAAAAGTTGTATGTATTTTGTATGTTTTCTTTTGAGGCTACTGTCCAAGACCAGAAAACTTAGTCTACAGTAGTCACCAGAGTTGAGCGGAAGAACACGGAAGAATTTTTATCTTTTTTAGAAAATTTTTTCATGAAATGTGATCAACTGACGAAATGTATAGCAAAATTAACTCTGCTCATGGAAAAATAATTGTAAATTTAGCTTTTCATACAACAAAGTTATTCGAGTTTTTGCGTGAAAAAAGGGGGCCAACGGAACAACTCGAATATAACTTTTTTGTATGAATCGCTAAATTTGCAATTATTTTTTTATGAGCAGAGTTCACTTTGCTATACATTTCGTCAGTTGATCACATTCCATGAAAAAATTTTCTAAAAAAGATAAAAATTCTTCTCTTCCGCTCAACTCTGGTAGCCACCCCCCATATATTGTCTATTCAATGCAACGTATCTCGGCTGTCGGTGGCGATATCAAAAAGTTGTAAACTGATGCAATAAGCAAAATGTCTTTCTGAACAATTTGTCAGTTGACAACTTTTTTATATCTCCACCGACAACCGAGATACGTGACTTTGAATTGACAATATCTAGAAAAATGCTACCTGCTTTCTTCCTCTTCACCATCAAACAAACTACACATTTTCACAAGCGCCAAAAAACCGAAACCAGTTTGTTTACGAAGCCGTTTCATTCCAACGCACACATATATAATTTCAGCTGGCTCTCAGCGGCTCAGCTTCGATTCGCACGCATTCGAGCGCCGTCATGTGCACCTGCACCGAGTGTATATAACTCGATTTTGTTGGCAACTTTTGGAAGAATGAATGGCGTTCTCAAAAACGTTTCATCCGCAACTTCTTCGTCGCTGCGTGGCCCTTCGACCATTCAATTCTCGCAACTTTTCACGGCGCGAAACGTCTACACCATCCCGGCCTCGGTATTCCTAATCTGTCTCTATGTGTATCTTTTGGCCGGCAAAAAAGTGCACTACATCCGTCCGTTCGTCCATTTCCACGTCATCATGCACTCGATCCTTCTCCTCTACCTCTTTTCCATCGCCATTCATTCGATTTGGCCGCAAATGGAAACTATGGCGCCAATTGCGCGAATCGCCACCTTCACCACCTCGTACTTGCTCGTTGTCGCTCAATTTTTGCTGAATTTGGTCATGCTCCAAGTTTTCTATCTCTTTTTCGCCGAGAATCGACAACATCGCGTTCGGAAGTGTTGTTGCAAGCTTCAGAGGTTGACAAATAGTTGGAAAACGCATTTGCACACTTTGAATCTGTTTCAGACGGTCAAAAATTTGGTTGGGAGCTGTAATACTCTTGATTTTCGAACTTTTACTCGTTGGTAAGTGCTTTTTCGCTCACATTTCGCAATTAGAGAGGACGTTTTGCAACTGAATCTGTTGTTCACCAGAGTTGCGCGGAAGAACTCAACGCAAGAACACGGAAGAATTTTTATCTTTTTTAGAAAATTTTTTCAAGAAATGTGATCAACTGACGAAATGTATAGCAAAGTGAACTGTGCTCATAGAAAAATAATTGTAAATTTAGCTTTTCATACAAAAAAGTTAAGGGCTAACCGAAGTCGGAAGGACATTTTCACGGAACAACTCGAATAACTTTTTTGTATGAAAAGCTAAATTTACAATTATTTTTCTATGAGCAGAGTTCACTTTGCTCTACATTTCGTCAGTTGATCACATTCCATGAAAAAATTTTCTAAAAAAGATAAAAATTCTTCCGTTGAGTTCTTCCGCTCAACTCTGTTGTATGTACACTATCGGTTTTGCAACCGATACGTTTCGTTAGACGTCCAGTTGCGAAACGTCCATTGTTTTAGTTTTACACTAGACACTTTGCGCAACTGATGTACGTTTCGCAACCAGACAAATTTTGTTTCGAATTCATCAGTTAACTAACTAACTTAGGCCTCGATTAAGAGTGCAGAGATTAATGTTTAGTTGCAAAGTGTCCATGACGAATCTTCCCAAATTGCCAAATCTTTTCCATTTTCCATGTGTTTCAGGATCGCCGCAACGCGAAATTCACGGACATTTGGTGGCAAGTTCCGAACTTTGGATCCCTCTGACTCATATTCAATTCCAGAAAATCGACCTATCCTGCGTAGTGTCCCATGCAATTATAGTCGCAATGTTGATTTGCTGGTTCACGTGGTGGGCGCTCGCCGGTCGGAACGCCAAATTGACAAATGATCAGATCGGGCACCTCGTCCATTCCGTCGCTTTCGTCTTTGTTTCAACGGTGAGCCTCGTGGCTTGTTAGTTGCGAAACGTCCGGGCGCCCGAAAAAACAACAGTTCTCTTTTCAGATGTGTCTAATAGTTCGCCCGATCGGCGAAGCATTGAGCAGTGCTCCAGACGACCTCATCCACGTGGCACTTTCGATTCACTCGCTCTATTACCTGCCATTCATATGGATACCATCGGCGTTTGTGACTGCCAATCCGAAACTTCAGAAAACGTTCGAATGGCAAGAAACGCGACAGATTGTCGAGTTCCACATGGTCGCCGCCTGATTTTGTGATTCTATAATAAAATTGTGATGTTGTAACTGTTCAGTTTGTCAATCATTTCTCCTTTTCTGCCAGCAAAACGATCCACTGCGCCCTCCCCCCAATGAGAAGGACGTTTTGCAACTAGCCATGTGTCTTATGCTCTTTTCGGTTCTTAGAATCGAACATTTCTCCTTTTCTGCCAACATGTGAATTTCCCAAACATTTCCGCCGTTTTATTCTCAGCGCGAGCCAATAAAAACCGGTCCGTTCTCAGTTGAAACAACCGTCATTGTGTTGCGAGATGAAGCCGCAGTTGCTGATATTGTTGGTCGTCTGCCTTTTCGTGTCCTCCGCCCACGCAGAAAATGTGAACTATATATCGATGCCACACCCGGGCTGTCATTGGACCGAATGCCAGCCGATCCGCGGCGGCAAATGCCCTTCGCCGAGCGAGACGAACATTGGGATAGACGCTAGTGAATGTCCGGATTTGAAGGGCAAGTGGCGGTGCTGCAAGGTCCGCACTTATAATCGCAAGTAATTGTTCTGGAATTGAATACATTGTTGTGCAACTGAAAGACACTTTGAAACCGTTCAAGAAGCTTCCAGTGGCACGGAACGCCAGCCTTCAAATCAAAAATTCCCAAACAAGGCGCGTAACGCGTTATTCCGGAGCGTCGTTGTTGTAGAGTTTCTCATTTCAATTTTCCCGTTTTTTTGCATTATCCCCATCATTTCAGAAGCAATCAGTGTCAAAACTTATGAGAATTATTAGAAATAAATAAAAAATAAAATGTTAACTGCTTCGTCATCAATTTCGAAACGTTTTATGTGAAAATTACAGAATTTTTTCCTTTCGGAATCGAAAATTTGCCTCAGTTATCTCAATTTTGTATATTTTTCGACGGTTGAGCGCTTAAGAGATGCGCGAAATAAACTCCTTGTTGACTGGAACTCGATTCGGCAAATAATCGTTAAAACTCCGTTTTTTTCAGTAGTTTTCGACAAAATCCCTCAATTTGGTCAATTCTGAACGAATCTGCTCCGTTTCGCGCTTAAATCGATGCGTTTAACTCAGACAATCGCCCTACGGTTCGCAAAGAACAAAATCTGAGTGTTTATTAAGAGAAAAACGAACGAATTCTGGTTTTGAATTGAAAAAAGAAACTGCGAGTCGACGGTGGATGCAAGCGCGCCCCATTGACAACTCGCTTGCGCATTGGAATGCTGGGGGGAATCAAGCACGCACGTTTTAGGTTTCAAAGTATCACAACGTCTGACAATTCCATTTCCACTCGAAACCCTCAATTTTCAGTCTGAAAACTGAAGCCCAAACCAAAAAATGTACGCATTTTTTGTCAGTCTGTGAATATCTCACGTCCTTTCGTCGTCCTGACCTACACTTTCTCCCATGCTTTTTTTTCTGAAAGCCAGCCTATAAAAGTGGTCCGTAAGAGTTGAACAACTCTCATTGTTTTGAGATGAAGTCCCGGTTCTTCATACTTTTGCTCCTTTTCGTTTTGCTCTCCGTCGCCGCACTCGCTGAGGATCGAGCGCCGCGAAGAACGAAGACGACGTGCCGATGGACAGAGTGCAAGACGATCGGCTACGCGGAGAGCAATCATTGCTCTTCGACCGAGAAGAACATGGGGATGGACAGTGGCGGATGTGTGGGACGAACGGCCAAGAACCGGTGCTGCAGGAGGAGACGCTACGAGACGCCACTCGAATATTGATCATCATCACACTCTTTTGTCAATAAATCTTGTTGTTGCTTTCTTTGTGAGGAGAACACGGAAGAATTTTTATCTTTTTTAGAAAATTTTTTCATGAAATGTGATCAATTGACGAAATGTTGAGCAAAGTGAACTCTGCTCATCGAAAAATAATTGTAAATTTAGCTTTTCATACAAAAAAGTTATATTCGAGTTGTTCCGTTGGCCCTTTTTTCACGCAACAACTCGAATAACTTTTTTGTGAGAAAAGCTAAATTTACAATTATTTTTCGATGAGCAGAGTTCACTTTGCTCTACATTTCGTCAGTTGATCACATTTTATGAAAAAATTTTCTAAAAAAGATAAAAATTCTTCCGTGTTCTTTCGTTGAGCTCTTCCGCTCAACTCTGGTGGACACATTGAAACCGTTGCTCATTTAGTCGGTTATGAGAAGCAGAAATCCGCTGGACAATAAAGGAAGGACACTTCGCAACCATTGCTATCGATTGACGTTTTGCAACCGGATGGGTTGCATGAATTCAAAAAAGGAAACGATGGAAAAAAAAGTTGAAGGGATCGGGGTGGGGGGTGAGATAATCCGTTGGCCAACGTGAACACGGAACTGAAAAATGAGTAGAGTTTGGCGGCGCTCCGAAAAATACAATATCATAGTTGCAAAGTTTCTCTCGGTTGCGAAACGTCGGGCTTTGCGAGAAACGCGTGAGAAATTCGCAGAACGAAGAAGTTTAGCCTCTGCGTGTTCAAAAAGAGCATCGGACACTGTGCAACCAAATGCCTAGTTGCAAAACGTCCGTCTCAATGCGGTACTACTGTAGATCTTTTTCAACAATGAAGAAAGGACGTTTTGCAACCCGACTCTCTTCGTTTCAATATATCTAGCACATTTTTCACTATGGTTACACAAACTTTCACACTTTCCAAAGGATTATCGCACGTCCGCCGCCCCGACCCCATTTTGCGAACTCATAATATCATTCATTCAACCCAAAAAATGTCGCTCATCCGCTTCATTTTCCTCTTCTCTCTAACTATTGTCTGTTTCTCGAAACTTGGCCAGTGCGATTCGGCTCCGCTAACCTTTTCAATAACTTCACTATTAGTCGAGGTACGCCAACTATTGTCACTTTCCCGAATGTTTTCCACCGAATTGCTGCTTTAGAAAGGCAAAACCGCGTCGATTTTGCTGTCCGAAACGGCGACGTATCGGAGAATCGTGAAAAACGGGAAAGGCGTCAAGACTGAGCACTTGTACCGAGTTTGCAATGGGAAGAACAAGACGACGTGCGGATATTGGCAGAATGTTAAGGTTTTTCGGCGAAGATTTGATAGCGCGTAGCCTGAATTGGCTCGTTTTCAGACAAAGAAGAAGGTGGCGAGTGGAGCGACTAGTTATAACAAGAAGAAGCGTGTGTTGGTGGTCAAAAAGTTTCGGGCAACTGACGCCGGCACTTATATGACTGGAAATAAGAATGAGACGATGGAAGTGAGCGTTTATTCCAATTAGATACTTTTATGATATTTGAATAAAGATTGTTGACATGTTCGCATGCGATTCATAAGGCTCCGAGCCGTAAAAGCCTAAAACGTGCGTACTTGATTCCCCCCAGCATTCCAATGCGCAAACGAGTTGTCAATGGGGCGCGCTTGCATCCACCCTCGACTCGCACTTTCTTTTTTCAATTCAAAACCAGAATTTGTTCGTTTTTCTCTTAATAAACACTCAAATTTTGTTCTTCGCGAGCCGTAGGGCGATTGTCTGAGTTAAAAGCATCGATTTAAGCGCGAAACGGAGCAGATTCGTTGAGAATTGACCAAATTGAGGGATTTTGTCGAAAACTACTGAAAAAAAACGGAGTTTTAACGATTATTTGCCGAATCGAGTTCCAGTCAACAAGGAGTTTATTGCGCGCATCTTTTAAGCGCTCAACCGTCGAAAAATATACAAAATTGAGATAACTGAGGCAAATTTTCGATTCCAAAACGAAAAAAATTCTGTAATTTTCACATAAAACGTTTCGAAATTAATGACGAAGCGGTTAATAATTCATTTTTTATTCATTTCTAATCATTCTCAAAAGTTTTGACACTGATTGCTTCTGAAAAGATGGGGATAATGCAATAAAACGGGAAAATTGAAATGAGAAACTCTACAACAACGACGCTCCGGAATTACGCGTTACGCGCCTTGTTTAGCGCAGCTTCTTGAACGGTTTCAAAGTGTCTTTCAGTTGCAAAACAATGTATTCAATTGAGAACAATTATTTGCGATTATAAGTGCGGACCTTGCAGCACCGCCACTTGCCCTTCAAATCCGGACATTCACTTGCGTCTATCCCAATGTTCGTCTCGCTCGGCGAAGGGCATTTGCCGCCGCGGATCGGCTGGCATTCGGTCCAATGACAGCCCGGGTGTGGCATCGATATATAGTTCACATTTTCTGCGTGGGCGGAGGACACGAAAAGGCAGACGACCAACAATATCAGCAACTGCGGCTTCATCTCGCAACACAATGACGGTTGTTTCAACTGAGAACGGACCGGTTTTTATAGGCTCGCGCTGAGAATAAAACGGCGGAAATGTTTGGGAAATTCACATGCTGGCAGAAAAGGAGGAATGTTCGGTTCTAAGAACCGAAAAGAGCATAAGACACTTGCCTAGTTGCAAAACGTCTTTCTCATTGCGGGGCGGCGTAGTGGATCGTTTTGCTGGCAGAAAGGAGAAGTGTTCGGTTCGGTTCTCACAGACTCGCAAACTGAACAGTGAAGAAGAGCCTAGGTTGCAAAACGTCCTTTGCGTTTTCGTAGTTTCTGCCGACAACATCTCGATCGGAAGCGAAAAGAGCAAGATGACATTCGGCTCTTGTTTATCACTCCTTTTCCTCCTTCCACCCACTCGCAGAATCTCCATTCAAGCGTGAGCTCTCCAGCTAGAAGCTAGAAGCCCCAGAGAGCTCATTTTCTATTTTTATGAGCATGAACTCTTCCGACGACGCGATTTCCCTGTTGTTGGGCCTAGATCTTGAGGAGGATCCTTCGAACACCTCGCTCCAAAACTCGACGGACGACCTACTGGCCGGGCCGTTATTCTTCGAGCTCATTCCGATCGCCGACAAATTCACAATTGTCTACCTTACTCTCAATGTCAACCTGTTTTTGTACATGACCGTCACCGAAAAGGTATCATCAAGACTCTACCGTAACGCACCACGAAAGTGATAATTTCTAGTTCGCCGAATTCCGCGTCTTTCACGACTATTGTGTTCTTGCATGTTTGAGCAACTGCGCGGCTCTCTTCCATTCGATTTTGGTTATGAGTTCCGAGAAGCAACCCGACGATCTACTCGTCGTTTACAAAGTTTGGATGGGCCTACAATATTTCGCACTGAACATGATCGCCGTTCAGCTAATGTTCATGTGTTTCGATGAGGTGCAGAAGAAAAAGTACACACTTTTGATGAGGTTCACACTTGTTCGACGGGTCTTAAAAGACGGAAAATGCGTGTGATTCAGGTTTCTAAAGTGGATAATATCCGCACTTTTACTCGGTCTCCAGTTCTTTTTCGACTTGTTCGGCCGCTCGCATAACTTTGTCATTGGCGCATGCTCACTGGTCTGTTCTTTGAACTTTTTCAGCTGCTCACCTCAATTATTTGCTCTCAGAAACTTGATATCATGTGCCTGACATCGTACGTGCTCATTATCGCATCGTTGATCACATGGTGCGTCGGCGAAAAGTGCTCGAAACGAAATATTCCGCTGAGCGCTCAACAAACCGCGCATCTTCTCAACTCGTCGATTTACGCGTTTCTCTTAACGGTACGGACCAGAGTTGAGAACACGGAAGAATTTTTATCTTTTTTGGAAAATTTTTTCATGAAATGTGATCAACTGACGAAATGTACAGCAAATTGAACTGTGCTCATAGAAAAATAATTGTAAATTTAGCGATTCATACAAAAAAGTTAAGGGCTAACCGAAGACGAAAGGACATTTTCACGCAACAACTCGAATAACTTTTTTAAGCGAAAAGCTAAATTTACAATTATTTTTCTATGAGCAGAGTTCACTTTGTTATACATTTCGTCAGTTGATCACATTCCATGAAAACAGGGGTGTGCGGAAAATTTTTTTCGGAAAATTTCGGAAAATCGGGTTTTCCGAATTTTTTTTTTCGGAAAATTTCGGAAAAATCGGAAAAATCGGAAAACTGATAGAGTGATAGACATATGCGTAAGTAGATCCTTGTTTTTGAGCGTTGAACTTGTGGCCGCAAAAACACGCTTTCTCACCGTTTTTCCGCCCAGTTAAATATACGTCCCACTTTCCCATTACGTCAGCTTTTCTGAAAAAACAACACAAATCGCAACAATCGGTTCATTAGAATGAGAAAAACGAAAGAAATTGCGTAAAATTTAAAAATCAAATTTAAAAAGACGCTCGCTGCTAGACCCTTCCAAAAATTTTGTGATGCGCCTTTAAAAAGCATACGGTGGTTTCGGACAAATTGACCTTGAATCCACACTAATTTTCCGAAAATTTTGCCGAACATTTCTCGGAAAATCGGAAAATTTCGGAAAATCAAATAATATTTTTCGCACACCCCTGCATGAAAACAATTTCTAAAAAAGATAAAAATTCTTTCGTGTTCTTCCGCTCAACTCTGGTAGGGACCTACAATACCCAAAAAAAAAGTTCAGGTTGGATTGACCGGCAAGATCCTCAATCAGGTGATTTTCTGGCAACCGCATGGTCCCAGCCCGACCACACTCGTCGTTTCCCTGCCAGTTCACTTCGCCTATCTTGTTCCCGTCACTTGGCCGTTCGCCTTTTACACTTGTAACTTGGAGTGGCTCAAAAAGTACGTGAATCGGCCACGCAAGGCTTCGGTTCAATGTGTGCAGCAGACGCCGGTCAGAAGGGACCGGGGAGGACTCATCGAACGGACCGTTTCACAAATCACCATCACTTTGGACTAACTATTGTGTTTTTCCGCAATTCCTTGTCGCTTTCCAGTCCAACAACGAATCATCTTGTTATTTTTATGATCATTCCCCTCCGTTGCCCCATAAATACACACCCGTATTCGTCCGATTCCCCTCCAAATCATGGTCAAATTCTTCCGCTCGCTTCTTCTTCTTCTTCTCGTTTTCACCGCCGACGCATCCGTCTTCTCGTTCTGCCGACACTCGGAATGCGCCGGCGATCCGAAAAGCGCTTGCGGTAACGATGTCGCCACGAGGATCGCCGTTTGTTCGGCCAGCGGATACATCTACAAGTGTTGTATTCAATGATGTCAATGTGTAGAAATTTTGAGCACTTTTAATGAAAACTTTGAGCATTCAAGTTGTTCTCTTGTTCTCGAACTTGCAGGTGTGTATACCGCGATTTTGGATAGTGGGAATCAGTGTTGAGCGGAATTCCGTCTTCCGTCTTCCGGGAAAAATTGTTCTTACCGTAAAAGAGTAATAGCTTTTTTAGAAGCCATTTACTAGCACCGAAGAACCCAGATCCAAAATGTTTGTTGCTTTAGTTATTTTTCACGGAGAAAAAAAGATTCTGCATTGTTTTTTTGTATGAAAAGTTAAATTTACAATTATTTTTTTCTATGAGCAGAGTTCACTTTGCTCTACATTTCGTCAGTTGATCACATTTCATGAAAAAATGTTCTAAAAAAGATAAAAAAATTTTCCGTGTTTTTCCGCTCAACTCTGGTAAACATCATTGGATCCCATACGGATGGGATCCTCCTGGATTCAGGTGCCTTTTCCAAAATTAGACGAATTGTATGTTTATTGAACTTCCAGATTTTATGATTCCCACATAATCGAGAAGAAAGAAGCCTGTCCGTTTTCCAGCCAAAAAAGGCCGCGAAATTCCTCCAGTCCAACATGATAAAGCTTCTCCATTTTCTTCTCGCCTTCCTGCCCGTCTTCGGACACGTCAACTGTTGCGATCAATACTTTGAAGTGAGCGATTTTTTTTACGGAACACGGAAAACGGAAGACGGAAGACGGAATTCCGCTCAACACTGGTCCCTGCCGAATCAGCAGAGACACGGATTCGCAGACCGGGAACTTGTGCCGTCTTTCAATCTAGTTCCACTTGTTTTCAGTTCTCTAAATGCATTTAATTTGTTTTTTGGGTTCCCTCGTTCTCGCTTGCCACCGTAACGGAATCAGTGTCGGAAGACCGAGTATCTGCATAGTTTCAAGTTGTGTAATGTGTCCATTTTGAGTCGTCAAAATCAATTTCATTTTCATTGATGCTTCAAACCGGTATCTTAGTGAGCCCTCTGTATGCCTCAACGTTTTTTGTTCCCAGAAACATTCCATTTCCCCCCATCCTTTCCGTGCTCAAGCCCATAAAACACATAAAAGGCGCCGGTCCGCCCGGTTTCGCTCACAGCCGTTCTTCTAATAAATTTTTAATCATTCTTTTTGTTTGTGTACACTTTTGGATCACCTGAAAAGTCTGTCAGTTGCACTGAAGTAATGTGGGCACGTTTTTCCCTAGTACCGTTCATTCATGACGATATATCTCGGCTGTTAGAACAGATATCAAAAAGTCGTCAACTGATAAAATGTTCAGTAGAAAATGGTGTACATTTTGTCAGTTGACAACTTTTTGATATCTCTACCATCAGCTGAGATACATTGATTTGAATAGCCCGGTATTTGGGTACCCGTCTATTCTTCCAACTATTGTTGTCTTCTGAAAATCAAGACCGTACAGTACTTTGTTCGTTTGCCAAACAAATAACCGGTCAAAGGTTGATCTCTGGGCGCCCAACGGCACTTGAACAAAAAAAGAAATAAGACAAATTTCTCAAGTATCCTCTCGGGAAATACATACTTGATGAGAAGGGAACTCGATAAAAAAGTTTCCCCCGCTCGCAAAGTTCTCCATTTTCCCTTTTTTTCAGCGGCAACATGAAGATTTATCTTTGTTGCGTCGTCATTTTAACTATTTCAACGGTTTTGGCTCAAAATGAGACAACGCCGGCGGAGAAGAAGAAGATTTCCATGCCTCAATTGGCTCCGCCGCTTGAGGTAAATCTTTAGAAGCTTGAATCTCGAGAACCAACGCCCACATCAAAAAGTTGTCAACTGCAAGCTTGTTGCAATTTTTGTGCTCTACAACTTTGTAGTTGATCGTTTCGCTCAAAAATAGCTCATTCTCCACGTATGACCATCTTTTTCAGCTGGACCCCTCGTGCCGAGTCGTCAGTTGCTACCGAAACATGCTGAACATGTCGAACGAGTGCGAGAAGGGAGAATTCCTTCACAGCTTCAAAAAGTGCGAGAAAAAGTTCTTCCGCGAGGATACTTGCTGCAAAAAAAAGACGGCAAACTGACGTTGTGGATGATTTCTTTTATGATCTTCATGAAAATAAATTCATTTTTGTCGGTTCGCTTGTTTATTTCTTGATGCCGCGTCCAAAGTCTTGGAAAAGCCGCAAATCTCGCGGATTTTGCAGTCCAAAATCGGCAGAAAATTGCTGGAAATCCGGGGTGCGCACAGCTGAACGAGTGTTACCGTACACCATAAAACTACGGTATTTTTTTTGAAAAAAATTTAAATTTCTCGACAATTTTTGAAAAATTTTTCAAATTTCTTGGGTAAATTTTTCAACGGTATTTTTTTTGAAAAAAATGTAAATTTCTTGACAATATTTGAAATTTTTTTCAAGTTTCTTGACTACATTTTTCAACGGTATTTTTTTTGAAAAAAATTTAAATTTCTCGACAATATTTGAAATTTTTTTCGAACTTCTTGGGTAAATTTTCAACGGTATTTAAAAAAATTTAAATTTCTCGACAATATTTGAAAAATTTTCAAATTTCTTGGGTAAATTTTTCAACTTTTTTTAAAATTTAAATTTCTCGACAATATTTGCAATTTTTTTCAAATTTCTTGGGTAAATTTTCAACGGTATTTTTTTAAATTTAAATTTCTCGACAATATTTGAAATTTTTTTCAAATTTCTTGGGTAAATTTTCAAAAAAATACCGTAGTTTTTATGGTGTACGGTAACACTCGTTCAGCTGTGCGCGCACCCCGGATTTCCCGCAAATTTCTGTCGACTTTGGACTGCAAAATCCACGAGATTTGCGGGTTTTCCCGAGACTTTGGACACCGGCATTATAGACAATTGGGAATTAGATGCGAAGTGAGTAGAACGAAACCGACGAGTGGATAGTGGCGCCGCTCTGGAAGCCGATAATACTCGCCGACGTGTGCGTCATCTGCACTTGCATCCGCATTTCTCGAACTTTCGCTCTGCGACGCGCACGTTGAAACCACGTTTGTACGGCCGCAAAATGGCTGACATAGACGGAAATGATCCACAAAAAGGGCATGTAATAGAGGGTTGCGACGAAATTGTTCGCAATTATCGCCTCTTCCGCGTTGCTGGCGCCGCCGATCTGCTCGTACACGGAAATGACGGACGATGTCTGCAAATCAGTGTTTTGGTTGTTAGTAGCCTATAACTCTGGTAATTTTCGGCAAGTTGCCGACTGGGAGCGGCATCCGTGCCGTTTTCCGCGGCAATTCGCTGTAAGGGTGCCGATTGCGTGCCTGCTACGCGCTCAACCCTTGCTACTTCCTTGCCACAACCGAAAATTACCCGAAAAGTACCGCATACCATCAATGATATCATAGTTATTGTAGAGTTCAAAAAATGACAAATTTTGACTTGCTCCACAGGCGGAGACGTTGCGCGAAAGTGCCAGATGATGAGAAGGAACGAGATGACGATTTGGAGTGCGATTTCGAACGGGTTCACTATGATTGTGTACAGTTTCGGCGATCCGATCTCCAGAATCATCGGCGCTGAAAATAGACGGGATTTTGAAGTTTTAAAACCGTCAACTTGCAAAGCAGTGTGGGAAACTCCAAAAAGACTAGAAAAGCAACGAGGAACGAAGTTACAGTTGATCTGAAAATACGGTTTTTTTGGTAAATTTTCTAATTTTGTTCGTACCTTTGAACGACGAGATGAACCGTCGGCACCGTCACATATTTGTGTGCGTCTTTGAACAGAAAACACGTTTCGACGAGCACCAAATTGAGGAGCACAAAGTTATGGCTCAAAATGTACGGAATCACTGGGACCAGCACGAGCTCGATCGCTTTTTCGATGAAAGTTGTATCGAAAATGTGTCGCCAACTGAATATCAGTGTGGAGCACATTGAGCAGTACATGAGGAAGTGAAAATGCGCGAAATTGGCGAGTTGTGAGCACTGAAACCGAAAAACATCATTTTCCCCGCGAATTCTACAATATCTACCTGTTTCGACACGATTTTCCCGGCGTATAAGAGCAAAACGCAGGCGGAAAAGAGTAGATGAGGCCAGGATTTGTGGAAAGTTTTATAGGTGACGCCCAACTTGTCAAACATTGTAAAATTGTGTTCATCCGAATAATAGAGTTGCATAGTTGAGGCGAGTTTCATTAAAAGTCAGAATAAAGTTGGGTAGAGCACGAAGAAGTGATTTATTATTTATCGAAAAGCGACAGGTGATCGCGATATTGTGTGTCAAAGTTATTTTTGATTAAAAATCAACTCGGCCGAGCAACTATAATTAGGGGGTGTGTGAGTGAACTTTCTAGGAAAACACGTTGGGCCTAGAAAATGCACGGCCACAACGTGTAGCGCAGAGATGTTGGGAATAAAAATTTTACTCTACGGAACACGGAACACGGAAAACGGAAAACGAAAAATTTTTTTTTTACGGAACACGGAACACGAAAAAACTTATTTCTACGGAACACGGAACACGGAAAACGGAAATTTTACGGAACACGGAACACGGAAATTTTTTTACGGAACACGGAACAATGGAACACGGAACACGGAACACGGAAATTTTTTTTTACGGAAAACGGAAAACGGAAATTTTTTTTTTACGGAACACGGAACACGGAACACGGAAAAAACTTATTTCTACGGAACACGGAACACGGAAAACGGAAAATTTTTTACGGAACACGGAACACGGAACACTGAAAAAACTTATTTCTACGGAACACGGAACACGAAACACGGAAATTTTTTTTTTACGGAACACGGAACACGGGAATTTTTTTTTTACGGAACACGGAAAAAAGCGTTTTCAAGAGAATCCCAGTGATTTTTTTTAAAATAATGTTTTGTTTAATTCGATTATCTGACTGACAAGGCAGCTGTTTGACTCATGTGAAAGTTTTACTGAAAATTTCATAAAAATAACAAAACCAACAACACAACAGTAAACAACTGGCTACTGTCGGCCAATGGTCATGTCAAGCCATTGTTCCTTCTCCCACCCACGTTCCCCCTCTTTTTCTCTTCTTTCTTTTTTGTTGTAATTTTATTCCTAGGTGGCTGAAGAGAATAAATGAGTTATTATTAACTACAGTAAAAAACGACTGAAAATGGAATCCACTTTTCACGAATATGGTCCGAATCCGAAAATTTTCAAATTTTGACCACAAAACGTCAATCAAAATAATCAAGAAAAAAATAAAATTTGTGATCGAATTTTTCCGCGGAAAATATAGTTTATACGGAACACGGAACACGGAAAACGGAAAAAACTTATTTCTACGGAACACGGAACACGGAACACGGAATTCCCAACATCTCTGGTGTAGCGCCGGTCCTTCAAGGATTGACGATGATCTCGACGGCATTGATCTCTCGGAAGTGTGCCGCCGACGTGGAATCCGGCTGAAATTGACGGACAATAGCTCGGCTCGGCCGTCGAAACCAGTCCTGGACGAGGTCGGAATGGCACAGAACTGCCGAAACGATCCAGGCGTGCGGGATGAAGTGGACCGATTGGATCGGCAGGCGCAACGCCAGGATCCGAGGGTCCGAGTGCAGTTGGTCGATTGTGTGGATTGCGAGGGCCGCCTCAACAAAACGGTCTATATTCGCAGTGAGCTTTAACCAGTCCCAACTTCCAAGCGCTACAATAATTTTCAGAGTGGTCGTGGACAAAAAGTGTCAATTACAAAAATCAACTACTATTTATGATCTTCAATTTTGTAGTTGACAACTTTTTAGTACAATAGCTCCTAAAAGTACTGTAGCTCTTGAAAGCTCACCCATAAATTCATGAGGCTTTCTAACTTTGCTAGCTAGAAACCGGGTTCGCCGAGAAATGCTAAAACGCTTGGAGTACAAATGTTTTCAAGACAATCGGCATATGGAAAAGGGGCCTATTGATGTCTGGAATTTCAAAAATTGAACTAAACCTGGTCCAGACATATTGTCAAACGATTTCTCTTCAGTTGAGTCTGTACTGTTTAGAAACATGGTCATAGCGCAAGAATGAAACATTTTCGGGTAAAATGTGCAACTACAAAGTTGTAGAGCACAAAATTTGCAACAACTTTACAGTTGACAACTTTTTGATATACTTATTGGTTCTCAAGATATAGGTCTCCAAAGATACGGGATTTTTCGTTAAGACCTTTGGCTATGTAACGTAACTTATTCAATGTCACAAAACACTTTTTCTCACCCATGAAGCGACGACGAGCACAATCGCATGCACCGAGTGTCCAATCTGATCGTCGCTGAGCCGCAATTTGCGTCCCGAGTGCTCCCACCAGCAGTACCACGCCAGCAGCATTCCGAGTGAGCAAGTCATGGGCAAAAGTGACGACGTGTCTATTTTCTGGAAAAAAGTTGCATGAATATCGTGTACAGGTACAATATTACCCACAATATTCGTCGACGAAGCCGTAAAATCGAAGGTGCCGTAGATTCTGAGCACAATTTCGACGATCAACAATAGCGCGGCTCGAAGGGGCACTTGGTAGGTTCTAAACGACCAAATTGTTGACAATTTCTCCATTCTTGTACTAGAAATCGATGAAAACACAAAAAGTGATCGAAAAATGAGTGGAAATCAGCGAGCAAATTCTGAAACCGCCCGGCGTTAGCCAAGTTGCCGCATGAGTGCTGACTGGAAGCGGCATCCGTGCCGTTTTCCGCGGAAATCTGCTGTAAGGGTGCCGATTCCGTGCCTGCTACGCGCTGAACCTTTGCTACTTCGTTGCCACAACCACCCTGCTACCGTTGCTGCTCCCGTGCCGCTCAAAAACCTTGCTTCCCTTCTATCCCACTCGTTTCTGTTGCACGCCCGATCCATGCTGATGCCATGCCGGATCCGTGCGTGACACATGCTCACCCCATACTACCCGTAGCAACTTGCTGTTCGCTTGCCGCTCGCGCGCCCCACGCTTGCCGAAAATTACCTGAGAAGATTATGCGCTTACCGGTCCGTCCAAAGTTCGTAAAAGCACCCACGATCGTCGATCTCGAGATGTTTGTCCGACGAGAACAGATAGATCATTTGGAAAATGAGCATGTTGAGCAGGAACTGGCACATGTAGTCCAAAACGGCATGACTCGTCCAGATTAGGTAGAAAATCGGGGAGAGCGGGTGGATTTGAGGCAGACAATCGTGGACAATGATGGAGGCGCCGACGAGCAACACGTTGAGCCACATGAGCAGATGAGAGTGGACGAACGGGTAAAAGTAGAGCGTCTGAAAAGCGGTCAGTCGTTGTGAGAGCCCCAAAAAGTCACCTTTTTGTAGAGAATAATATAGAAATACATGGAGGCCGCGAGTCCGACGAAGAGCCAACTTTGTACATTGGGCAAAGGGAGCAGCAAATCGTCAACGAGTATTGTCGCATTCGAGAATGCACCAGTGATATTGTCCTCTTCTGCTTCTGCTTCTTCTTCTTCTTTACCATCAATCATCAAATACGACACGTCCATTGTGTTGAGAGAAAATGAGAGGAAAAAAAATGTGAAAATCTCGGCGCGCTCGGCGAAATGATGGGGTTTTGTCCGAAGAAGTAAGGTAAACAAGTTGGCATTTTAATTGGGGAGCATTTTAAGAGAAAAGGCGACGATAATTGATGCTGAAATTCGGCTAGATTCTCGTGGACATCAGAGTTGAGCGGAAGAGCTCAACGGAAGAATTTTTATCTTTTTTAGAAAATTTTTTCATGGAATGTGATCAACTGACGAAATGTAGAGCAAAGTGAATTGTGCTCATAGAAAAATATTTGTAAATTTAGCTTTTCATACAAAAAAGTTATTCGAGTTGTTGCGTGAAAATGTCCTTCCGTCTTCGGTTAGCCCTTAACTTTTTTGTATAAATCGCTAAATTTACAATTATTTTTCTACGAGCACAGTTCACTTTGTTATACATTTCGTCAGTTGATCACATTTCATGAAATAATTTTCTAAAAAAGATAAAAATTCTTCCGTGTTCTTCCGCTCAACTCTGGTGGTTCCAGGGCCACCAAACACACTTTTCAGACTAGTTTAGAGCGGGTTTTATCATCTATTTTCAAGAAAAGTCCGATCAGGAACCCTTGTTTTTCCGAGGCGAATCCTTGTTTTACAATAAATAGTACCATAGTACATCTGCCTGGCCCTATTTAATAATAAATTATAAACCGTTATTCTAATGCTAGAAGTCAGCTCTTCCTCTCTTTCTCTCTCTCTGTCTCTGACGTTATTGCTCTAAAAATTGGCCCTCGAGTTCAAGGTCTTCAAAGATTGCATTCAAATATATATTTATTATTAAGCCGATCGATTCTCAATTGCGCCGACAACAGTAGTGTTTCGAAGTGCCTCGTTTGAGAAAGCAGACGCCGGTCTGTCCGGTCCACACGAAACGAGGCGGGCAACGGGCCGGAAGGGTGCTGTTCATGCACCGAGTCCACTGGCAATCGCCCTGTTGGATGACGAAGGAGCTCGCGGAGGCGACGAGAAGAAGAAGAAGAAGAAGAAGAAGTTTGAGCATGTTTGCGGGGGGGAACTGTGACGGACTGCAGGGAATCGGGGGGTTTTATGGAAACGCTGAGGCGATATTTTATGAGCTTGGGAGCGGAGAGAATTGAAGAATACCGTGTATCTCAGCTATCTGTGAAGATATGAAAATATGGTCAACTGATAAAATGTGCACAATTTCCTGCTGAACATTTTATCAGTTGACAACTTGTTGATATCTCTTCAGGCAGCTGAGATAGCTCGCTTTGAACAGACGGTGCTCTTCTATTACAGACGATATTGTCGCTTTCATGCATAAATCTTTATTCGACAATTACAAGTCGCTCAATTCGTCGTCGGACAACAATAATACTTCTTGGCGCCCGGCATGAGAATGCATCGGTCCGCCTTTCCACTCCACTCGAATCCGGTCAGACAAATCTTTTTGGGAACGCCGAACTCGCATCGACCCCAGTAGCACTCGTATTTCGGCGTCACGGAGACTTGGCTGCTCGCGGAGCCGGTGAGCAGGACGACGACGAGAAGGAGCAGTTTGAGCATGTTCACGTGGGGGAACTGTAAGGAAAATGAAGAGGGGATAGACGACTTTTTATGTGAACACGGGAGGGCAATTGGAAGTTTTATGAGCTTGGGAACGGCGAGGATGGGAACGGCGGAAGAGAAAAGGGAAGACAGCTGACTAGGGAATGGGCTTTTCCAAAATGGGACCTATATGATTCGAAAGAGAATTTCACGGAGCTCTCTATTTTTGCTAAAGAGCACTGGCTGCCGAGAAAACCTGCCTGTTTCTGCCACATTTTCCGAGCAAGTTCATCTTCGGCGACGTGTATCTCAAGAACCACGCGTCCGTTGCAAAAGTGGTCAACTAGTAAGTTAACGCAAATTATCTCGTGAATAACTTTGTAGTTGATCGTTTATTTAAAAAAAAATTAGTTTTCGAGTTATGAACTGTTTTCCTAGAGCGACAAGAAAAAAGTTAGTGCTGGAGCAGAGCGACGATAACTCGAAAACTAATTTTTTTAAAAATAGACGATCAACTACAAAGTTATTCACGAGATAATTTGCGTTAACTTACTAGTTGACCACTTTTGCAACGGACGCGTGGTTCTTGAGATACAGGTCGCCGAAGATGAACTTGCTAGGAAAATGAGGCAGATTTTCTCGGCAGCCAGTGAGTGCTCTTTAGCAAAAATACAGAGCAGATTCGGATTCTCCGTGAAATTCGGGCCATTCCCTAGTAAATTGAAGAGTGAAACTAGAATTTGAGCCCTAAACTGCTCGAATTCCGTGATTACTTCAACGCGATGACTCATATTCACACATATCGTTCAGAACAGATGACGTGGCAAAGCATCCATCGCAAACTTCAAAATAACATTTATTTCCAACGCACGCCGCCGTTTTATTCACTAAATCCGACAAATCTTTGCCTGACAACAAAAGTAGACGTGGTTGCCCGAGTTTCCGCACGGCCACAAGTAGATGGCCGTCTCGTTGGCTCCGCCGGCGCATCCGGTCCGCTCGAGTCTCATGCAACGCGTCTTGTAGCACGTCTCCGTGTTCATCACGAATCGATTCAGTGATTGAGCGTGGGAGGTGGAGGCGGCGAGCAGAAGAAGAAGAAGAAGAAGAAGGGAGCGGGAGCAGGAGAGCATTTTCCGGTTTGAGGAACGAGAGAGAGACTGTGGGGTTTTAAGGGAAGATTTATGGTCTCGTCTTGTTTATGGGCGATGGGAATGGGAACGAGGAACAGAAAGAAAGAAAGGAAAGGGATACTGTAACTGTGACGTAACTCAATAAAAGTTTTTAAAAGTCGGCAATTTTCACGCTTTAACGCCTTCTAGAAAGTTCCGTCTTAGAGGAAAAGAGGGCGAAGCTCACCTAGAAACTGTGGCCTAAGAATATCATCTGCGAAAACTCTTCCCTGGCACTAATTTCATGGTCTTGTACTATTCACGGAGGTCCGTCGAAACACCGTCTATTCAAATCGATGTATCTCAGCCGTTTGTAGAGATATCGAAAAGTTGTCAACTGATAAATTATTTATGAGGAAATTGTTCATATATTATCAGTTAACACTTTTTTGATATCTCTACAAACGGCTGAGATACATCGATTTGAATAGCCCGGTATTTACGATTCGAACTTCTTTCCCTCGAGAAAAAGTGTAACATTTATTGAATTTCATTCAATGAAAAGGACGAGAGTGAACTCGTTTATCAAAACCGATAATATTAACAAGATGCGATTAGAAATGTCCCTGGCACGAGTCCCAAAAGTCGGTGAACTCTTGTTTGCAACACAACCATCTCGTGCCGATCTCCTCGTCGACTGCGCATTTTTCGAGTTGGAAACGATGGTATCCGGCTTGACAAGCGGACGTGTGCACGCCGAGACACTTTGTTTTGTAGCACGTCTCCGGCAGCATCACACTCGCTGTCGCGGTCGACGGATTCACAGTGAGGAGCAAGATCAGGAGGAGCACGGGGAAGAGTCTTTGCATTTCGGAAGAAGGCGAGAAATGGGGGGAAACGGTTCGTGTTTTATGGCCTCGAAAATCAAATTGTTTTTTATGGAATCATTCACATTCCCGCACTGTTCATGGGAACACTACGACCAACGCCTACGCCTCTCTTTTCCATGTAAGTCTTTGCTTTTGGCGGCGATTCAGAATTGCGCATTTTGATGGCCTAACTTCTTGACCGCGATTCTAGGCCATGGGCTTGTGGCTCACCAGAGTTGAGCGGAAATGGAATTTTGAAATCCGGAAGACGGAAGACGGAAGGAACATTTTTTACGGAACACGGAAAACGGAAGACGGAAGAAAATTTTTTTACGGAAAACGGAAGACGGAAGAAAATTTTTTTTACGGAAAACGGAAGACGGAAGACGGAAGATAATTTTTTTCCCGGAAGACGGAGGAACATTTTTTTACGGAAAACGGAAAACGGAAGGCGGAAGAAAATTTTTTTACGGAAAACGGAAGACGGAAGAAAATATTTTTTACGAAAGAAATTTCTTTTACGGAAAACGGAAAACGGAAGACCGAAGAAAGTTTTTTTTACGGAACACGGAAAACGGAAGACGGAAGACGGAAGAAAATTTTTCTCCCGGAAGACGGCAGACGGAACAAAAAAATTGTCAATGCAGAACCTTTTTCTCCGTTTTTTTTTTGAAAAAAACATAACAAAACAACAAAAATTTTGGATCTGGGTCACTGCCCGTGGAAATTCGCGTTCTTCGGGGCTAGTAAATGGCTTCTGAAAAGCTATTACTCTTTTACGGTTAGATGAATTTTTCCCGGAAGACGGAAGACGGAATCAGACTTTTCATCATAATTTCTTGGCCGCGATTCTAGGTGGCCTAACTTTCTCTTCCTAGGCCGTGGCCTACTTTTGCGCTGGAATTCTAGACAGAACTTGAATTGGTATATTTTGATTGCACTGGGTGTCAAAATCCGATATCATAACAATAATTGAAGCCTAAACAGTACAGTGTGTGCCTAAGATAAAATACTCGGCGAGGCGAACACAGAAATCATCGTGGGCGGCGACAAAATCGACGGCGACAGGGCGTACGGCGAGAGGACGACGGCGGTGACGAAACTCGGCGACAAAACCGACGGCGACAGCACGAACGGGCTCAAAATCACCGGCGAAAGTGCGGTGGGTGTGAGGATGAAGGGCGAGAGGGCGAACGGCGACAGGATGAGCGGAGTCATGACTTGCGGCGAGAGCACGAACGGCGTGAAGATGAACGGCGACAGCACGAGCGGATTCGCGATTCCTGGCACCAGGATGAGCGGATCGAACGCCAGCGGCGACAGGACGATCGGTGAGAAGATGGCCGGCGAGACGATGATCGGCGCGAAGATGCGGGGCGCGAGGATGACGGGCACGAAGACCTGAACCATTTTTATGGGTTTCGCAACACGCGCAGCCAAATGGTATGCATTTTTGCGCGTCGGTGTGGCTCTGCGTACAGTGCATTTTATGTTACGCGCAAAGCTCATTTTTTTAGGTGTTGATGAATTTTCTGCAAATATTCATCTCTTTAAAGCGTTTTTCTCTGCTTTCTACCTCAATTAGACCTTTTTACAGATTCCAGATGAAGTAATACGCGAAGAGAAGTCGATACGATGAAAAGAAACGCGTAAGTAAATGGAAGTAATGTTTTATTCAGAAAATGTACGATTTCTCGAAAAACGTCTCTAGATCTTCCAATCTTTTGATTTAAAAAGTTCACTAACATGACTGTGAATGTCTTCGAATCAAAAAAAAAGTAGAGTGACAGCTCGCTTTCGCGTAAAATTGGTCTTTTGCCGGAAAACAGTGAGATTTCGTTTAAAAATTTTTTTCTCAAAAACCGTCTCTAGATTTTCTAATTTTTTTGTTTAAATAGTTCACTTACATGACTGTGAATGTTTTCAAACCGAAAAAAAGTAGAGTGACAGTTTGTAGAAGCAAAAAAAAATTTTTTCAACGAAATTTCACTGTCTTCCGGCAAACTATCGGTTTTTCCGCGGAAGCCAGCTTCTTTTTGGTTCCAAAACATTCTCAGAAATGTAAGTAAAATTTTTTAACCAAAAGATTAGAAAATCTTCGAGAAATCGTGCATTTTCTGAATAAAACCTTACTTTCACTTACTTACGCGTTTCTTTTCATCGCATCGACTTCTCTTCGCGTATTACTTCACCTGGAATCTGTAAAAAGGTCTAATTGAGGTAGAAAGTGTAGAAAAACGCTTTAAAGAGATGAATATTTGGCGAAAATTCATCAAAAACTATAAAAAAATGAACTTTGCGCGTAACATAAAATGCACTGTACGCAGAGCAACACGGGCGTGCCAAAATGCACAGACTGCCGTGTACGAGTTCACTGACCCATGGCGAGAGAATCACGGCACCCCAGATTGAGGGCGACAATACCAGGGGCGTGAAGAGGACCGGCGAGAGGATGATTGCCTGCGAGGCGGTGGCCGGCGATGCGATGATGCTCGAGAAGAGGATCGGCGAGCCGACAATATCCTTCATCCTCTTCTCGTACTTTCCAATCTTCATATTGCCCTTGCCGATCTCATGGATTACCTAAACGATCGAATCAGTTGGGACTAGGAGACCGACTACAGTAACCCCCTACCGTATGAAGAGCTTTCCGCGCGTCGGCCATCGTCAAATTCCTGCCCGCTTCCATCGCATATTTATTGTCAAACGGCGCGCCGACGCCGTACACCATCTCCCGCTGTTTATCGTTCATAATCGCGTAGCCGGTCGTGTTGAAATGCTCCATCTACAATCAAAACAGTACCGTAAACCGGTGGGCACCAGAGATGTTGGGAATAAAAACTTTACTCTACGGAACACGGAACACGGAAAACGGAAAATTTTTTTTTTTACGGAACACGGAACACGGAAAACGGAAAAAACTTATTTCTACGGAACACGGAACACGGAACACGGAACACGGAAATTTTTTTTTTACGGAACACGGAAAAAAGCGTTTTCAAGAGAATTCCAGTGATTTTTTTTAAATAATGTTTTGTTTAATTCGATTATCTGACTGACAAGGCAGCTGTTTGACTCATGTGAAAGTTTTACTGAAAATTTCATAAAAATAACAAAACCAACAACACAACAGTAAACAACTACAGTCAAAAAACAACTGAAAATGGAATCCACTTTTCACGAATATGGTCCGAATCCGAAAATGTTCAAATTTTGACCACAAAACGTCAATTGTCCTAATCTTTCCGGAGATAAATTTGTGATCGAATTTTTCCGCGGAAAATATAGTTTATACGGAACACGGAACACGGAAAACGGAAAAAACTTATTTCTACGGAACACGGAACACGGAACACGGAAATTTTTTTTTTTACGGAACACGGAAAAAATATTGCAAAAAAACGCGGAACACGGAACACGGAATTCCCAACATCTCTGGTGGGCACTACAGTAATCCTCCTCGCCTGCTCGTCCGTGTACATGCCGTGCAACTGCTCCAGCACTTTCATCTTCCGGTAATTCTCCTCGCCATAGATTCTCGTCACATTCTCGCGGCTCACGTTGATCTCGTCGCCTTTCGCGTTCATCAGAATGCCTTCCGATTTGAGCGCCACCTGACGGGCGGCGTCGTCTACCGTATCCGCGACGCCCGTGATTTCGGTGAGCAAATCCATAAACGAGTCTTTTTCGCCGCCCAATCCTCCTTGTTTTCCGACGATTTTTTCGCCAAAAAGACTCGGAATCGACAGTTTTTGCTCGTCCGGCGAGCCCTCGTCGTGAAGAGAGAATAGCGAGGGCGAGAGGACGTTTATCTGGAGCAGCCAGTGCAGATATCAAAAAGTGGTCAACTGATAAAATGTGCACAATTTCCTGCTGAACATTTTATCAGTTGACCACTTTTTGATAGCTCTTATGATAGCTGAGATATGTATCAAACTAGGACTCCTGCCTACCGTATCATTGTCCTTTTTGTGCTCTTCGGGCGCAATCGCAAAAAAGCGTGGCGACGCGAACCTCAAACTCTTCTGCTCGAATCCGCTGACGTTCTGACCGCCCAGACTCAGTCCCAACTTGACCGCTTCTCTGATCAACTTGATCCTCATGACCGCCTCCGTACCCGGTCCGCTCATATTCAACATTTTGGGCGCCTCGTCGGTCAGCAACTGCTCGGGATGGTCTTGAATCCGACGGAAAATCTTGTCCAAGTCAATTTTCTGCTTGTTTTCCGATTCGTTCTTCATCTGAATCGGATCGTCGTTCTCCATTTCCATCGAATCCTCGGTGTTCTCGATCTGAACTTTATACTCATACTTTCAGGTATATCTTGCGCACTATTGTTTATTTCAAAAAGTGGTCAACTGAAAAATTGTTGCAAATTTTATGCTCAACAACTTTGTAGTTGACTATTTTGTTCCAAAACTATTCGTTCTCGAGTTATAAGCTGTGTTTTGAACAGTATCCACTGCTGTCGCTTTTTTGTCTTACTGTTTAGGAATCAGGCCGTAACTAAAAAAGGGCAGATTTTGGATGAAAATGATTAACTGCAAAGTTGTTTAGCATAAAATTTGCAACAACTTTTCTGTTGACAACTTTTTGAAACAACAATTGGTTCTCAAGATATAAGCGTCGTAAGTGAAGGGATTTTTAGAGTAGCGAGTAGCGACAAAAACTAGGCCCTAAACATAACTTTTTTTGAAAAAAAACGTTGTTCTGGGTAACTTTTGACGCTCTATTCAATAATACAACTATTTTTCGTACTATTTTTCACATGTGCGTCAACTTACCGCCAACGGTTTGCGGGGGCTCATCGCTGCTCGGGACCGTACACTTTTTCCGATCATCTCCTTCACCTTCTTCCGTTTTTCGATAACTTCTCCCGTCTTTTTCACGTCCACAATTATTTCGCGCCAACTGAAAGCTACCGTAACCGTGGCGAGAGTACAGTAATCCCTCACTCGCCTCTTCTCCTCTGTTTTGTTCTTCAGCGCCCGTATCGTCTTCGTGATTTGTTTGGTGATGGCCGTGAACGGCGACACGTCGTCTTTTCGAGATCGGAGGGTGTAGCCGCTCCGTCTCACCACCGTCTGCCGCTTTTTTCGAATGCGAAACGCGCCAACCCATGCCGACGCTGACGCGTTTTCCGATATCGCATTCAGCAGTTTTTTGACGCCTTCTTGACGCGAAACTTGAGATTTGGAGACTTGAAGAAGGTCGCTGACGCACTTTGCGTGCTCTTCTATCGATTTCACGTTCTTGACGCATTTTTCGTGAAATTTGGTCTCCAGATGCGATATTGTGGCGATTCTGGAACGGGGAAACTGTCGAAAGTTTAGATCAAAGACGTATTATTGAAATGAGTGACTTCCAAGAGCTACAGTACTCCAGGAAGTGATTGTACAAGAAAATTGTCAACTAGAAAAATAAAGTTCATAAGTGGTACTATATTTTTGTAGTTGACCACTTTGTCGTACAACCGCTCCGAAGAGTACTGTAGCTCTTGGAAGTTAGAACTACCCCAGTCCTAACTTCCAAAGCCTACAGTACTCCAGGAAGTGATTGTACAGAAAAAGTTTAAACAACAAAAATACAGTACTAGACGTCATGTTTCCAACAAACAAATTTTCAGATTAATACCCGCTCTCCGCACGCTGTCAATTCAACTTTTTAGTAACAAAATGTTCTGGTGTAGACCAGAGATGTTGGGAATAAAAATTTTACTCTACGGAACACGGAACACGGAAAACGGAAATTTTTTTTTTACGGAAAACGGAAAAAAAACCTATTTCTACGGAACACGGAACACGGAAATTTTTTTTTACGGAACACGGAACACGGAAATTTTTACGGAACACGGAACACGGAAATTTTTTTACGGAACACGGAACACGGAAAAACGGAAAAAAACTTATTTCTACGGAACACGGAACACGGAACACGGAAATTTTTTTTTACGGAACACGGAAAAAAAGCGTTTTCAAGAGAATTCCAGTGATTTTTTTTTTAGTAATGTTTTGTTTAATTCGATTATCTGACTGACAAGGCAGCTGTTTGACTCATGTGAAAGTTTTACTGAAAATTTCATAAAAATAACAAAACCAACAACACAACAGTAAACAACTACAGTAAAAAACGACTGAAAATGGAATCCATTTGTGATCGAATTTTTCCGCGAAAAATATAGTTTATACGGAACACGGAACACGGAAAACGGAAAAAAAAACTTATTTCTACGGAACACGGAAATTTTTTTTTACGGAACACGGAACACGGAAAAAATATTGCAAAAAAACGCGGAACACGGAACACGGAATTCCCAACATCTCTGGTGTAGACGTTTGTCTATATAAAACGCAGGAAAAGTACGGTATTGCCTACAGCAAACCCGACTCACTTTTCATTAGCCACAGTGGCAATTAACGAAGAGAACGCCTGATCGATCCAATGATTCGAGAGCTCCAGAACCGACGCCTGTGTGGTATTTATGAGGAGCGTCGAGTCGCCGAGCAACTTTTTCATTTCTTGGGCGGCTTCGCGTGCCGCCCAACCACTGGGGACCGAGCCAAGGACCACCAGAAGGAGTGGAAGAGCGAAAAAGTTCATGATGGTGGCGCCTGAAGCGATAAAAATGGTCGGACGGAGATCGGAGAGTCGTTAACCGTTCACTGACAATTAAATCTTATCAAATCAAGCGAAGAAAGGCGTGTAAAAGTGCATAAAAAGGAGGTCTGTGACTAATCTGGGAGATGGGTCATCGAAATGAAAATAGAAACGGAAATAAACGTCTTACAGACACATAAAATCGGACGGATGGGTGACTTTTTGGACTGGCGCGCTGCTATTATCGGATATTGTAGAGTTCGAAAACGTCGCATGGCTCCCAAAATTTTTTTGCGAGGCCTTGACATCTAGTACTCGAGTTTTGTAGTTGACAACTTTTCCGTACAATCATTGCGTGGAGTACTGTAGCGCTTGAAAGTTGTGTGAGTTGCAAAAGCGCTCGTTTTGCAACGCTATCTTCCGTGAGCTACAGTACTCCAGCGCGTGGTCGTACAACAAAAGTGTCAACTGCAAAAATACAGTACTAGATGTCAAGATTTGACAAAAAAAATTCTAGACCTAGGGCTACAGCACACGTTCCAAAAATGCGTTTTCTAAAACACACGCACACTTTTATATCATCCGCTCACTTTTTTCGGCATGGGTGGTCCGTCTGGGTCTTTAATGGGATTAGAGGAAACGACGAAAAGGAGGGTACAAAAAACGAAGAAGCGGGCGGCTAATTTGCACTTGTTAAGGGGCTTTTTTGAGCGGGAAACTAGAGGAACCAGAAGCTGTGTGATCCCAAAAAAAAATGGAATGAAATCTTTGACATTCTGCTGGAAAATGGCTATTGTAGGGTCTGGAGATGCCGTAGCGTCTTGAAAAATGAGCTGTGAAACCTTCACGTCTCCTACTTTATTTTTGTAGTCGACAACTTTTGTGTGCAGTCACTCCGAAGACTACGGTAGCTCTTGGAAGTTGGCCCCGAAATTGCCAACTTCCAAGAGCTACAATACTTTAGGGAATGATTTGAGAGAATAGTTGTCAACTACAAAAATATAGTACCACTCATGAGCTTCATTTTTGCACTTGACAACTTTCTTGTACAATCAACCCCTCGAGTACTGTAGCTTTTTGAAGTTTACCTATGATTTCAACTTCCAAAAGCTACACTTGTCACCATTTTTCGCTGATTCTGATCGTTATTCTTATGCAAATTCGGTCGCCAAATACATTGAGAAATGTGCTTTCGTTTGGCAAACTTTCCAGCTAAATCCACACAGTTCACCGTAAGACCAGAAAGACCCAATCACCCGAATTAGCCGGAATTAGTAGCCGTCAGACAGTCTAAATGTGGCTAAATGTGGCTACGCTTCTGTAGTTTGCGGCTTCAGAAACTCAAACGGTTCACGGAACGCGAGCCTTCAAATCAAAAATTCCGTTGGCACGCAATTCACGTACGCTAAACAAGGCGCGTAACGCGTAATTTCGGAGCGTCGTTGTAGAGTTTCTCATTTCAATTTTCCCGTTTTTTTTGCATTATCCCCATCTTTTCAGAAGCAATCAGTGTCAAAACTTATAATAATGATTAGAAATGAATAAAAAATGAAATTTTAACCGCTTCGTCATCAATTTCGAAACGTTTTATGTGAAAATTACGGAATTTTTTCCTTTTGGAATCGAAAATTTGCCTCAATTATCTCAATTCTGTAGTTTTCGACGGTTGAGCGCTTAAAAGATGCGCGCAGTAAACTCCTTGTTGACTGGAACTCGATTCGGCAAATAATCGTTAAAACTCCCGTTTTTTTCAGTAGTTTTCGACAAAATCCCTCAATTTTGTCAATTCTGAACGACACGGCTCCGTTTCGCGCTTAAATCGATGCTTTTAACTCAGACAATCGCCCTACGGTTCGCAAAGAACAAAATTTGAGTGTTTATTAGGAGAAAAACGAACGAATTCTGGTTTTCAATTGAAAATGGAAACTGCGAGTCGACGGTGGATGCAAGCGCGCCCCATTGACAACTCGCTTTCGCATTGGAATGCTTGGGGGGTTCCGTGCGTGGGGAATTAAGCAAAAGTACTGTAATAGAGTAGGATGGACACTGGAGACAATCGGAATGGAATGCAATAATCAAAACGCGGATAATATCCATTCGAATCAGCATCATATCTCGTTCCCACCTTCCTCTAATTTGAGATCGAAAAAAAACGCTTCGTGTCTGGTTCCTCCCGATGATGATGAATGTGTCTGGCGGACACGCGTCGTCTTTGACACTTTTCGGACCGGGCGCCCGCCGATAAGGGACCCGGCAAAAAAAGCAGAAGAAGAAGAAGAAGAAGACGTTTCCGCCGCCGGGTGGATAGGAAATTGGACAAAATCGGACGGTCTTTGGACCACTTGCAATGATCCGATCGGAACCAAACTTTGCGGGCTTCTTGGACACGGATTGAGAGCCATTGGGACCAAGTTTCAGCCGGATTCGATCGGGCTGAAACTTGGTCCCAATGGCCCTCAATCCAAGTGCAACAATTCTGCAAAGTTTTGGTCCGATCGGATCGTTGCAAGTGGTTCAAAAGTGCAGCTGTTGTTTGATCGGAGTTTTTTGAGTTTACATTTCCAGCCAACAACAATTCGTTTCATCTTACATATTTTCAGACGCGCAAACATCTCGTTTCTAATATTTGTTTTTGATCTACCATCCATCGCTGCCCAATTTCAGTGCGATTCGAACCGGAACACCCTCAAATTGGTCACTTTTGAGCGCGTTTTTCGCCAAATCACAACAGCGACGTCGAGAATTCGAAAACGAAGACCTTCTTCTTCTTCTTCTTCTTCTTCTTCTTCTTCTTGTGTCCGCGCAAAAATCAGTGAAAAACCAGTTTTCTTTACACCTTTTTCGGCTACTCTCTATCTGCCAACGTTTTGTTGTGTCTTCACGCGTCATTTTGTGAACTTTTTACTAGGGAATGGCCCGCACTTACCTTCGGCTTTTGGAATTTCACGGAGAATCCTCCGAATCTGCTCTCCATTTTTGATAAAGAGCACTGGCTGGCTGGCGAGAAAATCTGCTTGTTTCTGCCACATTTTCTAGAAAGTTCATCTTCGGCGATCTGTATTTCAAGAATCACGCGTCCGTTGCAAAAGTGGTCAACTAGTAAGTTAACGCAAATTATCTCGTGAATAACTTTGTAGTTGATCGTCTATTTTTTAAAAAATTAGTTTTCGAGTTATGAACGGTTTTCCTAGAGCGACAAGAAAAAAGCGACGATAACTCGAAAACTAATTTTTTTAAAAATAGACGATCAACTACAAAGTTATTCACGAGATAATTTGCGTTAACTTACTAGTTGACCACTTTTGCAACGGACGCGTGGTTCTTGAGATACAGGTCGCCGAAGATGAACTTGCTAGGAAAATGGGGCAGAAACAGGCAGATTTTCTCGGCAGCCAGTGCTCTTTAGCAAAAATTGAGAGCTCCGTGAAATTCTCTTTCGAATCATATAGGTCCCAAAGCCCAATGTAAGTGCGGGCCGTTCCCTAGTTAGTCGCCGTAAAAAAACGTCTTCTCAATTCAGAAAATTCTGTTCCAGAATGCTCCGCCGCTCGCTTCTTTTGACGATTCTCGTCGTCGTGGGCGACGGTGCGAATCATCCGATTCCGAAGATTTTGACGACCATCACCACGACGACCATCTCGTCGGTTATTGTGCACGCCCGGCTGCCAGAAGGTATCGCACTTTTCACTGTCACTTTTTGCTGTCCTTGTCGTCTTTGTAGGTTTTGTGACCGAGTTAGGCCTGAATTTCAGTGCGAGCGAACCAGACATGGGAGTGCGGAACCGACGAGTTCACCAAGTCGATCAGCGAGGGAGAGATCCTCGCAAAGTGCCCCAAACTTCGAGGTATTTGCATATTTATAATAACCGCATTGACAAACAAGCCTATGAAGTCATAGTAGGCCCCCCCCACAAAAAGGCGTGTACATTGCAGATCACATCAACAGCTGCTGCTGGCAGCACGACAACTGTTACGACGCGCAATCCGGACAGAAATTCTGCGACGACACCTTCTGCTCGTGTCTTGAGGTACGCGTTTCAGGCCTAGTTAGGCCGATTATACTTTCTAGGCCTAGGCCTCAGATCTCACTTTTCAAGCCTAGAACAGACGTTTCAGGCTGATTAGGCCGTTCTCCTCTTATTCTTAATGGTTTTTTATGCCTTTTTTTGGCCTCCAAGACCCCCGTAGACTGTTTAGCAGAGTTGAGCGGAAAAACTCAACGGAAGAAGAACACGGAAGAATTTTTATCTTTTTTAGAAAATTTTTTCATGGAATGTGATCAACTGACGAAATGTATAGCAAATTGAACTGTGCTCATCGAAAAATAATTGTAAATTTAGCGATTCATACAAAAAAGTTATTCGAGTAGTTCCGTGAAAAAAGAGCCAACGGAACAACTCGAATAACTTTTTTGTATAAAAAGCTAAATTTACAATTATTTTTCTATGAGCAGAGTTCACTTTGCTGTACATTTCGTCAGTTGATCACACTGCATGAAAACATTTTCTAAAAAAGATAAAAATTCTTCCCGTGTTCCGTTCTGTTGAGCTCTTCCGCTCAACTCTGTTGTTTAGGCTTTCTCTAGGCCCCCCAAAAAACAATGCTACAATTTTCAGCGCCGCTCGCGCAGTTCGAAATCGTGTCACGACGAGTCGGCGCCGCTGTTCTGCGATCTGGTGCGCACTTTCGGCGACGACGCCTACCGAGCGTCGGCGCCAAACGCCACGACGACTACCGACGAGGTACCGTACCCGGCAGCAACCGTAATCCCAACCTACCGTAACCGCATTGTAACCCCACACTTTCAGAGGTCTTCGTGTCGAAAATTGTCGAAACTCGTACACTTTTTGCAGTATGTAGAGCTTGAATTTCCCTCTGATTCGTTCTTTTTAACTATCGTCATCCACCACATAACACTTTTGCAATGTTTCTACCGTAATCCCTACAGTAATCCCTCAAAACCGTTGGTTTTCAGGGTCTTGTCGAAAAGGACGACTACGACTACGAGTCGCAAGTGAAAAACGCGACGATTCCGGTCTAAATGCTCTATTTTTCCATTTCCCAATGTTTTGTGCCATAGGTCTCTCTGGATTAGCGATTTTATTTTGAAAATATTCATTCAATGAAAGAAGGGCTTGTTCGATATTACATTAAACTTTTTAGGCCAATTTGCTCGCGTCCTCGTACGGTACCTGAATTTGACGTCCGCGCAACGGTCCGCCCGCGATTTTCACATTCAGACAATAGTTTTTCTCGTCGATGCTCTCGAGGATCTGCAAAAATGGAAAATGTTGAGTTTTGTGCGTATTTGACCGGAAAACGGCTCAAAAGGTGCCGTTTTTCCGTGACTAACCGCTTCGCTGCCTCGATAGGCGCCGTTCACGACGAGCATGTGTCTTCCGATCGACGGAATGACCGTCTCGACGTGCGATTGGTCCAGCTTCACAATCGTGCCGTCGTCGAGTTTCACTTGCGCCGTGTACTCGTCCAACATCTTCTTCACCACTCCTTTCGATTTGTAGTACTCCGAGCCCAGCGATTTTGTGATTATCTGCAAAAATGTGCGTTAAACCTGGGAACACACGCACAAAATTCTCATTTTCCCACACATTTCGAACCGCTTACCTTGACCACAATTCCCTCGGCCATCCAGTAGTCTTTCCTGTTCTTCCGCTCCTTTTTCCGTTCCTCCATCTCTTTAATCTCGTCCAACGCGCTCTTCTTCTCGCGTTTTCCGTCCTTCCGCTTCTCCGGACTTCTACTTCTACTCCTTCTTCTCTTCTTCTCCGCTCTTTTTTTGGATTGCTCCCCGTCCGATTCGGGCTCCTCCTTCTTCGTGTTTACTTTCAAATCGAAGACCGACACACTGGATGTTGTGGGTCGATTCAGCTCTTCCAGAGTCGGCTTTTTCTGTCCCAGGTTCAACTCCAAAGTGATTTTCTGATCGGGCGTGTCCCTTAGCAGCTCGGTCGCCTCGTAATTGTGTCCGTCGTCGAGTTCGAGTCCCCGCTGGACCATGCCCTCCATGATGGCCATGTGCCGTTCTTGGTCGTCCTTCTCCTGCTGCGCCTTCCTCTGATCCTCCTCCTTCCGAATGACCGCCTCCTGGTCGATGTAGGCAATGTACCATCCTTTGTCGCCCTCGTCGATCTTGCACTTTCCCGACGAGCCCAGATATTGGATGAAGCCGGTCAGCGAGTGCCACACTGTCGAGTTCATATGCACGTGGCCCTGAAATCGTTTGGTTTTGAAAATGTTTTTGAGATTTGAGGAAAATGTGTAAAATTTGGCGGGAAAACTGAGAAACGCATGGAAACCACGATTATTTTGACATGTGTGAAAGAAAAAAGTTAGCGAAAAACTCTTTTTCTCGTAAATTTTGCAAGGAAAAATGAGCGTTGCTGCAGCAAATCGGCGCATTTCCGATTTTCTCAAGATAATTCTGTCAATTTTCGAATTTTTAGCATTTAATCGATACAATTGGCCTACCTTATCCTTAATATACACATTGTAGACCTCATTCGCACGAACACGCTTCGTTCCGTACGAGGTGCGCAGCAGTTGCATGAAATTCTTTTCGAAATCGTTGGAAAACTGTCGCAAATATTGATTCGAGTTTTCGGCGAACAGCAAAAGTTGGCGTTGATGTGCCTCCGAAGTCAGATGGCACTTGAATCCGTTCGCGTCGCGGCACTGCTTCTGACACATTTGACAAAACCTGCAAAATTCGTGTTTTTGAGGAGAGATCGCATTTTTTGAATGACTTGCCATTTCAATTTTTGCAATCCTTTCGATTTCGTGCGATTCGCCAGCTCTTTCGCGCTTCCTTTCTCGTGTTTTCCCATCTTTTTCGACGAATTTCTAGATGCGAAAATTCAATAAATCGCGTCGATTTACGATAAACCGCGCGCGGTGGCGGGAGAACGGAGTGTCGTACCAAACTATTTTTCACTCACTTTTCGGCGAAAAATCTATAGGTTTCCAGCAAAGAACGCGTGTGCTAAAATGCAATAGACATTTATTGAACATGAAGAAGAACCTGCACAATATAATTTGCAAACTGACCCAGAGGTAATTCGACACAAAACAGACAAAAAAAAATGGGGAGAAAGGGGAAAGACTTGCGGGCGGGGGAATGCGAGAGGTTTATCACAGATAAAAAAGTTCGGGGCGAATATATATATAAAAATATGTAAAATTGCACAAAATATGGCTCAAATCTTCTTGAGTTGCTCCAAAACGACGTCGAGTTTCAGAATCGACGCCTCGTCCAGCTGCTTGTAGTACCAGTCGCGCTTTTTGACGACGTCCCGGAGGCGCTGAAGACATTTGATAGAATTGTTGAATTGTTTAGGCCAAAATACAAACCTGAATGCAGAATTTCGCCTTTTCGGCGCGCTCCTCGGCCGCCACGTCGACTCCGATTCGATGCGAATTCGCGTTGGCAAACTTGACGAGCCTCTCGCGCAACGAGCTCGCAATCGCGGCGAGACCGGTGAGAGCGATATTGCGGTTGAGCGTGTCCACACTTGCAATGTTATCTGCAAATTGGGATGTGTTCAACTGTTTGCGTTCACATTTTTACACCTAAAACAGCTGAGCATCGTTAAAAACATTAATCTCAAGTAGACGCCGCCCGGTCCTTACCGATAATCGTGGTAATGTAGGCGTGACACGTGTTCAGCGACCAATCATTGTTGTGGCTGAGAATGCGGACGGCGGTGAGCACGAGTTGTTCGTCGGAGCACACTTCGGGCGGCACGTCCGTGTTCTGCCGGCGAGACGTCAGCATTTTGAGGCGACGAATGTCTGCAACAGCTTTTTCGAGACCACGCGCGGAAAGGGAGCGCTCACTTTTGTTCTCGCGTTTCGCCGCACTTCCAATCTGATTGACAGTCTCAATGCAGGCGGACCAGACGCCGAACGGCACGCCAGTGGTCGAGGAGACCGACGAGCACGTCGAGTTCTGTTTTTTGAACGGCGCCGCCGAGACGGACCGTCCGGGCGACTTTTTGGTTGGGGAAACCGATGAGACCGACTTCTTGACGACTGGAGACGAACGGCGATGCGTTCCATTCGTGGTCGACGAGGTGATGACGTCGCCTTCGGAGGGGGTGCGTGGGCGGCCGAGGTACGTGATCGTGATCGGCTCCTGGTTTCTTCTGGAAGACGAAATATTAGGCCAGCTACAGGGAGCCTAGTAAGAGTGTCTATCTTAAAAATTTCGGCTCAATTTAAAACGAAAAATCTAGTTCTCGCCGGCTTCCCGAACCTTCTTCTCTCCACCGAACAAAAATCGCCGCCATCTTTTCGTCGCGCTTTCGTCGAATTCGAACGTCTCCGGACGGACGTCGTCTGCGCCGAGGGGTACGCGAGACGGCTCAACTCGTACACACTGACACTCGTCAAAGCCATCCCTAGAGATTCCGAACGGAAATGAAGCGGTTGGAGCTGAGGAAGAAAAGGAAAAAAAAGAGTAAAGTGGAAGGTGGAAAGAAAAAAGGCCAAACTTCTTTTCTGCTCCAATTGGATAGGGCTCACATAGGGCTGTGGCGAAGAGTAGGAGAGAGAGATGGAAAACGGCGGAAGACGTCAATTTTCTCCTTCTCCTCCTCTTCGAAGGCGGCCTCTGAGAACAAGGAGCACATGGAAAGAGAAAAGAGAACGGACGGACGGACGGCGCAAATGGCCGTCATAGCAACCGATAAATGCTCCCCCGGGGCGACGGGCTTGACCACTCAGACGGGCGGCGCAAAGAGAGGAAACGAGGGAAGCGGATTATCGGCTTCTTATCGGTGGGCTTCGTGTTGGTGGTCACTTGTCACTTATTCATGAAGAGATTGCATGCTTAACTTTGGCGGCCTAGGTTTTGCAAATTCTTTGGGCCCCACAATGTTCCTAACTTTTCGCGTGTTCTATTTCTAGTTCATAAATGCAAAAAATCCTCTGCAAACTCACTGTCTCGAGACGGAGCGCGTCTTCGGACCCCGTTCGCTGATCAGCGACTGTGTGGATCCGGCAATCGAGCTCGTCTTCGTCGACCTCAAATCCGACATTGACGGCGACGGTTTCGAGCGGAATCCGCCCAAAAGAGGCTCTGAAAAGGAGGCGTTTTCAGGAAATGTGCAACTTTTCGGCGTACTCGACGTGACGGTGGCACTGCGCGACTGTGCGGCGGCCATGCTGCGCGTCATCGGCGGTTTTGCCATGGCGGGCGTCACCGAACGCGACGAGGAGGCTTTCGAGACCGGCACCGTCGATTTCAACGTCGACGACGGCGATTTCGACGCTTTTTGCGACGCCGATCGTTGTTTTATCGAGGCTGGCTGCAAAAATTGAGAATTTTCCGGGATTTTCTGGGATTTTACCGGGAAAAAAGCAGGAAAATCTATTTTACACGACTAAATGAGAGACATTTCAACGCTTCCGCTGGAAATCGCTCACAAACCTTTGCGGGACTGGCGGGACTCGAATGACTGCTTCCGCTGCTGTTCACCGGCGATGACGACGTCTCCGTGAGCTCTTCCGATGAGGTCACCGGCGAGGACGACATTTCTGGCAACGGTTTCGTCTGAAAATCGTCGAAATTGATGGAAAATGAGCGAAAAATCGAAATTTTTGCGCAGCTGCTTCGCCAAAAATCGAGTGCTCCACTCGCGCGCGCCTTTAAATTTTCAAAAGGTTACGGTAGCGAATTCAAAACTTTTCAGGTCTAATAAATAAATACCTCTTCAATCGGCGAATTGTCGGCCGATTCGACGTCTTCATCTTCTTCATAAATGCTTCCGCACAGTTCGTGACTTGGAGAATATGACAATAGTTCCTAAAATGTGAGTGTAAAATGGGAAAAATTGCAAAACGCGCACTTCTATAGCATACGACCTCATTTCGAGACGTTCCGTATTTTCGCCAATGCAAATAAAGTCCAATTCGAGACCGTTCGCGTTCACGTTCACGACCTGCAACACGATTTCTGATGTTCTCGTCTAATAACAATAATTCTCCCGGCCGGTATGAAAAAGATTCAAATCTAATCGATTTTATAAATCTCCGAAAAACGCATCAAATCATCGTCAGTCAATATTGTGCCTAAATTTTGACGAAAAACTCGAAAATGCCTCACTTTTTCCACATTTTTCAACGGCACCGTCGTTAACACGTCACAACACGGCTCCCACGTGAGCAAATTGATCGAATCGTTCGTCGCCGCGATCATTACATGAGCTGCAAAATCGATTTTTGAGGCAAAAATTTTTTTAAAATTTTTTTTTAATTTGCTGCTGTTCACCGGCGACGTCGCCGCGATCATTACATGAGCTGCAAAATCGATTTTTGCGGCAAAAAAATTTAAAAAAATTTTTTAATTTTTTTAAATTTTTTTTAAATTTGCTGCTGTTCACCGGCGACGTCGCCGCGATCATTACATGAGCTGAAAAAAATCGATTTGTGAGGCGAAAATGATTGTAATTTTTTTTAAATTTTTTTAAAAAAATTTGCTGCTGTTCACCGGCGACGTCGCCGCGATCATTACATAAGCTGCAAAATCGATTTTTGCGGCAAAAAAATTCAAAAAAATTTGTTTTTAAATTTTTTTAAATTTTTTTAAAATTTTTTCTCAAAAAAACTCACTATCAAACGCGCTCGCCTGAATATCGTCTAAAAACGCGTCGGATTGTGAGATGAGCTCGAACGTTTCGAGACAAAAAAAGCGGACTATCCTGTCGTGGCCGACGGCCGACAAAAGCACGTCGGACGGGTGCAGCTCCAAACTGTGACCCTACAATATTCGATTTTCGTTTGGCGGAGGCGTGGCTGGCGCCACCGAATTAAGTACCGAGCAATTGAACGTTTTAATGTATTCTCGTTGGCGGGCGTCGAAAATTTGAATCGTCTCGTCGGTGCCGACTGCCACGTAATGGTCGCCGGGAGATAGGGCCAAACTTCGGCAGACCCCGGAGGCTTTGGAGCCGTAAACCTACAATATTTGGTTTTTCGACGCACACGCCGCGCTCCTCTCTCACTTTCGACTGGTGCATCCGGGTATCCCATTGGGTCCAACTGCAGTCCGACGAGCCCGTGTACCAGCCGTACGGCGAGAACTTACTAGCGGCCAACGAGGTGACGGGCAGGGTGTGGCCCGTCAGGTTTCGTACTTCACGGCCTGAGAGGATTACGGTACGTACAGACAGTAGGCCGGGATTTCAAAGTACCTGTGGTGATGTCGGCGACCTTCAAAATCGCGTTCGTCGCCACTCCGATCGTCCGTTCGTCGGTCGACAACTGAAGACATTCGATCGGGAATTCGGAGAGCGTCGACGTGCTCGGCAGCTGCAAAAACTGTTGTAAAGTGGCCTGACTTTTCGGTTGACGGATTCGAGGCCATCTCTCTCTCTTGCATCCTCATTGTTCCCTTACTTACTTGGCCTAACTCTTCCTTGGATAAATTCTAGGCCACTGTCTTTCCGGCACTAGTTTCGTCTAGATTGATGGCTTAGTACACCTAGTCACCAGAGTTGAGCGGAAGAACTCAACGGAAGAACACGGAAGAATTTTTATCTTTTTTAGAAAATTTTTTCATGAAATGTGATCAACTGACGAAATGTATAGCAAAGTGAACTCTGCGCATAGAAAAATAATTGTAAATTTAATTTTTCATACAAAAAAGTTATTTGAGTTGTTCCGTGAAAAAAAGGGCCAACGCAACAACTCGAATAACTTTTTTGTATGAAAAGCTAAATTTACAAATATTTTTTTATGAGCAGAGTTCACTTTGTTATACATTTCGTCAGTTGATCACATTTCCTGAAAAATTTTTCTAAAAAAGATAAAAATTCTTCCCCTTTCTTCCGTTGAGTTTTTCCGCTCAACTCTGCTAGTCACCTAGTACAACTAGAATAATCCGCTTTTCGGCACACTTATCGAGGCGTCAATAATCTCTCGTTTCGCTGCTTATCGAACCGTATTCTCGTCGACCCTCTCCCGCTATTATCCGTTCAAAATCTCGCGTGAAAATGGGTTCCCCCCGTATCTTGATGATTGATCTTTTCTCGATCGAATGTTGAAAAGCTAAACAAGGGAAGTGCCATTCAAAAGCGGGTATCTGATCAAGAGAAAGCAGTCTCTAGGGATCCGGAGGATCCGTGGGGGACTAGGTTTTGCAAGTGGAGAGTTCTAGGCCACCAACCCTACGCGACTATATAACTCATTCCGAACTCATTGCGCTCAACTAAAAGGGACCGGCTCGTGCAGCCGCCTAATGACCGCCGTCCAAAAGGGACCGAGGGAGGGCGAATGGAAGAGTGTTAGAGATGGAGAGAAAAGAGGAAAAATGATGAATAATGGGTGAGGCCATGTGCAGAACGCAAGGATCCGGAAAGGACCGTTTATTCAAAGCAATCTATCTCAGCGGTCCGTGGAGATATGAAAAAGTTGTCAACTAGTAAAATGTTTACCAGAAAATTGTGCACATTTTATCAGTTGACCACTTTTTGCCATCTCTACCCACAACCGAGATACATCACTCTTTGAACTCACCGGCTCAAAGCACGTCTCGAGCGGCAATATCTCGTAGGGTCCGGCACAAATGACGGAGCGATGACGTCGCGAGAGCACCGCCGAGTGGACTGTCGAGTGCGGCACCGCCGATACCACTGAAATCAAGGGTTATGGTGGTGGTGGCCTAGAAAACTCTAAGGAGAAAGTTAGTCCGGCCCCCGTGGATAAGTGTCCCAGTGTCCCAGTTAATTGAATTCAACCCATAAAATGACGTGGTCTCTGCGGCTCCAGCCGCGGGGAGACAAAAAGTAATTACTTTTTCGTCCGGTCCCAAATTTAAATTGAAATTGAAATTGCAAACCTCTAAATGTGTTCCCGCCGGCCGCTCCAAAAGCATTAAAGTACACTTTTAGCGCGTTTCCCGGCGGGCGAAATTGGATGCGTCGGCTCTTTTTTTCTTTTTTCGGTGAAAAATTGGTCCAGAGGGATTACGGATCGAAAAACGCCAAAAAAGCAAGTAGCTTTGTGGCCATGGCCGGGAGGAAAAGCTAGGCCACGTCCACAAATGTATGGCCTAGTTTTTCGGGCGGTTTTCTAGGCCATCATAGCCTTACCTTCAATTTTCATGTTGTCGCCGGCGCATGTGGGGGTTGAGAGCGGTTTTGACGCTGAAAAAACAGAGAAAATTGGCCGAGATTAGTGAGCAGAAAGCATAAAAAGAAAGAGAGAAAAGTGGTGGCCTAGGTTTTCAAAGTTAGGCCACCAACAAAAGGACAGAAAGCTAGGCCACGTGGTATGGCCTAGGATCCGGACAACAACAAGGCAAAGGCAAATGAAAGAAGAGGGGGGGGGGGCAAAAGTTAGGCCATGGCCGTGCAAAGCTAGGCCACGCCACGTGGCCTAGTTTTCCGCCGCGAGAAAAAGTAAGGCCATCATAGATTTTCGAGTACTAACCGCGCGGTGCTTGGCGCAAGCACGGAAGACGGAAATTGGATTTCAGAATGAGCGAAAAGGAGAGGGAAAGGCGTGTCTTTTCCCATGAAACGACTCTCTCTTCTTCTTCTTCTTCTCTCTCCCTCTTTTGGGACCGAAAAAAAGGAGCGAAATCGAGTTATTTTCGGATGGGAACGAGGCGAAAAAGGCGGAGAAGAAGAAGGGAGCACACTGGTCCCGCCCCCAGTATGTTTTTCAATTAAAAAGGGCCCGAAAAAGAAGGCGACATCAGGGGAACACGGAACGCGAAAAAAAACATGGACGAAGCCACGTAGACATTGGAAAAAGGGACAAGTGCATGGCCTAACTTTTTCAGCACGCATTTTTCACACTAGACATCGGCAATTTCCACTAAAACACGGGCATTTGTCGAGAAAATGATTCAATACAAAAAAAAGTGGTCGATGCACCATGTTCTGGTTAGTTGGGGTCAAAAAAATTGACCATAAAAGTGACCGGAACAGAGAGAAGAAGAAGAAGAAGAAGAAGAGGAAGGGGGACAAAAAAGACAAAGGGTAAACAAAACTTCGTTTTTTTTTTCTTTCGCTCCATCTTTCTGTGCTGCCGGTCGGCTCTCGGTCGGTGTGCTCTTTTTGAGCACAAACGGAACACGACATTACTTCTCATTGTTTGCCAACGAAAATCAGCAGCGGTTATCTATGGAAAACGTGAGGCGTCATTAAAAAATGCAGAAAAAAAGTTGTGTAGTACGTGTACAACTAATAATGGATATTTCGTTCGTTCCTTCGAAGGTGTGTCCTCCTACCGCCGATGATGACACTGTTCCGAAAGAGAGAGAGAAAGAGAGAGAGAGAGAGAGAGAGAGAGAGAGAGAGAGAGAGAGAGAGAGAGAGTGCGTGAGCGGGCCGGAGACACATTATGCTAATGTTCCGATTCGCGCCGCCGACTGGGCTGCGCGGAAAAGAAAAGAAACGGAAGGACTCTCTCTCTCTCTCTCTCTCTCCGGCTTTCCTCTCCTTTTGTTGTGTTTGCACAGCTGAAGTGAATAATTGAGTCGGAAGGAAGCCCGCTAGCCGGTGACGGACACACGAGAAATGCGATAATAGTTTTGCAACTTTTTTGCGACACAAATTTTCCCAAAAACTACCGAAAAAATGGTGGATGGCCGATGCACCATGTGAAGAATGGGGGATAGCGTTGAAACTGATGGGAAACGGTCGATGCACTATTTCTAAGGCTTGGAGAATCAAGAAAAAATTTGGTTGACACGAGGATGCACCATGTGTAGAGAAAAAGGTCACAAAAAGTAGACGAAAGTGGTCGATGCACCATACAAAAGATGGACTCAAAACTGGAATGGCCGATGCACCATGTGGTTGAACTTTTCAACAACAATAACAAGGTTGTAAAACATTGTGAACCACTAGAAAAAAAACTCTTCAGGGACTAGTTTTTTCTCGAGGCGTCATCTCTAAAACTCGTGTTTCCCACACAAAATCTTGCGGCGAAACGACATTTCAAAGCAAAAAGCACACACGAAAAACATGGACAGCTTCTTCTTCTTCTTCGTCTTCTTTTCCACCAACATGGGAGTCATTTGTCACAAGGGACCCGGTCCCCCAAAGTCCGAAGGCCCATTTCTATCGTTTCTGGAAAACGAGGTTCACTGGGACGGAACAAAAATCGAGAAACAGATGGCCTAGGATTTCATCCGGGAAACTTAGTCCATGTGGTACAAGCTTAGAATCGAAAACAGCGAAAAGTTGGGCCACACCTTGACGGCCTAGATTTCAAGCGGCAAAAGTTAGGCCATCGAGACAAAAACAACCACATTTTGTGGGGGAAATCCATTAAAAAACCTCCTCAATTGAAAGGTGACATGGTGGCAGGCAAAAAAAAACGGAGGAAAAGAGGAAAACCAGTTGTCAATAGGCGGGAAAAAAGTGCGGGCAATTGTTGTGAAAATAATAATAATAACAATAATAATATCTCGCCCCCAGTGAGAATGATCGACGGCAAACTTTGAACTGAAAATAAATCGTTGCCAAAATGGCATTCGCGACTGCACATTGCATAGAGAGAAAGAGAGAGAGAGAGAGAGAGAGAGAGAGAGAGAGAGAGAGAGAGAGAGAGTGGGGAGACGGAGACGAGAAAGGAAGAGAGAGTGGGAGAGAGTGGGAGAGAGAGAGAGAGAAGCGGTCCCACTGGTTGACGCCGTTTCGAGCCGAAGGAGCACAGAGACGCAGTGGTCGATGGGGGACCAGCCCGAATCGGATTGGAAGTGGGAAAGGACAATGTTTGGGGGGTAAACATAAAAATGGAAAGGGGGGCGAACGTGTATCTATTGTCTCTCTCTCTCTCTCTCTCCGTCTCTTTTTATTGGTATAACATTCATATTTGATTTATGTATGCATCGTCATGTTGATAACGCGCAAAATATTGTACTTTTACGCGACCCCAAAGTGGTGGCTGTGGCCTAGGAATTTCTAGGCCACTCTCACTTACATCCGACACACTTGTTTCATAGTATTCGGTGGTAAAACTCCCTCGAAATTAGCTGGAAATACGCTAGACGGCAGCAGAACATGGTGCATCGACCAACGTTAGAGGTGCTCTACAGTTTTTTGATCATAACTCGAAAATGAAGCTATGTGGAGCAAAATGATCAACTACAAAGTTGTTAAGAATAAAATTTGCAACAACTTTGCAGTTGAACACTTTTTGATACAACGAATGTCTTCCAAGATATAAGTCGTCAAAGATAGGAGATGCCGTCTAGGCCTAAGTTCGTCATTACACTACCAACTAGACATTTATAACAGAAAGCAAAACTGGAAAAAAAAAACAGAGGGACCACGAACGATTCAAAGCAACAACTGACGGCGGAACTCGGACGAAAAAAACAAGAAGTCATCGGGAGAAAATCAAAAACAAAAAAAAAAACGGGGGGATGGAATCCGTGAAAAACGGGAAGCGGAGCCGAAATCCGATAGGCTCACACTCGTTTTCACATTGTCGTGTGCCAGCGCTTCATAAAGTGTCATGTTTCAGATTGGTTTGGGGGGAGTGTCTTTGTGTCCCGTACTAGGCACCGCTTCTGAGCTCCGAGCGAAAAAGTGGGGCGAAAATGTGTTCGGATCATTTTTAAGGGACCCAATTAATGTGAAAGTTGACGAAAACATCAGCCAGCCTCTAAATTAGGACAAAAAGCAACTGTGTAAGACTTAGTATTATACTCTTCGGAAATTGGCTCATAACGTGAGAATGAAGCATGTTCAGGTAAAATACTCAATTGAAGAGTTGTAGAGCATAAAATTTGCAACAACTTTCCAGTTGATCACTTTTCGAAACAATCAAGAGTTTTCGAGATATAGGTCCCCAAAGAGAGGTGACTTAGAGTTGTGTAACTTTGCGGTCCCAACTGGTTCATCCACTAAATATAGTCTAGTTTTTCCAGTTTTTTTTCCAGGTTGTTCTGTGCTTTCAAATTGGACTTTTCAAGTGTTGGAGTTCTAAATGGTGCATCGACCGTCCGGCAAAGTACAAAGCAAAAATGGAACTTTTCGCTCATTATGGTGCATCAGCCATCTGCAAGAATTTTATCTGGACAAATTTTTTTTTTTTCTAGAACATGGTGCATCGACCACCTCAACCACTTTGACATATCCTTTTGATTCATTTATTCACGTGAAGACTGGCTAGACGACTTTTCGCATCTAAAAATAGAAAAACAGAGAGAGAGAGAGAGAGATACGGAAAAAAGTGATCATTGGCGCCGTTCGCGAACCTTCCCCACCTAATTTTCAATCTTTACACACTGATAAGGACACTGGTAGGTACTTTTTCGATTCCCGCTGACATCATCAATGGGGAAGCCACCAAAACAGTCCATGGAATGTTCACGTGAAGTGGAAATGGTATCCAAAATGAGACGTGAGGATGGCCAATGGAACCGTGTCAAAGTACGCTGGAAACTGGAGCCCGGAAACGTCACATCGGTACCAAAATTTTTTTGTGAGGCCTTGACATCTAGTACAACATTTTTGTCGTTGAACATGTTTCTCCAAAAGCACTTCCTGGAGTACTGTAGGCCTTGGAAGTTAGGATCACCCAAACTCTGCTCTAAACTTCCAAGCGCTACAGTACTCTTCGGAGGGGTCGTACAAAAAAGTTGTCAATTACAAAAATAAAGTTCACAAGTAGTACTATACTTTTGTAGTTGACCACTCTTCTCTACAACCATTCTCTGGTGTACTGTAGCGCTTTGAAGTTGGGACCCTTTAAAACCTTTCGTGAGCTACCATACTCCAGGAAGTGGCCGTACAAAAAAGTGGTAAACTGCGTCTAGTTTTCTGTCAAAAAACGGTTCAAATCAAAAGGACTTTGCACTGTGCAGTTTTGCAAAACGTTGTGTGATCAGTGATTCCTCGAAATGGCTTGACGACTTTTAAAAGTGTGTTCACGTGAACAAATCTCTTCTCTCCCCTCTCTCTCTCTCTCTCTCTCTCTCTCTCTCTCTTTCTCTCTTTCCGTCCCTATCATCACACTCGTCACTCGTTATCAGTGATCTGTCAAAAGTGGGCGGAGCCTACGACTTTTGAAGAATAAACTCTAAATTGTATATAAAAGATCGAGAAGGCGGGGCACATAACAAAAAAAATCACAAAATCACTATTTCTACACAACAATGGTTTGTCAATCGTTCGACTATTCGTTCAACAACAATGCCGGAGAGCTTCACGAGGACCGCCGCAAGCGAATCGCCATTGTCGGCGGCGGAAACTGGGGATCCGCGATCGCGTGTCTCGTCGCAACGACCGTCAAGCGACAGAGCGGCCGGTTCAACCCTGTTGTGCACATGTGGTGCCGCGATTCCAGAGTGAGTCGAGAGTTTTCGACAAAACTAGAGGGTCTAGAGACAAAAGTCGACCGAAATTTGCGTTAATTTCTTGAGGATATTTGAAAATATTCCAAATTTCTTGCGCAAATTTTCAAAAATTACATTCGTTCGTTGAGCTGTGCGCACCCCGGTTTTTCACGCAAATTTCGACCGACTTTGGACAGAGAAACCTTCGGTTTTTCCGGTTTTTCCGAGACTTTACTATATATTAGTAACTGATAAAAAATCGCTGTGAGTTTGGTTCGTTTACGCACAAAAAAGAACCGTCCGACCCGTGGATTTTCTTCTTTTTTTTTCGGCCGATCGCTCGGCTGGCTGCCATCCGCCGCACTGCGTTCCCGAGAGCGAACGCTCAAATTGGCGGGCCGTTATGAGCGGTAGGTCTACTAAAAACGCCAAAGTTCGTAAATTTTCACTTTTTCACGCACTTTCTGGTCCTTCATTCTGTAGCTATCGGTCTCACGCGCAACCGTGAGCCGACGGCTTTTCTTAAAAACCGGAAATTCGAGTCCGTGACAAAAGGGCGGAAAACGAAAAGGTCGGAAGTATACTTATAAGTGACAAAATGTCGGAAAAAATGCCAAAATGTCGGAAAAAAGTGACAAAATGTTGGAAAAGTGCCAAAAGGTCGGAAAAAAATGCCAAAAGGTCGGAAAAAAATGCCAAAAGGTCGGAAAAAAATGCCAAAAGATCGGAAAAAAATGCCAAAAGGTCGGAAAAAATGCCGAAAAAAATTACAAAAAGTCAGAAAACAGGTATTTTAGCAGTTTTTCCGACCTTTTGACATTTTTTTCCGACCTTTTGTCACTTTTTTCCGACCTTATGTCATTTTTTTTCGATCGTTTGGCATTTTTATCCAACTTTTTGGCATTTTTTTCCGACCTTTTGGCACTTTAACATTTATCGTTTGTTTTGAAATTCAAATGTTTCGCGGCAAAAAGAGCGCGCGAAAATCCACGTTCTTGTTGTTTTGTTATTCGCGAACGAACATTCTGTTCGATCGCGATCGCTCGCTGCCCTCCGCACTTGCCGATTCTCATTTTCGTCGCAAATTTCCGCGATTTCCTCTAAAATTCAGCGCAGTTTCGCTTAATTTCCTAATTTCGCAAAAGAAAACAGTTTTCGCCGTTTAAAATACCGTGATCTTCTCGCCTTGTTTTTCATCGAAATTTCGCCAAATTCGCTCGAATCTCATCCAAACACGCCGTCTTTTATACTTTTCTTTCCCGAAATGTGTTATTTGTCTCTGGTTTCACTGAAAACCACACCAAAATCGTCCGGTTTTGCGAGCAAACCACTTTTTTCGCCGCCTTTTCTTTATTTGACGTGAAAAACTATAGAGAAAGACGGAAAAACTCGCAAGAAATGTGAATTTCTCGTTTGCAGAAGCCGGGCGACACCTCCGAATCGATCGCCGACGTGATCAATCGTCGCCACGAGAATGCCAAGTACCTGCCGGGCCGCCGCATTCCCTCCAACGTCATCGCCACTTCGAATCTTCTGGATGCCTGTGCCTCGGCGCACATTCTGATTCTCGTCGTCCCGCATCAAGGAATCGCGCAGATTTGTGAGGAACTCAATGGAAAATTGCTGCCCGACGCCCACGCAGTCTCGCTGACCAAAGGCATTTCGTCGGAGATGGACGCGGAAACGAAAATAATGAAAATGCGTCTGATTTCGGAGGACATCGAGGCGGCGCTCGGCGTCGAATGCTCCGTCCTGATGGGCGCGAACCTGGCCGGAGAGGTCGCCGACGGAAAATTCTGCGAAGCGACGATCGGATGTAAGAGTTTGGAGAATGGTGAGGAGCTGAAGGCCCTCTTCGACACTCCGAACTTCCGAATCCGCGTGACGACCGACTTTGAGGCGGTGGAACTTTGCGGAGCACTTAAGAACATTGTGGCGTGTGCGGCCGGTTTCGCCGATGGACTCGGATGGGCGTGCAACGTGAAATCGGCGATTATTCGGCTGGGACTGCTGGAAACGAAGAAATTCGTGGAGCATTTCTATCCGAACGCGGAGGAAGACGGAGGAAACACGTACTTGGAGTCGTGCGGACTCGCCGATCTCATCACCACTTGCTTCGGAGGCAGAAACCGGAAAGTGGCGGAGGCGTTCATCAAGAGTGATAAGGTTGGTCAGATAAATAGACGAGAGACAGTGTTTCAACATCTTTCACAGCAACAAATTTACAAAAATCCAATTTTCAGTGCCTGGCCGTTGTCGAGAAGGAGTTGCTGAATGGTCAGAGTGCGCAAGGACCGCCGACCGCGCAGGACGTGTTCGAGATGCTCGAAATGCACGAAATCGCCGAGGAATTCCCGATTTTCACGTCGGTCCACAAAGTTTTCGTTGGCGAGCACACCGAGAAGGACCTTTACGAGGCGCTGAGAAACCATCCAGAGTACGAATAAATTTCCTACTCTTTTTTGAGTTTGACATGCTAAATTTTAGCGCAACTTGTACATAATTATCGATCTCTTTGCATTACTTGTAATATTGATAATGCGGTTTTTTTCAGTTTTTCAGCGTTTTAATAAATATTTTTGTACATTATAATATGTCGAACTGAAGCTCTTGTAGCGCTGAGTATCAAAAACAACTCGAAATCCCTTAATTGTTGCAAAATCCAGGTGGAAATTCTTACATTTTCAGCAAAACTCCAAGTACATAATGCAAACGCGCTCTAATGAGAATGCGGAGAGATAAGGCGGCATGAAGAGAGCGCAGACATTTCTCTGCTCATTTGCGACGAATTTTCTCTTTTTTTTTGCGCGAAAATCACGGAAAAACTGCTAAAATTGAGTTTTCAGGGTAAAATGAGGATGAAAACGATCGAACAGACGGGCGACGGCCCGAAAATGTCGAGAAAAGAGCAGCGAAAGTCGGCGAAGAAGCTGAAAAAGATGCAGGCTCGAGCGTTCGCCCAAAGGGCTCCGGTAATTTGCGATTTCCGGCGAATTTTAAGTTTTGCGACATTTCCAGATCGAAAACGTGATGCGTGAAGCGATGGGAATGACGAAAGAGGACAAGAAGAAGCGGAAACGGAAGCGGCAGCGGGAGGCGAAAAAAGAGATGAAAAAGCTGGAAAAACGAGACGAAAGTGAGGATGAAGACTTGGAAAGTGACGAAGAGTCCGAGGACGAGGTGATTATTGATTTTTGTTGAAAAATCGAAAAAAACTAATTGTTCTGCTTAGAGTCCGGCAAAACGACGTGGTGGTGTCGTGGAAGTCAGTGTGAACAAGGGAAAACGCAAATACGGCGATGAATCCGAGGATTCGGACGAGGATCTGACTTACGAGCAGTATATGGAAGAGGTGGAGGTGAGAAAATGCAAGAAATCAGAAGAGTTTAGCGAAAAATCCCATTTTTCAGGCGGCTAAACGAAAACGTCGTCAGGATCAAGAAGGCGTCGACGACGACGATGCGGCGATTCGAAAATATGGAGTTTTGCTCGGTTTGAATGTAAAAATCATCGAATTCATGTGGAAATCCTAAAATTTACGAGATTTTTTGCAGGAAAACAAAAAAGAGCGTGACGGAACGTTGAAGGTGCCAAAAGCGATGAGAAGCGACGGATTGGACAGTGAGTTGTTCTAACTGTCTAAATTAATTATATGGGTCATATTCGTTCAGTTTCCACTCATTTGAACCCACTAGACTACCTGATACGAGCACTAGAATCACTAATGTTCAGATTGCCGGAGTGTCCTTATGGCGCCGCAGTCTAGACATTTCTGGCTTTACCCGGACTGAAAACCAAGCCTTTTGTCCGGATCAAAATCAAAAAATTATTAAGAATTGCTCAAAGAAACGTTTTTTGCAGTGCTGCTCGACTTTTGCGACGCGGAACGCCGCAAAGATATAATGGAGAACGAAGGCGGCGACGGCGACGAACAAAACAGTGAAAATGAGTTTGAGGACGAGGAAGAGGAGGAAGATGACGTGGAATTAGATCTTTCAGAAGGGGAAGAGGTGGGATTTGAAAAATCTGGAAAAAATGGACAATTTTCGAGTTACAGATGGATGATATCGGTTCGGATGAGGAATTGGAAGAGGACGAAGAAGAAGAAGATGGAATTGAGGATGAAGAAGGAGAGGATTCTGATGAAAATGAAGAGAAAGAGGAAGAAAGAGAGGAAGAGGAAGCCGAAGACATTTACGGACGCAAAATTAATAGGTAAAAGCACTAAGGAAAATCAAGAAAAACTCGGGGTTTTCAAAGACAATTTTTGCAGACAAACGGGCGAGCTGATCAAATTCGACCCGGCGGCGGCGCGACGGAAACTCGAAGAACTCGACGCGGCCACCGCCGATTCGGGCTCATCGGCGGAGCAAAGAGCACGTGTGGATCGGGCGGTGAACAGCGTCATCAACAAACTCTCCGACGCGATGCTCGTCAAGTCGCAGCAGGCGATCGCGGAGCTGTGGACGACGAGCTCGAAAAATGGTAGGGGAGCCTGAAAATGCGCTAATTGTCTTTTTTGTGGTTTTGCACATGTAATTCGTATTCTGTAACTGAATTCCCGCATTTTGGGAGCAATGCGTTGTTTTTGTGCTCTGATGTTTTGTTTCAAAGCACAAGACACATTAAACGTCAAAAGATTCGTATTTTTAAACCCTCCAATTTCAGACGTGAAAAGTGCGCTGTACAAGTTCCTTTCGAAGGCGTTGGCGGCGCCGTTCCGTCTCCAAGACTCGCTTCTGACGACCTACGGAGCATTTGTGACAATGTGCCATTCGATGATCAGCAACGAGATTTGTGAGGACCAGTTTTTTGGAAAAAAAAATGTTTGATAATGCTCTTTTCTATTCAGCCGCCCATTTCGTAGAAGTGTTCCTTTGCGATCTGGTCAAATCGATGCGAAATGAAGAGGAAACGGACGATAAATCGATGGAGAATCGTGTGGTTTTCACGGCGATGCTCGTCGTCTTTCGCATCCTCCAACCCTCGATTCTCGTCGAACTTTTGGAGAAGTTTGCGGAAAATCTGAATTTAACGAATCTTTTCGCGGTGCGAACACTCGTCGCCTACGCCTACAAATCGCTGAAAAAGACGCAATGGCAGTCGGTGACCGAGAAAATCGATAAAATCGCGGCGGACTTTCAGCAGAAGCCCGTCTCGGCGCTTCCGAGAGCCAAATTCCTGCTGGAAGAGGTTTTGGCGCTGAAAAAAGCGAGCCCGAAGGCCATCGATTACACGGTGTTCGAGCGGCAGGTCAAAGTGCTGCAGGGACTCACTAAAAGTAGGTCAAACCTCGATGATTTGGAAAAATTGACGAAATTTGCAGAAAAAGGAGCCGCGGCGGACGGGAAAGAGCTCTCGATGACGCTGAACGACCTGCTGCACGCCGAGCAACGAGGAAGATGGTAATTTTGGGCATTTTTCAGAACCTCTATTGAAAAATGACGTTAAAAGCTTTTCGAGCTCGTTTTTATCCGTGATTTTTCATTTAAATTTCAGGTGGATCGTCGGTTCGGCGTTCCGTCTTCCCGAAAACGGCGGATACGGTCTCCTGGCGTCGGCGGCTCAACAGAAGAAGAACGCGTCCGGAGGGACCGCGTTCCCGCCGGAAATCGTCTCGTTGGCCACAAAAGCGGGCATGAACTCGGAGATTCGGCGACAGATTTTCTGCTCTGTCGGTCAGTAACTACATGCGTTTTTTCATGCGGCTGCAAAACTTTCGTACACTTTCAGCGACTGCGGAAGACGAAGACGAGGCGTTCGAGCGTCTGCTGAAGCTCTCGTTGAAGGGAGAGAAGGAGCGGGAGCTGGTGCACGTGCTCATTGCGATGATGATGAAGGAGAAGTCGTTCAACGCCTTCTACGCCGCACTTTTGCAACGGTTTTGCGAGTTTAACAAACGATTTGTGGTACGTTTCTCCACTTTCTTGAATTATTTGCAGGGCCGGGCTTGGACTTTTGACCCAAATTTTGCAGGCTTCTCGGGCGTGGATTGAAGTATTCTGGGTCCGAGTTTCAGACCGATTGGATTATCTAGTGTACCCGAGACTGGGCTTGGACCCAATATACTTAAATCCAGGTTCAAGAAACCTGCAAAGTTTGGGTCCGATCGGAATATTGCAAGTGGGTAAGCCCTGATGATTTCTATACAATTATCCGCAGATCACTCTCCAATTCGCGCTTTGGGACCGACTGCGCGAGTGCGATTCTCTGAAACCGTTCCAGCGTGGCTCGCTGGCTCAACTCGTGCAGCATTTGATCGCCAACGAAGTGATGCCGATAACAGTACTCAAGGTACCGTAGCCCCAATAATCGACAGTAATCCATGTGCCTTTTCAGACGGTCGAATGGGCGAGCCGCTCGGCGCCACTCACCTCTTTGCTCAAAAAGCTCTTCGTCGGACTCGCCAAATCGCCCGAATCCGTGCTCCGACGCGTTTTCGAGCCGGTCATCAACACGCAGAAACGGGCGAAATTCGAATTGATGTCAGAGGTACGGCTGGGCGAAAATTTCACGAAAATGGTCATTTTTACCTTTGTGTGTTTTCAGGGAATGCGCGTATTTTGGCACATGAACCTCGCCGACTCGGCGGCCTATCAAAAAGTGAACAAATGGATCATGGAGAGCGGATACGATTGATTAATCCATTTTTTGACCCAAGAACATACTCATTTTCTGTTTGCCCACCTCCTTTTTTTTTGTTATTGTTACACCGTTTTTGCTCCTTGTTACCATCTGTTATGACATGAAAATTGGATTAATAGGCGAAAGGCGGCTCGCGTTGCGCAACTCGGCACCGCATAATTACAAAGAGCCTCGGAACACGGCCCAATTAGGATTAGACGGTCATGCAAATGTCACGAATGTCATTTCCCAAACCGATTTTGCTTTTTTTTCGTCATTTTTAGCCCGAAATCGCGCAGTTTTGTAAAAGGGGTGGAGCCTGGCGACACGCAAAACATAGCGGTGCGCGGAACCCGCGAGGTGTCGGCTGCTTCGTTTATAGACGTCCGCCACGCGCGCCGCCGCGAATGCCTCAATGAAGATAAACACCGATCCATCGAGTGACATCTTGCTGATAGTTGTACGTCAGTCGGAGAGGTCTTATTTTGGTAATGCGCAATATTGAAAAGGAATGCCGTGGTTTGCGTAATTTACATTTTCTCATATTCAGCTCCCTAATATTGTCAATTTCAGCGTAATGTCCTCTCCGCTCGACGAGTTCAACTGCTATCACATTCCCGATTATTTCGTACAATGGTACGACCTGGAACCCACAATTCAATGGCTTCAAACCACGGAATCTGCGCAAAAACCTCCAAAAGACAAGGAAAATGAGAAGAAGAAGATACGGTAGGTGGCTACAGTAATCCTCAACATTCAAAACTGTTCAAATTCAGGTCCACATCCGCCTACGCACTGTTTTTTCGCGAACAACAACTGACGGAGAAGCGTGCGGCGCCGCACGCGACTTTCGGACAGATATCACAGAGAATCGCGAAGCAATGGGATAATTTGAGCGAATCCGAGAAAAAGGTTCGTGTTAGGGACACTTTGCAACCGGTTCGCAACTTTCGGTCGTCAACTAGTTGCGAAACGTCCTTCAATTTCAGGCCTACAAGCAGAGATGCGAGAAAAATCGAAAGAAGAGTATTGCGAACGCGGTGGCGGAAAAGGCCCGAAAGCTTTTGATGGCAGCGACAAAACTACACTAGTCCCGCGGATAATTTAAGCGGTTTTATAATAATAATAATAATGAACTTTTTTTTGAAAAAAGTGGAAAAATTGAGGTTCACTTTGCAAATCGTGTATTTTCTTTGTCAGTTTTTGTGCAAAATGTACGGTTAAAAAACAGAATTGTAGCTCGGACGATGAGCTTTATTTTTGTAGTTGACCACTTTTTTACACGACCACTCCCTGGCCTACTGTAGCGCTTCGAAGTTAGAGGCGAGGTTCACAGTTTCTGATTTCAGCGCCAACTTCCACGCGCTACAGTACGCCTGGGAGTGATCGTACAAAAAAGTGGTCAACTACAAAAATGACCTACTAGATGTGAAGTTTACGCTCAAAATTTTCGAGAGCGCCTAGCACATTGACGAGCGCCACAATACCGGTTCAAATTTTTTTGCCCCAACAACTAAACTCTCTTTCCGCTCGCCTACATATATTATGCGTTTACTTGTCATTTTTGACACCCACGCAGTGGGGTACACACCCGTCAACTCCCATATCATATCAAAGCGCAATTGGAAGTGTACACACAAAAGTACTCTTTGTGGTTTGATCCGATCCACCGACCCGCGAGGAGAAGAGTGTGTGTGTGTGTGTTTTTGGCCCCAAGACAGACAACTTTTGTCTCTTTTTATCTTTTTCCATGAGCTTCTTCTTCTTCTTCTTCTTCTCTCTCTCTCTCTCTCTCTCTCTCTCTCTCTCTCTGTTTCATAGTCAGATGTTAACGTGGCGGGGCGGCCCAGAGAGCACAGTGATCGGAGAGACGCAGACGACGAGACGGCCTCTCCAAGCGCTGGCTCGACGCGGAGGGAGCCCGTGCCTGGATGCGATGCTGATGGTTTTTGATGTGTTTGACCAAGTCTCTTTGAAAATTGTCTCGATTTTTCCGCTTTCTCGCTCTTCTTCAACGCTATTTTCGGTGGTATCACGCTCTATTTTCCACTTTGCTTTTGGCCACAAAAACACCATTCGACCGTATTGTACGCTGCAGACACGGAAAATCATTGAAAAGCCTAGACATCTATCAACTCGCCCTCCGAAATGCGCGTCCACAGCGCACTCTCATTACCGCCTCGCAGACGTGTCGCACTCGCCGGCGTTCGTGGTGTAATGGTCAGCATGGATGCCTTCCAAGCATTCGACGGGGGTTCGATTCCCCCCGAACGCAAAATCGCTTTTTCTCGATTTTTGTCACCGATCTTTTACATTTCCGCATGACGATAATCTACTATTGTTTGTTTTTCGCTTATGAATTATTCATGAGAGAGAGAGAGAGAGCGAGAAATGTCGATGACTTTTCAGACCGGAAATTTGATGTTGAGGGTGCTCTCTTGTGAGAAAGGACACCGACCCAAAAAAAAAAACGCGTTTTTCATGTTCTCCGACAATATCTCTCTTTTTTCTTCTTCTCTGCGTCTCCGAACAAAAAAAATTCCCAATTTTGGGATTATTTTTCGGGGATTTTCAGTCGGGAAAAGCGCAAAATGATGATGATGATGACTTTTAATCTTCCTTTCCCTCCACACCGCCCATTTTTGCATTTTCCTGTCAAACTCGTCAACCCAAAGGCTTTTAAAACATCAAAAACCCCTTGGAAAACGTTGGATGACAATATAATGCTAAACAAAACCTGGTATAGTACCAATATTATCCATTCAACTTTCGTGACATCGATCTAGCACAGGTTACTGTACTTTTGCTTCTTTTTCTAAAGATCATCGCCCTCTCTGCTCATTAGTTATGACACATTTCTTTCCATTTTCCCGCTCATAAAGTATTCGCTCTTTGAAGCGTGTAATCCAATGGCCACATGGTGCATCGACCTTTAGCTTCAAGAGAGAAGACGATGATATTCGAACAAATAAAGCGAGTACTGTAGTGGCAGTAGATCAAAACTGAAAAACAAAGTGTTGCTCTTCGGAAAACGCACTTTTTTGATGGGGAAACATGAGAGAGAGAGAGAGAGAGAGAGAGAGAGAGAGAGAGAGAGAGAGAGAAGAAGAAGAAGCATGCTCTCACAGGATGCTCCTCATCAATTACCCCCCGCTCTCTCAAACTTTGTTCTCTTTTTCGCCCTCGACGACAACGAAATCAAGTGCTGATATATTGTCGTCTTCTCATTTTTAGTCCTTCACGCTTCCTGGATCGGTTTTTAGTGAAAATTTTCGGGTTTTCCAGCCTAAATTCGCGTCATTTTGAAGGGTTTCAACGTATAATTGTACATTTTTCTATTATATTGCTCTTTCAAGTTCAAATTCAGCGCCAATCTTGCCAACAACCGTCCGAATGCTACCGATATTGTAGACTTCGCAGTTTTCTCACAAATTCGGTCCGAAAAAGCGAAAAATGAGCGATTCCGGGCCCGAAATTTGAGCCGTTGAAGATGTAAACAGAAAACATGCAACTGCTCCTTTGTTTTCTTCCATTTTCGCCCAAAAACGTTCAAAACTGCTCGATTGCACCAGAGATGTTGGGAATTCCGTGTTCCGTGTTCCGTAAAAAAAAAAATTTCCGTGTTCCGTGTTCCGTGTTCCGTATAAACTATATTTTCTGCGGAAAAATGCTCGCCTCGTAGATCAAATTTATCTCCGGAAAGATTAGGACAATTGACGTTTTGTGGTCAAAATTTGAAAATTTTCGGATTCGGACCATATTCGTGAAAAGTGGATTCCATTTTCAGTCGTTTTTTACTGTAGTTGTTTACTGTTGTGTTGTTGGTTTTGTTATTTTTATGAAATTTTCAGTAAAACTTTCACATGAGTCAAACAGCTGCCTTGTCAGTCAGATTATCGAATTAAACAAAACATTATTTTTTTAAAAAAATCACTGGAATTCTCTTGAAAAACGCTTTTTTTCCGTGTTCCGTAAAAAAATTTCCGTGTTCCGTGTTCCGTAAAAAAAATTTTCCGTTTTCCGTGTTCCGTGTTCCGTAAAAAAAAATTTTCCGTTTTCCGTGTTCCGTGTTCCGTAAAAAAAAAATTTCCGTGTTCCGTGTTCCGTGTTCCGTAAAAAAAAAAATTTTCCGTTTTCCGTGTTCCGTGTTCCGTAGAGTAAAATTTTTATTCCCAACATCTCTGGATTGCACCCTTTTTTTGAGGGAAAAAGGTCTAAAATTCGAGCGATTTCCGTCAAAAGACGCTCCAAAATGTGTGTGTGTGTGTATCAGTTGTTTTGCAGTTTCTCGCCACCCCTCATCTCAAAATATTGGCGAAAACCTAGAAAAAAAAGAACGCGCACACACTTTTCTTTTCTTGTCTTTTCTTTGCTTTGCAAGACGGAGAAGACAGCTGTAAATATGAATGCGTGCATGGAAGGAATCCCTTTTTTTTGACAGCCCCCCAGAACAACACGTTTGTTATCATCTTCGTGTCAGTTTTCGTGGCAAATATGGCGGGTATTCATTAGGTTCAAGTTGGACAAAAGCGTCGACGGATAAGGGTTGCTATGACGATTCTTGCAACACATTTTGAGAGTTTGTTAGGGAATTTGGCAAAGCACTACGGCACGCCGTCCATTCAAGACGCTATATCTCGGCTGTGGGTTGAGATATCAAAAAGAGGTCAACTGATAAAATGTTTATCAGGAGATTATGCACATTTTATCAGTTAACCATTTATCGATATCTTTATCGGCAACGGAGATATATCGTTTTGTCTATGAGAGTTTTGTTCGATGAGTGTCAACGCAATGTTCTTTATTCAAGACGCTATATCTCGGCTGTGGGTTGAGATATCAAAAAGGGGTCAACTAATGAAATGTTTATCAGAAAATTATGCACATTTTATCAGTTGACCATTTTTTAGTATCTTTACAATCAGCTGAGATATGTCGTTTTGAAATTACGGTTTTCATGCTTTGAGATGTTACCACTGAAACCCAGCCACTTGAGCCTCAAAACCACGAAAAACCTCACCAGCGTTTTTTTTCTAGTGCCCGGCTGATTGTCCCAAATTGACTTGTCTCTCTCTCTCTCTCTCTCTTCCCCATCCGTCCGTCCTGTTTACTCATCTCATCCTGGTGTCGGGGCTGTTTTTCAAACGGAAAAAAAACCGAACCTTCTTCTTCCTCTTCTTCTTCTTCTTCTTCTTGCTCTCGCTTCGCCATCCTAACCGCCGCTTCTCTCAATAAAATGAAATAAAATATTGCACCCTTCTTCTTTCTCTTTCTCTCTTCCGATGAGAGATGCGGATAATTATCACACCGACAATATTGGTTCTCACGGCGGTCCGTTGATTATTCAAGCGGAAAAGTTCGTTCGTTTCCAGGTCAGTGGCCTAACTTTTCGTGAAGTCAATCCTAGGCCATCACCTCTCCAGGCAGCCTAGTTTCCGATTGTCGGATTCTAGGCCTCTTGTTCTCTTGTCTTGAATCCCCCGGCCATTTGTCGAAATTCTCGGGTTCTTCTAGGCCATTTCCACTTCAATTTCACACTCGAAACCTGCCAATTTCCGGCGCTTTCACGTCTTCCGCAAATATAAAATAAATCACCGCCGCCCAAATTATAGCGCACCCAAAGAACGTTGTAAAACAATGTGTGTTTTTGGTGGAAAAAGTCGAAAGAGAAGAGAAATTCGAAAATTCCATTGGGAACCATTTGGAGGGATGGACGAAACGTTTTCCCACCAGTTTTGAAGTTTTCCGCGTCCGGCCATACTATAGGCATTAGGGACTAGTTTTCCTAGACGATTTTCTAGGCCACGAGAAGTTGGGGACTAGTTTTCCTCGACGATTTTCTAGGCCACGAGAAGCTGGGGACTAGTTTTCCTCGACGATTTTCTAGGCCACGAGAAGTTGGGGACTAGTTTTTCTAGACGATTTTCTAGGCCACGAGAAGTTGGGGACTAGTTTTCCTCGACGATTTTCTAGGCCACGAGAAGTTGGGGACTAGTTTTCCTCGGCGATTTTCTAGGCCACGAGAAGCTGGGGACTAGTTTTCCTCGACGATTTTCTAGGCCACGAGAAGCTGGGGACTAGTTTTCCTCGACGATTTTGTAGGCCACGAGAAGCTGGGGACTAGTTTTCCTAGACGATTTTCTAGGCCACGAAAAGCTGGGGACTAGTTTTCCTAGACGATTTTCTAGGCCACGAGAAGCTGGGGACTAGTTTTTCAATGTCCTACTAGGTTTCGCAGTGTCCAAATCCGAATGCTCCCCTCAAAAGCGCCTACTAAACCTACTATTCGCTATTTTGGATTTCTAGGCCACGTCACCAAGTTGGCGCGTAGGCCAGAACGTCAACATTAATTGAAAAAAAAAGGCGGCGGCGGCGGCGGACGTCTATTGAAAAGGACATTTCTACTCCGTTTTGCCATCCAATTTCCGGCGGCCTATCATTCAAAAAGCGATGGAAATGCGCCCGCGTTTAATGTGTACACACAGTGGATTAGGCGGGTGGTCCCCCCCATGAAAGCACTAGAAAAAGGGGGGCATCTAATTGAAAATTCGCCGATGGCCCTTTTCGCCAAAAAAAAGGAGAGAGAGCCGAAATTGTCGAAAGTTGAGTAGTCAAAAAGAAAGACGATTTGCGTCCGTTACTGATTAGGTTAGCTCGGTTTTTCGGTAGGCTCTCTTTACTCGGTTTCTCCCCCACTTTCTCTTCGTGCTTCTTCACCAACTAATGAGTCTTCGCTCTGATTGTCGCGTGCCACATCACTGACGCTCTTATGTAATTGCGACGAATTCTCTCTCGAGTCGGCGCACGCAACAACGCAACGTTTTTTACAGAGTAGTAGACGATGAACCGTGCACGAAAGACGAGCAGTTGCGGATGCTTCCGAAGCGCGTTTTGCGTGCTGAAGCCGTCGACGTCGTCCGGACACCACGCGGACACCGAAAAGAAGTTGTTGTCGGCGCGGACGAGCGCGGCGAGGGACGATGAACCGGTAGGTGGCAGAGTTGAGCGGAAGAACTCAACGGAAGAATTTTTATCTTTTTTGGAAAATTTTTTCATGAAATGTGAACAACTGACGAAATGTAGAGCAAAGTGAACTCTGCGCATAGAAAAATAATTGTGAATTTAGCGATTCATACAAAAAAGTTATTCGAGTTTTTCCGTGAAAATGTCTTTCCGTTTTCGGTTAGCCCTTAACTTTTTTGTATGAATCGCTAAATTTACAATTATTTTTCTATGCGCAGAGTTCACTTTGCTCTACATTTCGTCAGTTGATCGCATTCCATGAAAAAATTTTCTAAAAAAGATAAAAATTCTTGCGTTGAGCTCTTCCGCTCAACTCTGGTAGGTGGTGGTCGAGGAGAAAGTTAGGCCAGCTACTACTCGATTTCAGACGTCGCCACCGTCGCGTCCGCTCAAAATCCCGCCGCTCGACCTGAACGGCGTGGAAGCAAACGAGAAACGCCACGTGACACAGGTTGTGTGTGAGTTTCACATGTGCACCAGTGTTGAGCGGACTTCCGTCTTCCGTCTTCCGGAAAAAATTCGCCGTACCGTAAAAGAGTAATAGCTTTTTAGAAGCAATTTACTAGCCCCGAAGAACGCGAATCCAAAATTTTTGTTGTTTAGTTATTTTTTTCAAAAAAAAAAACCGGAGAAAAAGGTTCTGTATTGACGCTGTTTTTGTTCCGTCTTCCGTCTTCCGTCTTCCGGGAAAAACGTTTTCTTCCGTCTTCCGTCTGCCGTCTTCCGTAAAAAAAATTCTTTTGTCTTCCGTCTTCCGGTTTCCGTGTTCCGTAAAAAAAAATGTTCTTCCGTCTGCCGTCTTCCGTCTTCCGGATTTCAAAATTCCATTTCCGCTCAACTCTGATGTGCACTAGGCTATGCAGTACAAGTGTTGTCTATTCGAACCGATATACCTCAGCAGCGGTGGGAGCTATCAAAAAGTGGTCAACTGAGAAAATGTACAAAATGTTTTGAGGAGCAAAACATCAGTTGACAATTTCTTGATATCTCTGCAGACTCTCGAGATGTACACTTTTGAATGGACCGTACCCTCATTTCCGACTCTTCGCGCTCATCCATTCACACTTCCCCCCCACCCCCGGAATAGATTGCTTCATGTCCATCTCTTTCTTTCCAACAAATCCAATCAAAAAACTTCTTCTCGCTCTTCTTCTTCTTCTTCTTCTTCTTCTTCTTCTTCTTCTTGACATCTTCTGTGAAGGCAGCGTGTGTCTCTTCAGAAGACGTCGTAAGTCAATCAGAGGATGGGGGAGGGGGGGGGGACATCCAATATCACTTCTTCTCTTGACATTTTGTCAAGAATAGAATGAGACAGAGAGAGAGAGAAAGAGAGAGAGAGAAAGAGCGGAACTTGTCGAGCGCTCTTTTTTTTCACATTTCTAGTGTTTTTGTGTCTAGTACGCACGCTTCGTGTTCAACACCAACTACAGTAGGTCAACGCTGTTAGTCATACAATAGTACAAGTGACAAACTCGCCCGTCAACCCTCCCTATGATTATGATTGGCATTTTGGATGAAATTCGTCGACTCAAAAGTTCACCACCTTTTCTCGAAGCCACTTTTGTTTTTGCGTGAGTATTAGCCTACATCTCCTCGCTTTTTCACTTGTACATTGATAGTATCAGGTTGAGAAAGTGAGTTCATTGTATCGGTTCAGTACTCAAAAACTTGCCAAACAGGAGAAGCTAACCGAAATTGGCTGATTTTGAGTGTGCCTACAGTATCCCAAGTTATTTCCGTAATCATCTTTTCGCTTGACTTTCAAAAATCTCGAGGGATCTCTCTTTCTCTCTCTCTCTCTCTCTCTCTCTCTCTCTCTCTCTCGATACAATTAGATGGGTATTCAGTGTCGCACCCGCCTACAATTGCCCTTTGATCCTTTCATCCATAACAACTCTCTTTTCTCCTACTCGTTCTCCTACATCTTTGATCTTTTCTCTCTCTCTCTCTCTCTCTCTCTCTCTCTTTCACTCTCTCTTTCAGAATCACCGCTCCTTATGCGTGGTGATAGCGGTGGAGACGAAGAGGAGACAAACTATCCGCCGCAAATGTTTGTGTTTTCGGCGATGACGTTGCCGCCGAGCACCTCTTCGAATGACGGATTCATCAGAGGTTCGACGATGCGATGGTCCGACAAAGCGCGAAAAGTTAGGCGCCTGCGCGCATAGAGAGGCGATGGCCTAGAATCCGACACTGGAAGAAGTTAGGCCATGAGCGCGTTCTGTCTGAAACTAGGTGGCCTAGGAACCGATAATAGACGGCCGCAAACTGGGCTCCGGAAAATGAGGCCACCGCCCCTTCCCTAATTGTGTCGCTTTTCAGTAGACGGCCTACAACGACCGAGAAGTCTGCTGCGGAAGCAGAAGGACGGCACGGACACGGGCGCCACGTCATCCGGCGGCTCGCCCCAACGAAACAAGAGTTTCGACAACTCGGCCGCGCTGGAATCGATCGAAAAGTGAGTTTTGAAGCGGCGGCGGATTGACGGGGGGGATGAGCCGGTGGGAGTTGAGCGGAATTATGAGTCAGCGCGCGACTTTTTGCTGTTTTTTGCTGGAAAAATTGGCTGTGGCCGTGGCGCTCTGTCTTCCATCAATCTGGCCATGGCCTAGGATGCCCGAATTGCATAGCTAGGCCACACAAATGTGCACAAGTTAGGCCATATGATAATGTTAAGCCAATTGACGTCACAACTCCTAATAGTATCATGGATAATACTTCCGGCGCGCCGATGCGTTCCTCCCTTTAATCTCTCTCTCTCTCTCTCTCTCTCTCTCTCTCTCTCTCTCGCTCTTTCTCTCGCTCTCTCTCTCTCTCCTATGAAGTGATAAATAATGATATGAGGAGGGGAGGGGAGCTTAGTAGGATGCCCCAGAGAGCTATATAGAAGATAAGCCACTCACTCGCCGCCACTTCATCTTCTTCTTCTTCTTCTTCTACTTCTTCTTCTACTTTATCAATATTTTCTCTCTCTCTCTCTCTTCCCAACTACTACAGTACTTCTTCTTCTTCTTCGTGAATCGCCGTGTCAAGATGATGATCGTCGGCGACACGTTCGGCTTCTACCAACTCGTTCTGAGAAAGCATGCGTGCAGGTAGGCCACGCGGTGCCCCAATAGCTCTGGGCGTCCCCCAAAACTGCCTAAAAAACCGGACAAAATGAGCTCAAAGTCGGCTCGAATCGAAATTGCACTTTTCGCTTCCAGACTCCGCTACATTCTACACCAACTGAACAGCGGTCAATTGCCGTTGGAGGACCTCAAACGCAATATTGAGTATGCGGCGTTGGTGCTCGAAACGGCGTATATGGATGAGACGAGGTGAGCCGCGCCGCGAATTATTTATGGGGAAACGGATGATAGCGACTTACTGACTTGTTTATTATATATGTTTTACGGGCAAGATGATAGATAGATAGCGAATATGGTTGCGAAGTGTCCATAGCTGGAGCGTGCATGGTTGCGTTGAAGGGATTGACAATAGCTAGACACTTTGCAACCAAACTCATTCATGATGAAGCTAACAAAGTCGCTGATTGATAGAGCAAGCACGGTCTCCAGAGCTGACAAAATGGGTGGCGTGGCCTCGGCGCCCAAATGGCGTTTTCATGAATTGAGCACGTTTTCTCTGATTTTTGTGGTCAAAAGCGATGAAAAATGATTGTTCGACATGAAAACACACTAATTCTCAGAATAAATGACTCACGGTCTCCCAGGGGGCGCTAATGCTAAACACAGTGCGCTCGTAAATTGCGGAGTGTCGTTGTAACTTTTTTGAAAATTTGCACGTCTAAAAATGCAGTTCAATTCGAGTTTACGACCTTTATTTCTATCTTTTTGACTTGAAAAACGTCTAGAAAACAATATTTTACTGTGCGGAAACCGTTCTTTACAGAATTTAGAGTTTTTCATGTTTTTCGCATTTCGTCAAAACATCAAACCTTTATATTTCAGCTCATTTTGCATTTCATGAGCCAGAAGAACAATAAAAATGTTCGCTGAATCTTTCTTCACAAAATTCAGGTTCCGGCGGTTTTCTTGAGCAGTTTTCGCGAAAACTATTCGAAAAACATCAAAATCCAGGCCAAAACGTTCAAATCGAAATAACTCGGCTAATTCTCAACGATATGCGAGATTTCTGTTACCAAAACGTAGCTAGTGCTCTAATTATTCGACGCCAAGTTCCAGGCGTACAAAAAATAGATGTATTGTACAGAAAACATGGAAAGAATGCGAACTCCCGTTGAAAATTAATTAATCGGCGTAAATCGACACAGCTCGCCCGTTGCAAGTGCGCCCCATTGAAATCATTCGCGCCGTGGGAGACCGTGAAAACCGCACTTCTCATTTTGCGCTTTCTTGACCGTTTTCCGGCAGAATTGGTTTTGAGAATGATAAATCACGTAAATACAAGCATTTTGAGCGCTCGAACCGCGAAAACTACCGAAAAGCAACTGAAATTCACGCAGTTTTAGCCAAATACCTTCAAACGGATAAATGTGATTTGCGACTTTTCCAAATTTAACGCTCTTTCGCATAAAAAATTCGTAATGGCCTATACAATCGGTCTATCGAGAAAAAAATGAGAAATTATCGATTTTTCGTGGCTAATCTCGCAAAAAACACAAATTTTGCTGTTAAAATTTGAATTTCGCGCCTATTGGGTGGGGGCGCACTTGCGCGCCCATTGTCAGCTCTGAGGAGACCGTGAGCATGAAATATGTAGAGAGCAGTCGCCGATTCCCTTCCCGCACTCGTACTCCCGATTCCACGTCACCAATGTTCTCCTCCTCATAGGTATCCTTATAGACGAATATGCGACGAAGACGACGATCTGGCGGAGGTGACGCCGGAGACGGTGCCCGAAGAGGTGCGCGAGTGGTTGGCCGAAACGTTCACGCGCCAGAACGCCGGCAAGAAGCGCGACAAGCCAAAGTTCAAGAGTGTCGCCAACGCGATCCGCACCGGCATCTTCTTCGAGAAATTGTTCCGGAAGCAGCAAGTGGTGCAGTGTCCGATGCCGCCGGAAATTGCCGAACTGATGAAGGAGGTCTCGAACTGGTCGTTCAACCCGTTCCAGCTCAACGAGGTCTCCGAGGGACACGCGTTGAAATACATTGGATTCGAGCTGTTCAACCGCTACGGATTCATGGATCGATTCAAAGTGCCGTTGACGGCTCTGGAAAACTATTTGGGCGCGCTCGAGGTCGGCTACTCGAAACATAACAATCCGTATCATAATGTGGTGCACGCGGCCGATGTGACCCAGAGCTCGCATTTCATGCTCTCGCAGACCGGACTCGCGGTGAGTCCATGCATATCTTTGTTGTTTGTGAAGACATCAAAAAGTGGTCAACAGAGAAAATATAGAAAAAGTCTTGACGAACATTTTATTAGTTGAGAACTTTCGGATATCTCTAACGCAAAACGAGATATTGGAGTTTTGTTCTAATAGCAGAGTTGAGCGGAAGAACTCAACGGAAGAACACGAAAGAATTTTTATATTTTTTTGAAAATTTTTTCATGGAATGTGGTCAACTGACGAAATGTATAGAAAAGTGAACTCTGCGCACAGAAAAATAATTGTAAATTTAGCGATTCATACAAAAAAGTTAAGGGCTAGCCGAACACGGAAGGACATTTTCACGGAACAACTCGAATAACTTTTTTGCATAAATCGCTAAATTTACAATTATTTTTCGATGAGCAGAGTTCACTATGCTAAACATTTCGTCAGTTGATCGCATTTCATGAAAAAATTTTCCAAAAAAGATAAAAATTCTTCCGTGTTCTTTAGTTGAGTTATTCCGCTCAACTCTGTCTAATAGTGATAGCGTTCATACAAAACACCTATATCTCAGCTGCCGGTAGAGATATCAAAATGCTTTTAACTAATGAAACGTTCATCTTAAAATTTTGTACATTTCATCAATTGACAACATTTTGATATCTCTACGGACAGCCGAGATACATCGTTTTGAACAAACGTCGCTTGTCGTTCTAGTAAGCACTGCTTAGAAACAAGAACATATCTCAAGAACGAAGCATTTTGAAGCATTTTGATCAATCACAAAGTTGTAGAAGACAAAATTTGCCGCAACTTTCATGTTGACCAATTTCTCAAATAATTCTTGGTTCCCGAGATATAGGCGTCAAAAGTTGAAGCTCTGTCCAACAGTCAGCTCAAATTGCAGAACTCTCTGGGCGATCTGGAGCTGCTCGCCGTGCTGTTCGGCGCGCTGATCCACGACTACGAGCACACGGGCCACACGAACAACTTCCACATTCAGTCGCAGTCGCAATTCGCAATGCTCTACAACGATCGCAGTGTGCTCGAGAATCACCACGTGTCGTCGTGCTTCCGACTCATGAAAGAGGAGGACAAGAACATTTTGACGCACCTGACACGCGACGAGTACAAGGAGCTCAGGAATATGGTCATTGAGATTGTGCTCGCCACCGACATGTCCACCCATTTTATGCAGATCAAGACGATGAAGTCGATGCTGAGTCTGCCCGAGGGGTGAGAGCGACTGACTCGAATTTTAGAGCCCGTCATCGTTTCAGAATCGACAAGAACAAGGCGTTGTGCCTGATTGTGCACGCGTGCGACATCTCGCATCCGTCGAAACCGTGGCTTCTGCACGAGCGTTGGACCGAAGGCGTTCTCGAAGAGTTCTTCCGGCAGGGAGACCTCGAAGCGTCGATGGGCCTACCGTACTCGCCGCTTTGCGATCGGCACACCGTACACGTGGCCGACAGTCAGATCGGCTTCATCGATTTCATCGTCGAACCGACGATGGTCGTTTGTGGAGAGCTGCTCGTTAAAATGGTTCGTCTACACCAGTGTTGAGCGGAAGAGCTCAACGCAAAAACACGGAAGAATTTTTTTAATCTTTTTTAGAAAATTTTTTCATGGAATGTGATCAACTGACGAAATGTATAGCAAAGTGAACTGTGCTCATAGAAAAATAATTGTAAATTTAACTTTTCATACAAAAAAGTTATTCGAGTTGCTAACGGAAGACGGGAGGACATTTTCACGGAACAACTCGAATAACTTTTTTGTATGAAAAGCTAAATTTAAAATTATTTTTCTAGGGGCAGAATTCACTTTGCTATACATTTCGTCAGTTGATCACATTTCATTAAAAAATTTTCTAAAAAACACGGTCTCCAGAGCTGAAAATGGGCGCGCAAGTGCGCCCCGCCCAATAGAGCGATGCATTGGCGCGAAATTCAAATTTTAACAGCAAAAATTGTGTTTTTTGCCAGATTAGCCACGAAAAACCGATAATTTCTCATTCGTCTCTAGATAGACCGATTGTATAGGCTATTACGAATTTTTTAAGCGCAAGAGCGTTAAATTTGGTCAAGTCGCAAATCACATTTATCCGTTTGAAGGTTTTTAGCTAAAACTGCGTGAATTTCAGTTGCTTTTCGGTAATTTTCGCGGTTCGAGCGCTCAAAATGCTTGTATTTACGTGATTTATCATTCTCAAAACCAATTATGTCGGAAAACGGTCAAGAAAACGCAAAATGAGAAGTGCGGCGAAGACGAAAAAGCAAAGTCGGCGAAAAATGCGCCAAAACGTCATTAATTCTGTGAAAATTAGTGTGTTTTCATGCCGAACAATCATTTTTCATCGCCGTTGACCACAAAAATCAGAGAAAACCTGCTCAATTCATGAAAACGCCATTTGGCCGCCGAGGCCACGCCCATATTGTCAGCTCTGGAGACCGTGAAAAAGATAAAAATTCTTCCGTGTTCTTTCGTTGAGTTCTTCCGCTCAACTCTGGTCTACACTGTGTTATTTCCGGTTTCAGGTTGAGCCGCTCGTCTCGCTGCCGCCGACGGATTCGCTGTTCCCACCGAGTGTGGAGGGCGACGACAAGTCGCCGTCGAATGCGTTGAGTCCACTGCCCGATCTGTTTGTTTTCGCTTTTTTTTCCCCGATTTTTCTTCTCTCTTTCTCTCTCTCTAATGCGGTTATTCAGGCTGTGAAAAAAATGATTTTTTTCCGTTTTTTTTTTCGTTTTTTTACGTCAAAAAATGCAATTCAGCGATGTAAAAAAACGAAAAAAAAACGGAAAACAAACATACGCTGAATAGCCCCATAACTTTTCGTGTTGCGCGGCCCACGCTAACCCCTGATTCGCCGGCGCCCAAACGATCACCGACCTTTAGTTCCAGACGAAACTCGTCGACGTCGCCGTCGTCGTCGATTCGCAAAATTCCGCTCAATTATTGCGGAAAGCTCGACATTCCGACGCCGTGGATACGCTTTTTGCACGAGAACAAGTTGCATTGGAAGGAACGCGCGGCGAAAGGTAAGAGTGCGCGCTCCGATGATGACAATTCGCAACGGAGCACAAAGCCCGTTTTGCAGAGGAGGATGAGCGGAAGACGAAAGAGGCGGCCGAGGCGGAAGCGGCGGCGAAGCAAGTCGAGGAGAACAAGGAGAATGGTTGCCGATTGCACATTTTCAGATAATTTTCACACATTTCAGGTGCTCCAGGTAAATGAGAGAATGCGTCGCAGAAAATCGATAATTCCCGCCCCAATGTTTTAAAAGAATACAAAACAAAAACGTTCCGTCTGCAGTATTAAAAGTAATGTTTTCTTTAAATATTTTCGCTGAAATTCCATTGTCCGAATTGTTTATTTGTGATTTGTGATACATTTAATAAATAATCAAAAACACACAACGTCTCTCTGGAAGCTCTGGAATGATTTGGGATCAGGGCCGGGATTTTACGTTTACGGTCGTTTTTTAATCTTTTTTTTGTGATAAAAGAGATTTTTCTCGAGTCTATCACTTTTGTACTATTTGTCTAAAATCAGAAATGCCTGATTTCATCAGTAATGGGGCTACTCAGCGTATGTTTGTTTTCCGTTTTTTTCGTTTTTTTACATCGCTGAGTTGGATTTTTTGACGTAAAAAAAAGGAAAACAATCTTTTTTTCACAGCCTGAATAACCCCATAAGAACAAGATTAGGCATCAAAAGACACCGAAACGTTCGAAAAACGATAGGAACTATAGAAACATTATAATTATATTGAATTGTATGCTAGTTTTCATTTCCTGACAAAAACAGAGTACGCTTCATGGATTTTACAGATTTTAAGGAATTTACGGATTTTACGGCTTCTTGAAACCGTAAATTTCTAGTATCTTATCTGGTAAGATCTGAGAGAGCCCTGAAAAAGGCTCGAAAGGTTTTTCTGAAAACTCTTCCCGATCACCCTTTTGCCTTTTTTCACTTGAACCAAGGGGGTAAAAGAGTACGTCGATGTGATGGTTCAAATAAAAATTATCGGAAATTGAGAACAATTGCGTTTGCAGTCAGAAAAAATGCACCCAGTTGAGTTTATATGCATTTTCGGTAGTCTCGGTAATTCCCGAGTCTAGCCGTTTTTCCTGCAGGGATGTGGCGCCCTTATAGCTCAGTGGTAGAGCGTTGGTCTTGTAAACCAAAGGTCCGCAGTTCAAACCTGCGTGTGGGCAATCCAATTTTTTTATACCTTTTGATCATAAAAATCATAAAATGCCATAATTAAAGCTTAACACATAATTTGAGACAGTTTTAAAAGTGAGTACAAGTGATTAATCAACTAAATAAAGTCATTGTTCGCCGGAAGCGCGTCGCTGATTCTTTTCATCTCCGTCAACTGATCCATCAGTGTTCGTTTGTTCAGGTTCTCCTGATTGAAGTTGCTGCAAAATTTATATTATCAGAAAACGATAAATTTCATTTTTGCAAAGTTTATGTTCCTCTGAAAGGTGAATAAGAAAACTTATTGATTTCCGGGCTAAAAATTTTACATTTTTCAATTAGACCCAACCTCTTCCACGCCTCGTAGAACGCAAAATGTTGGTTCGTGTGCGAGCGGTAACTACACACTCCGCTCGCTTTTTTGTAATCGAGACACACGACGCAATAGTCTCCGTTCGCCGGGTTTCTGCGTCGAAGAGTTTTGCGAAGGAGGAGTTCCCGAAAAATCGCCGCCGCCATTTCGCCGTAAGTGGCGTAGGAGGTTCGAAGTCGGAGATCCGTGTTCGGCATGTCGGTGGCGTCCTAAAAATGTTCGATGTATAAGGCAAATGTTTTTGAGGAATCGAGGACCCTGAACGACGCCAAGCCCCACGGTCGTTTCTCCTTTCCCTCGTCGCCTTTTTTCGCTTGTTTCGCTTCCGGCGCTCCTTCGTCCACTCCGCCGTTTTCCAAAATCAAATCGTTGTCTTCGTACTGGAAACACAAAACTATAACTTTTTCTCTGCTTTGCGGCTCTCCATTTTCGCAACTCTCACGTTTCCAGAGACTTGCTCCGCGCAGCCTTGTTTTCATGTATTTCTTATGCCGCGTCCAATGTCTCGGAAAAACCGTAAAAATCGCAGATTTTTCTGTCCAAAGTCGGCCGAAATTTGCGTGAAAAACGGGGGTGCGCACAGCTCAATGAATGTAACCGTACCCCTAAAACTACGGTATTTTTTGAAAATTTGCGCAAGAAATTTGAATATTTTCAAATATCCTCAAGAAATTAACAAATTTTCAAAAAATACAGTAGTTTTAGGGGTACGGTTACATTCATTGAGCTGTGCGCACCCCCGTTTTTCACGCAAATTTCGGCCAGAAAAATCTACGGTTTTTCCGAGACATTGGACGCGGCATTACGATTCTACACACCGGTTGCGAAACGGAGAGCCATTTTTTTTTTTTGCCGAATTCTCACATTAAACTCCTCGACTTCATCGTCATCCTCATTTTCGTAATGAAACTCTTGTTTTCGAGCGTCGCTTTGGGCCTCCAACGGTTGTTTCAGGTTCATCGACGCCGCTTCGCCACGTGGCGGAATCGTAATTGTTGTTGGACACTTGAAATGAGGCACGCTCGGCTGGAAATCCATCAGCGGCGGCTTCTGCTCGACACTCGACGCGTCTTGATCTTGATCCAGAGCGGAAAGCGAATGCGAGTGAGAGCGGCGCTGCAAATTTTTTAAATCAGTCGTTTTCTATGACTAGTTTTTTTTACCCGCCGCTCAGCATGATAGCTTTGTTTGATCGTCACCGATGGCGAATTTTTCGACGGCGTTTCGGGATTTTGCTGCAAACGACAACAACTTTGTTTGAAATCGCATGTTCTCTGAATACCTGAATTTTGTTATGAACGGTGGCGGTTTGTGGATCGACGAGTTGTATATTGAAATGTTTGATGTGGTTGACGAGCACGTGCTCGTTCATGTCTCTTCCAGATGAGAACCAACTTGTGCACTCTCTCCAACCGCATTGTATCTATACAAAAATTGTTTTGAATTGAACACAAAAGACAAAGAATTAATGTTTCTCACCATTTCCGGCGGCCCCGACATTTTGTCGATTTCTCTGCAAAAAAAAGTGCTTTCGGAAAATTATTCACAAAAATAGATACGTTATGGCAGGCAGATAGCTAGACTCGTGATTTCGCGATAGAACGGGAGCAGTAAAGAACTGTATTTGAATAAAAATCGTTGCAATAACTGAGATGAAATGGAATTGGGAATCGGCAATTATTATGGAAAAATCGTATGCATTTGGGACAACAATCGAAACAATTATCACTCTTTTTCTCTCTCCTCCAGCTGAATATACTTCTCTTTGAGCGCTTCCAACTGCTCGACAAGCTTCTCCGGTGTGATGCTCGCGTCGCCATAATACTTCTGCCACGTTTTATCGAGTCGCCGCTCGCCGGCCGTGTGCTCCCGCTCGCATCCTTTGAACGAGATGCAGTTGAGGCAGAACTGACTGCGATCGGTGGCTCGGAAGCGCGCCTGACGCATTTGGATGCGGTACGCCAGGTTCGCGCACAATTTGCTCATTTTTGTGCCGACAACACGCTGCGATTTGGAGCGGTCCGATGTGGAAGGCTCTTTCTCCTTCTCGTCTTCCTCCTCATCTTTTTGCTCGATTTTCGCCGGTTTCACCTCTCGGACCGGTTCTGGCTGCTGCTCTTCCTCGTCGTCATCCCCAAGAACTCGCGCCAGACCCGGAGGCACCAGACGGCGAGTTCTTGGAGCCAATGGAGCCGCCGGAGCCACAAAAGCCCCGTTCTCCTCCTCGCGCTCCTCACGATCGTACTGCTCTGCCATTTGCTTCAACTGAGCCAGCAACTGCTTTTTGACCGGTTGCAAATGCCCGAATTGCCTGAAACAACAATTTATGTTATAAATTTGGCGTTGCGCACGGTCTCTCGAGCTGACAATGGGCGCGCAAGTGCGCCCCGCCCAATAGATCGATAGATTGGCGCGAAATTTAAATTTTAACTGCAAAATTTGTGTTTTTTGCCAGATTAGCCACGAAAAACCGATAGTTTCTCATTTGTCTTTCGATAGACCGATTATATAGGCCATTACGAATTTCTTAAGCTCAAGAGCGTTAAATTTGGTCAAGTCGCAAATCGCATTTATCCGTTTGAAGGTTTTTGGCTAAAACTGCGTGAATTTCAGTTGCTTTTCGGTAATTTTCGCGGTTCGAGCGCTCAAAATGCTTGTATTTACGTGATTTATCATTCTCAAAACCAATTCTGTCGGAAAACGGCCAAGAAAGCGCAAAATGAGAAGTGCGGTTTTTAGGCGGCGAAGGCGAAAAAGCAAAGTCGGCGAAAAATGCGCCAGAACGTCATTAATTCTGAGAACTAGTGTGTTTTCATTTCGAACAATCATTTTTCATCGCCTTTGGCCACAAAAATCAGAGAAAACGTGCTCAATTCATGAAAACGGCTTTGGCCGAGGCCACGCCCATATTTTCAGCTCTGGAGACCGTGTTGCGCTCCTACTCACCTCTTCCAATCCTCGATGACCTGCAAATCTTCGGCGCGATGGCGTTTTGTGCACGGCTGCGTGTAATTATGCTGGCAGAGCACACAAAAATGGTCCGTCTGGAAGAGCCGATGATTGGAGAGCGGCGGGCGGTAGAGACGGATCAGAATGCGTCGGCACGCTTCGCTTTTTTTCAGTGGACCCGTTCCGTTCTGCAAATTTTTATGATTAGTACAGAGTGCACGTGAATGCGCTCTGCTGAGAAACCTCTCGTTTAGCGCATTCGCTTTGAACTTACAGAGACACTCGATTCGGCTCTCGAGCTCTGGGCGTTTGATGGAGCTGGTGGGGCTGGTAGGGAGAGCATCCGTGGAGCTTGGAAGGTCGGAGCTCTTCTCGTCAACATGTCAAGAAGGATGCGATCGTCCGGATCCTCGTCAAATGCTCGAGTTCTTTGCCGTTTTCGCTGTGGTCTCGGCGACCGGTTTCCAACAGGCTGAGCGATTTTGTGCGAGCGAGGAGCTGGCGGAGCAGTTGACGGATTGGGAGACTTGATTCTGGGGAGACGTCCACGGCCGCGTCGAGCCGGAGTTCCTTCCAGCGCCAGTGTTTCTGGCTCTTTCCGAATCGGCTGAGGCTGAGCCTCGACTTGTGCTGTGTTTTCAGAGTTCGACGCCGTCGGCTCCACTTTGATTGGTTGAGCTCTGTGACGAACGATTATCGGCTCAATGGACACTCGTGGTTCCGGTCCCTGTGAGGCAAGCCGACGGTTGAGCACAAATTGTCCGTAGTCGAGCACGTTCAGATGATTGGTGATCACGTGCAGTCCCATGTCGAGTTCCGAGCCGAACGATTGCGAACAGTCTGTCCAGTGGCACGCGTGCTATAAAAAATGTATTCCGAAAGCGATTTAAAAAAAAATTGTAGCGATAGTAGTTAAATCTAACAAAAACACACATCACGCGTCCCGTTCTCCATTTTCGTGCCTCCGAGCAACAATATCGATTTTTACGAGTTTTAGTCTGTAAACAATAATAAAAGTGACTTTCTGACAGTGAATGCATCGAAAAATCACACTTTCGGCAGCTTCTTAATATTTCTACGAGTTTTATATAATAAAATCTGTGAGCAGCCCGAAAATTCAACAGAAAAAGGTGCTCCGTGCGGAAAAAGGTGTCAACTTGCGGTGAAGAATTCAAACATACGTACTTGGGTGTTGGGAAACGACGCTCCGCAATAACGCACCCGCTCTGTGTTGTCTCTTTGAGCGAGAGACGTGGAAAAGAAGTAAATCTACAATAGATTACGAGAAAAGAAGGGAAATGTTGGGAAGGGATGGGAAAGGATGGGAATTTTTTGAATTTCACTGAATAAACAGTCTCTTATAGTTAGTTAATTTAACTGCAGTTTTTGTATATTGCTTACAAAAAAAACATTTCAATCGTCCGATTTTTCGGATTTTTCAGAATGTCAGTGGAATTAGTCAATTTTTGTTAATCAAATGTTGGTTTGAATTCAATTTTTGATTGCTTTCAATTGCTTTTTCTGAATTCCAGGCTGTTCCAGCACATATTTTGTACAGAAGAAATGTTTTTTTTTCAAATTTTTGAAAAGAGTGAAAAATCAGAAAAAAGTTCACACATGCCGTGCAGTGTTTGCACACATTGACAATGTCTACCGTAACATTTTAGCCACAGAAAACTTTTTCCGGCGAATTTACCTCACAAAAATCGCGTATTTTGAGCAGTGCCGATCCGAACATGGAGTATATAGTGTGCAACAAGTGCGGATGCGCTCCGTCGAAACGTCAATTCTTCATAACGGCGTGTTCGCACGTGTGTTGCGAGCAATGCCTGGCGCCCAAGTTCGACTTTTGCAGTTTGTGCAAAATTCCGACAAAGGTGCTCAAATTGGACGGAAATTTGCCGAAAAATGTTCGGAAAATCTTTGGCGACACGACGGCGATGGCGAACGACATACACAGGCGGCTCGCCAAGATAATGGCGTTTCAGAAGGAGCAAAAGTGGGTGCAGTTGCGGATTGAGAACAAAAAAGTGAGTTTTTGTCAGAATATCAAATAAAAAATCCCATTTAAAAAAAGTGTGCATAAATTCAAGAAATGTTCTCTGTTCTCACGTGAAAAAGCAAGAATTAAACAGTTCTTTTCGGAAAATCACTACAAATACGAATTCCAAGCTACTTCTTAAAAGTTTTCCCATAAATGTACCGTAAAAACACAAATTTACCAACAGGCAGCACTTCGACGAGAGCAAAACGCGAAAATGGAGCAGAAGATGGTGGAGATCGGCGGGCAAATGGCAAAACTCGGCAAGTTCGAGGAGAGCACGCGGAAAAAGCTGAAAGACACCGAAACGGAAATCGATCGGCTCGAGAAATTGTGAGTTTTTGACCGATTTTCGAGAGATTTTCACACCTCCAGACTGTTTCAGATGCCGAAAAACCGAAGAGGAGTTGGCGAGTCCGCAGCCGACCAAAAATGACGACGACTTCTTTCTGAAGGACACGCCCACGTCTTCCAGGTCCTCCGTCGCCTCCTCCGATGTTAATAATAGCAGCATTTTTGAATATGTATGCACACTTTTGTTTTCTTCAGATTACGATGGATGTTTTTTCGTTCTTAGATCCGTGGGGAATTTTTGAATGTACGTTGGCCTCAAAAGCACAGATTTTTAGAATTCTTTCTCGATTTTATCGCCTTTAAAAAAAATCATTTTGACGGTGTGAATCTAGAGAAAACATGATTTTTTTTCGAAAAATTGAATACAATCGATGAACATCAATTTGCTGCTGAAAAAATCGTAAAAATCTGCCTAAGTGAGCACGTAAATTTGTTCAGCGTTACACTATTCTTTTGCGATTCTCGTCATAATTCTCTATTTTTTAGGATCTACTTGGCCTAAAAACACGTGTCGACTCACTGGACCGTCACTCGTCGACGTGCTCTTCCTCCCATCCCGGATCGCTTTTTTAGCACCTTATTGTTGTGATCACGACTTCAGATTTTTATCCCCTAATTAAAATATTTATTGCACAAACCTAAATTTGTGGAAAACTTGATATTTTCACATTGCCAAGTTTGCACGGAGCAAGCGATTTCCGTTCGTAAATCACTTTACATTCCGCCCCCCAATAAGCCCAACCGCCCTCGAAATTTTCACCTGTTGTTTTTGCATTCACTTGTGAGCACTTCCACGCCATTTCTGGCCGCATTCGCATAATAACCGCCTTCTTTGCCGTTGTCATCCAAACGATAGACACAACATTTTGGCTCCGGGACATTTCGAAACCGGACATTTCGAAACCGCGACATTTCGAAACCAGACATTTCGAAACCGCGACATTTCGAAACCAGACATTTCGAAACCGCGACATTTCGAAACCGCGACATTTCGAAACCAGACATTTCGAAACCGCGACATTTCGAAACCAATTCAGTACAAGTATTTAAAAATTCAAAAAACCGCCAAATTCGCAGTATGGACAGTAATTTTTCGTATTGCTCAGTTAAAAAATGTGTTCTTTTTCTGCTGGAAATAGCTGTTTCACTGTTTTTTCGGCTTTGTTCTGTGTTTTTGTCGAACATTCTTATTGTTTTTCATGATCCGCTTGCTGGAAATCGTATTTCTTGTACACAATAATGTCGAAAAGAGCACTCCGCCCGTTATATCCGCACAACGGATTTACAATGAGACCAACTTCTCTACTTCTTCCGTCTTCTCCGCCTCTAACTTTTCGATCGTTCTGTTTCCGCAGAATTCCGTTGTTTTCGCGAATAATTTTGTCAAGTTATACCGTATAACTTATACGTTTGTGTTAGTATAAATAGTCCGAAATCATAATTAATTGCTAAAATACACTTAACATGCATTTCTACTGCGAATTTGGCGGTTTTTTGAATTCTTAAATACTTGTACTGAATTGGTTTCGAAATGTCGCGGTTTCGAAATGTCGCGGTTTCGAAATGTCTGGTTTCGAAATGTCGCGGTTTCGAAATGTCTGGTTTCGAAATGTCGCGGTTTCGAAATGTCTGGTTTCGAAATGTCGCGGTTTCGAAATGTCCGGTTTCGAAATGTCCCGGAGCCAACATTTTGTATCCAAGATCAACTTTTCAAGCGAATTTTGTAATTGTTGTGTGTCTAGGCGGTAATTTTATTAGCTCGCTCGGAATTTAATTCGGCGAAAGGCTGTGCTCGATGCTTGATTTACGTCAAATTTTGCGATATTTATGGCGCTAAGAATTTCTGAGAATCTTGAACGGATCTCACTACGAAGAGGCGTAATTTTCGTGACGAGACCCAATTTGATGAAGCAACGAATAAAACTCCCCTTTTTTCGGATTTTTATGCTGGAAACGCTGTTTTCGACAGTCTGTTTCCAGATTCCGATTTCCGGTTAGAAACGCCCAAAATAGGCTGTACTTTTTTTTCGGCGACCTTTTTAAAAGTACTCTGCGAATTCGCTCATTAGCCCCGACTTCCGTCTCACTCTTTTTCTCCTCTTCTCCATTTTATCATACAAAATGGTGATAATAAAACCGGGAATCTCCATGGATACACTCACTCTCTCTCTCTCTCTCTCGCTTCGTCTCTCGCTTCGTTTTCGCACTAATTGGAGTCGGTGGCGCGTGCACAAACAAGTGCATCATGAGACTTTTGCGAGGGAGAGAGAGATGATAACGACAATAGTATAATGTTGAGTAGAGTAAAGTGGGCGGAGCTTGCTTTTCGAAGCTTCAGCTCATTTTGCGCGTTTTCGCGATGAGCTCAGACTCCTCTGGCAACTGCCTTCAGAACTTGCTGCTCCTCTGGACATCTTCTGCTCCACATCGTTATTCCATCGGCATGCCTTCTGCTTCTTCTTCTTCTTCATCTTCTTCTTCGGCGCATCGCGGATCCACAGCCCGACTGGCCGACAATATCGAGTTGGAGCACTTGGAAGAGTCGGAGGATGAGGAGCCGGGGGAGCCGGAACAAGAGCCGGTGGCGGTGATCAGTCGGCAACCGATCAGCGGAACCTACAATCGATTGACGCCCGACAAGTTGTGAGTTATCTGCTAGTAGGGACACTCGAGTTGGAGAGAAATCTGGATCATTTCGAACAATTAGTAAGCTCTGCTCACGGTCTCCAGAGCTGACAATATGGGCGTGGCCTCGGCGGCCAAATGGCATTTTCATGAATTGAGCAGGTTTTCTCTGATTTTTGTGGTCAACGGCGATGAAAAATGATTGCGCGACATGAAAACACACTAATTCTCGAAATTAATGACGTTTTGGCGCATTTTTCGGCGACTTTGCTTTTTCGCCTTCGCCGCCGATCGCCGCCTAAAAACCGCACTTCTTATTTTGCGCTTTCTTGACCGTTTTCAGACAGAATTGGTTTTGAGAATGATAAATCACGTAAATACAAGCATTTTGAGCGCTCGAACCGCGAAAACTACCGAAAAGCAACTGAAATTCACGCAGTTTTAGCCAAAAACCTTCAAACTGATAAATTTGATTTGCGACTTGACCAAATTTAACGCTCTTGCGCTTAAAGAATTCGTAATAGCCTATACAATCGGTCTATCGAGAGACAAATGAGAAATTATCGATTTTTCGTGGCTAATCTGGCAAAAAACACAAATTTTGCTGTTAAAATTTGAATTTCGCGCCAATGTATCGCTCTATTGGGCGGAGCGCACTTGCGCCCATTGTAAGCTCTGGAGACCGTGTGCTAGACATTTCAATCCGCAAATCTTGAAGAACTCGCTGACCAAACCATATTCCTTTTACCAGACTTGCCAAATTACGGGCCGAAAATTTGCTGGCCCGGCCCGGTCGGCCCGGCTCAAAAGGCGCGAATTCAAATTTTTGGGGGAAATCTATTTTTTCGTTTTTTTTGCGGGGATCAAAATTAAAAACTACGACACTCCGACATTACTATTTTTTCTATTTTTGACTATTTTTGAGAACGACATTTCTTTTTTATGCTCGATACTTGCAAAATTCGTTAGTTCTACGAAAAACAAACATTTTATTTAATCAATAGTTCAAAATTTGGATTCCCGCTTTTTGAACCGGGCCGACGGGCCGGGCCGGGCCGGAGATTTGAAAATTTCGGCCCGGCCCGGCCCGTGGCAACTATGCCTTTTACTATCAGCTGAATTCTTTTCGTCGTGCAGTCAATGGGTCCCGATGTCAAATTTTCAATCGTGGAGTAGAAAAATCAGGTGTCAAAACTCTTTCACACTTTGACAAACATCAAAAAAGCGCTGACGCCAGAGAAAATCCGCATTGTGAAACTGAAAAATGCTGCTGGGCGCGATGCAAAACGTTTCCAGATTCGACCTGACCACAATCTCGGAGGTGGCTCGTAGCGAGGCGGGCGGCCGCAATCTCGGCGTCACTCGTCTCACATTCAGCGGCGGTCATTTTGTGTTCTGCGTCGCGAACCGTGACGTGGACAACGATGAAACGAGTGTGTACCTGTCCGAAAATATTCTCTACATACTCATTTAATGCTGGTTTAGGAATAGAAATGGTGATCACGAAAGATGAAAGTTTCGGGAATTCGCTTCGCAAAGCGTTCACTTTGTTCAAGGCAAAGTTTCAGACGAACGGACCGAACGTGCGACGATTTGCGGGCGTCGATTATTATGTGTTAGTTGCGAAATGGCGGCCCAGTTGCGACTTGCAAGAAATTTGTAAAATTTTCAGCCGAAAAAACTCTAAAAAAGAGATCGAGTACAGTTTTGAGGGAGACGGACGACAGCGTCGATTGTAAGTTTTAAAGCTTGTGTGTATTGGCGCGCGGGGGCGCATGAACCTACGCACAATTACGGACATTTCATGAAATAAGTCTAAAAAAGTCAAAAGTATTAAAACTTTCAGTGTCCGCTACCGCAAACAACTGGCGATCCTCACGGAGACTGTCGACGCGGCCTACCGTGACCTTTTGAAGCACATCTTCCAGATTTTTCCCAACGAAACGCCGCTTTTGTTCCTGGACTTGCGCGGACTGGATGTTCACGGATTCAGCATCTCTCGGGACCTGCTCTCCGTCGAGCAGATCCGTCTGAGCCAGAGTATGGCAATGACGGTGACGAGCAAAGAGTTCGTCGGCACGGCGCACATCGTCTTGGAGCTGATGGGCTCGCTGGAGGCGCTCATGCTCGACATCAAGCTCAGTGATGTCGAGTTCTTCAATCCCAGGGTATTTTATTCCGAAATCTGGCGCTCTCAATGGCTAGCTCTTTTTTCAGATGTGCTCGGTGGATCATCTGACCGGAAAATACAACGGGAACAAGCTTTCGCACGACAATTTGTGCAGCCTCGAGTGCAAAACGATCAAACTGTGGAATGTGGCGGTGACGCCGAGCACACTGAACTCTTTCGTCAAGAATTGGCTCGCCGGCACCTCCACCCGATTCCACTACCTCGAAATTCCGATCCTTCAAATCGACGAAACGGACGAGTCTTTCATCGACATTTTCAAAGGGCTCAAAACGAAACCGTGGAGCAAGACGACGAGAGCCGGCTGGTTCAAGAGGATCGACTGGAACTTTCAGTTGTAAGTTGCAAATGGTGTTGTGTCTCAATCAGATTTGAGCAGAAATTTTTTTATTTTTTTTCGAAAATTTTTTCATGAAATGTGATCAACTGACGAAATGTTTAGCAAAGTGAACTCTGCTTATAGAAAAATAATTGTAAATTTAACTTTTCATACAAAAAAGTTATTCGAGTTGTTGCGTGAAAATGTTTTTCCGTCTTCCGTTGGGCCTTTTTTCACGCAACAACTCGAATAACTTTTTTGTATAAAAAGCTAAATTTACAATTATTTTTTTCACAATTATTACATTTCATGAAACATTTTCTAAAAAAGATAAAAATTCTTCCGTGTTCTTCCGCTCAACTCTGGTCTCAAACCACAAAATCTTTCAGCGATTTGCCGAGCGGCGGCCGTTTCATCAACTGCAAGGGCGGCTGGGACGTGTTCCGTTCGGACGGGCTCGTGGCGACGATCATCACGCAGCCCGAGTTCTTCTACTTTTTCGTCTGGCACGAACGCTTCCCCGAACAACCCGATCACATTCCGTACTTGGACAGAGAGCAGGCTGCGCAGAGAGTCGGTGTGCACTTGTAATGATGATAATATGTTTACGCTTTTCTATCCGCAATTATCCTTCCTTGTTTTCTCGCATATTCTATGATTTGTGAATCAAAAATGTGATGTACTGGAGCAACCTGAAGCATTCATTTATCATTTAGTGCCAGCATCATCATCAGATTCACTATTGCTTCTTCGAATTGCCACTCTGGCTCTTCTCGGGCGTCTTCGGATCGGGCACGTTCGCAGTCGTCTGCTCGGGCTCGCGCGTGCCGGCCGCTTCCAATTCGTCGCGTCGCTGATCAAACTCCTCGGGCTTCAATTGCAAAAAACTGAGCTCGCGGTCCGCGTCGATGATGACGACGGCCGCGTAGTTGTGCAGCTCCTCTTGGTAGCGCGACGCCGAGAAGACGGTGATGAGGCGGCGGTCGACAAAGAACGCGTAGCCGTACTCGACCACCTGATGCGCGCGGATAATGTAGTCGAGGTCGAGTTTGCGGCACAGCTCGTCCACTTGCTTCGGGCCAAAGATGTTCGAGATGGCGCGGATCTTGTTGGGCGCGAACGCGGTCGCCTTCGCCTCCGGGTCCGCCCACAGCAAATCACACGCCAAATTCTAAAATTGCCATCGCACACTGTGGCTGCAATTTGAAGAGAACGTCTCGGCACACTCACATTCGACTTGGCCGTCTCCAACGGCAACGGAATCTCACGGATCGCATTCAGAGACGTCAAGCATGGAGAGATTCCCGAAAAAAACGCGAAAAATGACGTGACATGGCCGTACTCACCTCCGTGCATGCAAAGAATGCGTCCGGCGACGTGGGCGGCCAGCGGCATCCACGTGAACACCTCGTTAAAGTGATTGTAGAGACATTCGCCGTGTTCGCCGCCGAGATCTCGGTACACGTTCTTGACCTCTTGCTTGAACCCGTAGTTTCTGGAAAACTGGTTAGGTTCACGGTCTCCCAGGGCGCTAATGCTAAACACAGTGCGCTCGTAAATTGCGGAGAATCGTTGTAACTTTTGAAAATTTGCAGGTCTAAAAATGCAGTTCAATTCGAGTTTACAACCTTTATTTCTTTCTTTTTGACTTGAAAAACGCCCTGAAAACAATATTTTACTGATTGGAAACCGTTATTTACAGAATTTAGAGTTTTTCATGTTTTTCGCATTTCGTCAAAACTTCAAACCTTTATATTTCAGCTCATTTTGCATTTCATGAGCGCAACAAACGATAAAAATGTTCGCTGAATCTTTCTTCACAAAATTAAGTTTCCGGCGGTTAGTTTTGTTGAGCAGTTTTCGAAAACTATTCGAAAAACATCAAAATCCAGGCCAAAACGTTCAAATCGAAATAACTCGGCTAATTCTCAACGATATGCGAGATTTCTGTTACCAAAACGTAGCGAGTGCTCTAATTATTCGACGCCAGGTTCTAGGCGTACAAAAAATAGGTAAAAGACGCACGCCCCTTTCTGCAAGTGTCGCACATGCAATGTGCACACGCTGGTCAATTAATTATTTTTCTTGGAAAATACACAAATTAAAGCTACGCCCTGACGGAAATTAATTGCTTTCGAGTGTTTTTAGAGAATTATCAGCGCAAACAGATAGATTTAAACGAGATTCTCAACTTTAATTTGGGTATTTTCCAAGAAAAATAATTACTAATTGACATGAAATGTGCGGCACTTGCAGAAAGGGGCGTGTTGCGACGGGGGACCGGAGGCACGATTATTAATTTGATAGTAAGTATGCCTCTGAAAACAACTAACTTGTTGATGGCCTTCAACTCGTGATTCCCTCTCAACAAGTACATCTTCTTCGGCAGCGCCAATTTCAGTGCGAACAGCAGCATGATGACCTCCATCGAGTGACGGCCGCGGTCGACGTAATCGCCGAGGAACAGGTAGCGCGTGCGGGTCGGCGCACCGCAAGCATTGAAAATGCGCAGAAGGTCGGTGTACTGTCCGTGCGTGTCGCCGCAAATGTTCACCGGATGCGGCACCTCGATCAGCGCGCACCGATCGGCCATGTAGACGTCGCGCACGCGTTCCAGCAGCACGTGAACGTCTTTTATCTGAAAACGGATATTCTGTAAAATTTCCGTAAAAACAATTGTAAAATTTTCAGCCGAAAAAACTCTAAAAAAGAGGGTGAGTACAGTTTTGAGGGAGACGGACGACAGCGTCGATTGTAAGTTTTTTAAAGAGCTCACGGCGACCAAAAACGTAGAAAGGGGCGCGGGGGCCTAGCGTGCACGGTTTATCACCATTTTGGCGCGAAATTCGAAATTTACCCCCCTATTTTTCATGTTTTTCGTAAAAATCACCCAAATTTTGTACGATTTCGACGATGTAATTGCATAATAACTTTGTTAAACTAATCATCGCACACTTTTTGAGCTTAAAACGAGCAGGTTTCATTCAGAGAATGAATCAATTCAATCGATTTTCAAGTTTTGTGCTGAAAATGCGCGAATTTCAGTAATTCGCCGATACTTTTTGCCGTTTGAACGCTTAAAATATTTGTATTAACGTGCTTAATCACTTCCGACACTCACTTCGTCTCAAAACTATCCAGATCGGCATGAAAATTCCGAAATTGCGGCGGCGATTGGCCGCGGAGAGCGTATTGCGAAATATTCGAAAAACGTCTCGAACGCGGCGTTTTCACGAAAATTTCAATGTTTTCTCTCTTTAATGTCTCTTCTTTCGTCGATATCAAACACAAGAATATCGGAAAAGTGTGCTGGAATTGCGGTAATTTTCAGAAAACGCGTCTCAGATTAGGCCACGCCCTGTTCTACACTTTTGGTCGCCGTGAAGAGGGGCTAAAAACTTGTGTGTATTGGCGCGCGAAGGCGCATGAACCTACGCGCAATTACGGACATTTTATGAAATACGTCTAAAGAAGTCTTTTATCTGAAAACGGATACTTGTCGTGATATTCAATTTTGTAGTATACACCTTTTTTCTAGAATCACTCTCAAAGTGATCAAAGTATTCGACGAGAAACGAACCTCGTGCTTGACCGCCTTGGGCGCTCCGTTCTTTCGCAGCAGTTTTCGGATGAATTTCGGCAAATCGAACTTCAGTAAATCGGCGCCGGTGATGTTGAACGTCTTGAAGCGATCTTCAGTGAATCCGGCTCCCTCTTTACTTCCTTCCTTCGCCGCCTCTTTTCCGTTCTTTGGTGGCGCTGGCGGTGCCGCCGCCGCCTGTTTTGGTGCCTGATTGGTGCTCATTGTTTCAGCAAGATCGCAAAAGTTTTCTTCGTAATCTATCGAGTCGTCGCGAATCGGAATGTGGAAAATTGGTGATCTGTTGCTGTGAACGTATGTTGAAATTTAGGAAGGTCACGTGAAAAAAAAACACTCTGAAAAGCGATCCTAACTTCCAAAAGCTACAGTACCCCTGGGCGTGGTTTTTCAAAAACGTTGTCAACTACAAAGTTATTGTACTAGACATGTATAACATTTTTGCAGTTGACAACTTTTTCGTACGACCACTCCCCGGACTACTGTAGCTCTGGGAAGTACGCGTTTCAGGTCCAACTTCCAAGAGCTACCGTAGCCCAGGCAGTGGTTGTTCAAAAAAGGTGTCAACTACAAAAATCGGCTCCGCGACATTTCGTTACCAGCCATTTCGTTACCAGCCATTTCGTTACCAGCCATTTCGGCACCGAGCCATTTCGGCACCAGTCATTTCGGCACCAGTCATTTCGGCACCAGTCATTTCGGCACCAGCCATTTCGGCACCAGCCATTTCGGCACCAGTCATTTCGGCACCAAAAAAAGCGAGAATTTTTTAGTCGAAATTCACTTGTAAAAATTTCACTGGTACACGAATTTGTGCATATGACGCGCAGTGAAAGAGTTTTGATGAAAACCTTTGACTAGTACTGCGAAAATTACAAGTGAAATTCGGCATTTAATTCGGAGGGTACAAAAATTAGGGGGTACAACAGGGTACAAATGGTTTTGGGGTACAACTTTCATGGTTTTGGGGTACAAAACGCCGTTGAACCACTGTCTATCGGAAGCAAAACGCTTCGAAGGTTCATGAAATCTCATTTAAAAAACATCTCTGGAACTGATCAAGCGGTTCGGAGTACAAAACATTCACGGAGTAAAAAAATTTTGTGAAACAACTAAAAACATTCACTGAATTGATGCCCATGAAAAAATGGGAAAAAAATTGTTGTACCCCAAAATCGTGAAATTTTGTACCCTTAAATCATAAAAGTTGTACCCCTTAATCAATGCCTACTGAATCGGTAAATTTTTGTACCCTAGAATCGAAAATTTTGTACCCTCGACTTTTTGTACCCCAAAATAATTTGTACCCTGTTGTACCCCCTAATTTTTGTACCCTCCGAATTAAATGCCGTGAAATTCGACTAAAAAATTCTCGCTTTTTTTGGTGTCGAAATGACTGGTGCCGAAATGACTGGTGCCGAAATGGCTGGTGCCGAAATGGCCCGGTGCCGAAATGGCTGGTAACGAAATGGCTGGTAACGAAATGTCGCGGAGCCCAAAAATCAAGTACTAGATGTAAAGTTTTCAGAAAAAAAATTTCAGACTCATACAACGTTTTCTAGCGCTACAATATCTGCTTAAAGTTGCAGTTCCCTGACATTCTGCAAATCGTTATTTCACTTTTAAGGGCGTTGGATTCCAGTACATACAAACAAATATTGAATAAATAAATGATCAACTTTATCAATTAACTCCTAAATAACCCTTATGCAACCGCGATAACCCGTTGATTCTTCGAAGAGCCGGGAGTGTCTAAAAAAAGGTGTTTCGTTTTAAAACCAGTGTATTTTAACGAAAAAAAAACTTAAAAACTACTCACCGAAGGTCTAGAATAACCAAAATCAGTCAATAACATAAGATAACTAAGCTATTGCGACCATAGTATGATTGGAATGCGTACCAGTTCGCTCGGCTTTCGATTTATGGAACATTGAGACGGCGCCCATCACAGTCGATCGTTTTACTCCAATTCGATCGCGAAGGGCTCTAAAAAAATTGATTATATTATGAGTCCGAACAGTTTTCCGAAAATTCCAACTTGTTCACAATGAAATAGATGACCGGATAGACGCCACTATTGAAGATCCACATGAAATTGAGAGCCGTGTAACTCCAGAGGTTCAGCGGGAGCATCCACTGAAAATTGGCGGCGATTATTAAACGAGAAAATGTGCGTAGACTGACCTGATAATTGTGCCAGAGCACATTGAGCACAGTACAGTACACCGTAATCACTGTCGCCTGAATCAACACCTTAATCTCGGCGTTGTAGCTCTTGGAAATCATGAAGCGTTTTTTGGTCTTGATCAATCGATAAATGATGATGAGGTAGAAGAAGGCGGAGACGAAAATTCCGCCGATTTCGATGAACATTTCGGCGCGTTGCACGTAGTGCGAATACTCGAGCTCGTAGTCGTAATCCCACGAGTACCACTCGGGAATGTAGCGAATTGTGGCCCACGGCGAGGCGAGCGCGATCATGAACAGCGTCCACACGAACGACGCCGCTCCGATCCAAATCTGGCGATTTTGTGTTTGTGGCGAGCAGATGGTTGCACGGTCTCCAGCGCGCAAGTGCGCCCCGCCCAATAGAGCGATACATTGGCGCGAAATTCAAATTTTAACAGCAAAATTTGTGTTTTTTGCCAGATTAGCCACGAAAAATCGATAATTTCTCGTTTGTCTCTCGATACACCGATTGTATAGGCTATTACGAATTTTTTAAGCGCAAGAGCGTTAAATTTGGTCAGGTCGCAAATCATATTTATCCGTTTGAAGGTTTTTCGCTAAAACTGCGGGAATTTCAGTTGCTTTTCGGTAGTTTTCGCGGTTCGAGCGCTCAAAATGCTTGTATTTACGTGATTTATCGTTCTCAAAACCAGTTCTGTCGGAAATCGGTCAAGAAAGCGCAAAATGAGAAGTGCCACAGTTTCCAGAGCTGACAATGGGCGCGCAAGTGCGCTCCGCCCAATAGAGCGATACATTGGCGCGAAATTCAAATTTTAACGGCAAAATTTGTGTTTTTTGCCAGATTAGCCACGAAAAATCGATAATTTCTCATTTGTCTCACGATAGACCGATTGTATAGGCTATTACGAATTTTTTAAGCGCAAGAGCATTAAATTTGGTCAAGTCGCAAATCACATTTATCCGTTTGAAGGTTTTTCGCTAAAACTGCGGGAATTTCAGTTGCTTTTCGGTAGTTTTCGCGGTTCGAGCACTCAAAATGCTTGTATTCCGTGATTTATCATTCTCAAAACCAATTCTGTCGGAAAACGGTCAAGAAAGCGCAAGATGAGAAGTGCGGTTTTTTGGCGGCGAAGGCGAAAAAGCGAAATCCGCGAAAAATGCGCCAAAACGTCATTAATTCTGAGAATTAGTGTGTTTTCATGTCGCGCAATCATTTTTCATCGTCGTTGGCCACAAAAATCAGAGAAAACGTGCTCAATTCAGGAAAACGCCATTTGGCCGCCAAGGCCACGCGCCCATATTGACAGCTCTGGAGACCGTGTGGTTGTGAAAACTAAACGTACCATATAACGCTGCCCGCCGAAGAAGTATTTATCCAAAACGGGCGATGACAACTGGACGAGTCGGTTGAACGATAGAAAGATGGTGAGAACGGCGTATGCCACGTAGCACGGAGTCGCTATCACACCCATTGCCTGCAAATTTGACGGTGACTCGAGAAAAATTTTGATGTAAATCAGATCAACTCTGTCAGGTAATTTTCGGCAAGGGTGGGGCGCGCGAGCGGCAAGTGAATAACAGCATGGGGTCAGCATGGCATCAGCATGGATAGAGCGTACCTTGGCAAAAATCGGATGAAAAACCGTCTGTCGAATTGTGAAGACGCCGGTGACAAAGTGCGGAAAACATTGGGCAATATCGAAGAGTCCCAGAAAGAACATGAATCGATAACTGGGCATTCGAGACAGTTCCTTGTCCTTGTAAATTGTCTGCAAAACGTTTGTTTTGATGTTGAGGCTAAAAATGATTGTTTTCCGTTTTTTTCCCTATTCAGCGATGTCAAAAAATGAAAAAAAAACGGAAAGAAATGCATCGCTCGCAGCGTTTTTGCCGGGACGCGATGCATGCGGAGAGACGTTTTATGAGTGGATTTACGAAAAATTTTCTAATTTTTCTGCGAAATTGCCACGTTTTCCCGCTATTTTCAACCGATTTTCAACGGAATTTCAGTTTTTATTTGTCTGTTATGGTAACTGATGCGAAATTGCCCCGTTTACCGCTAATTCCGACCGATTTCGCTTGAATTCTTTTTTTTTTTGTTGATATTTTCGAGTGCCTCGTCATATCGTTCAAAACGTTGAGCTTTTCGGTGAAAATCGGTTCAAAATAGCGGGAAAACGTGGCAATTTCGCTGAAAAATTAGAAAAATTTTCGTAAATTCACTCATAAAACGTCTCTCACAGTAGCCGCATGCATCGCGTCCGGGAAATCGCTGCGAGACCCTGCGAGCGATGCATTTCTTTCCGTTTTTTTTCCCATTTTTTGACATCGCTGAATAGGGAAAAAAACGGAAAAAAAATCATTTTTTCATCCCCTGAATAGCCCGATAACCATGAGTCGAAGTTTTAAAGTTTTGCTAGAAAGTACCACTGGACAACCTAAAAGGGGGAAGAAAAAAAAACGTACAACTAGAATAACATAATAGGCAATAGCGCATGCCAATGAGACCGACATCATGAGAATGCCGACAATCCAGTCAGTTGTCACAGTTCGTCCACTTTCGGTCACTAGTTCCGGATCTACAGTAGTCGTAGGAATGATGCTTGAAATGGTTCCGGTGCTCGGAAGGCTCATCACGATCTTCTCGCATACTTTGGCATGTGTATAACTGGAAAAATTTAGGTTTTGCCCCACTCTTACCTTGAGCTTCTCAGGTAATTTTCGGCAAGCGAACAGCAAGTTGCTACGGGTAGCATGGGGTGAGCATGTGTCACGCACGGATCCGGCATGGCATCCGGCATGGATAGGGCGTGCAACAGAAACGAGTGGGATGGGAGGGAAGCCAAGGTTTTTGAGTGGCACGGGAGCAGCAAGGGTTCAGCGCGTAGCAGGCACGGAATCGGCACCCTTACAGCAGATTGCCGCGGATAACGGCACGGATGCCGATTCATGCGGCAACTTGCCGAAAATTACCAGAGTTAGGACCACATCTAGCAAAGTTAGAGTGGCGCAAAAAACGGAGGTAGGTCAAAAAGTGAGAAATCGCTATAGCCATATAAAAAATATCTCGGAAAGTGTCTAGAGGCCGAAAAAAGAAGTCAAAAAGGTGTTGGACGGCGCCGTGGACGTGGTTTCAATCATCGAGAATGCAATTATGGCATCGGCGACAGAATTGACTTTAGTCGAGACACGTTTTTCTGACACTTGACTCATATACATATCCATATATATATGAGGGGGTGGCAAAAGAGAGCTGACTCATCTAGGACCTTATAAATGAAAGATTTATTGAGGAGAAAGGACAGTCTAGACCAGAGATGTTGGGAATAAAAATTTTACTCTACGGAACACGGAACACGGAACACGGAAAATTTTTTTTTTACGGAACACGGAACACGGAAAATTTTTTTTTTACGGAACACGGAAAAAAGCGTTTTCAAGAGAATTCCAGTGATTTTTTTTTAAATAATGTTTTGTTTAATTCGATTATCTGACTGACAAGGCAGCTGTTTGACTCATGTGAAAGTTTTACTGAAAATTTCATAAAAATAACAAAACCAACAACACAACAGTAAACAACTACAGTAAAAAACGACTGAAAATGGAATCCACTTGTGATCGAATTTTTCCGCGGAAAATATAATTTATACGGAACACGGAACACGGAAAACGGAAAAAACTTATTTCTACGGAACACGGAAAGTTTTTTTTACGGAACACGGAACACGGAAAAAATATTGAAAAAAACGCGGAACACGGAACACGGAATTCCCAACATCTCTGGTCTAGACGTGAAATTTCATTTTTTCAATTTTGAGAATGTGTACGGTCAAGTACATACGTTTTTCCAACAAAAAAAACGTAGAAAATCAAACGATCAAGCGAGCATAGGAGTTGGAAAAGTTTTGAAATCTCTCACTGCACCGGAACGCAGAAAAACACGCCTTGTGTTGAATATTTCCTTCGTTTTGTCTCACGGTCCCAAAAAGTTGCAAATATTGTTGTTGTTTTGCAGCGGACACCAAAAAAAAAAAACAAAAAGAAGAGAGTTTGTGCCCGAATTTGATTGGATTACGTCACGTGTGCGGCGCGGTTATTTTTGGGATTTTAGGTCGGCGCAAGGAGATGCGAACCAGAGTTGAGCGGAAGAGCTCAACGGAAGAATTTTTATATTTTTTAGAAAATTTTTTCATGGAATGTGATCAACTGACGAAATGTAGAGCAAAGTGAACTCTGCTCATAGAAAAATAATTGTAAATTTAGCGATTCATACAAAAAAGTTATTCGAGTTGTTGCGTGAAAAAAGGGGGCCAACGGAACAACTCGAATATAACTTTTTTGTATGAAAAGCTAAATTTACAATTATTTTTCTATGAGCAGAGTTCGCTTTGCTATACATTTCGTCAGTTGATCACATTCCATGAAAAAATTTTCTAAAAAAGATAAAAATTCTTCCGTGTTCTTCCGTTGAGTTCTTCCGCTCAACTCTGCATGCGAACACGTGGATTGTTGGCGTTTTTGAAAGCCCACAGCTGTGAAGGCATCTTAAACATGCACTTTAATACATGCAAGATTGGGATGGGATCAACGGCACCAGTGGAGTGGCGCTGACCAAAATGACAACCCCCAAAAAGAGGACAAGAGGCGTACTCAAGACGCGAAATGAATTGCGTCCTGATTTCTTGCCGCCTCCGATCATTCTAATGCAAAAACGCTCTTTGATGCATGTAAGGTTTAGAAAAGGAAACCAAAACTGAGATGTGTTTTGAATACGGTAAAACGAAGCTTGAACTTCCGCGAGCTACAGAACTCTAGGCAATGGTTTTATGAGAAAATTGTCAACTACAAAAATAAAGTACAAGTTATGAACTGTATTTTTGCAGTTGACAACTTTTTGGTACGACCATTCCCTGGAGTACTAAGGCGCGTGGAAGTTGGCGTTGAAAAACGCTGGCTGCGCGCGGTGCCACACACGAAAACCCACAATTTGTTGTCTATGTACACACGTTCGATTTCGATTCAAACACCATTAAAGTAACGTCTTTGTAATTATGTGTTCCCTCTTTGTCTTCCAGTCTGAAAATCGAGAAAAACCACTTAAAAAGCGACGATTCCATTAGGCGGCCGTTCCATGACTTCCACAAAATTCAGAATCGCTCAATATTATGCATTTCCAAGTCACTCTTCCTTCGGTGTCGTCGTATAAGTGGTGTGAAACTCGATATTGTGCAACGACACGTCAAACACCGCTGAATACACATTGAAAAAGTTGGGAAATGAACAACATTTGGAAGCTTTTCAATGTTGGATTCGATCTTCAACTTGATAATCTTTTCCATGATTCTTCTAGCTCCACTCTCAAGTAATGCAACGCCCTAATCCTCAACGCTTCCTCTCCCAGACCCCCCTCTGTTTCTGTCCATTCAGAAGGTCATTTATCCTTCCTTCCGCTTCGACTTCCTTCTCTTTCTCCCCCTCCGGGTCACTCTCTCTCTCTCTCTCTCTCTCTCTCTCTCTTTCGTCCATTTGCCAGAAACATTGAGCGAGAGAGAGAGAGAGAGAGAAAGAAGAGAAATAGAGCGACAGAGTGCGGTGGAGCGCAAGTGCGGCACGTGTCCCGCCACTACATTATTTGCCCGGTGTCTCTTGTGTGTTTGCCCCGTCCGCCTGTCATCGTGTCAACATCGATTATCTCGGTGTGCCTGGCTTCCACTTTCCCGCATTTTTTTTTTCGGAAATTTTTTTTTTCAAATCAACTTTTACAGGCCCGAAAATGGACCTCTCGAGTGGGGGTCCTCGAGACGATGGACTGGCGTGGCAGTTGGACAATTCGGATGCTATGCAACTTGTGAGACAGGTTCTGTAAATGCGTAGTTTTCGACAAAAAAAAATAGTAATTTGTCTCTTTTAGGCCGTACTCTTTGAAAACGTCGAATTGCTCGCCGACTTGTTCAAAGTGAATCCGTGGGTTTGGAACCGTGTCGATCGGCACGGAAGGACACCGCTGATGCTCGCGGCACACAACGGAAAAGTGAACAGTTTGAGGACGATACTCGTCTGCTCTCCTCGTATGTTTTTGCAAAATTTCAAGGGAAAAGTCAGCAGAACTGGGCTGCATTCAGTTTTTAAAAAAATTTCTATAAACAACTAACTAGGGAAGTACTTTTGAAGAGACAAATTTTTATAAAATTATGATTATATGGCCATGCTTGATTTTTTGCCGTAAAAACCAACACAAAATAACTGTTTTTCTTGTGAAAATAGTTTGGTCCCGAAAATTAATTGTTCGTTTTTTGATTGTAGCAGTGAAAAGTGAACGAAAAACAGCATGTTGTCTCCCGTTTTTTACGTGAAAAACCTAAATCAGTAATGTGAAAAACGTTGAAAATGTTTCCGCTAACTTTAATTAAATTTAATCGTGAAGCGACAAGTCAAAAAAAGTATAAAACACAAAAATTACGACTCAAACGTGTTCACGCTTTCAGAATCGCTCGATTTGGTGAACGAACGCGGAAAGACGGCTCTTCACATGGCTGCCGAGTCGGGAGAAACTCCGATTGTTCTGGAATTGGTGGATATTGGTAAGTTTTTAAATTTTACACTGAAAAAAGAGTGCAAAGCGGTTGTTTCGTTTTTAGTGGGGTTATTCAGGCTGTGAAAAAAATGATTGTTTTCCGTTTTTTTCGTTTTTTACGTCAAAAAATCCAATTCAGCGATGTAAAAAAACGGAAAACAAACATACGCTGAATAGCCCCATAACGTTCGTTACAACGCTGAATTGAATTTTTTAAATGTAAAAAACACGCACTGAATATTACCAAAATTTAAAAAAACGCACATAAAAATAGTCAGAAACGTTTTTAGGTTCGGATCCGATGAAAGTCGACAAAGAGGGTCATTGTGCGTTGGAATTGGCTCAAATGGCCGGCCACAATGAGGTCGCCGCCAAGCTTATCGACGCTATTCGTAAGTGACTTTTTTGCAGTTCAAAAAAAGAAAAACAGAGCCTTTGCAGAAAAAGAAAGCGAAGATTTGAACGAAGCGCACACATTTTTGATAAGTGCGTGCGCGTCCGGAAATGCCGACGTCGTCAATGAGGTGCTCAGGAAAACGATGGGAAAGTGCGTGCTCTCTAAAATGCTGTAAAAATCGTAAGAAAAACTACAGACAACAAAACCGCGACATCATTTTCAACGGCCGAACCGATGAAGATGAGACCGCGCTTCTCATGTAAGCTCCACACAATTTTCGGCAATAAAAATTAAATTAAATTCAGTGCCTGCACAAACGGACATGCGGAAATCGTTCGTCACTTGCTCACATTCTCCGAGCACCTTTTGCAAAGTCACCTGACCCGGGATACCGTGATCCACGCGGCGGTCTCATCGCAGAACGTGGAAGTGCTCCAGCTGTGTCTTGAGGTGCGGTGTTTATTCATCACCATTGGCGACTAGGAGATAGGGTCAAAATAAAACAAGTTTCGGGTGAAAAGAAATCATTTTTTCTGAATTTGTGGCGGTGCTCCGAATATCATGGGCTCACGAAGGAACTGCGGGTAGGCGGGAATCCGATCGCTGAACTTGAACTGGTGCTTGACCAACGGCACTTGCGGCCGATCCTCCGTCAAATGACTCTTCACCGTTTGCTCTGCAACACTTAATAAATCGGGGAGTTCTTTTGACAGGTTCTCGATAGGATAGGTGATTTGTCTACAGTTTAGTCAAGAGAAAATAGATGAGACTTCAGAATTTTCCCGAAAAATACATATTCTTTGTGAATTGCTCACCAATTCTCTGTCTTCCCTGATACGATTCGGCGTTCTCGAACTCTGCCATCTCCTCTTTTCGCATCGGCCGTTGCATCCTCCAATTGATGAGTTTATAAGCGATCCGAGAGATGCGTTCGTCCTCCTGCTCGATCACATTTCCATCATATTTATTCGTCGGCGCACACTCGAGACAGTACGCGACCAGAGCATCGCTGTTTTGCGCGAAAAACTTGTAAATCGACGGCGGCACCGCTGGATTCATGAGAAACAGTTCCAAAAGTTTGAACGCCTCTGTGCGGACCGTCCGATTTTTGTGCTGAATTGCGAGCATGACGACGCGCAAAAACGAGTCGGACGCGAGCCATTCGGCGCGGACGTCGTCGAACGCGCGAATGTGAAACATGTCGTGGAGCAGTTTCAGCGACTTCGCTTGAATATAAAAATTTGCCGAAACAATCAATTTTTGCATCGCTTGCGTGAAACGCGCATTGTTTCTCGCGATGAATTCCTGAACGAGCGCGTGATTTGTGTCGAGGATTATCTGGAAATTGTATATTTTGATTTGAAAAAATGGCCAAAAAGAGCGTTACTTTGAGCATTTCAAATGCCGAAACTGTCGAGTCAAACGGATCGTGATACGTGTTGAGCGCGGGCACGACGAGCCGTCGGAATACTTCCCAAATAGCCGGCGCGCGGGTGTACAACGGAAAACCGGGCGGATCTCGGCCGTCGTCGTCGAGAATTACCTGGAAACGGTTGAAATTTACTTGAAAACAAGGGGAACGGATGCATTTTCGAATAAATTCAAATCAATATCGACTTTTGAATCAAAATGAACCATGATTCCGATGGAATTTTTCACCGTTTTCTTTACGAATCAGTGCCGGGGCTAGATTTTTCGGAAATTTCGTGGAAATCAACGCACACTGAGACAGACGTCGTCCTCGGCGAAGACCCGAACGATATCGTTGAAAAAATCGATGCTGTCCAAATCCTCGTGTCCTTCGGCGATCAGCAGCAGAATCTCGTGTCGACAGTGAAACAATTGGGACCGAACTTTCGGCGAATGCATCGATTTGCGCGGCACACAACTGCCCTTCCCGTCGTTTGATCCCCAAGTGGTTACGAGCATAAATAGATCACGGATTTTCTGAAAATAGTTGCAAAAAATCCAAAGATTTTCGTGCCAAGTACCCTTTTGACATCATTGGGAGCGCATCGGAACGCGAAGAGCAAAAGGCGAAGAGCGTCGGGCTGAAGAAGGAATTCCTCCGCCCACGCGTACTTTTTCTTCGGCGCCGTCTCGTGCGAAATGTTGAACAGCGCCTTCCAGATGTCGTCGACGATCGGCGCGATTTGCGTTTCGATTATTGTGCGCTTCTTCTCGCGAAAATACTTTTCGCACTCTTTTTGCAGTCTGGCGATTTGCTCTTGCCGCGCGTCGGATCGCTGATTGAACGTCCACTGACGAAGGAGTTGACACGCCATTCTGGAAGTTGGAAAGTTTTTAGATGCGTTCCGTGGGAGGAATGCTGATTCATTCCACTTGATTTCTTGGGAATGAGTTCATTATGATGTAAACTAGCAAAGAGAAACAAAAAGCACGCACGATCAGTCATATTTTGAAAAAAAACTGTTTTGGCAGTCACGCCTAGACATTTCTGCGAGTTTCTCGTTGCTGCTTGCGAGTTTCAATCGCAATGAACTCGTTCCCAAAAAATTAGGAAAAATGAATCGATATTCTACGAACAGCACGCATCAGAAGTTTTCGCGCGCGCGCGCGGAAAAAGGCTTGGGAAGCGTGCCGCGGGCCGGCGAAATAAGCGGCCGACTGTTCACGAGACGACGGCCGAACTTTCTTCCTCTCTCTCCATTGCGCCCCCCGAAAAAAATCACCGTGCGGCACTATGCGGGATTTTTGTTAAATGTAGCCGTAACCGAAAAGTTCCGCCTCTCGATTGTGCTCGAAATATGATTTTTGCGCCAGTTTCGCTGTTTTTTCACTCGTCTCTGAGAAAAATGAATGAATTCGCGAAATTTGCTCGAAAATCGTTTTTTCAGCAAGCATAACAAACACCACCGCAAAACAATATAAAATTTCCAGAAGTTTCCCCAATTGGCCAAAGTCACGAACAACGAAGGATCGACGTGTCTACACTGGGCCGCGCGTTGCGGATCTTCCGAATGCGTTTCCGCGTAAGTCGTCGTTTTGTTCGCTTCAGAGACGAATTTTGTCAAATTCCAGAATTCTCAACTTCCCGTTTCCGACCGAGTACATAATGGAGATCGATACGGTCGGAGCGCCGGCCTATCAACTCGCTCTCGACGTGAACGAGGTGGACGGCGAGTGCCGGACAGCCATGTACCTCGCCGTTGCCGAGGGTCATTTAGAAGTGATTCAGGCCATGATCGAGGTAGAGCTCCCCAAAAAAAAAAAACACTCAAAAATCAAAGTTTTCAGTTCAAATGCGATTCGATCGATGGAAAGCGCAGATGCCCGTTTCAACTTGACGTCTACTGCACGCGCGGGCGCACTCCATTCATGTTGGCCGCTTTTAATCAGAATCTACCGCTCATGAAGTATGAAGACTTTCAAAAATTGGAAAAATTATCTAATTCCACCGAATTTCAGTGTTCTCCTCGACGCCGGCGCCGACATCAATCTTCCGTTGGCGGTTTTGGACAACGAGTACAGCGTGGAGGAGGGCCGATGCATCGGCTCGGGAGCTCTCGTCGAGGCGGTCCGTTCCGACGGACTGCACATTGTGCATTTCCTTCTGGATCGTGGCGCACTCGACACCGACAACAAGGCGCTTCGTCTGGCGGCCCAGGGCAAAAACGAGAAGCTGATTCGCGTGTTTCTCACCCGTCTCGTGTTCGCCGATCCCGAGTACAAGATCAACAAGAAGAACATCGATGTCGGACAGATTCAAGTGGGACAAAGTCTGCTGCCCAGCTCTTTGTGCCCTTCGAAAGCGGCGCAGTTGAATTGGAATTCCGCGAATTTGGAGCAACTGCAATCGGACTGGTTCGTCGCCGCCGCACTTCACGTGAATCCACGTCTACGCACGACGAGGCTCTCGCTGGCCGCCATCACTCGCGTCGATTTATCCGATAACCGATTAGGCACATTTCCGAGTATTCTCTTCCAAATGCCATCGCTTCGATCGCTAAATCTGGCCGACAATAGCATTCGAACCATCGAAATTCCGACCTATTACATCAGCTCGACGTCGTTGGAGATTTTGAATTTGAAGAACAATCAGTTGGAGTGTCTAACCATTCAATTTCTGTCTTCACTTCCACAATTGCAACAACTCGACGTTTCGAAAAACGAGCTGAGCCAGCTGCCCGAGTACATTTGGTTGTGCCCGGCGTTGCGGGAGCTGAACGCGTCGCACAATCGGCTGAGCACACTGCCAATGGTGGCGAGGACGTCGAGGGGTGAACGGCCGAGACTTCAGCACTCGAATAACAGTGAGCTACCTTTGTTTTTTCCCCAAATTTTGTTCTCATCATCACGTTTTCCAGATTCGTCTAGTCAATCGCCGGCAAACGAGTCGAATCCGCTCGTCGACGAGCCGCCAAACGTGACGTCGAACCCGTTACGCCGTCAAAATGTGTGGCAAGCGAGTATAAACCTGTCGAAAGTCGACGACGACTGTCTGTTCCCCGACTTTCCGGTCACTTCGAGCAACACTCTCACCACCATCAACCTCTCGCACAACAAGTTCCACACATTTCCGTTCTGTCTCGCCTGCACTTGCCCTCGTCTTCTCATCCTCAACATGTCGAACAACTCGATGACGTCGTTGCCGCCGATGGCCTGTGTGCCCGCCCACCTACGCACCCTCGATTTGTCGTACAACAAAATTCAGGAGAGTTTCGTCGAGGCGACGCCGCTGCACGTCGTCTGTCACGCGGTTCCGCCCACCACCGCCAACGGCTCGATGCTTCCACCAAAGCGACGCAACTCGCCGGCTCGTCAGAATCGGAGCCGCTCGAAATCGGCGGTCAGGTCACAGCGGAGTCTGAGCGTTTCACGTCATCAAACGCTGATCGATCCGCAGAAGGAGGAGGAGTGTGTTCACAAGCGGCACGATTCGCTGGAGTGGCTCAAGACGCTTCAACTGGCCGGAAACCGGCTCCGCTCAATTTCCGTGACTGCTCCGACAAAAGTGCTGCTTCCGGCGCTCAATGTGCTCGATTTGAGCGACAATAAATTGCTCATCGCGCCGGCTGACGTGGCAAAACTCGCGCTGCTCTCGATGCTCAACCTCTCCGGAAATACGTCCATAAAAGAGCTTCCGCCCGACTACGGAATGCTCTCGCGGTTGTGGAGCCTCTCGCTCAAAGGATGCTCACTAAAAGAGCCGCTCGAGTCGATGGTCAACGTGGAGAACTGCAAAACTGTGGAAATTGTGGCGTACTTGAAGACGATTCTCGAGGAATCCAAGACCTACCACCACTTGAGAATCATGATTTTGGGTAGCGATGGAGTCGGCAAGTCGACAGTTTGGGAGGCGTTGAGCAAGGAAGCCGTGCAGAAGCGACAGCCAATCCAATCGGAAACCGGAGTCATTCGTCAAGCCGAATGGAAATTCGAGGCGAAACGAGCCAAAGGCGACAAGGTGCTCGGACCCGTCGGATTCTCGGTTATCGATTTTGGCGGCCAGCGAGAATACCATTCGACCCATCAATACTTCCTCAGTAAACGATCTCTGAACGTCGTTCTCTGGAAGATCACCGACGGAGACGAGGCGTTGGCTCAGCTCGACACGTGGCTCATCAATATTCACGCGAGAGCTCCAAACTCCACCGTAATCCTAGTGGGCACCAATTTAGATCAAGTCAATGCGAATAGCTCAAAGTTCGGCCCGGGATTTGTGGATAAAATGGAGCAAAAAGTGCGGAGCCGGTACATGGTCGCCGACGCCGACAAGTCGGGATTGCCACGTGTCGTCGACGTGATTCTGATCACTTCGACCGTTCGCAACGACATCAAAGCCCTCCTCAACACAATTTATCGGACCGCGTGGGAGGTGCGAATCGGAAAGGAGCGAGCGATGGAGCAGCAGATTCCGTCGTCCTACGTGGCGCTGATGAAGGCGACGAAGGAGTTGGCGGTCGAGTTTCGCAAAGAATCGCAGCCGGCCGTGATGACGGTCGAGGCGTACAAGGATCGGGTCAGGAAGCGGATGCTGAGCAAGTTGGGAAGACCGTTCCGCGACGACATCGAGTTCCACGCGGCGTGCACATTTCTTCACGACTGCGGAGAGCTCGTGCGCTTCGAGGATGCCACACTTCGAGACTTGATCTTTGTGGATCCGCTCTGGCTTGCCGAGTTCCTCACCTCAATCGTCGTTCTTCGAAGTCCCAACCTGCCCGCCGGTCTTCTCTCCACCGACGCCATCAACCCGCTGACACGTGGCTTCAAAAGCGGCGCTCTTTCGATGCTCAAGGCTCAACTGCTCGATTTGCTGCACAAATTCGAATTGGCGCTCGCCACGCAACCCCGTCAGCTGCTGATTCCGAGTCTTTTGCCCGACGAGTACCGACTTCGCGCCGATTTTCTCGGAGCCGCCGTGAAGATTCGCATGAAAATGGCGCAGTGGAACGTTCGATGCCCGAGTCCTTCTGGCTCGCCGACAAAATCTCCGTTGAGAAGGGCGTCGCCGAGTACGACGACGACGGAGCCGATCGGCGATTCCGAAGACGTCATGCTCCATTTCACCTACGACGACGATCAGTTGCTGCGACGAATCTACGCACTGGCCTATATTCCATCCGGATTCTGGAGTCGTCTCGTCACGCGGATCATGGGCGACAAAAATGTGTGTGCGGCGATCGAGAGCATCTTCATGACGACGTCGGCGGATCGTGCCAGAATTGCCGACATTGCGACGAAGCACGCGAGGGCCGAATGGGTCGTCTGGCAGACGGGCATCGAGCTTCATGTCAAGGGACATTCGTTGTTCGCGTTGAAACAGTTTCTTCCACTGGCAGAGGTTAGAAGAATTTTTTGCCGAAATTTGAGGAAACAACCCATTCAATTTCAGATCCGCGACATCGACTACAGTAATCTCGAGATGCGCGCCAAGGACGAACAGAAACGCTGGCGGACGTGGAATCAGCCGGCGCATAGACCGATTGTCGAGCTCGTCGTCAACTCGTTGAGCATTTCGACGGCCGCCTCGCAAAACGGACGCAAACTCTCGATGAAAACCGATGTGGAGGGAAGAAGTCGACTATTGGCACTGATTTCGGATCTATTGGACACTTTATTGGAAGACTGGCAAGTTATTTTTATCATCCGTTTTTCTTCGCCGCAGCGGCAGCTGCTTCGATTTCGAGACGCGCCTCGGCCATGTTGAACGCGTGAATCATTGGAACGTTTGTCTGGAAAAAAAAACAGAAGAATCGAATAGTTTCAAATTTCTCGCCCACCAGCGTTCTGATCGAGCGCTCTCCAATCGATTCGTGCACCTCGACTATTCCGGCGTCGTCGTCGTCGCCGTCGTTGTCCGATTCAGCTTCCGCTTGCGCCATCAACTCCTCGGCGCTCTTCTTTTTGAGCTGAATCGGCGGCGCACGACCGCGCGTGTCCGTGTAGTCGAACGAGTGCGTCAGCGCGTCGGCCACGATTTTCGCATAGTCGAACACTTTCGCCGGCTCCGTCTCATTCATAGTATTCTTAAAATTGATTCTTCCGAAGCGGTTTTTGATTCCGATGCACTCACATCTTGCATAGGTTCCTCGGTCATTTCGCTTGGCGAGAGATTCACAAATCACAAAATGTAAAAGCAAAACAAGTTTGATTGGTGATTGGCCGCACGAAGAGTTAAAAGTTCACGTTTTGCAGGTACCCCGCTCTGGGAACTCGATTTGTGCACAGCTCCGAGGGTGATTTGCTCGTCTCGCGATACGTAATGTGTCCGCATTGCGTTCGTGACGCGGAACGTTCCGCGTCGCGAAGCCACGTCTCGTCTGCGGCGTCGCATCGGAGATCGCAGGACGACGGAGAGCTTCCGGCGGGCGGCACCGCTCAAATCAAGCCGTCACGGACCACCGGCGACATTTCCAAGTTTCGCGGCGGCGTCGTTCATTGTTTCGTCATCGAGGAGTGCATGTTGGCGGGCAGGGAGTACAATTGGGTCGAATGCCCGTCGCACGGCGGTCTGCACATGCGAGAACTCGCACCGGACACCGTGTTCGCCGACATTGAAAACGCGCTGATGATCCACGTGGATCAACTGAAACGCAGCCGAATGCTTGGTCGCGGCGCGTTCGGATTCGTCTTCCGGGCGACGGTGCGTCAGCCGAACGGAGAGCTCTGCGAGGTGGCGCAGAAAATGTTGGAGCCAGTGGATCCGGGTCCGGGCGGACGGCCTTCGGCCCTGGCGGCTTATAAAGCGGCGGCCGACAAATGGAAACGGGATAGTATGGAATTCGCCTGCCGTGCCTACTGTACTTCGCGACAAGAGCTCAGTTTGTTGAGCCGAATGAAACATCCGAATGTGATCGGACTCGTCGGCGTTTGCACGTTCCCGCTGTCCCTGGTCGTCGAACTCGCACCTCTCGGAGCTCTCAACCAACTTTTGGCGTCGCATCGAAAAGCGGGCACCAAACTGTCGCTCGGCGTGATCAAAGAGTCCGCGGTGCAAGTGGCTCGAGCTCTCGAGTACCTTCACTCGGCGCACATCATCTATCGGGATCTCAAATCGGAAAATGTGCTCGGCTGGCGGTTCCCGGCGCCGTTCAGCCCTCAAACCGACGTTCTGCTCAAGTTGGGCGATTACGGTATTTCGAGAAGTGTGCTTCCGTCCGGCGGAGCGAAAGGATTCGGAGGAACCGAGGGATTTATGGCGCCCGAAATTGTTCGGTTCAACGGAGAAGAAGAGTATACACAGAAAGTGGACTGTTTTTCGTTCGGAATGTTCCTCTACGAACTGCTGACGTTGAAGTTCCCATTCGAAGGCGAAGAGCATGTCAAAGAACGGATGCTGGACGGAGCCCGACCGGTACTTCTCCCCCACGAGCTCCTTCTACCCACTCCGATGCTCGATCTGCTCGTCCACTGCTGGTCCGCCCATCCCGAATCCCGCCCGTCCTCCTCCCAACTCGTCGGATTCTGCGCCGCGCCCGAATTCACGCATCTCCTCGACGTTTGCGAGCTCGGCGAAGCGCTACCGCCGAGCCAACTGCTCGCCGTCGCGATCACCGACGAAATCGACGATCCCGACGATTTTGAGGCACAATTGTGGCTGAGCGGACGCGAAATGACCGTCATGGGCTGCACCCAGTACGGACTCGTCGATCAGAAGTCGCTGACGATGCCGTTCCGCGCGAAATACGTGTGCAAAGTGCGCGACTCGATTTGGTCGTGCGACGAGTGCGGACAAGTCACCGTTTACGCGATTTCGCTTCATGAGACGGCACACTTACAATTGCCATCGCTAAACGGAACTTTGGTGAGGCGGAACATTGTGTTATTAGAGAAAACATGTACATTTCTTAGACAATATTGAAAGTTCTACACAAAAGATTAGTTTTGTAGAGAAAAGGTAGTTTTAATGGAGGCCTGTCACTAAAAAATTGGAGTGTGGGATATTTATACCATTGGCCAAAGCGTAAAATGTTACAAATGGGGGTCAGTACAGGAACATGACAGGCTTCCTCTAAAAACAGAGTCGTTCTTCGAGTGTAAAAGTTGATTGTTTAGAGAGAAAATGAGTAGTTAGACAAAACGTAACTTTTTCAGATTTGTGCGCCCGAACTCATCGGCAACGACGTTCTCGTCCTGATTTCTGACAAGCAGATTGTGCTTTTGAGGCTTTCGGAGTCGAATTCAGTGAGTTCTTGCCGAATGAAGAAACGGCCGCCGCCGAATAGTCGATGTTCCTGAAAAAGGCTTTGTTATTGTTGAATTTTTGCGGCAAAGCATTAATTTAACGTTTTCCGAGACTAAGATGCAGAGCAACGGGATTTGAGCGGAAAATCATGAAAAAAAAGATGAATTTTGTGTTAGCGCCAAAATGATTAAACCGTTGTCTGAGTCGCTCGATTTTACACGGCCCCTCGCCGGTAGTTTGCAGATTTTTTGAGCGAATTTCGCAGAAAATCGCAGAAAAACTACATTTCCAACAGAATTCCGATTTTTTCAGGTCTCCCACCTCGGAACCTTTGATTCCCCGTACGAAATCCGCACAGCGACGATCCTCGAGAACGCGGGAGCCCGTCAAATATGGGCGGGTCACTCGGAAGGCCGCATCTCGATCCACCACCTCGCCGCCAACGACACGTTCAGCTTCTCCTCGAGTCTCTACCTTCCCGATGAGAAATGCGTCGTTCGTCAGTTGGTCGGCTCGAAAGACGCGCAAAAAGTGTGGGTCGCCCTGGAGAAGAGCTCAAAAGTGCTGATGGTGGAGGTGGAGCGGCGGCAGGTGTCCGGATCGCTGGATATTCGGAAAGTGATGCCGGGCAGTGAGACGATTCACACAATCGACATGGAAATGGCCAACCAGAACCATGTGACGTGTCTCGGATTGCTGGAACGCAACGACGGCGATCAGTTGTACATTGGAACGTCGAAAGGACTGCTGGTTATCGCGCATGCCACTACGGTTCGAGTTTCAGCCTTTTCTCACAGTCAGATAATGTTCATTACAAACATTTTTCAGCTACAACCATTGTCGGCGTGCCGTCCGTTCGAAGGCGACGTCACCGCGATCTGCATTCTCGAAGAGCCGCCGAGAGAAGAGGAGGGAAGCGTGCGTGGCAAAGCGACGACACTAAGCACGGCCTCCTCGGAAAGCGGCCTCGGATGGGTCAGGGAACGAGTCAGCGAGACTGTCGATCGGTGAGTAAGTTGTAGCTTTTGGCGTGACGGCTGGAAGTTAAAAGCACAAATTTTGCTCCAAAATGTCGCTTTTTTTTCTAAGAATCTTTCTCCGACGAAATATTGATTTTTGCAGTTTCCGCTCTAATCCCGCCACAATCGAATGCGAGGGAGCCGCCCTACTCGTGTGCATCGGCCGTCAATTCCGCAGCCTCTCGCATCGATTCGTTTCGGAACAAAAACTCGCCGACGTCTTCTCGATCGCCGTGTGGCGCACCGAAGAATGGACTCTGTGACGACACCTGTGATACTATTTTGTCTTTCTTTTCTTTTTTTCCCCCCGCTCGTCTAGCCTAGCTTCTCACTTTTTCCAAGCGTTTCGATCTCTCGATTCTTTGATGCATTCTTATTATACTTTGTACGTTTTTTCTAGTCCACCTTTTTACTTTTCCCTCTCAGCCACTCATTCTCGTCCACAGTTGATGACAGGTTTTCATTGCATTCTCTCGCCTTACCAAAATTCATTTTTTTTTGTCGATCTAACACCTCGAACTGTCGGCTTTTCCGAACAATAACGACGATGGGAAAAACCGAGACCCGACATTCATATAAAAGTGTTTGGAGCCTGTAGTTCAGCACAAAATGCTCTTTTTCTACTTCCTGCTTCCCATCATCGTCTTTTCGGTCGATGTCGTGGACATTTCCGGAGCGGCCAGTTGCCCAGACACCACGAAATTCATCAAAAAGCTTCTGGCGTTCAAGAAAAAGTTGGATCCGGTTCCGCTCGGATTGATCATCAAGTATAGGCCGGTTTGCCATCGAAGACGACTCGATAACGGAACTGTTCAGTGAGACTAAACGCTTCTGAACTTGAAACCTTCTTTTTTTTTCTTTTCAGAAACACGTGTGCCCGTGGTGAGCTCGAATGCTCGCTGAGTCGCTTCCAAGTGTGTGCGCAAAAATACATCGCCGCCGATGACGCCCTGCCGACAATCGGATGCATTCAGGGCGTCCGTTCCCTATCGGCAGCAGAGGCTTGCACACAAAACGCGCCAAGGTGACGCATATTTATACTATTCATTGTTCATTCGATTGTTGTAGCATCAAGACGTGCGCCTACTCATCGGAGGGCAACGCCCTGTTGACTGAAGCGCAAAAAACGCGGCCGACGGGTGTGAGCTGGGTGCCGTGGATTGTGATCAACGGAGTGCGAGTGGCCGAGGCCGAGCACAAGCCGAAAAAGTACATTTGTCGGTTGAAGTCTTTGAAGGGGAATAAGGCGTGTCGGTGACGTTTTTTTCTGCTGATTTTGAATGAAGCAATATTTCAACAAGTTTTTATTGGAATCCTTGCACACAGTACTCTTGAGAGCAGACTTGCCAGATTTCGGGCCGGCCATGCGGGCCGGTAAAGTGTCGGCCCGGTTCAAAAGGCGGGAATTCAAATTTTCGCGGAAATTTTTTTTTCGTTATTACAAAAAAAATTTTCGAACTAAAGTTTTAGTGTTTCTTCTTTGTTTTTTTGCTATTATGAATTTTTTATGAGAAATACATTTGTTTTTCAATGTTCGATGCTTGCAAAAAACCCCTAATTCTACAAAAAATGGCTTCATGCGATCAATAATTCAAATTTTGAATTCCCGCTTTTTGAACCGGGCCGACCGGGCCGGGCCGGAGTTTTGGAAATTTCGGCCCGGCCCGGCCCGTGGCAACTATGCTTGAGAGTGATTGTACAAAAAAATTGTCAACTAACAAAACAACGCGCTATTTGCGAACTTTAATTTTCTAGTTGACAACTTTTTTGTACAATCAGCGCCTGGAGTGGTGTAGCGTGCGGAAGAAATGAAAAAAAAAGCGTCAAACGTCGCCCAGGTTTCAAGCGCTACAGTACTCTTGAGAGTGATTGTACAAAAAAACCGTCAACTACAAAAATAAAGTGCTTAAACTGACCGTTATTTTTGTACTTGACAACTTTTTCGTGAAACCACTCCCAATAGCGCTACAGCTTCTGGGAAGGTAGGCATCAGAGTTGAGCGGAAGAACTCAACGGAAGAACACGGAAGAATTTTTATCTTTTTTAGAAAATTTTTTCATAAAATGTGATCAACTGACGAAATGTATAGCAAAGTGAACTCTGCGAACAGAAAAATAATTGAAAATTTAACTTTTCATTCTAAAAAGTTAAGGGCTAACGGAAGACGGAAGGACATTTTCACGCAACAACTCGAATAACTTTTTTGTATGAAAAGCTAAATTTACGATTATTTTTCCATGAGCAGAGTTCACTTTGCTATACATTTCGTCAGTTGATCACATTCTATGAAATAATTTTCTAAAAAAGATAAAAATTCTTCCGTGTTCCGTTCCGTTGAGTTCTTCCGCTCAACTCTGTTACTCTTATTGAACGACCGGAAAACTCTGGAACAAGACAATTCTGACAAATCGCGTCGCTTGGCTCCCCCTTTTGCACGTCAAAGGCGTCAGTCGTGGTGGCTTTGCGCGTATCCGGTTACTTCAGTTCATCTTGTACTTGACGTGTCTCTAGACTTTGGGGAACGGATCGTTTGCAGCCACCTACACTACTCCAGAAAGTGGTCGTACAAAAAATGTGTGTCAACTGGAAAAATGACGTACTAGACGAGTCAGACTCTGAATATTCTCTAGAACCGTCAAGTAGCCAATGTACCACTGTCATGAGCGATTCCTCCGATTTTCGCATGGCAGAAGTGACATTGGCTACTTGACCGGGTGCCGGAGACCGATTCCGAATATATTATAGAGCCGCCGTTCTGGCCGGCTGAATATTGTCGATTGAGGTGAGCTGTGAGCCAGGCAAGAAAGCGGTCGCAGCGGGGAAGAAAGGGAGGCGCCGCCCCCTTTTTTCTGACTCACCATCGTACAGTCGGTCGGTCACAAAACATTTTTCGATTGAATTGTCAATACTTTATGATTAAAAGAGAAGGGAAGCCAAAGTGCGAATTGCGAAGGAAATCAGGCGATCGGCTGCGGAAGTAGAGGCCGCGCGTCTTTGTACTCGACCGTGTGCAGGAAGACGAGAGAATCGAGAATGTAGGCAAGACGGGCGTCGTCGCACGGCGGATGATCCTCCGGAATCGGCGTCTCCTGGCCCGTCTCCTGCAGCTTCCGACGCTCGGCGATCAATTTCATCTCCAACATTTTCAGCACCGCCACGTACTCGTCGGTCAGGAAGAGCTTGAAGATCGCAAACACCGGATTCTGGCCGAATTCGGTGGGATCCGCGTCGCGCGCGATTCGAATGATTTTTGGAATGAGTTCGAGAAGACGCTCGCGTTGGAATGCGCAATTCTTCTTGCGGCACTTTAGACAGTAGAGGATCGTGGGAATCAGCCAGAGGTGCGGCCTCTGAAAACAATGGGGTCAGTTGAAGTTGGAGCAAAAAAACGACCTCTCCGTGATCGACGACGTGCTCGGTGTAGTAGCGTTCGGCGGCGAAGTTGATCTGGCACAACTGGCAGTAGTAGGTGGCGCGCAACGGATATCCGACGCACAGTTGGCCGTCGTCAATGATTTGGAGGTCGGGATCGATGGACTCGCGGCTCGGGTACACGGCGTCGTTGATGACGATCGAACCGGCCGACTGAACAACAAGTCGCTTGTTGGCGTCGAATATTGTGAGCTACAGAGACAAAAGGACCCGACACTTTCCACCGCAGTACATACTTCCCGACTTACATTATGCCACAGGTAGAAGTGATCGACGCACTCGGTCAGCGAGTCGTAGCGCATCGGGCACAGGGGGTCCGGGCACTGGAACGGGTTGATCTGCAGGTCGCAGTTGTTCGCGTGCTCGTAGAATTCCGTCTCGTCGACCGAACGCTTTCCGCAGCCCCAACACTCGCGCGCGCTCCACGTAAAGTGTCGGCGCGTGTCGGCGGCGTTCACGTAGTGCTCGAGAAACGCGTCGTAGTTCTCGTAGCGCTCGCCGCAACAGAACAGCTTCACCGACTCGTGATCGAACATGTAGTGGATGCGCATGTCCTGCGGATCGCGGAACGAGTGCATGCACTCCTCCCACGGACAATCGTACGCCTGGTTCCGCTTGATCAGCTTCTTGTCGTCCTCGAACTTTTGCTTCAGCACGTCTTCCCGCTTGATTTGCACTTTTTTGTCGAGCGGCACCGCGAAGTGGCGCGTGTTGTGTAGGCGCTGAAATAAAAATGTGCGCGGGTGACGGATCGCGACGATTCTTCTCTTACGTAGACACATTTACTGAAGACGAGTCGTGCGGGAGTGACCCGCCTCGGTTGAGTTTGCAGTTTTCCGTAAAACTTTGCGTTCAGGCCTATTAGGTCCCAAAAGCGCGCCTCTTCGAATCGATCCAATTGGCGCTTGATGTGGGGAACGGGTTTTTCCTGCAAGACTATCGACTCTTTTGCATGTCACACTTAGAACGGTAGAGCGCGATTGCAATAATGGCGGTTTTCTCGGTAAATTTCACTAAAAACGGTACAAAACGAGCGTTGTTCGGCGAAATTTCGTCATGCGCCGCTTTAAAGTCAGATTTTTCAGAAAACCATAAAGGCAACCGCACAAAAAACGGACTCGATTTGTGGAAAAGTGGAAAAACTCACTTCGTCGGGGACCGGCGGCGGTTTTCCGGTCAGCCGATAGACGTTGATGGTGCGATCGTAGAGCACGTCGGACTTGCTCACGTTCACGTACGTGATCACGGGCGTCTGGCAGTCGAGCAGCAGTTTGCAGCACTCGCAGTTCGCGGGATCGTCCATGTCGACGGCGGGCGGCGGCGGCGGCGGCGGCGTTTCGTCGATCTGCTCGGCGGGCGGCGTCGGCGGGGAGCACGGATCTTGCGGCGGCACTTCTCGATGATGACCGCCGCATTTCTTCGTTTCGGGCACCGGACCGAACACTTTAGGGGGCCGTCCGTTCTGAGGCGGACGATTCTCGACGGATGGGATGGGTCCGGGACTTGGCGGAGGCGAGGCCACCTAGAAAAATTGTCGAATTTTATCGGCGGCCACTAATCAATACCAAAAACTCACCTTTCCGACTTTCCACGGCGCAATTTTCACTTCTCGCCGAATCACCTCGCTTCCCTCTATCACCACGTCGCCATTCATGTTTGAGGGTTCTGGAAAATGCGAAAATGTTAATGGAAAATGGTAAAAATAGATAGCGTAAAACAAGCGAATAAAGAGGCCGAACTGGAAATCGATGGGTTTTTTGTTCGGTTTAAAATTCAATTTTTCGGGCGCCGCCGCATCGTTTCACTTTTGTGTCGTCAGGACGAAACACGCGGCGACCGATCGAAACGAAGAAATGGCCTTTTGCATGATGTGAGACACCACGGAAACGAGGGACGGCGAAGCGAGCGGCGAGAGTGAAGCCGGACCGAAGAGAAGGAGGCGGTGAAAGAGAGCGACACGACGGGCAGCGATGGAGAGACGGAGAGACGAGAGGGGCAGGGGGCACACGTCTAATTGGCAGAGACAGAGAAAGAGGTTGAGAGAATCGGGCTTGCCGTTCACGTGCTTGCTTTCATACTGTCTCGCTGAAAGTGTACCGTTTGTACCGTTTGAAAACCGGTTTTTTCAGCCCGTTACCAGAGAGTTTCGAGAATGTTCCGGTTCCTCTAACGAAGGGCAAAACTGTGAGATTTGTGACCAGATAGCTCAAGTTTCTATTTTTTTGTTTTTTTTATAATATAATAATAGCGCGCCACGGTCTCCAGAGCTGACAATATGGGCGTGGCATCGGCGGCCAAATGGCGTTTTCATGAATTGAGCAGGTTTTCTCTGATTTTTGTGGTCGACGACGATGAAAAAAGATTGTACGACTTGAAAACACCTCTAATTCTCAGAATTAATGACGTTTTGGCGCATTTTTCGCGGATTTCGCTGTTTCGCCTTCGCCGCCGATCGCCGCCTAAACACCGCACTTCTCATTTTGCGCTTTCTTGACCGTTTTCCGACAGAATTGGTTTTGAGAATGATAAATCACGTAAATACAAGCATTTTGAGCGCTCGAACCGCGAAATTTACCGAAAAGCAACTGAAATTCACGCAGTTTTAGCCAAAAACCTTCAAACGGATAAATTTAATTTGCGACTTGACCAAATTTAACGCTCGTGCGCTTAAGAAAATTGTAATAGCCTATAAAATCGGTCTATCGAGAGAAAAATGAGAAATTATCGGTTTTTCGTGGCTAATCTGGCAAAAAAACCAATTTTTCTGCTAAAATTTGAATTTCACGCCAATGTATCGCTCTATTGGGCGAGGCGCACTTGCGCCCATTGTAAGCTCTGGAGACCGTGCGATATAAACAAATTTATAAGCAATCCCATTCACTACTATCAAATTTCATTATATTCCAGGAGTACCCTCATCAAAAATGGCTCGTATCAGTGCGGTCAAGTCGCCTCAAACGACCTGTGACCTTTTTTGCACAAAAAACGACCGGAAGCGAATGGTATGGTTTGCAAGAATGTTGGCAATCAAACACAACGAGTTTTGTGCAAAAATGTTTGTGCAGCTCACGGTTGGTCTATAATAGCGCAAAATAGTCTGTCGATTTGACCCAAAAATGCGGACTTTTACCCCATTTCTCTGGTTTTCTATGACTATTGTCTGTTGGGCACTTCCACCCAAAGGTTAGCTCATTTTCATTGAATAGAAGTTACAAATATGCGCGAAAAATCATAAAGTGAAAAAATGCCTTGCGTTTGGAACCCTCTATCTCAAGGACCAATGAGTATATCAAAAAGTTGTCAACTGAAAAGTTGTAGCAAATTTCATGCTGAACAACTTTGAAATTGAACATTTTGCTCCAGTATTCCTACTTTTTCTCATTTTCAGGCTGCACCTCATGCCTAATGGTCCCGGTCGAAGAAGCGGAAAAGGCGGGAGTCTCGAGCACCAACAAAACCCGAAACTCGGATACCGGATGTTTTGTAAGCGTAAAAACTCATCAAATTCATAAAAATCTCTACATTTTCAGGTCCAAACTGTTCAGTGCACTTCTAGCTCCGAATCGGAAACGTCTGAAACGTACATCCAGTTCAACAAGGGACGCAAGGGTCTTTTCGCGGCCGTTCAGCAGACTATTCAACTCTTTTGTAATGAGCAGGGCAAATGGGAGGTAATATTGTTGTTTTCACAATTTTTTTTGGATTAAAAATGCAAATTTCAGTTCCGACACTCGAGATTGACACTTACAGTCACCGCGCTCACTTGCCTGGCCACCTAATTTGGAAGGTGTAGGAATTACTTTGTTTGTACATGTTTCAAGCGATTTAACAAGTCCACATTCTCTTGCCTCTTCTCATAAAATGTGCAATTTCTTAATTTCTTTTCGATTCCCCACTTTATAACTGACAATGGGCGCGCAAGTGCGCCCCGCCCAATAGAGCGATAAATTGGCGCGAAATTCAAATTTTAACAGCAAAATTTGTGTTTTTTGCCAGATTAGCCACGAAAAACCGATAATTTCTCATTTTTCTCTCGATAGACCGATTTTATAGGCTATTACTAATTTTTTAAGCGCAAAAGCGTTAAATTTGGTCAAGTCGCAAATCAAATTTATCCGTTTGAAGGTTTTTCGCTAAAACTGCGTGAATTTCAGTTGATTTTCGGTAGTTTTCGCGGTTCGAGCGCTCAAAATGCTTGTATTTACGTGATTTATAATTCTCAAAACCAATTCTGTCGGAAAACGGTCAAGAAAGCGCAAAATGAGAAGTGCGGTTTTTAGGCGGCGATCGGCGGCGAAGGCGAAAAAGCAAAGTCGGCGAAAAATGCGCCAAAACGTCATTAATTCTGAGAATTAGTGTGTTTTCATGTCGCGCAATCATTTTTCATCGCCGTTGACCACAAAAATCAGAGAAAAACCTGTTCAATTCATGAAAACGCCATTTGGCCGCCGAGGCCACGCGCCCATATTGTCAGCTTTGAAGACCGTGGCACTTCCAGACCTTTCAAGAACTTTTCCAACCAAGTTTTCGTTGGACGTGTGCGCCTCGGCCATGCGTTCAACCACCAACACCCTAAACCGCTGTCCTTGTCGCGCTCCGGTCACCCGGGGCCACATCTTCGAAACCGCTATAAAAGAGGCGAAAGAAGGCGTTGTAGAAACTAAGAATCGACTACTAACTCTTCAAAAAGCGACGATCCACGATGACTTCTGCGTATTTTGGAGTGCCTGGCGGAAACGGCGGTGGCGCTGGCCAACAATCGGCGTATTTCGGAGTCGGAGCACAACAATCGGGAGCTGGAGCGTCGAAGATCGGAGGCGGAGGCGGAGGATCGACGCCACCGCCCGGAACTTCGTGCTACGTGGGAGCTGGAGCCGGAGGAGCAGCCGGAGGCGTCACCTCGGCCTACTTTTCCATCACGCCGAACGTTGGAGGAGGACCAGCATCGCCGTGTGCTCGTAAGTTTCTAGAGGTTCCTCTCACCATTTGATCGCTCATGTTCAGAGCCGAACGTCTGTGCAGGTGCAGGTGGTGGTGCCTCAACGATGACCGCAATTGGCGGAGCACCGATCGGCGGAGCAGCTAGCACCATGACCGCTGTTGGAGGAGCACCCACTGGTGACTTTTTCTTCTCTACAATCGTTCCCTCAAACTGAATGTATTTCAGGCGCCGCCTCTACCATGACCGCTGTTGGAGGAGCTCCGATCGGCGGCGGCGCAAGCACCATGACGGCGATCGGTGGAGCGCCACGTGGCGCATCGACGATGACGGCGATCGGTGGAGCGCCGATCGGTGGAGGCGCGTCGACGATGACGGCGATCGGAGGAGCGCCGATCGGCGCCAACGGAGCAGCCAGCACGATGACGGCGATCGGAGGGGCGCCACGTGGCGCGTCGACGATCGGCGGAGGAGCCGCGAGTCCAGCTGGAGGCGCCGCCGTCTCTTCGTACTTTGCCGTCGGACCCGCTGGCGCCGGCGGAGTCCAATCGGCCTATTTCGGAGTGGGTGGCGCGCCGCCGAAAGCAGCATCTGGAGCCGGAGGCGGAGGCGGCGGCGGCGGAGCGATCCCCGGACAATCGGCGTACGTCGCAAGTGGACCGGCAGGAGCTGGAGGTGCTGGCGTCGCGTCGGCATACTTTGCACCAAAGTGAACTGACAGACTTTTTAATTAATAAAGTGTTTTTTTTTTAAATCAGATCCACGGTCTCCAGAGCTGACAATACGGATTGAACAGGTTTTTCTCTGATTTTTGTGGTCAACGGCGATGAAAAATGATTGCGCGACATGAAAACACACTAATTCTCAGTAGTAATGACGTTTTGGCGCATTTTTCGCCGCCGATCGCCGCCTAAAAACCGCACTTTTCATTTTGCGCTTTCTTGACAGTTTTCCGACAGAATTGGTTTTGAGATCGATAAATCACGTAAATGCAAGCATTTTGAGCGCTCGAACCGCGAAAATTACCGAAAAGCAACTGAAATTCACGCAGTTTTAGCCAAAAACCTTCAAACGGATAAATTTGATTTGCGACTTGACCAAATTTGACGCTCTTGCGCTTAAAAAAACGCTTAAAAAAAAAATAGCCCTATACAATCGGTCTATCGAGAGACAAACAACGAATTATCGATTTTTCGTGGCTAATCTCGCAAAAAAACACAAATTTTGCTGTTAAAATTTGAATTTCGCGCCAATATATCGCTCTATTGGGCGGGGCGCACTTGCGCGCTTATTGTAAGCTCTGAGGAGACCGTGCGCCAGATCGATTCTTATTCACTCATTTTGCAGAATGCCGGGCTCTTGAGAGAAGAGTCAACGAACAACGCTAATGAGATGTGCAAAGGCACGATTGGAGTTTGGTCTTTTGAGCCGCTCACACTATTTTCCGGGCCACTTTGGAATGCAATCGCAATGATTGCACAATAGTTAACATTTATTTAGCACAAGACAAAAATTGAAACATCAATTCAAAGCCAAACAACGACCTCTGGACCCTCTTTTCGTTCTCTTTTCCGATCCACCTCCTCTTCTTCTTCTTCTTGTCGCCAAGCGGTGACCACGTAGGCCTCCACTCCGTCCGTATCGACGAAATGATCGTCGTCGTACACTCCGTATCCCTCGTATTCATCGTCGAGACACGGGTTGTACTGGAGGTCCGCTTCGGTGTACGGATGATTGCACAACAGATCGTACAACGCCTTCGTTTGCGGGTAGATGCATTTGTACTGAAAATCGGACGAGTTGCGAAACGTCGGCAAGACACAAACGAACCCAAAGACCGAAGATGAGCATGGTGCATGTGCCGAAAACGACGTGAACGCGCAATTGTTGCCAGTTGACGAAGAGCAGCAGTTGATTGTAGAAGTAGCCGAACGGTATGTGGAGGGCAAAAACGCTCGGCGACGGAATCGCCAACATTTGCTCCATCGTGGCGGACGGCGAAAAACGTCAATAAATGAGAAGGGCGCGGAGCCGAGTGAGTGCTCCGAACGAAGGAGAAAGAGAGAGAGAGGGAGAAGAAGAAGAAGAAGAAGAAGAAGAAGAAGGAGAAGGAGGCACACCGTTTATTATTGGTTTCATTAGAATGCGTTTCAGGCCAAATTCGAGGAGAACCTCATCAAACAAAGGCACCTCTCACAAACAATTTAGACGTCGACGCCGCCGCACTGACGATGTGAACTTCTGGCAAACCGACGCACACCACAACTTTCTGGTTTTCATCCGAATCGATGAGCTCGTGACGCACCCACTTTCCGTTGGCCATCAAATGAATATCGTCCATCCGCAAGTGCTTTCCGTCGAATCTCACGCAAAGCGGCTCCGATTCTGAAGCTTTCAATTTCACGGCGACCAAAAACGTAAAATAGAAAGGGGGCGTGGTCGGTTTATCACCATTTTGGCGCGAAATTCGAAATTCGAAATTTAACCCCCTATTTTTCATGTTTTTCGTAAAAAATTACCCAAATTTTGTACGATTTCGACGATTTAGTTGCATAACTTTGTTAAACTAATCATCGCGCGCACTTTTTGAGCTTAAAACGAGCAGGTTTCATTCAGAAATGAATTAATTGATGCGATTTTCAAGTTTTGTGCTGAAAATGCGCGAATTTCAGTCATTCGCCGATACTTTTTGCCGTTTGAACGCTTAAAATACTTGTATTAACGTGCTTAATCACTTCCGACACTCACTTCGTCTCAAAATTATCCAGATCGGCCGCTCAGGTAAAATTTCAAACTTTTCTTGGCTCTTCTGAAGACATTCTCAAACTTTCTCTAGAAGAAAACTTTTCCAAGACCTTTTCAAACTTTCTGACAAAGCACTAAAAACTTTTCTAAGCCTTTCTTAACCTTTTTGAAGAAATTCGCAGACTTTTTCTTGCCGAAATTATTTCAAACTTTCTGAAACTTTTCTAAGCAATTCTCAAACTTTCTCAAGAAAAGTTTTGAAGAGGAATTCCTAGGCCACGAAGTTTTGGACTCCTCGTGGACAACATTGTTTTCTGCAAACTTTTTAGCGTTTTCCCCAATTGTTATAGTTGTATATAAGGGTTTTCGCATTTTTCGGTCTTGTTGAGCTCATAATTGAATTTTTTAATTTTTTAAAGTAGTTTTTAACGAATTAAGCGGCAAAATAAAGGAATATCCGTGAGAAATTGTAGAATAGGCCTAAAAATGCATTTTTTTTTAAAACTAATTCCGATTTTTTTCCGCGCTTTCTGCATTTCTTACAATGAAGTAACTGAATCGGCACTGTTTTTAGTCTCTCTTAATTTCAAGCTTGAAATTAAGAGAGAATGGCCACGGAGAGCGTATTGCGAAATATGCCAAAAACGTCTCAAACGCGGCGTTTTCACGAAAATTTCAATCTTTTCTCTCTTTAATGTCTTTTTTCGTCGATATAAAACACAAAAATGGCGGAAAAGTGTGCTGAAATTGCGGCAATTTTCAGAAAACGCGTCTCAGATTAGGCCACGCCCCTTTCTACACTTTTGGTCGCCGTGAATTTTGCGGTCGTTGCCCAATTTTTATCACTTACCGCCACAAACCGTGTACCTGATGCCGTGAAGTCGGAATTCGGACGCGTAAGGGCATCCCGTGTAGTAGGCGATTTTGTGGATGGCCGCCGGCGAAATCTGACGAGGAGCCATCATGTGCCATTTGCTCGAAACGGTTTGTTGGCCCGAAAAACGGTACATGGCGCGGAGCATAAAGTATTGGTTGGAGACGTTTTTCAGCGTCACACTCGCCAGACGCTCCACGCTCATTTCAAGTGGAAAGTGTGAATAATATCGTGTTTCGGCTAGACACGCACTCTTTATTGTTTACATTTTGGCTGGATTCGTGTGAAATAAATAAACAAAATTAGTGGGTGTCTTCGCAAAAAGACACTCCGCCGATTTTTTTTGCGTGCGGCTCTCAGTGTCGATTTACGGGAAACGGTTTTTCAGCTGAAAACGATTGCGTTTTCCCGAGTTTTTGCGATTATGCACAGTTTTCCCTCAAAACGTTTGCCTCAAGTTTGTTCATATGACCTATAAAGCTACAAAATGATCACACAGAGTGCACGTGTAAAAGTGAAAATTCGAAGAGTAATTTCGTTTTTTTTTAAATTTGGCTTGAAAAAACAAACTTTCGTAAGTTTTGAGAAAACAGGCGACAGAATCGAAACACAGTTGCCTCACGATTGTTCAGCAGACGCAGGCGGTCATTTTGAGCACAGAGACGACGCATAAAATGCAAAAATGACTGAGAAATTTCAGTTTTTGAGGCGCGATAAATTTTCGAAATTTTCGATTTCGATAAATAAAGACTTTATGACGTAAAAGAAAATCGAACATTTGAAGCTGTCGATAGATATATCAACTCAGAGAATTTTAAGCAAAGGTGAGGCACGTAGCAAGCAAGCTGCTGCAGAAAACAGCACGCGCGCAGCAATTAAAACGCGAGCCTGTATCGAGCACGTGAGCAGCACAGTAGCAGCACACAGTCAGCATGGCCTCCAGTCGGCACCCATGCTGTTCTGTTGAGCAACTTGCTCGCTACGTGCCGCACTCTTGCTTAAAATTTTCTGACTATGAGAAAATGTGGTCAACTGATGAAATGCAAAACTCCTGCAAAAAAGAGACTTGCCCCCAGGCGGGATTGAACCGCCGACCTTCTGTTTACGAGACAGACGCTCTGCCACTGAGCTATACGGGCTTTCGATTCACGCCGCTCATATTTGTTGGTATTGGGAGCGAATGCAGAGAGAGGGGAAAAGAGGAAGATAGACAGGAAAAGTTACTTTACTTACTAGGGAATGGCCCGCACTTACCTTGGGTTTTTGGAATGGGACCCATATGATTCGAAAGAGAATTTCACGGAGAATCCGAATCTGCTCTCCATTTTTGCTAAAGAGCACTGACTGCCGAGAAAATCTGCCTGTTTCTGCCACATTTTCCTAGCAAGTTCATCTTCGGCGACCTGTATCTCAAGAACCACGCGTCCGTTGCAAAAGTGGTCAACTAGTAAGTTAACGCAAATTATCTCGTGAATAACTTTGTAGTTGATCGTCTATTTTTGAAAAAATTAGTTTTCGAGTTATGAACTGTTTTCCAAGAGCGACAAGAAAAAAGTTAGTGCTGGGGGGTCAGAGCGACGATAACTCGAAAACTAATTTTTTTTTAAATAGACGATCAACTACAAAGTTATTCACGAGATAATTTTCGTTAACTTATTAGTTGACCAATTTTGCAGCGGACGCGTGGTTCTTGAGATACAGGTCGCCGAAGATGAACTTGCTCGGAAAATGTAGCAAAAACAGGCAGATTTTCTCGGCAGCCAGTGCTCTTTAGCAAACATGGAGAGCTCCGTGAAATTCTCTTTCGAATCATATAGGTCCCATTACAAAAGCCCAAGGTAAGTGCGGGCCATTCCCTAGTACGTAGTTTTCCGAAAAAGTTTTGATAAAGGATGTACGGTTGAGAAACCGGAAAAGACAGAGATAGATGATATAAATGTTGAAAAAACGGTTCATTATCAACAAAACATGGTGCATCCGCCCGAGAAGACTACCAATTGACCAATCGCAAAACGATCGAAGTTTGCCAGTGAACACTCCACGCGTACGGGTCCGGAACATAGATACAAATCCCGGCAACGCATCGCCGACCATCTTTTTCATAAAACGTCGCCTGAATCGCGTCGGCGCCGAACATTTGATAGCTGTACGCGCATCCGGAAGACGGCTCGTCGACGACGGGCTCAAAATCATTGAAGCCCCGTCCGCACCGAAAGTTGTCCATCGGAATTTGCACGATCGCAGTGTCGGGCGGGACGATGCGAACGTCCGTGTAGAGTTTTTCAAGTATTTTGCGTATTTTGACGTGCGCCGACTTGTTGCGCTCTTTTTTGAACGTCCGCGCGCGCGTCGTCTCCCACTCGAATCGTTGTTCGTACGTTCTCGGATAGAACTTCACGATTCCCACGGAAATCGGCTCACGTAGATTGGAATTTGTCGCGCGTAGCCATTCGGGAACGATACGCACGCCGGTTATTGGTCCCATTTGCTTGGATTTCTTACGAGCCAACAGGTATGTGCAGCCACGATAAATGGCGAACATCTGAAAGGTTATAGCTCACAGTTCTTGTTGTTGAGCACATTGAAAAAGTGTCAATTGAGAAACTCACTGTGGTTAGAGCAATCAGTAGGAATCCAAGAATAATGTAGAAAAGTGCCTCTTCGGTCGACGAAACTGGACGAGATCTGCCGACGTTGGCCATCTGTAGCCAGAAGAAATTGTAAATAGTTTAGGGTACGGCAGAGTTGAGCGGAAGAATTTTTATCTTTTTTAGAAAATTTTTTCATGAAATGTGATCAACTGACGAAATGTATAGCAAAGTGAACTCTGCTCATAGAAAAATAATTGTAAATTTAGCAATTCATACAAAAAAGTTATACTCGAGTTGTTGCGTGAAAATGTCCTTCCGTCTTCCGTTAGCCCAAATCAAATAACGTTTTTGTATGAATTGCTAAATTTACAATTATTTTTCTATGAACAGAGTTCACTTTGCTCTACATTTTGTCAGTTGATCACATTCCATGAAAAAATTTTCTAAAAAAGATAAAAATTCGTCCGTGTTCTTCCGTTGAGTTATTCCGCTCAACTCTGATGTACGGTGTGTTTATGATCTATTCAGGTACGGTAGGTACAAAATTAGCAAACTTTTTGTGAGTTTGGGCGGAGGTCAGGTTTAATTTGAACAAAAAGTAACGGTGAGACAGGGTACAAGACAAGAGCAAAAGCGGTTAGAAGTGAAATAGTGGCACAATTTCGTGTCTGCCTGATCATTTTTGCGATACAGTATGATGTACGGTAGATTGACCGTCGTTTCACAATTAAAAGTGTCAAAAAATGAGGCAAAAGCGTTTGTCTTAAAGCAAAAGCGACGAATATCTGGGCGGTGCGTCGGGCTGCTCGGCGCTGCTGCAGCTGGCACAATCCGTGACTTTGTACGTGTTTAGGGCCTCGTTCCACTCGTAGTGCATCACTTTTCCGGGCGGTCCCGGTCCGATCATCACGGCTCGCTTCAACTTTTTGCACTGATTCACTCGCAACGACTCGGAGACGTTCGAAATGTCTGTCAGAAGATGTTGCGATGAGCGTTGAGGTTTGCGCGGCAGTTTGGGAGCACTCCAACACTTCCACATCACTTGCTCTTTGTACCGAGCACTCCAGAGGTACGGACTCGAGATGTAGACGCAGAAGCCGGCGACGTAGGCGACGCCCGCCTCCACATAGTACGTCACTTGGATTCGATCGTCGCCGAACATCTGATACACGTAGTAACTGCCCGCGGCGGCTCCGTCGATCGGCTCAAAGTCGGTGCACTGCTCGCCGTACTTGAAATTGTCCATTTTGACCGAAATCAAGCACGCGTCGTCCGGAATCGCAACCGTCGGACGGCCGTTTCGTGCCGCGCCGAACATGCGTCTCATCACGTTGCGCATCCGATAGATGCAGTGTTTCGGCTCCTCGTAACCGTGTTTTCGGTAGAGCACCGAGTAGGGACGGCACTGGACCCGCACGTGGGGGATCAGGTAGCTCGAGTCGATGCGCGTCGGGTACTGGATACGCATCCATTCCGGAACTATCGGATTGCGGCCGATCGGGCCCACTTTCTTCGAGTTGAAGTAGGCGGTCAGGTAGGCGGTACAGCTGCAGATCTGGAAAATTGGAAATCGTTTCCTGGCTCATAGAACTTGAAAAGATTCTAGCTAAACGTTGTCAAAACATCCTCCACGTAAACTATTTAATGTATTATTTTCAAGACGATGTATCTCAGTTGTTGGTGGAGATATCAAAATGCGATCAACTGACGAAATGTACAGAATGTCTTTTTGAGCATTTTATTAGTTGACCACTTTTTGCCGTCTCCACCCACAGCCGAGATATATTGTCATGAATAAAGGGTGACCTTTTGTTATATAGTATTTCTAGAAATCGTGCTAAAATGATTCTATTCAACTCGCAAAATCTTCTCCACACTTACCAAAGCACCCAACACGACAATGGCCGTCAGGAGCGGGAATCCGAGCCAAATAATAGTGTTCCAGGAAAATGAGCCGCCTCGACGATGGTCGACGTACATTTTGACTGATCTGAAGCAAATTCCTTGTGGAAAATTTGAAAACCGCCGGAAAATGAGCTCTTAGAAGGAAGCGAGTAGAGAGCGACGGAGAAGCGGAGACGCAGAGGGAGAAACAGATGCACAACATGGTGCATCGGCTACTTCTTTACGGAGAGAGAGAGAGCGACCGAGACCAAGGGGACCCTGCTGACGTCATCATCACAGCAAATGCCCGGCACAATGACGGAGCAGAGGCTATTTTTAGCGTGCGCCGGAACATTGTGAAACGGATAATATACTGGTTTTTGTGCTTTTGACGTAGCTCGACGGCACCAGTTTCAGATTTATGGTGCATCCAACTAGACTAGAAATGTCACAAATGCTCCGAGTTGCTCAACGTTCTTACGGGGGCCAAAGAGACAGACCACCGAGCGGGCTGTCTGGTCATCGATTGAGCCATCTCAAATGAGGTCGAGTTGATAGAAAATGACAGTTGTTTAAAAAGTGCAAATGAACGTACAAAATGAAGCATTTATCCGTAAAAACGCAAAGCACACTGTCTCCCCTTCGGCAGGCGAAACAAATGTTTCGCGCGCTTTTTTGCGTGCGGCTCTTAGTGTCGATTTACGGGAAACGGTTTTTCAACTGAAAATGATGTTTTTCCGAGTTTTTGGGATTATGCACACTTTTCCTTCAAAACTTTTGCCTCACGTTTGTTCATATGACCGATAGCTACAAAATGATCACAGAGTGGTCGTGTAAAAGTAAAAATTCGAAGAGTAATTTCGTTTTTTTTTTAATTTGGCTTGAAAAAATGAATTTTTGGAAATTTTGAGAAAACAGGCGACAGAATCGAAAAACAGTTGCCTCACGATTGTTCAGCAGACGCAGGCGGTCATTTTGAGCACAGAGACGGCGCATAAAATGCAAAAATGACTGAGAAATTTCAGTTTTTGAGGCGCCGCGGACTGAAATTCACAGAAAAATGGAAAAAATGCGCGCTTTCTTGTGGGCAAAACGCTAATTTCAGATCACAACAGATCACAGTCATAAAATATTCTGACAATTCCTGTTTTACCTAATTTTTTCCATTTTGGGATTAAATTTTAGGGTTTTCGCAAAAAAATCCCGGAAATTTCAGGCCTGCTTTTGTTTTCAACGACACTCCGTTTTAACGCGGCGCTCAATTTAGCATTAGCCATTGGGGGAGACAGTGAAGCATCAAACGTCCAGGTATCAATAATAAAAGTACACGGTCTCCATAGCTGACAATGGGCGCGCAAGTGCGCCCCGCCCAAGAGAGCGATACATTGGCGCGAAATTCAAATTTTAACAGCCAAATTTTGTGTTTTTTGCCAGATTAGCCACGAAAAACCGATAATTTCTCGTTTGTCTCTCGATAGACCGATTGTATAGGCTATTACGAATTTTTTAAGCGCAAGAGCGCTAAATTTGGTCAAGTCGCAAATCACATTTATCCGTTTGAAGGTTTTTCGCTAAAACTGCGTGAATTTCAGTTGCTTTTCGGTAGTTTTCGCGGAAATGCTTGTATTTACGTGTTTTATCATTCTCAAAACATAAAAAGCTAAGACAAATCGACAGTCTCAAAATCATCAAACGTTTCACTGTTGAGCGCTTCATCTTGCTCCAAAACTCGCGCTTCTTCGACCATCTCGCTCTCACTTTCGGCATGTTCATAGTCGGATTCGGATTCGGATTCGGAATCGGATTCGGATTCGGATTCGGATTCGGAATCGGATTCGGATTCGACAGCCGCCGCCACGTCGACGCCCTCCACAATCGGCTCCTCCCTTCTGATGTCGATCCACTGCTGCGCGTACATCCGTCCGTACATCGGCTTCTCCAACTTCTCCCTCACGAGCACGCTCTTCACGAGCCACGATTCGACACTTCGCCACACGGCCACCATCGTTTTGTAGCCGTACGCGGTGGACTCTTTTTGCAGCAAAAGTTTGCGACGCGGCTCCTGTTCGGATGCGAGCTGCGCGTCGAATTTGCAATGCGGACACTTGACTCGTTCGAATCGGAGCTCTTCGCCGTTCAGAATGAACTGCTCCACTTTTGCCGATATTGCGTTGAACGCGAAGATGAGCTGGTCGTTGAGATGCTCGCACTTCACCGAATACTTTGCGATCAAGTCCGTCTCCGTAAAGTTCAACACTCGAGGAATGTGGTAGCCGAGGCAGCTGAGCAACTTCACAAACTCGCCGCTTTGAATGAACGATTCGACGATTCTCGTGTCGCTCTCCGCATAGCTTCCAAGCGCCGCATCGTCGTGAAGGTAAATGGCGATGCCGGCGTTGTAGCGTGTTCCCTCAAAGTTGAAGAAGATTGCCTGCACTCGCCGGCTCAACATCTGGTACGAAAAGTACGAGGCGCTGAAGAGACCGTCATAAATCGGTCGGAGACTCGTCTTTTTCATCACTTCAAAACCCGGCAACGCGTAGACCATCACCAGCGTCTCCGAAGTGCTCGTCACAGTGAGCTCGGGCGCTTCAAACGTCCGACGGTTCGTGAATTGTTGGGGCGGCTGGCCGGAGGATCCGGGGGCTCCGCAGAGGGCACTGTACCACCGGCCCAAGTACCAGTTGAGCGAGGGATCGGATTCGAAGGCGAATTGGACCGGCTCGCGGAGCATCGGGTAGGAGGTGACGGTCGAGACTTCCTCATCCTTTGTCGCATTTGGGCACAGTTCGTCAGCTTCTGGTTCCACGTCTTCTTTAGGTTCTTCCGATTCTGCTTCTACTTCTTCTTTCTCCGTAGCTATCTGCTCCGTCTTCTTCGTCTGGTCTCCAGAAACTTCTTCTCGAAAATCCTCACTGACATCCGCAATTGCAGCTATTTGGCCTTTCGAGAACTTGTGCCAAATAAATATCTGGAAAAAAGTTGCTCTTTTGAAAAATATGCTCAATCTTCCTAAACTTTGCAAAACTGTATTGATGATTGAAACTACTGTACATTCAAAACAGTGTATCTCAGTTAGATGAAGAGATATCAAAAAGATGTCAACTGATAAAATGTGCGCAATGTTTCAATAATCATTTTATCAGTTGACCACTTTTTGATTACTCCACCGGTGGCCGAGATATAACGTGTTGAATGACAGCGACACGTGTCATTCGAAAATTGAACTCACCACGAATTTGTAGAGGCCATATCCGGTAATTCCGGCAATCAGAAGGAGATAGAGTAAATTGGCAATGACTATGCCGAAATTGACGACGACCAGAACAGACGACAGTCGGATCCTGGTCCAGGCGGATGAAAGAGAGAGGAACAGCGCGGAGAGGGGGTTCATTCTGCAAACGATTCGAATGGTTTTGAGGAAATCAATCAAATGTGGAGAGAATGAGAGCAACGTGCGCGACTCGACACGGTGGGACTGACTATGAGAGTGAGCGAGCAGAGGGAACGGACCTCGAGATCTCATCTCTACGCAGGATCGCTTACCTCATCGATTCTTCAATATCAGGGGTGTGCGGAAAATATTTCGATTTTCCGAAATTTTCCGATTTTCCGAGAAATTTTCGGAAAATTAGTGTGGATTCAAGGTCAATTTGTCCGAAACCACCGTATGCTTTTTAAAGGCGCATCACAAAATTTTTGGAAGGGTCTAGCAGCGAGCGTCTTTTTAAATTTGATTTTTAAATTTTACGCAATTTCTTTCGTTTTTCTCATTCTAATGAACCGATTGTTGCGATTTGTGTTGTTTTTTCAGAAAAGCTGACGTAATGGGAAAGTGGGACGTATATTTAACTGGGCGGAAAAACGGTGAGAAAGCGTGTTTTTGCGGCCACAAGTTCAACGCTCAAAAACAAGGATCTACTTACGCATATGTCTATCACTCTATCAGTTTTCCGATTTTTCCGATTTTTCCGAAATTTTCCGAAAAAAAAAATCGGAAAACCCGATTTTCCGAAATTTTCCGAAAAAAAAAATCGGAAAACCCGATTTTCCGAAATTTTCCGAAAAAAATTTTCCGCACACCCCTGTTCAATATACCGCGTGACAAGAAGAGCAATTATGTAGAGGGGAGGCATATGACGTGGCAAGGACAAGATGACGGTCTTTTGGTGACTAGTAAGTCGAACCGGCGACCTCTCGATTAGTGGTTTTGGCACTTGAAAACGGATGTTGCCTAGAGGAAATCTGGTGTAGTTTTTTGTGCTGAATCCGATTCTGCCGTCAAAATCGCCGGTACCGGACCAGTGTCAACCCGAAAACTCCAAAAAAATTGATTTTTCGAGCAAACACGGTCGGTTTGACAAAGTTAAAAAATATCTTATAGGTGTCCAAATGATCTGAAATTTTGTACAGAGATACTATACGAGTTTCTTAACACATTCCAAAAATAAAAATCGGGGGTCACCGCTGAAAATTGTTTTCAGTTTTAGGTGGCAATCAGGGGTGTGCGGAAAATTTTTTTCGGAAAATTTCGGAAAAATCGGAAAAATCGGAAAACTCACTTGTTCATTGGTTCAATAAAGTGTTTAAACAACGTTCTAATACAAAAAAATGCTTATTATGATTTGAAATCACTTGAGTGGGCGGAAGCCAAGCAATGGAATATTTTTTTGCAAAAAAATTAGCCGAGAGAAGCTCTCCGGGTCCAGTGTTTTCCGATTGTCAGTGAGAATCAGGGGTGTGCGGAAAATATTTCGATTTTCCGAGAAATTTTCCGATTTTCCGAGAAATTTTCGGCAAAAAGACGCTCGCTGCTAGACCCTTCCAAAAATTTTGTGATGCGCCTTTAAAAAGCATACGGTGGTTTCGGACAAATTGACCTTGAATCCACACTAATTTTCCGAAAATTTCTCTGAAAATCGGAAAATTTCGGAAAATCGAAATATTTTCCGCACACCCCTGGTGGCAATTGAACTGTATGAAAATGATGATGTTTTGCCAAGTAAATCTTCAATTCTGACTTCAAAAACGGATTCAGCATGTCAAGAACACGCGGAATGTCCATCGAACTGACACTGTCCGAAAATTTTGCTTTTTTTCGCGCTTGTTCGCAAAAACCATGACGGTTAGGCTCAAACTGACTTGACCAATGGATTCTACGTGGTATGTATTTATTCGGGAAGGTTCAAAATGCATATTTACACGGAAATTATGATTAGAAAGTCGCCTCGACGAGGTCCTCGTAGCGAGGAATCATCACAAAGTCCTCCTCGTCTTCTGATCCGTCTGGCGCCACGACTTCATCCTCCTCCAGCTCCTCATCCGGAACCCGACACTGTACGACCACCGCCGGCTCGGCCACATCGAATCGTTTCGTGGCAAAGTTGTAGACGCGCTTCTCGACGCCGCCGCCGCTTTTCCGGAACACGACGATGAATGTGTCGCTCACAAAGAGTAATTTCGACGTTCCGGTCTCGACAATATCCAGCGAGGGGTCGTAGACGAGATCTGTGCCGGAGGAGGTGGTGGTGCGCGCAAAGTCCATGTTGTCGGCGTCGAAGAGGAACAGCTCGACGCGACGGCTCAACGGATTCTCGGCGAAAATGTACTGCATCGTGTCGTGCTCCACCGCGTACTTGACGTTCAGCTCTGAGTCGTCAAACTCCAGGTCGTTGAACGTGCCGAGTTGCGCGGCGAGCAACGCGTAAAACTCGGCGTCCTCCTCGATCAAGCGCTCGAAGCGATCGGCGAGCTCCACGTCAAACGCATCATAATGCTCTTGGCTGTCGTACAAATCGTCAAAGTACAACGTGGCGCCGGCCAGATATTTATGGCCGTCGAGCACGAAGTGAGCCACCTGAATCCGTGAAGTGAGCATCGAGAATCGAAGATGCGCCTTCGAGAATGCCACGCTGTCGCGCAGCGGTCGAAAGTTCATCGGATGCTCGTCGTCGCGGCCCAAACGGAATCCGTAGGCGCTCAGCACAACGGCCACCGCGTTCGGCGGCGATTCCACGTACTCGCCGTCGCCGACGTTCACGCGGATTTGCGCGTCGAACGGATTCGTCGAGTCGGGCGGTCCGCACAGAAATCCGTAAAAGTTGTGCTTGTCCCAATGGTAATCGTGGCGGCTCTCGACGCTCGCCTTGCACGGCACATAGGTGAATCCGAATTTCTGCAAGCATCTCGTTATAGGAACCTTTTAAGAGGCTCCTCTTATCAGAAGAACACGGAAGAATTTTTATCTTTTTTAGAAATTTTTTTTATGAAATGTGATCAACTGACGAAATGTATAGCAAAATGAACTCTGCTCATAAAAAAATAATTGCAAATTTAGCTTTTCATACAAAAAAGTTAAGGGCCAACCGAAGACGGAAGGACATTTTCACGCAACAACTCGAATAACTTTTTTGTATAAAAAGCTAAATTTACAATTATTATTCTATAAGCAGAGTTCATTTTGCTCTACATTTCGTCAGTTGATCACATTTTATGAAAAAATTTTCTAAAAAAGATAAAAATTCTTCCGCTCAGCTCTGGCTCTTACCTCAAACAACTTCTCGATCACTCGTTTTGTGAGAACGAAGAGAGTAATGGGTAGGATGACGTAGTGACCCCAGGCAATGTAGTAACCGAACGTGTCCATTGTGTTGGTTGGTGTACTGGTCTTGGCAAATGGCGGGCAGGGGGGGTCAGAGTGAGGAGGGTGAGCCAGCCAGAGAAGGAGAGAACAAGGGTGGCGGGGCGAAGGCGACCGCTCGCTTTTCTATGTCTTCTCTGTGTTTCCCTCTTCTATACACTCGCTACTCAGCACGCCGACGCACGTGGTGTCGCTGAGCAGCACGCCATCGGCCTTACCGTACCTCCTCGCCACATGATGCTGAGCGGAAATGGAATTTTGAAATCCAGGAAGGCGGCAGACGGAAGAAAATTTTTCTTACGGAACACGGAAAACGGAAGACGGAAGAACATTTTTCTCACGGAAGACGGAAGACGGAAGACGGAATTCCGCTCAACACTGCTACATGTCCGCCATTCGGTTCGGTTTGATTTGTCCGTTGCTTGGATCCGAGTAAGTTCTAACCTTTTTTTCCGTAAATCTTTAGATGTACGAAGTTCTTAAGCGGTACATTTTCAGTGTGTCGAACCGCTATTGTGGGTGTACAACAAGTTGAGCGTGTTGGGCGCACAAGACTTCAAAGTGTTCAAGCTTCTCGAAAAGTTTGAGCTGAAAATGGACGCGAATCGACATTTCGAAGCGTTTCTGGCGTCTCGTCGACCGGTTTTCGAGTATCTCCGAGAGCTGCGCAACAGAGTTGCCCGGAAGAACTCAACGAAAGAACACGGAAGAATTTTTATCTTTTTTAGAAAATTTTTTCATGAAATGTGATCAACTGACGAAATGTATAGAAAAGTGAACTCTGCTCATAGAAAAATAATTGTAAATTTAGCGATTCATACAAAACAGTTATATTCGAGTTGTTCCGTTGGCTCTTTTTTCACGCAACAACTCGAATAACTTTTTTGTATGAAAAGCTAAATTTACAATTATTTTTCTATGAGCAGAATTCACTTTTCTATACATTTCGTCAGTTGATCACATTTCATGAAAAAAATTTCTAAAAAAGATAAAAATTCTTCCGTGTTCTTCCAACTTTCTGCCAATCAATTCTAAATGTTTTTGTGATTTTATCGAATAAAACAGACAATATGTGTTATATGAACAATCTTTTATTGTATTCGAATAACTAGGTACATGAACAATCAAACTTGTAAAAAAAAGTTCTGGAACTTTATGAAACCTCGTCAATAGACCCCCTTTTTCTCCATAAAGTTTCCAAGTCTCGGGGGCGCCGAAAAGAAGAGAAAGGGAGCACTTGTGAACAATAATTTAATGGTACGACTCAAGATACTTATCCTTCCACACATAAAACTCGAATTTGCTCGGCAACTTGATGAGCACAGTGCCCAGCGTTCCGTTCCGTCGCTGAATGTCGCGTCCGGTGCGGCAGCTGACGCCCTCCGATCGTCGGAGCGCATGATTGCGCGGCCGCGAGCCCGGCTTCCACTCGTCCGCCTCCATTCCGCGCAGCACGTGCTCGTAGGTGTAGGGCGGCGAGCGGATGCGGTAGCACGTGAACACCTCCAGATTGCGGAAGCTCGATTTGATCCACTTTTTGAGGAACGCGTTCAGCTCCTCGTTGCCGAACGACGGAACTTGCCAGAGTGTGAGGTGAGTGCACCGCATCGACAGAATATTGATCGGTTTGAGCCAGTTCGCGCAGCTGATGCTCATTTTCGAGTGTTTGAGCGCGTGCTGACACTCGGCCTCCACGCGGATCTTCTCCATCGTCAGCTCCTCCAATTGCATCGTCTTCAGAAGATGTTCGGTTTGTCGAGCGTCGAGCTTTGGCGACTTTTCACGCATCGAAAGTCTTCGGACGCATTTCGCGTAGCTTGCCGATTTGACAAACTTGGAGATTTCGGTGGGCAGCAGACAGTGGTTCTCCACGTCGACCTTCACGGGTGGAAAGCGTTCGAGCAGGAACTTGCACACGTGCTCGAACACCTTGAAATGCGCGTCCGGCTCGTCGAGCTCGCTCCGAAAGACGTTCGGAAACGGCGTCTCGCCCATCTCGCCGGCCAAAAGCGTCATTCCGGCGATCCTCATCCGCTTCATCTCCACACCCTTGTACGGTTTTTCGAGACGCTCACGTGGCACCACCCACTTCACATTGCGCTCCTTTCGCTCGAAACTCAACTCGACGGTGAACGTGGCGCCGCCGACGACGGAGCCGAACGTGAGCCGACACACCTCGGGCCGCCATCCCAATCGCTTCACAAACGTTTTCGTCTCGTCGGCGCACAGCGACAGGTTCAAACTGAAGGTGAAATTCGGTGAAACGAAACAAAACGCTAGACCTACATGTCCACAAAGGCCAAATCTTGAAAGTAGGCGTTTAGGGGAAGCGACGGGTACGTGAGCATGTCGTGAATTGAGCATCTCGTCGACATTGTTGTTTGTAGTGAGAGTATTGGTCGGGTCGGGTGGCTGGGTGACCGGGTCAATCGATTGAGAGGTTGTCGGGAGAGGAGGGGGAGAGGAGGGGGAGAGACGGACCCCGCGTGAACGGATTGTCTGCCGTCTTCACACTCTCGCCCACGCGCGCGGGCGTTGAAGCACTAAATGAACTGTTGAGAAATATGCGGGCTTTTGGTCAAGCCCCTTACTAGGCCCGCACTTACCTTGGGATTTTGGAATTTCACGGAAAATCCTCCGAATCTGCTCTCCATTTTTGCTAAAGAGCACTGGCTGGCTGGCGAGAAAATCTGCCTGTTTCTGCCACATTTTCCAAGCAAGTTCATCTTCGGCGACCTGTATCTCAAGAACCACGCGTCCGTTGAAAAAGTGGTCAACTGGTAAGTTAACGCAAATTATCTCGTGAATAACTTTGTAGTTGATCGTCTATTTTAAAAAAAATTAGTTTTCGAGTTATGAACGGTTTTCCTAGAGCGACAAGAAAGATTTTCTCGGCAGCCAGTGCTCTTTAGCAAAAATGGAGAGCAGATTCGGATTCTCCGTGAAATTCTCTTTCGAATCATCAAGGTCCCATTCCAAAAGCCCAAGATAAGTGCGGGCCATTCCCTAGTCAAACTATTGTCGTTCTCGTCGAACATCAACTTTATTATGCGAATCAAAACGTCAATTATTGTGAGATCCTTGCGACGAAGAGCAGCTGAGCACGTCGAACTCGTCGGAAAGTGATTCCTCGCATTCCGAGAGCGTATCAACGGAAGCGGATTGGTTGAGCGCTGAAAACGATGAGGATATTATAGTTTTCCAAGTTTTCAACTCACTGGATGGGCTCACAGTGTCCGGAGCCAGATTGGCCAGCGCGAAGATGTCGATAAAGTCCTGGTATTGGTCGGCGGTCGTCGCAATATCCGTCTGAATCTCGATTGTCGCCGTCGTGACGAGCTTCTCAGCCTCCGCGGCCTTTTTCTCCGACTTCTCCGGCTTCTCGGAGCACCACAAGGAGACGACGGGCGCGTCGGGACACTCCTCGAACTGTTGCTTGACCTTACAGTACTGCTGCTTCATGAGATGTCCCCGCGGATGGCGCTGAATCACCGTCACCCCGCACTTGATCGTCGGTTGCGTCGTGAACAGAATGTCCGATTGTGTGTGACGAATCAGCGGATCGTAGACAATGTGCGGCCAGTCGACCTGCTGGAACGCGTTCATCGAACCGTTGTAAATGAACTGCTCGACGGAGTTGGTCAGATTGTTGCGCGCAAATATCACGTACTTGCCCGCCGTTGTGCTCCAGACCGTGTACAGCGGATGCAGATCTTTTTCGGTTGGCGCCAGCCGGCATTCGGCGCATTCGATCGGCGCGAAGAAGCCGTCAAAGTAGGCGAACTTTTGGACGGCGCCGCTCGAGTGGCGCGCGAACGCGATCGTCGTGTTGTGGTGGGGACAGTGGCGTGCGATGAACGACGGGGTCGGCGCGGTCGAGGCGACTGGAGACAACATCTTGGCTGGAATTTCTGAGAATTACTCTGGCAACTCGATATTAATCTATAATTAGAAAGTTACTGATCTGTAAGCGCGACCTAATTCGATTCGACTCAGGTAATTTTCGGCAAGGGTGGGGCGCGCGAGCGGCAAGCGAACAGCAAGTTGCTACGGGTAGCATGGCATCAGCATGGATAGGGCGTGCAACAGAAACGAGTGGGATGGGAGGGAAGTAAGGTTTTTGAGCGGCACGGTAGCAGCAACGGTAGCAGGGTGGTTGTGGCAACGAAGTAGCAAGGGAATCGGCACCCTTACAGCAACTTGCCGCGAAAAACGGCACGGATGCCGCTTCCAGTCGGCACCCATGCCGATTTAAGCGGCAACTTGCCGGAAATTACCTGAGGACTGTTTTTTTCTCGGCGCAATCGAGATTTGAGCACTTATTAATCTAGCTAGACAATTTATTAATCGAATTAGGGCCGCCGTTAGAATAATAACGAAATGCCAGAGGTAGAGGAGAGTGGCGAGGTGGAATAGAAGAAAAATGAGGGAAGGAGGGGGCGAAAAGTGACTGGCCGTTGACGGTCTCGAGAGGACCGAGACCGAGACGTCCAGTGCGTGCACAAATCGAAAATGGCCTCTGCCCCGAACACCGGCCCGCGCGCTCACGAAGAGGAGAAAGAGAGCACCAATCGGGAGGGTGTAGAGAGAAGAGACGGGCCAGATGGTTCGATCGATCGAGGACCAACGGAAAGGGCGAGCAGATGGGAAGGGCTGGTCGGGGCCGACAATTCAAGTTAAAGGCCGTGGCCCAGAAAAATTCTAGGCCTTGTGATCTTTTCCGGATTTTTTTTTGCGTTCGGCACAATCTTCATACGTTGCAAAACATTCACACAAATCAGCATCCATACAGACACAAAAAATTTCACAAAAAAATCAAAAAATTTGAGGGTTCCCTGGACCTTTAAAGGACCAAAAAGCCAGATTGCCGAACTAGTGTAGGACTCAGAAACACGTATTAAAATTTTATTTATTCAAAAATCGATTCTAGTTGGCAAACACGCAAAACGGCATGCAAATGAGCTCTCGGAACGGGCTCACAAACGTCCAAACGACATTGTACTGGACGCGAAGCGGCACATTGATCAGTGTGTAGCACGTGTCGGCGAAACTCTCGCCAAACTTGGCGCACACGCCGTCCTAAAGCAATTTCAGGGGTGTACAGTACTTCTGCTCCTCCTCCGATACCTTGATGAATAGATCGGACATTGCGTAGAACGTGTCGACGTCGGCGGGCAAAAACATTTCGACGCTCGCGTTGCACTTCAGACAAAGTGTGTTGAGGAACGAGGATGCCGAGGATACTGTAGCGATCGAGCAGATGATGGCGATGATTAGAAGTGGGCAGCGCATCAGTTCAATAGCTATGGAAGTGAGTGAGGAAAATGAGAAAAATAATGTGTTGGCCAGTGATTTGAATATGATAATCGTTTGGTCAAATTGCATAGACCAGACTGTAGCTTTTGAAGTTCATAGATCTCAAAGGTGTTGGATCTTTTATGCCGCGTCCAACGTCTCGGAAAACCCGCAAATCTCGCAGACTTTGCAGTCCAAAGTCGGCAGAAATTTGCGGGAAATCCGGGGTGCGCACAGCTGAACGAGTGTTACCGTACACCATAAAAACTACGGTATTTTTTTAAAAATTTGTGCAAAAAAATTTCAAAAAAATTTCAAATATTGTCGAGAAATTTAAATTTTTTTCAAAAAAATACCGTTGAAAAATTTACCCAAGAAATTCGAAAAATTTCAAATATTGTCGAGAAATTTAAATTTAAAAAAAAAATACCGTTGAAAATTTACCCAAGAAATTGGAAAAATTTCAAATATTGTCGAGAAATTTAAATTTTTTCAAAAAAATATCGTTGAAAAATTTACCCAAGAAATTCGAAAAAAATTTCAAATATTGTCGAGAAATTTAAATTTTTTTTCAAAAAAATACCGTAGTTTTATGGTGTACGGTAACACTTGTTCAGCTGTGCGCACCCCGGATTTCCCGCAAATTTCTGCCGTCTTTGGACTGCAAAGTCCGCGAGATTTGCTGGTTTTCCGAGACTTTGTACGGAAAAACGGCCGAAAGTGTACAATCTTGAACCCATTTTGTGCCAATCAAACTAATTTATCACCAGAACAACCGAAAAGTGGGCAAATGATTGTGTACATTGATTGTATTTGATATATCGAAAATTATTGAGAATCGCGAAAGATTGGGGTTGAGTTCATCGAAACGAAAGGGAAAAGGGGGTAAAAATAACGGCCTTTTTGTGATTGATAAGTGGGCTGGGCCTTTGAGATTTTCAGCATTTGGAAATGGAATCGGATAATATTTATTATTCTTCGTCGTTGTGCTCCTCTTCCTCCTCCTTCTCCTCCTCCTCCTTCTCGTCGTTCGCACCATCCTCGGCGGTGGTCTCCTCGTCCTCCAGGACGGCTTCGTCGTCGCCGTCAGCGTCGGCGACCTCGTCAGCCGATTTGTCAGCCTCATCATCGGCGTCATCCGTGATCTTGGCCTTCTTGGCCGGCACTTCAGAGTCTGAAAGTTTAGAGTTTGATGATTTTGCCAAAAAACTAGAAATTCGTATCACCTAACACTCAGTTAGGCTCCTACAATACTCTAGTTGTGGCCACGTCAACTTAGGCTCACTGTAGCTGTCAGTGCCACGTCATGCTGAGCTAAAGTTCGTCAACACCCACTATAACATTGCATCATCTTTCTAGACTACTGTACTAGGTTACTATCGCTCACCGTCTCCCTCTTCCTTGCCCTCTTCTTCTCCTTCTTCCTCTCCATTCTCCTCCTCCTCCTCCTCCTGCACTTTCTTGCCATCCTCTTCGGCGGTGCGCTTTCTCGAGACGACGACGCCTTCTGGAAAATGCTTTTTGCTTCATTTGAGATATTATCGGGTTCCCGAACCTTTGCCCTCGGTCGACGGGCACTCCACATCCGGAGATCTTGGCGGCGAATCATCCGGAACGTCGACGACTTCGCTCATTTTCGATTGGTTCAGTTGGAGGCGCAAAAGTTGCTGAAAAATGGGTTAGACAGGCGAAAGCGAGCGGACAATAGTGATAGCGATATGTGAGAAGAGTTTGAGAACTCGAGAAAGTTGGCCGGAAAGGGGGAAGGCGGCATTTTCGGCCCAGTACAAAACGCTTCATTAGTGTTTTCAAAATTTACAGAGAAATGCATCGATATGGTCGCCTACAATATTCGAAAAACCATGAAAATGACTACTAGTACTACAAGAGGAAAGGGTGGCTGGAAGCGGCGAAAAATGGGCAGCCAAGATAAAGTCTGGGGGTTTTTTTGGTTTTTAAGTATACAATATAACAACGGGGGGGACTTTTTCGGGGCCGGATGGGGGTACGGGTACTCTTTTCACGGAGCTTTTTATCAACGGTTCGGGCGGGGACAGATTTTTTTGGTTTTTTTTTATTGGACACGGGACGGCCAAAACAATGGGGAGCTGTGGTCCCGATAGTTCAGTGTAGTCTGGGCTTTCAGGCTTTGGAGCTTTTAGGCCTGGCCTCAGGCCTACCGGTCCCAAAAGACCGGGCCTGAAAGCCTGTCAGACGTACATTCAACGCAAGACTTTGAGAAAAAAAAAGAGTGGTCGCCGCAAAAAAAGAGGGGGATTTTTCAAGATTTTTTTCGGGTTTTTATGGGGACACCGGCGACCACACAAGCCCGACATGGCTTTAGGCTTTGGGCCTCAAGCCGATCGGGCTTCAAACAATGTAGACAAAATAAAAACGAGTTTCCTGAGATACTGCCGTTCGGGGACTAAACTAGGGGGTTCTTCAGGCCAAACGGCCTAAAGAATGTGGATGTCACTGTCGTCGTCCGAAGAATCGCCGTCGTCCGGGAACAGATTAGCACGTCGGGCCGATGCACCATCCACTGGCTCGAGCGTCACTGCTGAATGTTGTCTTTTGGAGCGGCCTAAAACAATATACGGTACTACAATATTTGGGGGGTACCCAAACTGACCAGATTTCTCTAATGGTGGCGTCTGCTCGACGATCATCTTTTTCTGCTCGGCCAACTCTTTTCCAAACGTGTCCAGGCGATGTTTAAAGTCGTCGAAACCGGCGGAGACTTTGGCTGAATGTAGTTGGGACGGCGTCGACTTTTTCGCCTTCACTTCTTCCACCACAACTCTTTTCTTGTCAGGCAAGACGACGTCCGCCGGAACTGTGGACGTACTGTTGTAGCGAAGCGCGTCGTGAAGCGGCCAACAAGTGATCAGTTGCATCCGCCGCAACTTCTCAATGTCCGGAAAGCGGAGATCGTTGAACGCGTCCACGTTGGCCTTCTTCATCGTCTGAAGGATCGAGGAGCCTTCGCGAGGCGTCGACAGTTCTTTTATTGCATATTCTAGGGTCTCAGGCGAAATTTCGCGCGGATAATGAACTTCCTTTTTGCTTTTTCTTTTCTGCTCGTCGCTCGTCGCTTCTTTCGACACTTTCATGGATTCGGCCACGTCGGGCATGAACGGGATTGGTTCTGAAACAGTTTCCACTTGTTTACTGAAGTTTGTTTTGTAAACTTACGGTCGAACGGATCCAAAGGGCTCGAGCAGCGAAAACAGTCGAGGACACTTCTTCTCAGGAAGGTTGGTGGCGTCATCGGATGGCCCTCCATCATCCTAGATGGGACCAACTGCCCGTGTTCCTTGCGCTCGACGAGAATGCGTTCGGCGGATTCGTGGAGGAAACGACCGAGAGTGGCGTCGTTGAATCCGTGCCGCTCGTTGCCGTTGGTGAGTTTGTAGGCGTCCATGGAGCCGAACGAGTCGGCGAGCCAGAAGACGGTGGGCTCGTGCTCGAGCAAGAACAGCGCTTCCATCTGCTTCGTCGTCGGATCGAATCCCTCGTAGACTTTCAGCGAGTCGTCTGCCATGCCGAACACTTGCTTCAACTTCATGTCCAACGAGACGACGGTGGAAGAGGAAGAAGAACAAGAAAAAGTATTGTCGGATTTTTCGGCTGGCGTGAACACTCCCCACTCGAGGCGCCCGTCCTCTCCGACAAAGATCGCGATCGCGTACTTCTCCTTCCGACTCACCGTCACCTCGAGCACTCGGCTCTTCTCGTCGAGCCACGTCATCGTGTCGCGCCAATCGTAGCGACACACTGAGCAGCGGGTCTCCTCGAAGGCGTGCACGAGCGGGTTGAACAGGTACTGACGGACGGTCTCGTCGGCGACGGTGTTCGCGAAGAAGATGCGCTGGTGGACGTGCGGGCAGTTTTTGTGATTCTTGACGATCAGACCTTCGACGTCGTCGGCGTTCTTTGAAGGCTTTCCGTGGATTGACAAGAAACGCAACTCGGGTACGACTTCGATAAGCGCCAACGCCTTGCGATCGCTGCACCACTGGTATCTGCCGACTTCGCCAAAGTCGTCGACGTAGACGTCAAGCGGAGCACGCGCTCCATACGAAGTGTAGCAAAAGTCCAAAGGGACGAGAGCCTTCCTACGGTAGTTGGGCGCTTGCCACACATCGAGACGCTGAGAGCGCTGAACGTGTCTGCTCTCAATCATCGCGCATCCGGGGCACGGACACTCGTGAGCCGCGACGAGTTGCACTCCGACCAGCCGAAAGTTGAGCCACTTGTCGGCGCGCACGTCCCTAGCCTGTAGAATCCGCTGCTGAGTGACGTGGCACGTCTTCGAGACGACCGGAACGACGGTGTAGAGCGTCGACGTGGTGCGCCACGGAACCTTCTCGAACGTCGCCACGTATTGATCGAACTTGTAGTGGGCGTCCTGACCGCTCAACTCTTTGACGACGACGAGGTTCGCGTTGTGAAGTGGCGAGAAGCGAGTGTGCATCTTCTCGTCCGGCTCCATGTTTCGCCAGTCTACTGTAAAAAGAGCCAATGGGGTACTGTAGCGAAACGAGGTGAAACGAGACGCGCACGAGGATGTAAAGTATGGGAAAGTGAAACCACCACCACCACCACCACAAACCCCCCACTTAACTCAACGCTTTTCGCCCTATAATTTAAAATCACGTGCCGAATCGGAGCCCGCGCGAATAACAAAAAGAGCAGCAGGCCCCGGCCATTTGTCTTAGCGCGCGCCAAAAGGTTAGAAGAGGCGAGAGAGATTAGAGATAAGAGCTCAAAGTGCGAGAAGAAGAAGAAGAAGAAGAGGAGACGTACGTACGGACGAATTGTTGTTGTGAGTGTGAAGAAGAAGACGACGAGAGGAATCATACTCAGGTAATTATCGGCAAGGGTGGGGCGCGCGAGCGGCAAGCGAACAGCAAGTTGCTACGGTAACATGGGGTGAGCATGTGTCACGCACGGCTCCGGCATGGCATCAGCATGGATAGGGCGTGCAACAGAAAAGAGTGGGATGGGAGGGAAGCCAAGGTTTTTGAGCGGCACGGGAGCAGTAACGGTAGCAGCGTGGTTGTGGCAACGAAGTAGCAAGGGAATCGGCACCCTTACAGCAATTTGCCGCGGAAAACGGCACCCATGCCGATTCATGCGGCTATTATTATTATTATTATTATTATTATTATTATTTATTATTACCTGAGTAGAGAGATGAAAAGGTTGGCTAGAAGGTGAGAAGCGAGGTGGAAGTTAAAGGTTGGAAAGGATTATTGTGAGGAGAGAAGACTGGGTACATCCCAAGGATCCCCGCTGAAAAGTAACAGAAGGCTTCTAGAGAGAGAGAGCGCGCGCGCTTGGGGCAAAACAAGAGCAACGCTCGCGCTTCTCGGCGCCCTCACACACGCTCACAAAAAACCGCACACTCGCGCGGAGACAGAGTCAGAGATGGATGGCCAAAGAAGGGGGGCCCACATCGATTCGTCGGAGAGGAAAGAGGGTGTGAGCTGTGAGCGCCCCCGCGACGCTCGCTCTTTTATAGGGCTGTTGAGGGGGACGAAACGAAACAGAGAGAAGAGAGAGAGAGCGTGCGGATGGGGGAGAGCCGGAAAAACGGACGGCGGCTGAAAGTGAAGAATAGGGGAAGAAGAGACGGCCGAAAACGGAAGAGGAGATTGCAAGAAACAATCGGAACGGATGGGAACCAGAGTTGAGCGGAAGAACTCAACGGAAGAATTTTTATCTTTTTTAGAAAATTTTTTCATGAAATGTGATCAACTGACGAAATGTATAGCAAAGTGAACTCTGCTTATAGAAAAATAATTGTGAATTTTGCGATTCATACAAAAAAGTTATGCAAGTTGTTGCGTGAAAAAAGGGCAAACGCAACAACTCGAATATAACTTTTTTGTATGAAAAGCTAAATTTACAATAATTTTTCTATGAGCACAGTTCACTTTGCTCTACATTTCGTCAGTTGATCACATTACATGAAAAAATTTTCTAAAAAAGATAAAAATTCTTCCGTGTTCTTCCGCTCAACTCTGATGCGCCAGAGATCAAAATCGTTATAAACGCACATGAGCACTCGACGTTTGAGCCCCCGGATTTGGCACCTGGCCACAGAAACCCAACACTAAATCCCACTTTCCAATTATCGGATTATGTGTGTGGGGGCCGCCAGGTACAAATTGGAAATTGATTCGGATTTGTGCAGTCTGTCTTGTCGTATTACTTTGACAATATTTAGGCTTGCGGACGCAGAAGTCGGCGCGGTGACTCACACAATTTTTATTGTTTTGTGTGTCAATGTACGTGACAAAATGTGGCGATGAATCATTTCTTTTTGGCTTACATCACAACATGATCCCATAGTCATGGATTTTTTGAATTTGCACACTCTCCTCGCTCTCTCTCTCAAAACATTTCAATTCAATTTGTGACTAATGAAATTATGCGACAAGGTCGTCTGCTTTTTCGCACGCCGGCACAAAACACACTAAATTTTTGGGCAGCGAATAGGTGAAAATGTGTACGCAGAATGCGGCTGGAGGAGAGCGTGTTTAGTTGTCATGGAAATGGGAAGCAGCGGGTAAAAACGAGAGGTGATGGAGGGCGAAAATGATTAGAAAACTCGAAGCGATGAGAAGGAGAAATCGGTGAGAGTCTGGTGAAAAGTCGGAAAGAGTGTGGCAGCAAGAGCAAGTTTATTGAGTGTGCCAAGACAAAAAGTTCAGCGGAAAACGTTTCAAGTTTAAATGCAATACAGAAGGTTGAAGATTTGAAGGAAATAAAGTTTCTCTTCAACTATTGGACGGTAACTAAAAGATGTGGGAAACAGAGTTGAGCGGAAGAACTCAACGGAAGAGCACGGAAAATTTTTTATCTTTTTTAGAAAATTTTTTCATGAAATGTGATCAACTGACGAAATGTATAGCAAAGTGAACTCTGCTCATAGAAAAATAATTGTAAATTTAGCTTTTTATACAAAAAAGTTATATTCGAGTTGTTCCTTGAAAATGTCCTTCCGTCTTCGGTTAGCCCTTAACTTTTTTGTATGAATCGCTAAATTTACAATTATTTTTCTATGAGCAGAGTTCACTTTTCTATACATTTCGTCAATTGATCACATTCCATGAAAAACTTTTCTAAAAAAGATAAAAATTCTTCCGTTTTCATCCGTTGAGTTCTTCCGCTCAACTCTGGTGTGGGAGGGGGGAAAGGGGTTCTGTTACGGATATGCGTGTAGCTTACAACAAAAAAAAGTAGAAATCGGTTGGGCGGGAACAAATATAATCGGTAGGGGAGCACAAAAAACAGCGACTAGTGTAGATTTACGAAATTCTGCAACCGGAACCATTCTCCACAATGTTTTGCTCATTTTCATCGTCCTCGATGTGCGAGTAGTCCGAATCGTCGGATTCGGCGGAGCCGCTGGTCGCCTCCTCGTCTTCATCCTCTTCAAATTTCGGATCGGAATCTGAAAGCACAAAATTGCTAGGGTAAAAAAAAAAACAACAAAAAACTAGAAATTCGTATCACCTAAGACTACAAGCAGAGTTGAGCGGAAGAACACGGAAAAATTTTTATCTTTTTTATAAAATTTTTTCCTGAAATGTGATCAACTGACAAAATGTATAGCAAAGTGAATTCCGCTCATAGAAAAATAATTGTAAATTTAGCGAATCATACAAAAAAGTTATATTCGAGTTGTTCCGTTCAAAAAAGGGCCAACGGAACAACTCGAATAACTTTTTTGTATGAATCGCTAAATTTACAATTATTTTTCTATGCGCAGAGTTCACTTTGCTATACATTTTGTCAGTTGATCACGTTCCATAAAAACATTTTCTGAAAAAGATAAAAATTCTTCCGTGCTCTTCCGTTGAGTTCTACCGCTCAACTCTGCGTCCCACTCACCAGGCTCCGCAGGTTCCTGAAGATTCATCATCTCGTTCACCGTCCGCCGCAAGAGCCGTACGGGCGCCTCCAAAATACATTGATCTTTCTGCTCCTCCAGCTCGCCCTTTTTCAGGTCCTTCAGCATCCATTCCATCTCTCTTACTTGCCGATCCAACTCGGCCAAGTCCGTCTCGGTGGCACCATCCAGCGATGTTTCTTCTTTCAAGAAGTGATCCACTCTCTCTTCTTCTTCTTCTTCTTCTTCTTCTTCTTCTTCTTCTGGTTCCGGCTCCGGCTCCGTGTACAGCTTCTCCGTCATCAGCCTGAGGCCGAGTGTCATCTCACCTTCGTAGGGTCTGATCTGCCCGTCCATCGCGATCATCATGTGCCCCCGGTTTCCGGGCACGTATAAATGGATCGGTAGGGGCCAGAGTACGCATCCGTCGTTTTCAATGTACATCGCTTCGGCGTACGAACGCATTTGCGTTTCCACGGGGAGATCTGAAACATTGTAAACATTTTTTTTTTTGGTCATGTCAGACTCACCTTCTCTGCGCAAATGACTGAGGTTCTTGATCGGTGCCGCGGCCATGACCACAAACTTTGTGTTCCGTCTATCGTACATGAACTTGGCGACGCTTCCGTCGGCACTCCGTCGGATGGCTATCGGCGTGCACGTGCACAGACACTCGTTCAGCTCGACAATCTCCATGTGATTGGTGCCAAGTGTCACTTCTCGCGGATTGAACACGAACGAGGAGCACGTGATGATCTCGAACTGATGGGATTTCCGGTTGAACACGTACTGCTTCGTCTTGCGGTCTTTGAGATGGTACGCAAAGTGGACGGTCCTCTGCAGCTCCTGATCGTACTTTTTGTAGAGCAAGCGGAGCCCGTCGTCGAACAACAGCCGCTCCGACTCTTGCCGGATCAGCTTCGAGCGGTACTCGTGCACGCGGACGTTCAGCCGCTCGACGAGCCTGTAACACTCGTTGTCGGCGTCGAAGCGATAGCGTCCGATGTATCCGTTGCGGTCGCAGAAGACGTTCAACTGCCCGTGATCCGTGTTGTACCACTTCACGGAGAGGCAGATCAGCGGCAGTCCGTGCTCGTCTCGGTGCGTCCGCTGGTATGTGCTCGCCTGCGAACCGAACTCAAACGCGTCTCGATCCGTCGTGACGGTGCCGCATTCAAAATCGTCGCACTTGCCCTCCGACGCCTCGTAGAACCTCTCCGTTCGCTCGTCGAATACGAAGCGTGCCAACTGCTTGGTCTCCGGAAACTTTAGCGCGTAGACGAGCATTTGACGGCGGGCCGAGCAGAATGTCGAGTAGTAGGGGCGGATCCACAGATAGTTCTCGGTCTCCTCGTCGACAATCTCGGCGAGCTTCTCCTCCGGGAACTGCAGATTCGGCACGACGCGCTTCTCGTCGTACGAGCAGCACGTGCACTGGACCCGCAGCAGATTTCCGCGCGGCAGACCGTACCGATACTTTGAGATCTGGCCGTTCTTCGCCGCGTTCCGGCAGAACACCACCACCTCGTGCTTCTCGCAGTTGGCCAAGTAGAGCTGCGTCAGATCGGAGACCCGCACGAGCCGCGGCGCCGGCGAGAAGTTGTTCGCCTTCTCGTCGTAGACGAACTTGGTCCGGAGCCCGGTCGTCGGGTCCGTGACCAGGATCACTTCCTGCTGCAGGTCCGCGTCGAACAGGATGTTCATCGAGCGTTTCACCGGGCCGTTCATTTTCGATTGAAAGATCTGAGAACAAACTTGATAATATTTGAAAATTAAAAAAATAAATAAAAAAGGGAGAGAGAGAGAGGGAAAATGGTTGCCGCTATACACTTTGACTGACTATAAAAAGAGAGAGAGAGAGAGAGATCGTCACTTGCGCAACTCGCACCGAACACGACGAAAGAGCACAGGAGAAGAGAGAAGGCGAGAAGACAGAGTGCCACGTCTTCATGAGGGGGGAGGTCATCAGATTGTGCACACACACACACACACACACGGTCCTGTACGCAGGGAGACGGATTCAAGGTCCTTAAAGGAAAAGGGCCCCCTTTTTGACGTGAATGTTATCAATGAATTCTTGAAGAGCGATAGTGTTGACCAGAGTTGAGCGGAAATGAAATTTTGAAATCCGGAAAACGGAAAACGGAAGAGGAAAACGGAAAACGGAAGACGGAAAACGGAGGACGGATAACGGAAGACGGAAAACGGAGGACGGAAAGCGGAAGACGGAAAATGGAAGACGGAAAACGGAAAACGGAAAACGGAAGACGGAAAACGGAAGACGGAAGACGGAAAACGGAGGACGGAAAACGGAAGACGGAAAATGGAAGACGGAAAACGGAAAACGGAAAGCGGAAGACGGAAAACGGACAACGGAAAACGGACAACGGAAAACGGAGGACGGAAAACGGAAGACGGAAAACGGAAGACGGAAAATGGAAGACGGAAAACGGAAAACGGAAAACGGAACACGGAAAACGGAAGAAAAATTTTTTTTTTCTGCCTGTAGAAATTCGCGTTCTTCGGGGCTAGTAAATGGCTTCTGAAAAGCTATTACTATTTTACGGTAAGAAGAATTTTTCCCGGAAGACGGAAGACGGAATTCCGCTCAACACTGGTGTTGACACTGATAAAAAAATTTGTTTTAAAAAGCGCCATCAGCTGCCAGTCTGGGTGGGAAGAGGAGAAAAAAATGAATGAGGAGGGGGCCTCCGCGCCGATTGGTTGACAGACAATTGTAGGCGTTTTTAGTGCGCTCGTGTGCCGACGGCAATCACTATAATTGAGAAAAGTAACGCGGGAAGAGGAGCGCAGACAAGGAGCGCACAACAACAAAAAACAATTAGCCGTACAATACTCGGCTCTTCTTCCTGTATGCACAATTATAATAGTATTGTGAAATGTCTGGAAAAACAACGCCGTACAGTATCCAATGCAATTATTCGAATCCTCCTCGCCGGTGCACCTGGTCCTCGCGGATCCGAAATGATCTAATCAGAAAGCGGCAGTAATCGGAGCACGGCTCTCCAAATCCTTTAATAATTGGTGTGGCTGGCCTGGTTCGGCGTTTTGTCTAAGAAGATCCTAGGTGGATGGAGAGCAGATGGTTGAGCCGAGCGCTGAGGTGCAATTAGTCGTTTGAAATATGCGATAAACCACGGCTTCATTTCATTTTGGGGATTGGAAATGAAGACGATTGTCAAAACACCAGAGTTGAGCGGAAATGGAATTTTGAAATCCGGAACACGGAAAACGGAAGACGGAAGAAAACGATTTTCCCGGAAGACGGAAGACGGAATAAAAAAATCGTCAATACAGAACCTTTTCTCCGGTTTTTTTCTTTTTTGAAAAGAATAACTAACGCAACAAAAATTTTGGATCTGGGTCACTGCCCCGTGGAAATTCGCGTTCTTCGGGGCTAGTGGCTTCTGAAGAGCTATTACTCTTTTACGGTAAGAAGAAAAAATGCCGGAAGACGGAAGACGGAATTCCGCTCAACACTGCAAAATACAACAAAAAAAGGCGTTATTTAGAAACGTACTCGACCACGGGCTCAGGCTCCAAGCCTACAAACGTCTCAGACTTCCACTCCATCCTCTCCAGATAGCCGTCCTGATTCTTGAGGGCGAATCTGCGAGCGACTTCGAGAAAAATGCCTTCCGGAAGAGCATTCGAGGCTTTTCTCTTGGCGCGCGTCCTGCAATCCACGTGGATGTGGAGCAGAAAGAGCTCGGAGCGATTGGAGATGTCGTTGCGGGCGAGGAGACCGGTTTTGGAGACGTGTTTGCTGTCCATTGTATCGTTGGATTCTGAAAGAAGGAATGGATCGATCTTAACAAGCGTTCAACGTTACCAACATTATTGTCGACGGTCTCCAGAGCTGACAATGGGCGCGCAAGTGCGCCCCGCCCAATAGAGCGATACATTGGCGCGAAATTCAAATTTTAACAGCAAAATTTGTGTTTTTTGCCAGATTAGCCACGAAAAATCGATAATTTCTCGTTTGTCTCTCGATAGATCGATTGTATAGGCTATTACGAATTTTTTAAGCGCAAGAGCGTTAAATTTGGTCACGTCGCAAATCACATTTATCCGTTTGAAGGTTTTTCGCTAAAACTGCGTGAATTTCAGTTGCTTTTCGGTAGTTTTCGCGGTTCCAGCGCTCAAAATGCTTGTATTTACGTGATTTATCATTCTCAAAACTAATTCTGTCGGAAAACGGTCAAGAAAGCGCAAAATGAGAAGTGCGGTTTTTAGACGGCGAAATCCACGAAAAATGAGCGCCAAAACGTCATTAATTCTGAGAATTAGTGTGTTTTCATGCCAAACAATCATTTTTCATCGCTTTTGACCACAAAAATCAGAGAAAACGTGCTCAATTCATGAAAATGCCATTTGGCCGAGGTCCTCGTCCTTCGCATCGTTCAACTTGTGCTCAAAGTCGCTTTTAGGCGGCAGATCCTCTTCGTCGATCTTTTTAAACTTTGGCACCCGATCGTCCGCCGGCTTGATGGTTCCGTCCATGAAGATCACGTACAACTAAAACGTAAATTTAAAAAAAAAAAACTGCGTTTCCGAATCGAACAAAGTCTTGAATACATTGGCTAACGTACGGGAATAGTGGGGAAAGAAAAGAATGTTACGGAACAAAAAGTATTACACAATTTTCAACAAATTTTCAAAGCACGTACATTATTTCATTCTTTCACAACGTATCGACTATTTACATATTTTTCTCACTTTTTTACTTCAATATAGAAGTGGTGGTGCACTACGGACTACCAAGTTTTAGAAGGGAATGGACAAGAAAAGAATATAAATACATGAAAAAATCAACAAAACAAGTTCAAAGTTCCAAATTATGAACAAAATTGTCAATTGTCTACTTGGCCTCCTCGGCATCCGGAAGGCGATCGAAGGAAGCGTCCGACGAGGTGGATTCATCCGATGACGTGTCCGAGTCCGAATCCGATCCCGATTCTGATTCCGAATCCGACGCTTCCTCCTCCTCCTTCTCGTCGGTCTCGTCGACCGGCTTCTCGGCCTGATCGTACAGTTCCGGATGGAGTGCCTCGTGCAATTGACACACATCTCTCTCGCTCAGACCTTCGTCGGCAATCATGTTCAGTTCGTCCTCAGGATCGTGGGTCAGCTCGAGTGTGGCGGTCACTATAAAAGAAATGGGTTTTTGCCGCACAGACTGAACGTGGCGTGGGGCCTAGCGCGTGCACGGTTTATCACCATTTTGGCGCGAAATTCGAAATTTAACCCCCCTATTTTTCATGTTTTTCGTCAAAAATTACCCAAATTTTGAACGATTTCGACGATGTAATTGCATAACTTTGTTAAACTAATCATCGCGCACTTTTTGAGCTTAAAACGAGCAGGTTTCATTCAGAGAATGAATCAATTCAATCGATTTTCAAGTTTTATGCTGAAAATGCTGCGAATTTCAGTCATTCGCCGATACTTTTTGCCGTTTGAACGCTTAAAATACTTGTATTAACGTGCTTAATCACTTCCGACACTCACTTCGTCTCAAAACTATCCAAATGGGCCGGTATGAAAATTTCGAAATTGCGGCGGCGATTGGCCGCGGAGAACTTATTGCGAAATATTCGAAAAACGTCTCAAACGCGGCGTTTTCACGAAAATTTCAATGTTTTCTCTTTTTAATGTCTCTTCTTTCGTCGATATCAAACACAAAAATGGCGGAAAAGTGCTGAAATTGCGGCAATTTTCAGAAAACGCGTCTCAGATTCTACACTTTTGGTCGCCGTGGCGTATTCGTACCTTCTGGCGGCGGTCGCTCGCAGATGACGAACGGCTCGATCGTCTTGTAGAACAGATGACTCGCACGGTCCTCCATCGCGCCTGAAAAATTTATTTTTTGAGCGAAAAAATTGGAAAATTTCGCTAAACTCACCAGTCTGCCTGACGTCCTTGAGATATCCGGTGACAATGTGCCGGTCCTGAACGACGGGCATCGGCGGAAGCGTCTCGAAGAGTCCGGCGCTGGTGAACTGTTTCTTCTCGAGCAATCCCTCCCTGGTCTTCATTATATTCACGAGTCGCTTCGTCTTGAGACTCTCGGTGATGAAGAAGAGCTGTGGGTACGTGGAGCGCGAGAGTCCGACCAGCTCCTTATAGTGTTTCTGGTGATAAATCTCGATAAACTGGTGCCGGAGACGATCGAACACGAACATTCCGCTGAGGCCGCACGGTTTGATCGCAAACAGAATGGCGATGTCGCCGAATTCGGGGAAGTGGCGGATGTAGACCGGCTTGAGTTTGGTGTCCAGAATCTCGAACTTGTCACTGACGTCGAGCTCCAGCGGCGACGTCTTCACACTTTCTTGAAAAGTCCGCTTGCTAGTATCGATTTTTCCGTCTGAACATCCTCTCTTCTCCTCGACCTTCTTCTTCGGAAGCGCGACGACCTCAGTCAGCTCCATCTTATGGTGCACCTTCTTCCGATCGTCGTAGAGCAATCGAACAATGCGCTTCCCGTCGCTCACACTCAACACGACGACGCGTCGGCATTCCGGACTCGTCGTGATAAACAAAATCTCCTTTTCCTTCGCGTCTTCGCGGTTCTCGTCGCGTTTGCACACCTCGCACCGCACCTCCACCAGTTTTCCCGCGTTCGCATCATAGATGTACTGCAGATCCTCGCGCTCGACGTGGTTGAACGCGAAAATGAAGGTGCTCTTGAGGTGGGGGCACCAGGCGATGTGACGGGCGGTCAGATCGTCGCTGTTCGCGCACACCGCCGTCTTCATCACCTCGAACACGTTTTTGGCGGCGTTGAACGAGAACTTTTGCGTTTTGAGCGCACCGTCATTTTGCGCACTCTTCACGATCACCACGGTTTGATGGGTCTCCGCGCAGAACTGGGTCGAGATTATTGGGTCCATATCTGAAAAAACTACTTATCGCAGCTGAGGACAGCGATATCAAAAAGTGATCAACTGACAAAACGTTCACTGAGAATGTGTGCACATTTTATTAGTTGACAACTTTTTGACATCTCTACCCTCAGCCGTCTTGAAAACGAGAAATGTGACAAGAAGGCTAGGTGATCAAGAAACCAGTAAACCGTTAAAAAAAGCCACGTCCAAACTGGCCATCACTCAACCGAAAGGGACCACATTGGCGACGAGACGGAGAGAAAGAAAGGGGGAGTCTTGAGGTGTATGTGTGTGTGTGTTTGGTCGTTTTTGAGTGGAAATGTGAGCGGACGAAAGAGTGGGAGGAATTGAGAGACGGCAGACAATGAGAGAGAGGAAGAGGAAGAGGAAGGGTGAGGAACTGATTAGGAAGAAATGTACTCTGACGCACGGTCTCCTCAGAGCTTACATTGAGCGATACATTGGCGCGAAATTCAAATTTTAACAGCAAAATTTGTGTTTTTTTGCCAGATTAGCCACGAAAAATCGATAATTTCTCATTTGTCTCTCGATAGACCGATTCGATAGGCTATTACGAATTTTTTAAGCGCAAGAGCGTTAAATTTGGTCAAGTCGTAAATCAAATTTATCCGTTTGAAGGATTTTGGCTAAAACTGCGTGAATTTCAGTTGCTTTTCGGTGATTTTCGCGGTTCGAGCGCTCAAAATGCTTGTATTTACGTGATTTATCATTCTCAAAACCAATTCTGTCGGAAAACGGTCAAGAAAACGCAAAATGAGAAGGCGAAAAAGCGAAATCCGCGAAAAATGCGCCAAAACGTCATTAATTCTGAGAATTGGTGTGTTTTCATGTCGAACAATCATTTTTCATCGCGTTTGGCCACAAAAATTAGAGAAATTCATAAAAATGCCATTTGGCCGCCGAGCTCTGTATACTGGAAAACTTTGCAGTAGACGATTGATCGAAATCGACGATGATTGTAGTGAACACATTTACACAACAAAAAAAACTGCGAAAATTTTATCAATACGACGATTGTCAGAGGATCAATTGGGAATGGCGCACGAAAGAGTGCTGCTCTTGAGGTTCTCGTCGACCGAAGTGCTCAGTCCGCTCTTGTACCAGTTGCCATCGTCGCAGATCAGCGACGAAATTATCGTCGGGTTTTGGAAGCGCTGAAAATCGAAGAGGAAAAGCGTCGGCATGTTTTTTTTTTTTCGAAAACAGCTCAAAAGTGTGTACCCAATTGCCGATCGTCAACGACTGATTTTTGAAGGTGAAGGTGGCGACGCCGGTGCCGTTCGGACACGTCACAATGATGGCGGCGCACTCGGGATACGTGACCACCGGCGCCTGGAACGTGTAGGCGGCCGAGAATTTGGCCGCCACCGCCGGATAAGTGTCCACGAGCCACTGCTGGTCGAACGTCGAACGTTGCATGCACGGACAGCCTGCAAAAACGGTTTTTTTTGGAAAATTTTTGAGCATTTTGAAAACTACCGTCGGCGGGCGTCGCTTTGCACGATTGTGCCGAAGAGCTGACGACGACGACGGCGAGGAGGAGGAGGATGATTGAGGAAAAGTGCACAATATTGCACATTTTTGAACTACACTCTTTTCTGCTCTCCAAAACAATCGGGCCGTTTTATCCCCGTCCGCGCTCCCACACTTTCCATTTTTTAATACTAATCAGGGAATATGCAGATTGAGGCCCAAGATCACGGACACGAGCGCCCAAACACTGAGCCCCAATGATGACTGCGACTCCGTGCCAAACCAACAAATCGGGGTGCTCGGCCACGGTTTATTTAACAAAATTTTAATCTTCAAGGTATCGTTGAGCATGCAAATAAATCAGATTATTATGACAACATGAAAACTTGGGGGGTGCTCAATAGATGTGAGGAGGGTTAGTTAGTACAGTTTGTGTGAGATGGGGTGTTTAAAACAATTTATCAATATCCAGAGTTGTTGTTGTTGTTGTCGTACGACGACGTCGAGTAGTTGCTGTCCGATCCTCCGGCACCGCACGCGGGAACCGCGTTCGGCCAGTCGCACACCGAAAGCGCCGGGTTGAAGACAGTCCCGGACGGGCAGCGCATCATCACTTTGCGGCCCCACACGCAGCGGTAGAACACCGAGCAGTTGTCGTCGTCGGCGATGAACGCGCCGTGCTCCGCGCAGACGCCGTCGGTTCGTCCGTGCTGCTCGCATCCGCTCACCTTCTGCGGGTAGTCGCACTTGCCGGTCAGCTCGTTGAACGCCAGGTTCGACGGGCACGCCGCGTGCTCGAACAGCTCTCCGCCGAAGCACTGAAAAATGATAGAATTGAAAAAAGTTTTATCTAGAAATTATTATTGCGGCGTGGTGTTTGCAGTCTACCGTTGTGGGTGGAGCTCGGCAGTTACGGTTTACGACGGTAGTCCGCAAAAACCACGACACAAAAAAACAGCGCTATTATAGGTACCTGTAGAATTGCTCTGCAATCCCTCGTGTTTCCGTAGAGACCGTCGTATTTTCCGTCGCAAAACTCGGCGGCGTTGCCGTTGTTGTTGTAGTAGCTCTTGACGGGCGGCTTCTGGATCGGATTGCGAGCGCACTCGTCCCCACGGCTGACACACTTCGACTCGGCGATCGAGAAGACCGTGTTGTCCGGGCAGAAGCGAATCGACGACTCGCCGTGCGTGCAGAAACCGTAGCGAGTGTTGCACGTGCCGAGAGCGAACGGAGCCTCGCCCGAAATGTACGCGCATCGCTGATCAAACTTGCGTGGCGACACTGTCGACGTCGTGGCGATGGCCTGGAAAAAATAAATGATTGTGAATTGAAAAAAAGAAAGAAAAAACATACTTCTTGGACGGCCTGCCGGATGGCGTCCTTTCCGCACGCGATTTTCACGACGCACTTGTTGAGGTGCTCGTCGAACAGCTTTCCGACGCGGCACGACTTTTCCAAGTACTCGCCGGTGGCGCCGCACTCCTGGTAGCGACGGTTGCAGAATCCGATCGAGACGCGAGTTCCCGGAGTGCACTTGGTTTCCTCGTACGTCTCCTCCTCCTGTTCCTCCGCTTCTTCCACTGCATTTCGCTCGTAATACGAATCGGTGACAGTGACGCTGGTGGATGTGGAAGTGACGTACTCTTCAGCTGAAGCTCCAGTAGAAGTTGTTGTCGCGACGTCATCTCCAGAATCCGTAGAAGTAGAAGTCTGCACGGTGGAGGTCAGCACATCGCCCAGGGTGTAGTAGGGAACTGGCTGCACGAGTCCGGAATCTGAAAAAATGAAGAAATTAAAAGAAAAACAACAGATTTTGCAACAGACCAGTGGTGGTTTCGGTAGGATTGCACGCTTGCGCAGGGATCAGGCTGAAAGTACGGCAGTACTCGACGGTCGGATCGAATCCTTTGCCGAGCGGGCAGTTGACGACCCTCAAAAGGCGACCGGAAGAGCACACAATGTACGAGGAGGAGCAGCCTTGGCCGTGCGCGCCGTCCGAAAGTCCGGCACACGCGTCGTCCGCGGCGATCGGGTTGTAGGGGGCGACCGATGGAGAGTAAGTCGTCGGCGGTTCCTGGGCTGGCTGGTCCGTGGATCCTCCGTAGGAAGAAGTGGTGGTGGATGGTTGCTCCTGCGCCGGTCCCGTCGTCGTCTCTGGTCCGTATTCGACAGTTGTCGACGGCTGATCTTGTGGTGGCGAGTAAGTAGATGAGGAATCCTGCCCTTGACCTGAAAAACAAGAATAACAGTACAAACATCACGCGATTTCTCTCACAGGCAGCGACTTGGCTTCTGAACTGGCACGACGCGATCGTCTCGTCAAAGTAGAGCGCGGCAGGGCAGATGCGGACGACGGCGTTGCCATTAGAGCACTGAATGTACTTTTGCGAGCAGCCGATCGCAAACAATCCCGAGGAGACGTCAGAGCAACGATCGCCGATCGGAGCACGAGTCGTCGTCACGTATTGGATGGATCCGATGGTCGACGGCTCGTCGTTTCCTGGAACAGTGGTCGTTGCAGTGATGGTGTAGCCGTTTCCTGGGGCTGTGGTCGTTGTGGTGGTGGTTTGGCCGTTTCCGTAGACAGAAGACGACGTCGTCACATCATCCGAAGAGGTTTGGGTTCCGGTCGAAGTTCCAGTGGGTCCAGTCACGACTGTGTTCGCACCGCAAGTCTCCGAGCACGCGGCGAGACCTTTGTCGAACGACTCGCCGATCGGACACGCGGCCATTCGGTTGACGCCGGTGCCTGAGCAGTAGATAAACTGATCGAAGCAGTCGCCGAACGTGAGGAACGTGGCGGTGGTGTACGCTTGGCAGTCCCGGTTGACCTGCGCCTGACGGGCACTGATCTGCGGACTCGGCTGCTGGCCATATCCTCCGATCGGCTGGGCTCCGTAGTAGGCGGAACGCTTGCGTCTCGTCGCCCCGAACAGATCCTTCGGCTCAAATCCGGATCCGTCCTCGTAGCCGTCCGGATCCTCGCGTGGTCCCAACCGACGGTTCGATCTGCCCTTCGGGAAAATGTTCTCAATGTCGGACTGGATGAAATCGGCCTTTGGTCCCTCAAACTGATCGTCGATCAGGAAGCGCTTCGTTCCAACGACTCGCCGCGCGTTTCCGTACTGAAGTTTGTCGGTTCGCACGCGTCGGAAGTCCTTGAAGCCGTCGTTGAGCACGGCGCGTCGGCGGAAGTGCGTCGAGAACGGAGAATCGATGACAGCTAAAGAAATTGTGTAAATTCGGGAAAACATACGCAAAAATTCAGACCGGCCGATAGCTCGCTTCAAAGTCAAAGTTGGGCGCAGATTAACATATCAGATTGTAGATTTCTGGCGCGGGCGGCGCCAGAAAATGTTGTCGCATTGTAGAACTCATCGAGATCTACAATCCGATATGTTGTTCTACGCACACTTTTGATTCTGAAGCGAGTTATCAGCCGCCCCGTTGACAAGTCTGCAAAAACTGACGTCCACGATGATGACGACGCTCCTCGTGACGAGAATGATGGTTCGGACGATGATGGTGTGAGGACGGCACGAAGAACGGATTGTCGACGAGCGTCTGATAGTGCGTGCGGCGATCGTCGAAGCGCGGCCGCAGACGTACATTGTCGTCGAACGGACTGAGCACAATGTCCGGCTGCAGGTAAGTCGGCTGACTGTAGGCGACCGGCACGCTGACCGGCTGGCACTGCGGCAGCTCGAAGACGCACAGAAGGAGCGACGACTCGAAAAGTGTGTTCACCGGGCACTGCTTCGAGCGCACCGCGTTGTTCTGGCACCGAGTGAAGCGCGAAGAGCACGTGCCGAAAGTGGTGACCTGTCCTTCGTGGCAAACTCGGACCGGAGCCTGGGTGGTACTGGTGGTGGTGGTTGTCGAGGTTTCGTCGTCGAATCCAGGAGTCGTCTGGTAGCCAGAAGTCGTCGTCGAGGTGACGTCATCCTGTGGTGTCGTCGTGCTGTATTCTGGCTCCGGCACGTCTTCTTGAGGCGTCGTCGACGGCTCCTCGGTGTATCCGACGGTTGAGGTGGTCGTTGTTGACGGCTCATCGGCTTCAGTGGACGTCTCGTAGGCCTCGGTGGAAGTGGTGGTGAGCGGCTGGCAGTCGTAATCGCAAGCTTCTGCAAAATATGTGGATTTGACTCGAGCTTTTCGAGGGCCTGGAGTTTTCACCCACTTGCAATTCCAGGAAGCCTGAAAAGTTAGGGACCGATCGGATAATTGATTATTGCGAGTGGGCCAAAAGTTTAGGCTTTCGAAAAGCCTGAGCATTCCTGATAAGTTTCAGCTCAATAGGATAATCCGATCTGGATATATTGTGATTTACACAAAAATCAAAACAACTCCGGATCAAATGAGATCCTAACTTTCAAGACAGACACTGAGAACTATGTCTGCCAGGAAAATTAGACCACAATTCTGAAAAAATTGTCCATACTCTGGCTTGGATTGTAGACAGTTCCCACTGGGCACAACTTCTTGAAGGCGACGTTGTTGGCGCACATGTAAAAGTGTCCGACACATCCGTCAGCGTAGATTCCGTCCTCCTGTCCGGTGCAATCGAATTCCACGGGCTCCTGCTCCTCCGGCTGCTCGCTCGTCGCCGCATACTCGTCGGAGCTCGGCGCTTCTGTGGAAACGACCTCGTCATTGTCTTCTTCTTGGGTGTAGGCGTCTGACGTCGTCTCGGGCTCTTCTGGCTCCTCCTCTTCCTCTTCTTCGATGTCGTCGCACGTCTCCAGACACTTTTTGTACTTGCCGTTGTACACGAGGCTCGCCGGACAGTACATTGTGTAGGCGTTGCCGGCGACACACTTTACAAACTGATTGACGCAGCCCACAGAGAATTCTCCGTCCTCTTGCTGGCTGCAATCAAAATCGGGCTCCTCTTGCTCTTCGTCTTCGTCGACTTGGCATTCGGGCGACTCCCCGGCCGGCACGCATCCAGTTTGGTAGAAGACGTAGCCGTCGGTACACGTGGCATCCTGCCGTACTCCATTCACACAGATTGAATACTGAAAGACTCAATTTTTTGCGAAAAACGCGGTCACAATTGGTACCTGCTGGCTGCAGGAGCTTCCGGCGATGCTTCCGTTGAAGTAGGGCGGGCATGTGGTGTCGGGTGAGGCGTACGGGGACTGCTGGCTATTCACAACTGCAAAACAAGAATTAGAGAAAATTACGAGAATTTAATTGAAAACTCACGAATTGTTAGTAGAACTAGCGTAAGGGCGGCTAGTCGGTGCCCCATCACCTGAAAACAACGCGTTTTTTTTTGGGATTCGGGGTAAAAACGCAGAAACAAGAGAGGAAAACAAAAAGGAATGATGACGAACAAATTAACGACACGGAATGAGCTCGAAGGAATCGGAAAATTGGCGCGCGCGCTGAAAATTTAGATCAAATGCAGTTTTTCGGATAACTCTTTAAAATCAAGGCGGGAAATTTTGAATTCGATGATAAAAAAAGGCAGCAAACCACAATTTACGTACAAAAACACGACACATTGTCAATTTGCTCAAAAATCACGAGAGTTTGAGCGAAACAGCAAAAAATGAATTTTGGCGCCAGAGCAACTACAGTAATCCTAAAAAACCACGGCGAGACCCGTTTGAATAAATGCGTGCGCCTTTAATGGGGCTTTTCAGCGTATGTTTGTTTTCCGTTTTTTTCCCGTTTTTTACACCGCTGAATTGGGTTTTTTGACGTAAAAAACGAAAAAAAACGGAAAATAATAATTTTTTTTCACAGCCTGAATAACCCTATAAACAAAAAAACGCCTCACTGGCCGTCGCGAAAGAATTCGTTGAAGATTAAAAGAGAAAAAGTATATAAGCTTAAAACAGCTTGGAGAATGCATCAGAAGTCTGCTGGAAGCAGCAGGAGCGCGTAGAAGACAGGGAGAGAACGGATCGCACGCAAGTGGCTCCACTTGTGACAGAATCAGCTTGAAATCCCGAAAAAATTTGGAGGGAATATCTTTCTACCTTTGAAACAGTTGTACGCCTTGACTGAAGTGTACAACTTATGCCAAGAGTCGAAAAACGTTCCCACTTCCATCTGAAGTTTATAGACCATACCAGACGGTCTCCTGGGATAATCCTTTTCAGGACAACCTTCCGAGCCTTTTTCAGGGCTCTCTCAGACCTTTCCAAGTCTTGGAAAAGTTTTTTTCCTTCAGAAAGTTTGAGAATGTCTTGAGAAGCGCCAAGAAAAGTTTGAAATTTTACCTGAGTAATATGAATTCCGAAAATGTATTCTCGAATTGGTCAAATAGTCATTTCTACTTCTTCTCGTGTTTTTAAGCTTTTTTACCTTGTTCTTTTCTGATCCTCAACGATTTTTTGTCGTATTCTGAAAATGCCGTTTTCTGCTAAACCGGGTGACATTACGACACTCCAAAGGTCCGGCGACGTGTCGCCGACTGAAACTTTGCAATTTCAGACGTTTCTCAGAGTTTCTCGGCATGAATAATTAATTTTTTGCTGAAACTAAAAGAAAACGCTATTTTTAAACATTTTCCACCAGCAAAATAAGTTACAACCCTCAAAAACTGCAATCAATTCCCCAACAAATTGGTTTTTTTTCAGACAATACGCTGTCTAGCCAAGTGAAAATGGCGGGACACGCTGAAAGTCGACTGGTAAATCATAGTTGTTTGAATTTTATCAAAATTTTATGCATTTCAGGTGAGCGAACAACTCGTGACACTCGATTTGCCGACTCCGACAGCAATCAAATGCGATTCGTTCGGAAAATTGGTTCAGGAGGTCGGATTTTGTCAAGTTCATGTTTAAAACATGAACATTTGTGGTTTTCAGACAAAATTGGTGTGGGGCGGCGAAGGTGGCGAGCTTTTCGACAAAATCGTGTTTCAAGACGACGATCTGTACGATGTCACACAGGACAGCTTTAGATACGGGCGGTGAGCGCCTTTTTTGTTAAAATTTTGTCAAAAAAATTGAAAATTCATCGAAAAACGAATATTTCAAATTTCAGCGTCACTTCTGGAACCAGCTACAATCTGGTAACCGGAAAAATGCAGGAGGAGGTGCTCGAAGCGGTGAAAGCCAAGGACGAAGAGGCCGACGATCCAGAAGACCCGGTGACGTCATCCGAGTCTGTCGGGGCGCTTAATTTCCAAGAATCGTACGATTCTCAGATGCCAAAGTACTTTGAGTACCGATCCACGTTTCCGGTAGCGCTTTTTAGATTTTCCATTTTTTACTCTATTTTTTTGCAGGAAATCAAAGAAATCTGGACGCTTTTGTTCGATCAGAAGCACTACGACGAGCTATCGACTTTTGAGCTGCAAGCGGCTATTTGCGCGGCTCTCAACTCGAAGCATCATTTGATTTTGTGCGTTGGCGTCGACGACTACAATTGCGTGACGGGCGTGGAGATGTCCGCTGTAGAACGCGTCGTTTTTCGGATGGCTTTGACGAGAGCCGTCGCCGGAGAATTTCAGCCGCCTCTTGTCAAGGTAAAATGCTGAAAATCTGTTAATTTCCATGTTTACCGTACATTTGTACATTATTACAGATTCCGCCGAAACAACAGACGGGCGTGTCGCCGATGAAACGTGACGTGTCCGAATTGACGCCGTCGATCGATGTGCTCTTTATTCCGGTGCTCGGAGTGCCGACGGCTCTCGGAGACTCCGCCGGGCTCACAAATCGCTTTCTGATCGTGGTCCGAGTCAAAGACATCACCGAAAAACTGTATCAACTGTCTTCCGGACGTATTTATGTGGAAAAGGAGGGTCGAGTCGTGGAAACGGCCAGTTTGAATGAGGTTCTTGCAATTTTTGCTAAATAAAACATGAGCAATTTCAGGCGTTTCACCATCTAATCACTGCGAAAAGTGCTCCGAAACCGACGATTGGCAGCTATTTCATGCGCGAGCCGGAGCCGTTCATCGAGGACGCCTACATTCCGCTCGACGAGTGCTCCGACGACGATGGCGAAGAAGAAGCGCCAGAAAAAGAGGCAGAAGCTGAAAAGTAGATATTTTAATCGAAGGTCGATAGAGATCCGCAATGTTTCAGCGCTCCGCTCACAATTTCCACCCCAATTTACTGGCAATTCAATCTGGAGCACTTTGGATGGCTTCTTTTCGGATCCGCCCTCGCGTTCACCATCTACCGCAACGGTCTCAAATTTCGTGTTTAATTTTCTGTACCATTTCCATCATGTTCTATTGTGTCAGACACATTTTTATTTGATTTTACGGCCTTTTTTCAAGTGAATAAGCAAAAACCCCGGAATGGGTCCTTTTTACCGCTTTCCCTCGGATTTTTGATGTTTTAATCAAAAAATTTGTTCCAGTTCAACGATATCATGGATTCGAAGGATCCAACGGAGCCAGATGACACAAACCCGATCCTGGATAGAAATGGATAGGTGTGGAAGGGCATGAATTGGATCGAACGGATATACGAGAAGTTGCGAGCGAAACAGATCCCTGAGGGACTGTGGGGCTGGCCGGAGCCGCCGATCGAAGAGGATTCGAATGAGGAAGATCAAGAAGAGGAAGAGATTGACGTGGCCGATTCGATTTCGAATGAATTATTCATCCGTAACCTCGCCTTCACGTGACATCTCGATAACCCTTATCACCGTTTGCTCATTTTTCCACCGGTATTGTTCAATTCAAAAGAGATCCAAACAAACCGAACGAAAGGAAATCGTGAATTCGTCTTTTTTTGGTTGTTCTGAGTAGAAGATGGTGGACAAAGGCATTCTACAGGAGAAGTACTATCATGGGCTGTTGCCACGCGAGGATATCCGAGTAAGCAAGCGCGAAATTTGAATCTAAGAGTTTTCCGCGTCAAAAACCATAAAAACGGCATTTTGCTGTGAAATTTTGCGCGCTCGAACATAAAACATTCTCATTTCGGAAAACCAAAAAGGTCGCAATGATAAAAGGTTGGAAAAAATGGCAAAAGATCGGAAAAAAGTGACAAAATGTCGGAAAAAATGCCAAAAGGTCAGAAAAACTGCTAACATACCTGTTTTCTGACTTTTTGTCACTTTTTTCCGACCTTTTGGCTTTCCGACCTTTTGTCACGGACTCTAAAATTTCCCGCCACATTTCGGTAGAGCGCATTTGCATACCCGTTTGCAGGACATGCTCAACAAGCCGGGAGAGTACCTGGTCCGTACGTCGGAGCCCACAAAAGGCGAGAAGCGTCAGTTTGTGTTGTCGGCAGTCGGCGCCGGACAAACATCGGTAGGCGGCGGCCGTAAAATTCCTAGGCCATCGTTCGATTTCAGCCGAATCACTTTGTGATCCGCGAGGCGGACCACAAAGTGTTTGTGGAGCAGAAGGGATTCGCGACGATCGTCGATCTCGTTGCCCATTACGTGAGCACAAAAGAGAAGATATCGACAAAGGACGGCAGGGTGCAGGTGACGTTGAAAGTGCCGATCGACCGGCAAAAGTGGGAACTGAACCACGAGGACGTGGTGTTGACGAAGAAGTTGGGCGAAGGCGCGTTCGGCGAGGTCTGGAAGGGCGAACTCGTCAAAGTGCTCGTCAAGGGACAGCCGGCGCCGGTGGCCGTGAAGACCGCGAAGTTGGAGGCGTTGACGAAGGAGCAGATCAAGGAGATTATGCGGGAAGCGCGCCTCATGCGCAATCTCAGTGTAAGAAAAAAAAACTTTAAAAAAAGGGGCGGAGTCTACTAAAGTTGTGTTTCAGCACGTGAACGTGGTCAAGTTTTACGGTGTGGCTGCGGGAACGGAGCCGCTCTACGTGATTATGGAGCTGGCGGACGGCGGAGCTCTCGACTCGGCGCTCGCCAAACTCAATTTTCCGATGGTGCGAAAGTACGAGCTGATCTATCAGGCCACTCTGGGCATCGCCTACATTCACGACAAGAATCTGATGCATCGAGACATCGCCGCACGTAACTGTTTGTACGGCGGAGGACAGGTGAGTCCAAAATGGGCGACGATTTGGACACGAGAACCGTGAGACGTTCAGGTCAAAATTGCGGATTTTGGGCTGTCACGCGAGGGTGTCTACTATAAGATGGATCTGAAGAAGAAGGTGCCCATTCGTTGGATCCCTCCGGAGACGATTCGGTCGGGTATTTACACGCCGAAGACTGACGTCTTCTCATTCGGAATCATGGCCTGGGAGATTACGGAGGACGGAAAGGAGCCGTATCCGGGCTTCAAAGTGGTCGAGGTGGCGATGAAGGTGCTGCAGGGCTACCGACAGGACTTTCGTTCGGATGTGAGCGCCGAGTTTGCCAACTTTATAAAGGAGCACACGTGGAACGAGAAGGCCAACGACCGGATGACGATGCGCGAGATTTCCAAGTGGATGAAGGTGTTCGTGAAGGGACAGGGCGGAGATCCGGGCAAGAGTGGAGTGAGTCCCGAGAAAGATGGAGGATCTTGAGACCCCCTCCTTTTCAGGTCATCTCGAACATATTCGCAAAGAAGGGAAAGCGCTCGAAGGAGAAGTTGGGCCGGACGGGGTCGAAAGCGTCGCAAACGACTTCGGGAACCACGGCCGCACAAACGCAGGGCGCCGTGACTTCGGCCAATCCGGGAGAGACGACGATGCCCGAATAGAAGAGAACTCGATGTTTGTGTGCGGGAACTGCACCTGAAAATGAATTTGTTTCACAAACAATAACGCTCTCACGTCGACCAAAAACGTAGAAAAGGGCGTGGGGCCTAGCGTGCACGGTTTATCACCATTTTGGCGCGAAATTCGAAATTTAACCCCATTTTTCATGTTTTTCGTCAAAAATCACCCAAATTTTGTACGATTTTGACGATGTAATTGCATAACTTTGTTAAACTAATCATCGCGCACTTTTTGAGCTTAAAACGAGCAGGTTTCATTCAGAGAATGAATCAATTCAATCGATTTTCAAGTTTTGTGCTGTAAATGCGCGAATTTCAGTCATTCGCCGATACTTTTTGCCGTTTGAACGCTTAAAATACTTGTATTAACGTGCTTAATCACTTCCGACACTCACTTCGTCTCAAAACTATCCAGATCCGCCGGTATGAAAATTCCGAAATTGCGGCGGCGATTGGCCGCGGAGAGCGTATTGCGAAATATGCCAAAAACGTCTCAAACGTGGCGTTTTCACGAAAATTTCAATGTTTTCTCTCTTTCTTTGTCTTCTTTCGTCGATATCAAACACAAAAATATCGGAAAAGTGCTGGAATTGCGGCAATTTTCAGAAAACACGTCTCAGATTAGGCCACGCCCCTTTCTACACTTTTCGTCGCCGTGCGCTCTATCAGTGTCGATGAAACGTTCGGCTTTCGTTGTCGTTTCTAACTATGACTCACCTTCTTTCATGTTTTCAAAAGAATTTCCACGCAAATGCAATCACAAAAGGTTCTATTGGTTCCCATTTCCTTACTAGGGAATGGCCTGCACTTACCTTGGGCTTTTGGAATGGGACCTATATGATTCGAAAGAGAATTTCACGGAGAATCCGAATCTGCTCTCCATTTTTGCTAAAGAGCACTGGCTGGCGAGAAAATCGCATCTGAAGTTCCAGTGCTAAATTCATTTTTTAACATGTAATCTGCAGTTTGGTGCAGAGGGTGTGGGCGCCCGAGCGACTGTTGTTGTCACTCGCCCAGTTTCAGTGCTTCCGCAGCAGCTGGATGGTCGAATGGTTAGTGAGTTAGAGTTGTGAGTGGTAGGTATGGGGTTCGTGTCCGCGCTATGGAAAAGTTTTTGCCAATCTTTTGCTCTTTTTTTTCGAACAATTTCTGGATATCACTTTTGCATTTTTTTGTCATTATTTTTTTTACGAGTCGTAATTACTGACCCTTCAAAGTCCCGAAAAATGAATCTCATCGCTCTGACCCCAGCTCTTGTCGCTCTAGGAAAACAGTTCATAACTCGAAAACTAATTTTTTAAAAAATAGATGATCAACTGCAAAGTTATTCACGAGATAATTTGCGTTAACTTACTAGTTGACCACTTTTGCAACGGACGCGTGGTTCTTGAGATACACGTCGCCGAAGATGAACTTGCTAGAAAATGAGGCAGAAACAGGCAGAAAAAAGTGAGTACTTTCGTTGTCGTTTCTAACTATGACTCACCTTCTTTCATGTTTTCAAAAGAATTTCCACACAAATGCAATCACAAAAGGTTCTATTGGTTCCCATTTCCTTAGCAAAAATTCCGTATAAAAGAACAACGATTCCTTTCAAATTGTTCTTTTCTCGCACGCGGAAAAAAAATAAACATATTTTCAGAATGTCCATCCGTATTCGCAACTACGATCATTACATGGAGCTTTTCGAGGAGAAGAAATCGCAGCCGATCATTCTGTACTTCACCGCCGCCTGGTAATTCTCCTATTTTAGTGTTCATCCAAACTTTAACATTTTCAGGTGCGGTCCGTGTCAGGAAATCCGGCCCGCAGTGGAAACCCTAGCGGCCGAGCATCACGAGCAATTATCGTTCTTCAAAGTGGACATAGAAGAGAACGAGCAGTTGTTCGACGAGTTCGAGCTCAACTTCGTCCCCACTTTCGTGTTGCTCATCGACGGACAAAAGAAGGAAGCGGTCGGCGGAGCCGATTTGGATAAATTGAGAGATCTTGTGAGGGCTGCGCTCAACTAAATTGCATTTGACTTGTATGGATCCGGGATCCGCAAAAAGATCCGCATTCCTCATTCCGCGAGACGTAAAAGTTCACTTCTCTGGTACGCATTACATTCAAAGTTGCCTATTCAATAAAAATTCTTGTCTTTCAAGTTTTGCAGTTGCAAGTTGTCAATTGGTTCTAATTCTCCGAAATTTCCTAAAATTTTTGTTGGAATGTGTTCCGCCACTCTATATTAGTTCGCTCTCAACCTTTTTGTTCGAAAATTTTCGGTACATGCCGAGTAACAGCCCTTCAAAGTTGCCCTGTTTTCTCCCCGATCGGCGCGGCGGCTAGCAGGGGGCGTGGCCTCGCTTGCAAGTTTGCCGCACGCGCGCGTTTCTCCGCTGTTCTTGGCGGAAGCGAAATTCAGTGAGATTCTGGAGAGTTTCAGTTCGGTTTTCCCCGTCTTTCGATGATTTTTTGTGTTTAACAGGTAATTTGAGGTAGAAGTAAGTTTTAAAAGTTGTTTTTTGTGCTAACATGTTGTTTTTTTCCAGAAAAACTGCCAACGGAACCAGAAAAACGCAATCAATAGACAAGTTAGCTGGAGTCACCGGTTTTCCGTGAGAAATCGTTTCGGTCGTCTAGAAATTGAAAAGATCTGCAAAAAATGAATTTCGAACGTGAAAACATAAAATTCCGATTGATTTTTCACGGGAAAGCGAGTATTCTCACCAGTAACGATGGCCAATGCTAGAAGATAATTGAATACTGATCTCGGTGCCGACTCCTTCGAACTGCCGACACATGACACTAATAGAAACGATCAGACGCCGACTTCAAGGCATTTTTACATCTTTCTCTCTCGTCTCACTCCCCCAACCAACTTTTTTTGTTGAAGACACACACACACACACATTTGCCCTCGATACTCGCCGAGATTCGGCTGAACCCATTCGTTTCGAAACTTTCAAAAACAATACTTCATTGTGCCAACTTTCCTGAAGTATAGACACGATTTTGGAAAAGTTTATGACTCACATCTTTTCATGTATTCAAAAAACATCAGCAACGCAATCATCTATCGGGCAACAACACAAAAAACACTTTGTCGTCGCCGCCTCTTTCCTTTTTAGAAGTTTCGTATAAAAGATGCGTTGTTTCTTCCGAACAACATGTTATCCATTCGCACGCACACTTTCCTTCTGCTTCTTGTATTTCTGCCCGCAAGAATAACTTTAAAGTCCCATTTCCAAAATCGTTTCAGAATGACCGTCCGTATTGAGAACTACGATCAGTACAAGGAGGTTTTCGAGGAGAAGAAGTCGCAGCCGATCATTTTGTTCTTCAGTTGCCAAAGGCAGTTCCCTCAAACCCTTTCCAGGAAGTCGCACAAACGGGTGCAAAGACGCTCTATGGGACACGCGTGAACTTTGAGCTGCGTGGCATTTTGAAGACTGAGTCTGCTTTTGGTTAGTTCTGGTTTTGTACGTTTGCTTGTGAGAGACACTCTTTTTGGTGTTCTTTCTGTACTTTTCTTTGTTGATTCGTTTCTTTCGTTGCTCCTCAAGCAATAAACCTTTGTTTGATAATCTCTCGCGTTGTTTCTTGTGTTTTCTTGTATTGGACCCGACACCCCTTTTTATAAGCGGGCAACTTGGGGGCCGAACCGGTTTTTTTGATTGTTTGCTCGTGTTTTTTCGTGCCAACGAGCAATAGTTCGAAGAACATTGCTCAGGCGCGAAGAGATCAACGCGAAAAATCGATAACCTCGTGCGATTGAACGATCCGCGAGAGCAACAGGAGACAGGCCCGAAGAGATCAACGCGAAAAATCGATAACCTCGTGCGATCGAACGATCCGCGAGAGCAACAGGAGACAGGCCCGAAGAGATCAACGCGAAAAATCGATAACCTCGTGCGATCGAACGATCCGCGAGAGCAACAGGAAAACGCAAACTTTTGAACGAAAGTTTGCAGAGGAAATGCCGAGCACGTACAACACGGAGCCGAGCGACCGGATGGAAGTGGAGGAGGTGAAGGCGACGGATTCGGAGAAGTGGAAGCTTCCGAGGGAAGTCGACGAAGGAGAGTCGAGCGTGAATCGCGGAACTCGGACGGAGGAATGGCTGACGGATTGGAACGAAGTCAGCTGGAAGGAAAGAAGGAGCAGGACGAGAAGGTTCGGTCGGGTGGTCAGAGACGTTGAAGCGGTAGAGGCAGAGACGAGAAAGAGACTGCGGGATATGCCAAACGTCTCAGACCGGGAGAGAGAGTTTATCGCGGAGCCGATGAACGCGTTTTCGCGGGAACTCCAGAAACGATTCGAGGAAATCGGGGAGAACAAGTGGCAGCGGGAAGTGATGCGAGTGATGGAGTCGGCGCAGTTAGAGACCGTCGAGCAGTTGCAAGAATTAGTCACGAGTGGGGAGGCACGGGAAAGTGATGAAAGCAAATGGCGGAGAAGCGCGAAGAACTCATCGGAGTACAGGAAACTGAGAGAAGAATATGGCATTTTGCAGGCAGAAATGGCCGCGGAGACGGACAAGCTGAGCAAGGCCATCGATCGGTTGGAAACGGAGAAGGAGGCGTTGCGAAGACGCTTGGAGAAGGCCGAGAAGGCGGTGAAAGCCGAGAGGAAAACGGCGGAGCAGACGAAAGCCGACCTTCTGGGATGCCAGGGTAGGCTGGACGAACTGCTGAACAGGAAACCACAGTCGATGCAGGTGCGCTCGCGGAGGCGAGGCGAACGACCGAGAGGTTCGAGGGAGTCATCGACGACAACATCAAAAGGTCTGGAAAGCCGACGAGGTACGGGGCGGAAGATAGACGGAAGCGTGGACTGGCGCGAGGAAGTCGCAGGATGGGAGGTCGGAGACGAAAGAGAGAGCGGGAGAAGCAGGTCGGGGTCCAGGGACGAAGTAAGAGACATGGTCCTCTGCATGAGTCGGATGATGAAGGTATCAGCCCTACCGGAGCCTAACCAGTTCGACGGGACGGGTGATCTGGGAGAATTCAAACGAGCCTTTCTCCTCAAATACAATCATGTGGTGGAGGATGACGAAGAGCTGATCACCATCTTGGAGGACAGATTCCTGAAGGGACCAGCGAAATCACTGTTCAAGACGCTGCAAGGACGATTCTGCCGACCGGTGAAGGAGCTGTTCGAGGAGTTCGAGAGGAAACTGAGGAAGCGCCAGGGAGACCGCAAGACGGAGGCGCTGAACGAGTTCGACGATCTGAGCAGGAAGCCAGGTCAGATGATGTGGGAGTTCTTGGTGGACGTGGAGAAGTGGTCGAGGGAAGCGTACCCGGAGGTGGGAGAGGAAACTCTGTCGCAGATGCGCACCACGAAGCTCATGAAAGCCGTCCGAGAGGACGAAACTCTGCACAAGTTGTTGATCATGCGGAGACTGGAAATACCGTTAAGAGAACAGTACGAACAGTTGAAAGACGTCGTCCTCCAGCAGGAGAACGAGAGATGCAGGGACAACAGGCAGAGGATGAGCGGGTGGAAAGGGAAGGAAGACGGATCGAGGATGATCACGGAGAATGCGAGTCAACAGCATTCGGAGAATGGAGTAGAAGACGTGAAACCGAACGAAGAGAGCAGAGCAGAAGAGAACAATGTGAGGTGTTTTCGCTGTGGAGGTGTTGGCCACGTGGCTAATTACTGCACTTCAAAACCGGTCATGTACGTTGGGTGCAGAGGAAATGGGACAGCAGAAGGTGTGATGAAGGAGGCCGTCGAGACGATCAGGGTGTTGGGTCAAGCACGGAGGATAATCATCGACAGCGGAGCAGTCGTATCTGTCATTTCGACGCGAGCGTGGGAACGTCTCAAGAAGGGATGCAGAGGTTGGGAGAAAGAAGTGAAAGTGTTGGAGAAACCAAGCTTTTCGCTCGTGAATGTGGAGAAGAAGAAGATGCCTGTAGAAAAGCAGTTGCAGCTGCTGCTTGAGATCAGAGGAAGGAAGTCGAAAGTCTTGTTCCAACTGGTGCGAAGCGAGGCGGAGATCTTGTTGCTCGGAACGAATGCATTCAAGAGTGTGGGAGTGGAGTTGAAATGGCGAGCAGAGGAGGCCGGGAAGCATGAAGCGAAGCTGGGGAAACGAGCTGCGCGTCTGAATAAAATCAGGGAATATCACGTTGGAAACGGAAATTCTGGCAGAGAGCGGAACCGGGATAGAGTCGATCGTGACGGAGGGTCGCGCGTGATTGTGGACAAGGTGTCGCACAAATCGCTCGGGACGCTGGCCACCGGACAACTATCGACTGCGGAAAAGCTGGAGAAGGAGAAGGAGATAGGAGGGAGACGGGAACCGAAGAAGACGGTCGTGCGCGAAGCAGATCTGGTGATCGGACCTCGTCTCAAGTTCAGTTCGCCGGCTTACTTCGACATCAAAGCGAAGGCCGACGTGGCGTGGACGGAGAAATACGATTGGAAGGGCGTCGAGAAGGTGGTCATGCTGGCGAAATGGACGGTCGATCCCACCGAGAACAAGAATCGGGCGGAAATCATCGAGTCAATCGCCAAAGACGTCAAGGAGCTGATCGTGGTGCCAATTCGGATGGCATGCAAGTTCAACGAAGTCGGAGGGATAACGGAGTGGTGGAAAAAGAGGATGCGAACAAGTACGAACGTACGGTTCGTCGACCCGCAGACGCCCGTTGGACCAAAACAACTGCCGATGGTTGTGGTCATCCCGGAGAAGTTCGACTCGGCGGAGATGATGGGTGGATACCTCGATTCACTCATTCCGAGGAATGCGGCGGTGGAGAAACTGATGGTTGGCCGGAAGTTGGAGGTGGCCAAGAGAGCGAATCGATCGACATAACGTATGCGATCATCATATTGTTTTCGTTCTTTTAGCATTCTAGGATCTTTTAGGTATTATTTGGTAATGTGGTAGTTTGTCTGTAAGTCCGTAGCAGAGGGACACGTGTGTCGGGAGCAGACTGTCAGTCGCCCATGTGCTCGTACTTCAGCCGGCCCGGGGTCCGGCTTTTGTCCACGGGGGGGAAGTTGCCAAAGGCAGTTCCCTCAAACCCTTTCCAGGAAGTCGCACAAACGGGTGCAAAGACGCTCTATGGGACACGCGTGAACTTTGAGCTGCGTGGCATTTTGAAGACTGAGTCTGCTTTTGGTTAGTTCTGGTTTTGTACGTTTGCTTGTGAGAGACACTCTTTTTGGTGTTCTTTCTGTACTTTTCTTTGTTGATTCGTTTCTTTCGTTGCTCCTCAAGCAATAAACCTTTGTTTGATAATCTCTCGCGTTGTTTCTTGTGTTTTCTTGTATTGGACCCGACACCCCTTTTTATAAGCGGGCAACTCTTCACCGCCTCCTGGTAATCAGTCAATCATAGTTTTCCCGCCTAATTCAGATATTTTCAGGTGCGGACCGTGTCAGCACATCTATCCCGAGGTCGAAACCCAATCGGCCGAGTATTGCGACCAACTGACATTCTTCAAAATCGACGTGGACGATAACGAACAATTGGTCGAGGAGTTCGGCATCGGCTCGATGCCCACTTTCGTGCTGCTCATCGACGGACAAAAGAGGGAACAGTTCAGCGGAGCGAATGTGGAAAAGTTGAGAGACCTCGTTCAGAAAGCAATCAACTGACTTGCACTCGGTTTGTATGCAATGCCCATAGTTTCATCTCAATGAACATTATGTGTCTTAACTGTTGATACCTTTTCAAAACGTTTTGCAATTGCTAGACAGCTCTTTTAGTCAAAGAAAGCGAGAGAGAGTGAGAGACAAAAAAACTGACTTTTGGTTCATAAACATGTTGTTTGTGTTCTCTTATCAGTCTTCAATAAATTTCTTATCTTCTTCTGTTCTGTGATAAGGTTTAGTTGATAGTCAGTCTCACAGTTTTCAATGATCAGTTTTCACAGTACCAAAGGCCGAGGCAACTCGAAAATTAAAAGTGCAAGCTGTGATTTGGGGAGTGTACGAGGCAGCATAACATCCATTACAGCTAATAAAAAAAATGATCAGAAACCTTTGTGAACTCTAATAATAATCAAACAAATTAAGGAATTGACATTCGGAAGTGTGACTGGGCGATTCGATCGTGACCAGATCCTTGGAGCGAACATAGACGCACACAGTTTTTCCGTCGTCACTCGGATGGAGCATGTGATCGTACCAATCTCCCTCGTAAATCGTGTCCATCGCGTCGACACTCAACACTTTTCCGTCGAATTTGAACGTCAGCTCGTTTTCCTCTGCAATCACACTCTTTAGCTGATAATATGGGCGTGGCCTCGGCCAAACGGTGTTTTCATAAATTGAGCAGGTTTTCTCTGATTTTTGCGGTCAACGGCGATGAAAAATGATTGCGCGACATGAAAACACACTAATTCTCAGAATTAATGACGTTTTGGCGCATTTTTCGCCGACTTTGCTTTTTCGCCTTCGCCGCCTCAAAACCACACTTTTCATTTTGCGCTTTCTTGACCGTTTTCCGACAGAATTGGTTTTGAGAATGATAAATCACGTAAATACAAGCATCTTGAGCGCTCAAACCGCGAAAACTACCGAAAAGCAACTTAAATTCACGCAGTTTTAGCCAAAAACCTTCAAACGGATAAATGTGATGTGCGACTTGACCAAATTTGACGCTCTTGCGCTTAAAAAATGCGCAATAACCTCTACAATCGGTCTATCGAGAGAAAAATGAGAAATTATCGATTTTTCGTGGCTAAACTGGCAAAAAACACAAAAATTTGGCGGTTAAAATTTGAATTTCGCGCCAATCGCTCTATTGGGCGGGGGGCGCACTTGCGCGCCCATTGTCAGCTCTGAGGGAGACCGTGTTTAATACAAAAACGGTAACCAAAATTGAAAGTACCTTTGACTTCTTTCATCCGCAGGCCAGCAACTTTCCACGTGTCACCGCCTGTGGTGAAGACGCCCGTCCAAAAAGTGATCGAATCGAACACCTCCACTTCTCCGCCTGGCTTCAACATTTTCCAGCCCGAGTCATCGTATCCTTGGTCCGTATAATGGTGACGTACACGAACTTTATAATAATAGTCGGATTTGTTGTAGAGCCACACGCTCGCGTGATTTTCGTAGCTCATGGCACGACTTGTCTGACTTTAGCAAGCACTCCTTTTGTGTGGTGGGCCAAAATTGGATTGGAAAGTAACAAAGTGATAAACAGACTCGTAAACGAGTTTCGGCTCCGCCCAATTTGATACAGACATAAAAAGTGAACCAAACATCAAAAGTTTCAAACGAAATGAGTACCGAGCGTCACACAAGTGTCTGGGTCGGCAATCCGACCGACTATTATTTCCAAGTACGCGCCAAGCACATGTACACTTCCGATGGGACCGTCGATTCGGGCTGGACGATTCTGAAGCCACGTGGCAAGTGCCAAGTGTTCGAGAGCATCAATTTCTGGACGGGACCACTGGCTTGGGGCCAGGATTACTGGAAGCTGATCGTCGTGAAATTGGTCGAGACTGGTGGTGAGTTGATTTTCATGTAGCTCAGCTGTTTGTAGAGCTATCAAAAAGTGGTCAACTAGAAAAATGTTCACAACGGCTTAATGAACATTTTATCAGTTGACAACTATTTGATATCTCTACCAGCAACTGAGATATAACGTCTTGAAAAAGTTGTGGATGGAGTAACTTTTTACTTTCAGACGGCGATGAATCCAACTATGTGGTGGATGGAAAGCAGCTCCGTATCGATTCGGCGTACATGACCCAAAACGGGAAATGGTTCGATCTCGCGTTGTCGCCGCCCGACGAAGGACGTCCGATGACGATCAATCTGGAGTTTCCGAATGCGATCTACGATATCGCGGCTACGAAATATTTCAATGTTCTTTCCGAGTACTGACTAATAAACACATTCATTGCTTCTTTTTTTTTTTACAAATCAGCACGTCTAAACAAATGAACAGTAGTTTTTCCGGCACTTTTGATCGAAATAATCGGAAAGTTGGCGGCGATTTCAATGGTTTCCTCGTTGTCCGCGTCGACCAACGTGTGCTCAAACCAGTTGTTCTTGTCCGGTACGAATAGTTCTTCGACCACAAGACGCCGGCCGTCAAACGTGATTGCCAACGGGTCCGCCGCTGAAAAGTTCTCATTCTCCAGAGCTTACAATGGGCGCGCAAGTGCGCCCCGCCGAATAGAGCGATAAATTGGCGCGAAATTCAAATTTTAACAGCGAAATTTGTGTTTTTTGCCAGATTAGCTACGAAAAATCGATAATTTCTCATTTGTCTCTCGATAGACCAATTGTATAGGCCATTACGAATTTTTTAAGCAAAAGACACGGTCTCCCAGGGCGCTAATGCTAAACACAGTGCGCTCGGAAATTGCGGAGTGTCGTTGTAACTTTTGAAATGTTGCAGGTCTGAAAATGCAGTTCAATTCGAGATTACGACCTTTTTTTGTTTCTTTTTGACTTGAAAAACGTCAAGAAAACAAAATTTTATTGATTGGAAACCGTTCTTTACAGAATTTAGAGTTTTTCATGTTTTTAGCGTCTTTCTTGCATTTCGTCAAAACTTCAAACCTTTATATTTCAGCTCATTTTGCATTTCATGAGCGCAACGAACAATAAAGATGTTCGCTGAATCTTTCTTTACAAAATTCAGGTTTCGGCGATTGGTTTTCTTGAGCAGTTTTCAAAAACTATTCGAAAAACATCAAAATCCAGGCCAAAACCTTCAAATCGAAATAACTCGGCTAATTCTCAACGATATGCGAGATTTCTGTTACCAAAACGTAGCAAGTGCTCTAATTATTCGACGCCAGGTTTCAGGCGTACAAAAAATAGGTGTATTGTACAGAAAACATGGAAAGAACGCGAACTCCCTTTGAAAATTAATTAATCGGCCGCCGCGTAAATCGACACAGCCCGCCTGTTGCAAGTGCGCCCCATTGAAATCATTCGCACCGTGGGAGACCGTGCAAGAGCGTTAAATTTGGTCAAGTCGCAAATCACATTTATCCGTTTGAAGGTTTTTCGCTAAAACTGAGTGAATTTCAGTTTCTTTTCGGTAGTTTTCGCGGTTTGAGCGCTCAAAATGCTTGTATTTACGTGATTTATCATTCTCAAAACCAATTATGTCGGAAAACGGTCAAGAAAGCGCAAAATGAGAAGTGCGGTTTTGAGGCGGCGATCGGCGACGAATGCGAAAAAGTAAAGTCCGCCGAAAAATGCGCCAAAACGTCATTAATTCTGAGAATTAGTGTGTTTTCATGTCGCACAATCATTTATCATCGTCGTTGAGCACAAAAATCAGAGAAAACCGGCTCAATTCATGAAAACGCCATTCGGTCGCCGAGGCCACGCCCATATTGTCAGCTCTGGAGACCGTGGCGCTCCTTCATTTATTTCGCAAATTTTGTGTAGAGAAGGACTGTAATATTCGAGGTTTGCGAATGCGGAAAGATAATGGGGCTATTCAGCGCATGTTTGTTTTCCGTTTTTTTCGTTTTTTTACGTCGCTGAATTGGATTTTTTGACGTAAAAAAACTGAAAAAAAACGGAAAAAATCATTTTTTCACAACCTGAATAACCCCATAATAGAGCTACGCGTAGTATGTTGGTCCTGACAGGCAACTCACGGTCCTCAGCAATTTGATACTTGATGGCATGGAGTCGAAACTCGCACGTGGGACTGGTGACACCGGTGGGAAACGTGATCTCGACGGGTGTTCCGTCGTGTTCCGGCTTGATCATCTGCCAGCCGCTCGATTGGTTTGCCACGCCCGTCAGTCGGTACAGGGCTCGCAACATGAAGAACTGGTTCGTCGTCTCGTTTTTCACAATCAACTTGGCACTACGGGCGGTGCTCATGGTTGACGGACGGGCAATCTCGAGAACTGACCGATTTTTCGATAAGAATTACCTTTTATACATGTAAACACAAAGTGAATTGACTTTTGATTCTTTCGACGAGAATGTGTGTTGTGCACATTTCAGGCATTCGATAATATAGTAAACATTCGTGCTTGACAGTAGTATAAGGATACAGAATTTACATAGGGTAGAGGTTATGAGAGACGCAGACAATTTTGTATAATGGAGATGCAGAGCAGAGATGTTGGGAATAAACATTTTACTCTACGGAACACGGAACACGGAAAACGGAAATTTTTTTTTTACGGAACACGGAAAACGGAAAAAAACTTATTTCTACGGAACACGGAACACGGAACACGGAAATTTTTTTTTACGGAACACGGAACACGGAAATCTTTTTTTTACGGAACACGGAACACGGAAAAAATATTGAAAAAAACGCGGAACACGGAACACGGAACACGGAACACGGAACACGGAATTCCCAACATCTCTGATGCAGAGGCAAAACTGTGCACCGAAAAATAGCAACCCACATGGTATAGACGCAGAGATTTTTTTTTCAGTGAAACTTTTCTCGAAAACACAATTTATTACACTATTCAAATTACAGTATCAATGATGGGATTACGTTGATAGTCCAGCGCCAAAATTTGATCAAATTCAGCATTATATGTCCATAATTTCCGACTCATCAATTCAAGAATCAAAACTGCTCGGGTATCCTTCCCAGCGCACCAATAATTGCGTTTTCCCTTTGTGTGTCCGACGTCCCTACAATTTTTTCAATACGAAACATTGCTTCTCCTTCATAAGTTCGTAATAGTAGAATTTTCCGGCAATCGGTTCACCGTTTCCATCGGCCAAGTGATATGTTTTGGGTTTGGTGTTCAAAATCTCGATAATCACAAAAACTTCCTCTGTCCATCCTTGTTCATAACCCTTATCAAAATGACCACGGTATGGGTACAGGGCATTTTTTTAAAATTGGCATAAACCCTTGACGGTTATGGGTAGAAAACGTTGACGTGTGGAAAACGTTGACAACATCCCCAATGGACACATCAAAACACGAACAAAATCGCTGAAACTGGTCACTAGATCGCTTTCCTTTTATTGATAAGAACGGTAATTGCATCAGCCCCTGATACCAAACCAGGACAGAGATCACGACGAGGAAAAATGGTTCCGAATTACAAAAATTTATTGATTGCAGAATGCATTTAAAGAATACAGTCTTAGGATGACATCATCTAAATGTAAGCACAACGAGACGAGACAGTCTACAAATCGGCGCGCTTGAAGAGGTGAGTGGTCGTCGATCCGTTGGAGATGATCTTGATCTGCGGGAACGCGCCGACCACCTGGATCGTGCCGTTGTTGTCGCCGTCGGCGAGGTTGTGCTGCAGCCACTGGTTCTTGTCCGGAATGAACACTTCCTCGACGGTCAGCCTCTGTCCGTCGAACGAGATCGCCAGTGGGTCTTGCTCTGAAATGCGAACACTCTGAAGATGTTGGCGACGACGACGGTGCTCGAGAACTCACGGTCCTTGGCGAGGGTGTACTTGATTCCCTGCAGACGCCACTCGCAGTTGATGCCCTGCAGTCCGGTGTAGAAGACGATTTTGGCGGCGGTGCTCGTGCCCTGCGGCTTCACCATCTGCCATCCCGTCGACTCGTTCACGACGCCTTCGAGCTTGAACAGCGCCCGGTACGCAAAGTACGTGTTGATGCTGTCGTTCTTGATCACAACCGAGGCACTGCGTTCTTGACTCATGGTTGATTGATTGAGAGGGAGAGAGAGAGAGAGCTGATGCCTTCCTGGAGCACCACTTTCACACAGCTCCTTTTATACTGAAGATCTAACAAGGGGCGGTGCTGTTTACGGGAAAAAGAGCCAAACTTCAACTCCACGCCGAGCCCCTAGTCGATTCGATTCATTTGTTGTTGTCTGCCACGAAACTGCTTCGAAGTTTGGTCGGAGATAAGAAGACGCTTATCGCGGTCAGCTAGGAAAGAAGACAACAATAGTTTCGGCTAGACGAGGAAGCACATTTTGAAGAAGCAGAGCCGGACGGTATAGGGATCTTTGAGCCGAGGTCGTAACTAAACCTGGGACCACATAACTTGGGATCGGTCAGCTCTGAAAGTTATGCACCCGGTTCTATAGAAGACAAATGTTTTGCAAAAACTAGCTTGTACATTCAAGCTCCATATTTTCGTGCACATTTCACTTGCAAACCAAAACGGCCACCCCGTTTTGCTGTGCCTCAATAATAGTGTTCCGTACTTGGTGTGTTTGGTGACAATGCGTCTTGAATCATCAAAAACCGAATTGATTTTGACCCTAAAATAGAAAGTTCAGCACATTCCTGGCTGCGACCAAACTTTGAAAGTTTTAGAAGTAATAAACTTGTTATCATTGCGTTTCGCACAATGTCGACGTGGAACTCGAGCCGCCGAAACTGTTTACGGTTAATTTTTGTGACCATGTCTTTGAAATGAATTGAATCGACTAAAACACGACGTGCAATTGGAATTTGGCTCTTTTTCCCGTAAACAGCACCGCCCCTTGTTAGATCTTCAGTATAAAAGGAGCTGTGTGAAAGTGGTGCTCCAGGAAAGCATCAGCTCCCTCTCAATCAATCAATCAACCATGAGTCAAGAACGCAGTGCCTCGGTTGTGATCAAGAACGACAGCATCAACACGTACTTTGCGTACCGGGCGCTGTTCAAGCTCGAAGGCGTCGTGAACGAGTCGACGGGATGGCAGATGGTGAAGCCGCAAGGCACGAGCACCGCCGCCAAAATCGTCTTCTACACCGGACTGCAGGGCATCAACTGCGAGTGGCGTCTGCAGGGAATCAAGTACACCCTCGCCAAGGACCGTGAGTTCTCGAGCGCACCGTCGTCGTCGCCAACATCTTGAGAGTGTTCGCATTTCAGAGCAAGACCCACTGGCGATCTCGTTCGACGGACAGAGGCTGACCGTCGAGGAAGTGTTCATTCCGGACAAGAACCAGTGGCTGCAGCACAACCTCGCCGACGGCGACAACAACGGCACGATCCAGGTGGTCGGCGCGTTCCCGCAGATCAAGATCATCTCCAACGGAGCCACGACCACTCACCTCTTCAAGCGCGCCGATTTGTAGACTGTCTCGTCTCGTTGTGCTTAAATTTAGATGTGATATGTGATCCTAAGATTGTATTCTTTAAATGCATTCTGCAATCAATAAATTTTTGTAATTCGCAACCATTTTTCCTCGTCGTGATCTCTGTCCTGGTTTGGTATCAGTGGCTGATGCAATTACCGTTCTTATCAATAGCGACCAGTTTCATCGTTTTTGTTCGTGTTTTGATGTGTCCTTTGTGGATGTTGTCAACGTTTTCCACAAAGAACCGGAGCTTGATTGGCTTTTCAGAGATGAAACGAGGCGAGCGATAAGAGTCTTCAAAGTAAACACCATCGAGATTGAAAAGATTACGAACAACACTGTGACGCGGTGATCTTTGGACTAGGGGCTCTATAAAAGAATCGGAACGAGTTGAAGATAAGACACAATCAGCAGAACCTTCAGTCGAAATGTCGGGTGAGTTAATCGACAGTACACTGTGCTTCATTTCCTCTTTCAGACGACGTGAACGCAGTCATTTCGATCGTCGACGCCAGTCTCGCGGACGGACTCTTCGATGCCGCCAAAATTTCCGAAGGACTCGAGGCGATTGTTCAATTGGGAGCTGTCGTGAAGGGCTACAATCCGGACGAGCCGATCGCAGAGTTGGCCGATTTGAAAGGAAAACTTGAAGAGGTAATAATGGACGTTGTACACGATTGAAAACGTTTTGATAGTTGTCCGGAAAGTTGACCGAGCATCTCAACGAACTGACCGCACTTATTGGAGGCGATGAGGGTTTTTACAAGGTGAGCGCTCACGGCGAGTGGCAAAGAATAGTGAGAAAAGCGTGCAGACGTTGACGGAAACACTCACTAACTTGCTGACGGTTGTGGCTGAAAGTGTGGGCGAGCCCGACGACGACAAGAAAGGAAGTGTGGAAGGCGCAGTCAACGAAAACCCTCCATTGGAGTATGGATACGTAAGTGACTACACGGAACCCCCCAGGCATTCCAATGCGCAAGCGAGTTGTCAATGGGGCGCGCTTGCATCCACCGTCGACTCGCAGTTTCTTTTTTCAATTCAAAACCAGAATTCGTTCGTTTTTCTCTTAATAAACACTCCAATTTTGTTCATTGCGAACCGTAGGGCGATTGTCTGAGTTAAAAGCATCGATTTAAAGGTGGTGTCCAACGTGACATATTCTTAAAATTAACTTCGAAGTGGGGCCTTCACTTTCCCGAAGTCCCGAATTACGAAAAAAATTCCCCGATTTTTAAGATTTTTTTCAAAAAAGTTAATGGTACCGAGAGAAGTACACGGCGAAATGGAAGAGCTGGCCTAGATTTGCAATATTTAAAAAAAATTTATGATTTTTTCTGTGCCGTGACGCCAAAAAAATCGATAATCTAAAACTTTTTTTGTTGTTTTTCCGGGTTTTTCGCTCAATCTTCGGTTTGCGCGCTGAAAAATAAATAGAAAGAGATGGCTCAATCATTTCCTGAGTCTAAATTAAAGTTTGCGAGTTACAGAAAGTTTTTTTTTTCAAAGTAATGCGAAAAATCCAAAACTTTCTATTTTCAGTTTTACAAAAAGTGGCTGAATTTCTGAATTTTGAAAGTTTCAGATTATCGATTTTTTTGGCGTCACGGCACAGAAAAAATCATAAATTTTTTTAAATATTGCAAATAAGTGTGTAAATATTGCAAATAAGTGTGTGTTATTGAAAATTTAAGAAAATTGCACGAAAACGGAAAAAAATCGGAAGAAAGGGGAATTCCATCCGGGGACTAGAAAAATCTGGGCCAGCTCTTCCATTTCGCCGTGTAGTTCTTCTCTCGGTACCATTAACTTTTTTGAAAAAAATCTTAAAAATCGGGGAATTTTTTTCGTAATTCGGGACTTCGGGAAAGTGAATGGCCCACTTTGAAGTTTATTTTAAAAATATGTTGTATGTCACGTTGGACACCACCTTTAAGCGCTCAACCGTCGAAAAATGTACAGAATTGAGATAATTTAGGCAAATTTTCGATTCCGAAAGGAAAAAATTCTGTAATTTTCACATAAAACGTTTCGAAATTGATGACGAAGCGGTTAAAATTTCATTCATTTTTTATTCATTTCTAATCATTATTATAAGTTTTGACACTGATTGGTTCTGAAAAGATGGGGATAATGCAAAAAAATGGGAAAATTGAAATGAGAAACTCTACAACAACGACGCTCCAGAATTACGCATTACGCGCCTTGTTTAGCGCACGTGAATTGCGTGCCAACGGAATTTTTGATTGGAAGGCTGGCGTCTTTTGCTTTGACTAAACACTTGTTTCCATTTATAGAAGCTGCAAAGTGTACTGGGACAAGATTCCGGAAATCCAATCAAGATTGCATGGAATCAAGATCCACAAGAGTCGACTGTCCTGCACTGGAAGACAATTTTGGGCAGTGTTTTCGGCCAACTGGTCAGTTATCGATTGAATTTTTCGGCAACAACTGATACTAGCCATTTTTGCAGTTGTTCATCGAAGCCTACGTGAGCGGTTTGCTGCGCAATGGAGATTTGTACGGAGCGGAGGAACTCAAGTTGCTTGTTACCGGATTTGACGAAGATGTTGAGAAGTGGAAGAAAGAATTGGAGCCTGAAAGCTGAAAGTGTTTTTGATTTTTTCAAATCGCTCGCTGTTTATTTTTCAAACAAATAAAACTGTTATTCTCAATGATAGAAAACTTTTGAAACCTGGGAACTAACGCTCAAAAGCAGCTCCGTCGCTTGTTAGATTCTCAGAACCGTTAGACAGTTCACGTGTTCATTTTCTGATTTCTTCGTCACAACTATTTTCGCAACAAGTTTGAACATAGACTAATTGAGGAAACACGTGTCAAGAGTTCCTAATTTTGAGCCAAGGCAAACACGAAACAGCTTCGAAGTTTTCGTGTAATAAGAAAAGTATCATACGCCGAGGAGTCAAAATTTGGCTACTTGAGTGGTCTCATGTCGGGTATACTCCTTGTGAGCAAACCATTTTATTCAGTAACTTAAGGTGGATAGAAAATTAGAGAGAGAGAGAGAAAAAGAAAAAGATAGTCATACAAAGTACTGTAAAAGTGACGGTGTAAGTCTTATGGGCATGCGGCAAGCAAGTAGAACGTTCTGTATTTTCCTATCGTAAAAGTGCGAATCCACCATCCGGGTCCCCACTCGAACTTGGCCGTGTTCGTCGATTTGATCGCCACCTTCTCGTCAGGCTCCACCACCACAATTAAGCCAGTGTTTTCGATTTCTCCGTCTGTCGTCGCCCATACTTTGACGTCGTCATCGTTGAGCCATCGACTCAGCGATGCAATTGGGAACTTTCTATACTTCTCCACATCCTTCTCAATCGCATCTCGCAGTTCTTCGGTGGCGGCCTTGCTTCGGTAGATGATGACGTCGGTGCCTCCACGGTTCGAAGACACAAAGTACTGATCGTCTTTGTTCGCGTATTTGAAGTGATTCGCGCCGGTTGGAAACACGAGTATGTAGAAAATGTCACTGGAAGAAGAGCTTGTCTTTTGGCTGACAATGAGTTGCCTTACTCTGTGAGAGTCGTCTCAAGCTTGATTCTGATCTTCTCCGCCTTTTCCTCGTTGCTCTTCGAAGCATGTTTCACTTGAATCTCCGCAACAACCGTTTGCAGTTTATCCGGGAAAAAGTATGCATTGTTCTGAAAGATGTAAATATGCCGCGTCCAAAGTCTCGGAAAAGCCGCAAATCTCGCGGGTTTTGCAGTCCAAAATCGGCAGAAAATTGCGGGAAATCCGGGGGGCGCACAGCTGAACGAGTGTTACCGTACACCATGAAACTACGGTATTTTTTTTGAAAAATTTACCCAAGAAATTAAAAAAATTTCAAATATTCTCGAGAAATTTAAATTAAAAATACCGTTGAAAAATTTACCCAAGAAATTTAAAAAAATTGCAAATATTTTCGAGAAATTTAAATTTTTTTCAAAAAAATACCGTTGAAAATATTCTCGAGAAATTTAAATTTTTTTTCAAAAAAATACCGTTGAAAAATTTACCCAGGAAATTTGAAAAAAATTGCAAATACTCTCGAGAAATTTAAATTTTTTTCAAAAATACTTTTTGAAAATTTTACTCAAGAAATTTAGAAAAATTTCAATATTCTCGAGAAATTTAAATTTTTTTCAAAAAAATACCGTAGTTTTATGGTGTACGGTAACACTCGTTCACGATATTTTTTTTAATTTAAATTTCTCGAGAATATTTGAAGTTTTTTAAATTTCTTGGGTAAATTTTCAACGATATTTTTTTAAATTTGAACTTCTCGATAATATTTGAAATTTTTCAAATTTCTTGGGTAAATTTACAAAAAATACCGTAATTTTATGATGTACGGTAACAGTCGTTCAGCTGTGCGCACCCCGGATTTCCAGCAATTTTCTGCCGATTTTGGACTGCGAAATCCGCGAGATTTGCGGCTTTTTTTGCGAGACTTCGGCTGTATAAATTCAGTTAAAGATCTCGTTGTCAACCTACCAAATAATCTGTCTTCCATTCATCAGCCTTCTCACGAAAAACGTCCAGCTCTTTTTCGACTTCGTCAGCGTTGTACGGATTGCCGTCATTTAAGAATCCGCTGGCGAACGCCTCCACAAACCACTGAAACACACGCGGATGCATTCATAATGCTTTCGTTTTTTTTGTTTTTGGCAAGAACGTACCAGTTGAATGTGAACCATTTGAATCGCGTCGACCCACTTTTTGAAGGTAGCCTTGCTCATCAGCGCGTCGCCATTCATTCCCATTTTCAATGGATTCGTTTCGTCGGTGTTCAACAATTCTGTTAGTTTCTAAAACGTGAAAAATTGATTGCGTTTAGCGGTCCAACTTACTCTGGACAAGTCCAACGGAGACGTCCCCTCGATTTTTTTTCGGAGAACTTCTTCGCTGCCTTTCTTCTGATTCTCATTCTTCGCTTCAATCACTCTTACCATAGCTTTGAAGTAAACGGCGGCGTCGAGTGAGTATTCCTGTCGAATATTTATTGGATTTTCGAGCTGTGAACACGTGTCGTTACTTTGTAAAACGTGTGAGCCACAAGGAACGCCTTCAAGTCGTTGAAATGATTCGAGATTGTGTTATTGAGCTGAAAAGATACAATATTACTAATGCCGCGTCCAAAGTCTCGGAAAACGCGCAAATCTCGCGGATTTTGCAGTCCAAAATCGGCAGAAATTTGCGGGAAATCCGGGGTGCGCACAGCTGAACGAGTGTTACCGTACACCATAAAACTACGGTATTTTTTGAAAAAATTTAAATTTCTCGACAATATTTGCAATTTTTCAAATTTTTTGGGTAAATTTTCGACGGTATTTTTTGAAAAAATTTAAATTTCTCGAGAATATTTGCAATTTTTTTCAAATTTCTTGGGTTAATTTTTCAACGGTATTTTTTTTGAAAAAAATTTGTCGACAATATTTGCAATTTTTTTCAACGGTATTTTTGGAAAAAATTTTCAACGGTTTTTTTTGAAAAAATTTAAATTTCTCGAGAATATTTGCAATTTTTTTCAACGGTATTTTTTTGGAAAAAAATTTTTCAACGGTATTTTTGGAAAAAATTTTCAACGGTATTTTTTTGAAAAAAATTAAATTTATCGAGAATCTTTGCTATTTTTTTAAATTTCTTGGGTAAATTTTTCAACGGTTTTTTTGAAAAAAATTAAATTTCTCGAGAATATTTGCTATTTTTTTAAATTTCTTGGGTAAATTTTTTTAACGGTATTTTTTTAAAAAAATTTAAATTTCTCGAGAATATTTGAATTTTTTTTAAAAATTTCTTGGGTACATTTTCAACGATATTTTTTTTAAAAAATTTAAATTTCTCGAGAATATTTGAAATTTTTGAAATTTCTTGGGTAAATTTTCAAAAAATACCGTAGTTTTATGGTGTACGGTAACACTCGTTCAGCTGTGCGCACCCCGGATTTCCCGCAAATTTCTGCCGACTTTGGACTGCAAATTCAGCGAGATTTGCGCGTTTTCCGAGACTTTGGACACCGGCATAAAAAATAGTTCAAAAGCAAACTCACGTCTTGCAGTGAATTCTTCAGTTCATCCAAGTTTTCCAACACTTTTTTGTTCGCATCGTCATCGGTTGCTATTATCAAGTTCTTCATAACAGCGCCGACTCCAATGACTGCGGCCACTTGCGGCGACAGTTTTCCGGTGGCGAACACTACGGTAGTCGCGATGTCAAGCGTGGCAGACGTCGCGTTCTTGATAGCTGTTCTGGCAGCTGTGAATATTGTATGTCAGAAGAGACGTGCTATTATGGACTCACTCTCGATGTCCTCTTCCGACATTTCGGCAGCCGCTTCGATTCTTTCCGCCGGAATCAAACTGAATATCGCGTGCGCACCTCCGTTTTTATACTCGTCTCGTTCCAAAGATCAACGCGTCATCATACTGTGATTGTTGGTTGAATCGAATCAACTGATAAGACTCAAAAATAAACTGTTTTGCTTGTGTTCTTCGAGCTCATCAGAAACTGAAAGAAACATTGTCTTAAGCTCATCATCGTGCTTCGTTTCTCTAGTGAGACAACATGATCAACAAGGACTTACGGTAAGTGCATTCGTTTCCATCAACCGAGATCATCACTTTCATTGATAAGAACGTTGGTTGCATCAGCCCATTTAGACATGTTTGTTTGCACGTTCTCATACCAAACCACAAGTTACGAACGAAACGGACAGAGATCACGATAGACATTGAGGTGAATTCGAGCGGGGAAAGAGGGAAACTTTTTGAAGAACAATGAAAATGTGGCTCAAAACAACGTTTTCATGGGACAAGACTCCAAGAATACAATGATCCCAATCAGAAAGTGTAATTGTTTCCGACACGCTCGAACTCGTGCACGGACTCCTCCTCGCTCTTTCCGTTGATGACGACCTCGTTGAATCCGACCAGGGGTGTGCGGAAAATTTTTTTCGGAAAATTTCGGAAAATCGGTTTTTCCGAATTTTTTTTTTCGGAAATTTTCGGAAAATCGGTTTTTCCGAATTTTTTTTTTCGGAAAATTTCGGAAAAATCGGAAAAATCGGCCGCAAAAACACGCTTTCTCACCGTTTTTCCGCCCAGTTAAATATACGTCCCACTTTCCCATTACGTCAGCTTTTCTGAAAAAACAACACAAATCGCAACAATCGGTTCATTAGAATGAGAAAAACGAAAGAAATTGCGTAAAATTTAAAAATCAAATTTAAAAAGACGCTCGCTGCTAGACCCTTCCAAAAATTTTGTGATGCGCCTTTAAAAAGCATACGGTGGTTTCGGACAAATTGACCTTGAATCCACACTAATTTTCCGAAAATTTTGCCGAACATTTTCGGAAAATTTTCCGAAAATTTCTCGGAAAATCGGAAAATTTCGAAAAATCGAAATATTTTCCGCACACCCCTGAATCCGACGGAGAAGGTGACCTGCTGGTTCTCATCGGCCGCTCCGAGACGATGCTTCACCCAATCGTTCTTCTTGTCGGTACGTTCTGAAATATTCGATGAATCGAATTGGCTCAACTGACACGTATCTCTCTTACTGTCCACTTTCTTGTAGAGAATGGCGAGCACCTTGAACTCGCCGGTCGAACGTCACACCAAACTGATACTGAAGAACGACACGAATCGGTACGCGAAGATTCGTATTCTGTACAAGTTCTCAAAAGTGAACAAGGGCGACACTCAATGGAGAACTCTGAAGCCGAACAAGGAGTTTGAGCCGCTGGACATTACTTATTACACGACGAGGAGAGAAGGACGCCACCGGCGAGTTCAAGGTGCTCGCCATCCTCTACAAAGTGGTCGAGAGTGAGTATCGATCCTTTCGCATTTGCCAATTCCAAATACTTTTCAGCTAAAACCGACAATTCGATCACCTACGACGGAAAGTTCCTCGAGTTTGACGAGAAATTCGAAATTTAACCCCATTTTTCATGTTTTTCGTCAAAAATTACCCAAATTTTATACGATTTCGACGATGTAATTGCATAATAACTTTGTTAAACTAATCATCGCCGCACACTTTTTGAGCTTAAAACGAGCAGGTTTCAGTCAGAGAATGAATCAATTCAATCGATTTTCAAGTTTTGTGCTGAAAATGCGCGAATTTCAGTCATTCGCCGATACTTTTTCCCGTTTGAACGCTTAAAATACTTGTATTAACGTGCTTAATCACTTCCGACACTCACTTCGTCTCAAAACTATCCAAATGGGCCGGTATGAAAATTCCGAAATTGCGCCACGGAGGGCGTATTGCGAAATATGCCAAAAACGTCTCAAACGCGGCGTTTTCACGAAAATTTCAATGTTTTCTCTCTTTCTTTGTCTTCTTTCGTCGATATCAAACACAAAAATATCGGAAAAGTGTGCTGGAATTGCGGCAATTTTCAGAAAACGCGTCTCAGACTAGGCCACGCCCCTTTCTACACTTTTGGTCGCCGTGACAAGTTTTTTTCTTGTGGAATCTTGTCTGAAGTTAGTGTTGTGTGCAAAGAATCCATGAAAAAACAACAAGACTTATCGTAGATACGTATTTATTAAAGCCCATTTTTTAGACGATTTATCCCTGCCAGCTCGCAATCGTGAATACGTGAGTAGTCGACGACGATGCGCTCACAATTCTCGCATTCGGTAAACCGGCGCACACAGTGACCGCCATTCCATTGTCATTATCGGCCAGGTCGTGACGGATCCACGCATTGTTATTCATAAAGTGAATGTCGTCCAAAATCAGATGCTTTCCATCGTACACGAACGAAAGAGGCTCAACGTCTGGAAGAAAATGAGAAAGTTTGAGGCAAAACGGTGAAAATCAAACTCACCGCGAACCTCCTTGTACTTGATCCCTTGGAGCTTGAACTCGCAGAACTCGTCTTTTGTCAGTGCGCCAGTATAGTAGACAATCTCCTCAAACACTTTTTGCTCTTCATGCGGTCTCAGCATGACCCATTTGGACGTCAACTTCTCCTGTCCTGGGAACATGTACATGACGCGAAGCATGAAATAACGATCCGACTCGTTCTTCAGAGTGATACTCGCCTCGCGCTCGGAACTCATCGTAGCGTGGATAGGAAAAATTCGAAACTGCAATCAAAATGTAGATTTTCGGAGGATTGAAAGGGCGATAATCGAGATTGGGGTAGCCAGTGCAAATACTCGGGTTTTGTTTGCACAATCGACTTTGATAATGCCGCGTCCAAAGTCTCGGAAAAGCCGCAAATCTCACGGACTTTGCAATACAAAATCGGCAGAAATTTGCGGGAAATCCGGGGTGCGCGCACAGCTGAACGAGTGTTACCGTACACCATAAAACTACGGTATTTAAAAAAATTTAAATTTCTCGAGAATATTTTGCAATTTTTTTCAATTTTCTTTTGGTAAATTTTTCAACGGTATTTTTTTTGAAAAAAATTTAAATTTCTCGAGAATATTTGCAATTTTTTTCATATTTCTTGGGTAAATTTTTCAACGGTATTTTTTTGAAAAAAATTTAAATTTCTCTTGGTTAAATAAAAAAATTCTTGTTTTTTTGAAAAAAATTTAAATTTCTCGAGAATATTTGCAATTTTTTTAAATTTCTTGAGTAAATTTTCAACGGTATTTTTTTGAAAAAAATTTCAATTTTTTTCGAGAATATTTGCAATTTTTTTAAATTTCTTGGGTAAATTTTTCAACGGTATTTTTTTAAAAAAATTTTTCATCTCTCGAGAATATTTGCAATTTTTCAAATTTCTTGGGTAAATTTTCAAAAAATACCGTAGTTTTATGGTGTACGGTAACACTCGTTCAGCTGCGCGCATCCCGGATTTCCCGCAAATTTCTGCCGATTTTGGACTGCATTCGATTTGATGGGCGCGCATTGTTTGACAAACTCAAACCTCAGTTCGTTATCACAAATCCCTTTATTTCACAATATCATTATAATACGCATAAGTAGTTGACGTCACAATCGTCACATGGCCAGTGTGGATGTGCCCGTCGCCTGGCTCTTCTCCATCACACTCGTTCCGCCGGTGGTGGCGCCGGCGGTCGTGCCGCCGCCCGTCGTTCCTTGAACCGTCACGTCGCCCGTCATCGTGTTTCCAAAGCCGACGCCGGTGAGTCCGCCCGTCGTGCCCGACGCGTCGCATCCGTACCGCTTGTACATTCCGCGGTACCACACGCCGAACACTGTTCTGCGCATCAGGTAGAAGATGCCGGCGCCGAGGCCGAGCGTGACGAGCGTGCCAATCACGAATCCAATGTAGATGCCCCAGACCCACCATTTGCCCGTCACGTACGTCGCCGCCGACATTGCGTTCGTCTCGGCCGCCTGCTCGCCGTCAGCCAGCCGCGCTCCGCTCGGCACCACTCGGCGTGGCGCCGCCGTCGTCGTCTGCGGAATGTCCTTGATCGGCTCGACCGTCGTCGTCGTCACCACCTCCTCCTGCGGCTTCGTGATCACCTGCGACTTCTCGCCGTCGTACACGTTGCCGTCGGTGACCGCCGCGGCCGAATCCACGAGCGACTCGCCGTTGTTGATGTTCTGCAATGCAACTGTTCGATGATCCGTGTTTCAAAAGTGTGGTCGTCCACGGTCTCCAGAGCCACGGCGACCAAAAAAAGGGGCGCGGGGGCCTAGCGTGCACGGTTTATCACCATTTTGGCGCGAAATTCAAAATTTAACCCCCTATTTTTCATGTTTTTCGTCAAAAATTACCCAAATTTTGTACGATTTCGACGACGATGTAATTGCATAATAACTTTGTTAAACTAATCATCGCCGCGCACTTTTTGAGCTTAAAACGAGCAGGTTTCATTCAGAAATGAATTAATTGATGCGATTTTCAAGTTTTGTGCTGAAAATGCGCGAATTTCAGTCATTCGCCGACACTTTTTGCCGTTTGAATGCCAAAAATATTTGTATTAACGTCCTTTTTTTTCGAAATTGCGGCGGCGATTGGCCGCGGAGAGCGTATTGCGAATGATGCCAAAAACGTCTCAAACGCGGCGTTTTCACGAAAATTTCGATATTTTCGCTCTTTAATGTCTCTTCTTTCGTCGATATGAAACACAAAAATATCGGAAAAGTGCTGAAATTGCGGCAATTTTCAGAAAACGCGTCTCAGATTCTACACTTTTGGTCGCCGTGAGAGCTGACAATGGGCGCGCAAGTGCGCCCCGCCCAATAGAGCGATACATTGGCGCGAAATTCAAATTTTAACAGCAAAATTTGTGTTTTTTGCCAGATTAGCCACGAAAAGTCGATAATTTCTCATTTGTCTCTCGATAGACCGATTCGATAGGCTAATACGAATTTTTTTAAGCGCAAGAGCGTTAAATTTGGTCAAGTCACAAATCACATTCATCCGTTTGAAGGTTTTTGGCTAAAACTGCATGAATTTCAGTTGCTTTATGGTAGTTTTCGCGGTTCGAGCGCTCAAAATGCTTGTATTTACGTGATTTATCATTCTCAAAACCAATTCTGTCGGAAAACGGTCAAGAAAGCGCAAAATGAGAAGTGCGGCGAAGGCGAAAAAGCAAAGTCGGCGAAAAATGCGCCAAAACGTCATTAATTCTGAGAATTAGTGTGTTTTCATGCCGCGCAATCATTTTTCATCGCCGTTGACTACAAAAATCAGAGAAAACGTGCTCAATTCATGAAAACGCCATTTGGCCGCCGAGGCCACGCGCCCATTTTGTCAGCTCTCGAGACCGTGATGGTCGGGACAAACCTTGGAAAAGATGCCAGCCTTCTCGGCGAGACAATCCGGTTTAGGGAAGAAGAAGGCGAGTTTCGTCGCCTCGTCGGCGTTGAATCCGTTCGAGTCGCTCGTCACAAACTCGCGATGGTCGTTTGCGACGTAGTACTCGGGCGCCGGGTTCGTCGCGTCCGCCTCGTTGATTCCGTAGCCAAACTCGATGGGCACCGCGTACGCGTCCTCGTGATACGCCGACTTGAGTTCGATGAGCGACGCGCGGCCCTGATTCGGCCACACGACGACGCCGTTCGTCACGAGCACGTCGATCGACTTGCCCGGCTTGCAGACGGGAATGCGCTCGGCGATCGAGTGGTCCGTCGGGTCGATGCACACTTTAAAAGAGTGACAACTGTTTTTCAGGTAGACGAGCATCTTGTAGGCGCCCGTATTCATCGTGAACTTGACAATCTCGCCGCTGTCGCACGCCGTCTTGCACGTTTTGAACACCAGATTGTCTTTCGACGTGCGCGGAACAAAGTAGTAGGGCACCGGCGAGACGTACGGCATTTTCTGAAAGTATTTGAAGAGAGTACAATAAAACGATTTTATAAACTGCAACACGGTACCTGTCCGTCGTAGAAAAACGATCGGATATTGAGTCGATCCTGTCCGGCCTTCAACCATCTCGGCACCTGCGCAATCTCCTTTCCAGTCACAACCTTCTTCCTCTCGTCCGGGTACGTCTCGAAACAGTTGGCCTCGTTGGCGAACAGAATGTTTCCGGTGGCGCCCTGCAATCAAGTGTTGGCTCTAAAACTTTTTTTTTTTTGAAGTTTTGACACATCTAACCGTTGTTTTCATGCATTTCCAATTTATAAAGACTCTTTGGGACAGTTTAGGTTAAAACGAATTTTTTCAATTTTGTCAAGGTTTTTGACCCCGCTTTTTTTTCGAATTTTTTAAAAAATTTCCGAACTATCCCAAAAAGTCTTTATAAATTGGAAAGGCATGAAAACAACGGTTAGATCTCCCATGACACTGACACCCAAGAATAATATTTGGTCCGGCTCCGCGAGCCCTGGTCGGAGCAGCACTGGCTCTAAGTACCTCTAAGCTGTGTAACTTTTTTCAAAAAAATCCTATCAACTCAGGCTCAACGCCATTCGATTCCGTGCATCTTTTCGAGCATATTTCATGTTGAGACCAAAAATTTAGCACCCCTCCTTCATAAAGAAAAAAATTGATTTGTGGTCGTTTTCAAAAAATTTTTTGAAAAAACTCGATTTTCTGGAAAATATTTGTACTTTTTTTCAAAAAAAGAACGTTGAATTCGGATTCTACAGACAATTTTACACCCGCATGACTAGTTTTCAAGCAAAAATAGTGTTGACTCCGGGGTGTTTCAACCCAAAATACGTGAAAATCGGGGTACTTTTGCATAGTCTTTTTTCCAAATTCTGAAAAATCAGGATTTTCTTGCTTATAAGACCGTTTTGAGACATCTAACCATTGTTTTCATGCATTTACAATTTGTAAAGACTTTTTGGGACAGTTTGGAAAATTATTCGTTATTCATTATTCGAGTTGTTCCGTTAGCACTTTTTTCACGCAACAACTCGAATAATTTTTTTTGTATGAGAAGCTAAATTTACAATTATTTTTCTGTGAGCAGAGCTCACTTTGCTGTACATTTCGTCAGTTGATCACATTTCATGAAAACATTTTCTAAAAAAGATAAAAATTTTTCCGTGTTCTTCCGTTGAGTTCTTCCGCTCAACTCTGGTACTGTAGCTCTTGGAAGTTCAGACCAGCTGGTGCATCTAAATTTGAGCTCCAATTTCCTAGAACTACAGTAGTCCTACAATACATATTCATTTTAAACGGGGCTTCGGCACATCTGATATTTTCATGTTTTCCATTCATTTCCATGCACAAAAATGTTCTACATGTTTTCCAGGACTGCCCAAGACTCACATTCGAGTAGCCGGCCAACTTGTCCTTGCACACATTCACATTCTCGTTGGGCTTCGCTCCGGCGAGCACGTCTCCGCCATTTGTGCCCGTATACGTTCCGAGTACCGTTTTCTCGTCGACGTAGCTCTCGGCGGAGCACGTGAACAGTTCGCACTCTTTCTTGAGGTCCCGCTGGAACGATCCAAAGTCGGCGTTTCCGTTAACGCGCACGACGAGTCGCGTCGGCGTCGGTTCGCAGTAGACGTGAATTTCGGCGCTGTTGCCGGCGAACTGCTCGTTCAGCTCGTGCGTGTGCTTGCCGCACTTGGAAAAATCAATGTTCGGATGGGAGTAGGCGCCGAACACGCCGAACGGTTTGTCAAAGTTTCGGCCGTCTTGCGGCTCTCCGACCGCCACCGGCACGTAGACAGAAGTGAGATCGGCGAGGAGTGTGGGCGGAAGCGACAAAAGAGCGAAGAGCACTTGGACGACGGTCATTGCGGATTTCAGCTGACAGACTGCAAAAACGGGGAACATTTGTGTGCAACCAGGAGACGTTTCGCAAACGCCGTACCTTTCATAAAAAGTGCCAAGCTTTGTTTCACCGTTTTCGTTTGATTTGCGAGAGCGGACGAGGCGCGCCGAAACAAAGAAGTGATTCGAGGATTCTTCGACGAGAAAATCAATCAATATAAACGACGTGTTTTGTCCACACATTTGCCCCCGCCCTTTCGATGCTCCGAAAAAGTGTCAGGGTGTCGCCACGTTGCGAAAAACAAAGGGCAGCGGGTGCCACGTGGAACGGAATTCACTTATCATCACTTCACCGCTCCTTTTCCGAAAAGAAGATACAACAAGGCGACAGAATAGGTTTTGATAACAAAAAAATTATTTTTTGCTTCAATTTTCAAGAATTCGGTGTTCAGAGCAATGTGTGCGGCAGCGTTGCGAAAACTGCGCGCGCTACTTGCAAGAATTGAACGCTGAAGGGGCGGGGCCTCATTTGAACTTCGCGGGCTTTTCTCAGGGGGCACGAGCGATAAAGTGATAATACGTACCAAGTATTCGAGTGGGCCCAATGGAATAAAAACTGAATAAATACGAGCACAAGGAGGCTTTTCTGCCTGAAGTGGAACTGTGTGGTGCGAGTTTTTAGAATTTCAGGTTTACTTCCGAAGGGATGAAGAAAAATAAGAATCTACCATTATTTAAATAACGTCAGAGAGAGAGAGAGAGAGAGAGAGAACTGACTTTTTGCATTGAAATAACGGTTTACATGAAGCTTCTACTTCAGCTCAACAGAACGACGCTCTTGTTTTTCAAAAGGCATCATCAAAATACCATGAATACCCGGAATACCGAGCAAGCGAAGCGCCTGCCCAATGTTTTTGCCTGTGCAATTGGTTCACATCAATTGGTACTTCTCCTCGAATTCTCGTAGTACTCGCGGGCGTTCTCCGGTTCCTTTGAAATACAGTAATCCCCATCGACTTGTTTTTTGCGATTTACTGAAAATCGCACACGGTTTACGGTACAGTTCCTACCGTAAGCTCGCATTCGTGTCTTCTTGCGCCTATAAACGCTCATTACAACATTCTCAGGTAATTTTCGGCAAGGGTGGGGCGCGCGAGCGGCAAGCGAACAGCAAGTTGCTACGGTAGCATGGGGTGAGCATGTGTCACGCACGGATCCGGCATGGCATCCGCATGGATAGGGCGTGCAACAGAAACGAGTGGGATGGGAGGGAAGCACGGTTTTTGAGCGGCACGGGAGCAGCAACGGTAGCAGGGTGGTTGTGGCAACGAAGTAGCAAAGGTTCAGCGCGTGGCAGGCACGGAATCGGCACCCTTACAGCAGATTGCCGCGGAAAACGGCACGGATGCCGCTTCCAGTCGGCAACTTGCCGAAAATTACCAGAGTTGTTCTGAAAACAAAAGTGTGCTGCGCGTTTAAAGTTCTCAACCGACAATCGACAAACAGTCTTGAAATCTTTCATTTGGTTACAGAAAAAAAGCTCGTAGTGCGGAAAAAAAAAAACAATCTATGCCTAAATCATAAATATACAGAAAAAATCGGCGGGGCGGGAACAGGATCAGCGGAATTATCGATCGATTATGTTTGCATTTCGTATGTTTCAGACCGGTACTCAACTGGGAAATAGGCGGCGCGAAAAGCGGAACATTTTTTCGGTTGTTTCGAGAAAAAAAACAACAACAACAACAACAAATTATTGAACCCGTAAATCACAGTGTACATAGAACATGAGTTGCAAAGTGTCCGTTAGGCAGAGCTGTGGCACGAGGACACCACTCCGCTATCGTTCGTCTCGAGCAGGAACTGATCCTCGAGCGGCGCGAACACGTAGAGCGGCACCGTCCGGTAGAGGGCGTCGCGGGCGTCGCACCGTCCGAGTTCCACAAGGATCCGGCACAGGTTTCCGACGTTGGCTTGCTCCGGATGGTGGATCGCCCACTCGTTGAGCAATTGGTCGGTTCGCGATAGGGATTGGCCCGTTTGGTCGACCTGTAACCGTTTCGGAATTTTCCTACAGACTGCATGGCTGCAAAATGAAAAACGCGTGCTCACCTCCGGCACTTGATCGGTCAACTGAAGCTTGACCGCCAGAATCGACCAGTCCCTTCCCATCGCATGCGGCGCGTCCAACAAACACGCGAGTTCGCATCGGCTCGACATTTGCAAATCGGCGACGCTCACGTCGATTCCGAGCGTCAGATGGCGGGCAACGTCGCGAGATCCGAAGCAGACGACGTCGGTGAAGAGCTCCTCCTCGTCCTGCGTCCCTTTGACCGAAAGCGACTCCCTCTGCTGCATCTCCATCATCGCTTCCGGCGGGAACAGCGCCGGCTGCTCGCGATGCTCTTTCAGGTGTTTCGGACTGATAAAGTGGCGCTCGAGACTGATGCCCGGACCGATTTCTTGGGCGGTGTGCTCGACGAGGTTGATGAGGTCCTCCATGAAGTAGAACATCGAGGTCGCCGAGTCGGCGGGCCCTCTCGCCCGGATCTCGACCGCATCGCCGACCATCCGAACGACTGCCTCACGGTCCTGGGTGACGAGCTTCGAGCACTCGGCGTACTGCACCAGTTGCGTGTCATTTGCCGCCTGATACTCGTTGATGCTCCTCCGCAGTGCGACCTGAATGCGCGGGAACGTGCTGTGCAGACTGCGCTCCATTCCGCGCGACGGCAGAATCCGCACGCCTCCGTACACCGTGTCGCGCTCCTTTTCCTTCAGCGAATACGGTCTCCAGATCGAGTCGGGCGCCTCCGTCTGAATGAACACTGGAAATTCGTGGGCGCCCGTCGAGGCGTCGGGCGCGCACAGTTGGAGCACTTCGAGAATGTTCATGAGGTCCGATTGCTCGGGGATTTCGGGAAAGATGTTGGCCAGCGAGCTCGTGTGGTACGAGCCGTTCGGGCTCGCCTTCGATAGAAACTCGGCGCTGAGCAGCTGGCCGAGAATGTGCGTTCCGAACCATTCGGCGTTGAGGACGACGTAGTCCGCGTCGGCCAGGTCGTTGCGCAGATAGACCAGCTGCAAATCGATTGGTTAGGTACCGTAATAATCAAACGACAGTAGACCGTTACCTCTCCGATCAACTGCAACTGCTGCACAATCTGCCGGCAATGCGCGTCTCCGGTCAACGGATTGATCTCGTTTCGCACCATTTGCACAAAGTCGGGCCAAGTGATCACCGGAAAGTTTGCGTGTTTCTTGCGCACCAAATTCAGATGCGCAACTACCGTATCGAGGATCGACAGCGGTTTTAGGAGCTTCTGAAATGTTGAAATGATTTAGAAACTGTTCTAGTTACGGTCTCCCAGGGGGCGCTAATGCTAAACACAGTGCGCTCGTAAATTGCGGAGTGTCGTTGTAACTTTTTTGAAAATTTGCACGTCTAAAAATGCACTTTTCTTTCTTTTTGACTTGAAAAACGTCTAGAAAACAATATTTTACGAAATTAGAGTTTTTCATGTTTTTCGCATTTCGTCAAAACTTCAAACCTTTATATTTCAGCTCATTTTGCATTTCATGAGCGCAACAAACGATAAAAATGCTCGCTGAATCTTTTTTCACAAAATCTAGGTTTCGGCTGTTAGTTTTCTTGAGCAGTTTTCGCGAAAACTATTCGAAAAACATCAAAATCCAGGCCAAAACGTTCAAATCGAAATAACTCGGCTAATTCTCAACGATATGCGAGATTTCTGTTACCAAAACGTAGCTAGTGCTCTAATTATTCGACGCCAGGTTCCGGGCGTACAAAAAATAGGTGTATTGTACAGAAAACATGGAAAGAACACGCGAACTCCCGTTGAAAATTAATTAATCGGCGTAAATCGACACAGCCCGCCTGTTGCAAGTGCGCTCCATTGAAATCATTCGCGCCGAGTGGGGGTCCACTACGCAAAATTGAAGTACGCTCAATTTCAACGTACCGCCAAAATGTTCGTCCGACACTTTGCCAATTCCATCTTCAACGTCTTCATTCCGATGCACGACGGATTGGTGGCGTCGAGAAGGATCAGGCGGTGATCCATGTCGAAGTGGGTCTCGAAACGAAGACGGACCGTGTTGAGCATGGCGTCGATGTCCGACGAAACGTACTCGCCTTCCTGGTTCCGTTGCGGGAAGAGCGCCGGCGTCGCGTGCGTTCCCACTATTATCAGTTTCGAGCGACGTGACGAGAAGCCGCAGTGACCTGCAAAACGGAAAATTTAGCATATGATTAGGTACCGCAACGGGTTTCACGAAACTCTGAATTTTCATAAATGTTTTGTTGGAATGTGCTCCCCTACTCTCTATGAGTACGCTCCCAATTTTTTTCCCTAAAATTTTCGGTACATCCCGAGTTACACCCCTTCAAAGTTGGCCTGTTTTCTCCCCGATCGGAGGGGGCGGAGTCTCGCCTGCAAGTCCGCCGCACGCGTTTTTCGCCTCTGTTTGGTGGCTGAAACCAAAGAGGCAACATATAAATTGAAGAAAAATGGTGTTCTAAAAAAGGAAAACATCTTTTAAGGTCAAAAGTTTCGAACCCGACACCTCCAGACTGCCGAGTGAGCACTCTGCCACTGCGCTAATCGGGCGAACGCGCGCCGACCGCCAATGGCGTTGAAAAGGTCGGTGTGTGCGGCCCCTTCTAATGGTGAAATTAGTGCTTTTGTGGGCTAAAACCGAAAACATAACTGACTGTAACTTTTTTCGGACAACAGCTAAATGAAAATATTTAGCATGGATCGGTCGGAAATTTTATTCTGAATCCGATGATGTAAAAATTGACCCTCAAATCCGCAGGAAAACTAAAATTTTGACCGAACAAGCTCCATTCAAATGAACACAAAAATTCTCCCAGGGGGTCTAGGGCTCTGAAATTTAAGATTTTTTTCCGTTTTTTTTCGTTTTTTTACGTCAAAAAACCCAATTCAACGGTGTTAAAAAACGAAAAAAAAAAACGGAAAACAAACATACGCTGAATAGCCCCATTAATTAAATAAAACAGACCAATCGGCTCGAACGGCGTGACTCGTCCCTTCAAAAAGTTCATCCAATACAAAATCTGCTTGTACTGCACCTCGGTCGGATCGCTGGCTCGGTAGAGGATGAGGTGGACGCAGTCGGAATTGCCGACAAAGTGATCGTAGCACGAGTGCATCGGCTCGTAGCCGCCAAACTCCCACACGGAAAACTCGCCGCATCCGTTGATGTTCACCGATTGCACGTCGATGCCACGTGTGTACTGCGAGTGCGGCGGGGCGTACTTGCCGCCGCCCGGCGCGCTGGCCAACAGCACCTCGAACGAGTTGTTGTTCGACTCGTTGACGAACGAGCCGTTCGTCGAGTGAACGCCATCGTCTTTCATCGAGTTCGACGGACTGTAATGATCGCTGATGCGGCGCGAGACCGATTCGAGGAACGAGGAGATGCCGCGCGAGGTGTGCAACGTCTGCACCAACCGCGTCTTTCCCGACATGGAGTGGCCGAGCAGTTTGAGTTTGATGCGTCGCAGCGACGTGTCCAGCGGGTACAGCTGGTTGATGTACTCCTCGCGCACGTCGTGCGACTTCACCTGCTTCAGAAGCGCGTTCGCCTCGAGTCGCTCCGCCGCCACCGCCACCAGTTCGGCCGTGAGTCCGTCGTCGCCGCGCAGACTCACATCCGAGCGCGCGAGCAAAAGGATCCGGATGATGTCGACGTGGCCGTAGTGCGCCGCCAGGTGCAGTGCGGTCTTTTGCGATTTGTTGACGGCGTCCACGTGAACGGAGCAGTGGCAGAGAGTTTGGACCGCTTGGAGAAGGCCGTTTTTGGCGGCCACGTGAAGGGCCGTGTCGCCGTGCTGCAAATCGACGGGGGGATTAGTATTGTGGAGCCGAGTTTTTGACACGAGTTGAGCGGAAGAACTCAACGGAAGAACACGGAAGAATTTTTATCTTTTTTAGAAAATTTTTTCATGAAATGTGATCAACTGACGAAATGTATAGCAAAGTGAATTCTGCTCATAGAAAAATAATTGTAAATTTAGCTTTTCATACAAAAAAGTTATTCGAGTTGTTCCGTGAAAATGTCCTTCCGTCTTCCGTTAGCCCTAAACTTTTTTGTATGAATCGCTAAATTTCCAATTATTTTTCTATGAGCAGAGTTCACTTTACTATACATTTCGTCAGTTGATCACATTCCATGAAAAAATTTTCTAAAAAAGATAAAAATTCAAAAAGTTCAAAAATTGAACCATTTCGAGCTCACCTGGTCGGCGTGGTTGATGTCGCATCCGTTGGTGATGAGAATGCTCGCAATATCGACGTTTCCGTTCTCCAACGCCACAATCAACGCCGTCTTTCCGTCCTGTTCGAGCGCGTTGACCGGCGAGTTGCTGTCGAGCAGCGATTGCACACAATCCACGTGTCCACGCGCGGCCGCCACGTGCAGAGGCGTCTCTTCGCGCTGAAAATTGACAAAAATGTTGGGTTCTCGCCAAAGTCTCCTCAGAGCTGACAATGGGCGATACATTGGCGCGCGAAATTCAAATTTTTACAGCAAAATTTGTGTTTTTTGCAAGATTAGCCGCGAAAAATCGATAATTTCCCATTTGTCTCTCGATAGACCGATTGTATAGGCTATTACGAATTTTTTAAGCGCAAGAGCGTTAAATTTGGTCAAGTCGTAAATCACATTTATCCGTTTGAAGGTTTTTCGCTGAAACTGCGTGAATTTCAGTTGCTTTTCGGTAATTTTCGCGGTTCGAGCGCTCAAAATGCTTGTATTTACGTGATTTATCATTCTCCAAACCAATTCTGTCGGAAAACCGTCAAGAAAGAGCAAAATGAGAAGTGCGGCGAAGGCGAACAAGCAAAATCCGCGAAAAATGCGCCAAAACGTCATTAATTCTGTGAATTAGTGTGTTTTCATGTCGCGCAATCATTTTTCATCGCATTTGACCACAAAAATCAGAAAAAAACGTGCTCAATTCATGAAAACGCCGTTTGGCCGCCGAGGCCACGCGCCCATATTGTCAGCTCTGGAGACTACTATTGTAACTTTCCGTTTTTGTTGTTCCCCTTTTCCCTCTAGTTTTTTTTTCAGGCAAACAAGTAAAAAGCGGCAGGTAGGAGCGGATTATAATTCAAAAAAAAAAAAACGAATCGATGAGAGGATCAGGGATTATCCATTTCCCGCCAATTCATACTCGGACTTTTTCTCCCTGAAGGAGAGGTGCTAATGATTCGGTCTCAACCCGAAAACCGTCGTCGAAAAAGAAAGAGACAAGCTAGGGATGGATCTCCAACAAAATGTCTAGGCCTTCATTCTCTCTCTCACCGCACAATCGCACCACTCTCCGCCCTCATTCTCGCCGTCCTCCTCTCTGCCGTTCGGCGACATGTAGTTGAGTAAACTGATGAATTGAGTCGTCGAGGAGTAGGCCGGCACACTTCCCAACTTGGAGTAGCGGTCCTGTCCGGCGTAGACGAAATCGGCGGCGCGTGGGCGCGGACTGTCGTAGAGAAACGAGGCGGCGGCGGTGGCGGCGGGATTGGTGACGGGGTCCGAGAGGTAGTTGGAGAGCACCGATCCGGGCATCAGCACTATCGTCTGATCCGTGTCCGAATCGCTTTCCGGCTCGTTTTGTAGGCACAAATTGTCGAGGGGCGGCACTTGGAAGGGATCTTCTTCTTCTTCTTCCTCTTCTTCTTCCTCTTCCGAGTCCCGCTCGTCGGCCAGCGGGTCCGTTCCGTTCTCCACAAACTCTTTAAGCGCCGCCGTGGTCTTTCCGCCCGATTGCGTCGCCGTCGATTCGTTTTTTCGCGCACTTTCACGAGCGCTCATTTCACGGTACATAGGGAGCGAAGCCGATCTGATTAGTGGAGAGATGAACAAGAAGAGGAAGAAGAAGAAGAAGAAGAAGAAGAAGAAGAAGAGGAACTTGGTACGGATCAAGAAGAGAGACGTTTTGCAACCAACAAAAAAGGTACAATCCAAATTATTAAAAGCGTCAAGGATAAGCAAACATTTTTGAGATGGACGCACGTTTTGCAAAAGGTCCTACATCGAAATCAGAGAGTGTCTAGTTGTTGCAAAACGTCCAAATGGAAGAGGGAGAGAGAGAGAGAGGACGTTTTGCAACTAGTTTGCAATGTGTCAATGAACATTGGGACGTTTTGCAACCTACGGCCAAATTTGACAAAAGTCTCAAGAAAGCGTTCAAAAAATCGAGATCTGAGAGTGTCTAGTTGTTGCAAAACGTCCAAAATGGATTCGGTTGCGAAATGGACTAGTTGCAAAGTGTCCTCGAGTGAACAAGCGAGGTAAAACGATTGCGAAACGTGGCAAAAGAAAAGTGGACTACTAAAATGAGAACACGAACATTTGGCCTAGTTGAGAAGAGGGGCGAAAAGAGAGGATATGCACCTGGTTATTCACCTGGCCAACGAGAAAGAAAGAGGAAGCGAGAGAGAGAGAGAGAGAGAGAAAGAGAAGCATAATAGCGGATGGAATGGACGACGCGAGGAGGCGAAAGCAAAACGGGGCGGGGCTTGGCAGAGAGAGAGAGAGAGAGAGAGAGGAAGCGGCTCGGGGGGTAGATTTATGGGCAATAGTAGTGGTGTAGAGGGGAGGGGAGGGGGGTTGTCAAGGAAAGCATGCTTCACAGCTTTTCACCCCACCCCTAGGCTTTGCTCTAAAAGTTTGTACCATTGTTAAAACGGCGTGTAGTTGGGGTGGCCTAGAAAGATCAGTTGAGGGACTAACTTTGGATTTCTAGTCCACCACGCAAGGAGAGAGCCACGTGAAAGTTGTCTAGTATCCGGTGCTGGTCGCCGCCGCTTATGTATATTTCACGGACACCCACCTGGTGCATGGTGCATCGGCCACCGAGACGAACGACAGAAGGCGCAAAATTGTTGATGGACGGATTGTTGCAACCGGCATTCGTGCACACTATTATCCGCTTCTAAGCGCCCTAATCGCTAATCTCTTAGGCTGTGTCACCTGGCTCCAAATGACGCAGTTCCGGCTCGAATTTCCAAGATTTTCGTGCCGTACGCGCACATTTTTCAAGAAAAGAATTGAACCAAAATTCGGACGGACTGGTGGCCGCGCTCATTACTTATTCATCGAAAATTTCAAAACGACTTTGAGAAGAGAGCGCTCCCCCCGGGGTGGAGCGCGCAGAAAAAGCGCGACGGACAATTTGTCAACAATTTTTGACAGATATCCTCCTCGTCTAGCACTTGTGTGTCGGCTGTGTGAGGATAGAATGGCCGAGGGTTTGCGAGGCCAGCGGATCCAGCCAGATCATCCAAATGACGTCCATTCAATTATTGTACACTTTCGCTTCGCAAACTCACAATGTTTCGGAGGTGTAACGGCGGCGAGAGGCAGACGAGAAGCGGAAGAATGCGTGGATTGATGCTGTCGGCGGCGAGGTGGATGACTGTATCGCCCGTCTGAACACTCGGATTGTGGTGATTGAACGAAGCACTGAACACACTTATATCTGACTAATGGCCTAGCATAGCCACGGTCTCCAGAGCTGACAATATGGGCGCGTGGCATCGGCGGCCAAGTGGCGTTTTCATGAATTGAGCAGGTTTTTTCTGATTTTTGTGCTCAACGGCGATGAAAAATGATTGCGCGACATGAAAACACACTAATTCTTAGAATTAATGACGTTTTGGCGCATTTTTCGCGGATTTTGCTTTTTCGCCTTCTCATTTTGCGCTTTCTTGACCGTTTTCCGACAGAATTGGTTTTGAGAATGATAAATCACGTAAATACAAGCATTTTGAGCGCTCGAACCGCGAAAACTGCCGAAAAGCAACTGAAATGCACGCAGTTTTAGCCAAAAACCTTCAAACGGATAAATTTGCCCAAATTTAACGCTTTAGAAAGGGGCGTGGCCAAAACTGAGACGCGTTTTCTGAAAATTGCCGCAATTTCAGCACTTTTCCGCTATTTTTGTGTTTGATATCGACGAAAGAAGAGACATTAAAGAGAGAAAACATTGAAATTTTCGTGAAAACGCCGCGTTTGAGACGTTTTTGGCATATTTCGCAATACGCTCTCCGCGGCCAATCGCCGCCGCAATTTCGGAATTTTCATGCCGATCTGAATAGTTTTGAGACGAAATGAGTGTCGGAAGTGATTAAGCACGTTAATACAAGTATTTTAAGCGTTCAAACGGCAAAAAGTATCGGCGAATGACTGAAATTCGCGCATTTTCAGCACAAAACTTGAAAATCGATTGAATTGATTCATTCTCTTAATGAAACCTGCTCGTTTTAAGCTCAAAAAGTGCGCGATGATTAGTCTAACAAAGTTATGCAATTACATCGTCGGAACCCGTACAAAATTTGGGTAATTTTTGACGAAAAACACGAAAAATAGAGGGTTAAATTTCGAATTTCGCGCCAAAATGGTGATAAACCGTGCACGCTAGGCCCCCGCGCCCCTTTCTACGTTTTTGGTCGCCGTGTCTTGCGCTTTAAAAATTCGTAATAGCTCTATAGAAATTATCGATTTTTCGTGGCTAATCTCGCAAAAAAAAAACACAAATTTTGCTGTTAAAATTTGAATTTCGATTGTCAGCTCTGAGGAGACCGTGCGCATAGTCAAATGTAGAAACCAAAATAACAACAACGACAACAAAAAAAAACGAACGGCATTCGGTAAATCCAGACGTGGCCTCATTCCGATCAACAATCTGACGACTCGAGTGTCGGCCGATTCGACGGCACAATGCAGAGCGGTCTCTCCTCGTTTATTGATCGAATCCACGTCGACCTTCTCGTTGGCCACGTATCCGGCGACCGTGTGTTGAGCGAATCGACACGCGACGTGCAGCGGAGTGTCTCCGTGATCGTCGCGCGCACAAATGTTGCCGCCCTTCATGTGCAAGTAGTTGAACACTTCGACGTGTCCGTACTTGGCCGCACAGTGCATCGCCGTCGTTCCCGACGGTTCGGCGGTGGACGGGTCGAGTGAGATGTGGGCGGCGCCGCGACACTTTCTCGCCGTGTTCGGCAACAGTTTGTGGAGAGCCGAGAGTTTGTGCAGGGCGCGAAGGTTGCCCTCTTCCGCACAAATCAACGTGCAACTCGCGATGATGTCGTCCGCGTCGAATCGTCCGTCGCCGATCTTTCTCGAGCTCCGCGACGCCTTCAGAAGCACCATGACCAGCTCGACAGTGCGCTTCCATCGCTGTCTGGTCTTGAAGGACTGGATGTGTGAAATGGTGATGCAGGAGGCCTTGCGGATGTCGATCGCGTTTCCTTCGGGTCCGCGGATCCACGGGTGCTGCAGACACTCGTCGACGCTCGCTCGTTGATCGACGTCCCGGACGAAAAGACGCGAAATGAAGTCCTTCGCGTGTCGCGACGTGTTCTTGAAGTAGCGGTCCGAGAAATGATAGCGCACGCGGGTGATGTTCGAGAAGGTCTCGTCACGATTGTCGCCGAGGAACGGCGAACCGCCGGACAGTCTGCAAACTTGGACCATCAAAAAAGAGCGTCGCTGACGAGTTTTTGAGTAGCAAATGTGACCGTGAATACCAGAGTTGAGCGGAAGAGCTCAACGCAAGAACACGGAAGAATTTTTATCTTTTTTAGAAAAATTTTCCATGGAATGTGATCAACTGACGAAATGTAGAGCAAAGTGAACTCTGCTCATAGAAAAATAATTGTAAATTTAGCGATTCATACAAAAAAGTTATATTCGAGTTGTTGCGTGAAAATGTCCTTCCGCCTTCCGTTAGCCCCTAACTTTTTTGTATGAATCGCTAAATTTACAATTATTTTTCTATGCGCAGAGTTCACTTTGCTATACATTTCGTCAGTTGATCACATTTCATGAAAAAATTTTCTAAAAAAAATAAAAATTCTTCCGTGTTCTTCCGTTGAGTTCTTCCGCTCAACTCTGGTGAATAGTGTACCGTTCATTCAAGACGCTATATCTCAACTAAAAAGCCGTACAACTCGAGAATGAGCAGTTTCAAAGTTGTTGAGCATGAAATTTCGAACAATTTTCCAGTTGACAACTTTTTGAAATAGCAACTACTTTTCGAGATATGTGGCTTCAAATTGTCACTTCACTTTACAATAAAATCCGAATTTAGGGCGCCAGATTATGTCTGCCCTTGACGTGCAGGCGGTAGATTGCATGCGTGTCGTAGTGGTAGTGTTTTGGATTTTTGAACAATTTTTGGTCGTAGGTTCAAACCCCCGGGGGTGTAAACTCTTTTGCATTGGCGGCAAACTCACAAAATATAAGTGACGACTCCGACTGCCCACATGTCCGTTGCCGGTGACAATGGCTCATAGTTGACGACTTCCGGCGCTGAAATTGTCCCCACTTTTTGCTCGTTCGTCTGTACAATCGAGGTAACTGACCGACAAACTCGGGCGTGCCGACCATATCCTTAACCGTCGCTCCCGGTTCGATCTCGCGCGAAAGTCCGAAATCGATGATTTTAATGTGCGACTCGCCGCGCTGTTTCAGCATCACATTCTCGGGTTTGATGTCCAAATGAACGACGTGCAGGGAGTGTAGATGACGGACGGCCAGCAGAATCTGTTTGACGAATGCGGCCGCTTCCACCTCGTCCAGACACTCTTTTGCGCACACGTGATCGAACAGTTCGCCGCCGGACACTCTGCAAAAGCGTCGATCAAGCGTTGACGGCGTGCGATCGGTGTGAAAAGTTTTGTGTGCAATCTCGACACTTTGTACATTGTTTTTCGAAGTTGACTGCTTTTTTGTAATGTCGCGTCCAAAAGGTCTCGGAAAACCCCCAAATCTCGCGGATTTTGCAGTCCAAAATCGGCAGAAAATTGCGAGAAATCCGGGGTGCGCGCACAGCTGAACGAGTGTTACCGTACACCATAAAAACTACGGTATTTTTTTGAAAAAAATTTAAATTTCTCGAGAATTTTTTTAAAAATTTTAAAATTTCTTGGGTAAATTTTTCAACGTCTTTTTAAATTTAAATTTCTCGAGAATTTTTTTGAAAATTTTCAAATTTCTTGGGTAAATTTTCAACGTTATTTTTTTGAAAAAAATTTAAATTTCTCGAGAATTTTTGAAATTTTTTTCAAATTTCTTGGGTACATTTTCAACGTCTTTTTGAAAAAAATTTAAATTTCTCGACAATATTTGAACATTTTCAAATTTCTTGGGTAAATTTTTCAACGTTTTTTTGAAAAAAATTTAAATTTCTCGAGAATTTTTTTGAAATTTTTTTCAAATTTCGTGGGTAAATTTTCAACGTATTTTTTTGAAAAAAATTTAAATTTCTCGACAATATTTGAAATTTTTTTCAAACTTCTTGGGTAAATTTTTCAACGTCTTTTTTTGAAAAAAATTTAAATTTCTCGAGAATTTTTTTAAGATTTAAAAAAATTTCTTGGTTAAATTTTCAACGTCTTTTATTTGAAAAAAATTTAAATTTCTCGACAATATTTGAAATGTTTCAAATTTCTTGGGTAAATTTTTCAAAAAAATACCGTAGTTTTATGGTGTACGGTATCACTCGTTCAGCTGTGCGCACCCCGGATTTCCCGCAAATTTCTGCCGACCGTGGACTGCAAAGTCCGCGAGATTTGCGGGTTTTCCGGGACTTTGGAGGCGGCATAACGCCCTTGTTTTTTGTACTGTAGGCCTTGGAAGTTGGGAATGAAAACGAGAGTCTTCGAGTGGCTTCTAACTTCCAACAGCTACAGTACTCTTGGGCGTGGTTTTATGAAAATGTTGTCAACTAGAAAAATATAGTGCTTGAGCTAAGCTTTATTTTTCTAGTTGATCACTTGTTCGTACCATCACTCCTAACAGTACTGTAGCTCTTGAAAGACAGAACCCACTTGAAGCGTATGCTTTTCAGTCCCCCTCTTCAAACGCCCACAGTACTCCAGGTTTGGGAGGTACAAAAAAGTGATCAACTACAAAATCAACGTGTTAGGTGTCAAGATTATGCAGAAACATTCTAAAGTCTGGACGACGTCTTCGGATTCCAGGAAAACTCACAACTCGAGAACGATGATCACATCGCTGGCGGTCTCGTAAACGGCGTGCAACTCGACGACGTTCGAGTGTCCGCGTATCTTCTGGAGCACGCGAACTTCCCGTTCGATATTCTGGCGTGTCACTCCGCGTCGTGACGTCGCATACCGCCGCTTCTTGATGAACTTGGCCGCGTATCGCTCACCGGTTTTTCGATCACGCACCCGTCGGACCACGGCGAATTGGCCGCTGCAAAAGTGAACGAAAAGTCGATATTGTCCATCACGAAGAGGTGAACAATACAATTAGTTGCGATAAAGTGTGTGTCTCAAGAGTTTTACAATACAATTACAACTTCTTCTTCTTCTTCTTCTTCTTCTTCTTCTTCTTCTTTTGTTTACCGCAAGAATGTTGTTCGGGAAGAAGAAGAAGAAGAAGGGCGGCAGTTAAGTGATTTCTTGAGGAAAAGCCATCGAGAACAATTAGAAATGGAATGGGAAACGAGCGGACACTTTGCAACCGACCCGTTGGCGATTGGAATTGAAATGGAAGAGTTCTTGCCGTCTTCTCGATACTTTTACAACAAATTAGGGCCACGAGGACACTTTGCAACCGATTTCTCACCTTCCCAACTCGGTTTCGACGTCGAAAACGTCCTCGAAAGGCGTATCATCAAAGTGTATTGTGGGTTTCGACGAATTGTTGACGTCATCTGACATTTTGCAGCATTTATCTGAAATCAACAAACGATTTGAGGCCTGGAAAAGTCGCTAAAATGCGAGAAAACTGCGGATGACATGTGGAAGAATTGGAAAGAGAGAGAGAGAGAGGGAGGCGAGCGGGGGGAGGAAAATGGGAGGAAAATGAGAAAGAACGGGAGTGAATTGGATCACGAGAGAGCGAGCGGGAGCGCCGAGACGCAGACGCACACACACGAACGGACAAACTTTGATTGGAAACGTGATCGGAGCGGGACCGTCTTTTGGAAAAAAACGCTGATGATTTTAGTGATGGCCGGACTAGACTTGAATGAGAGAGAAGTCATCAGAAATCAGACGACGTCAAAAACCAGTACAATAAATTTGCGGGCACGAAAAAGACGTTTTTATAGCGGTTTTGAGTGATCAAACGAATATATCTGATGAGCGGGTTGAGTTATCGAAAAGTTGTCAACAGCAAAAATACTCGTGAGGAAATTTCGGACATTTTCGCAGTTGACCACTTTTTTATATCTCCACACAGAACTGAGATACGCCGTTTCAAACGTCCAGCTATTGTCGAACAAGATAAAAGTGAGTGATAAAGATGATGAGAAGGAGGAGCAGAGCACACGGAAATGTGTAATATTTAGAAGAGAGGGATTGAGAGTGGAAGGGAAGAGGATATTTTGACAAGGAGCAAGGCTTATTACTTTTTGTTTTTTGTTACTATTGTAGAACAGCTTTTTCTCGCAATTCAAATTCGCATTCATAACAAATCGGACAATAGCAGCAGAAGGACACAAAGGAAATGATGTATAATAGAGGGGAAAGGAAGAAGAAGAAGAAGAAGAAGAAGAAGTTGATAAGAAAGTGTGATAAGAGAAAGAAGAAGAAGAAGAAGAAGAAGAAGAAGAAGCGTCTTCCCTTACGCTTCATAGCACTATGATTATTGAGATATTGTACGTTTGGAAGAAAGAGAGACATGTCTGATAAGCCTTTTGTTTGGCGACTGCTTTCTGCCCGGATTTGGTCGCGTTCCGCGCGGAAGCACCGCGCGGAACGGCAAAACGTTTCCGCGCGCGCCGAGCAAAACGCTCTGTTTGTGTTGTAGCGCGCGATGATGACGAAACGAGCGCTCGACGATGACAAAACATGCACAGCCGGTGTATGTTTCTACGAAAAAGGGGCTCTTGTGACGTGAATGTACGGAAAAACAGCTGGGAAGCCGCTAAATTACTTTGAAACTTACTGCCATTGGCAAGTGTTTAGATAAATGCGCACAACTCGAGAACGGATAGTTTTCGTACAAAATAATCAATTACAAAGTTGCTGAGCATGAAATTTCCAACAATTTTTCTGTTGACAACTTTCTGAAACAATCACCGGTTCGCGAGATATAGGCCTTTGAAAGTGCGTGTTAAAAGTTCACCAGTGCCTTCTGTTCAAAGCAGCGTATCTGGATAGCCTGTAAAGAGATCAAAAAGTGGTCAACTAACAAAATATACAAAATAGGTTAATAAACAATTTTGCAGTTGACAACTTTTTATGAGAAACACTGGTTCGCGAGATAAAAATCTTTAAAAGTAGGAGACTTTGTTTTAGCATGAATCAAGCACCATGACCGCTTGTTTTTGCAAGTGTTGAACTTTGAAAAGGGTGTGTCTCTTCATATTGACCTATTTTTTAACGCTCAAAACTGAGTACACACTCTGTGGTGCTCTTTTTCGAAATCGCCTCCTATTTGCCACGTCATCGATCGAAAATTCGGAGATCACATCGTTCAAGAAGCCGTCTAATTGCTGCGAAAATCGATGAAGCATGAGTCAATGCGCTCAAAACACGTATTTATTGGACACAACTCCAAAATGATGTCACTTCCGCATGCATTCTTCGATGAAACGGTACAACAAGATTGGACAAAATGAGAGAGGTAGTGGACGACGAAATTCGACGAAAACGGAGAGAGAGAGAGAGAGAGAGAGAGAGAGAGAGAGTGAAAGAGAGAGAGAAAAAGAGAGAGAGAGAGTGGGCAGGGGAAGGGGAAAAAGTGATGAAATGATAAATGAATTTTTTATTTGGAAATGGTGAATCAAAACCGACCGTGTCTCACTTCATTTTAGGGCCAGAAACCTTTGCGAAAACGTTTTTCATTCCATTTGTCAATCGAAAAAAAGGAGATTTCAATCTTCTCGTTTCACCCATTTCTCAGCGAAGTGACGGCGGCAAAAATAGAGAGGCACGCAAAGTGCGTCAAGGCACCGGAAAAGCGTCAGGACTCAAGAGAGCAGCAAAAATGCTAAATGGAAATGAAACAAATTTGGATCCTGTAAAGGCACAAAAATGGAGGCACGCAAAGTGCGTCAAGGCACCGGAAAAGCGTCAAGACTCGTCAGGAAACGTTCATACAAATTTTGATCCTGTAAAGGCACTAGAATCGCGCCAAGACACCGAAAAAGCGCAAAGCGCGCAAAGCTCGCAAAGACATCAGAAATCACGGCTAAACATGATGAATGCAAAAGCAAAAGTTTGGCCATTTCGCTTTTCGCTCGAAAATTCATGAGAAATGTGAGTGACAGGTGTGAGAAGGTGAAATATTTTTTTGCAAAAAAAAAACAGGAGGATAATCTTAAAGTCAACACGAAGAGAGAGAGAGAGAGAGAGAGAGAGAGAGTGGATTTCCTCTCTCTCTCTCTCACACTTTTTCGCCCGATATGTGTTTGACCGTCACGCGAAAGCATCTCACTTTTGTGGACAGGCAGGAAAGGGGTGTCTTTTTGGACTTTCTCAAGTGTCTCATGTACTGCCACGTCATCAGTTTGTCACTCTCTCTCTCTCTCTCTCTTTCTTTCTCTCTCTCTCTCTTTCTCTCTCTCTCACTCTCTCTCTCTCTCTCTCTCTCTCTCTCTCTCTCTCTCTCTTTCTCTCTCTCTCTCTTTCTCTCGCGATTACTTTGTTACGGTCGGCTGAATGAGGTCAAGATGGATTGAGAAGAAGGAAGGAAGAAAGAGAGAGTGAGAGTGAGAGTGAACATTTTCCATTTAGAACTGAAGAAATTGAGGAAAATGGAGGTTTTTCAGTAGAAAATTAAGCAAGAGAGAGAGAGAGAGAGAGAGAGAGGAAGTTCCAATCTTCAGATCTGTGGCAGATTAGGCTTCTAGAAAACGTGTTGTGTTCCGCATGATTTCGTCGCTTTTTTGAAGCCAATGGCCACTTTGCAACCAGACGACATTTCGCAACGGTTGCAAAGTGTCCTGATAGCGAAACGTCCAAACGTTATGAAATTGTCAAAATTCCATGCTAATGCTTATAAATTTCGTTGAGCGCGCTTCCTCAAAGCCCTAGTTGCGAAGTGACTCGGTTGCAAAGTGTCCTCCAGTTGCAATACAACCTGCTCCTTAAAAACGGCAAAAAAAGACAAAACGAGGAGTAGCGCCGTTCCGACATTTTTCTGTGAGTGCTTTTTTGGGCCCAAATACTTTTTCTCTTGTTTTTTCACCACTTTTTCTCCAAGAACAAGTGCGAAGCTTCTAGAAGAAGAAGAAGAAGAAGAAGAAGAAGAAGAAGGAGAAGAAGAAGAAGAAGAAGTCAGTGCTGTTGATGATGATGATGATGATGATGATGATGAACGTATTATGAGTGAAAAAGAGGAAGAGAGAGAGAGAGAAAGAGGAAGAAGAACTGGTTTCGCCTTCCGCTTTTTCCGTCCACACGCACGACAACTACAAATACACTCGGAGATGGACTGAAAAAGAGGCAGAAAGAGAGAGGGGCACGGAATGGGAATTTCTGGACGTCTTGTCAGTTTATCTCAGACTTGCAACGGGCCGGGCCGGGCCAAAATTGGAAATTTTCCGGCCCGGCCCGGTCGGCCCGGGAGGATGCACCTAAAAATTCAAAGCGAACTAGAACTTCGAAACGAACATAATTTTATAGACTTAAAATTTTATAGACTTAAAAAGGCAATGTTATAGCATAAAAACCTGTTAAAAAATAGAAATTGCTGTTTAAAGCAGAGTTGAGCGGAAGAACTCAACGGAAGAAAACGGAAGAATTTTTATCTTTTTTAGAAAATTTTTTCATGAAATGTGATCAACTGACGAAATGTATAGCAAAGTGAACTCTGCTCACAAAAAAATAATTGTAAATTTAACTTTTCACACAAAAAAGTTATTCGAGTTGTTCCGTGAAAATGTCCTTCCGTCTTCCGTTGTCCTTCCGTTAGCCCTTTTTTCACGGAACAACTCGAATAACTTTTTTGTATGAAAAGCTAAATTTACAATTATTTTTTTATCAACAGAGTTCACTTTGCTCTACATTTCGTCAGTTGATCACATTTCATGAAAAAATTTTCTGAAAAAGATAAAAATTCTTCCGTTTTCTTCCGTTGAGTTCTTCCGCTCAACTCTGGTTTAAAGTGGCAAAATTTTCACAAAAATTACGAAAATTTTCTCAAGAGTGGGCGGAGCGATTGATTGCAACTCTGGCACGCCATTTTAGCAATTTTGCCGCACGCGTTTTCCTCTTCCTTCATATTTTTTTTGCATATTTTTTTTTGTGGTCTAACTTCCGGGCCGGCCCTGGATTTGGCAAGTCTGGTTTATCTCACCTCAATTCTCACCTCGAATCACTAGAAACTCGCCGATCACATTTAGATAAGAAGTTTGGAATCGAATTGTTAGCTAACAAAGTCGACATCAATCCTGATGACTTTTTCCTACGCTTAAACACTACACGGACTAGACGGGAGTCACGTTTACCGATGGAAGACTCCAAAATCGAAGCTAAGACACAACTTTTTTACACACAGAGATGAATCTATAAATAAATAAATAATCAAAAATGTTTTGCCTTCAAAACGTGGAAAAACACAAAGATGCGGAATGGAATTCCTGAGAAAATGTGATGAGAAATGGGGAAGAAGAAGAAGAAGAAGGAGAAGAAGAAGGAGAAGAAGGAGAAGGTCACTATGGAATTACAAGTGAATTACCTGTTTTTAGGGGGAATTGGAAGACACCCCCAAAGAAATGAGGGAATGGGAAGGGGGGCCACAATTAAAAGTACGCTAGTTGAGAAAACTATATCATTTTGGAACGATAATCTCAATTTTTTGTTCAAAACGTGTCGAAATGGATTCCTCGCAATCATACTAACATTTCCATTCAAAACAGGGCCGGCCGATGACTTTTTGAGGCCTGCACTTTTGGCCCAAACTTGGACGGATGGGTCCAAGAGTTGAGCCAAAGTACACGGAACAATTTTTATCTTTTTTAGAAAATTTTTTCATGAAATGTGATCAACTGACGAAATGTAGAGCAAAGTGAACTGTGCTCATAGAAAAATAGTTGTGAATTTAGCGATTCATACAAAAAAGTTATTCGAGTTGTTGCGTGAAAAAAGGAATAACTTTTTTGTATGAATCGCTAAATTTACAACTATTTTTCTATGAGCACAGTTCACTTTGCTCTACATTTCGTCAGTTGATCACATTTCATGAAAAAAATTTCTAAAAAAAATAAAAATTCTTCGCTCTTCCGCTCAACTCTGGTCCGATGCGGCGTTTTGACAGTTTTTTGGGGGGTAAAAAGCGAAAAAGTGTCGACGACTCATGTGTGCCGTTAAACACATTTGCAAACAAACTTTTTGGCCACATTCTCTGATATCAAAACAGTCCATTTTAGCTCGTTTTTTTTGCGGAATTGTGACAACTACAAAACGAGGCAGAGGAGTAGGTTTGAAAAGTGGGTTAAACCCGTCAGAAACGGAAAGTAAATACCAGTGGATGGTTTGACACAAAACGCACGAGTTGGCAGTGAAATGAAAAGTGATTGCGAAACGAAATAGTGAGAGACGGAGAGAGAGAGAGAGAGAGAGAGAGAGAGAGAGAGAGAGAGAAGAAGAAGAAGAAGAAGGAGCTTCTGTACAGGATGGGAAGAGCACAAAAACGAGGAAAAAAGGATGTTATTGTTGACACACACACAGAAAACAGAAAAATGATCATCGGAGAAACTGGATTGAAGGGAAAGAACGAAAGAGAGAGAGAGAGAGAGAGAGAGAGAGAGAGAGAGAGTGGACACTTTGCAACCAAACAACACATTGCCAGAACCAGTTGCAAAGTGTCCTGAAAAGTGTGATGGGTCACACCCAAAATCATTCAAAAACGAGTTCATTTTCTGAAAGTAGCGCTTGAAGTGAAGCAAGAAAAGAAAGAGAAAGAGAGAGAAAGAGAGAGAGAGAGAGAGTCCATAGAAAAACAGAAAAAGCACGAAAATAAAGCGTGTTTCCGGTGAGGCCGTCTTCAGCGAAAATGGGCGTTACTATGGGCGACAACAATTGGAAAACGGCGGTCGGAAGTCGACTTTTTGCAAGAAAAATGCTTTTTCGGCCCCAAAAAAGTGGTTGGATAATAGTGGTAGAGCGTAATTTTGAAGACCGATAAATCAATCTTGATATTATAAATTTCGGAACACTGAAAAAATCAGATATTATAGCCTCAAAATTGTTCCCAAAGCCGCATCGAAATCTCGAACATTTAAAGCTCGAAAAGCAACAAAAAACAATATGGCAAATTAATATTATATGAGCCGCAAAAGTGGTCAGAGAGTCCGTACCTAGGCATTGTGGGCCTCCGGCTGCTGAACAAATATGGAAATGTATTCAAAAAGTGTGGTAATGTATTGAAATTGAGTTGGAAAAGAGAGAAAGAGAAAGTGAGAGAGAGAGAGAGAGAGAGAGAGAGAGAAGAAGAAGAAGAAGAAGTTGAGTACATTCGCGGCGGGTCAGAGAAGGTAGACCAATAGATGCTGTCTGCGTCTCTTCTTCCCGCGCACGTTCTCGCCTCCCCCTCGCTGTGTGCCCCCGTCAAACACGGACGGAGAAAGAAAGAGAGAGAGAGAGAGAGAGAGAGAGAGAGAGAGAGAGAAAGAGAGAGAGAGAGAGTGAAAGTTTTGATAATAGTGGCCACTTGGACCCACTCCGGAGACGAACTGGTCACTTTCCGCTTTTTGTTCGGTTTTCCGCTATTATCCGTCTTCGCAACTGACACGTTGCCATTTTGCAACCGAGACACTTTGAAACCATTTTGCAACTGGCAGGCATTTTGCAACCAAAAAATCTGTCAATTCGAGGTCATTTCGCAACCACTACCGCACTTTTTCGTGATCGTTTTCCGGACACTTTGCAACCAGCCACTTCTCCTCATTTCTCTTTTGATTACCAAGACGTTTCGCAACCAAGTCGGTTGCGAAACGTCTCAAAGTTTTCTGAACGTTTAACGCTGCTAAAAAACATATTTCCCACTTTGTTTTCCAAAGTTTCGCGAAAATTCCGCGTTCCGACTTCCGCGTTCCGGCTTGTCAAATTCAACTTTAGAAACCGCGACATTTCGAAACCAATTCAGTACAAGTATTTAAAAATTCAAAAAACCGCCAAATTCGCGGTAGAAATGCATGTTAAGTGTATTTTAGCAATTAATTATGATTTCGGACTATTCAGACTAACACAAGCGTATAGCTTAACAAAATTATTCGCGAAAAGAACGGAATTCTGAGGAAAGAGAACGATCGAAAAGTTAGATAATACGAATGTTCGACAAAAACACAGAAAAAGCCGAGAAAAAACAGTGAAAAAACATCTATTTCCAGCAGAAAAAAAGAACACGTTTTTAACCTGAGCAATACGAAAATTTTCTGTCCATACTGCGAATTTGGCGGTTTTTTGAATTTTTTAATACTTGTACTGAATTGGTTTCCAAATGTCGCGGTTTCGAAATGTCGCGGTTTCCAAATGTCCCGGAGCCGATCCGGCACGCGGTCGACGAGATTTGGGCGGTGTCGAGCCGTCGACTGCACGAAATTCCACAGATCCCCGTGCCCGCCGACCTTTACGCTCTCTTCGTTCCGGTCGCCGAAGCAGCGGTCCCGTCAACCAGGAATGAACACGGACTTGTGAAGATTCTCCCACACGGTCTCCCACGGCGCGAATGATTTCAATGGGGCGCACTTGCAACAGGCGGACTGTGTCGATTTACGCGGCGGCGGTCGATTAATTAATTTTCAGCGGAAGTTCGCGTTCTTTCCATGTTTTCTGTACAATACACCTATTTTTTTGTACGCCTGGAACCTGGCGTCGAATAATTAGAGCAGTAGCTACGTTTTGGTAACAGAAATCTCGCATATCGTTGAGAATTAGCCGAGTTATTTCGATTTGAAGGTTTTGGCCTGGATGTAGATGTTTTTCGAATAGTTTTCGCGAAAACTTCTCAAGAAAACTAACCGCCGGAACCTGAATTTTGTGCAGAAAGATTCAGCGAACATTTTTATCGTTCGTTGAGCTCATGAAATGCAAAATGAGCTGAAGTATAAAGGTTTGAAGTTTTGACGAAATGCGAAAAAGACGCTAAAAATATGAAAAACTCTAAATTCTGTAAAGAACGGTTTCCAACCGGTAAAATATTGTTTTCTAGACGTTTTTCAAGTCAAAAAGAAAGAAATAAAGGTCGTAAACTCGAATTGAACTCCATTTTTAGACGTGCAAATTTTCAAAAGTTATAACGACACTCCGCAATTTACGAGCGCACTGTGTTTAGCATTAGCGCCCTGGGAGACCGTGTCCCACTTTGAACTTCCTCCTTCTCTTCGCTTCTTGTAGTTCTTTGCATTTCCACAGCGCCGACAGGTCTGCTCACTCTACCGATTGCCATTTTTGCATTTCCCCTCCCTTACACATGTTCGTCTTTGTTTTGACTCCCCTCGCTGGTTGCGGAATTAGTTGCGAAACGTTTTCATCCCGAATGCCACGTGGCAGATCAAGTCTGCACTTTTTCCAAACTTTCTCTGTTTTCCGTCATTCCGATTACTCTAAACGCGAAATGTTTAATGAAATAAATGTATGCTTTTTTTGTTAATGAATCAAAAAAATCGTTAGAAAACTCGTTCGTTCGCCATTTTTTTTTTAAGTGCAGAGATGTTCACACAGAAATGATCCAATCGTACATGTCCGGATGCTCATCCTCCTCGTCGATACTGTCTGAATGCCATTTTTGAGCACACACAAAGTACATGTATAAATATTGTATGCTTACACAATTTCACATTGGCCAGCTCGACAAACTTGAACACTTTTGTGCCGTTTCTCAAGCGACACAACTCTTTTACCGATATTTGACCCTACAAAAATAGTTGCACAATATACGTGTTCGTGTAATGTGTGACGCTCGCCTCGAAACATCGTTGATTTCCATTTTTGAACGAGACAACACAAGTGAGCTTCAGGCTTCCGTCCAGGAGAAATGACTCGGAGATTCGGGGGAACTGAAAGGGCTACTGTAGGTCTAGACATTTTTTGTGAAATCTTGACATCTAGTACTCCATTTTTGTAGTTGACAACTTGTTTGTACGACCACTCCCTGGAGTACTGTAGCGCTTTAAAGTTGGAGTTCGTTTGCTCAACTATGCTCAACTTCCAAGGACTGCAGCACCTTTGGGAGTGGTTGTAGAAAAAAATGTTCAACTACAAAAATACAGTACCAGTTAAGCTCTTCATTTTTGTAGTTGACATCTTTTTTGTACGACCACTCCCTGGCGTACTGTAACGCTTGGAAGGCAGGGATCGCTAGAAGCTTACGCATTTCAGTCCCAACTTCCAAGCACCACAGTTCTCCAGGGACGGGAGGTACAAAAAAAGTGTGAACTACAAAAGTACAGTACTAGATGTCAAGTTTTCAAAAAACACATTTTTAAGGCCTCACCTTAAAGATCTCATTGACGTGCTCCACATCTTGTCCAGCAACGGTTTTGCGTTTTTGCGATTTGTGACGCATCGCCGATTTGCTGCACTTGCGACGGAATTCCATCTTTAAAGTGGTCCCAATTGGTTCAAGAAAGCTCGCTTTACTCCAGTACACGAACTTTTAGGGACCGTATGGTCCCAACTGATCGCTAACATACCTCCAAATGCAAAAACTCCTCCACTTCGGGTCTCTTTATCTTTTCCTTCTCCGATCGAATCAGAATGACATGAACTGTCAAAAGGGCGCGGTTCCGATCGTATTGAAGAACGGCTTCGACGAATTTACGGGGATCTCTAAAGTTTTTCGCTCAAACAATCGTTTCCAGAACTTATTTGAAGCCCGAAACCACGCCCAGAAAACGTACACATTTATTAGATTGTTTCATAGACATTCTCATTAATGAAAACTTTTCGAGAGATCAAGGACGGGCTACTACTGTAGGCACAGTAGCCGGCGGGAACACAAATAACATTCACAAAGGGAACACACGGAAAAATAAGGGTTTGAGGTTGGATTTCAGGAGCTCTCGGAAATGGAATAATCGTAGTAGAAAAAAGTGTCACCAAAGTGATTCCGAGAAAGCCTGGCGGGAATGAACGGAAAATTAGCACATGCTCAGGCGGAAAGTGGGCACCGACGCCTCGCTTTGACGACGCAGTTTTCCTGACCTTCGCGAGCCTTCGAACGCGCTTCGACGGCGTTCCACTGGAATCGGAGCGATCTGCAACACAGTGGGGGGGTTCGGCGAACGAGGAAGACGGACGTGGCGGCCTAGGATCCGAGGCGAAAGAGCTAGGCCACCCGAATTTCTTACCGAATCTTCTGGAACGCCGGTCAACGGAGTGCTGGACATTGGTCGTGGCGCCGGGCTTCCAATTGGTTCTCTGGAAATATTTCTTTCAAAAAAAAAAAACGCTGACAGATTGCACAAAGAAGTGACTGGTTTTCTTTTCGAGTACACACGGCGACCAAAAACGTAGAAAGGGGCGTGGTCTAGCGTGCACGGTTTTTTTTCGAAATTTAACCCCAATTTTTCATATTTTTCGTCAAAAATTACCGAAATTTTGTACGATTTCGACGATGTAATTGCATAACTTTGTTAAACTAATCATCGCGCACTTTTTGAGCTTAAAACGAGCAGGTTTCATTCAGCGAATGAATCAATTAAATCGATTTTCAAATTTTGTGCTGAAAATGCGCGAATTTCAGTCATTCGCCGATACTTTTTGCCGTTTGAACGCTTAAAATACTTGTATTAACGTGCTTAATCACTTCCGACACTCACTTCGTCTCAAAACTATCCAGATCGGCATGAAAATTTATATGAAAATACCGAAATTGCGGCGGCGATTGGCCGCGGAGAGCGTATTGCGAAATATGCCAAAAACGTCTCAAGCGCGGCGTTTTCACGAAAATTTCAATGTTTTCTCTCATTAATGTCTCTTCTTTCGTCGATATCAGACACAAAAATGGCGGAAAAGAGCTGAAATTGCGGCAATTTTCAGAAAACGCGTCTCAGATTAGGCCACGCCCCTTTCTACACTTTTGTTCGCCGTGGTACAGTATTAAAGGAGCGCCACAAATCATTTTGTTTCTCGTGGCGAGACCCATTTTCACCAAAAAGAGTTCACACAAACCTTGGATGAAGAGCACGAAGCGAGTCATTCGGAGTTGTCGACGAGAGATTGGAGATTGCTGAAACAATGGGACATTTCGCAACGCCCGCCGAACCAGTTGCAAAACGTACAAGAGTTGGCGGAGGAGAACGATCTGGGACTCCTCGGCGACGGAGAGCCTCCCCAGAATTTTGGCGAGAAATTCGAGTTTGATGAATTTCCGCCGGCCGACTGAATAACTCCCGGCTCCTCATCGGGAACGCTCAGGAAGTTGGTCTGAATCGCCGGCAGCGTCAGATTACGTTTGTACGGCGCTTTTCCTGCAAATTGTCGTCAAAGCCGGCGCCGCGTCCGCAAACACCGATACCTTTGTTGGCGAGCGACGTCGCGGGAATTTGCACGGAATTTCGTTTCTCCGTGATTTTCATCACATTCAGCAGCTTTTCCGACGTTTGCTCGTCCGATCCGGCGACCCACTCGTTCTTCGCCGCCGAGAGCTCTCTGAAAATAGGCAAACGTCTCGACGCGACTTTTTTCAATGATTTTCCGGAAAACGACACAATTTTAATGTTTGTTGTACGTCTTTTGATGCGTTTTCATGATTTTTTTTGCCTTTTTAGGCATTTCCGTCGTGTCTCTCCAATCGGTTGTTAATTTTCTTCGATTAACTTGTAATTTTCCGCTTTTCTAATGGCGCTATTCAGCGTATGTTTGTTTTGCGTTTTTATCGTTTTTTTTTTACATCGCTGAATTGCATTTTTGACGTAAAAAAACGAAAAAAAAACGGAAAACAATCATTTTTTCACAGCCTGAATAACCCCATAACTCTGGCCGATCGATTACGCTCGGAGCAGTACATTTTTGTTCGTATTTTCGAGAAAATCGACGGAAATGCCTAAAAATGCTTATTTTCAAGCAGAAAACTGTAAAATCGCGTTGTTCTCCGAAATATCCGGGTAAATTCACGCGGTCGTGGCCTAGCATCCGAAATCGATAACAAACGTACCGTTCACTATAGCAAATTGTGCACAAATGATATTTCAGAGCTTTCTCGCCGGTTCCAGTGGTCACCGAGTGAGCGCACTTCTCGCAGAGGGACTGGAAGCAGGAGAATATGATGTTAAAAATAGCGCGGAACGTACAACGGAACATTTTTTGCACTTTGTCCCACTGTTCAGAATGTAACCGAGCGTGCATTGACAGATCGAGCACACCCGATTATTCCACTTGGGAAGCGGCGAGGTTCTTCTGGAAAACGCATGCATTTTTCGCAACCGCTGTCGTTTTGCAACTGGCAAATTCGGTCAAAATGCAAAGGAAACAACGGTTGCGAAATGTTTCGTTACCCGTGAGACACATTTCCGGGCGACGAGAGACCGCTCTCGGAGGACTCGGAGCCGGCCATCGAACTCGCGCGTCGCTTCTCCTGCAGACTGTTCTTTTTGATGGCGACGCATGTGGACAGCGATCTGCAAAGCAGCTAGAGCTCTAGTACCTCAAAAAAAGGCCAAAACTGACCTAATACGGTTCTGCTCCAACTGCTGAAACTCCAAATCCTTTTCGAGCACACTTCTGATCGCCTGCTGCTCTTCCAAACTCAACTCTTTTATCGAGTTGTTCAGCGCGTCCCACGATGCCATTCTCCTAAAAAATCTCATCGAAAAAAAGAAATTGAGAATAGAACAAAAGAGAGGCGTTGTGAAAAACAATATAGAACATGTGCATGTATATGAATGTCTGATTAGATTGATGCACTAGAAATGAGGTGGCAAATTGAGAGACATAAAAGAGCGGATCTTCCGGTTTCGGCGGGGATCGGAAGTGCGTAATTGGAGGAGAGATTCAAATTTATACTTTTACACAAAAGATGGATCCTAGGCTAAATGGGAGCTGATTTGAGGTGTATTGAGTGTAATCAGCAGAGTTGAGCGGAAGAACTCAACGGAAGAACACGGAAGATTTTTTTTATCTTTTTAAAAAAAATTTTGTATGGAATGTGAACAACTGATAAAATGTATAGAAAAGTGAACTCTGTTCATAAAAAAATAATTGTAAATTTAGCAATTCATACAAAAAAGTTATTCGAGTTGTTCCGTTGGCCCTTTTTTGAACGCAACAACTCGAATAACTTTTTTGTATGAATCGCTAAATTTACAATTATTTTTCGATGCGCAAAGTTCACTTTGCTATACATTTCGTCAGTTGATCACATTCCATGAAAAAATTTTCTAAAAAAGATTTAAAAAATGCTTCCGTGTTCTTGCGTTGAGCTCTTCCGCTCAACTCTGGCAATCAGTGATACACTTTTTAAAAAATTCAGTCGAAAATCGATTCGAAAAGCGGTGAAAAGGCGAAAAGTGATGGGCAAAAAGGGGTCATAATATTCCCACACACGTTTATGCGATGCATCATAAAAATGCGAACTGTGTTCGCGCTCTCTCTCTCTTTTTCTCTTTTTCATCGCTTTTCGGGAGAATGTTTTTCAATATCAATATTCCGATTGTATCGAACGTTTTCGTAATAAAGCGACTGATTTTAGGCGAAAAAACCGGGAGATTTGATGATAAAGTCGCTTGGGGATCTAGTGGGGGATTATTATTATCCTGCGGGACGAGTGCATCACACTCACTCGGAAAGCCCTCAAAAACTGATATTATTATTATTATATATATGGCCACAAAAAAAAAGAAGAGTGTGTGTGTGAGCACTCGGGAGACTCCCGGATAATCCGATCGACGCGAAACGAAAAAGAGCCGAGCAAGGATTTTTGTGCGCCTTTTTCGTTCGGATCAGGGCCGGCCCTTGACCTGGACCTTTGAACCACTTGCGATATTCCGATCGGACCCAAACTTTGCAGTCTTTTTGGACATGGTTTGAGGAATACTGGGACCAAGTTTCAGCCCGATCGGATCATCTGGTCCCGAGATATGTGGATCCATCCACATATCTCGGGACTCGACGATCCGATCGGGCTGAAACTTGGCCCCAATGGCCCTCAATCCGAGTCCAACAATCCGGCAAAGTTTGGTTCCGATCGGAATATTGGAATATTGCAAGAAGCCCTGGTTCGGACGTTTTCTGATGAGAAATACGAAAAATTGGGAGTAATTTAAGGGGAAAAAGGGAAAAGATCAGAAATCCGAGTTCTCAGAAATGATGCGATTAGACACAAATTGTAGGTGACAATGTGGAAAAACAAGTGAAAATTCGCACAGAAACGGCGAGGAAGAGGAGAGGTTTCGAGGGGCGGATTATTATATAATGTTATCACAAAAAGAGCACGAAAAGGTGAGTTGGTCACATGTCGGCGACTAGTGGCAACCAACTGGAAGAAGAAGAAGAAGAAGAAGAGAAAAAGAGAGAGAGGGGGAGAGAGATGGATAATAATAATATGCATGTATCCAAATTCCCCTTTTTATTGTCACGTGGAGCGTGTCTCAAAGCGCTGAAAAGTTAGACGAACGTGGCGACTTCCCCCCGCTTTCTACCAGAGTTGAGCGGAAGAACTCAACGGAAGAATTTTTATCTTTTTTAGAAAATTTTTTAATGGAATGTGATCAACTGACGAAATGTATAGAAAAGTAAACTCTGCTCATCGAAAAATAATTGTAAATTTAGCGATTCATACAAAAAAGTTATTCCTTTTTTCACGCAACAACTCGAATAACTTTTTTGTATGAATCGCTAAATTTACAATTATTTTTCTATGAGCAGAGTTCATTTTGCTATACATTTCGTCAGTTGATCACATTCCATTAAAAAATTTTCTAAAAAAGATAAAAATTCTTTCGTTGAGTTCTTCCGCTCAACTCTGCTTCCTACGTCTTCGAGTCCAAAAGGGATTAGTCGCTCTCAACTGATGGGATTTGCTCTCCGTTTTCTGCCGCACCGAGTGCTCCTAGGAGGACCGCATGATCGGAAATCTATTTGGGGGATTACATATTATCCGCTCACTTACTCATGTGATCGCTCATGTCGGCTATTATAAAGTCACGAAGACATTTACTACTTGCTGAAGGAGCACATTTTGTAGCACACTCACTCTGGACTTCACTTAAAATCACTCGCATTGAATTGGCTCTTTCAGCTACGTGTCAAAAGTGTTGACATCACTCAACAACTCTATAATTTCCACTTTTCCATTAAAAAAAAAAGCCTCACAGTCAGATTCTACAAAGAAATAAAGGAAACGTCATTGGCGTCGGGAAGTCGGAAGTTCAATGACCCCATTATCGGGTTCCGCATCCCATTCTTCGCCTTTTTTTGTTGTTGGTTTCTTGCTATTTCCGAGGCGTATGTTCCCAGTGTTTGGGCGTTTCAATTGAAAAAATCGCGGGGAAAACGAAACAAGACTAACAATAATAAAACTGTGAGAAACTAGGGAAAAGACACAAAAATTGAGGGGCTGACATGAGATAAATCGAAAAATTCTACACAAATCCTAAGAATCGACATTGTGCGCCTCCACCAATCTTCTGTACAACGATCCTTTTTTGGCCATCAGCTGTTCGTGCGTTCCGCTTTCCAACGCCTAAAACAATTCGTCTCTTCTCGTGGAAAAATCTCAATCGCTTTTTTTTACCTTTTTATCCTTAATCACATAAATGAGCTGGGCGGTTCGGATCGTGCTCAGCCGGTGGGCGATCACAAGGACGGTGCGTCCCTTCATGACCGTGTTCAGCGCCTCCTGCACCAGTTGCTCCGATTGCGAATCCAGGGCGGACGTCGCCTCGTCCAGAATCAGAATCGGCGGGTTTTTGAGGATGGCGCGCGCGATCGCAATTCGCTGCTTCTGACCGCCTGCAAAACGAAGAGTTTGCTTTGAAATTCGGCTTCTACTCGGATCTTCTTCAATTTTTCTTCAGCACACACGCGAGGCACCTTATTTCAATTAGTTATTATGATAACTTAAAACTAGATAGTCCGAATAAGTACTAGTAATCTTGCAAAATAGAGCTACAACTCGAACCTTCAAGACGGAATGCTGAACAAAAACAATAAGTGCTTACCCGATAACTGTGCTCCTCTCTCGCCGACGACCGTCGCGTAGCCGTTCGGGAATCTCGAGACGAATTCATCGACGTGAGCCGCTCGAGCCGCCGCAAGCACCTGAATAAGAGCTAGTGGACAGAGGATGCGATTTAGGAGAAACCCGTACCTCTTCGTCGGTGGCGTCGGGCCGTCCGTACCGAATGTTCTCCTCGACAGACGTGGCGAAGAGGACGGGCTCTTGCGAGATGAGCCCGATGACCTGTCCGCGCAGCCATTCCACATTCAGTTCTCTCAAATCTTTTCCGTCCAAAGTCACTCGACCCGATTTCGGCTCGTAGAAACGCTCGAGCAGATGCGTTATCGTACTTTTTCCTGGAAAAAAAAACATATTTAGATCAATAAGATCAAGAAAAAGTCAAAGCATTGATGCGTTTCTTGAAGACAGCAATGTTTTCCAGAGTTGCCACGGGCCGGGCCGGGCCGGGCCGAAATTGTCAAAACTCCGGCCCGGTCGGCCCGGTTCAAAAAGCGGGAATCCAAATTTTGAACTATTGATTAAATAAAATGTTTGTTTTTCGTAGAACTAACGAATTTTGCAAGTATCGAGCATAAAAAAGCAAAACTTGAACGACTTTCCACTTCTCAGACAGAACTTCGCAGTTGCATCCGTGATTTTCGCAACTTGATTGCTGGAGAGCTTTTTCTCGTTGAACTGAGTGATCTTTTTTTCTGCTTCAATTTTTGAATTATCCTCTTCAGCACTTTTTAAATTTTGATCCCCGCAAAAAAACGAAAAAAATAGATTTCCCCAAAAAAATTTGAATTCGCGACTTTTTGAGCCGGGCCAGCAAATTTTTCGGCCCGGGCCGGCCCGTAATTTGGCAAGTCTGATGTTTTCTTTCAGTTCTTCACCTTCTCCACTTGGTCCACACAAAGCGACAACTTGTCCGGCCGGAATCGTGAGTGTCAGGTTTTCAAAGACCTGAAAATAAAGTCTAGAACAAGTCGAATTTTTATAGATATCCAAAACCGGCGTACCGTGTGTCCAGGCCGTGTCGGATAGGCAAAAGAGACGTTCTCGAACTGGATGTCGCCCCAGAGAGTGTGATAGGGAATGCAGACGCCCGAATCCAACGCGATCGACGGTTCCAAGCGGGCGAATTGAAGGACACGCCCGCCGGCGGTCCATCCTTTGATCGCCGTCCCGAAAATAATCGATAATTGGCTGAGCGAGCGCTGAATCGTCTGCGCCGACACGAGGAAACTCATCAGGGCGCCGGGCGTCATCTCACCCTGCATCAAACTTTTTTCTTAATTCCGCCGACTTCAGACTAGAAGAAAAGTGGGAGAGAAGATGGAAAAAATTCGAAAAAGTAGGAAAACCTTTGAAATGAGGTTGGATCCTCCGTAGAGCACGGAAAGGATGATGCCGTTGAGGAACAGATTGGTTCCCGCCTGGAAAACTCCGATTCCCACTCCGAGTTGCTCTTGCATCGCCCGCGCTTTGTCCAGTTCCGAGTCGAACAGTCTGGAACCTTATTTTTCACGTCAAAAAGCTGAATTCACATCATTATCATTCGATGTATTATAAATTATCTCTATTCAAAACGTCGTATCTCGGCTGCCGGTGGAGATATCAAAAAGTCGTCAACTCACAAAATGTTCATTAGAAAATTATGAATTTCAGTTGACCACTTTGGGATATCTCCACCGACAACTGAGATACATTTATACCTGGACTCGAGTTTCTCCATTGCAAACGCGCGAACCGTTCGCATGTTGGTGAGCGCCTCGTCTGAAACTGCCGAAGCTGTCGCTGATTGCGCTTGCGCTCTGAAATTTGGAAACTTTGTTCAGTCTTTCAAGACGCGAAACGATTTGCAATTGGATGATATTCACTGGCCCTAGCCTGGAATCCTACAAGCCTGCGCACTTTTTTTTTTCATTTCTTCCAATACACTTTACATCTTGCTGACCTCCTGCTCAACTGCCGCAGACCGGCCCCGACGGCGCTGCCGGTGAGAATGATGGCCGGAACGACGGCGACCGTGTACATTGTCATCGTGGGCGACAAGAACCAGAGGGATCCGATGCATCCGACCGTTTGGGCGAACGTGCGCAGTCCCTGGCTCACGCACATTTTGAACGAACTCTTGAATTCTTGAACGTCCGCGTTCAGCCGCGCCGACAGCTCTCCGCTTTTCTGCAACAACAAAAAAAACGTGTGAACATTTGAAAAAAATCGCCGAAACTGACATGCGAATCGAAGAAGGCCATGTCGTGGTGAAGGAGCTTGCGGAAGAGATCCGAGCGTAATTTGGTGGCCATCCGCTCGCCGAGCACCGTCAAAAACGTGATGTAGAGGAAGGTGAGCGCGGATTGGACCACGTACATGGCCATGAGCCGGCCCGCCGCCGGCCGCAGCTGATCCAAGTGTGACCGCAGATTCTTCGACTCATTCTTTATGATCTCGACGATTCCGTTCACCAAATCGCCCAAACACAACGGAATTTGAATGTTGATGTAGGCCGAGAGAATCGCGCACTGAAAAAGAATAAAAATTGTTGAGAAAATGACGCGAGAACAATTTTCACTGCTTCATTAAAGGGAAAACACTAGAAAAAACGGTGCAGAGTCCATCGAACACAACAGCAAAAACACCCAAAGATCGGCGGAACAGATGTCTTCACAAAATTTTCGCGGGCGTTTTTTGGCGCGAAATTTTGAATTTTCAAACGGCACGCGTAGGGCGAATTTTCATTTTTCAAGCAAATCAGTCGGCTCACGATTGTTCGTGTGACCGATAGCTACAGACTGATACCGGAAAGGGCGCGCTGTTCGCAATCTGGCCGAATTTCTAGGCCGCTAACTAATTTTCCACTGAAAATGTGGCCTAACTTTTCAGACTCGGCCCCGAGGTCGCTCAATTTGCACTGCAAAAACAGTTTCTCAACAGAGCGCCATTTCTGTGCGGTGCCCCTATAATACCGTTGCGTCCAACGACACTCCGGTCATAACGGCTCGCCAATTTGAACGTTCGCTCTCGGGAAGGCAGTCCAGCCGAGCGATCGGCCGAAAAAAAAACGAAAATCCTCGGGACGGACGGACCGTCGGGAGAAACTACAACTTATGATTGACGTGTCACCCGAACACACTTTCATCTCTGCGACACGCGTGTCAACCGGTCCATTTCCCAGACAGCAATGCTCGCGCAAGCGCCGCAACGCAACGCAGTCGCTCTGTTTTTGGCCGATCGCTCGGCAGATCGGTCCTCTCGATCCTCCTCCTCTTCCTGCCTGCCTGCCTGCCGTCTCGCACCGCAACGCGGCGCGTCGCGCGTACGCGCGCGCGCTTAGCACTATATATGTGGTACTCGCTTGTTTTTCTCGTCATTTGTGTCTCTGTTTTTTTCCGATGAGCGGACCCTCTTCCGTCGATCTCTTGATTGGTGGTGGGACGCTTGACTCTATGTTTTCTGTGACATACTGTTGAAAAAAAAGGTTCGACATTCGAATCGGTTCAGTAGTTCTTCGGATTTTGAGTCCCCCCCCCTCCCCGCATTTTCTTTCAAAAAAAAAAAAACAAAGCCATATCCTAACCACGACAGCGGCGAGAAACCATCCGAAAAACGGTTTGACAAGTTGCCAGAGCTCCCAGAAGGTCATTCCGGCACTCTGATCCTCTTTTCGCAGATGCTCGATTCGTTTACTCAATTTCGGAGCACATTTTGCTCTCCTGAAGGTGACCGCCGCCAATCCGGTGCCAAATCCACAAATTCTCCACGTTTTCACGATTTGCGATCGCGAAATCGGCTTGTGAAGCCATGATATTCGTGTGATCGTGGAGTAGCTGAAATTTGGACAGTTTTCTGATTTCTTAGACACCTAAATTGTGCGGAAACATTTTTTGCCACAGGAAATTCAAAAACCCACGAATTTTTGCCATTTTGCACAGCACTCCTGATCAATAAACTGGATAATCCCGCTAGTTTGCAGAAAATTGCCATTTTCTGTAAAAAGAACTAATGAAAATCGATGAAACAGACCGCTTATCAGTGAAATTCTATGGAAAATGAGGTCGGAAGGAAAAATACGGAAAATGTGAAACACGTGCGGCAAGGTTGCGAAAACGCGTGCCAGCCTTGCGTTTTCGCGTCAACAAGGTGTTTTTATTCAATTTTCGCGAGAGAAGCCCATTTTTCTTCAATGTTTTGCCTCGAATTGGTGGGAACATGCTGTTCAAGTTGAAAATTGAACAAAAATTGTTTTTGGACTGACAAAATCGGTTTGATATTGATTTTTCAGTCGTTTTTACTCAGTCCGTGAATCCGTCGATTTTTATGTAATTTGCCTCATTTCTCTAGCGATGAGCAATATTGCGAAATTTACAAAGTGTATTTCCATGTTCCGCTCAATTTCCTGCATTCGCAATGCCTCAATTTTCAGCTAAAACAGAAGAATGGACGATTTTCCGATGTACATCGACGACGGCGCGGAATCGCTCACTTTTGTCGACAGCGACGACGAGCGGATGACGCCGGCGACCCAGGATTCGCACTACGACTTTGGCGAGGGCTTCAGCGTCCCCACGCAAATGTCTCAGGTGCGTTATTCAATTTTTCACAAAAATAATTATTTCAATGTTCAGGCGACCGACATCGTTCCAGGCGTGGACTGTGCCAGCGATTTGCAATTCCACGATGTCGAGGACGAGTCGGACAGCGAAAAGAGTGTCCCGGAGGGCGAGACACAGCTGCCCGAGCACGCGTGCCGCTATTGTGGCATCTCGGACCCTCTGTGCGTGGCCAAGTGCACTGTCTGTTTCAAGTGGTTCTGCAATTCAAACAGCGGGACCGCAGGCAGTCACATTGTCCACCACATGGTCCGAAGTCAGCACAGAGAGGTAAATACGAGAGAAAATTAGGGATTTTCCTAGAAGAGCTTGCAAAAAACCACGATTTCCATGTTTTTTTTTGTGATAAAACTACTGGAATCCTCAATTTTCCCTAAAAGTCAGTCTAAAAAAATCTGGATTTGCAGGCCTACACGCACAAAGATTCGCCTTGCGGAGACACTCAACTCGAATGCTACCGGTGCTGCTCGAAAAACGTTTTCAATTTGGGATTCATCCCCGGAAAGAAGGATCAAGTCGTCGTGATCATCTGCCGAACACCGTGCGCCAACCAAACATTCCAAAACGATGACAATTGGGCGCCGGAGGACTGGAAGTCGATCATTGCGGAGAAACAATTGCTCTCGTGGATAGTGAACGTGCCGAGCGAGGAGCAAATGGCCAGAGCACGCAAAATCACGTAAGCAGCGGGGGAAATTGCGAAAATTCACGACAAACAACATTATTTTGCACAAGAAGAAGCATGAACAACCTAGGAAAATGCCCATTTTTCTCAATTCTATGATTTTCAGTACTTCGCAAGCGCTGCGACTGGAAGAACTGTGGCGCGACATGCCGGACGCGACGATCGACGACTTGAACAAGCCGGGACTGGATCGGGAGCCGGATCACGTGCAGTTGCGGTACGCGGACGCCCACGAGTACAACAAGGTGTTCGGGCCGTTGGTGGCGATCGAGGGAGAGTACGACAAGCGGCTGAAGGAGTCCGCCTCGCAGGCGGTCGGCACCGTCCGTTGGGAGCATGGACTGCGCCAGACGGTCCTCGCATACTTCCATCTCCCCAAGTTCTCAGACGGATGTGAGTTTGGGGCTGGAAAAGGCGGAAAATTCGGGATTTGTTGCGGAAGAAATAGGAAAAACGCGGATTTTTGAGAGATTTTAGATTAATGTTTGTAATTTGTTTTATGTTTTTCAGGCATGAAATTGATGAAGGGAGACGAACTGCGATTGAAGCACAATCAGACGGTCGACGGTTCCGAGTGGAGTGTGATCGGAAGCGTCGTCAAGATTCCCGATAGTGAGTTTACGTTTTTGGGCATTATTACCAAATTGCAAAGTTGTTCGAAAATTGAGAATTTTTGGGGATACTCAAATAGCGTAACGCAATTATTCGATAATTTGCAGATCACAGCGATGAAGTCGGAATCGAGATTCGGCGTCAAGTGGAGAAGTCAGTGATGGAGTCGCGCATCATGTTCACGTGCGACGTCGTCTGGAATTCGGTCACTTTCGACCGTCAGCACAAGGCCTTGCAGCTGCTGAAGGAGGACGACTCGTGCCTTTCGACGTACCTATTCAAGAAGATCATGGGCCACCAGTCGGACGAGATGATGCTCAAGTTCGACCTGCCGCGCCGGCTCTCCGTTCCCGGCCTGCCCGATCTCAACAGTTCGCAAATGCAGGCAGTCAAGCAGGTGCTGACGCGGCCTCTAAGTCTCATCCAAGGACCGCCCGGCACCGGAAAAACTGTCGTCTCCGCCTCGATAGTTTATCATTTAGTGCAAAAAACCGAGGGAATTGTGCTCGTGTGCTCGCCCAGCAACATTGCCGTCGATCATTTGGCCGAGAAGATCCACAAGACGGGCCTTAAAGTGGTGCGACTGTGCGCGAGATCTCGCGAGAACACGGACACGACGGTCCAATTTCTGACGCTCCACCACCAGATGCGCGTGATGGCCGGACCCGAGCTCCAGAAGCTCATCCAGTTAAAGGAGGAGATTGGAGAGCTCGTGCAGAAGGACCACGAACGATTTACGCAGCTGAAAAGGGTGAAGGAGCACGAGTTGCTAGCCGCCGCGGACGTCATTTGCTGCACGTGCTCCACGGCCGCCGATGCCCGGCTCAAACAGATCCGGACGAGAACCGTGCTCATTGACGAGAGCACTCAGGCCACCGAACCGGAGATCCTCATTTCGATCGTGCGAGGAGTTCGTCAGTTGATCCTTGTGGGAGATCACTGCCAACTGGGACCGGTGGTCACGTGCAAAAAGGCCGCCGTGGCCGGACTCAGCCAATCGTTGTTCGAACGGCTCATTTTGCTTGGAATTCGGCCGTTCAGATTGCAGGTTTGTGCGAAGTTTGGTGACAAATGGATAATTGTCTCGGAAATCTCCAGAAAAACAGTTTTTCACCGTTTTTCTGGACCGTTCTTTTACTATAACGTTTCTGTTCAATTTCAGGTCCAATACCGCATGCATCCGGTTCTCTCGGAGTTCCCCAGCAACGCGTTCTACGACGGAAGCCTGCAGAATGGAGTCACCGAGAGTACGTGGAAAATTTTTGAATTTGTCTAAAATTCTGCAAGAAAAGCATATAGAATGGGCCAAAACCTACCAATTTTTGCAGACGATCGCAAAATGAAGGGCATCGACTGGCACTGGCCGACGCCGGACAAACCGGCCTTCTTCTGGCACTGCTGCGGCGCCGAAGAGCTCTCTGCGTCGGGCACCTCGTTCCTGAACAGAACGGAGGCGGCGAATGTGGAGAAGCTCGTGTCGAAGCTGATAAAGGGCGGCGTGCAGCCGGGACAGATCGGAGTGATCACGCCGTACGAGGGACAGCGCAGCTTCATCGTCAACTACATGCACACGCAGGGTACCCTCAACTCCAAGCTCTACGAGAACATTGAGATTGCGAGTGTCGACGCTTTTCAGGTACGGTTCTGGACGGGACATCGGGAGAAGTTGGCGAATTTATGTGAAATTTTACAGGGCCGCGAGAAGGACTACATTATTGTGACGTGCGTCCGTTCGAACGAACTTTCGGGAATCGGATTCCTAAGCGATCCGCGCCGTCTGAACGTGGCGATCACGCGCGCAAAATACGGAATTGTGGTGGTCGGAAACGCGAAAGTGCTGGCGAGACACGAGCTGTGGCACGAGCTGATCAACCACTACAAAGAGAAGGAGCTGCTGTACGAGGGACCGATTAGCGCCCTCAAACAAGTGAATCTGGCACTGCCGAAGCCGACGCTCAAGGCCCGGAACAACATTGCGGTGAGTTTGGGATTCTTCTGGAATTTCTAGAAATGTTTGTTGCAGGGCAACACGACAAAGTTCGGAATCCGGCGGATGCAATACACGTACAACGAGTACAAGAACCTGGATCCGTCGCAGCCGCGCCTGCCGCCCACGTACGCAAACTCGCAGAATCTGCTGAGCATGAGTCGCCTGGGCCGAGAACTGAACTCGCACATTCCCGTTCCCGCGCACATGATCGACCCGCTCATCTATTCGGCACGCACGCAGAAGGGTACGACCTTTGTTTCCTTATCCGAGTGAAAAACATCTTTTTTGTTTCAGATCGTCGCCGCGAGCAACGTCGTCAGGCGGCGGAGGCGTCTTCCGCGATGGACTTCTCGCAGGACATGTCCCAATCGCAGTCGTCTCAGTACGCGCACGCATCGCAGACGCACTCGCAGTACACGCAGGACGGCAACGCGTCGCTCCTCTCCGGCTGGTCCCAGTCGTCGCAATCGAACGGGAAAGCCGCGAAAAGCGGTGGAGCCTATCAGCACGTGGCCACGCAGCCAATGACGCAGGACATGGACGAGATGGAACAGAAAATGACGGATTTGCTGCTCTCGCAAGACATTTGATGAGCAGGTTTCCGATTTTTTCGAGCAAAAAAAAATCCCCGGATTTTTCCCCCGATGGAGAACGTGCGCGACGATGGAAGCGGCCGTGACGATGGATTCTTGTTCTGGAAATGTCCGACGCAGATTTTCCGCTTTTTTTCCTATTGAAACCTATGACAATTCAAATTCGCTCTCAATACAGCAATTGAAAAGTTATGTTTACTAAAAGTCTGAGAATTTTTCGAGTCCGAGACAGAGCGAATTTGCATTCTATATCTATTCTCATGTTATTCCCCCATTTTCAAAGAAAAATTTAAAATCCCCCCTCCAAAAAAGTACTGTTTCTAATTCTTTTGTTTTCATGTTTTCTACTCGTTTTTCAATGCAAAGGTGTTAGTTTCTTGCATGTTCCTTCGTTTCTTCGCCTTTTAATGTGAAACAAATAATTGGTAATAAAAAGGATTACCGGGTTTATTTTGTCGTATGTCTTGTAGAAGTTTGGTTGAAATTGCCGATTGTTATCTTCAAAAATGCTTTTTCCAATGTCTTTTCGGTTATTTTTCAATTATTAAGGGTTTATTCTCGATTAAAAATGGTGCACAGCAGCCGCAAACGCAACTTTAACAACAAGCGAAAAGGGCACGAGCCGCGAGAAAACAAGTGGAAGGACGATCGCGACGCGCCGGGCAACCAGGGCTACCGCGAGGTGCAGAAGGAGAACGAGAAGTACTGGCAGTACTACCGCGAGCAGCAAGTGTTCCCCATCGAACAGTTCGACGAGTTCCGCGCCGCCCTCCAGAGGGATCTGCCCGTTTCGTTCCGATTCCAGGGATGCCACAAGTGAATAACTTTAAATGACAAATAGCGGTTTCCTTTTTGGCCGGTCCAGGATTTCTGATCTCTAAACTTTTTGATCGCTTGCTTGTAATATTTTTTTGATCGCTTCACGGCGACCAAAAGTGTAGAAAGGGGCGTGGCCTAATCTGAGACGCGTTTTCTGAAAATTGCCGCAATTCCAGCACACTTTTCCGCCATTTTTGTGTTTGATATCGACGAAAGAAGAGGCATTAAAGAGAGAAAACATTGAAATTTTCGTGAAAACGCCGCGTTTGAGACGTTTTTGGCATATTTCGCAATAAGTTCTCCGCGGCCAATCGCCGCCGCAATTTCGGAATTTTCATATCGGCCCATTTGGATAGTTTTCAGATGAAATGAGTGTCGGAAGTGATTAAGCACGTTAATACAAGTATTTTAAGCGTTCAAACGGCTAAAAGTATCGGCGAATGACTGAAATTCGCGCATTTTCAGCACAAAACTTGAAAATCGATTGAATTGATTCATTCTCTGAATGAAACCTGCTCGTTTTAAGCTCAAAAAGTGCGCGATGATTAGTTTAACAAAGTTATGCAATTACATCGTCGAAACCCGTACAAAATTTGGGTAATTTTTACGAAAAACATGAAAAATAGGGGGTTAAATTTCTAATTTCGCGCCAAAATGGTGATAAACCGTGCACGCTAGGCCCCACGCACCTTTTTACGTTTTTGGTCGCCGTGCGCTTGCTTGTAATATATTCCGATCGGGCCCAAACTTTGCACGCTTTTCGGAATTGGATTGAAGTATATTGGGGCCAAGATTCAGACCGATCCGATTATGTGGTCCCTAGATAAATTGCGGTTATCTCGGGACCAGATAATCGGACGGGTCTGAAACTTTGACCCGCAATACTTCAATCCACGTCCGAGAGGCATGCAAAGTATCGGTTCGATCGGATCATTGCGCGCGAAAAGACAGGCTTTCGCGCCTGCGTCTCTGCATTTTCGCACGCAAATCGCGTCTCTCACGCCCCCAGTTGTTTTTGTATGCAATTTCTCAGTCCAGGCATCGACAGAGCTTCGAAAAGCCTGGCCCTAGAAAAGTTCTAGAATATTTTGCAACAGAGGACAGGCTTTCAATTAGAAAATTTAAAAAGTGTTCTATCTAGCCAGCGAGAAAGTGTCAATTCTTGCAGAGACCGCGAACAACTGATCCACGAGATGGAGAATCGGTTCTTCGGAAAAATCACCGAATCCGGAGACACGGCCGTCTGTGTGCCCAAAAGTTTGCCATGGTAAGCAGCGTTTTTTTTTCTCCGGACTTTTGCAAAAATTCGCAATTTTCAGGTACAAAGAGGCGTACCAGACGCCAATGTCGCGCACGGCGGTCCGCAGTCATCCGATCCTCGCTCAACTGCACAACTTCCTCGTCACGGAGGCGGAACTCGGGAATCTGTCCCGACAGGAGGCGGTCTCGATGATTCCGCCGCTCCTGTTGGCCCCGACTTCCGAGCATTTCGTGCTCGATTTGTGCGCGGCGCCCGGATCAAAGACCACTCAGCTGCTCGAGATGATCCACGAGAACGACGAGAATCCCAGTGAGTCTGAGAGGCGTTCGAGCGCAGAATTTTTGCTAAATTGCAGGGCCGGACAAGTTTCTGCCCGGGCTTTTCAAAGGCTTTTTGATGCCTGGACTTTTGACCCATTTCTAATAATCCGATCGGGCCTAAACTTTGCAGGCTTCTTGGACTGAGATTGAAGTATCTTGGGTCCAAGTTTCATACCGATCGGATCATTTGGTCCCGAGTTATGTGGATCAGAGGCCGAAGAAGCCGGAATTTTGCGAAAATTGCGGCCTCTTCGGCCTCTGATCCAAATAGCTCGGCACTGCACGATCCGATCGACCTGAAACTTGGACTGACGATACTTCAACCATAGTCCATAAAGCCTACAAAGTTTGGGCCTGATCGAATTGTTACAAGTGGGTCTAAAGCCTTGGCCGAATATTGCCCAGCCTTGCTACATTGTGAAATATCCGGTAAGAAAACTGGAAAATGAAGGGTTTTGTGTTGTTGGTTTTTGTAAATTTTTGTAATTTTGCAGAGGGAATGGTGATCGCAAACGACGTGGACATGAAACGGTGCTACATGCTCATCCACCACACGCTCAAACGTTTCCGCACCGCCGCGTGTGCCGTCACTTGCGAAGACGCCGCCCGTTTTCCCAAAATCATGGACAAGGTACGAATTTATGGGAAGCAACTTGTGTATTATAGGGGCACCGCACAGAAATGGCGCTCTGTTGAGAAACTCTTTTTGCAGTGCAAATTGAGCGACCTCGGGGCCGAGTTTGAAAAATTAAGCCACGTTTTCAGTGGAAAATTACTTCGCGGCCTAGAAATTCGGTCAGATTGCTAACAGCGCGCCCTTTCTGTCTGGTGCCCCTATAATATTTCATTTTTGCAAATTTCCCACTGCTCCCTTTCACAAACATTTCACAAATTGTCTCTAGGACGGCGGCGTCGTCCAATTCGACCGTGTTCTGGCGGACGTGATCTGTTCGGGCGACGGAACTCTGCGCAAGAATCCGGAAATCTGGAAGAAGTGGACGCCGCAGGACGGACTCGGACTCCACAAAATGCAGATTGCGATCGCGCGAAAGGGCGCCCAGCAGCTGAAAGTGGGCGGACGGATGGTCTACTCGACGTGCTCGATGAATCCGATCGAGGACGAGGCGGTGGTGGCCCAGCTGCTGAGGGACTCGAAAGGATCCCTACGGCTCGTCGACACGCGCCCGCTGCTGCCCGAATTGAAGAGGGAACAGGGTGTGAACGCGTGGAAGGTGTACGATCGTGACATGAAGTTGTACGAGACGATCGAAGACGTGCAGGAGGAGAAACTCAAGAAGGTGCTCGTGCGCTCGTGCTTCCCGCCCACACAAGACGAGGCCAAGGACATGAACTTGCACTACACGTGAGTTTTACGCAAAACTGGGCGAATATGAGCAGCAAAATGTTGAATCATCATCGACAATTCAAAAGCGTCAAAAGATCTGGAAATTTTTTGAAAATGTCCTCTAAAAAACACTCAACCCCTTTCTGTTTATCGAAAAAGTGACGGCGCCTACTTATTCTCCTTCTTTTTCTTCTTCTTGCCGCCCGACGGACACTTGTCGCTCTTCGCCTCTCCTTCGGCGTTGTTCGTGCTCTCGGCGGCGCCCATCGTCGATCCGCCGGGCGGTCCGCCGGGTGGTCCGTTAATTCTCGTCACGTCCGTCTGCACATTTTCAGTCGAAATTTCACTCAAAATGCGAGCTTTACCTTGAAATAGCGTCCGTCGGGGTTTTCCCAATCCGCTGGTGGCACCGAAGGCTGCAAAATGACTTTTCGCTTGCGCCTAAAAGCCTAGATTTTTCTCAGTATATCTCGAGACCAAAACGCCCGATCGGCCTGCAAAGTTTCGGCCCGATCGGTTCATTGCCGCTTGCACAGCCTAGCCTAGAACATTACCGAAAACGCGCACTCACATCAGGATCCTTGGTTTCCCAGTCGAATCGAGAGCTCGGAGTCTGTCCTTCGTTGAGCATCACTTGCCAGAGTCCCTTGAAAATCATGCTGAAAGTGAACAAGCGAAAAAAAAAGTTTCGAAAGGCAAAAACCGTACTGATAATCGGGTCTCTGATAGTAGTCGAGCGTGCGGAGGTGCGGAATGACGCCGGAAAGGCACTGGGGCATGTTGAGCATGACCAGCCGATCGGGCATTCCCATCTTCATCGCCTCCACCTCGTCTCGACTCTGCACCGTCTGCCACGGAAGGCCGCCGTTCAGCTCGATCAGCACGAACATCATCGACCAGACGTCGTCGACGCGGCCCTGCTCCTTGCGCATGTGCACATTCGGCGACGTGTAGCGAAGGGTTCCGCGGAATTCGGCGGTGCCACGTGCCCGCCGCGCCGTCCATTTTTTCGTTTTTTCGCTCTGCAAAACGAGGCGTTTTCTTGCTCGAAAACCGCGGTTTCAAAAAAAAAAACGGTACGTAGGTGGCAAAGGGCCGGGCGAGTCCAAAGTCGAGGACGTGCACAATGCGCGCGCGTTCCTTGTCCTCCTCGTTGCCCATCATGAAATTCTGCGGTTTGATGTCACGATGCACGAATCCGCAGTCGTGCATGAATTTGAGCGAATAGAGGCACTGAATGCCCAGTCGGGACCACGTGCCACGTGTGAACCGCTCTTTCGGACGCTTCGTTTTCAGCGATTTCAAGTTTTCGCCGAGCAACGTCATGATCATGTAGCCTGCAACAAATATGCGATTTTTAGTGCCTTTTCACAGTCATTCACTGATTCACTTCGACAAATCAGACAAAGGGATTCCGCGAACTCTAAAAACGTCAAAAACTTCAGAATTAGCTATTGTACCACCTTTCAAATGATTTTTTGAAGTGAATGAGTGAATTAGGCACAAGGGTATACACAATTTCTACAAACGAAAGGAAAAAAACAGCATGTGCTCGAGCCTACAATATTTTTCCCGTTTCGCGGCGGCAAACAGGATGGGAATGTGCGGATTCGGGCCATTCTTGTTCAATTTCATCAGAATCAACGACTCCAACTTGATGGCCGAGCCGCCCTCGACGTCGTTCGATTCCGCCTTCAACGCCGCCCATCGTTTTCCGCCCTCGTGCCGAACCAGATAAACTTGACCGAATCCGCCCTCGTCCAGCGTCTTTTCGATTATCCAGCCGGAGAGTCTGCGGAAAATTCGAATTTGCTACGTTTTCTAACACATCTTCGCGGAAATTTTTCGTTTGCTACACTTTGTGACCGTTCTTTGATCGGTCCGGACCAGTTTTGTAAATCTTTGAAAGCCGAAAGCCACGCACTTTTTGCCCATCTTAAAGCGGACATTATCCATCGGGTTCTTCTCATCCTCTTTTTTATCATCATTGTTCGCCATTTTTTGTCCTTTTTCGGCTACTCTTTGCTATCCTGCAATTGAAATCGAGATCGTTTCACTGTGTAATGCGCACTTTTCCCAACCGGGCACATCGCAACCGATGAGAAAGGTCTCTAGAAATTGTAGAGCCTGAGAAAAGTTCCGAAAAGGGGTGTGGTTGCGAAGCGTCGGTTGCGAAAACGAAAAGAGGGAGCTCACCTCCGCCGATAGTAGGAAGATTTTCGAAACTGATTCATAGAAGTAGCGAAAGGTCAACGGAGCAACAAAAAAAGGAACTTTGGCCACGTTAGAATATCTTTTATGGCAAAAATGGGAATATCGTGAAATTCATTTTCGGTTTCAGAATGCGTGTGACTCCTCACGCCCAGGACACGGGCGGCTTCTACGTGGCGCTTATCGAAAAAGTGTCGGAGACCAACTTCGAGCCGAGCGCGGCCAAGTCAGTTTTTCGTTTTTTTTTTTAAATCGATTTTCCATAAAATGCTCCGTTCTTGCAGTGGTCCGGCATGGAAAAAGAAGAAAATGTTCAAGGACGAGCCGTTCACTTTCCTGAAATTGGACGACGAGCGATGGAACGACATTCGGTACACTTTTCGTTTTAGGATTTCATAATAGTGTTATTGACATTTCCTTCCGGTTTTTGAGTCAATTTCGAGTGGAAAAGAGCAGCGATGTCAGCAGAATAAATACAGTTTTAGCAAGAATTACAATTTTTCAGTTCGCACTACGGAATCGACACCTCGTTCGAGTACCAGAATCTGTTCAGTCGCCGTCTCGAAACGAACGATGCGAACAGCCGACAGCTGTTCTTTGCCAATGACGCCGTCAAAAATTTCGTGGTAATTTTCACAATTTGCAAGAGACGCACCCGTTTCTCTTCGTTTTCAGTGCTATTTCTCTCAATTTTCCGCCTAATTTTTGCAGAAAGAGAACATGACGAAGGTGTCGATCCAGAATGCGGGAATGAAGATGTTCAGTCGGACGGAGGGCAAGGTCGAGTCGACGAGATTCCGTCTCTCGCAGGAGGGAATTCGCTATCTGTTCAAGTTTATGAACAAACAGAAAGTGAGGATCGGCGCCGAGGACATGCTCAAAATGCTAAAGTCCGAGGAGAATCTGGTGCCGCTGGAGACGTTGACGTGCAAAACGGACGTCCGGCAGCAGCAGAACGGCACCGTCGTCGTCTTTTGTGAAGAGGACGAGCCCGTCTGCACCTGGGTACGCTTTCAACCCCAAACATTAAGCAATTGGTTTCGAATCCATTTGTGCTGAAAATGCAAAAAAAAAATTAGTAAATTCATTTTTGTGCCAAACTCTATGTTAATTTTGCAGGTCGGCTACCACACAATCGCGCCGTACATTTCGAAAGAAGAACGCCTCCATTTACTGCGAATGATGGGCGTCGATTGTGCCGAAATCGAGTTGCTCATGAAGAGCAAGAGAAAGGAAAAGGTAGGCTAACCGCTGGCCGCCTCCGGTTTCGTTAATCGAACATTTATAGTAGAAACTTATTTAACGTATTTCAGGCCGCCCAGGACCGTGAAGCGGCGTGGGCTCGCAAAGAGGAAGAAGCGAAGGCGTCCGGAGAGCCGTCCACGTCCACAAATGCTCCAGAATCGTCATCAGAATCGCCAGAAGCCGCCGAGAGCTCCGAAGAGCCGAAAGAAGAGAAAATGGAGGAAGAAGAGACCTGTCAACTATAATTCTCCCTTTTTTTCCCGTTTTTCTGTTATTTTTCTCTGTTTTTCATTTTTTTTTCCGCCTATGTTACTCCCCAAAAAATGTTGTTGTTGCTCTTTGTTTTTGTGTGTTTTTAATAACTTTTTTTCTTCAATTTTTATATTGTTTGTAAATATCTGAAGATCAGAAGCTGTTTACATCACTCAATACTTGTCTTGCTTGTCGTTTGTTCGTTTAAAACACTTTTTTGCCTGAAAGAATGCACGCAGAGCTGCTCGGATGCGGACAGACGAGCGAAGGACAGCTCGGAGTGATGCTCCCCTCCGAGCCGCCCATTATCCGCGTTCCCGACGCGATCAGTGAGTTTTCTTGGCCGGGGAGCGCGATTTTTGTGCACCTTTTGACGGGATGCACAAAGTAAACTTGCAGTCGGCGCGCCGAACGACTCGAACGGAACGGCGGTGAAATCGGTGGCGTGCGGCGAGAATCACACGATTTTTCTGACAAATGACGGCAAAATGTGGAGTGTGGGTCGGAACGCGGACGGACAATTGGGACGTGGCAAACGCGACGACAAACCGAGTTCCTCCATTTATCCGGTGTCGCTGACGAGCGGATGCGCCATTGTTCAGGTGCGAAAGTGTGCGAAAAACGTCGTCGTTTCTTCTTGTTTCCTAAAAAAAACTTGCAGATCGACGCGGGGCGAGCGCACAGCGTGGCGCTTTCCGACGACGGACGCGTGTTCGCGTGGGGTTCGAACGAGCACGGACAGCTCGGATTGGCCGGCAGCGTCTTCTGGCACGAATCGCCGAAACGTGTGCACGAACTGATCGAGGTGGTGCAGGTGGCCGCCGGCGCGGATCATTGCATCGCCCTCACCGAAGGTTTGTAAAGTGATGCATTGTTTGGGAAACCTAGTGAGAAATTTGAACGTTTTCCGTGAAATGCGGTATTTACACTTCACTATTCGCTTGAAAACATCTCTAGGACGCTTTATTTCTGGTCGGCTAGAAAGAGCTTCATGCAATGATTTTTGCCGGAAATTTCGATTTCTCCGAAGAAAAAAAGAAGGTCAAAAGCTTGATACAATTCTACAAACTTGAATCTCTCGACGCTTCATTCTCTATGCATTTCCGTCGAAAACAAGTGATAAGTAAGGAAAAAGGTTCATTTAAGATCATAGAAAAATAGATTACAAATAGAATACTCCATTTTATACAGACAGTAGTAGTTGTGGTCGTTAACGTCCTCCGACTGGGTAGGCTCCTCCGGCTGGAGCCGGAGCCGCGTAGGCTGGTGGTGGTGGAGGAGCTCCGCCGCCGCAAGCCGGAGCCGGTGGTGGGGCGCACGCTGGTGGTGGTGGTGGAGCGCTGAAACGGGAAGAAGGAGTGGAAAAGATCGGGGGAGGAAATTACCATCCGCATCCTCCGCCACCTCCGGCAGACGGGAAGAGGAAGGCCGACGAGGCGGCGAGCATCGAGGCGAACACGACGAAGAAGCGCATGATTTGGGAGAAGAAGAAGAAGTGAATCTGCTTGCTTCTACCCGTCGTTTTGTTGATCCTTTTATACACTTGCCATAGTAGTCTAATTGGTCTCTATTCTCTCTTAGACGATTTTTGTTGCAACGTATCCCGTCGTCGGCTTCTTCCCTTCTGATCTTACGCTATTACGCTGGGACGTCGCTTTTTTGGCCATTCGCGGCCAAGTTTCATCCGCGCTTTACGCCGCTTGATTCGCCGTTTCGCTGACGGTGACGTACGTCGGTATTTACGGGTGCAATCATTTGCGGGGGGCTGGTTTGGAGGTTGCAGCACACTTCTTTTGGACGGACTGTCTGAAAGTGAACCTGAACTGTGGCGGCGGGGCAGATTGCGATCAGAGGCCGATGAGGTATTGTAGACGGCACCAGAATGTTTCTGACAAACTCGGAATGTTGCTCTTTGATAAAACTAGGCCTACTCATTGGAAAGCTGAAAATGTTTCAGATCGCAACTATTATAGGGGCACCGGACAGAAAGGGCGCGCTGTTCGCAATCTGGCCGAATTTCTAGGCCGCGAAGTAATTTTCCACTGAAAATGTGGCCTAACTTTTCAAACTCGGCCCCGAGGTCGCTCAATTTGCACTGCAAAAAGAGTTTCTCAATAGAGCGCCATTTCTGTGCGGTGCCCCTATAATATTTGTAGATTGGAATAAGTGAAAAATGCTTGCCCAGCTACTTTCCGCTGAGAACAGGGGCATTTCCGAGCGCTTTTTTTAATGAGACTTTTTGCAAACAAAGTCGAGCGGGTATTTCCGCAATGAACGGCCTGAAAAGGAAAAGAGGTTTATTCCAGAAGTCTTGTGTGAATAGATTCATTTTTCTGCCTCTTTCCCGGCGAATTTTCGTCACAAAGAAGAAAAGGAATACATTCTAGAGATGATTATTCGGTGCCGGCTGTGTTTTGTGGAGTACCACTAGATTTGAAGCGCAAAAATGCATGGAAAGTCCCTGAAAGCCTTGAAGGAACTGTAGTTTTGATGTTCATCTGGTTCATTGGTACAAATTGACAAAAACTGTAACGTTTCATTTTTGGTGGTTGTTGTCAAAAAAAAAAACAAGTGATAAGTTAGAAAAAGGTTCATTTAAGCTCATAGAAAAATAGATTACAAATAGAATACTCCATTTTATACAGACAGTAGTAGTTGTGGTCATTAACGTCCTCCGACTGGGTAGGCTCCTCCGGCTGGAGCGGCGTAGGCGGCTGGGGCCGGGGCCGCGTAGGCTGGTGGTGGTGGAGGAGCTCCGCCGCCGCAAGCCGGAGCCGGTGGTGGGGCGCACGCTGGTGGTGGTGGTGGAGCGCTGAAACGGGAAGAAGAAGTGGAAAAGATCGGGGGAAGAAATTACCATCCGCATCCTCCGCCACCTCCGGCAGACGGGAAGAGGAAGGCCGACGAGGCGGCGAGCATCGAGGCGAACACGACGAAGAAGCGCATGATTTGGGAGAAGAAGAAGAAGTGGATCTGCTTGATTTTCTGCCGATCCTCATTTCCTTAAATACGACGCTTAATGTGTGGGATCCGCCCTCGCCGCCGCCTATTACGCTAATTTTACACGGTATTTTACGTTTCCGCATCAGACGAAATAGCGCACGACATTTTTGGTTTGTCAGTGGGCGAAAAAGAAAAAACGAATAAAGACTGGATTTCGGCCAGGTTCTGAGTGATTAGAGCGAATTATTTATGTTGTTTTTGCCGTTGCATGATTAGATAAGCAGAGGAGGAGGAGGAGGAGGCTGGGAACAAAGATTGAATTGAGAGATACAGGTGTAAAGTTAGTACGCTCATTCGATAGACGATGTTTGTGAGGGAAGGTTTAAAGCCGCCAATAAACGCTTTCAGTTTCATCGTATCCGGTACGAAATAGCCGCATTCCTATAGATTCACGGAAAATCGGCGAATCACGGTCTCCAGAGCTGACAATATGGGCGTGGCCTCGGCGAAATGGCGTTTTCATGAATTGAGCACGTTTTCTCTTATTTGCGTGGTCAAAGGCGATGAAAAATGATTGTTCGACATGAAAACACACTAATTCTCAGAATTAATGACGTTTTGGCGCATTTTTCGCGGACTTTGCTTTTTCGCTGTCTCATTTTTCGCTTTCTTGACCGTTTTCCGGCAGAATTGGTTTTGAGAATGATAAATCACGTAAATACAAGCATTTTGAGCGCTCGAACCGCGAAAACTAGCGAAAAGCAACTGAAATTCACGCAGTTTTAGCCAAAAACCTTCAAACGGATAAATGTGATTTGCGACTTGACTAAATTTAACGCTCTTGCGCTTAAAAAAATCGTAATAGCCTATACAATCGGTCTATCGAGAGACAAATGAGAAATTAACGGTTTTTCGTGGCAAATCTGGCAAAAAAGCACAAATTTTGCTGTTAAAATTTGAATTTTTCGCGCCAATGTATCGCTCTATTGGGCGGAGCGCACTTGCGCCCATTGTCAGCTCTGGAGACCGTGCGAATGCTGCGTCAAAATTGACTAAATTTGAACTAACTGCTAAAAGTTGAAAGAAATCTTTCGAGCACCTAAAAGCGTTCAATTTTTATGAACCTTCGAAACACACACACACTTTTCAGCGGGTCGGGTGTACGTGTGGGGCGAGCAGGCGGACGGCCGATGCGTGCACACTCCGCAACTCGTCGAGGAACTCAACGCACTTCCGATCGTGCGAGTGCTCGCCGGCGCCCGCCACTGCGTCGCCATCTCCGCGTCCGGCGCCGTCTACACGTGGGGACAGAACAATTGCGGCGAACTCGGATTCGACGATTTCAGGCGTGAGTTTCAAGATTGATTCAGCAAAGAGCCGGAGATCCGCTTCATACGGTCACCCTCCTGTGGCAGTCAATTTGAAAACGGAAGCGTGTTTTACGGAAAAAGTCAATTAATCGTTTCCAGCTCGAACCTCGATCCACCACGTCCGTCAAATGGACGGTCTGGGCGTTGTGGAGGCGGCGTGCGGGGACAATCACACCGTCCTTCTGACGCATTGCGGAAGTACCTTCTCGTTCGGTTCCGACGCGCTGGGACAGTGCGGTTTCGGCAAAAAGTGAGCGTTTGCGTATTTTTCAATCAATTCATTCAAAAAAAAGAAAAGGTCGAATAACCATTAGAAAATGGAGAAAAAGAAGAAAAGGTTCTCCACTTGTATTCATTTCTCCTCGTTCGTTCCATTCGTGTTCCCGTCTGTTCCTCACTATTCCGCCTTGTTCGCGTCCGATCTCGCCGATCTGCGGTCCGATCGTTCCGATCTCGCCGCCTCCTTCTCCTTCTTCACCGATCCCAGCGGATCGCAGCTGTCCTCGTCGAGTGCCTGTCGTTCGTGACCGAAAAAACCGTCCGATTTGGCCATGGCAATCTGTGAAATTCACTTTAAAAAAACGCCAATCTTTTATGCAAAAACGAACCGTCAAATGGGTATTGTGATACTCGAGAAACGTCAAACCGCCGACCAGAAAGAGTTTGAGCAAAAGCGGCACTTTCGAGTCCAAAACGAGTAGGTAAAAGAGCAGAAAACACACGGGCAAGTGTCTGGAAAGAAAGAAGCATCAATTTTTGACAAGATCACAACAGAACCGTACCTGAACAAAAACAAGCAAATCATGTTGGCATTGATGAGCGCGTCCATCACTTCCGACTGCTTCTTGGCCCCATAAACGAGCCGCACCATGGTGCGCAAGTGCAGAAAGACAGTCTGCACCTCGACGAGCAACGCGATCATCGCCAGGCCAAAGAGACGGCCCGTCGAGAGGATGATCGAGAAGGCGGTGATGACGAGCGAGTGGTGCACGAGGTACTCCTTCGAGCTCTCGAGTTCGCCGTGGATCCACATGTCGACGAGGTCGTAGATGAAGTAGCCCATCGAGAAGAGGAACACGTACTCTGCGTTCGCCTTGTGGTAGTCGTACGGCTCGCGCACATAATTGATGTCCGTCAGTAGGCTGCAAGTTCGACACTAAAAATCCGCTTAATTTTTCTCCGAATCACTATAGAAACCGTCAATTTACTACTCCACTCAAAACACTTTCTCGTCGAAAAATAGCGTTTTCCCTTGAAATTGACGTAATTCTGGTGTTGAGTTGCACGTTTTTGACGTCAGCGTCACTTTTTGTAAAGCTCATGGAGAACTCGAAAGAAAAATTGGACTCTTTGTCGTTCAAGCTCGAAATGTGTGCGGCTGCTGCTGCTGCTGCTGCTGCTCCAAAAACGGCGCAACTGTTTGCTCGGCGTTTCAAGCAGCGAGTGTTGCCATTTTTTTCCGTCTAGTCTTATCACGAAACATGCCATTTTTGTGTCTGTCGACGATGAGGAGCCGAGAAAAAAAGAGAAGCAAGGCAGTTTTGAGGAAAATTGACACGTTTGGAATGAATTTCTTCATGACAAAGTCCGAGAAAAAGGCTAGAAAAGCTGGATGTTCAAAAGTTTTATGAAAATTGACGCATTTCGAGCGGGAATCGTACCTGAAAATGCATCCGAGCGCCGAGACGAGTGCGTGGGTGAACGAGACGATGCGGACGGTGAACAGACGTCGTTTATTGTCGGACCACTCGGGCTGAGCCACTTTCACAATCTCGCGAGCCACCAGATACTCGCCACGGAGCACCGCCGCCACTGTTCCGCACGTCACCACTTTGTTCATTTTCGAAGCGGCTTCTTCCCGGTTTTCCGTCTTTATTCGGCTTACCTGGAATCAGAAAAATTGCTTTGATACTTTGAGAGAGGAAATGCGCGAAAAAAGGCCAAATGTTCGAAATTTTTTTGAAATTTTTCGGGTCGGAAAAGAACAACAAAAAAAAGCGGCAGAAAAAGTGAGAGATGGACGCAGAAAGTGCGGAGAGTGCGGAGACGCAGGCGCCACAAAAAGGGGCGGAGACGCAGAAAACAGAACTCACCGGAGGAGCAACGAGAAAGAGAGAGAGAGAGAGAGAGAAGAAGAGAGCGAGGGAGCGGCGGACGGAGAAAATGTGAAAAATGAGGACGAAAGGGCACTGATTTGCGGATGATAACGGCCGATGACGTCATTACCGGATGACCCCGAAACCTGTTTCTTCGTTTTGACGGGAACTTTTTGACGAGGAGGCAAATGAATTTCTGTAGAATTCAAAGTCAAAACGTTACTTTTTTCACCTGGAGAAGACCACCGGTCGCCAGAAAAAAATGACGATGATCATACGATTCACACACACTCACACACACAAGTATTACCTATCTTATCACAATGATAACCGCCACCTCCCACACATATTTTCAAGACAGAATCGAAAACGAAAGAGATGGGATATTATCAATCAGAAAAAGGTGGAAAATGGGTACATGAGAAGAGAGAGAGAGAAAGAGAAAGACACGCGGAAGAGAAAAAGCGACTGGAAAGAGGGCGCTGATCTATCGGTCGACCGACCTCCAAAGACCGCGCACTATTTCACGAGAAACACGGACACAAGGCGGCGGTGATCCGATTCGCGCACACACAATCGATGAGGTCCACGCACGGCAGGTCAAACAAACACGAGTAGATCAAACAGAGAAAAGTTTCGCGGACGAGTTCCGTTTCGAACGGAAATTCTGCGTTCTTCCATTTGTTTTTCAGGCTTTTCATTTGAAATTAAGGTCGGGCGAACATTTTGGGGTGTCTCAGACGTCTGATGACCTTATTCTAATCAGCCCATCTCTGGCGACCAAAAACGACGCGTTTCCCGCTGTGAAAGCGAGCGATACGCGCATTTTCTCGGATAATATTGAGAAGAAAATGTGAGAGGAAGGGATTTACCTGGATTTTCCGTGAAAATGAGTCAGAAAGCGCCTCTAATCTGATGAATTGTGAGTGAAAGTGAAAGAGACAGTTTGAAGCGCAAAATCACGTGGCGACGTCGTCAAACTGTCAATCGTTATTCGGGTGAAATCGAAAATCGAATTACGTCGGCGCCGACGACAAGAAATGTGCCTTTAAATGGCATTTCACACAAATTCCAGCGTTGAAACAACTTTTCGACGTATATAAAAGGAGACGACAATCACAATGATTTTTTGTCAAATTATTCGGTTGCAAATTCGATTCTCTTGACAAATTGACCAAAATACAGACGAGAGAGACCAATTTGGAACTAGATATATTTGTGTAGGTTTTGAGGGAAGCGAGTGGGACGAATTGGACAGCGGGAATCTGAAATTTTGTGGAAAAAATGTAGAAAAAGTTCTCGGGACGTTTCGCAACCGCATTTTTTCGCAACCGCACATTGGGAAAAATTTGGAACTGGACGGCTTAGCAGAATAAAATGCTCCAAATCTGGTTGCGAAACGTCCAGACACATTGTTTTTGTCGGAATACGAGAAATGAAGCTTTGTTTGGACAAAATATAGCAATTCGATGAATTCAGAATCGAAAAGCGCACGAGCCCGACGGCGGTGTCCGATTTGATAGGCTCGCACGTGACGCGGATCGCCGCGGGCGCGTGTCACACTCTGGCCGTCTGCAAGGGATTCGTCTATCCGTTCGGCCTAAACTCGAGCGGTCAATTGGGAAACGGAAAGGTGTCGACGCAGTCGACGCCGCGCAAAACCGAAGAACTCGACCACGTCACGTCGGTGTTCGCCGGATACCATCAGACGTTTTTCATACGATCCGCTGGAAGCATTGAGGTAGCAATACAAACATTCTCTAGTCTCCACCTACCTCAAAAATGATTTTAGCAAAAAGAGCTCGTCGGCCCGAACTGTCCGCTCAAATATCCCGCCAAAATCGACAGAGAGTCGCTGGAGAATTTGCTGAAAAACGGCGAAAAATTGGATGTTATGGCGTTAGTTTCGACTCATTTGGGGGGACACTGTTTCGAGTAAAATGAGCATTGTAGACTTCTCGAATCGGTGTTCTCCTCGCTGAGCAACATCAACAACTCGTTTTTGTACACGGACAGCCGGAAGTTCGACGTCGGATTCGAACGGGGGCACGGAGTGGATTTGGATCAAGTTATGGAGACTTTTCTGCTGTTCGACGAGTCGCCCAACAAACAACAGTACTTGGATCTGGTAGGTGGTATACAGTAGACTTTCAAAAACAACAATAGTTTTTGACCACTTTCAATGTTCCGATCGGACCCAAACGTTACACGATTGCCAGTTTTGGTTTGAAGTATCCACCTCGAAATTTTCAGACCGATTGGATTAACCGATCTGGAAATATAGTGATTTTTGCGACTATATCTCCAGATTGGATGATCCAATCGATCGGAAAAGGTACTCCAAGCCAAAACTGGTTATTATTGTGCAAAATAAGGGTCCGTTCGGAATATTGAAAGTGGTGCAAAAGTAGGCGAGCGATTCATTTTCCCTCCCAGATCGTCGACTCGTTCGCTATTGCGCTGGCCGCGTGGAACCCGCGAATGCGTGGCGTCGAGTGCCTCCGCATCTTCCTCATCGTTCCGTGGTTGCCCGTTTTCACCGAGAATGTCACTTTGGAAACTCTCGAACGCGTCCACAATCCGCTCGTCAACGCGTTCCTTTCGCTCGATGAAACGTTCAAAAACGCGATGAGTACGTTTGTTTTTTTTTGTTTTTTGGTGTGCCCACTATTTTGTGAAATATCGAGCAAAAGCGACGAATTTTGCCCTAAAATTAGCCGTAAAGTGCGAAAAATTGCAGACAAATGGTGGCAAACCCTGTCGACGCGTCACTTCCGTCGCCAAGTGCTCGTGTTCAAATCGGCTGTTCGCACAATGTTGTGCGCCGGAAAAACCGCGTTCGACTGTCTGAAATATTTGAAAATTCTCGAACAGCTCTTCCTCATCAATAAGGTAACGCTGGTTTTGACTGGCACGGTCGTTTTTTCCGGGGCCGCAGTGAGGAGAAGAAGAAAGTTCGGCCGTCGTCCCGTGAACTGTCGGCTGCTTATTTCACGCTCGCCAAGCCTTCTTCCTCGCGCCAAAACTTCAGATGCGTGCGTCGGACGAGTACTGCTTCATTTTTCCTAATTTTTTGGGAATGAGTTCGTTGTGATGTAGATAGAATAACAACGAAACACAAAAAGCACGCACGAACAGCCATTTTACGAAAAACGCGGATTTTCCAGTGACCGATACACATTTTTGCGAGTTTCTTGTTGCTCTTAGTTATTATAGGGTTATCTCACAGAAATGGCGCTCTGTCCGCAATATGACCGAATTTCTAGGCCGCGGAGTAATTTTCCACTGAAAATGTGGCCTAACTTTCAAACTCGGCCCCGAGGTCGCTCAATTTGCACTGCAAAAAGAGTTTCTCAACAGAGCGCCATTTCTGTGCGGTGCGCCTATAATAGTTTTGATCATAACGGACGCATTCACTATGGCAATGAATAAGATGAATCAGTATTTCTAATAACGTGAAAATTGCGCAGACGTACCACCACGTGCCGCTGGAGACGTTCTACATTGACGAAATCAACGATCTGGTGGCGCTTCAGTACGACTACGTGTCGCTGAATTGGGAAAAAGAGAAGCCGAACTGGACGAAGGAGGCGCACTGGACGAACTGGCCGTTCCTGCTCAACGGAGTCGCCAAGGGATATCTGCTGCAGACCGAGGGAACGGTCACGCAGCATGTAAGTATACACTTCAGTGTTTTTTTGCATCCGGAAGTGATTTCAATAAAATTTGTGGATATTCAGATTGAAAGTCGTCGTCAGCTGACTCCGTGGGAGCTTCTGACTCAGTTGAACGAGGGAATTCAGCCGAAAGCCCTCCAACTGAACGTCCGTCGTGATTTCATCGTCGCTGACACCATGAATCAGATGTCCAGCCTCTCCAACGAAGTTCTTCAGTTGCCGTTGAGAGTAGACGATCGAATTTCCGCGATTTGCCTCTTGATTTGAACTGTTGCAGGTGAAAATCGCCGGCGAAGAGGCGGACGACGCGGGCGGAGTGCGAAAAGAGTTCTTCCTGATCGTGATGCGCAAGATTTTGCAGCCAGAGTACGAAAAAGGGGAAAAGGACCGTTCGAGTCAATCGATTGGGACCGAACGTTGCACAATTATGCGTCTTGGTTTAAAGTATCCATTTGGAAAGTTTCACGCCGATTGGATTATCCGATCTAGAAATTTAGTGATCTTGGACCCGGAGCTGTTCACTTTTAGACCTAAATCACTATATCTCCAGTTCGGATGATCTAATCGGGCTGAAACTTTCCAGTTGGGTTCTCCAAACCAAGACTGATAATCATGCAAGTTTTGGTCCCAATCGGATGACTGCAAATCGTCCAAAAGTCCGCAATGATTACGGCGTGTTAATTCAAGAATGAGAATGCATATTGTGATTTTCAGTTACGGAATGTTCATCGAAGACGAGGAGTCTCGTCTCGTCTGGTTCTCGGGAATCTCGGCGGAAATCTGCGAACGGGATCAGTTTCACCAGTTGGGGCGACTCGTCGGAATGGCCATTTACAACAATGTGCTCGTGCCGTTCCCATTCCCCAAGTGCCTCTACAAGGTAGCCGGGGGGAAATGTGGTTTTTTTGAGCTACCTACTTTCTTCATGAACACTCACAGGAATCTTTTGAAATTGCACAGACTCCATCGACTTTTACAGTTTTTACACCCATTTGTCACAAAAATGCTGCGTTTGAACCGTGCATTTTCCGCTCGTTTTCAGCACCTCCTCGACATGCCGCCCACGCTCGAGGACCTCATCGAATTGTCGCCGACGGAGGGCAACTCGCTGCAGAAGCTTCTCGAATACGAGGGCGACGACGTCGCCGACGTGTTCTGTCTCACGCACACCATCAATTTCACCGTTTTCGACGACTCGACCACCGTCGAATTGGTGCCCGGCGGCGCCGATTTGGCCGTCGACAATCAGAATCGCGACGAGTTTGTCCGCGTGAGTTTGAACTACCATATATTGTTTTCAAGTCTCCCAACGCTTGCCCTCAAATGTCGGCGATGTCACTTTTCACGCCTCTTTTTGTTCACTAGGGAATGGCCCGCACTTACCTTGGGCTTTTGGAATGGGACCTATATGATTCGAAAGAGAATTTCACGGAGCTCTCCATTTTTTCTAAAGAGCACTGGCTGGCGAGAAAATCTGCCTGTTTTTGCCACATTTCCTAGCAAGTTCATCTTCGGCGACCTGTATCTCAAGAACCACGCGTCCGTTGCAAAAGTGGTCAACTAGGAAGTTAACGCAAATTATCTCGTGAATAACTTTGTAGTTGATCGTCTATTTAAAAAAAAATTAGTTTTCGAGTTATGATCTGTTTTCCAAGAGCGACAAGAAAAAAGCGACGATAACTCGAAAACTAATTTTTTTTTTAAATAGACGATCAATTACAAAGTTATTCACGAGATTATATGCGTTAACTTACTAGTTGACCACTTTTGCAACGGACGCGTGGTTCTTGAGATACAGGTCGCCGAAGATGAACTTGCTAGAAAATGTGGCAAAAACGGGCAGATTTTTTCGCCAGCCAGTGCTCTTTAGCAAAAATGGAGAGCAGATTCGGATTCTCCGTGAAATTCTCTTTCGAATCATCAAGGTCCCATTCCAAAAGCCCAAGGTAAGTGCGGGCCGTTCCCTAGTCAGTCGGAAAACGCCAAATCTTCATCACGAGCTCTTTTTTTTCGAAAGAGAGAAAACTGAAAAAATGTTGCAGTTGTACGTGCGTCACCGCCTCGAATTGGGTCCGAACGACGAGATCCGGGCGCAGTCGACCGAGTTCCGGCGGGGATTCCACGACGCGCTGCACAGCCGCATCCTCCGATTCTTCCAGCCGCGCGAATTGCAGGAACTCGTCGTCGGCAACGAGAATTACGATTGGAGCCAGTTCCGAGAGGTATCCACGTCCACGTTTTTGTTTGTGTGTGAAAAGAAGAAAAGTGGGGGGGGGGGGGAGAACACAAAAAACAGTGGGTAAATAGCGGGTAGCGCGAGCAAATTAATGACGTTGCGCGGAGGAGCAGCGGAAAAACCGGTTTTCTGGCGAAAAAGTGATTGGAGGATGCGCAAATCGGACGGAAATGACGTCGATGTTTGTGCCGACGCTCAATTTGGCACAATTTCACGCGAACACGACGTTTTTCTAGGCAAACTTCGAGAAGTGACGATTTTGAAGCGGTTCTCCATGTCTCGTCCCGAAAAAAGAATCGAACTCGCTCTCTTGAAGGAAGATGGCGAAAATTGTCAAAAAAAAAATGGAGAACTCATGTGGTGCCCCCAACATTTTACGTCCCACAGTGCCTGAATAGTTTACCTTTTTAATTTGCGCCAACTAGTCAATTTCCGGTTGTCTCCAGCACAATTATCCTCTATTTTTGGGGGGGTACAGTCGATTCCTCGAAGAAAGTCCCTTTCGGAAAATTTCAACACACACACACACAATGTCCTCCTCATTCTCCTCCAAACAAAATTGAAGTGTGTGTGTGTGTGTGGAATCATGCGTTTTGTGTGTGTCGACACGACGGTAATCCACTTTTCCGCCCGTACCGTCTCTCTCTCTCTCTCTTTCTCTCTCTCTCTCTCTCGCTCTTTTTCTCTTTCTCTGCCGCAATCGTGATGCGAAACGAAGCGATCATGTGTTCAACGACGGCCACCCCGGGTAATGGACAGTCTAAACAGACGGCCAAGCCCCCCCTTCAAAAAAACTTTTTTTCCTTTTCCTCTCTCCGCCTCGCACTCTCTCTCTCTTGTGTGCTGAGCCGCGCGGTGGCAGGAGAAGGAGAAGAAGAAGAAGAAGAAAAAGAGAGAGAGAGAGAGAGAGAGAACTTTTTTCCTTTGGAGACTGTACAAATGGAAAAAGGAATCCGGTTTCGAAAAGATTTCTGATGGTAAAGAATGCGAAAGTGAGAAGGGAAGTACGGTACTTTCGCTTTTTTTCGATTTGGAAGAGTTGGAGCTATCGGGAGTCCATGTGGAACTGCAATTGACGGCAGGAAACGGCCAAATCTACTTTTTAGCTGTAAATCCTCACTTGGAAACATTTAGTGGCTCCAACTCTGATCCTCAAAGTTACACGGTCGGAAATGCAAGCGTTTACAGTCAGATTCCACTACAGTTCTTCACGTTTACTGTAGTTTTTCACGTTGGAAACGGACATTGTAGAAAATTGCCGCCAATCTGAGCTCTTGCCGGCTTTCCTACAAAAAAGTGCAAGAATAGGGGGCTGCAATATGAGCCAATCGGAAACGACGCAAACTTTGTAGAGCTACAATACTTTTTTTCCGGGAAAACTGAACATTTTGCAGATTGTCAAGTACAAGGGCGAGTACAGCTCTTCGCACCCGACCATCCAAACATTCTGGAAGGTCTTTTTCGCGCTCGACGAAGAGGAACGCAGGGTAAATTGAAATTGAAGATGTGAAAAAACTAAAAAAAATTTCCAGCAATTTCTGCTGTTCCTGTGCGGATCGACGCGGATTCCGGTCGCCGGAATGTCCCATATGCACGTGGCAATTCAGCCGTCGTCGAAAGAGGTATTTGCAAAGGTTACTGTAGTTGGAGGGGTACTGTAGCTTCTCCATTTTTGCAGTCGCTTCCAGTCGCGCACACGTGCTTCAACCTTCTGGATCTGCCGAACATTTCGGACGAGGAGGAGATGCTCCGTCGCCTCAGAATCTCCATTCAGCACATTGAGGGATTCACTCTTGTCTAAGAGAACACCGACTTTTTTTTTCTCCATTCGAGACCCCACTTAGTAAATGTTTTACTGTAATTTCCGCCTTTTTTCTCGGTCACAACACGATTTATCACTGTGATATAATATAGCCTATTTTAGTCTATAAATGTATCATTCTCGGATGTAGCCTTTCTATTAAAATCGCCAAAAAACTGGTCCTCTTTTCCCAGTGTCCACCTATTTTTTTCGCATTTCGCTCACTTTCTTTTTGGTTGCGAAAATAAACGATTTGCAGAGAGAACTCATGAAATTTTTGGTGGTCATCAAACCGGAAATTGTCGCCCATCGGGTGCTCGCCCAGGTTTGCAATTTCCGCAAATTTTTCAAAAACATCGTCGGCGAGCGAGTCCCAACTTTTAAGCGCTACAGTACTCCGGGCAGTGGTTCCAGAAAAAAGTGTTCAACTAGAAAAAGAACGTTCACGATGTGTACTTTATTTTTGTAGTTGACACTTTTTCGGTACAACTGCTCGTTGGAGTACTGTAGCGCTTGGAAGTTAGCATGTGAATCAGAGTTGAGCGGAAGAACACGGAAGAATTTTTATCTTTTTTAGAAAATTTTTTCATGAAATGTGATCTGCTGACGAAATGTATAGAAAAGTGAATTCTGCTCACAAAAAAATAATTGTAAATTTAGCGATTCATACAAAAAAGTTATATTCGAGTTGTTGCGTTGGCCCTTTTTTCAAGCAATAACTCGAATAACTTGTTTGTATGAATCGCTAAATTCACAATTATTTTTCTACGCGCAGAGTTCACTTTGCTCTACATTTCGTCAGTTGATCACATTCCATGAAAAATGTTTCGAAAAAAGATAAAAATTCTTCCGTGTTCTTGCGTTGAGTTCTTCCGCTCAACTGAATTCTGAGTCCCAACTTCCAAGCGCTACAGTACCCCCAAGGAGTAGTGCGCAACAAAAAAAAAGTACAAAATGTCAAGGTTTCGATCCCCGCCACCGTCCTCATTCGTTTTTCTCCTTCTCCTTCCCCTTTTCAATCGCATCTTTTTGTCACTTTCACTGAATTCTCTTCCTTTCTCCCCAATGTTCATCGGAATTCAACTTTCGAATCGTCGTCGTGCTATTGTCTGCGATGCGAATCGGCGCGTGGAAAGCATGGATTAGGATGCGGAAAGTTTCCGCGCGGAAAACGAGGTCAAGCTCTCTCTCTCTCTCTCTCTCTCTCTCTCTCTCTCTGTGTCCCTTTCGCATCCGAATTTAGGTCATGCCGTGTCGGCGTTTCCTTTCACTTTTCCGCCAAACTGGATTCGATTCGGCCGCCCGCGCTCTTTTCACTTTCACCAAAGGATTCACTTAATTTGATTAATTATACGTATACAACTGCGAAGAAAACGAATGATGCACCGGAACGTTGCATCTACAGTATCGGGTTATTATCGGAGCACGGAAATTCGCAACACTTTTTCCAGTTGACAACTTTGGGGAAACGTACAACAGTTGTTCTAGAGAACTGCTGCCGTAGGACTAGAGGCAAACCCTCTAAAAGCACCGTAATCTTGTAGGTGGCGCTGTGGGAATTGCGAAAAAGTGGCGTCGAAATCGAACAAATGCGGCAGATGCGGATCGACGGACCACTCGCTCGTCGCCTTTATCATCAGCACAAAGGTTCGGAAAAGTTGGACCAGGAAAAACTGTCAACTGATAGAATGTTCAGTTGAAAATTGTACATATTTTTTTATTCCGCGTCGAAATTCTCGGAAAACCCGCAAATCTCGCGGATTTTGCAGTCCAAAATCGGCAGAAAATTGCTGGAAATCAGGGGTGCGCACAGCTGAACGAGTGTTACCGTACACCATAAAACTACGGTATTTTTTTTGAAAAAAATTTAAATTTCTCGAGAATATTTGCAATTTTTTTCAAATTTCTTGGATAAATTTTTCAACGGAATTTTTTTGAAAAAAATTTAAATTTCTCGAGAATATTTGAAAAATTTTTCAAATTTCTTGGATAAATTTTTCAATAGTATTTTTTTGAAAAAAATTTAAATTTCTTGACAATATTTGAAATTTTTTTCAAATTTCTTGGGTAACTTTTTTTAACGGTATTTTTTTAAATTTAAATTTCTCGAGAATATTTGAAATTTTTTTCAAACTTCTTGGATAAATTTTCAACGGTATTTTTTTGAAATAATTTAAATTTCTCAAGAATATTTGAAAAATTTTTCAAATTTCTTGAGTTAATTTTTCAACGGTATTTTTTTGAAAAAAATTTAAATTTCTCAAGAATATTTGAAAAATTTTTCAAATTTCTTGAGTTATTTTTTTCAAAAAAATACCGTAGTTTTTATGGTGTACGGTAACACTCGTTCAGCTGTGCGCACCCCGGGTTTCCCGCAATTTTTCGGCCGACTTTGGACTGCAAAATCCGCGAGATTTGCGGGGTTTTCCGAGACTTTGGACGCGGCACTATCAGTTGACAATTTTTTGACGTCTTCATCGGCAACTGATGAGACACGTCGAGTTTAGGAAAGTTCTTCTACGACCGTCTGGTGCGTCACATCTCAAGCGGTGACGTCATCGCGATGCGCGTCTCGGGCAACGCGCGCCAATGCATCGGATCGAGCCGCCTGTGGCCACGTGTCGTCAACCAGTGGGACCGGCAGCCGATGCGCCAGCAGTTGGCACTCTCCGACGTGCGGAATGTGGCTCACGCGAGCGATGCGGACGCGGCGGCGCAAGAATTGAAAATGTTCGAATTACTGTGATCAGTCTTGGCTCGGAGAATACCGTCCATTCAAAACGTCATAGCTCAGCCGAGGGTGCAGATATCAAAAAATTGTCAACTGATAAAATGTTGCGCATAAAATTGCGCACATTTTTCTAGTTGACAGCTCTTTGATATCTCTGCCGACAGCTGAGATAAATCGTTTTGAATGGACGATATTTGGTCCTGCAAGTATCTGGATTGTATTTAAAAAAAAAAGAAGCTCTATTATGTCGTTTTTTTATTTTTCTTTGCATACTTTCTTCACGAAACAACAATATAATACAGAGAAGGTGGTGGGGTGCGGGGGGATGATTCAAAGGGACCGAAACTGGAGAAGGAAATGCGAGGTATTCGAGGTGGGAAATTGATAGTATCGGGGTGAAATCACAAGAAATACTAGTTGGTGGGGGGAGAGGGGGAAAGAGAGTGAGTGCGCATATTATTATTACATTCGCTATATCAAATCGATTAAAATTAGTTCATTTTATAGTAGATAAACCGGAGGAAACTTTTTTCTGGAAAGTGTGGGTGCGGAGGAGGTGGCTGGAAGGCTAGAACACGGCGCTAATGGTTGAGGGAGGGGGCGAGGATACGGTAGACGGGTTACTGTAGGTAGCCGATACGGTAGGGCACAAAGAGATCGGAATGAAGTGAAAGACTGAATGTGAGGAAGGAAAGGAGGAAGTGTGGAAGTGTGGAAGCGGAAGTGGAAGAAGAAGAAGAAGAAGAAGAAGAGGAAGACTACGAGTTGGAGTACTGGTTCTGTGTGGGCGGTGCCACCTCGATGAGCGTGGCGGCGGTGGAGCCGTCCGTCGCGTGCTCCACGTCAATTATGAACGTGTCCTCGTTGCAGTAGTGTCGCAGCATCTCCTCGTCCAACTTTACCGTTATTCCTTTCGCGCAACGCTTGTACACACCGGTCATCTGCAAGATATTGAGGATTTCTATGGATTTTTTTCAATTTTTCGACGCATTCTACACATGATTTGGCTCATTTTGAGACTTTTTTACGGCTTTCAAGTCCCTCTAGACCAGAGAGTTGAGCGGAAGAACACGGAAGAATTTTTATCTTTTTTAGAAAATTTTGCCATGAAATGTGATCAACTGACGAAATGTAGAGCAAAGTAAACTCTGCGCATAGAAAAATAATTGTAAATTTAGCGATTCATGCAAAAAAGTTATTCGAGTTGTTCCGTTTGAACACAACAACTCGAATTTGAACGCAACAACTCGCATAACTTTTTTGTATGAATCGTTAAATTTACAATTATTTTTCTATGCGCAGAGTTCACTTTTCTATACATTTCGTCAGTTGATCACATTCCATGAAAAAATTTTCTAAAAAAGATAAAAATTCTTCCGTTGAGCTCTTCCGCTCAACCCCCCAATTTCTCCTCTCAATTGAACTTTTCATCATCGTTCGTCCTCGTGGGGGATCCATTTAGGTGCAACACAAACATTCACCCGTTGTTCTATTTCGTCTCCATCTTCAGTCTATTCTCGGAGAAAGAAAAGGGGGGGGGGGGTCACTCAAAAACACACATAAAACACAGTGCGGAGCTATTCTTGGCTCTCCGCGCGCGCGCGCGCGCAAAAGTGACCTCACGCTCCCGAGACAGAAACAAACTTTTCGCCGCAGCAAAAATCGCTCTCCGATCATTCGTTCATTGCTCTCTCTTTTTTTCTCTCTCCTCACTTTTGTATGTACTTTCACAACAGTTCATTGTGCGGCGGAAAGCACACAAATTCACTTTTCTAGGCTTTTTTAGGCTCAGGCTCAAGCCCGGACCAGATTAGCAAATTCTAGAAAGAGAGAGAGAGAGAAATCGATATGAAAGCGCTGAAAAACAACGACAAACCTTGTCGGGATCCGAGGAGAACTTGTTGGCGATGGCTAACGCGAGTCCGGACAGTGAGGGCGGTATGACGTGCAGCGGCTGATAGATTTGCTCGTCTCGTTTTCGGACGTACAGCATTACTGCAAAAAGCGACTCGTTTGGAGGGCCTGGGAGCCTTCTTTTTTGAAATAATGAAAATGAAATGTAATCTTGAATTTTTATCTTTTTTTAGAAAATTTTTTCATGAAATGTGATCAACTGACGAAATGTATAGCAAAATGAACTGTGCTTATAGAAAAATAATTGTAAATTTAGCGATTCATACAAAAAAGTTATTCGAGTTGTTCCGTTCAAAAGAGGGCCAACGCAACAACTCGAATAACTTTTTTGTATGCAAAGCTAAATTTACAATTATTTTTCTATGCGCAGAGTTCACTTTGCTATACATTTCGTCAGTTGATCACATTCCATCAAAAAATTTTCTAAAAAAGATAAAAATTCTTTCGTGTTCTTCCGTTGAGTACGGTATTTTTGTAGTTGACACTTTTTTTCGACGACCAACACTAAGAAGCCGGGAAGTGAGAATGCACAAAAATATTATACCGTACTAGGCGTGAAGATTTCACAAAAACGGGGTCGGGTCTGCGAAGCCGACAATAGTCGTTCAAAGTGAGACTCTCGAATTCTCTGGCAATTCGATATTAATCTAAACGCGACCTATTATTAGATAGATTCGACTGCTTTTTTTCTTGGCCCAATCGAGATTCGAGCACTTATTAATCTAGCTAGAAGATTTATTAATCTAGCTAGAAAATTTATTAATCTAGCTAGAAGATTTATTAATCTAGCTAGACAATTTATTAATCTAGCTAGACAATTTATTAATCTAGCTAGACAATTTATTAATCTAGCTAGATCGCCGTTAGATTAATAACGCAATGCCAGAGAACTTTGAAGAGCTACACATGTGCTGGAGCGTCAAAGTGTCACGAAAAAAAAAGTTGGAGAACGTCTCGGAAGGCTACAAAAAAAAAGACTCACTCCTCTCCGAGGTGCGCGGCCGCTTCGCGATCGGCTCAATCTCGGCCATGTCGAAGAGGCTGCTCGTGCTGTCCACGTACCGCTGATCGTACTCTTCCGGCGCGATGAACAGCGCGGCGGGCTTGTCCAACTCGCGCATGTGATAGAATTCACTGCGGTCGCACTGTTCGTGATACTCGCCGTCGGACTTTTTGCGTCCCGACAAACCGCCGGCGGATGCGAACTCTGAATAGTCTGAGATATTGGTAAAACATTGTGAACCGACGATTATTATTATTATTATAGTTGGGTTAATACGAAAGCACACGTAAGAGGCGGGGCGGGGGGTTAAAGACATGGAAAACATGGACACACCGAAACCGTACCTTGCATCCGCCGCTTCTCATCTCGCCGATTCTCGTGCAACATTTTTCGATTAGCGCCCTACAAAAAACATGGAAAACTTGACTGGACACGAGGGATTACTGTACGACGACGACGACGACGACGACGAAGACAAACACAGAGAGACGTTAGAGCAAAAGTGGCACAAAAAAGGAGAAACGGATTACTGTACCTTGGAGCTTTCGTTTCGCCGCTCGTTTGTCTTCGTCGCGAAGTTTTCGCTCAGCGCCCTAATAATCTCGTCAATTTATCGATTCGATATTTTGTTTTCAATCGTTCAAAAAAGTTCTAGAGACTACGGGTACTACCTAGGGGCGGACCATCACTTACCTTGTCGCAAAACACTTTGATTTGACAATATCCGCGATGGAACGGCAACTTTTCGTTGTCGCCGTCGTAGGTGTCGATTTGAACGTGCAGCGGCAGACCTTTTACGCCTTTTTGCGTCGAAAAATCGGTGGAAAGGCATTGGACGGCGATGGAGATCTGCAATATGGTGCATCATCGATGTGGTGAACACGGAATAATTTTTATCTTTTTTAGAAAATTTTTTCATGAAATGTGTTCAACTGACGAAATGTAGAGCAAAGTGAACTCTGCGCATAGAAAAATAATTGTAAATTTAGCGATTCATACAAAAAAGTTATTCGAGTTGTTTCGTTCAAAAAAGGGCTAACGGAACAACTCGAATATAACTTTTTTGTATGAATCGCTAAATTCACAATTATTTTTCTATGCGCAGAGATCACTTTGCTCTACATTTCGTCAGTTGATCACATTCCATGAAAAAATTTTCTAAAAAAGATATCAACTCTGCGACGCACCTTGACACCGCCGCTCTGATCCGACGGGTTCCAGTAGAATTGGACGGCGTTGTTGCCAATCTCCTCCACCTGGCCCATCATTCCCGAGCTGTTTTTGCTGTCCACCTCGAGAATGCGCTGTTTGGAGACGTGCTGTCGCGAGTGCCATCCCTGCCACGCCTTGATCTCCTCCTCGTACGTCTTGTCCTCGCGGAACACGATCATTAGTTGGCTCTGCGAAGATGTGGAAGTTTGTTTCCCGGAAAAAAGCGTCGTTCCAACTCACTTTGACCGTCACATTCTTCAGCGGTTTACACGGATCGGGTATGTAGTCGAGTGAGACCGTGTAGAATTGTCCCTTATTCACGTACGTCATCCGATCGTCGTCTCGTCGAACGGACGTCGAAATCGGCGCCTCGAGTACATATTGAAAGCCCAATGTGTTGTGTCTGAAACGTTTTTCGCTGTTGCTTTTTCTTTTTTTTTGTTGCCTCGTTGCGAATCGGATAATATAAATTTTTGGCAAATCCGGGTATATCCGGGTCATTAAATGAGTCATTTTGGGGGAAAAGAAGAGAGAGAAAGTTTTATACAGAATGCATCATAAAATGGTGGCAGTGGTTGGTGGCTGCGGGGCGCGTTTATGTGAAACGATGGTAATTTGGATGTGCGCATTGCATTGCATTGGATTCCCCTGCCACGTCATAAAAAGTGAAAGTATTGTGGGATAAAAGTGTTTAAGCATAATCCCGACATCTATTAGAGCGTTTTTGTAGTTGATCACTTTTTTGTACCATCACTCCTACGAGCACTGTAGCAATTGGAAGATGCTCTAACTTCTAGCGACTACAGTACTCTCGGGAGGGGTTGTACGTAAAAGTCATCAACTAGAAAATTATAGTACTCAACATTTTGGTCATTTTTGCAGTTGACCACTTTTTTGTACCACCACTCCTACACGCACTGTAGCTCTTGGAAGTTCCAAGACCCGCAGCACCGTAAACAGTGATCAACTAGAAAAATTTCAAAAAAATTCTGACGCTACAGTAGCTGTTCAAATTTCAAAGTTATCTTTGACTAAGCAACTTTCAGAATCCTTAGGAGGCTTCGTAGGAAAAAAAAACGTTCAACTCACAATTTCGGAATGACCAACGGCGAGTCTCGATGGCTGAGTGTTCGCTCACTGCTCCTCTCCGCCAAAAGACTCGACGCGTCTCCGGATGTGAAAAACTCCTCTTTGGGATTCGTGAGCATGCTAATATCGCCTCCGATTCCAGAGTCGACAGGCGACGGCATATCGACCGCCTTATAGACTATCCGCTCATTTTCGGTAACCTGCTGCGTGTACTGTTGCTGCTGCTGACCGCTCGAACTCCTCGCATAGGCGCCCGCGTAGGCGGACGTGTCCATCTGCCGACCCCAGTCTTGCTGGATGTTCGTGTTCGTCAGCACTGCCGGATAGTAGAAGTTTTGTGCGGCGGCGGTTTGCGTTGTGATGATCTGCGACGTCGGATAATTCTCGTACATTCGATGATACGACTGAACGGGCACCGACGTCTGGTAGTAGGCGTCGAGCGATTGCATCTTCGACAAATCCTGCAGGTTCGACGTGGCAATGTCGATGGGCTCATTCTTCGGAAACTCCAACTGACGACCGCCGGGCGGCGCCGTCTTGATCACCGACGTCTGCTCGAGTTGGAATTGAGACATTCTGTCGTCGGCGCGGACCGAAATGTCTGCAAAAACGTTTGTTGTAAGGCGCGAGAATTTTTATCTTTTTTAGAAAATTTTTTCATGGAGGGCGATCAACTGACGAAATGTACAGAAAAGTGAACTGTGCTCATAGAAAAATAATTGTAAATTTAGCGATTCATACAAAAAAGTTATATTCGAGTTGTTCCGTTCAAAAAAGAGCCAACGCAACAACTCGAATATAACTTTTTTGTATGAATCGCTAAATTCGCAATTATTTTTCTATGAGCCGAGTTCACTTTGCTATACATTTCGTCAATTGATCACATTTCCTGAAAAAATTTTCTAAAAAAGATAAAAATTCTTCCGTGCTCTTGCGTTGAGTTCGCCGCACGACGTTTAAATTATTTTGACATCCTCCACCTTTAAGGATCCTTAGAAATTGAGCTCAAAGCGAAAATCATTTTTCGGTGAAAATTTCGGTTCAAAAGTCAACAAAATGTGATAGACGAAGAGGGAGAAGAAGACGAAGAAGAAGAAGAAGAAGAAGAAGAAGAAGAAGGATAATAATAATAACAAAGGAAAGTGAGAGTTGGTTCAGGAGACGAAGAGGAAGAAAGGTGTCATGACGGACTGTCCCTGGATCGGAAAAGAGAAAGAGAGAGAGAGAGAGAGAGAGAGAGAGAGAGAGAAGAAGCGACGACGAAGACGATGGATGCAATTATTATTATTATTATTATTATTGCAAAGGGAAAGTAGAGTAGAGTTCGCGGGTTCGCACAATCCTTGAAAAGGGGTCGTAGGAAAAGTTTCACGAATTTTGTGAACATTTGTGACACAAAAACGTCTGGAAAAGTTGAAATGCCCAAAAAATGTACAAAAGTTTACAACGACCATGTACACTTTGAAGAGAAACAAAAAAACCCATACCTGGGCTCTCTAGTTCGTTTAAAGTAAAGGCATTGAAAAATAAAACCGGTCTAGAAGCTTCGAGAATCAAATTTTAGAGGAATTTTAGAGGTTCTAGGGAACTTTGACATTTATGAAACAATACACGACGCTTACAGGATCATGTACACTTTTTGTGTTTTAATGCTTTGAAGAAGAGCCCTAGGTGTATAGTTTTTTCAGGGCAAGAACATGGAAAAAATGGGGGTTTTTTTGTAATGATTCTTCGAGAATAATAACTTTTAAGAGTTCACTTCGAACCCTTAAGACCATAGGCTTTACAAGGTTTTTTTCATTCTCACTACCCAGTTCACATTCCCCTTTTAGTTCCGGTCCATCCATCTCAAAAGTGGACATCAGGTAAAGCAACCTGTTTGAGTCTCGAAGGAGGCGAAAGGTCAGAGTACGGATAGACTGAGAAGGGAGAGAGAGAAGAGAGGAGAGAGAGGGGGGGAAGAACTAGAAACTTGGGAACTGGAAACTCGAAAACTAGAAACCGGTGTCAAAAACAGGCCTGGCCCCATCGGCCCCGGGGGCCCCAAAACCGGAGAAGCGGCGACGGTGGCGGTGGCGGCGATCGTGGCCAGGAGAGGAGGCGCGCGCACCGGCCCTCGCCGAGGGAGGCTGACGAAGAACCGGTGTGTGCGCGCGCGCGCGCCTCCTCTCCGCGCGGAAGATCGCAAGCAAGCATCCGGTTCTCTCCCGATCACGCCACGCCCCTTTTTTCACAGGCGCCTCAACAGCAGCAGAAACAGCAGCTGAGCGTCGGGGGAGAGACGAGGAAAAGAGTGGCAAACACGAAAAACCGGCCGCCGCCGTCGCCGTCGCCGCGTTTGCTTTCTCTTTGGTGGGAGTCGAATTCGGTGGGGTTGTGGGAAGGGGGGGGGGACGCCACGCCCACCTTTTTGCGGCAATTGGACACATTTTGCGCGCGAGTGGAAATTTTTGTCGTCTCGCTGCGAGAGAGAGACAAGACACGCCCACTTTTTGTGGTGATGAAGAGTGCGTGTTTTACGCGCGCGCGTTTCTCTCTCTCTCGGTTTCTGCTGCACATATTTCAATTAGGCCAGCCCGATCTCTTCTTCTTCCTTATCAATTCCTTGTCTTTGTCTCGCTTCTTGTCCCACAATTTTTTTCATGATCATTATCCCCCTTCCTTTATTCCTTATCAGAGAAGAAGAAGAAGAAGAAGAAGAAGAAGCGCGAGGCGGATGTGGTGGAGAAGAAGAAGAAGAAGAAGAAGCTTATAAGGATTACGGTAGTCCCTATGCATCCATCCATCATCAAACCTTCCCCCCTCCCTCGATGATGATGATGACAATAGCGGATGATCATAAAGAATCAGAGAGGAGTACGGTAGATGTTGTTTTGTTTGATGACGTGTTACTTTTTCCTTTTCGCGCGCGCGGTCGGCTATAGAAGATCAAGATATTAGGGATCTAGAGAGAGAGAGAGAGAGGATTTTTTTTCCATTTTCAACTAAAATTACTTCTCAAAAGGCTTTCCAAAATCATCGTTCATTTGATCCTTCATGCCGCGTCCAAAAAGTCTCGGAAACGCCGCAAATCTCGCGGATTTTGCAGTCCAAAGTCGGCAGAAATTTGGGTGCGCACAGCTGAACGAGTGCTACCGTACACCATAAAACTACGGTATTTTTTGAAAATTAACTCAAGAATTTTGAAATTTTTTTCAAATATTGTCGAGAAATTTAATTTTTTTCAAAAAAATACTGTTGAAAAATTTAGGCAATAAATTCGAAAAATTGCAAATATTGTCGAGAAATTTAAATTTTTTCAAAAAAAATACCGTTGAAAAATTTACCCAAGAAATTCGAAAAAAATTGCAAATATTCTCGAGAGATTTAAATTTTTTTTCAAAAAAATACCGTTGAAAAATTTACTCAAAAAAATTTGAAAAAAATACAAATATTCTCGAGAAATTTAAATTTTTTCAAAAAATACCGTAGTTTTATGGTGTACGGTAACACTCGTTCAGCTGTGCGCGCACCCCGGATTTCCAGCAAATTTCTGCCGACTTTGAACAGCAAAATCCGCGTTTTTGCGGATTTTCCGAGACTTTCATCATTTTCAATTTTCAATTGTAGCATTACGATACACAACTCCTAACAGCTCATTCCTTCTCACATTTGAATATCCGTGGGTGGTGTCAACTGGACCCCCCTGACATCAATCACTTTTCTCCTTCAATTACCCTCGTTCTGCTGACGACATCCCGAAAAACTCTTCCTTTTTTTCGCCCCCTCAAATGACCGGTTTATCGTTGTTTCGTCTGTCTCTCGGCTAACCTTAGCCTCGCCGTCCGGGTCATTTCCAAGTTCTCAACGTACCGGTTTGGCGCCAACCGCGTCCAAACCTGTTCCGGAGACGAATCTGACCATCGAATTCTCAAGTTATTCAATGTTTTTGCAGGAAAAAAAAAATCTAGATGGAGCTGGAGTTGGAGCAAATGCAACTGCGGAAAATTGTTTGAAGCTCTAACTTTTCTGTGATAAATCTCGTATATTGTTGATTTTTTTTTTGATTATTACCAAGCCAGCGCCCTTGGTTACGATACCATCGTTAAATCGCAAGGGGGGAGAAGTGGTTGTTTTTTTCATTTCCACATTTCCACATTTCTGTTCCTTTGTGATGATGATGCAGTCATAGTGACAAATCGAGACTACTGTATCTTCTCCTCTTCTGAAATGTGTGTGTGTGTGGCCCCGACGATTGATCGAAACGAAACGGCGCGGCGGCGGCGGGGAAATAGCGCTGAAATTAGCGCGAGTGCGCCGACGAAAACAGAAGCAAAAAGTGAAAGTTTTGCGCGCGCGCGCGCACGGTCGCCAAATGACAACGACGATGTATCTTCTCTTTTCGCTCTTCTGAATACTGCATGCGCCGCGCACTCATCGATCGATCGACGACGACGACGACGACGCATCTATTATCTGACGGCGTGACGAGACACACACACAACTTTTCAACTTTCAACTACTTCTTCGTATACAGGGACTGGAAAGTTAGGGCGGGCGGGGGGTCTCGAACGGAAACGGGTTTGAGAACCGGATCCCTCGGGGGTCACTACTGATAGGGGGGGGGGACTGGTTATATGTGTGGACGCACCGGGACCGGCTTAGCCCATCTCGAGATGATGAAGACTGGTTCCGTGATCATATCATGCAACAACACGTCGTGGAATCGAGAACACGCGAAGATTGGAGTTTTAAGCAATGAGCTGACAATGGGCGCGCAAGTGCGCCCCTCGCGCGAAATTCAAATTTTAACAGCAAAATTGTGCTTTCAGATGAAGCGATTCCGATCGTTGCAACGTCTCGTCACAAAATACGGGCGGCGGACGGAAAAATCGATCGAAGAACTGCTGTTTGCGCCGATTCGTCTCGAAAACGCGGCCACGTCATCGGCGGACGACGAAGAATTTGTGAAATCGGACAGATTCGGCGAATTTGTGAAACAAATTCCGCATTTGAATAAGCAATCGGAAATTTTATGAATTTCTATAGTAAAATCAGTTAATTTTCAATTGGGCTCGAATAAAACGAGAAAAATTCGAGTTTAGGCCGTTTTGGGCCGTCAATCCCGCAGACGCCCATCATTTTGCAGAATCCGTGGGCGACGCCGAGGAAAATGGCCATCAGAATGCCACAGACGACCACTATGTGCATTGTGCATTGTGGGAAACGGCTGAAAACACACACTTGACAACTAGGATGGCCAATTTTTTCAGAATTTTCAGAAATTTTAGCACCCATCAACGATGGAAGGATTCTTCGACTTTTAGAGTGACCCCTCAGGGTCTCCAGAGCTTACCATGTGCGCCCCGCCCAATAGAGCGATACATTCAAATTTTAACAGCAAAATTTGTGTTTTTTGCGAGATTAGCCACGAAAAATCGATAATTTCTCATTTTTCTCTCGATAGACCGATTGTATAGGCTATTATAAATTTTTTAAGCGCAAGAGCGTTAAATTTGGTCAAGTCGCAAATCAAATTTATCCGTTTGAAGGTTTTTGGCTAAAACTGCGTGAATTTCAGTTGCTTTTCGGTAGTTTTCGCGGTTCGAGCGCTCAAAATGCTTGTATTTACGTGATTTATCATTCTCAAAACCAATTCTGTCGGAAAACGGTCAAGAAAGCGCAAAATGAGAAGGCGAAAAAGCGAAATCCGCGAAAAATGCGCCAAAACGTCATTAATTCTGAGAATTAGTGTGTTTTCATGTCGCGCAATCATTTTTCATCGTCGTTGACCACAAAAATCAGAGAAAACGTGCTCAATTCATGAAAACGCCATTTGGCCGCCGAGGCCACGCGCCCATATTATCAGCTCTGGAGACCGTGTAATGCAACTATTTCGCAATTCGCAACTCCAGCGATCAACTTGGGACTCACTCATATTCTTGTTTTGAAAATCATCGACTGTCACCACCCACGCTCTCTACTCTTTTGTTTTTCAACGTTTCTGACATACATGAAAACGGTGGGGGGAAAATCTGGAAAAGTTTGACAATCACGCTCTACCACTCAGCACCACGTAAATTCTCAGGAAATTTCGGCACGTTGCCGCATGAATCGGCATCCGTGCCGTTTTCCGCGGCAAGTTGCTGTAAGGCTGTCGATTCCGTGCCTGCTACGCGCTGAACCCTTGCTACTTCCTTGCCACAATCCTGCTACCGTTGCTGAAATTGACATTTTTCATCGGAAAGCCAGAATAAATTCTTTCCATGATGGCATCAAGTCAACAAATGCCACTACGGTAGTGTCCCTGATCTTCGTAAATCTTACGGCCAGTCGGATGTGACCAGTATCGTCCAGTTCTCAAATATATTATAATTGTCTTGAAAAGTTGTCCACTCTAGAACGCTTAATTCATAACGATATATCTCAGTTGCCTGAAGAGATAAATGGCTCAGAAAGACATTCTGCACTTTATTGGACGTTGATAACCGAGCCATGAAATGTTGCCAACACACATCTAAACAGTGTCACGTTAAAATAAAGTAATGTCAAACTTTAGACTGGAATTCCAGCATTTCAGAGGTATCGGCAACTTTTTTTACTGGTACGATCGCTTAAATTTTACCTGAACTTGAAACTCGTTAGCAGAGTTGAGCGGAAGAACACGGAAGAATTTTTATCTTTTTTAGAAAATGTTTTCATGGAATATGATCAACTGACGAAATGTATAGCAAAGTGAACTCTGATCAAAGAAAAATAATTGTAAATTTAACTTTTCATACAAAAAAGTTATTCGAGTTGTTGCATGAAAATGTCTTTCCGTCTTCCGTTAACCCTTTTTTCACGGAACAACTCGAATAACGTTTTTTTTTTGGTCTCGCGGAGTACCGAAGACCGCTTAATGATGTAGTCGCTCAAAAAAAAAATACAAATCTCTTCCTGCAAAAGAATAACGACACATTTTCATAAATTGGGTTTTTTGGACAACAAGATTTCTGGTGAGGCGGCAGTCCCTTTCGAGACAAAATCCGCGTAGTACTTGGAAAGAGATTTCGAGAATTCAGGGAAATCAGAGTCTGAGAACAAAAAATTTTAAAAAGTATTCATTGAAAAAAACGCATTGCATTGAAAGGGCTCTGCACTGTTCAAGTACATTTCCATCCAATTCTTATGAGGCTCTACAGCATATGTTTGTTTTCCGCTTTTTTAAAGTTTTTTTTTAACGGTGAATTGGGTTTTTTGACGTAAAAAACGAAAAAAAACGAAAAAAAATCATTTTTTTTACGGCCTGAATAACCCCATTACGGCTTTCGGGCAGCCGGTCTCCGTTAGCGTCGGCGTGGTTTTTGGAACGTTCAGCAGCCAAAAAGAAACGCTTGCTCCTTACTTTGGTGTGCACTATTGCGTGACAGTGTGCTCTGAGTGCTGCACACTAAATCATACACGCAAAGTTTGTATGTATTTCAAGACTTCAAATCTGAGCTCGTCAGAGCTAATGGGGCTCTTCTGGGGATGAAAAAATGATTGTTTTCCAGTTTTTTCCCTATTCAGCGATGTTAAAAAATAGAAAAATAACGGAAAGACATGCATCGCTCGCCGCTTTTTTTTCCGGCGGGTCTCGCAGCGATTTCCCGGACGCGAAGTATGCGGCTACTGTGAGAGACGTTTTATGAGTGGATTTACGAGAACGAGTGGATTTTTTTTCTAATTTTTCAGCGAAATTGCCACGTTTTCCCGCTATTTTCAACCGATTTTCAACGGAATTTCAGTTCTTATTTGTCTGATATGGTAACTGATGCGAAATTGCCCCGTTTACCGCTATTTCCGACCGATTTCGCTTGAATTCTTTTTTTAAAAATAGTTTCGAGTGCCTTGTCATATCGTTCAAAACATTGAGCTTTTCGGTGAAAATTGGATCAAAATAGCGGGAAAACGTGGCAATTAATGCTCAGGGGACGATCTAACAGTCGAAGAATCCTTCCATCGTTGATGGGTGCTAAAATTTCTGAAAATTCTGAAAAAATTGGCCATCCTAGTTGTCAAGTGTGTGTTTTCAGCCGTTTCCCACAATGCACAATGCACATAGTGGTCGTCTGTGGCCTTCTGATGGCCATTTTCCTCGGCGTCGCCCACGGATTCTGCAAAATGATGGGCGTCTGCGGGATTGACGTCCCAAAACGGACTAAACTCGAATTTTGCTCGTTTTATTCGAGCCCAATTGAAAATTAACTGATTTTACTATAGAAATTCATTAAATTTCCGATTGCTCATTCAAATACGGAATTTGTTTGACAAATTCGCCGAATCTGTCCGATTTCACAAATTCTTCGTCGTCCGCCGATGACGTGGCCGCGTTTTCGAGACGAATCGGCGCGAACAGCAGTTCTTCGATCGATTTTTCCGTCCGCCGCCCGTATTTTGTGACGAGACGTTGCAACGATCGGAATCGCTTCATCTGAAAGCACAAAATTGCAAAAACGCCGGATTTTAGAGCAAAATTCACCTTTTCGGCAGTTTCCGGTTGAGATTTGATCGCTTCGCATAGAGAATCGAGCTGAAAATCGGAAAAATTAGGTAAAAAAATTCTAAAAATCGAACCGCCTCATCGCTGACACAATAATTGGCGGTTCCGAAGACGTCTTCCTCGAAAATGAGCACGTTTTCGAGCTCCGCGAGCGCCTCGTCCAATTTCGACTGCTCGGCGAGCGCCCGAATCCGAATGGAGCTCGTGATCGCCGGCGGACAGCTCTTCGTCATCTGGAGCATCTCTTCCACGTCACTCCACTTCTTGAGCTTCATCGCGGAGGCCGCTGTGAACGCCGCCGCCCGGGAGCTGATCTCGCAGACGTCACCGTCGCTCTTCCGCACCAACGTCTTCGACTTTTCGAGGTTCTCTTTGCTGGCCGACTGGAAGTGAATTGCGGTGATCAGGCACTGTCGCAGAAGATCTTTGACCTCCCTGTCGGCGCCCGAACTCTTTATCAGAGCCAGTTGCTCGGCCGGAGCCACCGCTCTTCCCAAAATGGAAAGTGTCTGCGAGACGACTTTCTTGACTGGCAGCATCTGGAAGAATCGGAAGACTGGTTGTTTTAACACTTAAAAGTTGGAGCGCGGCCGAAGGATACCACGAGACAAGGGGAAGGATCCGGACTGGGCACCACGAGATAGAAACAAAGAAGTCCCCATTACCCCTTGGCTCCATCACCCCCCTCCAAAGCCGTTTGGATGGTAGCGGTCAAACACCTTCTAGGCCCAATACTCGGTTTTTTTTTGAGAATAAGTTAGACACTTGCGAACAAACAAAACATTTATCAACAAGAGATTATTTAGAATTCTCCGCGGGCCAATTGGCGGCGTTGCTTTCTCTTCGACTCCTTCTTGACCTTCGGGGCATCATCGGTTGGCTTGGTGACGACGTCCTCCTTCTCGGCCAGGATAACCTCGATGTGGCATGGAGACGACATGTACGCTGGAAAACAATGATAAATAATTTTATTCGATTCGTGATAAATCAGTTACGATTACTCGTAACCGAAGAGGGTTAAAAACCAAAGAAAAACAACTTACGGTTGATTCTTCCGTGAGCACGATAGGTTCTTCTGCGGAGCTTGGCAGCACGCTGAACGTTGATGTGCTCGATGACAAGGTGGTCAACATCGAGTCCCTTGTACTCGGCGTTGCTCTCAGCGTTCCTGAAAACGAGAAAATCAATTTAAAAAGAATTCAAACAAAAACTCACTTCAACAGGTCGAGGAGGAAGTCAGCAGACTTGACTGGCCATCTTCCCTGGGTGGTGTTCCACTGCTTTGCCTGAGCTGCACGTCCGATTCCTCCGTGGAAACGTCTGAACGGGACGATCTCCTTGTGCTCTTTGACGTGAGCGAGGAAGGCCTGGGCGCGTCTCAGAGGCATTCCGCGGAGAGCCATGGCGGCCTCGTGGGTGTTCTTGAAGTGAACACGGAGGTCGGATCCACGAGCCTTGCACGACTTGGTGCTGTTTTCCGGTGCCCGGGAATAGTGAACCTTCGTCATTTCGACAAGGGAGATTACCTGCAAAAAAACGGAAATAATTTCGACCGCGAAACAACGAAACTTCGATAAGGGGCAACAATAGAAAAATTAAATTGGAATTTGAACACGAAACTGCATTCAAAATTAAGATGAGACCGAAAAAAAAAACTAATTTCTATCGTAAAAATGTGTCAAAGTATGAAAACTGGTTTAGACAGAAAAAAAGGCTAATTTTTCCTTAATTTCACGTGAAAATTCGTCCAAAAAGTAGCCCAAACTAATTTTCACGTTACTTTTCAAATTTTTAGAGAGAAAAACTGAAAATTTTCGCAGATTTCGGGACAAAAACGATTGAGAAAAGAGAAAAAGGCCCAAAAATTTTGCCGAAATGCTTTAAAGGCGCATGCGCTACCGTAGTCCGAGGCGGCAGGTCTCGCCACGATCGTGTGTCGATTTACGCGGTCGACCGACCATTTTATCGACTTTCGACGTTTTCAATTGATTTTGGTTATATTATTGTGGTTTTTCATTGGTTTTTATTGAAAAAATTGAAATTTGATAGGAAAACTGTCACATTCTGCAATATTTGCGTCAAGTTACTCGTGAAAACCCTCATTTGTTGTAAAATCTTAATTACACATGAATTTTAAATTTTTCGCATTTTCAGATGATCAAAGCCATACTTGTGATCAACAATCATGGCAAGCCGCGTCTCCTCAAGTTCTATCAGCACTACACGGAAGAGATGCAGCAGCAAATCGTGCGCGAAACGTTCCAGTTGGTCTCGAAACGCGACGACAACGTGTGCAACTTTTTGGAAGGCGGAACCTTGATCGACGGCAACGATTATCGACTGATATACCGACACTACGCGACGCTCTACTTCATCTTTTGCGTAGACTCGTCCGAGAGCGAGCTGGGCATTCTGGATTTGATTCAGGTAAGCAATTTATCACAAAAAACCAAATTTTCAATAAAAATCGAAACGCTTGCAGGTTTTCGTTGAAACTCTCGACCGATGCTTCGAGAACGTGTGCGAGCTGGACCTGATCTTCCACGTCGATCGCGTTCATCACATTCTCGGCGAAATCGTGATGGGCGGTATGGTGCTCGAGACGAACATGAACGAGATTCTGCAGCGGATTCAGGAGCAGGACAAGATTCAGAAGCAGGAGGCGGGCATCACGGCGGCGCCCGCACGCGCGGTCTCCGCCGTCAAAAATATGAACATCTCGCAGCAGCTGAAGGACATCAAACTGCCCGATCTTCCGTCGCTTTCCAATTTGAAAAACGCTTTCTAAATCATAAGTCTTCAAATTTTTGCCTGCTGCCCACTCTTTTCGCAAACATTCCACCGCGCTCTTTCGCTTGTTTCTTGTAATTGTTGTGTAGATGTATATAAAAAATGATGATATATGTATTTATTTATTGACTTTCAACAACTTCCGAATAAAACGGTTCCGATCGACTTCCGTTTTGCATACTTTTCCGGAACTTTCTAGATCGTACGATGCCTAAAATAGCCACTTTCAAGTAGCTGAAAAATTTGCAGATTTTCCCCCAGAAAAATGGACTATGATCCATTTTCGTACCGCGAACGGCACAACGCCTCGTGGGACCGCATTCGCCACGAAAATTCGGCCAGTGTCCGGTCGGAACCGGCCGATGCGACCGCCTACTATCAGAATTACAATCCCAACGATTATCAGTACAATGTGAGCGTTTTTGGGTTTGTTTTCACCCTGTTTTCAGTTTTCCGAGTGCTCAAACAAAAATGTGTCACTTGTTTTTTTTTGCAGAATTTCGTGCCAAATTTCGCTGATCAATCGCTGGTTTTGAGCAGCGATTATGTGCCTCAGGATCCGATTATCGGTGAGCAAATTGTTTATGCCGCGTCCAATGTCTCGGAAAAACCGTAAAAACCGCAGGTTTTTCTGTCCAACGTCGGCCGAAATTTGCTTGAAAAACGGGGGTGCGCACAGCTCAATGAATGTAACCGTACCCCTAAAACTACGGTATTTTTTGAAAATTTGTTAATTTCTTGAGGATATTTGAAAATATTCAAATTTCTTGCGCAAATTTTCAAAAAATACCGTAGTTTTAGGGGTACGGTTACATTCATTGAGCTGTGCGCACCCCCGTTTTTCACGCAAATTTCGGCCGACTTTGGACAGAAAAACCTGCGATTTTTACGGTTTTTCCGCGACATTGGACGCGGCATTAAGGTTTTAATGTTTTAAAGCTACAAAAGTTGCAGGCTACATGCCAATGCAGGCAATTCAAAATTCGATAATAATGGATGGTAGCGCTCAAAATGCGACAATGATTTCACAGAATTTGGAAAATTTGGAGGATTTGGAGGAATTGGAAGCGTTCGAGGACGAGGAAGACGACGATATCGAACAGGAGGAGGAAGAAAGTGACGAAGAGGAAGAGGAAGAAGAAGTGGTACTTTTTTCTGGAAAACTATGAGCCTACAATGATGATGATAATGATGATGCAATTCAAAATTTATCCGTTTGAAGTGTTTTGCCTAAAATTTAGCATTTTCGAAAGTTTAAAAAGCGAAATGTTCTCCAGGACCGTCCGGACGTCTACTGCATGGAATGCGACGCGAAACTGGAAGAACCGTCGCTCCACGACGTGGCCGCGTGCTCCAGCTGGAAGCCCGTCAAATTTCAGTGTCCCACCTGCCCAGAATCGTTCAATTTCGAGAGGAATTTGAAAATCCACAAAATTGCGAGACACTTCGAAGCGGTCAGTTTTGGGCTGAAATTTATAAAAAAAACAACCGCCAATTCAGGAGGACTTTGTGCGCGGAAGTCTGTGTCATTTCTGCCCCAACGAAACCCGCCGCACACCGTTTTCGCGTTGCTCCGCCTACGTCGGACACGTAAAATCGCACATGAAATCCGATTCGCTCATTTGCGAAAACCCGGATTGTGGACAGGAATTCGAGAATGAGGTTTGTCGGGAATTTTGGATTTTTTTTTTTGAAATTGAAAGTGACGTGCACTAAAAACGTAACATATTATGGTGGCATTCGCGATTTTCTATAGGGCGGGTCTCGCACGGAGCGAAACTTTTCAAGCTGGAGTTGTGCGCCTTTAAACTTGAGGACGGATATGGTAGCTCACAATTTTCACAAAAAACAATTAGAAACCCGCCTGAAATCTGCTTTTTGTCTTTTGGGACTTTAGGAAAATGAATGTTAAACTTCTGACTTCACTTTAAAATCATGTTACTTTTTTAGTACACCTTTATAAGATAAGTTCAAAAAAATATACTGTTTGGAATGAAAAGCATTTGCAGCGCGACCTGGACCGTCATTTTCGCCGCGAACATTCCGATGAGCCGTACGAGTTGGTCTACTGTCCGAAATGCGAAAAAGTGATCACTTTCGAAGAATCGCTGCCCCACCGACTGGTGCATTTGAGCCGGAAGAACAAAAAAAAGGCGGCGATCAGAGAAAAACGGAAGAGAGCGACCGTGAGAAGCCGGAAATTCGCGTGTCCCGAGTGCGCCAAGTCATTTGTGCGACCGTCCGAACTGGCGCGACACGCCGCCGTCCATTTGAGAGCCAGTCAGTTGCAGAAATTTCGTCGTTTTGTTGCAAAACCAGAAAACTGCACAAATTGCAGAATCGTTGACATCGACACAAGCGATTCCAAAGTGGAAATGTGCAATTTGTTCGAAGGAGTACGCTCACAAAAGTGGCCTTCAGGAGCACAAACGAGTCGCCCACGGGAAGGCGAAAAAAATTGGGTGCCGAGTTTGTGGCGCCGTTTTTACAAAGGTACTTTTAAAGTTGAAAAGTGCCTTGACGTTGTTCCGCATCAAGCCCAAAAGCACAGATTTCCTCGATTTTCTCAGCCGCAAATTGGTGTTTATCGATTTTTTTCAAGTTTTCGAAACAAATGATGTTTTCTTGAGATTCAGAAGCGCAAAAATGTTGCACATTACTTATTCTAAGGGTTCCTTTCCACCGGAACTCGTCCAAAAACAGATTACGGAAGATTACTGACGACCGGTGGAAATGAGCCTAAGAATAAGTGATGTGCATCATTTTTGAGCGTGTGAATCTGGAGAAAACATGATTTGCTTCGGAAAATTGAACAAAATCGATAAACACCAATTTGCTCTGTGCTTTTGGGCTTGATACGGAACAACGTCGAGGAACTTTTCAATTCTCACCCCGGATGCCTCTTTCAAATACTTTCAAGCAAATGTTTATTATCAGAAAACGAACCACGACCGTCACATGTCGCAAATTCACCCGCTCGACGAGACACCGTCGTCGGGTCGGCCGAAATTCGAATGCGCCGACTGTCCGACGGTCCTGAACACGCTCGGATCACTGACACGTCACCGAAAAACGTGTCACAATGAGAATGCGACAAACTTTAGACCGACTAAAGGTATTTCCGGCTTCTGCATGGGGGCGCTCTCTTCTGTTTTTCCCTCCTCGCCGCCTTCTCGTCCTTCTGGCTCAAATGCACCAGTCGGTGGGGCTTTGATTTTTCGAAAGTGATCACTTTTTGGCATTTCGGACAGTAGACCAACTCGTGCGGGTCATTGGAATGTTCGCGGCGAAAGTGACGCTCCAGGTCGCGCTGCAAATGTTCTTCATTCCAAACAGCGAATTTTTTGCACTCCAAAAATAACATGCTTTCAAAGTGAAGTCAGAAGTGGGGCATTCATGTTCCAAAAGTCACCAATTCTGAAACAATTTCCCCGAATTTTGCTGAATTTTCCATAAAAGCTAAGGAGTCCACGAGAAGTACACGGCGAGTGGAGTTTTCTAGTCCCCCGGTCGCCAAATTTGACAGATTTTCAAGATCGTTTCAGCGGTCCAACATAATAGAACTGCGCGGAATAGAACCGCGACACAATAGAACTGTTTTTGTGTATTTAAATGAGCATTTTGTCCGTTCCTCGGTGCATTTTCTTCAGAATCTGAGACTTTGGGAACATGAGTGAGCTGCTTTTTTAATCATCATCTTTTCGTTTCAGCGGTTCCTCCAGTCTACCGACAACACATTTGCAAGACGTGTAAACGAGAATTTCGAGAGCCTGAAATGCTCAAAAAGCACCAGAGAACGCACGTTTTCGCCGAACATCGCTGGCGAAATATGCTCGAGAACGGCGAGAGAAAGTGCGCATTCTGTGAGAAAAGGTTTGGAAAAAAGCGGAATTTCTCGAAATGACCCAGATTTTACACGATTTTTGGCAGCAGAAAGTTGCTGTTTATCGATTTTTTCGCGTTTGTCGAAATTCGGAACATTTTTGAGCGGTGGAAAATTGAAGAAATCGATAAGCAGCAACTTGCTGCTGAGAAAATCGAGAAAATCTGTGCTTTTCGGATTAACATGAAACAACGTCATTGTACATTTCTGCAGTGTCAACTTGTTTTCCAATTTTCGAAAAATACACTTCTTTTTTTTTGTTGCAGTTTCGTGCTGCGCTCCTCTTTTCTTTGGCACCTGCAAAAACACTACGAGGAGCAGGAGGCGTCGGCGGCGGCGGCTCAGCCGTACTGCTCCGAGTGCGAGCTCACGTTCTTCAGTCCGGGCGAGTACCGGCAGCATCTGGACGAGCAGCACACGGTCGTTTGCGGCGTTTGCCAGCAAAAGTTCACGTCGCGACAAATCTACGAGGACCACATTTGCAATCGCAAGTTCTCCGGACTACCCGCTAATAGGTAGATTTGAAAGAAACGCAATTTTAGCAGGCTTTTCGAAGGCAAGCCATGATTTTGATCCATTTGCAATCATCAATAATCCGATCGGGCCCAAACTTTGCAGGCGTCTTGTACTTGAATTGAAGTATTTTGGGTCCGAGTTTCAGACCGATCCGATAATCCGGTCACGAGATGGCCGGGCTTTTGCGAGAATTGCCGATCGGTCTGAAACTTGGTCCCACGATACTTCAACCCAAGTCCAAGAAGCCTGCAATGTTTGGTCAAAGGTCCGTCGTAGGCCTTGGAAAAGCCTGGACCTGCAAAATGTTTGTACACCTTTTCATTCCACATCATTTGCAGAGTGCTGATCTGTCGTCTGTGCCGTCCGCCGGTCCGCCTCACGACCGCCCGTCAAATCCGCGAGCACCGCGCCCGACATCTTCCGCGCAAGACCCATCTCTGCTGGACGTGCCACAAATCGTTCCGCACTTCACGTCAGTTTCAGCGTAGAAACGCTTTGCGCACTGTAAAAAAAAACTTTGCAGAACTGCTGTCTCTGCATGCGGAAGTGCACGATCGTCAGCCGGTGCAATGCGCGCACTGCCCGCAAGTGTTCCACAGCCGCGTGGCACTGAAGCAGCACACGAGAGTCAGTCACGGCGGAGACACCAACTATCAGGTCGTCGTGCACGTCGACAGGGTTCGTCTCTCGTCTCTTCCAGAACCAACAACAGAGTTGATCGGAAGAACTCAATGGAAGAACACGGAAGAATTTTTATCTTTTTTAGAAAATTTTTTCATGAAATGTGATCAACTGACGAAATGTATAGCAAAGTGAACTCTGCTCATAGAAAAATAATTGTAAATTTAACTTTTCATACAAAAAAGTTATTCGAGTTGTTCCGTTAGCCCTTTTTTCACGCAACAACTCGAATAACTTTTTTGTCCAAAAAGCTAAATTTACAATTATTTTTTTATGCGCAGAATTCACTTTGCTATACATTTCGTTAGTTAATCACATTCCATGAAAAAATTTTCTAAAAAAGATAAAAATTCTTCCGTGTTCTTCCGTTGAGTTCTTCCGCTCAACTCTGACCAACAATACACAACACAATACAGAATAGACATTTACAGTGCTGTTATACAATTTTTGTTCGATATCGATGGAAATGATTGAGACTGTTGGCCGCGAGCTTTGAACATGTGCATTTTCCATTCAGAACTCGCGTGCACGTCGCTTTTTTGTGGCCGCCGCCGAAAACATTGAAAATACGCATCTTCTATTCGATTTCGTCGGAAAATGACCGAAATTGCTTGCAGAACATGGCCATGTCGGCGCAATCGTTCGCCGAGTACGGCATCGCGGCGGATCACGCGGAAGATCAGGCGCATCGAGCACACTCGGTAACGGAATGGATGGAATCGCAGCGGCAACGACAGGCAACACATCAGAACGCGATCGATGAACAGGAGCCGGAGCAGGAACAGCCGGAGATGGCCTATCAGCAAGTGGTCGCCATCAACTATCAACAAGCACCGGCTCCGCCGACGGAGCCGCCGACCAGGCCCGCGAGAACGACGGAACCGTCAGTGGGAGACCGGCAGCCGGTGCGATGCGAAGTCTGTCAGCATTTGTACGATAATGTGGACATGTTGTGCGAGCATTGGATCGGGTTAGTATACCATCGGCCTGCTTTTAGCTAAAAAGTTTAAAATCGTTCAGATCGGACACGGACACGGACCACTCGTTCGGATTCGTCACTTGTCCCGTGTGCGATTTGAGAATTCGCGGAGCCGCCGAAGCCGCAAACCACCTGAGAAACGCTCATTTGTTCCCGCGACCCCGCATCTTGGAGTTTATGTGAGGCAATTGCCTAGACAATCGGGGAAAAAAATTGTAAAATTCCAGAAAGCCGGACGATCCGATGCCACAGCCGCCATCGACTTCGCTCGTCCTCGCCACCACGTCAAATTCGACGAAACACAAGCATCAGTGCGAGCAATGCCTCAAAACGTTTACGAGAAAAAACGATTTGGAACGGCACCTCGAAATTCATTCGGGTAACCTTCTTTTTTTTGTTGAAACAATTGAAGCGTTGAAAAGTGCTCTTCTTGCAGACGAACGACCGTACCAATGCCCGCACTGCAGCTCGACGTTTCGCCGCAAATCGACGCTGAAAGTGCACGTGGCGACGCACTCGGAACAACCGCCGCAACTGCAGTGCACCGTCTGCGAGCGGGTAATTTCTCGTCACTTTTTTGGCAGCCAGCAATTTTACAAAAATTCACAGAGTTTTTACGAGAAAAAGACGCTGGTGATACACATGCGAATTCACACCGGCGAACAGCCCTACAAGTGCCGATATTGTGATTTGCACTTTAGGTAAGAATGAATGAGATAGAGAAAAGTAGGGAGCCACCCCCAATGAAAAAGTAGAAGTTCACGTTTTTTTTTTTGCAGAACGACGGCGATGACGAGAACGCACGAGAAGAAGTGCGCGCACGGCGGTCCGGCCCGACCGATCCTGTCGGATCCGAGCACTTCCGACGTTGCGAACGCGTTCCAGCCGCAATTCGTGGCGCCGCAGCCGGAACTCTCGCGCACAATCACCCAAATTTCGACGCTTCCCGACGAGCAACTGCTCGCCTCGAGACACTCGGCGTTCAGTTCGGTGCCCGCGTTGGCCGGAATGGTACGGCTCGTGTATTTCATGTGAATTTACGTCTTAATGGAATTTGCAGGGCTCCGCAGACACTCCGATCTTTGTGATCACGCGACCGATGAGCGAGATGCAATACGTGGTCATTGTGCAGAAATCGAAGCCAACGGAGAGCACTGTTCGATATGCGGTTCGCTATTTTCATCGCTCATTTTTTGAAAAATTCAATATTGGAACATTTTTTTTTCAATTTGAACAATTTTTGCAGGTGGACACTGTGAGCGAGATCAAACTGGGCCAACTGCGCGAGTCGATGAATTTGTCGATTGTGCTGCACAACGAGATGCGTCTCAACGTGAACACGATCAAAATGCTGCAAATTCTGCCATCTCTGCGGCCGGACGACACGTACAAAACGCGGATAACGGTGGGCGCTCCGCTCCAGCACCACGACCTCTTCGCCATCATCGCCCACAACAACAACAAAACCGCCGGCGGCGACTCGTTTCTCCGGCGCTGCGACGTTTGCGAACTCGATTTGCCGACGAAACGCATCAGCGACGCGCACTTTTACTCGGAGGATCACGAGACGGCACAGGTACGCAGTGCGTTCATCAGGAACATCGTTGTCCGCCTAAATTATACGCTGGCCTAGCTGGACTGATAACTAATCGCTAGAGAACGTCAAAGTACATTTCTGATGTCTAATCTAAACACGCTTCTTTGCAGTTGATGTACCCGACGACGGCGCAACGACCACTGATGGGCGGCCGGCGAAATGTGCCGGGAGGACGCAATATGCGCACCGCAAAGTACGAGTATTTTTATGCTTTCAGACATACGGCTGCTAATCGTCTTTTTAAAGCAATTTTCCAAGCATTATCTCAGGCAAATCGTTGTTAATCTAGCTATTACTTCTGACCAGACTTTGGTGTGATCGCATTTTGCGAACAACACCTCAGAAACGTCTGAGCAAACTTTTGGCGATGGCAATGTTTGCGCAGAAGTGAGGCGAAGAATTTCAAAACTCATATCAGTTTCTTTGTCATCCGACCAGCTGCCCAGCTAGATTGAAATCCAGTGCGCCGAACTCATCAACTTTACTCAATTTTTCAGCTCGGAAGCGTCGTCGGACCTGAATTGCAAACTGTGCGGCAGCCGATTCACCGACATGGATTCGCTGCTGAACCACATTCGCCAAGTGCACGACGAACCGACAGTGCCGGCCCGTCCAGTCGCCCATACCGCACCCATCAATTAATAATCATTTTTCTGTCTCATTCATGTTCGTTTTGCTCAGAGTTTTACGAGTCGTCAAGTTTTATTGAGTATTCAAAAATGATCGGTTACAAACCAATGGATTTCTTTCGCTTACTGCCGGATCTTCAGCCTCATCCCGTCGAAACCCAGTTTTTCTTGTTGCAATTTCTTTATTTTTTCAGATTCCGGACTCGTGACATGAGATTTTCAACGTTTTGGCATCGATACCGTCGGCGCCGCGATCGATTGAAAGTCTTCAAGAGTCCGGCGTCCCTAAACCACCTATTTTTTCTCGCGTTTTCTGGTCAACGAGTACTTGTGGCCAAAAGTGTACGCACTTTTGACCGCTTCTTGAACTCATCCCCTCACAATATTGTCTAAACATTCTCGAGTGCGCTGAAGCGATTACGCAATTCACACCTTTTTCACGTTTTTTTTCTTGGTTTCCAACAATAATAGGCACGTTTGGTTGGGAGAGAAGTGGATTGGGTCACAATGAGTGGATAAAAAGCAATTGTTTCGTTTCAAGCGGTGTTTTGATTGGAAATTGTTGGAAATTGTTGAAAAATTAGCGATTATTCTCAAGTGAAATGTAGAAAATCCCCCCTTCAATCTCCTATTAGTCGCTTAACATTTATTTGGCCGACACGCATAGAGCGATGGAGCATAGCTACTGTGCATTTGTCTATTTGACAGGAAACGCGGGCGGCTCGCGCGCGGACACAGCGGCTCAGCTGGAAGTGTGCGGATGTGTGAGCATTAACACCTCTCCGCAAATACGGTCGAACCCCCCTCCAACAAAAAAAGCGGATTACTGTACTTTGGTGTTGGTGGTGTAAATGCGAAAATCTTTAGCTCATACATAGGCTTCAGTCGGCATTTTTGCGCTTACAAGAAATGCTAGTGAAAAATCGATAATGCTTATTGCGCTCTTGACTTGAGAAAGCTATTCAGAGCACAAATTGAGAGCAAAACGTTGTAAAATCGAAACATTTTCAAAAAAAAAGTTCCCGCGCTTTTTTGCGTGCGGCTCTCAGTGTCGATTTACGGGAAACGGTTTTTCAACTGAAAACGATCGTGTTTTCCCGCGTTTTTGGGATTATGCACAGTTTTCCTTCCAAACTTTTGCCTCACGTTTGTTCATATGACCGATAGCTACAAAACGATCACACAGAGTGCACGTGTAAAAGTGAAAATTCGAAAAGTAATTTTGTTTTTTAAAATTTGGCTTGAAAAAACCGAACTTTCAGAAGTTTTGAGAAAACAGGCGACAGAATCGAAAAACAGTTGCCTCGCGATTGTTCAGCAGACGCAGGCGGTCATTTAGAGCACAAAGACGGCGCATAAAATGCAAAAATGACTGAGAAATTTCAGTTTTTGAGGCGCCGCTGACTGAAATTCACAGAAAAATGGGAAAAATGCGCTCTTTCTTGTGGGCAAAACGCTAATTTCAGATCACAGCTGTCATAAACTATTCTGACAATTCCTGTTTTACCTAATTTTTCTCATTTTGTGATTAAATTTTAGGGTTTTCGGAGAAAAAATTCCGGAAATTTCAACGACACTCCGTTTTAACGTGGCGCTCAATTTAGCATTAGCCATTGGGGGAGACAGTGATATATGCACAATGAAATCTTTATTCGACAATGTGTGTTCCCCCTATTTCGGCGCCTTGTTCTGCTTCTTGCCTTCCTTCGAATTGCTCGCCTTGGAAATCGGTTTCGGAGTTGCACTCGCTCCGCCCACCGTCTTGTTCTTGTTCTTCGCCTTCGTCTTCGTCCAAATCACAAACACAAGCGTCAGGATGATGGCCATCAAGACCGCTCCACCGGCGAATCCTCCAATCGTCGGAACGAGCGGAAACGGAGCGGCAGTGGGGGTCGGGGCCGGCGCCGGAGCCACACTTCTCGGCGCTTGGGTGCTATTCGCTGTCGGCGGATACTGGAGACCTTTGTTGAACGAAATGTTAATGCAATTCTCGTCTGAAAACACACAAACTTTAAATTTTTTGGCCGGTGCGACTTACAATTAACGATCTGCTCGCACGCCTCATAGATTCCATTTGTCAAAAAGATACCGCATTGGTCTTAAATCACGATATCGATACAATAAATTCGCGTTTTTATGCACAAATTCAAACTCACCAAGGCCCATATTAGCGTTTAAACACGCGGATAGTATCGAGGCCATCGATGCCCCGAAACAGTCTAAAGAAAAAGAGTAAATTGCAAAAAAACCCAGGACGCCCAACTATCAAAGCCGGTCGCATCGTTTCCCAATCCAATACAATCGTGCAACAAGGTGGCGGCGCTGGAACCATTCTCCGCTAAACGTGCCGATTTTCGTGCGAACTCACATTGCAAGTCTGCTTTGTTCGGTGTAATCGAACAACATCTTCAACTTCATTTCTGAGGCCATCGTTTAACGAAAAAAAAAGTCAAACTAATAGTTTCTCGAAAGATGTCGTCAATTTGGAGAAGAAGGTCACGGAAGTTCACGAAGAAGGTTCTCGAAAAATGAAGCAAAACGTTGCGCGTCCAGAGCTGACAATAGTGCGATACATTGGCGCAAAATTTGTGTTTTTTGCGAGATTAGCCACGAAAAATCGATAATTTCTCGTTTGTCTCTCGATAGACCGATTGTATAGGGCTATTACGAATTTTTTAAGCGCAAGAGCGTTAAAAATCAGGTCGCAAATCACATTTATCCGTTTGAACGTTTTTCGCTAAAACTGCGTGAATTTCAGTTGCTTTTCGGTAGTATTCGCGGTTCGAGCGCTCAAAATGCTTGTATTTACGTGATTTATCATTCTCAAAACCAATTTTGTTGGAAAACGGTCAAGAAAGCGCAAAATGAGAAGGCGAAAAAGCGAAATCCGCGAAAAATGCGCCAAAACGTCATTAATTCTGAGAATTAGTGTGTTTTCATGTCGCGCAATCATTTTTCATCGTCGTTGACCACAAAAATCAGAGAAAACGTGCTCAATTCATGAAGACGCCATTTGCCCGCCGAAGCCACGCCCATTTCGTTATTAATCTAACGGCGGCCCTAATTAGATTAATAAATTGTCTAGCTAGATTAACAAATCTTCTAGCTAGATTAATAAATCTTCTAGCTAGATTAATAAGTGCTCAAATCTCGATTGCGCCAAGAAAAAAAAACAGTCTAATCAATAATTAGGTCGCGTTTAGATCAGTAACTTTCTAATTCAATTAATATCGAATTGCCAGCGATTGTTCAGAAATGATGATGTTTAAGAATAGAGAGAGGTGAGCGCCAGAGTTGAGCGGAAATGGAATTTTAAAATCCGGAAGACGGCAGACGGCAGACGGAAGAAAATTTTTCTTACGGAACACGGAAGACGAAAGACGGAAGATGGAACAAAAAATCGTCAATGCAGAACCTTTTTCTCCGGTGAAAAAAATAACTGAAGCAACAAAAATTTTGGATCTGGGTCAGTGCCCGTGGAAATTCGCGTTCTTCGGGGGCTAGTAAATGGCTTCTGAAAAGCTATTACTCTTTTACGGTAAGGAGGAAAAATTCCGGAAGACGGAAGACGGAAGACGGAAGACGGAAGACGGAATTCCGCTCAACATTGGTGAGCGCATAACGAACCCGTTCAAAGTTTTTATTATTATGTACTCCATACATCATTCATATCGACACAATGTAGTCTTCATTCGCGCACAACAACAGTACCGTTCGTTTCGACATTCAAATGTCCGTATCCACAATATCGAGACCGCCGTTTCCACGTCCGGCCACACTCTTCTTCTCCTTCTTCTTCTTGCCGCTGCAAATCACGAACACGACGGTCAGGAGGATTCCGATCAAAAGTGCGCCCCACGCGAATCCGCCGGCCACGTGAACTATCGGGAACGGAGCCGATTCGGAGCCGCCGGTGGTGGTCGTCGCGATGAGTGGAGCCCGAGGGATCGGAGGCAGAGTGCGTCGAGTCGTCGTTTTGTTGGCCGCCGCATTGAACGTCGCATCGCTGCACTCGTTCACTGGAAAAGGGGGCTGTTTTTGAGAAATCAAAAAAAACAAAAAATTACTGCCAGTCACAATGTCACAAACAATGCGAATAACGTTGCGGCCAAACTCTTGACACAGTTCTTTGTTGGCTGTAAATGTAGTAGTTGTATCTCGGTTGTCGGTGGTGATATCAAAAAGTGGTCAACTGATAAAATGTGCGTCATGTCTTTCGGAACATTTCATCAGTTGACATCAAATTGATAGCTCTTCAGACAGCCAAGATATAGCGTCTTGAATAGACGGTATCCGCCAAAAAACTTGTTCTCACTTCCAGGAGCGGCACTTTTGCACAAACCGATAAACCATTTATGCTCTCCATTAAAGCATACTGAAAAATGTTGGAAATTTCGAATTTTGGCACAGAATTCAATAGAAAACACTACTTACGCATAGCATCGTTATTGTACTTTGCCATATCATAGTATTTTTTGTAGACGCACTCATGAACGAGGCGAGTGGCGCTGAAAAACGGTTATTCGGTGGGCAAGACACTTTGAAAAATGCGTTTTTTACTCACTATGTCTTTGCAAGACTGTATCCGTGAGTTTGAAACTCTTTGAACTTGATTTCGACCATCTCGCTTTCCAAACACCGAAAATTGAGTTGAGGATTGAAATTGAATCGGAAACCGATCAAAATTTCAACGAAATTGGTCACGTTTTGTTTTCACCGAAAAAATGTGTCTATGTGGTTCACGGTTTCGTTTTCTTTTGTCGAAATTTGCATCCAATAGCGACTGTAGCTCTTCGAAGCGCTACAGTACTCTAGGAATTAGTGCTACAAGAAAGTGGTCAACTGCAAAATTATAGTACTAGACGTGAACTTGATTTTTGTAGTTGACAACTTTTCAGTACCATCACTCCTAGTTGTACTATAGTTCGTGCAAGTTGCCTTCAACTATCGCCAACTTCCAAGCGCTACAGTACTCTTAGAAGTGGTCGTGGAAAAAAGTGATCAACTATCAAAAGCAAGCACCCGACATGCTCTACATTTTCTCAGTTGACAACGTTTCTGTACACCAGCTCAGAACTCGACAATACTCGTTCAAAGTTGACGCGTCCAAAAATCGCTATTGTAGTAGGGCTTCTGAGTGCAGATTGACAATATAAAGACGGGAAATGATCATGGGGCGAGTGTGGCCAGCCAGTTGTCACTATTGTATGGCCAACTAACTGTGCACACTGCCTCACGAGCATCGTCTTTCAATTGAATAGTGTGAATCTAGTGAAAAAGAAGAAGAAGAAGAAGAAGAAGAAGAAGAAGAAGAAGAAGCGGAGCATGACGAGTTGCCCTGGAAACCGAAAGACTCCCCCATTAATTATTCGCCCCCAAGAGACGGCTTTTCGCGTTTCGTCAACAGATTAGACGAGAAACTCGTGCTATCGAAACGGATAATAATAGTATTGTGCGACGGAAGTTGCAACAGCTACAGTCCACTTAGGAGTGGCAGCAGCAAAAAGTTGTCAACTACAAAAGTCTAGTGCCAAATGTGAACTTTATTTTTGTAGTTGACAACTTTTTTCCACACCCACTTCTAAGTCTACAATACTCGTTCAAAGTTCACCTTCAGCTTTTCCATAACACTATGTATATATATTGTCTGTTTTGTTTTTCACGTCGTCGCTGATGATGATGATGATGATGATGATGATCCGAATAAGGACGATCAGATAGTCGGAGCGGATCACCGGCAGATATTCACACTTGAATGCACCGCCCTTCGATGACGAAATAACGGTGGCTGTATTACATTCTTGACACTGTGCCGCCGAAGAGAGAAAGAGAAAGAGAGAGAGAGAGAGAGAGAGAGAGAGAGAGAGATAGAGAGTGATTTGTACGGAAAAGGTGGACGAATTGCACGATTTTCGTTCCCCATTTCGCAACTCATAACCTCGCGCCTTAATCGGCCACTTTGCCGTCAAATTCGCAACATTTCTCACCGCCGATTTCGTCGAAAATGCTCTCACGCTTCTTACCCGCTAATCCGACAGTGTGTGTGTGTGCCGTGCTATTTTAGGCACCCCCACCCGATTTCGGATGGATTCGGCCAGGATTTGTTCTTCGGAGCAGAGTTGAGCGGAAATGGAATTTTGCAATCCGGAAGACGGAAGAGCAATTTATTTTTTTTGCGGAAGACGGAAGACGGAAGACGGAAGACGAAAGAATTTTTTTTTACGGAACACGGAAACCGGAAGACGCCTTTTTCTCCGGTGAAAAAAATAACCAACGCAACAAAAAAATTTTGGATCTGGGTCACTGGCCCGTGGAAATTCGCGCTATTCGGCGGCTAGTAAATGGCTTCTGAAAAGCTATTACTCTTTTACGGTAAGGAGGAAAAATTCCGGAAGACGGAAGACGGGAGACGGAAGACGGAAGAGTTCACGCGGAGAGCGGTAGAGCGCGATTTCGGCTTTTGTGTGGCTGCTTTTTTTTTCACTGATCGATCTGGAATTGTTTCGCTTTTTCCTGGCCTCACAATACAGAAAACTCGACGTTTGGTATGGCAATATCGACGGAAGGAGCTTTTTTTTTAGAATTTTGTTGCTATTTCCGGAATAAAATTTGGGGGAAAAAAAAGACGGAAGACGGAGCAAAAAAAATCCACGGAAGACGGAAGACGGAGCAAAAAAAATCCACGGAAGACGGAAGACGGAAGACGGAACAAAAAATTCCACGGAAAACGGAAGACGGAAGAAAACTGTTTTCCCGGAAGACGGAAGACGGAACAAAAAATTCCACGGAAGACGGAAGACGGAAGAAAACTGTTTTCCCGGAAGACGGAACAAAAAATCCACGGAAGGCGGAAAAAATCCACGGAAGACGGAAGACGGAAGGCGGAAAAAAATCCACGGAAGACGGAAAAAAATCCACGGAAGGCGGAAAAAAATCCACGGAAGACGGAAGACGGAAGAAAACTGTTTTCCCGGAAGACGGAAGACGGAAGGTTTCCAGTGACGTCGCATACGTGTTAGTTTGGCGGTCAAATCTGAAAATCCGACTTGAGAAACCGATCGTGCTGAAATTCATTAAATCAGCTGACTAGTCGAAAAATAAATCTCTCTCTCTCTCGCATTTCCATAATTGCTTGCGCGCCAAACACATTGTGGTGGGCGGGGCGTGGCCGACGAATCAGCGGGGGCCAAAAGTGGGCGGAGCGTCGTGTACAAACAGGACGGATCCGCGCGACACCTCAGAAGACACACAATGGCATCGTTTCCGTTCGTCATGACCGCCGACTCGCTCGCCAAAATCGTGATGCCCAATACGAACAGGTACGTGCACATTTCCGTTGCTTTCGGCTATTGTATGACTATTGTATGACAAAATTTAAATTGCAGATCGTCGAGCTCGTCCTCATCTCCGTCCACATCATCATCCACGTCGTTCTCGATTGACACGTTGCTTTCGAATCCGCTGGCGGCGATCCCACAACTTCAGCCACACCATTTCCACGATTCGTTCGGAGGACCGGTCCCCTGGCAGTTTCACCCGACGTATCCGTTTGTTTGTGAGTTCGATACCTAGTTTGCACGCTTTTTTTGAAACCTACAATATCGGTTTTTCCGCTCGAAACGCAACACGTCCACTTTGAACGAATATTGTCGGATTCTGACGAGCCGTAGGCATCTGAAATTTTTCCAGTGAACACTTGACGCCTTGTACGGTTTTTTTGTAGTTGACACTTTTTCCGTACAATCATTTCCTCGGGTACTGTAGTCCCTGAAAGTTCGCGCTGACCTTCAAGTAGCTCCAAACTTCTAAGCGCTACAGTACTCTTAGAAGTGGTGTTAGCAAAAAGTTGTCAACTGCAAAATTATAGTACTAAACGTGAACTTGATTTTTGTAGTTGACAACTTTTTGGCGCCATCACTCCCTGGAGTACTGTAGCTTCAAGAAGTTGGCGCTAGTCAAAGTAATTCACCGCCAACTTCCAAGCGCTACAGTATCCCATGGAATGGTCCTAGAAAAAAGTGATCAACTAGAAAAATGTTCTACTAGATGTCAAAAATACGTGTAAAACTTTTCAAAACACTAGCACATTTTCTAAGCCTACAATATCCGGTTTTGCAGCAATGCTCTGCTCTCCACTTCTTCCCTCCTTCATGCCGCCCTACCAACACTACGTTTCGCGACGAAAACGTCGTCATCGGACAATATTCAGTGAAGAACAGTTGAATATTCTCGAAAGTACCTTCTCCTCGACACACTATCCGGATGCGACGACTCGGGAAGAGCTGGCCGTTCAGTGCTCTTTGAAGGAAGAGCGAGTTGAGGTGAGAGTGTGCAAATTGCCGTAAAATGTGGTGTACGGCTACTTAGAGGTCTAATCTAAATATTATCCTTTTCTAATGAATCCCCACCCTTTAATTAATTATTTTTGTGCGGCGGCGGGTAACCTGCTGTTGCTCGCCGAATCCCCGGCCGTTTTTTGTATAGTACTAAAGCGCTATGGTTCTAGAAACATTTTTTGGGAAAACTTGACATTTAGTACTGTATTTTTGCAATTGATGACTTTTCTCTTCGACCACTCTCGCGAGTACTGTAGTTCTTTGAAGTTGGATTTCAACGCCAACTTCCAGAAACTACAGTACTTTTAGGAGTGGTGCTACAAAAAAGGTGTCAACAACAAAAATAAAGTACTAGTTACGAACTTCATTTTTGTAGTTGACAACTTTCTCGTATCACCGCATCTAAGTGTACTGTAGCGCTTGGAAGTTGGGACCTTCTCGAAGCCAGTTCTTTTCAGCGCCAACTTTCAAGACCTACAGTACTCCAGGCACTGGTCGTACAAAAAAAGTGTCAACTACAAAAACCAAGTACCAGATGTCAAGATTTCGCAAAACAATTTCTAGATCCGTAACCCGTCTCGAAACTCTACAATACTCATTCAAAGTTGATCAATTTCCTTTCGCTTTCCTCTCAAACGAACAAAGAAACAAGCTGGTTGCAAAGTGTCGCTTTGGTTGCAAATTGTCAAATCCTTTCCGAATATTGTCGGTCTAATTAATGAGAAGGAAGAGGAAGAAGAAGAAGGAGAAGAAGAAGAAGAAGAAGCGTTCGGCGATTATCCGCATCAGCGAACCGCCCATATTCTCGCCACTAAATTTCTTAATTGATACCTATCTTATTACCCTTTTCCTTTCTCTTCACCTGTTGTTACACATCAAGACCCCCAACCTCCCAAAAAAAAATTGAAAACCCAAGCTACAGTAACCCTCATTTTTTCCAGGTTTGGTTCAAAAATCGACGAGCAAAAGAGCGCAAGCAGAAGAAGGACGATAATCGAACTTCCAAGGTTGGTTTATTGATTTTTCGGTTGAAAATGTTGAAAATGTCGAAAAATAAGTGATTTATAGTATGTGTACCGAAAAAAAACAGTGAAATACACTTTGAAAAGTGGATAATAGCAAGGAGTCGAAAAATTCGAACCTTGAGAAATTGATCAACTTTGAACGAATATTGTACGCTTAGACAATGTTGTATGGGTCTGAAAATTTTTTTGTGAAAACTTGACATCTAGTACTGCATTTTTGTAGAAGACTCTTTTTTTGTACGACCAGCGCCTGGTGTACTGTAGCTCGTGGAAGTTGGCGCTGAAACGCGCGGGCTCCAAGTAGCCCTCAACTTCCGAGCGCTACAGTACCCCAGGGAGTGGTCCTAGAAAAAAGATGTCAACTGCAAAATTATAGTACTAGACGTGAACTTGATTTTTGTAATTGACACTTTTTTGATACAACTACTCCCTGGTAAACTGTAGTCCTGAGAAGTTGAGCGCCGCTTCAAGGCCGCTTATTTCAATGCCAACTTCCAAGCGCGCTACAGTACCCCAAGGACTGGTCCTAGAAAAAAGTGATCAACTATGCATGTACTCTACTAGGTCTCAAGTGCCCCAAAACGCATTTTCAGACCCGTTGAACATCGCAAAACTCTACAATACTCGTTCAAACTTACGCCCCCCCCCCCCGCGGACAGCTATTGTAAATTTCCGCTTTTTTGCAGCTCTCCGACGAGTCGGAATGCGACGAAAGCGACGAGGATTTGCGAAAAGTGAAGCGGATAAAAAAGGAGGAGGAGGCGGAGAAACCGAGCAAAGAGTCGAGTTCGCCCGAGTCGAAAGTGTCGAAACATTTAGTAAAATCTGAAAATTGATATTGAAAATTGATATGATATGTACAGATTCCCCCCGCAAATCAATCGATAAGTGTCTAGTCGTTTTCTGTTTGGCCATAAATAATTCACTTCTTCTTCTTCTTCTTCTTCTTCTTCTTCTTCTTCTTCTTCCTCTTCTTGACTAATCCGCTCCCAAATCATGTTATCAGGGATACTGTACGCGCCGGCCGGATAATCATAATCCTCGGCGAATTTCGCACCGCCCGACCGGTCGGATTACTGTAGTTTCCCCCCGGCCGCCGCTAATTTGTTCTTCTCTTCGTCGCCAACAAAAATAATCGAATTATTTCGGCGTTTCTTGTTTGCCGCATTTCGCCTTGAGAAGGTAGTATTATAAAGTTAAGGTTAGACGTTGATTGGGAGTGATCAAGTGGAAAATCACAGTTTTTTCGCAACCGGACGTTTTGCAACCGCTACGTGTCGCATTTGACATTTTACGGGCCAGGACGGTTGCGAAACGGAAACGGATACCGGTTTCAAAGTGTCTGGTTGCGAAACGGGAGAGTTGCGAAAAAAACCGTAATCCTCTTCATGTTTACATTTGACGAATCGGACAATATTCGGCAATGTGATCAGCAGAGTTGAGCGGAAAAACACGGAAGAATTTTTATCTTTTTTAGAAAATTTTTTCATGAAATGTGATCAACTGACGAAATGTAGAGCAAAGTGAACTGTGCTCGTAGAAAAATAATTGCGAATTTAGCTTTTCATACAAAAAAGTTATTCGAGTTGTTCCGTTCAAAAAAGGGCTAACGGAACAACTCGAATATAACTTTTTTGTATGAATCGCTAAATTCGCAATTATTTTTCTGTGAGCACAGTTCACTTTGCCCTACATTTCGTCAGTTGATCACATGTCATGAAAAAATTTTCTAAAAAAGATAAAAATTCTTCTTGCGTCGTTGAGTTCTCAAACTACAGTAATCCGTTTGCGTCGTTGAGTTCTCAAACTACAGTAATCCGTAGCGGCTCGCCCGGTTGCCAAGTGTCCAAGTGATGTGGTGGTTGCGATGCGACTGTGCAGACAAATTTCGAGCCGAAAATGTGCACTAATAGCAGAAATCCAACACCCCCCACTCGTCGCCTCGTGAATAATTTGCCTCATTTGCTGATGTGTGTGTGCTCCGTGCTCACGATTACGGTAGTCAGGAGAGGAGAGAGCAAACGGAAAAGCGAGAAGAAGTGCGTGTCCTTCTTCTTCTCCTTCTTCTTCTTCTTCTTCTCCTTCCTCTTGCTCCTCTCACCTGGCTGCTCATGTTAGAGACCCACTTAGAAGCTGTTTTGGAGACGACAAGATGGGCCGGATCGGGTTTCAATTGACACATGACTTCTCAAGTGGAAACGGAATTATTAGTTAGCGTGTTAGGTGTGAATTGGAGAAGCGGGAGGGAGGGGGGACGGGATTACTGTAGATGCTGTTCCTAAAAACGGAAATTTACAATAGCTGTCCGCTGGGGGGGGGGCGTAAGTTTGAGCGAGTATTGTAGAGTTTTGAGCGGTTCAATGCGTCTGAAAATGCGTTTTGGGGCACTTGAGACCTAGTAGAGTACATGCATAGTTGATCACTTTTTTCTAGGACCACTCCTTGGGGTACTGTAGCGCGCCTGGAAGTTGGCATTGAAATAAGCGGCCTTGAAGCGGCGCTCAACTTCTCAGGACTACAGTACCCCGGGGAGTAGTTGTACCGAAAAGGTGTCAATTACAAAAATCAAGTTCGCGTCTAGTACTATAATTTTGCAGTTGACATCTTTTTTCTAGGACCACTTCCTGGGGTACTGTAGCTGTTTGAAGCGTTCAGCACACCGAGATTCTGGGCTATCACACTGCCCTTGCGTCAGTTGCAAAGTTGGACACTTTGCAACTGTCTGTGGCAACATTTCGCAACCACAAGACCCGTATGGGAGGGGGACGGGATTACTGTAGCTTTTGGGACGTTTTGCAACCGACTTTCTTGAACGTTTGCCACATGGAGACGAGGGAGAGCACGTTTTGCAACTGCAACTAGTTGCAAAGTTGCACACTTTACAACTGACAGACATTTCGCAACCGCAGCACCCGTGGGGGGAAGGGGACGGGATTACGGTACTCAAATCCGTCGGCAAACGGTTTGTTTGATCGACGATTATATTGTGAGTCGCGTCGCGTCAAAAAGACACCTAGCTGGCCGGCCCGCGCGCGAGTATTGTATGTCAATGAAATAATCGAAGAACATTGCCAAATCTGCCCACATCTGCCACCAAGACACCCGTACGGACTCAAAAACTAAGCCCAAACGTACACACTGGTAGGACAAAAAAATGGCGATTGGAGACGAGCAGCACAAAAGAGGTGGGGCGAATCTAACACCTGTCTGCCAGTACGTACGTACATACGTACATACGTCAACATGCGACGACACATTGAAAAATAGAGTGTTAGGGATCGAAACATTGTGAAAATATAGTAGCTAAAGTCAAAAAACCGCTGGAAAAGGCAACGTTTCGAAAGTTATGCAAGTGATCAACTTTGAATGAGTATTGTAGAGTTTCGAGACGGGCTACGGATCTAGAAATTTTTTTGTGAAATCTTGACATCTGGTACTTGATTTTTGTAATTGACACTTTGTTTGTACAACCATCGCCTCGAGTACTGTAGGTCTTGGAAGTTGGGACTGAAAAGCAGTGTCATCGAGCGCGCTCCAACTTCTGAGCACTACAGTACTCCAGGCAATGGTTGTGGCAAAAAGTTGTCAACTACAAAGTTACGCTACTAGACATTGCCTTCATTTTTGTAGTTGACAACTTTTTCGTACACCCACTCCCTAGACTACTGTAGCTCTGGGAAGATAGATGTATCGCTAGCAAACCTACAATATCGGTTTTTCCGCTCGAAACGCAACACGTTCCGATGAACGGATATTGTCGGATTCTGACGAGCCATAGGCATCTGAAATTTTTCCAGTGAACACTTGACGCCTAGTACGGTATTTTTGTAGTTGACAACTTTTTCGTACACCCACTCCCTAGACTACTGTAGCTCTGGGAAGATAGATGAGCGCGGCTCTCGACTTCCAAAAGCTACAGAATCGTGCGAAAACGTCTGCTAAGCGCACAATACTCGTTCAAAGTTGACGTCTTCCCAACAAATGATGATGCACATTTATTTTTCATTATTCTTCAATGAAAAAGGAAAGAACGATGCCCGGAATACGCATCGCTACTTCGTTGCATTCGGATTGGCGGACGTGCAAGTGAAGTAATACGCTCCATTCCCCTCGTTGCTCCACATTTTTGTGTCGTGCTGGCACGTGTTCTCAATTTGCTTGTCTCCATACTAAAAAATGTCGCTTATGTCGCAAAAAATGTCGCAAAATGAGCCACTCACAAACGGCCAAAGCGGACCGGATTTTGCGTCGAGCACCTGAATTTTGAACGCGCCTTCTCCGCGCTCCGTACAATTTTGCGGTGTCGGAGTGCAATTGGTCCACGTCAACACCGGGCTTCTGTAGACGTCGTCGCCAAACGCGTAGCCCATCGCTTTTATGTAAGCCGAGTCGATTGTGTACCTCGGACATCCGCATGTCGCATCGCACTCGTCGAGCGGATATCCGTTCGAACACGCTGCAACCAAACGATCTCATCGCGTTCCCATCGCTTTTTTTTTTTTGGACTCTGGGACCACTTGCAATATGATCCGATCGGAGCCGAACTTTGCCGGATTATTGGACTTGGATTTAGGGCGGTTGGGACCAGGTTTCAGCCCGATCGGATCCTCTGGTCCGGAGATGTGCCGACTTTAATTTTTATCTTTTTTAGAAAATTTTTTCATGAAATGTGATCAACTGACGAAATGTAGAGCAAAGAGAACTCTGCGCATAGAAAAATAATTGTGAATTTTTGCGATTCATACAAAAAAGTTATATTCGAGTTGTTGCGTTTGGCCTTTTTTCACGCAACAACTCGAGTATAACTTTTTTGTATGAATCGCTAAATTCACAATTATTTTTCTACGCGCAGAGTTCACTTTGCTCTACATTTTGTCAGTTGATCACATTCCATGAAAAAATTTTCTAAAAAAGATAAAAAAAATTTTCGGGTTCTTCTTGCGATGTTTTCCAAAAAAGCCCGGACTTCCGGATCCGATCGGCCTGAAACTTGGGCCCAGCGGCCCTCAATCCAAGTCCAACAATCCGTCAAAGTTTGGGTCCGATCGGATCATTGCAAGTGGGCCAAAAGTACAGAGTGGTGTGGTGCTCGAAGTTGATATTGTTGTTGTTGTTGTTGTCGGCGCCGCGGTCGAGACAGACGATGAACTTCTCGTCGCAGATATTGTCGATGTGGAAGAAGGTCTCGTAGAGGCTGTATGCGTCCACATTTTTGTTATCCTACAATAGCTGTACCTGTACTTTGAGCAGTTACGGCTCCCGTCGTTGATCCCTGAGACTGCAGACATCCGGCCTCCACACTAATAAAAAGTATGGCCAGGACCGCAAACACGAACGGTTTCATCGCAAACCTCACACTCACACTGAACATTTTCATTCAAAAATTTCACTTTTATACTCGACAGTGGCTTGTGTTTTTTTGCTCAATTATCATATCTGACATTTGAATTTCGAAATTCGAAATTTGCAATTCCTATGCGTTGATCGGCTAGTGTTCTGGCGAAAAAGTGCAACTTCAGTCTAGTTTTGATAAACGAAAACGCGCGCGAACAAAAAAAACACATTTATTTCTCCAAACACGTGTACAGGATCCGTTGGTTATCCCAGGAGACCCATTCGTTCGAGTCGGAACAAGTGTAGATGGCCACTTGTTGGAACTGCAAGTTGGAACTGGTAGTGTTGATTTCAAAGCGCTACAGTAGCCCGGCGAGTGGTTGTACTAAAAAGTTGTCAACAGCAAAAATCAAGTTAAAAGTGTGAACTTTATTTTTGTAGTTGACCACTTTTTCATACGACCACTCCCCGAGGTGCTGTAGTGCTCAGAAGTTGCTTTTCATTCCCAACTTCCAAGCGCCACAGTAGCCGAGGAATTGGTCGTAGTAAAAAGTGGTCAAGCACAAAAATCAAGTACTCGATGTCAAGTTCTCATTGGAAAAAAGCTCTGGGGCCTCAGTACCGTCGCTCCTTTGTTCTCCACCATTCCCGATTCGATATTGTAGGCCAAAGTGTGTTCGCTGGTTTTCGGCGGGCAACCGTCGAGCACCGGAGTGCATTCATCGGTCCACTTCACATTGGGCTTCACAAATTTTTCGTCTGTAATCGAAGCAATCGGATTCTCGAAATTCGCTTTAATCCACCGGGAGCCGACGGCGATTTCGAGGCAACCGCACGTCGATTTGCATTTTGTCGGGAAGCCTTGCGGGCACTCGTCTGCAACAGTGATGTTGGGAATAAAAATCTTACTCTACGGAACACGGAACACGGAAAACGGAAAATTTTTTTTTTACGGAACACGGAACACGGAAATTTTTTTACGGAACACGGAACACGGAAAACGGAAAAAACTTATTTCTACGGAACACGGAACACGGAAAACGGAAAATTTTTTTTTACGGAACACGGAACACGGAAATTTTTACGGAACACGGAACACGGAAAACGGAAAAAACTTATTTCTACGGAACACGGAACACGGAAAACGGAAAAAAAAAAGATTTTTTTTTGATAATGTTTTGTTTAATTCGATTATCTGACTGACAAGGCAGCTGTTTGACTCATGTGAAAGTTTTACTGAAAATTTCATAAAAAATAACAAAACCAACAACACAACAGTAAACAACTACAGTAAAAAACGACTGAAAATGGAATCCACTTTTCACGAATATGGTCCGAATCCGAAAATTTTCAAATTTTGACCACAAAACGTCAATTGTCCTTATCAAAATAATAATGAAAAAAATAAAATTTGTGATCGAATTTTCGCGCGGAAAATATAGTTTATACGGAACACGGAACACGGAAAACGGAAAAAAAACTTATTTCTACGTAACACGGAAATTTTTTTTTTTACGGAACACGGAACACGGAAAAAATATTGCAAAAAAACGCGGAACACGGAACACGGAATTCCCAACATCTCTGGTCTGTAATTGCGCTTTTGTTACACTTATCGATGTTTTCGCAACCGAGAGACGTTTCGCAACCAGGAAAAGCGACGACAAACCGTTGGTTTTGCTGAAAAGGCCGGCTAATTGTTTGTCGAACTCGTCGGATGAGCCGCGCGGTCCGTTATTCTTGTGCCGAGGCGCTTTGGCTTGAATTTCCGAAATGGATAATATAGAAAGCAAGAGAAAATGCGTCCTCATCGTTGAAATGTGAACGGAAAGAAGAAGAAGAAGAAGAAGAAGAAGAAGAAGAACACTCTTTTCTCACTTTTAACTATTTTCCCGTCATTTTATCACTTCCTTTCACACACATAAACTTGTTTTATGAACAACGCGGGTTGCAAAGTGTCCACGGACATTTCGCAACTGTCCCCCACTTCGCGCTTCGTTCGTAGCAAAGTTTATTCGATCGAATGAACTAAAAATGGAGAAATTCACAATTTGCAAGTTCAAACAACTACAGTAGCCGTAGAAGTGATGGTATCAAAAAGTGGGCAACTACAAAATTAAAGTTTAGCTCTAGAACTCTAATTTTGCTGTTGACCACTTTTTTGTATCACAACTGCTAAGGGTACTGTAGCGCTTCGAAATAGGCGCTGAAAATTATCTGTCTGAACATTGTTCCAACTTCGAAGCGCTACAGTACGCCAGGGAGCAGTTGTAGAAAAAAGTTGACAATTACAAAAATAAAGTGCCATCCATACTCTACACTTTTTTAGTTGACAACTTTTTCGTACAATCACTCCCAGCCCTACAATACTCGCTCAAAGTTGAGTGCAAAAAAGAAAGAGTCAGAGTACATGCTGGCGATGAATTCAGTGTCGACGGCAATTTCCAGACAACCACACGTGGATTTTCATTCAGTTGCGAAGCTATTTGAACAATTTTCTGAAAAATTGGACTTTTCGCAACCGACGGGTCACTTTGCAACTGGTCAAATATCAAAGAAAGTCCTACTTTTGTGATGCAAACTTTGCCACTGTATCTTTCGGTTGCAAAACGTCCGAGGACGCTTTGCAACCAACCACTTTGCAACCGAGAATGGTTGCAAAAGTTTTGCAACCAATTAGGTGGTTGCAAAGCGTCCAAAGACATTCCGCACCTCTGTCCGGTCTCAAATCTACCGTTTTTTCTGATAAAAAGTGAAATTGCGAGGACTTTAGGGCATTTTTGGCAACCAGCCATTTCGCAACTGAAATCAGTTGCGGTTGCAAAGTGTCCCATAGTTGCGAAACGTACCGTCCACGTTCAAACATGTTGTACACAAAATTGAAAAAATAACGCAACAACTAGACTGTACTTCATCGACTTTTTTTAGACTTTTTGCCCAAACATTCGACTTTATCGTCTAAAATCGATTGAATACAATTTGAATATAATAGGCTTCACAAATCGGTCCCCTATTCCATATTCACTTGTTCGTCCGCATTCTAACCCAATTTCTTCGAAGACTTTTGCGCAAAAAAAGGGCGGAAAAAAGTTCAGTTAATTATGAAACGGTTACATCGCTAATCTCACAGTTAAATATGTCGTCGGGCTGGCTGAGAGAAGAAGAAAAGCGGAGAACAAATGTATAATTAAGAAATGTTTCGGGGGCTAATCGAATTCGCATTCGCCAATTCTCAAGTTGTCGCAAAAAAATGGCGGGTTATATGAGAAATGAAGAGTACATAGTCCGGTTGCGAAATGGCCTGTTTGGCAACCAAACGATGTACCTATATTGTGAGCTAAATGAGAATTTGAAGAGTTGCAAAACGTCGCCAGTCAATCACTTTTTTCGTCATTGTCATTGTCATTGTCATTGTCATTGTCATTGTCATTGTCATTGTCATTGTCATTGTCATTGTCATTATCATTGTCATGATTGTCATTAGTTTTGGGCAGTGGGTCGTGCCAAAAAACAGAGACACACCACACTTTTACACTACTATTCTCAGTAGCCTGTATCTCGTGAACGAACAATTGTAGAGGGAAGTGATCAACTGGAAAGTTGGAGAGAATGTTATGCTGCTCAAGTTTGTAGTTGACAATTATTGCCTAGAAAAAACACACATCGAGTTATATGGGTTCACACCAGAGTTGAGCGGAAGTGCTCAACGCAAAAACACGAAAGAATTTTTTTATCTTTTTTAGAAAATTTTTTCATGGAATGTGATCAACTGACGAAATGTGTAGAAAAGTGAACTCTGCTCATTGAAAAATAATTGTAAATTTAGCGATTCATACAAAAAAGTTATATTCGAGTTGTTCCGCTCAAAAAAAGGGCCAACGCAACAACTCGAATAACTTTTTTGTATGAATCGCTAAATTTACAATTATTTTTCGATGAGCAGAGTTCACTTTGCTATACATTTCGTCAGTTGATCACATTCCTTGAAAAAATTTTCTAAAAAAGATAAAAATTCTTTTCCGTTGGAGTTCGTTCATTGTGCCCCGTTTTTTTTGCCTCTTGCCGCCTCGAGAATGATTTTCAGACCGTGGTCCGAGAGGATACACAAACATAAGCAACGAAAAAGTGCTAAGAGTACTTGCTTCCTTCTCAGTCGATGCACCATAACACACACACACATCGTCGATCCCTTTCGCCGCGCGAAACGCGAACGCCAGGCTCCTCATCCACAAACACACGCACTTGTCATAAATCCGCCAATTACACACCGTGCTTTTGAGGAAAAACGCGCGAAAATTGGCTCCTAATCGTCGGCGGAGAAGCGAGCGAATAATTGATAGGTTCTCCTTCTTCTTCTTCTTCTTCTTCGTCGTCGTCTCTCTCTCTCTCTCTCTCTCTCTCTTTATGTGGATTCACACATTTTGGCTAAAGGTAATTGTGTGGAAAATGGGCGGCGAATTGAAAATGTGGGACACAAGGTTTATCAAAGGTTTCATGGAAATAATACTGATGATGATGTGGATGTTGTGGATGTGGATTTGAGTGAAAAGTGATGGCACTACGGACGGAGACGTTGAAAAAAAAAACACGCAAATTATGACGTGGATTTCTTGTCCTCCTCGTCGTCCTCATCGTTCGATAGTGTCGTGTGCGGGTCTGAACGACTAGTTTTTGCAATTGACGGCCTAGAACTGTCGAAGACGTACCCGAGCTCTCCATCCGCACCCGTTTGTGTTTTGTCCGTCGGTTTTGAAACCATACTTTCACCTGAAACAACCGTTTTGAGTTCTATGCGATCGTGAGCTGGATCCCAGGCCTTTAAAGGCCTGGGAAACATTTTTAATTTTTAAAATAAACTTCAAAGTGGACCATTCACTTTCCCAAAGTTCCGAATTACGAAAAAAAAATTCGCCGATTTTTAGGATTTTTTTTTCAAAAAAGTTAATGGTACCGAGAGAAATGGTGCACGGCGAAATCGAAGAGCTGGCCTACATTTTTTTCTAGTCCCCCGGATGAAATTCCCCTTTTTTTTTCGATTTTTTTCCGTTTTCGTGCAAATTTCTTAAATTTTCAATCGGTTTTTTTCACTGAACACACTTATTTGCAATATTTAAAAAACATTTATGTTTTTTTTCTGTGCCGTGACGCCAAAAAATCGATAATCTGAAACTTTCAAAATTCCTGCAAAATTCTGAAAAAATCAGCCACTTTTTTTTGAAACCGAAAATAGAAAGTTTTGGATTTTTCGCATTACTTTGAAAAATAGAACTTTCTGTAAGTCGCAAACTTTAATTTAGACTCAGGAAATGATTGAGCGATCTCTTTCCATTTATTTTTCAGCGCGCAAACCGAAGATTGAGCGAAAAACACGGAAAAACAACAAAAAAAAAGTTTCAGATTATCGATTTTTTGGCGTCACGGCACAGAAAAAACATAAATTTTTTTAAACATTGCAAATAAGTGTATGCTCAGTGAAAAAACCGATTGAAAATTTAAGAAATTTGCACGAAAACCGAAAAAAAATCGAAAGAAAGGGGAATTCCATCCGGGGGGACTAGAAAAATCGCGGCCAGCTCTTCCATTTCGCCGCCAACTTTTTTGAAAAAAATCTTTAAAATCCGGGGATTTTTTTTTCGTAATTCGGGACTTTGGGAATGTGAATGGCCCACTTCGAAGTTTATTTTAAAAATTGAAAAATGTGTTGTATGTCACGCTGAGATCCCAGGCGTTTAAGCATAAAATTTAACATGTACACAAAGTTCAAAATAAGACGGTTTTGCCTCAATCCCCCATTCATTGCTACTCGCTTCTCCACCATATAAACTTTTGTATTTGTACAATGTGTGCATACTGTATGGACACAGAGAACACCGAGAGCCGGTGTCTCGAATAATAGCACTCGAGCGCGAAGAGAATAGGAAGGGGGGAATCACCTACTACGGGATTAGCACAGAAAGAGCAATTGGTGTGCTAAGTACGCGATCAAATAAAAATGAGAAGAAGAAGAAGAAGAAGTGTATTGTCGAAGGAAGGACGACACGCTTTTGTGAAAACGAGGATACTGTGGCGTTTCGGAGTTAGCGCTACATTTAATGTGGCCGCGCTAACTAGGCCCAACTTCCAAGAGCTATAGTCGGCGAAGGAGTGGTCGTATCAAAAAGTTGTCAATTACAAAACTAAAGTTCACATTTTCGACTATAATTTTGCTGTTGACAACTTCTCAATACGACCAGTCGCTCGAATACTGTGGCGCTTCGAAGTTAGCGCTACATTTAATGTGCCGCGCTAACTAGGCCCAACTTCCCAGAGCTACAGTCCTTCACGGAGTGGTCGTATCAAAAAGTTGTCAACTACAAAACTAAAGTTCACATTTTGTACTATAATTTTGCTGTTGATAACTTGTCGATACGACCCGTCGCTGGATTACTGTAGCGCTTGAAAGGCACACAAATTTCAGCGCCAACTTCCAGGGACCACAATTCTTTTCCGAGTGGTCCCGGAAAAAAATGGTCAACTACACAAATGAAGCGAATGCTCTTGTGATGCGAACCTGTGTCTCCGTGAGGCTCAACCTCGTCGCCAACTGTTTGCGCTCGTTGCCGACCACATAGTGATTTCCCTCGAACGCCTTCTCCAACTGGATCAATTGTGACGCGCTGAACGCCGTCCGAATCCGCTTATTTTTGCGAAGCGGCTGCAAAAAGAGTCCGGCGGTGACGTCGCCTAAAAATTGAGGCTACGGACGAAGAATCGAAATAAGTGCGCAATACCAAACTGGGCGGCAGTGGTGCTCTGCAACAATTCGAGCCACGGATGCTGCCAGACACCGCCGCCGCTGTTGTTCGAATTCTGATCCGAAACTGCCGCCGACATGCCCGATATAAACGGATTCGAGCACGCCATTTGTACGTGCGGCAGAAGGACGTCGAAATAGGAAAGAGTCTGTGCGAGCGGCTCGTCTTTTTTCGAATCCTCCTCCTCCTCCTCCTCCTCCTCCTCGATATCGTCGTCTTCTTCAGAGTGTTCGCGCTGAACATGCTATTATATTATAGCTTAAGAAATTTGGGAAAACGCCTCAAACCTCATCACACTTTATCGTTTTCCGCTTCATCTCCACGCGACCCTCATCGGACTCCTTTTCACTTTCGACAAGCCGTTGCACCGAGAATTTCAGTGTCATTTTTTGCGAAATATGAGTTGAAATAAATAGACAATAGCAGAAAAGGTAGGTTCACACAATATAATAAATATGTCTCTTCGCTCTCCTCGTTTTGTGTTTGTTCCACTCCGCCCATTCATTGGGCGGAGTGGGCGGAGTCTCTCGGGCCGCCGGCCGATTCTAATTGGACACCACCGTATTGTTGGAGAAGCTTACCGAACAAGGATCCTTTTTGTTTGACACACCCCCGAAATACACACCTCTTTTTTTTGCCGCTTTTCCTGCCCACCCCATTTTTGGACTCGTCAACCGGAATTTGTTGGAAGGGGGGAGGGTGTAAACTTTGAATGAGTATTGTAGACTTTCGAGACGTGTTATGGCTCTAGAAATTTTTTTGGGAGTTGTTGACATCTAGGACTTTAGTTTTGTAGTTGCCACTTTTTTGTACGACAACTTACTGGCGTACTGTAGCGCTTCGTCGCCGGCCTTTGAAAAAGCCGAAACTTCAAAGAGGTACAGTACCCCGGGAAATGGTCGTACCGAAAAGGTGTCAACTGCAAACGTGTTGTGCACAATGTGAACTTTAGTTTTGTAATTGACAACTTTTCGCTACAACCATTTCCCGGGGTACTGTAGCTCTTCAAAGTTCGGACCAGTCGTCGGCCGCCGAATTTCAGTCCTCACTTCGAAGAGCTACAGTACACCAGGCGCCGGTCGTAGAGCAAAATGATCTACTACCAAAATCTGGTACAAAGTGTCAAGTTTTCGCAAAAAAATTTTCAGACCCATACAACATTATCCAAGTGTACAATATTCGTTCAAACTTGTCCAATTTCTCAAGGTCCGAAGTTTTTTGTCGTGTCGATCTGACAACGTTTCCAACACTTTGGTACAGCTTTTCAATCGTTTTCCCCCAACCACTGACGAACGACGTTTCGCAACCGCTTCTGCAACCGAGATGATTCCCGAATTAGCGGCGCTTTGTGTCTGTTTGAGCCCTGAAAATGTATCTCCATCCGAAATATTATGTACAAACCACCACCGCCGCCGCCGGGATGATCGGATTACACCTGCGCGCCCCGAAAAGCGGACATGGGATGAGAGAGAGTGTATTATATCGGTAATAGGGGGGGGGGGTCTGGGCTCCGAGCGAGCATTGTGCATTGTCGGATCAACGAAATGAGCTCATAAGAGTTTCGCCGATCAGAGAGAGGGACGCTTTTGAACTGGACGTTCTGCAACTGAAAAGTGGTCCGGTTGCGAAATGTCCATGTATCCATTTTGCAACCGGAGCACGCTTTGTCGTTGTCAGTTTCGTTGAATATAAAGCGTTTAGTTGATAATGGACAATCAGGGACGTTTTGCAACTGAAAAGTGGTCCGGTTGCGAAATGTCTCTTCCCAAACCCATTCGGCAACCGAAGAAAATTTCGCAACTGGAAGACGCCGTTGTAGTTCCGAACAGGGTTTTCACGAAGCTTTTAGACATTTCGCAACCGGAAAAGTTGTTCGGTTGCGAAATGTCCATGCACCCATTTTGCAACTGAAAGACATTTTGCAACCGGAGCACGCCCTTGTAATTGATTGTTACTTTGGTAAAAATGACTTTCTTCAGACTTTGTTGCGAAATCAGAGACATTTCGCAACCGGAAAAGTTGTTCGGTTGCGAAATGTCCATGCACCCATTTTGCAACTGAAAGACATTTCGCAACCGGAGCACGCCCTTGTAATTAATTGTTACTTTGGTAAAAATGACTTTCTTCAGACTTTGTTGCGAAATCAGAGACATTTCGCAACCGGAAAAGTGGTCTGGTTGCGAAACGTCGCTCCAAAATCTACAGTAATCCGGGGGCGCGCCGATTCAAAGCGCCAAATCACCTCATAATCCTGGGTGGGAGCCCAATATAATTGCTCAAAATGGAGGTGCCGCCCGGGTAGCTTTTGCAAATAATTACATGGTTTTGTCCGGGGCCAACAATGAATTGGACACTTTGCAACCGGGCGGGGGACGTTTCGCAACCAAGAAACCCGGTTGCAAAGTGTCCTGCGTGAGGCTCCGAGCAAACAAACATTGTTATTCTATTAAAACTCGTCTCGGCGCAGATTATGTAATTGTGTACGACGAGGTGGTAACCTGACTCTTACCCAATTCAATTTTCCGTTTATTCACTATTAAGATGCATCTGAAATGTCGGATATTGTAGTTTTTCGGCAAAAAAAAACAAAAAAAAAGCCCCTGAAGGGAATTGTTTAGAAATGAGGACATAACTCAAGAATGACAGGTTTTGGCGTAAAATGTTCAACAACAAAGTTGTTTAGCATAAAAATTACCACAATTTTTTACTTCGCCACGTTTTGATTGAATCATCGGATCTCGAGATATAAGTGTTCAAAGAACACGTTAGTAAAATATACATGTGTTTATTGAAGGCTTCAATTGGAAAAAGTTGATAGTAAATATATTTGAGGAACGATGATATCACAAATTATTCTTCACTTGATTCTTCAACTAATTTCCACGATTTTCGCCGCATTACTTCCGCTTTTTGTTAGAAAGTCTTCAAAACAACTGAAGGTTTACTTGAGCGCATCGGTCGGATCGTCGTCCCGGTTGTTCGTGCTCACTTTTTGAATGATATGACTGCAAAAGTAAATGGATTTTTTTAGTTTTGATCGAATTTTCAGAGAAGACCGCAAAACCGCATGAATTTCAGCGGTTTCACCAGTCCATTCGGGCCCAAAACGTACCGAATGTACTCGTCAGTGTCCTGCTGCTTGGCCGTCGAAAACTCGGGATGATTTCCGGCGGCGGTCCGTTTGAACTGGCGCGGGCGTATTCCGTTGTGCTCCTTGTCCTCCTCCGACGCGTAATTTCCGCTGAGCATCGCGCTGAACACCTTCGCGAATTGCGCGTTGAAATCAGTGCGCAGACGATCGATCGGCGTTTTCGAGAAGATTTCCGTCGCGTTTTCGGCGAAACGAGCACGGAACGAATCGATTCGGTAGAGCACTTGCAGCACCTGAACGGGGATTGTTCAAAATCGTTCAAAAGCATGTCAGATCAGTTTTTTTCCAATAAAAATCTACAAAAATCTACAAAAATCTCTCTGGTGTCTGTTCGACGTACCGAGTTCAGATAGCAAGTGGATCCAATGTTGACGAGTCCCGTGTTGCCTGGCCCGTAGGCCGATTCGAGTGCGACTCCGTCCTCGCAGCACTTGGCCCGCTCCCACTTCTGGTAAATGTTGTTTGTGGTCAGTTTCACGTCCTCGTCCCAGCCATTGTCCCTTTGCGTCAACATGAGCAGTCGCTCCGCACTCGTCGACTCTTCCACCACTCGAATCGCTCTGAAATTGAGGAAAATTAGAAAAATTGCAAAAAACCCGAGTTTTGGCTCAAAATGTCGAAAAGCAATTTCTGGTCGAAACCCACTTGAAGAGCTTCTTGCCGCCATGCTTCTTGGCCTGCTCCTTCGAAATGGGCGCCTCGTAGTTGGGATGCACGACGACGCGGTACTTGTCCTCGTACGTGTACTTTGGCTCCGCCTCAATCGTCAACTTCGTCATTTTCGACGTCGGCTCTCCGTCCGCCGCACGGTCCTCTTGTCCCTGATTCTCTTCTTCCAGTTTCTGCAATTTATTTGGAGTTTTTTTAGCAATGTCATGAAATTTTTGCGCACTTTTGTGGACTCCATCTGAACGAAAAGCTTGTCGCCGGTGAGATTCGCATAGTATTCGGCGTGTTCGCGGCAGAACGAGTGATAGCTCTTGAGGCTCACAAACAGGCCGCCTGAAATTGTAAAGAGGGTAAATTAAATTGAATGCAAAGAACTTTTCTTTTCTTGTAAAACCCGCAAAAAATCAATTTTGCCACCAATTTAAAAAAAAAGATTCCAAAATGTTTCAAGTACACACCTGCCCAGAAGGGTGTCTTGAAACAGTAGGCGCACTCGTCCTTGAACACCTTCTGATGATCCGCCGGCTGCGTAAAAGAGCCCGGAGCGACGACGTCACGGAGGACACTGTCCACTTCCACATCACCTGAAAATGAAAGAGTTTCGACCTTTTTTTTAAAACGAAGATACCTGGATCACGCCATGTTTTTTGGAGGCATAATAGTCCCATCGCCCACTGAGACGAAAATATCCCCACCGTGCCGTCCTGCAAGCAAAAACCATATAATAAAGTTCCGAAAGGGATTGTCGACAGGAACCGCCAAGCCACGCCCCTCTGACTCTGAAAATTCCCGATTTGGCTGAAAACGATTTGTGCAAATTCGGCTGAAAACGATTTGTGTAAATTCGGCTGAATTTCCATGCGATTCCGGAAAAAAGCATTTACAAAAACTCATAATTGATAGAATTTGTCGAAATCGGTTAGAAAATCAGCGAAATCAGCACAAACATCGATTTGTCAGTCGAATCGGCAATTTTAAGAGGCAGAGGGGACGTGGCTCGGCGATTACTGTCGACAACACACCGCGCGACAACTCACAAAAGGGAAAAATAGTGTACTACCATGATTTTTTACAACAATTTACAGATTGGTAAACAAATAACTTTTTTTAATGACGCGGCATGCCGAACAAGTACGCTACAAGCATATGAAAGTACCTGAACTATCCAAGTTGCACATGCGATGAATCCTCCCACCGCGGCCAATGCGACAGAACTATATCCGGCAATGATCTTGAGAATCCGTGGAAATCCCATTTTCTGGTCGGCAAACACTGAATAGCACAGTCCCGTGGCCGTAGCCCACGAGAAAATGAGCAACAGTGCGTTGCCGCTGTTGAACTGTAAAACACCAGATAGTTATTCTTCCACCGTCTGGAATGGACATACGCGGTATTGCTTCTGTCGGAAATTTATTTCAAAGGTGCTGAAGCAGCGTGGGAAGTCGTCATCGCTCGGAATCTGAATTCAAATACTGTTGAAAAAGAAGATTCGACATTGGAAACGAATCTGGCAGCGTGCTAAGGCCCGGCCCCCAAAACGCATATGGCCGGTCTGGCCCGCTCGGCCCGTCACAAAAAATGTGTGCGAATTTTCCACGATTTTTTCGGAATTTTCGATGAAAGAAGCGCGAGGAGACGTTTTCGAGTGATAAAAATGGCTTCGCGAACAGTTTCAAACTCGGCAATGGACAGAAAGCTCGTCGAACTGCTGATATTTTTTTAAATAACATTTCTGGCTAAACGGACCCGACGGGCCGGGCTCGGGCCGGTCCGGGCTTTGTAGAATTTTTTTCATTTCAAAAAAATCTTCGCATCTTTTTAAACATATTTCATGTTGACAAAAAAATCGTACCTCGATATTAATGGATTTGGACGACGGCATTGTCGGAAAGTTTCGAAAATTGAGTATCTGACGGATAAACTGTTATTCTCGTTTTTTTTGTAAATTTCTCAACCATCAGATTGGATGTGGCGAAGAGAACTTTATAACTCTGGAAAAAAAAAGAATAATGCACTGTTGAAAAAAAGGTTCGACATTGGAATCGAATCTGACACACGGCGCGGCTTTCGCAACCAAATGGTATGCATTTTTGCGCGTCGGTGTAACTCTGCGTACAGTGCATTTTATGTTACGCGTAAAGTTTTTTTTTACAGTTGTTTATGAATTTGCTCTAAGTATTCACCTTTTCAAAGCGTTTTTCTCTACTTTCTGGCTAAATTAGACCATTTTACAGATTCCAGATAAAGTAATGCGCGAAGAGAAGTCGATGCGATGAAAAGAAACGCGTAAGTAAATGAAAGTAATAATTTGTTCAGAAAATATACGATTTATGGAAAAACGTCTCTAGATTTTCTAATCCTTTAATTTAAAAAGTTCACTAACATGACTGTAAATGTTTTCGAATAAGAAAAAAGTAGCGTGACAACTCGCACAAGCAAAAAAAAAATTTTTTCATCGAAATTTCAGTTTTCCGGAAAACTATCGGTTTTCCCGCAAAAGCGAGCTGTCACTCTACTTCTTTTTAGTTCGAAAAGATTCTCAGAAATGTAAGTAATGTTTTTTAATCAAAAGATTAGAAAATCTAGTCACGTTTTTCGAGAAATCATCAATTTTCTGAATAAAACCTTACTTTTACTTACTTGCGCGTTTCTTTTCATCGCATCGATTTCTCTTCGTGTATTACTTCATCTGGAATCTGTAAAAAGGTCTAATTGAGGTAGAAAGTGTAGAAAAACGCTTTAAAGAGATGAATATTTGGAGAAAATTCATCAAAAACTAAAAAAAAAGAACGCGGCGGCCGATTAATCAATTTTCAACGGGAGTTCGCGTTCTTTCCATGTTTTCTGTACAATACACCTATTTTTTTGTACGCCTGGAACCTGGATTCTAATAATTAGAGCACTAGCTACGTTTTGGTAACAGAAATCTCGCAAATCGTTCAGAATTACCCGAGTTATTTCGATTTGAAGGTTTTGGCCTGGATTTTGATGTTTTTCTAATAGTTTTCGAAAACTGCTCAACAAAACTAACCGCCGGAACTTGAATTTTGTGAAGAAAGATTCCGCGAACATTCTTATCGTTCGTTGGGCTCATGAAATGCAAAATGAGCTGAAATATAAAGGTTTGAAGTTTTGACGAAATGCGAAAAAGCCGCTAAAAACATGAAAAACTCTAAATTCTGTAAAGAACGGTTTCCAATCAGTAAAATATTGATTTCTAGACGTTTTTCAAGCCAAAAAGAAAGAAATAAAGGTCGTAAACTCGAATTGAACTGCATTTTTACACCTGCTCAATATCAGACGAGAGCGCCAAGAATATGATGCAGCAAGAACGGGGAAAACGGTTTTGAGCCGCTCGAATTGCATCCTGGATTTACGCGTTTCGAGCGATTTTGGGAGATATTGAACGAGAAGTGCATTTCGGCATTTCGGAGGCAAATCGAAGCGGACCGGACGAATCATCGTATTTTTCTAGTACAATTAATTAATGCTTACGTACGACTTTTATTGATAAGAATGATTGAATAATACAGTTAAAAAAATGGAGTCATTTGTTGCGTTTGCGGCTCTCGATCCGACATCGCACATTCGTCCACACTTCTTTCGTTTTCTTCAAAAACCGATCGAACGATGATTCGCGGCGGCATTCGTGAGATTTGAACGGTGATAGACCGAGTCTCCGTTCTCGTTCCGTTAATTGCCGACTAGCACTCTTAAACCATAGCAAACGTCCCTCGATTACGTGAATGGGTAATCCTGAGTCACAGTGGTCCAATTTCCTCTTCGCCATTCTTTCGGTGAACTCTGGGCTCATGGGTACGCTTTCACGTGCTTCAATTCGAATCGCCCGTTCAACAGTGAGCGAGTACTCTCGAATGTACTGTTTCGTCAGTTTACGTTTATACTCCTCCTGCAATCCAACACACTTTTATTCTGCTTTTTTTCCCGCCTTTTCAAAGCCAACCAATTACTATGCACACCTCAAAACGCTTCAATATCGTCCATTTCAGACAATGTATCAAAAGTTACTGGGCAAAACGAGTTGTGCAATGGGTTAAAAAACGTACCAGTTCAGGTCCAGTCTTGGCGCACGATTTGAACGGTGGTAGACCCAATTTCCGCTCTCGTTTTGTTAATCGTCGAGTGTCTTTGTTCAAGTTGAGCGACCATCCCTCAACGAATTGAATGGCATGTTCCATAGAACGCTTCTCTAACAGTTTGGCCATACTTTCCGTGAACTCTTCTCTGATTGTTTTCTCTTCAAATGCTTCAATTCGAATCGTCCGTTCCCAATTGCGTGCGTACTCTCGAATGTATTGCTTCGTGAGTTTCAGTTTAAGCTCTTCCTGCAATGAAACATTGAGCTTGAAGATACTACCGGGCCATGTTAAAGTGCGGTGCCCCTATAATATTCAAATTCGTGTCGTCGAGCCGTTTTTTTCGCGCGCAAATTCTCAACATAGAGCATTCGCATTAACATGGCCCGGTAGTAGCTGTTTCAAAGTTTGAAAAGTAGAGTGATTCACTCAGAACGTTGACAACTGGCTAGACACAAAATCACAGAAAAACGTACCAGTTCAGGTCCAGTCTTGGCACACGGTTTGAACGGTGATAGACCCAATTTCCGCTCTCGTTTTGTTAATCGTCGAGTGCCGTTATTCAAGTTGAGCAACCATCCCTCAATGAATTGAATGGGACGTTCCATACAAAACTCCTCTATCCATTTGGCCATAGTTTCCGTGAACTCTAAGCCCAGTTTTTTCTCGTCAAATGCTTTAATTCGAATCATCCGTTCACAATAGCGAGCGTACTCTCGAATGTATTGCTTCGTCAGTTTCAGTTTAAGCTCCTCCTGAAATGAAACATTGAGCAAGAATAGTTCTTGGGAAAATCAATCGCAAGATTAGATGCAAACTTGCGGCTCGTCGACTCAGAAAGTCAAAAAGCAATCACTGTTTCATTCGGATCGTGTCAAAAGTACACTTTCCTGTTTAGAAAACTCCAATTCACCCAGAACGTGGGAAACTCGCCGGTTTCTCATCAACTTTAGACACAAAATCACAGAAAAACGTACCAGTTCAGGTCCAGTCTTGGCGCACGATTTGAACGGTGGAAGACCCAATTTCCGCTCTCGTTTTGCTAATCGTCGAGTGTCGTTATTCAAGTTGAGCAACCATCCCTCAATGAATTGAATGGGACGTTCCATGCAAAACTTCTCTATCCATTTGGCCATAGTTTCCGTGAACTCTGTGCCCAGTTTTTTCTTTTCAAATGCTTTAATTCGAATCGTCCGTTCGCAATTGCGTGCGTACTCTCGAATGTATTGCTTCGTCAGTTTCAGTTTAAGCTCTTCCTGCAATGAAACATTGAGCTTGAAGATACTACCGGGCCATGTTAAAGTGAATGAAAACGTCTCGGCGACACGAATTTGAATATGTTCAAATGGTATGCACAGACACACGGCGACCAAAAAAGTAGAAAGGGGCGCGGGGGCCTAGCGTGCACGGTTTATCACCATTTTGGCGCGAAATTCGAAATTTAACCCCCTATTTTTCATGTTTTTCGTCAAAAATTACCCAAATTTTGTACGGGTTTCGACAACGATGTAATTGCATAATAACTTTGTTAAACTATTCATCGCGCACTCTTTGAGCTTGAAACGAGCAGGTTTCATTCAGAAAATGAATCAATTGAATCGATTTTTAAGTTTTGTGCTGAAAATGCGCGAATTTCAGTCATTCGCCGATACTTTTTCCCGTTTGAACGCTTTAAATACTTGTATTAACGTGCTTAATCACTTCCGACACTCACTTCGTCTCAAAACTATCCACATCGGCCGGTATGAAAATTTCGAAATTGCGGCGGCGATTGGCCGCGGAGAGCGTATTGCGAAATATGCCAAAAACGTCTCAAACGCGGCGTTTTCACGAAAATTTCAATGTTTTCTCTCATAAATGTTTTCTTTCGTCGACATCAAACACAAAAATGGCGGAAAAGTGCTGAAATTGCGGCAGTTTTCAGAAAACGCGTCTCAGATTAGGCCGCGCCCCTTTCTACACTATTGGTCGCCGTGGCGATGGAAGAGACTAACTCACTCGGCCCCCGGCCATGTCGTTTTACGGCAACGCTTCCCTAATTTTTTTTCACATTTTTAATGGGAGGTTTTACCGTAAATCGCCATGGCCCGTGGGTTCTTCTCTTCCATCTGTGCGCATGCCATTTGAATATATTTTTTTAAAAAATTTTTGTGTCGCCGAGCCGTTTTTTTCGCGCGCAAATTCTCAACATAGAGCATTCACATTAACATGGCCCGGTAGTAAAGTTTGAAAAGTAGAGTGATTCACTCAGAACGTTGACAACTGGCTAGACACAAAATCACAGAAAAACGTACCAGTTCAGGTCCAGTCTTGGCGCACGATTTGAACGGTGGAAGACCCAATTTCCGCTCTCGTTCTGTTAATCGTCGAGTGCCGTTATTCAAGTTGAGCAACCATCCCTCAATGAATTGAATGGGACGTTCCATACAAAACTCCTCTATCCATTTCGCCATTCTTTCCGTAAACTCTATGCCCATTTTTTTCTCTTCAAATGCATTAATTCGAATCGTCCGTTCACAATTGCGAGCGTACTCTCGAATGTATTGCTTCGTCAGTTTCAGTTTAAGCTCCTCCTGCAATGAAACATTGAGCAAGAATAGTTCTTGGGAAAATCAATCGCAAGATTAGATGCAAACTTGCGGCTCGTCGACTCAGAAAGTCAAAAAACAATCACTGTTTCATTCGGATCGTGTCAAAAGTACACTTTCCTGTTTAGAAAACTCCAATTCACCCAGAACGTGGGAAACTCGCCGGTTTCTCATCAACTTTAGACACAAAATCACAGAAAAACGTACCAGTTCAGGTCCAGTCTTGGCGCACGATTTGAACGGTGGAAGACCCAATTTCCGCTCTCGTTCTGTTAATCGTCGAGTGTCGTTGTTCAAGTTTAGTAGATATTCTTCAATAGCGTGAACGGATTGTGCCATCAGTTCATCCTCCATCTTTTTGGCCATAGTTTCCGTGAACTCTGTGCCCAGTTTTTTCTCTTCAAATGCTTTAATTCGAATCGTCCGTTCACAATTGAGTGCGTACTCTCGAATGCACCGTTTTGCCAGTTTTAGCTTCTGTTTTTCCTGAAATGATGAAACATTGATTGAGAACTGTATCGATTGATTTTGGGGGGCGTTTCACCATATTACAAAAGTGGTCATCTTTTCAAAATGATATTTTGAGCTGAACTCACCGTCGTTGACATTGCTTTCATTGTCTGCTCTTCTTCACTCGAAAACTTCATGGTGCATCGCTCTGAAAGACGACGGAAACGGCCGAGAAGACGGTTAGAGCGTGGGAGGGGGGAACGGGTCAACGGAGGCCTCATTTGAATGCGTTTTGAGCGGAGACACTGGGAGAAACGCAGAGAAACAGAGAAAAGAGCATGTCTCTCTCTCTCTCTCTCTCTCTCTCTCTCTGTCTCGCTCTCTCTCGATAATGGCGAGGGTGGATGACACGCACCACACACACACACACACAAGTACACACAGACACGTCACATGATTGTTTTAGGCCCAATTTTCAAAAACGTGTCCCCATTCCCCATTTTTGTTTCATTCTCCTTTACCTTCGGCTCGTGAGTAATCGTTCTCCCCTAATCCTCATGGCTATGGGTGAGTACTGTAAGGGATTAGGAGATCCCGAATCCACAGGTAATCGACCCGCCACCCAGGGCACCACTTTTCGATCGAGAGGGTTCGTACCTCGCCCTCTCTCAACCACCAAGCAGCCTCGATATGGCTCCTGATCTCACCGCGTCACGCCGCATTCCATCGAATCCTTTATAAACCCTCGTTTCCCGCCCTCGAGGCGGCAGTTGCCTGATCCTTGCGCCTAATAAACCTGTTTCCGATATCCCGTGTTCCTATTCATGAGGCCCCGAGCCTCCGGCCCAAAGGCCGGGCTGGTCGAAGGCCAAGACCTAGCCCGCGCCTTTTCCTATACAAACAGTTCATAATACAAAAAGTTCATAATACAAAAAGTGCATAACACAAAAGAAAAAAATCACACAAAATATTCAAAATAATATTAACAAAATATTCAAAATAAAATTAACAAAATAATCGAAATAATATTAACAAAATAATCGAAATAATATTAACAAAATAATCGAAATAATATTAACAAAATAATCAAAATAATATTAACAAAATAATCGAAATAATATTAACAAAATAATATTAACATAATATTAACAAAATAATATTAACAAAATCACGGGCCGGCAAAGCATACGGAGGAGCGAAAATTGTGAAGCTGTAACTTCTCTTAGAAACATTACATTTACCTCTGGCCTGCCTCATTTTGAAGAACTCAGTAAAATTGAACTCTTATGAAAAAATCAGAAGTCCCTATGTTCGATTTCTGGAGATATATTGAAAAAGTCCTATGTATGTATGAAATGCCGGGCCGTGAAAATAATTGAAAAAATACATCGGTCGGAAAAGGCCGGGAAGTAAAGGCAAGTGACGAGCCCTCTGCGAACTCAAGATTACTGTGCTCCGGGGTTCCAAGACAAAAACAAAAACGAGTGTACCTTTCGGAATAACGTCTGAACACAAAAGGCCTGCCAGATACTTGGAGGAGCAGCAGGGCGCACCGTCCTGCAAGAAAAACGTTATGGCAGAAACAACTTTCAGGGACCTCTATATTGGCTGTGGTCCCTGAGGTTGAGGGTAAAATTTCTGACGTGGTTGGTCGATCTAGTTTTTTGTAAGCATGTGAAAGTACCTGATAGAAATAAACGACGGTGATTCGCACAACCATGAGCCCTAAAAAAATCAGTGCGCAGGTCGCAAAAACATGTTTTCCTGGACTCAAAAATGCGAAGTTACTATCCTGAGATAGCGTAAACAAGAATACAAACAAAGCAGCCCACGACCCGCAGAGTCCTGAGAAGAAGGTGATGTTGAACTGTAAAAACCCAGAAATAATTTTTTCCGTGGCTCGAAATTGACATACCTGGCATCTCCATAATGTGACTTGGCTGAATTTTCTTCGTGTGTGATTTGTAGCAACGTTCTGGGGAGGTTTTCCCTCTTCTCTGTTATTATCATCTTCCATTTGAACTACTGTCGAACTACTCTCGTTTTTGGGTTGCACGCCTTCCCCTTTGTTCTGAAAACAAATACAGTACTGGCCAAAAAGGTATTCGCAAACGGTTTTTTGAGCATAACTTTGCTGAAACTTGAGGGATCGATCTGATATTTTAAGACAAAGTTTAAAACGGTAAAAGACGTTGATTCAACAACAAGAATAGTCAATATTTCGAAAATTTAAAAAAATATCGAAAAATTCATGAAAATGGTAAAAAACCGGAAAATGAAACTTTGACTTTTGAGATCTAGGAGAGACCGGCAAATGAAAAATAACAATAGCGAATGATTAAAATAGTTTTAATACTTTGTTGGGTAACCTTTGGCGTCGATGACTGCCTGACATCTTTTCGGCATGGAGTCGAGAAGGGTGTGGATCACAGACATCGGAATGGCCTGCCAGACAAACTGGAGTTGATCGAATTTCTGATTGGCATTCGATGCACGGATCCCTCTGAGTTGTCTCTCGACATGCTCCCAGAGGTGCTCGATCGGGTTCAAGTCCGGAGATTGACTGGGCCAGTCCAGAAGATTCACGTGGCGGCGTCGGAACCAGTCCTTGATGTGCTTCGGGGTGTGCCTGGGATCGTTATCTTGCTGAAAAACGAACGCCCGTCCCACATTAGACCGTGCCCAGGGTCTCATAGTCTTTTCCAAGATGTCTTCATAGACATATCGATCCATGATTCCCGTAATTCTTCTCAGGGGGCCGATTGAAGTCCCAGAGAAACATCCCCACACCATCACTGAACCACCTCCATGCTTGACGGTTTGGAGCTGGTAGCTGGGATCGAACCGACATCCAACCGGACGGCGAATCCACTTGATACCGTCAGTGCCGAACAGATTAAACTTGGATTCGTCGCTGAAGACGTGATTGGCCCACTCCTGGCGTCCCCAGTGAAGATGAGCTTTGGCCCATGCAACGCGGGCGATCCTATTTTTTTTGCTGATCGATGGTTTCTTAGCTGGCCGTCGTCCATGGAGCCCAGCATGCTGGAGACGTCTTCTGACGGTTCTCAGGGATGGCGTGACTTCATTTGGAGACTTTACGATCATTTGAATATCGGTAGAACTCCTCTGGGGATCCTCTCTTGAAGCTCGGACAATGTTCCGATCCACATTCTTCGACGTGATGCGAGGTCTTTCAGGCGATTTTCGCTCCATCAGGGCTCCCTAAACATTTTTCTCGATAAATAAACTATTTTTGAATATTACCTCATCCCGGAATTGCTTCAAAACTTTTTCAATGGCGCGTTTACTGCAGGTGAACTGCTGCTCCAACACGTCCTTGGAACATCCACTTCTGAAGCCGATGACGATGGCTTTACGGATGTCCTGAGAGATGTTTTTTCTTCCAAGGGGTCTTACCATGTCTGTAAACAGTTTTAAATACATAAGACCCAACACTAACTTTTTTAGAAACTATAATATCCAAAAATATGAAAATATGAAAAAAGTGAAAAAAGTGAAAAAAACGAAAAAATTGAAAAAAAATTTTTTTTTTGAAAATGATGCAGTTTCCTTGTACGCAGTTTGTCGTCACCGTGTACGACATGTACAGTAAAATTTTCAAATCGATCCCTCAAGTTTCAGCAAAGTTATGCTCAAAAAACCGTTTGCGAATACCTTTTTGGCCAGTACTGTATCATCAATTTCAATATTTTAGTCATTGTCATTCCGAACATTCGGCGTAGAATCGGACCGGTCCACGACGCCGCGCGACATCACGCAGAAAGGAAAAATACATGGGACCTCGTGTTCAGAGCCACAGATTAATCTCGAGAAAACTAGCTCAAAATTTGAATTCATGTGTTCTAAAATTATTTGAGATCAATAAAAAAAAGCGTGCAGACCAGGGGTGTGCGGAAAATTTTTTTCGGAAAATTTCGGAAAATCGGTTTTTCCGAATTTTTTTTTTCGGAAAATTTCGGAAAATCGGGTTTTCCGAATTTTTTTTTTTCGGAAAATTTCGGAAAAATCGGAAAACTGATAGAGTGATAGACATATGCGTAAGTAGATCCTTGTTTTTGAGCGTTGAACTTGTGGCCGCAAAAACACGCTTTCCCACCGTTTTTCCGCCCAGTTAAATATACGTCCCACTTTCCCATTACGTCAGCTTTTCTGAAAAAACAACACAAATCGCAACAATCGGTTCATTAGAATGAGAAAAACAAAAGAAATTGCGTAAAATTTAAAAATCAAATTTAAAAAGACGCTCGCTGCTAGACCCTTCCAAAAATTTTGTGATGCGCCTTTAAAAAGCATACGGTGGTTTCGGACAATTTGACCTTGAATCCACACTAATTTTCCGAAAATTTTGCCGAAAATTTTCGGAAAATTTTCCGTCGGAAAATCGGAAAATTTCGGAAAATCGAAATATTTTCCGCACACCCCTGGTGCAGACTAGAGCTGTCAAAATAATCTAGCATATTTATAGTTTCTTTGTCAAAGAAAAGTTTGGGGATGATCTCTTTTTTTCGAATGTTGAGGATAGCGTGCACGGTTGATGTTTTATATTGGACCAGATCTGAGCAATTGGCCGGTGCCAATTCCGAAAAGACCGTTAGTTTCGGCCTACCACTACACGGAAGAAAGAGTAGGAAAACTTGGACCCAAACGTTCCAGAGAGGTTTGAAAGTTTGGGTCCAATCGGAACTCACCGATTTGCCAATAACCTGGAGCTCAATATCATCCACAGTCGTCAAATTGGGGACTGAATTGCTGCTGGTGCTCTGAAAATATGCCGAGTTGACTGTGGTGGCGGGAGAGAAATACCTGGTGGCCTTGAGTTGCAAAAGACAATTTTGAAGTCATTCTGAAAGAGCATTTATATTATCACAAAACATGTAAGGGCCCAGATCGGCTCTAAAAATTATATCTGACTGCTGCGACAAGAGAATTTTCAATGTAATTTTTGACGTTCTATCGGATGCAGGGGTGTGCGGAAAATAATTCGATTTTCCGAAATTTTCCGATTTTCCGAGAAATTTTCGGAAAATTTTCCGAAAATTTTCGGCAAAATTTTCGGAAGATTAGTGTGGATTCAAGGTCAATTTGTCCGAAACCACCGTATGCTTTTTAAAGGCGCATCACAAAATTTTTGGAAGGGTCTAGCAGCGAGCGTCTTTTTAAATTTGATTTTTAAATTTTACGCAATTTCTTTCGTTTTTCTCATTCTAATCAGGGGTGTGCGGAAAATTTCGGAAAATCGGTTTTTCCGAATTTTTTTTTTTCGGAAAATTTTGGAAAATCGGGTTTTCCGAATTTTTTTTTTCGGAAAATTTTGGAAAATCGGGTTTTCCGAATTTTTCGGAAAAATTTCGGAAAAAAATCGGAAAAAAATCGGAAAAACTGATAGAGTGATAGATATATGCGTAAGTAGATCCTTGTTTTTGAGCGTTGAACTTGTGGCCGCAAAAACACGCTTTCTCACCGTTTTTCCGCCCAGTTAAATATACGTCCCACTTTCCCATTACGTCAGCTTTTCTGAAAAAACAACACAAATCGCAACAATCGGTTCATTAGAATGAGAAAAACGAAAGAAATTGCGTAAAATTTAAAAATCAAATTTAAAAAGACGCTCGCTGCTAGACCCTTCCAAAAATTTTGTGATGCGCCTTTAAAAAGCATACGGTGGTTTCGGACAAATTGACCTTGAATCCACACTAATTTTCCGAAAATTTCTCGGAAAATCGGAAAATTTCGGAAAATCGAAATATTTTCCGCACACCCCTGATCCCAACAACCATAAAAGTTGCAAAGTAGTTGTCAACTGATGGACAGTGCAAATAGTTGCCAACTTTTTGATGTCTCTTCTAGTTCTTGAGATACATCAAGATTTTGCATCACTGACCACATTCTCCAGAATGTTCCTCGATTGGCCATTTGGACGATTCGTGAAGATTATGAAGGTTGCTTACTTGACGCAGTCATTATATCCAATTCATTTTTTTATTAAACATATAAAAAGTGTTCGAGGCTCAACAGTGTCAAAAATGAGGATCGACTCTTGCCATAATCTACTATTATCGATTCGGTTCTCTACAAGTAGCTGCTGGCGAACGAGGTGCCCAAAAAGGACTGGGAGACCGATTGCGAGGGGCTTCTGATCCTGCGGGTCCGGGTGGATCTGCCGGATCCGTCTCTCGTCGGCTCCGGCTCCTCGATCTCCGCGTCCAGAACGTCGTCGTCGTCGTCGCCGCTCATCATCTGCCGTTGCACGAGTTGTTTGTAGAGTCCCTCCTGTTCCATCAGTGTCTTGTGGTTGCCGAGTTGTTCCACTTTGCCCTGCAATATTGTCTGTTTCGATGTCAGCGGCGAGCACTTCAATTTTCGACTATTATCGAGTTCTGGGCTTCGAGCTCGCCGAGCCCAAACCGCAAAATTTTCGAAGCCATACAATATGGGTGTCTTTCGACTCGCCATGAGCTCACCTTGTTGATGACCACAATCTTGTCCGCATTTTCCACAGTCGACAGTCGGTGAGCAATGAGAATCACCGTTTTTCCTTTCAAATTTTTCGAGATGGCTTCTTGCACCTGAAAAATGGGCATTCGACTTGGAAAAAGTGTTACAAGACTATTTTGTGTTCTGAAGAAAATTCGAAAACTTCAAATGGGTACTGTAGCATCTAGCGATGACACATTGGTCTGAAAATTTTTTTGCACATTGTCGACATCTGGCACTTTACTTTTATAGTTGACGACGTTTTTCTACGACCACTCCCTGGAGTACGGTAGCGCTTGGAAGTTGAGGCTAGTTCAGGCCGCATGAAAATGAGCGCCTACTTCCGAGAGCTACAGTATCCCGAGGAGTGGTTGTACAAAAAAGTTGTCAACTACAAAATTATACTGCCAAATGTAAACTTTCGTTTTGTAGTTGAAACCTTTTTCGTACAACCATTCTCTGGAGTACTGTAGTTGTTTAGAGTTAGGGACCGCTCGAAGTCACTGCTTTTCAGTCCCAACTTCCAAGCACTACAGTACTCCAGAGACTGGTCGTAGGAAAAAGTTGTCAACTACAAAAACACAGTAAAAGACGTGAGGATTTCATAAAACACATTTTCAGAATTATAGGACGTGTCCAAACCTACCGTATGCTCGGATTCGGCATCCAACGCCGACGTGGCTTCGTCCAAAAGAAGGACGACTGGCTGACGAACAAGTGCTCTCGCGATCGCAATTCTTTGTTTCTGACCTCCTAAACGTGCAACGATTCATTTTCAAATCAACAGTACTCCGAATGGGATTACGGTACCTGACATCTGACTTCCCTTCTCTCCCACATTCGTATTGTATCCGTCGGTCGTGTCGTTCATGATAAAAGTGTGCGCGTTGGCGAGTTTTGCCGACTGTAACCGGATTACTGTAGGTTACTGTGGCCTCCGTCTACTCACTTTTTGGACCATATCATCGTCGAACTTGTCGAGACCGTATCCAATGTTTTCGGTGACCGAGCGGGCGTAGAGGACCGGCTCCTGACCGACGAGCGCCACTTTTGTGTGCAGAAATTTGTGATCGTACTCTCTGAGAAGACTAGTGTGTCGTGGCGAGACCAGAAAAGTACGGGCTACCTGATGGGCACGCCGTCGAGTAGAACCTCGCCGCTCGTCGGCTCGTAAAAGTGCTCGAGCATGGCGATGCACGAGCTCTTTCCGCCGCCGGACGGTCCGACGAGCGCGACGATCTCTCCCGGCTCGACGGTGAACGTCAGATCTTCCATAATCGGAAGATCCGGACGGATCGGATACGAGAATGCGACGTGGCGAAACTCGATTTTGCCGGTCATCGTGTCCGGCGCGTAGCTACCGGTGTTTTCGACGCGTGGCCGCCGATCGATAAACTCGAACACTTTGCGAGACGCGCCGACCGCTTGCATCAGTCCGTTCCATACTTCGCCGAGTTCCTAGAGAAAAATGATCAGTTACAAAGTTGGAGAGCTTGAAAATCGCTACATTTTGTCAGTTGGTCACTTTTCGATAAAACTTGTGCGTCTCGAGTTGTGTGCGTTCAAAGTTTGACGGTCAAGTTTCAGAAATACCCTCATTCATATCTATTTTCAAATGCTTGTAACTCGAAAACCAGTGACTTTTTCAAAAAGTGACCAACTGAAAAAATGTTGCAAATTTTATTCTGCACAACTTTGTCGCTATTCATTTCATTGAACAACTCTTCGTTTTCAAGTTACACGCCTCCAAATACTATCAAGTCTTGCCGACTCAAAATTCCTCTATACAAGTCCTCTTTTTTTTTTTTTTTTCAAAAACAAAATGTTTCCCATTTTATATGTACAGTCTTTTCAGATATTGTAGCAGCGGAGAAGCGTACCCTCAAGTTTTCGCCGAGTTGGAATTGATACAGCAAAAACGAGACGAGCAGTCCGGACTCGACTTTGTTCTCAATGACAAGATGTCCTCCGTACCAGAGGACAATCGTCAGAATGCCCATTTGAAGGAGCTGCAATTGTTGAGCGGATTACTGTAGACGTCTACCGTAATCCCTACCAGAGATGTTGGGAATAAAAATTTTACTCTACGGAACACGGAACACGGAAAACGGAAAATTTTTTTTTACGGAACACGGAACACGGAAAACGGGAAAAACTTATTTCTACGGAACACGGAACACGGAACACGGAAATTTTTTTTTTACGGAACACGGAAAAAAGCGTTTTCAAGAGAATTCCAGTGATTTTTTTAAAATAATGTTTTGTTTAATTCGATTATCTGACTGACAAGGCAGCTGTTTGACTCATGTGAAAGTTTTACTGCAAATTTCATAAAAATAACAAAACCAACAACACAACAGTAAACAACTACAGTAAAAAACGACTGAAAATGGAATCCACTTTTCACGAATATGGTCCGAATCCGAAAATTTTCAAATTTTGACCACAAAACGTCAATTGTCCTAATCTTTCCGGAGATAAATTTGTGATCGAATTTTTCCGCGGAAAATATAGTTTATACGGAACACGGAACACGGAAAACGGAAAAAAACTTATTTCTACGGAACACGGAACACGGAAATTTTTTTTTTTACGGAACACGGAACACGGAAAAAATATTGCAAAAAAACGCGGAACACGGAACACGGAACACGGAACACGGAATTCCCAACATCTCTGATCCCTACCTCATTCGACCAGATGAGTCCGATCACGACGAACACTTTGCGCGTGGCGATTTTCAGCGTCACATTGAGGAAGGTCATGAATCTAAACGGGGTTTCGCATGGATTACGGTACTACGGATTACTGTAGGCCGTCGTCGTCTACCGTACCTGCTCGACTCGTAGTCCTCGCACGCGAACGATTTGACGGTACGAATCGAGGAGAGCACCTCTTCCGCGACGTCGTTCGCTTTGGCCACAGAATTTTGCGTTTCTTCCGACAGTGTCTGCGATATTGTATGGGTCTATGCTCGCAACAACCGTAGCCCAGTCACACTTACATCGTACCAAACACCGAAAATTTTGTTGACGAGGAAAATGATGGGAATATTGATGAGGGTGATCATGGAGAGCTTCCAGGAGAGCGTGAACATGAAGATTAGCGAGCCGAAGAGCATTGTCAGGTTTCTGAAGGATTACTGTAGTTTGTCACTGTATTTTTGTCGTCTACTCCCCGGTGTACGGTAGCTTTTAGATTGTTCGCACTATTTACGGCCAGTTGAATTACAACCCAAACTTCCGAGAGCTGCACTACACTTAGGAGTGGTTGTAGAAAAAAGTTGTCAAGTACAAAATTATACTACTAAATTCGAACTTTCTTTTTGTAGTTGACAACTTTTCTCTACAACCACTCGTTGCGATACTGTAGCTCTGGAAAGTAAGGGCAACTTGAAGTGAGATGAATTGCAGCGCCAACTTCCACGGACTACAGTTCACCAAGGAGAAACTTTAGAAAAAAGTGATCTATTACAAAAAGACAGTGCTAGGTGTGAAGCTTTCAGAAAAACAATTTCAGATCTACGTCTCTTCTCTGAACGCTACAATACTCGTTCAAAGTTCGTCGATTTTTTCTCGACGCTAAATCGATTTTTTTTGTCGTTAGGATGAGTGTAGGATTACTGTACGTACCTGGTCAAGACGTTCATGTACAGGGACAACGTATTGGACATTGTCTGACAATCGGCCGAGAGTCTTGAGCAAATTTCGCCCGTTTTGTTCAAATCGAAAAATCCGATTTCCTGTTTGACGACGGCGCCGAACAAATCGCTGCGGATCTGTCGATCGATGGTCGCGTGCGCGTACGTGAACGATCCGCCGCGAAGTCCGCCGAAAACAGTGCTGAAAACGAGGTTTTTAGAGCGTTTTTCAGATTTTTTCGGCTTACGAGGCGAGCGAGAGTAGTGCCATGATCAGGACGGTTCGGTGCAGTTTCTCATAGGATGCCTGGTCGCCGAACACCGCCGTGACCACTTCTCCGGTGTAATATGGGATGAAAACGCGACCTGAAACGTGAAACGCGATAGTTCGGACAATTCTCGACCAGGACTGAGCGCATCCACTCGTCTTTATAACCGCCCTCGGCTGCCGGCAGCGAGTGTTACACTCGTAGCGCAGTGGCAGCGCGCGCGCGCTCGCTCGCTCGGGTTCGTGTCCACGCCAAGTGATTTAGGTTTATTTGCTACTCTTGATAACACTCATGATGACAAGAAAGTATGATGGCTTACTAACTCTTTTTTTAATTTTTTTTTCTCGCTTTTCAAAGCGAAACCTACTGAGAGAGTAGCAGAAGAGAAAGAAGAAGGCCATTCCGTAGTACTTCCACTGCCGTCCCATGTAGCCCAGAAGGCGGTACAAGAGCTGGAAGGTCTCCCGCTGCTCGGCCGCCTTTTCGGCCTCCTCCTGCCGAAGGCGTTCCTCGTGCTCGGCGTCTCCGAAGAGCATCGAGTCGCCGGTGCCGGCGGCCACTTCCGCCACGTGTGTGAGTACCGTAGTCCAGACGGCTTGAAGGAGGAGCGACGCGAAAATGCACCAAATCATGAGGATCCAGTCGCCGACCGCCAAACGGATGTTGTCGTCTTCGTAGAACGCGAGCAGCTTCGACGGCGCAAACGCCACGATCAGAAGCATTGCCGCGAACACTACGTTTCTGTGGAAAAAAAACGTGTAGAAACTGTTGTCAAATTTTAGCTCTGCGCCTTTAAGATTACCGTAGCAAAACGCGGAAAATCAAAGGCGCAGCACTGAAAATGTGAACAAATTCAGTGCTGCTGCGCCCATAAAACACTAACTTGACATTTTCGGCGACTTGCGCGAATCCGGACGGTGAGGCCCACGCGGAAACGGCTCCGCCGAGCAAAATACTGTCACGAATCAGAGCGACGGCCTGGAAAGTATAGTTATTGGCGTAAAATTCTTTTTTTTTTTTAATTACCAAAAAATCGACGGGATTTTTGAGGAAGCTATAGTTGGGCAGGTCGAACCAGTGCGCAATGTTGTCGAATGTAAAGTACTGAAAAATAGAGATTTAAGTTGCGAAATGTCGAGTCGGTTGCGAGATGTGCTCACTTTTCCGTTCCATGCAAGTCCGAAAATGTTGACGGCGAGGTCGAGGCCGATGAACGCCAGACAAATGAAGAGCGCCTGGCCGCCCGTGTACAGCGACGAGCCCATGTCTTCTGGAATTCAGCAAAAATCGATAAATTCTCTTTTTTTTTTTAAAGAAGAAGAAAAAATTAGGCTGACGGAAAATCGAAAGCAAAGTTGTCCGTTTTCCACTACTCCAACTGATAAAATGGCGAGCCGTGGGCCCTATTTGACTGATAACGGGCTGCTCCATCCATCGACAATCAAATAATCACTGATTACGAGGCGAAACACTCACGAAATTTGTTGCAAATTCGCCTAAAAACGACGACCGAGGGGAAAATTGAACGTTTCTATCGATTTTGATTTGGTTTGGCTCCTCTCCAATCAATCGCCATCAATCGAGCGATCGGCATTCCCGCGCGTTCTTCTCGGCGAACTCCGTCGCAATGGACGGAAACAACGACACAGCGGTTTTGGCGCGCTTTATTCGGCGCGGAAACGTTGCGTTTTTGAACTGGAAATTCCGAGTTCTTGGGGGCGAATTTCTGGATATTACGAGACGCGCTTCGCTTGCGGTTGTTCGTGTCACCACTCGCGACCGAATGATATCGGAAAAGAAGTGAATAGTGAAAATCTTGAAATTCTTGACCTACCATTGTGTCCAACGACACTCCGCTCATAATGGCGCGTCAATTTCAAACGTTCGGTCTCGGGAAGGCAGTGCGGCGGATGGCATCCAGACGAGCGATCTGCCGAAAAAAAAAGAAGATCTTCGGAACGCACGGCGACCAAAAGTGTAGAAAGGGGCGTGGCCCAATCTGAGACGCGTTTTCTGAAAATTTCCGCAATTTCAGCACTTTTCCGATATTTTTGTGTTTGATATTGACGAAAGAAGAGACATTAAAGCAGACTTGCCAAATCCCGGGCCAGCAAATCGTCGGCCCGGCCCGGCCCGGTCGGCCCGGAAGTTAGACCTCAAAAAAAATATGCAAAAAAAAATATGAAGGAAGAGGAAAACGCGTGCGGCAAAATTGCTAAAATGGCGTGCCAGAGTTGCAATCAATCGCTCCGCCCACTCTTGAGAAAATTTTCGTAATTTTTGTGAAAATTTTGCGACTTTAAACAGCAATTTCTATTTTTTAATAGGTTTTTATTTTAAGCGTTCAGACGGCAAAAAGTATCGGCGATTGACTGAAATTCGCGCATTTTCAGCACAAAACTTGAAAATCGATTCAATTGATTCATTCTCTGAATGAAACTTCTCGTTTTAAGCTCAAAATGTGCGCGATTATTAGTTTAACAAAGTTATTATGCAATTACGTCGTCGAAATCGTACAAAATTTGGGTAATTTTTGACGAAAAACGTGAAAAGAGCCGCAGAACGCAACTACAAACTACAACTTATGATTGACGTGCCACCCGAACACCCTTTCATCTCAGCGACACGTGGCAACCGGTCCATGACCCGGTCAGAAATGCTCGCGCGAGTACTGCAACGCAGCCAATCTCTCTGCAGATTGGTCCTCCTCGACATTTTTTCTTTCCTCTTCCTCGTCCTGCCTGCCTGTCGTCCCGAACCGCAACGCGTCGCCTCGCCCACTCACTTTAAAGGCGCATCCATATATTTTGTCGAATCGTTGCGAGACCCTATGACCTACGCGCGCTTCTCCGTTGCTTTTCTTGTTGTTCGTGTCATTTTTTCGGACTATTACGACAATTTCTCCAGTTTTTCGTCGAAATCGCTTGATTAATAATTTCCGGCCCACCAAACACATTTTTACGTTCACTTTCCCATTTTTTCACACCAAAACGTATAGGAACTATTGATTTTTCCAATGCAATTCCGTAACTCGCAGAAAAACCGTTTTTTCCCATGAATTTCTGCAAGTTTCCTGCTCATTTCCCCCCGTTTCAATTATTATCCGGTGCTCGTCGTCGTCGTCGTCCTCCATCGGCACGCAAATATTTCCTGGCACGCTGCCAAGCCGCGCTTCTCCCCCTGCGTCTCGGCCGTCTCGTCTCGTGCCAGCCGCCGGGCCTGACCTGCCATCGGACCCGATTTTTTTCATCTCTTTTTTCTCACCCGTCGACGAGAATAAACTATTTTTTAGACATTCAATTCTCCCCCACACGCACACACACACACACAAAAACTTTTTCAATTTTGCATAAAAACCGCCGTTCGACGGCGACGAAAGAGCACACGAAACGAGGAGAGATGGAGAAAAAGAGAAGCGTCGAATCGAGGTCGTCACTCCGAATGACCGCCTAATCGGACGTGCGGGCGGAGAACGAACGGAGAGACGGCGGACGCACAGACACGCATAGTTAGACCCCTCCACGCCTACGAGCGCCTACGAGCGATTCTTCTCCATTTTATACCCGATTTTTAGCCATTCGTCCCTAAATTTCTTGCTCAAATTTTTTTTCTGTTTTTACGCCAATTTTTACCCGACTTAATGAGGTCATTACCTTTGTTTTAATCGATTAATCGCTGAACTCGATTTTTTGACGTAAAAACGAAATTGAACAGTCCAAAAAGAAGTTTGTTAGTCGGAATTTTTAACGGAAAAATGTTTAAAACCGCTACTCATCTCATTTTTTGGGGAAAATGGGCCCTCACCATTTTCGCAACCAATTCCGCAACCAGTGCATAGCACCTGCATTGTGCGAGGTAATCTAAACACTCTGGTTGCGAAACGTGGGAGTTGCGAAAATGCAATTTTTGCGATAGTAAAACATTTTTCGATTCGACAAGTGTGCCAAAAGTTTCCATTTCTACATTTTACCAACAGTAAAAAGTCTGGAAAATCGTTCAAAGAGTCTGCCAAAATGCAGTTTTGCTCCAATAATATTGCTCATGCAAATCCCCCATTTCATTTCCGCCCGCGCGGTTGTTGTCGTCGGTCCGTGAGGGGCCGTTGTGACCGGCACCACCGACGGAAAGGGGGTGTCTAGTGCCGGCCGCCTCCTCCGCTCTCTTTCCTTCCTTCGCCCCTGACCGCTCTCTCGTCGCACCATTCACCATCCGTCTGCGTCGCTCCGCCCCGCACACTGTTTCTGTCGCTCGCCGCCGCCGCCTCGTCCTTCTGGCCGCTTTCCAACCGCTTTCGAAGACGCCATTCAAAGAGAGAGAGAGAGAAAGAGACGTATATGTGTGTGTAATGTCATGAGAATAATAATAATAGTAAGAATACCAATTTTGGTCTGATACCTCCAATTCTTCTTCGATTTTAATCTTCAAATTCTCTTCCGATTTTTATTTGTATCTCATACGAATTCGTATGGATTGAACCTTGTTTCTCGGATAAATTCTGTCGAAAAATCTGCATCTTTTCAAATTATTTTCGTCCCTCTTTTCCTGGAAAACGTTTAAAAGTTTGCCAGCTTTTTAGGCGCATTTCCGTCCGTAATGCATCTTATTTATAATCCTGTTCAGTGTTATTCGTCGATAAAAAGCAATTTTGCGGAGTTTTATTAAAAAATGAAGCATGAATCTGCTTCTGTTTCTCGATAAAGTTATTGATTTTTCATAATCTTGCGATAGTTTTGTCGAACTTTTACGTCTTTCACGCCTTCCCAGAGCTGGGCATTTGTGGTCTGTGTTTTTGGCTAACTGTTGTAAAAAAAAACCTGGCCGCATCCATTTGGGCCCAAAATTGTTCTGGATATACTTCACACCAAGGGCAATGACCAAAAATGTTTCGGATCCGATCGGTCAATTGTGGAAATGGACCAAAAAGACAAGCCACAAATGCCTAGCTCTGATTTTTCCCCAAAAAGCGCACAATTTTCCCGCCAATCATTCGCCACTCAATTTTCTATTCTCGCCCCCTAAATCTAGATAATTTTGCGCAGAAATAATCGAAAAAAAGGCGACCTCCAATTTGTTTTCGCTCTCCGCATATATGCGCGCCCCTGACTAATTAGTTTTCGTCTTGTCACAAAATCCGGATGTGATAATCATCGCAAACCCTCATTTTCTCCGTTTTTCCGTTTATTTAAAATCGCTCGAAAACGACAAATTTTGCAGGATAACACGAATGACATTTTCAAAGTGATCAATTGACATTTCACCAAAAAACCATGAAAGAACACGCGAAAGTGCCGCCGAAATTGGAAAAAATCGAAAAAACGTTCGAAGACGCCGCTTTTGAGATGTTGTCGACCGTCAGTCCGATCAAGCTGCCGCGCGAGGACATTCCGTTCGAGTCGGTCCGCGAAATTGTGCTCAACGAGGTAAATTTGCGAAAACGATTTTTTCTCGAGACTTCTTCGTTTCGCAATGTGATGTTCAACAACCGGCACGTTCGTAAAAAGTAAAATCGAAGAGCTTTGAAACACCCTTAGTTGAGAAACATTTGGTTGCACTCCGTCCACAGTTGCGAAACGTAATAAATGCCAAAATTGCTTGAGTAGCAAAACGTAACGGTTGTCGCACATCACGTTGCGAAACGATGAGGTCTCTCTTTTTTTTCTGTAAGTCTCCTATAAAAATATCGATTTTCCAGATACTCAGAAGTAAAAAACAAAAGCAGGGAAACAGAAAAAGTGAGTTTTTCGTTCCATTTAAATGCATTTCCACTTTCGCTCTCTCTCTCTTTTCTCTTACCGAAGAAATAAGTTACACTAAATTCGCTCGTTCTCTTTACTTTCTCACTCGTTTCATTTGCGCATTTGTATGCAATAAACTGCTTTCCATATCAATATTGTACAAATGTCCGTTCGTCGTAATCAATGCAAATACATTGACGATATATATTTGCTCGCGACTATTATTTTTCGTACTCTTGTAACACACTTCGGGACTTTCGTTCAATCGATAATACACTTCTAATGATGTCGAGTGCAAAAATCGACATAAAAATTAGATTGTGTGTCAAAATTGGTTTTATACAACCTGGTTTTGTTCAATTTTCATGTTTTCTGCTTCAGCGACTTTTCAATCAATCAATAATTATTACCGCTTTTTGAAACATGGCAGTGCTGCACTTTAAAGTAAAAGTTCATCTTGTAAGTAGCATTCTTCCCTCCCTTATAATCGTTGCACTTTTAAAACGTGTCAATGTTCAAAAGTTGTAACGACACTCTGCAATTCACGAGCGCCCTGGGAAGACGGTGCATTGAAAGTCATTTTGACAGAAAAATCGATAATCAAGCAAAACAGTTGCGAAAATTCGAAAATTGTCCTTCTCCATCTCCATCGTTTCTTTCTGTTTGTCCTCTAGTTCACCTGTGATACTATACGGGGTGGTTGTGTTGGCAGAGAAGAGAAAGAAGAAGGAGAGGGTGTCGTGTTTGAATTGGTTCCCTCTCTTGTTGACTTTCTCTCTCTCTCTCTCTCTCTCTCTCGGTTATGGTTTGCGATTTTTCCGTCTACTATCGTCATTCGGAGGAAAAGAGAGAAGAAGAAGAAGAAGAAGACAGGTTCGCACTTCTTCTTCTTCTTTCTCTTTTCACCCCCTCGATGTCGATGTGTACGCGTTATTCTTATACTTTTAATCGAAAGATCTGATATCAACACAAAAAAGAGAGACTTGACGTACTAAGCAAGTTCTTCGGAGATGAGAAGCGAGAAGGTGAGGTCGATTTTCAAATCTTGACACTTTTTGTCAAAATTGGCGATGCAAACGCGCTCCGCCGCACTCTGCACATATTTCGATGGCGAACTTTGTTCGCAGCCCTGATGGGAACAGAATTTGAAACTTATGTCCATTTTTCGAAAAGAAAAAAATTGCCAGCCCGTGGTCGTCGATTTTTCTAGTCCCCATTGGCCACCGTTCTCCGTGTTGGCACACCGCCAACCTCCGCCCCGCCGTCGCCTTCGACAATATTCCATCTCTGACTTCTCTGTTCGCTCTCTCGCCCGCCCGCGCGCTTATCAGTCGCCAATCACTCCCATTTTTGGGCCGTCTTCTCTTTTTTTTCCATCTCTTCGATACGCGCATTTTCGACGCCCAACGAAACGAAACCAATTTTCTTCTCTCCTCAATTTTTCTATCGTAACAAAAAATTTGAAGCAAAATGAACCGGTTTTGGGCGCGAATCATCCGGAAAACAAATCGATAAAAAGTCGTTGCAGACATGGACGAGCTTCTCGACGAAATGCCGTCCTCGTCGAGCTCGTCGAGCCACGTGGCAGCCGACGGCGACGCGTCGACGCTTCTGGAGAGGGGCACGATGACCGACGAGGTCGAGACGACGCCGAGGCCCATCGCCGCCCAGCTTTATGGTAGGCAACATCAGTTTTTTTTTTCAGCTTTTTCAGGGCAAAGGCTTTTCGAATCTTTTTGAGGCCCACTTGCAATGATCCGATCGGGCCCAAACTTTGCACGCTTCTTTGACTTGGATGGAAGTATGTTGGGTCCGAGCTTCAGATCGATCGGATTATCCGGTCACGAGATATACTGGTTTGAGGCCGGAAAGGCCGCAAGTTTCGCGAAACTCATTGCCTTTCGGCCAATAATCCACATATCTCGGGACCGAATGATCCGATCGATCTGAAACTCGGACCCAATATACTTCAGCCCAAGTCCAAAAAGCCTGCAAAGTTTGGGCTCGATCCAATTATTGCAAGTGGGTCAAAAGTCTGCGCCGAAATTTGCCCGGTCCCGCTTTTCTCTGAAAAAGTTGTAGACAATTTTTAATGTGTCTCCAGGCGGTCACACGCGTTCCTCTTCAACTTGCTCCTCCTCAACACCACAAGAATCGTCGGAAACGAAGAAAAAGCCGCTGAATTATCGCGAGAAGCGACTTGCGGAAATTCGACAAAATCGCCTCAAAAAGTATCGGGAAAGTGCGGAGGTCGTCGAATTCAGTGCGTCGTTTTCCAGTGAAAAATGTACCGTTTTCCAATTTTTTCTTCCATTTCAGAATGCGAAGAGAGCGGTTTGGCTGAAATATTCTGCAAATTCTACGCGGAGCTGATCGACGAAGAGCCCGCCGGCGCCGCTACAATCTACTTTCGGCTCGTCGAATCGCTCGACGTCTATTTTCGTGCCAAGACCTGGGAAAGCAATTGTCCGGTTAGTTTTTATAATGACTGTCTCCAAAAAAATCGATAATTCATGTTGCAGAAGCTTCTCTGCGAGTTCCTCGCCGAGCACATCATCAAAACGTGTCAGCAACTCAACGAATATCATGAATCGAGAAATTCGAGTGATGAGCGGCGGGCGAAAGAGTGCCAAGTACAGGTAAACAATTTTGAGTGTCAAAACCGTTCCATCAATCTCTTCTTCTTCTTCGTCTTCTTCTTCTCTCTCCCTCCCTCGCGATTACAGTTTTCCCTTTCATTTCGGCCGTCGAGAAAGAAGAAGAAGAAGAAGAAGAAATTGTTCTTGGCGCGGTGCCAAGTGTGTAAAATGATGATAACAGGGGGGTGTTGATCGAAGAAGCGATAAGAGACTCGCATTCAGTCGACGTTTTCCTCATTTTTAACGCAATTTCTCCACAGTTCCCCAACACATTTGCTGTATTTTGCAGGTCCTGCTCACGTTGCACGTGTACGTCGTGACCGAAGAGAGACGATATTTGGATGAGGCAATCCACAAATTGCGCATGATCTACATTTCGGTCGGCGCCGAACGCCTCCGCAATTTCGTCGAGGAGTCCGTGACTGACGTGTCAGTTTTTTGGCATCTTTTCCCGAAATTCTCCAACAATTCACGCGGATATCGATTTTCCGCCCACTTTGAACTGCTTCTCAAAAATGTGTTACTGTTCTAGCGCACGACATCTTCAAATTGTAAAACAGTTGTTTTGTTTGCAGTTACTGGGAGCTGATCGGCGACGGTCTCGCGACGATCTACGACGAGCTGTGCATCTCGCTGCCGGCGGACCTTCAACAATACGACAACGGACTGTTCAAGATGACGGAAGCGGACGAGTCGAACCTGATTGTGAAGCGACGGAACGGCGCGGCGAATCGGCTCGAGCAGATGCTCCTCGAGACGTCGTCCGAGTACGGCGTCGGCGGCCGGATTCCGGCGGTCGTCGCACTTGCCATGGAGGCGCCGATTGTGCGGAGGAGTCTCAAGAGGCGACAGCAGGAGACACCCCAAGGTACACTTTTTAAAGATTTCCATTTTTTTTACGTCTACACCATGAGCTGATTCTGGTTTATTGATTGAGTGTACGCCGAGGCGAAAACGTGAAAAGTGTGGAAAACTGGTGCAAACTTGACCGAATTTTGTTTGCGCTGAAAGTCGCATGCCTGTCAACTTGGCCTCGGATCCGATTGAGTTTTCTCGGCCACGTTTGCCAAAAATGCTATTATATCATGTGTCACCTGATTGTTGAAATTGGAATTGGATTGAAGTATGGTGAGGCCAAGTTTCAGACCGATCCGATTATCTAGCCCCGAGATATACTGGTTTGCCTGATCTCGACAATATTTCGGGAGCAGATAGTCGGATCAGTGTGGCCCCACCATACTTCAAGCCAAGATCCGCGCCGGTTGAGCCGATTGTGTAAAGTGAAACTCTTGGCAAACAGCCAACTCTCTCTCTCTTTGCTTTCTGACCACCGTGGTGAGGGGGGGGAACAAGTCTATCAATTTTTCGGTCCGTTTCCTCACTCTCGCTCCTCTCTTTCTCTCTCTCTCTCTTTGCCGTTTTCTATTTGTTGCTCCGCGGAGCACACACACACGCACACACACGCACGCACACAGACATCATTTGCCCACACGAAAAAGAGAAATAGAGCATCATCGCGTCGATTCTCTTCTTTTTTTTTTCGGTTCCCTGAAAAATCCATGGTTTTGTAGCTTGTGTTGAGTTTGCCGAAATGTTCACATTTGGCGCCCATTTTTTCCGCTGAAAATTGAAGAAAATTCAGTAATTTCAGAAGTGCTCTCTCCACAACGCGCCACTCGTTCTTCCTCCTCGGCGGACTACAAACACTTTTTTGTGGAGGACACTCCGGATGAGAAGTATCAAAAAAGAGCGACGAAAAAGGAGAGAAAGAGGAAGAGAGGAGGAGAAGACGACGACGGAATAGAAGAAGAAGAAGAAGAAGAAGGAGAAGAAGAAGGAGAAGGAGAAGAAGAAGCGGGCGAACAGACGATCGGCGAACAGATTGAGGAGGAGGTGAAGCAGACGCCGATGGCCAAACTGCGACAGGCCGCACAGAAACAGGGAAATAGGTGGGTAGCCGTTTGATTTGGATTTTTTGCAATTTTTTTTGCAATTGTTCAGATGCTCCAAACGATTGTCGGATTTGGTGAAACTCAGCGAAGAACGAGCACAAATTCCGCGAAAAGCCCGCGAGAATTTGGATAAAATTTTGGAGGTGAGGAAAAGAATTTAGTGTCGGAACCCCCCAACAGAAATCACCGTGCTATGTAATTAGCGAGAAAAGGCGCAATTTTTCAAAAACTTTCAATTCTTTTTGCAGAGAGCAAAAGCGGCGACTCCGCTGCGTTCGGTGGCCCGTCAAACGCGCAAATCGGTACTGTTCGGCTCGGCGGCCACGCCCACGAATTCTCCGGCCGGAATGAGCACTCGTGGCGCCGCCCGTGCCTCACTCATCGCCAAATTCAACGAGAAATCGCCGGCGACGGAGCAGAAGGAGCTCCATTTCGAAGAGGAAACCAAGCAGGTCCAGGTCCCTTTGGCCGTCGAAATGCTGACGCCAACGCGCGAACGCGGAACGAGACGGCGCGGAGCACCGCCCGCTCGCTACCGCGAGGCTTTTGCGAATGCCGAAAAGATGAAGGTGAGAATATTGATGATTTACTGGAAAAAGCCAAAAGAACCCGAAAGTTAGCGGTTTCGGACTTCTTGGACGTGGATTGAAGAATTTAGGGTCCAAGTTTCAGACCGATCGGATTTCCCGAGATATACTGGTTTCCAGAAAAGACCGGGTTTTTGCGAAAATTTCGGCTTTTTCTCCACATATCTCGGGACCGGTGAATCGGATCGGTTTGAAACTTGGACCCACTGTACTTCAACGCAATTCCAAGGATCCTGCGCGAAGTTTTGGTCCGATCGGATTATTGATTAATCAAAAAATGCAATTTCTTGCAGCAACCAGTGATAAAACAAGAGATTGAAGACGAGGAGTTCGACGCGATCGAGGGCGGACAGCCGTGTTCGTCAAGCTCGAAACCGACGTCTTCCGTCTCGTTTTTGGCTTCTTCTTCTTCTGCTCTTTCTTCCACTTCCACTCTCACTTCCACTTCTTCCTCTTCTTCCTCGAACCAAAAATGGACGGAACGGCAGCTGCGTCGCCAATTGGGACTCACGCGCGAAGACCTGAATAGGTACGCGTAGGCGGATCCTCCTACTTCCTCTTCCTCTTCCTCTTCTTCTTCTTCTCCCCTCGAATCAAAAACACGAAGAAATTAGCAGATTAAATTAGTAGGTTTTTCGATGATAAGTGTGTTTATTACATGTGCCTCGTAATATTTCGGAGAGATTTTTGAGAGAAATTGCATTTTCTTTTCGCTATTAATTTTGCTTTTTTTGCAGATATCGCGAAGCGATGCTCTCCACCGGTGAACGAAGCAGAAATAATAAAGAGGTGATTTTTTTGAAAAATTAGCCGCTCCTGTCCTCGACTTTCGATCCACTTGTAATGTTCCGATCGGACCCGAACTCTGCACACTTCTTGGGCATGGATTAAAGTGTATTGGGCTCAAGTTTCAGCTTGATCCGATTAATTACCGTCGAGATATAGTGGTTGAAGGCCGATTTCGACCAATGATCCACATATCTCGGGACCAGTTGATCCGAACGGGCTGAAATTTGGACCCGGTATGCTTCAACCCAAGTGCAAGAAGTCTGCAAAGTTTGGTCAAAATTCCAGACCTTCAAAACTCCAAACAGTTCTAGGCAAAACAACTTATTGATTTTTCTTCTCGCTGCAGATCAACTGGGAAAACGCGCAAGTGAATCGGGCGGGACGAGTGAAAGGAGCGGGCGCCAGCGAGGACGGCACTCCGATTTTCGGAATTCGCCGCAAAAACGTGCGGACGATGATTTGCCACGTGCTGCTGAACGACACGAATCCCGATACGAATTTCGACTGGAACAAGGTGAAATTCGACGAAATCGGCGATGATGTAAGTTTCAAAAACATTTGTGTGTCTGTGTGTGTGTGTGTGTGTTCTTCTAAATTTCTCAAATTTTTGCAGAAACCGCTCACCAGAAACCTGCAAAAATTGCGTCAAAATCCCGAAGTGTTCATGGAGTCGCTCAAACAGAAATATATTGAAAAGAAGACGTCGCCGACGAAGAAAACGCGTTGCACTGACAATTTGGCGGCTGCGGCCGCGCCGTCCTCTTCCACGGCCACGACGACGAAAAAACGGCGACCGGAAAGTGTTTCGCCCACGAAATCATCTTCGTCTTCCTCTTTGAAATCGCAAAAATCGACGGAAAAGTTGGACGAGTTTGGATTCGAATGCGAAACGGACGATTAGGCATCGATTGTTAGGCGTTTTTCAGTTCAGAGCCATTTTCCCTGTTTCAACTCTCTCCTTTATTTCTGTGTAATTTCTTCGAATTCATCAATCTTTAACCTATTTCTAATTTCCATTTCACTCTATTCATTTTCTCCCTTTTTATCTCTTTTTATCTGACCAAAAATCTGTTTTAAAAAGCGCAATTTTTCTTGCTCTCAACTTCCAATGATCTTTTTCCTGCTCTGAGAACCTCTAATCGGCATATTTTTTGCGCGAATTTCGCGACTATTTATTGACTTTTTGAAAAAATAAACTATTTTCTTGCCATGATTTAGGAATTTTGACGATTTTTGTAACTGTCCGATGGTTTTAATTGCCATTCTCCATACTTCTGACCATATTCTTTGTAAATGATTGTCGCTTTACGCACTTTTTTCCAGTACCTATTTGTTGACCAAAAATGGCTCCGAAACAAAAGGCCGCGGCGCCAAAAAATGTGAAAAAAGTGGAAAAATCGCCGTCGCCGGATGAGGAATCGGTGCGGCGATCGCACCGGCAACGCATCGAATTCGGACGCGTCGACGAGGGGTAATTTGCCACTTTTCTGACTGAAAATCTACCTAAAATAATCGATTGGATCGTTTTTCGCTGTGTCTCTTCATTCCACACATTATTTCTCTCGTTTTTCGTTCAGGCGCACATCTGAAGTTCCCGAAAGTTAGGCGGTTCGTCTAGAGAGAAATTAGTAATTCAAGCGGCAGCCAGAGGAAAATCCGCGACTTTTATGAATTTTCTGTTCAGATTCGACCGTCACGAGCTGGAAATGGCGCTGCGCGCGAGCATGAACGAGGCGAACAAGTCGTCCGGAACGTCTTCTTCTCAATTTTCGCCGCCTGCATCACAATCTTCCGCTTCCGCTTCCACGCCTTCCGCCTCCCCGAAAAAGGTGGCGGTGCCGAAGAAGAAGAAGAAGCCGGTGACCGCGGCTCCGGCGGCTCCCGAAGTCAAGGTGATTTTAGTGGGAAAAAAAAGAAAGAAAGGGGAAAAATGTCTTGCAGAAGCCCATCCAAAAGACGATTCCGACGAAGCGAGAGCGCGACGAAGAGAAGCGGCGAATGGCGGAAGCGGCGGCCGCACTCATCGCCAGCGCCTCTTCGGCGGTCGTCAAAAAAGTGGTGGCGCCCACGCAACAAACACCGAAAAAAGTGGAGAAGAAGGCGGTGGTGGGTGGAGCGCAGAAGAAAAAGGTGGCCACTTCCTCGTCCACGTTCTCCGGCGTCGCCAAGAAGAAGAAGAAGAAGGCGGCGGTGGTGGTGGAGAATGCGGGCGAAGAAGAAGAAGAATCGGAAGAGGGAGAAGGAGCGACGTCTTCGGAAGATGTGAAAGAAGAAGCGGGCGAGGAGAAGACGGAGGAAGCGACAACTTCCGAGCAGGCCGCTGCTCCATCTTCTTCCACTTCTTCGACTTTGGCGACCACCGCCGTCAAGACGGAGGTTAAGAAGGTCGTTAAGAAGGTGAGGAACAAACCGATTTTGACTCTCGCATGACACACTCAATTTTGCAGAAGGCGATCGCCAAGAAGCCGGCCGCAAAGCCATCGGCCGCGGCGCCCAAGAAAAAGAAGGCGGCGGCGGCGAAAATCTCTTCGAAACCGTCGAAACAGTACCTGGAAAACGAGAAGCAGATGCGTCTGATGGCGTGCGCCAAATCGGGAGTCATCTAAATAGTTTCCGATTTTTAACACTTTTTTACCCCCGAAACCCCCCCGAAAACCCAAAAAAAAACCGAAATTATGTGCATTTTCCTATGTAAAATCGCCCACTTGTCTCATTTTCCATGTAATCTCACGTCCCCAAAATTTTTTTCGCTAATTTTCTTGTATTATTTTTTTTGCCTCTTAAAATTTTTATCGCATCCTTACACGTCTCCCTAAAAAAACTCACCTCTAAAATGCTATTTTTTCGATTTTTACGGTATAAATAAATGGATTCACCGAAAAGACACATTTTAAAACGGAAATCAACTGGTTTTGGTCCACACGAGTTCGGAAAAAGTTTGCGCGAAAATCATCGAATTTTTAGACTTTCAGAGCCAAATGGGAGCCCGGCTCCGCATACTTTTAGTATCGATCAACGTAATTTTGGCTCTTTTCGTCTTCCAAAACGGTTTTTTGCTGAAACGGCAAGAAATTCCGTCGAAATCGAGCTGCTCCGATGCGCACGGACAACCCGGACAGAAATGTTGGATGCGGCAGCAGTACAAACGGGTTCGCATCTTTTTTTGAAGTTTTTAGCGGCATCTTCTTTTTTGTTTTTTGCAGAGTTGCCACGGGCCGGGCCGGGCCGAAAATTTCAAAACTCCGGCCCGGTTCAAAAAGCGGGAATTCAAATTTTGAACTATTGATTAAATAAAATGTTTGTTTTTCGTAGAACTAACGAATTTTGCAAGTATCGAGCATAAAAAAGAAATGTAGTTCTCAAAAATAGTTTTTATTGGCATCAAAGCAAAAGTAACAATTAAAAAAGAAGAAAATAATAACGATTTTTGATGTTTCACAGACGCTTTCGCTCGGAATGACCGAGAGACGTGTCGTAGTTTTTTTTTAAATTTTGATCCCCGTAAAAAAACGAAAAAATATATTTCCCCCAAAAATTTGAATTCGCGCCTTTTGAGCCGGGCCGACCGGGCCGGCCCGTAATTTGGCAAGTCTGGTTTTTTGCACTCCGAACTATGAAGACCTACGTTGAACGATGTAAAACGAGAGAATAATAACTGTAGAGCAACAGAGGTGTTTGCCGCGTCAATCGCAACTAGCACACGTGAAATGCGGTTTAGCAATTATACAATTGCGCTAATTCTAGAAAAATTCTCGGCAAATCTAAACAAAAATTCAAAAATATTTGTTCGGGATTTGTCTAGAATTGGTGCAATTGTATAATTGCTAAACCGCACTTCACCAGTGAGCTTGCATATTTCCAGTGGCATTCGTTAGCTACGATTTTGTGATAATTAGTACGCAAAAGTGACGGTCCAACATAATAGAACTGGGCAGAATAGAACCGCGACATAATAGAACTGTTTTTGTGTATTTATATGAGCATATTGTCCGTTCCTTTCAATTAACTTTCGCAAAATTTTTTGTCTCTCGAACAATTAAGCAGAAGACCACAGTTTAAGCCTAGAAAATTGGTTTCCTTTCGTTTTTTGATAGTACAATAAAATTATTTTCTGTGGGTTTTCGTTACCGTGGAGAAGAGGGGTCACGACGGAAGTGAAGTTAATGAATGCAATAAATCGATCACGAGATTCAAAAATTATATTTTTCTACGAAAGCATTATTCAACAGAAAGGTTTAAAAGGTGCTCCAAACAGTTATATTGTGTCGCGGTTCTATTCTGCCCAGTTCTATTATGTTGGACCGCCGCAAAAGTAAAATAATCATCCGGTGAAATTGCTTTTAGTAAGTCTATCGCTATGGGAATGGGAAAGGTAAATTGCATCATTGAATTTTCTGCATTCGCTTCCCGTTGATTGAGAAATTGCTTTAAAAAACAAGGCGCGAGGGAAAAGCGCAGAGACAAACAACAACAAGAAAAAACAGTTTCGCGCCTGCGTCTCTGCCTTTTTGCACGCAAATCGCTTCTCTCTCGCCTCCTGTTTTTTTTCCGGTTGAACCGCAAACTTTTCAGGAAATAATGCTAAATGACTAAGTTTTCAGGTGATTCTAATTCTCGTGGATGCCCTCCGATACGACTTCATTCAGCCGATTGGCAAAAAATCGGAAATACCCGAGGAGGAGCGGAATTATCGAGGACAAATGACGGTAGAAATGCCATAAAAGAAGAGCAGCAATCAAAAATAAACTTTTCAGCACATAAGTGAACTGGTGAATTCGGAAAAAGCGTCAATCGGAACACTTTTAGCCGATCCGCCGACGACCACTCTACAAAGATTGAAGGTTCTCTAAAAATTCGGTTCGTTTTTCGAAATCCCAATAAAATTGCAGGCGCTAACGACGGGCACGCTTCCGACGTTCATCGACGCCGGCGACAATTTCAGTCCGGACGCCGCCGTCAACGAGGACAGTTTTCTGTACCAGGCGGCGCAGTTGGGCAAGAATGTCACTTTGTTGGGTGATGACACTTGGTCGGTTTTAGGAGTGATTGCATATAAACATTTCTAGGAACGTGACTTGCATAGATCGCGATACTAACGGTTCAAAATAATTGAGACTCTTTGAAATCCTGAAAGCAAGCTATTCGGAGCATTTTTCCGAACGACCTAGTGAGCAAGACGACACAAAAACACTTTAGAACTTGCACTCCCTCAAAACCGGACCAATCAGGCGAACTAAACGTGTTCAGGCTCTCGCTGTACCCGAATGCGTTCACGAGAACGGCCGCCTATGATTCGTTCGATATCAACGATTTGAACACTGTCGACGATAGAATTGCACGTGAGTTCTTCGATTCTCGGACTATCTTTTGCCACTTTTCAATCAGGGCTGGGCAATTGGCCGGTCCATTTACCTGGACATTTGAACCACTTGCAATATTCCGATCGGACCCAAACTTTGCAGGCTTCTTTGGCTTGGATTGAGGGCCATTGGGACCAAGTTTCAGCTCGATCGGTTCATCCGGTCCCGAGATATGTGGATCATTGGCCGATTTTTTCCAAAAAGCCCGGGCTTCCGGCCAATTTCGGCCAATGATCCACATATCTCGGGACCGGATGATCCGATCGAGCTGAAACTTGGTCCCAACATGCTTCGAAAATCATTGATTGTTTAGCGATTCTGGAAGAAGAGATCGCCGGGTCCGATTCCTCGATCATCATCGCTCACTTCCTCGGCGTCGATCATTGTGGCCACAAATTCGGACCGACGCATCCCGTCATGGCGGATACTCTCAGAAAAGTGAGTTGCTAATCAGAAAACTTCATCCACATCTTGGCCATTCAATGGAAAATGTGTTTTAGATGGATCGAATAATCGGGAAAAGCGCGGCATCGATGCGCGACGACGATCTGCTCGTGGTGATCGGAGATCACGGAATGACATCCACCGGGGACCACGGAGGCGAATCGGAGAACGAGATCAAGGCGGGCATCATGGTCTACTCGAAATCGCGGCCGATGCGTCTTCCGCGCCGTCCGATCCATCAGATCGACATCGTTCCGACCGTCTCGCTCCTCCTCGGACTGCCCATTCCGTTCTCGAATCTCGGAACCGTCATTGTCGAAATGTTCACTCGGGACCTATGGGGCATCGCGGTCGCAATGAACTACGAACAAGTGAAGCGATTCGCCGAAACGTACGCGACGCAGAAGAACTTTGCAGAATTGCACACGCACACGGCGCGAGACGCCAATACTATGGAGGAGCAGATCAAGTACTCGAAAAATGGCAACTCGCTTCCGCAAAAACAATGTTACAGCACAATGTCGCGCATCCAAACGGTCCTGCGTGTCGCGTGGACACAATTCGACGACGCCTACATCAACGCCGGACTCTTTTCGCTTTTCGAAGCGATTCTGTTCATGATTACCAATGAGGTTGGGTCCGTTTCTTTGAGCCAAGAAATTGTCCACTCAAAAATGCTACAAACCCCGATTTTTTGCAGGAGCTCTCAACAGAATGGATAATATTCCGAACCGGATGCGGCCTGCTCCAGGCGGCTCTTCTCTCCGATCGCACCGATTCGGACGGAAGCGCTCGCACTCTATTACTGGTAATTTTCGACGAATTTATCGATTTTCTACCTGAAATCCAATCCTCATCAATTTCAGATGTCTCTGTGCGTCTCCTGCCTCTCCTCGTTCATCTCTTTGGCGCAAACGGCTTTGCAATGCCGATTTTGCCTAAAATCGATAATTTCTTCAAGAGTAATCGGTTGGTTGTGGCGAATTATTATTGTTTTGCAATATTATCGAAAAAATACAATTTTTGGGGAGCTTTAAGGGGGGATTGGAAGAAATGATGATTAAAGGAATTAAATTATCCGAAATATTTCATCACTTCGGTGAGCCGCTTCCGAGCATCCAGAACTCTCTTCTCTTGGGCGCTGATCTCCTCGACGACGTTTGCGATCGGCACGCGCTGAAAATTGGGGAATTGTTTACGATTTCAGTGCAATTTTAGTCGAACGGAGAAATAGAACCCCGTAACATTTGTCTAAAAGTCGAAATCGAACCTCGCAAAGCGGTTGTTCGTGGCACGCGTTCGCAATAAAGTTCTGGTCGAGTTTGTCCTTGTTGACGGGCTGCCCGAAGGTTCCATTCGTCATGTACCCATTATTTATTTGCTGCATGACCGTGGCGACCGTCTCCGCTGGCGTCAACGCGGACGTTCCCGGCTTGATCAGCGGGATCTCCTTCATCGATTCGAACGAGTATTGCGCCTTCGACGCGTCCTCGATCTGCAAATTTTCCTGGATTTTCTATTAACGACGGCCAAATATTTACCCTGTCCGGTTTTTCCATCGGAATCGCCACCTGCAATCCGGCCAAACTTTTCGCCCACAGCGCCGGGAACGGACGCATTTCGGTGCGTTTACGCGGCTTTCGCAGACCGAGCTCCGTTGTGTGGATCTGAAATTCGAGGAAAATGTCTGGATTCCAAGTGATTCTGACAGATTTTCTGATGAGTTGACCCACTTGCACTATTCCGATCTTTCCCGGGTCCAAGTTTCAGACCGATCCGATTGCCTGGTCCCTAAATGCAGCGATTTAGGCCAAAAGTTCTGATTTTTGTGGTCTGAAACTTGGACCCAAAGTACTTCAATTCACGTCCAAAAAACCTGCAAAGTTTGGGTTCAGTCGGAATAATGTAAGTGCGTCAAAAAAAAAAATTCGCCGCGCTAACCCTGGTCTCCGGTTGCGAAGTGGTAATCTCGGAGACGTGCTGCGAGAACGCGGTCGGGCATTTTCGCACGACGAGCTCCCAATTGCCCTCGAAGCCCGTTTTCACGTCCTTCTCCGTCTGTTTCGCCTTCATCGGACGGCCCGGACGGCGCGAACGGAACAGCGCGTCCGCTTTCGCCATTTGTGAACACTGAAAACGGGAAAATTGAGAAAATTGCACAATTTCTTGGCAAATTGAGCGGAACAAGGGTTATTTTGTGACTTGTATGCAAGAAATCGATAATGCCGGGAAGTGGGTAACCGAGCGGAGGTCCGCGGACCGCTTCGCGGCGATTAGTGCGGTGGAGCGCACTTGCATTATGACCAAAGCTGCCGGTGTTCAGGAAAAGCGGTAAAACGAGTGGGAAACGAATTTCCTATCAAAAATTTTCGCCTTTTTTAACAAAATATTTTCAGGCCCACTCTTCGTTCTGCTCCACTCAATTTCCCTATTCTCCAACAGTTTTGTGGTCTACGAAGCACAAATCTGCCGATTTTTTCTACAATCTCTGCTTTTTCTAGTGTTTCTCGAACGATTGAGGTGCGTTTTCTAATTTTATTCGCCGCAATTTTGCAGCTAAACGGTCGTCGCCGAGTTTTTCGCGAAAATTGCGATAGAGCGCGTCTTGCACAGACATGGAAAGCATCATCAATGTTCAGATCGGTGCGGAAACCGCGAAAACCGTACACAATAGTGTCGGTGTGGAAATGGGCGAACAAGAATGACAATTTGCTCATTCTCTCCGTCGCCATGGCACTTTTAAGGGCGGAGCCACTTTTTCATAGGTGCCGCGAGGAAGAAGCCACGTGTCAGATGTACTATTCGGTCCGGCATGTCGCCAGTCTCAGCGGTATGCACTTCTTTTTTTTTTGTTGTGAAAACAACCAGTTTCTTCTCTTTCAGTAGACGCCCAAGTCGTGCGACTTCTCTTCGCCGGAATCTCGCTCGCCGTGACAAATTCGTCGGCATTTCGAATGTTTAGTGAAAAACGAATGACGTCAGGTTTTTATGATTCTTTTGGCCCAAAAAAACACAACTTTTCTTAAAGGCACAATGCGAATATTGTCGGCAGTTTCGTGGCCGCTTCTCGCCGGAATCTTCTATCATTGTGTCATCGTTTCGAAGCTTCAAGACCCGTCGCGAGCCAATTTCACGGCACAAATGATATTCTTCAGCAGTTTCGCATGTGCAATCGCGGCGTGGAGGGAGAGGTAAACAATGAACAAGTGTTCTTTTTTGAAAATTGTTCAAGTACACGGCGGGCAGAGTTTTCTAGCACGACACCTTTAAAAATGACTATTTTCGCAGAAACTTTGCAATTACCGTCCACTTCCTGATGATGCCCATTTATTTGCTGTTCGGCGACGGAATGATCCCCGCTTTGGTCGTTTTCATCGCTTTATCGGTGATTATCACGAAATTCGTGCCGCGCGGTTGGTGTTCACTTGTTTCTTAACGATTTATCGGTTTTTTTTTGCCAGAAACCCTCGCGTCGGCGGTGGCCATTTTGGTGCCGTTCGGATTCTACCAACTCGGCCACTCTCCGGTGATCTCCGCAATTCCGTGGCACGCCGGATTCGTCGGAATTCCCGGATCGGCGGTCCCGCGCATCGTCACCGCCGCTTTTGTGCTCGTCCATCTCAACTTTTCCGCCATTTCGTCGATTTTTGTGATTTCTAGTCAAACGGTGAGAGTTTTGGCCATTAAAACCTGAAAAAGAAAATCGCCGACGGTACCAGTTCCTGAGACAATTCCTATTTCTATTTTCGGCTAATCCGATGGTCTCTCTCTCTCTCTTTTCCGCCCCTCCCTTTCCGTTGTAATATTCTCCCATTCAATAAAAAATAATTAGTAGGGAAAACGGATAAAAATCGATATTTTGCAGCATAATTGGCCGCTCGCCGAGACGGTGATTCTGACGACGACGCGCGCGACGTTCGCCTGTTTCGCCGCATCAATCCATCGACGTCATCTGATGGTCTGGAAAATTTTCGCGCCCAAATTCATCTTCGAATCCGTCCTCGCCATTGTTCTTCTCGTTTTCGCCGATTTTTTGTCCGTCCTCCGACTGTTTACCCCGAGGCCAAAAAAACTGTAAAAAATCGATGTCTTTCATGATCTTTTTCACCAAAAATTCTGTGATAAATGTTGTGTTTCGTAATATGTACAGACCGTTGTTTGAGAGAACATTTCGAAATACGGGCGGTTTTTGAATTACTTCTTTTCAAAATGTCTCCACGAATTTTTCGGCTAGAATTCGTCGTCGTCTTACCCGTAAAAAACCAGTATTGTGATTTTTGAGTTTTTACGAAAACATTATTGTTTGCCGACTTATCAAATCGATATTCTTATCATTGCGCCCAACTTTTCGCGGGAGTTCCATTTTTGCGGCTAAAATTTTAGCCTAAAAAATAAGGGAAATATTTATTCCGCCAAAATCGCGTCAAATTAAATGCCCGGTACGCAAAGTACGCAAATTGTCAACCGTACAACCTGTTGCCATTTTTATTTGACATTTGTTTAAAATGAGCAGCACGGCGAGCATAAAAACCCACTTTCCGCTATTTTTATATTGAAAATCTGTGAAAAAAATCAATTTGATGAAGAAAACATTTAAAATTTCGTGAAACCGCACACTTTTTGCAGTTTTAAGACAAAATCAGTGTCGGAGACGGCAAAAATGAGCATTTTCAGCGCAAAGCACGACTTCTCAATGAAATTTGTTCATGTTGCGCAAAATGTGAACAATATCGGAAAAGTCGTTCATAATTTGGGTAATTTTCGACGAAAAACTTGTAAAATTGAGTTGAAATTTGAATTTTGCGCCAAAACCGCGTTATAGCTAAAATTTGCTCGTGTTGAGCTTGAAATAAGCGCTCTTTGCAGATTTTGGGTAAAAACTCGAAAAAGTGAGTAAAATATTGAATTTCCGCTAAGCCACGCCCCTTTTTCAACAACTTTTCTCGAAAGTTATTCAACAAACAGCCGAGAACACACCAAAGAACACTGCTACTTGCTGACCGTTTCTCCGCCGATCACATGATGTCGTGGGGACGGGTGACGAAAGTGCGCTCCACCGCACTCTCCGCCGTCACACACTTTTCTCAGCGCCCTCCCACTCTCTCTTTCTCTCTTGTCCGATCCGTCTCGCTTCTCTGCGCCCTCTCGCATACTCTGTCTCTCTATGTTCGCCCTCTACACACATACACACACACACACACATTTTCAGTGTTTTTCGGCGGATTTCTTCCCAGTCCTACCCCCTCTTCTTTTTTTCCACGTTTTTTTGTCTGGTACGCGGTACTGCGCGAACGGCCTCCGCCCAAAAAATCGATAATTTTTACGAAAACGCATATTGTAGACGCGAAAAGAGACGGTCAATGAGCTCCGACGAGGATTTGCCGATGGATTACACGGATTCGGAGCGAGGCGATGTGGACGATGAGGTTTTTTTTTTTTGGTTTTTACGTGACCTTTTCACGTGACACTTAAAAACGTGTTTTTGTGGAATTTCTGCGCCATTTCACCGCAAAATGAGCACGAATACGAGTAAAACGTCGGCAACGTCGATTTCGGTGATTTTTTGAATTGAAAATTTGAAATTTCTTGCGAAAATGCAGAAAATTTTTTAAAAAAGTGACACTCTCACGTGATACTTACGTGGATTTTTGCGGGAAAATGTGTTTTTTTTTCGGAATTACTGTGCCTTATTTTGCCGAAAATGGCGACGATTACGAGCAAAATGTCGACAATGTCGATTTCGGTGATTTTTTGAATTTGATGCAATCCCGAAATCAATGAAAAACGCGGAAAATTTTGAGCTAATCTCACTTTTCTCCATTTTCAGTGTCTCAGCGACGACGACGGAATAGCACTGGAAAGCCACGATCAGAATAGTTCAGATTTCAAAGATTCCGGACCGGATAATGAGGTAAAATTGGGGGAGAATCACCGATTAGCGCTTTTTACACACAATTTTGCGCGCTTTTCAATGTTCCGAGTAAAACAGCTGAAAAATCGACGAAAAATGACAGTTTTTCTGCAGGTAATGAACCACGACCAACTAGAAGCGGAGATGAAGACGACAATATCGGAAGTGCAGGCGGTGCTGCAGGTAAAAAAGGGCACGTGCCGAATCCTGCTGCACAAGTACAAGTGGAACCGCGAGTCGTTGCTCGAGCGCTTCTACGAGCATCCCGACACACGCGCCTTCCTCATCGACGCGCACGTAATTCCACGTCACACGGAAAAGGTGCCGATAGGCGACGGCGAGTGCGACATTTGCTGCTCGCTGAGCGAACTCAGCGGATTGGCGTGCAATCACCGCGCGTGTACGCTCTGCTGGAAATCATATTTATACAACAAAATTTGCGACGAGGGACACTCGGAGATCGAGTGCATGGCGGCCAATTGCAAGCTGCTCATCGAGGACGAAAAGGTGCTGGAATACATAACCGACCCGACGGCGATCGCCGCCTACCGCCGCCTCATAGTCGCCAGTTATGTGGAGACGAACCGTCTGCTCAGATGGTGTCCGGGAGTGGATTGCGGAAAGGCCATCAAGGTAACAGTTGCACAAAAACGATATGAACGTTTTCACTTGATTCGTTTCAGGTGAACCACTGCGAACCGCGTCTCGTTGTGTGCACGTGCGGCTCGCGCTTCTGTTTTTCGTGCGGAAACGATTGGCACGAGCCGGTGAACTGCCGCCTCCTGAAGCTGTGGATGAAAAAGTGCAACGACGATTCGGAGACGTCGAATTGGATCAACGCGAACACGAAAGAGTGCCCGAAGTGTATGATCACGATCGAGAAGGACGGCGGCTGCAATCACATGACGTGCAAGAACACGGCCTGCCGCTTCGAATTCTGCTGGATGTGTCTCGGACCCTGGGAACCGCACGGATCCTCCTGGTACAGCTGCAATCGGTCAGTGCTCGCCCCCCACGTTTTTTGCGAAAAAAAAACTGTAAATTTACAGATTCGACGATTCGGCGGCGAAACAAGCGCGCGACGCCCAAGAAGTATCCCGCGCGAACCTCCAACGATACCTCTTCTACTACAATCGATACATTGGACACCAGCAAAGTCTGCGGCTCGAGGGAAAGGTACCCTAACGGTTTTTTTTTGCTCAAAAAACGCATCTTGCCGATATTGTAGCTGTACGCGACGGTGAAAGGAAAGATGGAGCAGATGCAGACGTTGTCAATGTCGTGGATCGAGGTGCAATTTTTGCGAAAAGCCGTCGACGTGCTGTCGGAGTGCCGCCGCACTCTGATGTTCACCTACGCGTTTGCCTACTATCTGAAGAGGGACAACAACGCCATCATTTTCGAGACCAATCAGAAGGTTTGTCGAGAGATTTTGTTACAATTTGTTAGCGAAAAAAAAACTGGCGCGGGGGGCGATTCTGGAATGCGAGCATACCACACGGCCCAAATTTTCCTTGATTGTTTGCAGGATCTCGAGATGGAAACTGAGCAACTGTCGGGATTCCTGGAACGAGATTTGGAGACGGAAAATTTGGTGACACTCAAACAGAAGGTAAGAAATGCTTAAATGTCTTGTTAGTTGAAAAGAATGATGTTTTCCAGGTGCAAGACAAGTATCGCTACGTGGAGCACCGCCGCAAAATACTATTGGACCACTGCGCCGAAGGAGCCGAACAGGACCTCTGGGTTTTCAACGAGTAATCGATCGAATCTATCTCCCGCACGAACCGAGAATAACAACAGCAACAAAAAATCTCAATCACATTTTTCCCCTCCCATCATTCATTCATTTTCAACATCTCTGCCAGTTTTTTTCTGTACACCCCCAAAAAAATGCGCAAAATTTCCTCTGTATTTTTTCCCCGTCCCAAAAGATATGCTAATCCCTGTATTTGTTTGTGTGTAGATTTGATTTTTTTTTCTCTTATGGACTCCCTCGGTACTTTTTTTTTTACAGAAACCCCCCTATTTCCCCCCAGTTTTTTGCGATTTTTTTTCTGAAATGTTTCCTATCAGACGCCGTCGTCGCGTCCTCTGCAATTTATGTGTATTTTTTGTCGAAACACTAGAATTTTTGTCCATTCTCGTCCCCTTCGCCCTCCCTCCAAATCAAGAGCATTAGAATGCGTTGTTCTCCCTCATCCCTAAACTAAAAGAAAACACTCTTTCTCTGCGATCCTTGTGCTCTTCCGATTATTACGGATTCTCTTCTCTCTCTCTCTCTCGCTGTCTCTCCGACCCTCTCTTTTCTTTTCTCATCGTTTGAATATGAATAATTCACAATATTTTTCTGTAAAATTGGCGAAAATCTCTTTTGGCCAGGTTTTCGATGCCGATATTGTTCAATTGATGGTGAATTTTAGATCAATTGCGGCGGGCAAAGCTAGAAAAATAAGAGAAATTGGAATTTTCCAGACGAAAAATGGCAACGATGCTCCGAACTTCCGCAGGGTCGTTGTTTATAAAAATGGCGGTTTTAGCTGAAAATCTCCTTTTTCAGCGTTGATTATATTGAATTTAGCTCAAAATGCTTTACAGATTACCAAAAGTACTCGCATAAATCGTTTCCGCACGAATTGATGCTCAAAATGCGAATATTCCCGAAAGAATCCCTAAATTTTCCACAATACGTCTGTTCTGACCCATTTTCCAGTGTGTATACCTTAAAAATCTCTAAAAGTGCACGAAAAAACGATAACGTTGCGGTTTGACCGAGAGATAAGCTGATAAAGTGGTTTTTGCGAGAGAGTTTTCAAAAACGCCTACATCTTTAGCGGCGGAACAGTGGCGAGTAGCGCAGAGCATCGCCAAGCACCGCAAGCCACATTTTCAGACAAATTCCGGTGAGTTCCAGCGATTTTCAGCGAGTTTCAGCAAAAGCTGAACTAAAAACGATCAAATCGAGTGGCGCGAAAATTTGTTCGTGACCCACGTGAGCAATTCTGGGTAAATGGAACGCCAACACGGTTCTAGATCTGGGGCATCGATAAGAGAGCCTACAAAAGGGCGAGCTGGCCGCCGAATCGGCATCAGTTCCATTCTTTCTGGACTCTCCGCGCACCGACCGAGTCGCCGCTCTTCAACAACAACCAACCAACAACCGACCAAGGATAAACGATGTTCCGCAAGAGCACTCTTCTCTGCATCGCCCTCGCCCTCCTCTTCGTCGTCTCCGCCATCGCCGATGAAAGCGGCAATGGAACTGAAAGTGCCCAAAAGCCCGATGCCATCGTCGTCCCCTCGACTCCTGCTCCTGTACCGACTGAGGCACCGGCCACTGATGCTTCTGCTCCGGAAAGCACGACGAAAGGCGCCGCCATGAACTACGCTATCGGTGAGTCACGGTGTATTGAAAGTGATACCGGAAATTTCGCTTTGAAAAGCTTCAAAGTTAACTTTCAAATTTTGCAGGATCGGTGCTCGTGATGCTCGTGCGTGCCGCCTTCTAAACTCGCCGACTCGACACCGCCTGCACGTCACTGCAACTTGGAATTTTCCCGTCCATTTGTTCTTCTTCTCGTAAAGAAGTTGAATGTATTTTATTGTAGAATGAATAAATGAGTAGAAATAGTTCGATTCTTTATCGGAATGAATCAAAAGTTGGCTTTTCGAGGCTTCTTGACTATTTTTTTGTTTGTTTTTTCGGCTCAAGAAATTCTCCAGTTTTGCCTCCATGGAATTTTCTAGAAATTTTCTCCAGAATTTTCTGACCCTTGTGGAATTTTCTAGAAATTTTCTAGAAATTTTCTCCAGAATTTTCTGACCCTTGTGGAATTTTCTAGAAATTTTCTAGACATTTTTTCTAGAATTTCTAGGCGTCACCTCGCCGTTTTTCTCTTATTGGGAAGACAGCAAAACCCTCTTCCGCTCCTCGTTTTTCCCTTTTAGAGCAAAACGCCCAACAATATCATTTAGTTTCCACAGACACCAAAATCGCGCCAACCAACTTCACTTGCGCACTATCGGATCCGCTGACGCACTTCCCTTGTCCATGAAATCACGAGACTTTCGCGTGCCTTTTCACCCTTTGTTTCGAAACGTTTCGTCAAATTTTTGATATCATTCGACAGTTAATTTGCTTTTTTTTTTATCAGTTTGATACCGCACTTCCTCTCCTCCGCTCCGTTTTGCCCGAAAATTGACGTTTTTCGCCGCCGACGGGTACCTTTCCGGTTCAACTTTGATAGAAATGACTCAACCTCGTCGAATGCCTCATCTATTCCATTAAATATTAATCGGCCGACTTGTTTTCGACCGATTTATTTCAGAAATCACAAAAATCTCGGATTAATAACGGAAATTGCGGATTTCCGGATTTTCGTCGGATTTTTTGCGATAAATAGAAATTTGTGGAATTCCACGGCTTCCCGTGATGCATGACTCCTTAAATGGTTTCAGAAGTTTTTCGTCGTCTCGGCAGCTGGTTTTCTGATTTTTGTGACGACTTTTCGCATTATCGAAAATTGTGAGAAAATTCCATTATTTCCCACATGAATTGTGAGATCAATGAGCAGAACTGAGTGAGTCAGAGTGAGTTGTTGGCCTGATTCGGCAAATTTCTGACCTGAAAGTGTTTAGAAAAAATTCGGAAAATTCACTGATTGGCCTAAAATGCGTCCTAAAAATTTCGCTCAAGTTCCGGCTTCGGAATTGACTTCCTTGTTCTCTATCACCGCATTTCCAGACAAAAACACGAAATCACATGGCCAGTAGTGTGTGCTCTTTTTCCAGCAATCACAGCTGTTTCTGACCGGGCCCGCGGAGGGTTTCGCTCGCAAAAACATCTTCTCCGCTGTTTTTCGTATCCGTCATACGGTGTCTGCGTCTGTGCGCGCGCACGTGCGCTCTGGCCGCCGATCGATAGAAAAACGGCGAGAGAGTGCGTGAAACGAGGAGGCCGTGGGTGTCTGGCCGTCTGCGTCCTCGTCAGATGGCTTTTAAAAGAAGTATTCAGCGCGATTATAGCGCCATTTTCCATCTCCGTTCTTCGCTTTTTCCTCCCTTATTTTTGCTTTATCAGGGCAAAAAAATGCGAGTGCCACGTCACTGTTCGATGATCGTTTCGATTCGATTCATGTGGTTTTCATCACAATCAAACCCAAGATTGTGAAAATTTCGCAATTTCGATCGATGGGCGGAGCGTCCAAAACGGAGCCAATCCCGTGACACCTTATCATTTGCGGGTAATAGTGATAAGAACGCGACACACAGTTATTGTCGTATTCTTCTTCTTCTTCTTCTTCGTGTTCTTCTCTTTGTTCTGCTGGTTTTTGGTCGGAAAGTCTCTTTACACCCTTCCTCGCTGAAACAAAGCTATTGTCCCGCCGCTTTTCTTCTTGGTTCCACGTCACAAGTCTCACGTATGTTTGTGTTGTAGCTTCTAGTCCGGACCGACCAATTGATAGCGATAATAGAGCGATACCAGTCGGGCCAATGTTCAGTTTTTGAACTTTGATGGTCTTGATGAACTTTCTGAAGGCAGCGAGAGGAGCGGAATTTTTTGCAATTTTTCCAGACGCTTCTAAAGTTGCCTTCCAGATTTTTCTAAAAACCAACAATAGACACGTCATTTATCGATCCGGCTCCCCCTCTCGTTTCTCTGCGCGCTCTCTCAGTCACGAGAAGCGCCACAGCCACCACTTTTATATATGCTTATTAAAAATTGACATCATTTTCAATTTTGCCCGCGGAACTCTTGCTCGTCACAGCCTTTACACTCTTTTTTAATTGACAAATAACATTTTTTATTTTCAGTGTTCAGTGTTCAACGTTTTCAACGCGCGCAACAATGTCGAGTAAACAGGATATTTTAAGTTTTAATAAAAAAACGGAAGAGCAACAACAACACGCGGTCGAGCAGACCACCACCATCGCCGACAAGTACGTACCGGGGAGACGGTTTTGTGAAACGCTACAATATGATTCGACTGCACCACAGAGCCTCCTGTGACATTCGATTTGAGAAAGTGCTTGCGCACTTCTCGTTACTGAGGCGTCTGACATTGGTGTAATTCCGACTGCCACAGGAGGCTGTGCATCAGATGATTCAATTGAGCTGAATGTTTCACCGAAAATTCGAAACAATGCATTGTAAAACTCAATTCTTTTCAGCGCCATCTCTACCTCGTCGTCGACGAACAACGGCGACGTCGGATGGTGTTTTTGACGCCCCCCACGCCGCTCTTCATAAATTCTCGGCCGAGACGCGTGCCATCGTCTCGGCGGTTTCTCCGAAATGGCGCGTCGGTGTGATTGGCGAGAAGACGCTCGCGTTGTTGGTGCCGCACGATCAGGAGGTGCTCGGCGTCTCCAAGAAGAACTTTGTCGACCTGCTCGAGTTCGCTGAGGACAAGCTCGGTGAGTGGAAATTCACAGACAATTCTGACGATTTTTGTCATGAACTAAAACCTTTATTTTTGCAGAAATGGAGCGTGTGCTGGCTGTGTTCGAAAAGGCACGCGTGGTGCCGACGGAAGGCTTCCCCCGAACTCTCCGTTACGTCGGATTCCGTCCGTACGCTCTCGACGAGCACCCGGTCGAACTGCCGTCCGAACGCTACTTCATCATGTCGTACAAAGTCTAATCGCTTCTGATCCGACCACCACCAACGCCCGTCGCATTCTCGTTTTATCCACCGTCGCCCCCCCCCCTCTCGCAAACATTTTTTTCACATTTGTCTTTTTACTATTTTTCCTCACACCTGAAAATGTACGTAAAAACCCCGTATTTTTGTCTTATGTTCTCGATCCTTTGCTATTTTTCTCCCCTCTTCACCAAGTGACCAAGTGTGTTCTGGTGTGTCCAAATTTCCAATCAACCTTTTTTGCCCAGACTTCCTCATTCCCAAGTCGCCGTCTGAAAATTGAGAGGTAATAGCGCTTTTTCCCACCCCGTATTTTCATCCCACACACTTTTTTTTGTATTCTAATCGCGCCAGCTTTCGGAGAAGCCAATAAACGTTAAAAAAGGCACAGACCCTCAATTTGACTTTGCATGTGCCCCGATTCTTCTGTCATCACCCCCGCACTTTCTTCCTTTTCTTCCACTGTTTCATCATTCTCTGCAACTTTCATTAGACGCTTCATCCATTTTGGACAATCTCGGGCGTTGGAGCACCACGCGACTCTCGGAACCAGGCTTCCGGCTCTTCGCCTCCCTGGGAGCACCTTCCCGGTTTTTGCCAACTCGTCGATGTGTGCCTTCAGAGCGTCGCGCCCGCCGCCTTTGTGTTGCCGAGTCGGAAAAGCTTGCCGAGCAAACTCGTCGAGATGGAGGCGGAAATCTTCATAAACGTGGCTACCCCGAGCCAAAACTGTTCTGATTCGTGTTTCAGGCGCCTGTTCTTCATCCTTAGAGTGTCCTGTGTCTGTTCGTCTTCTTTTCGCATTCAAATGACCCTGTTTTTCGAAAAGAATACGAATGTACACCATTCAGTTTGTCCTTTATTTCAGCGTGCAATGAATGGCTACTGGATACGGAAATGGAGAGTTGAAGACGAAAAGAGATTATTTGCCTGATTGCAATGGGCGCGCAAGTGCGCCCCGCCGAATAGAGCGATACATTGGCGCGAAATTCAAATTTTAACAGCCAAATTTGGGTTTTTTGCGAGATTAGCCACGAAAAATCGACAATTTCGCATTTTTCTCTCGATAGACCAATTGTATAGGCTATTACGAATTTTTTAAGCGCAAGAGCGTCAAATTTGGTCAAGTCGCAAATCACATTTATCCGTTTGAAGGTTTTTGGCTAAAACTGCGTGCATTTTAGTTGCTTTTCGGTAGTTTTCGCGGTTCGAGCGCTCAAAATGCTTGTATTTACTGTTGAAAAAAAAAAGTTTCGACATTGGAATCGAAGCTGGCAGCGTGCCAAGGCCCGGCCTCCCAAACGCATATGCTGCGCGGGGTTGTTGCAACATTGCCGCACGCTTTATTGTTCTTCGTTTTTGTCTTTATTTTTCGGCCGAAATTCGGCTAAAAATCAGCAGAAATTTGGTTTTTTCCCATTTTTTACCCGTATTATTTCATTTCAATCGTCTTTTGCTATAAAAAATCAACTTTAAAAACAGATTTATCGATTTTTAGCTTGAATTTTCGAACATTTCTCGATTTCTGTTTTTCTCCTTTCGATTTCGCTGAATTTTGAGAATTTTCAGGATTTCCACCTACGGAAAAGTCGAAAAAGCAACAAAAGGGCATGGATTTCTTCTTTTCGTGTTAGTTTTTGACGTAACAATAATTTTCTCTCCGATCAGCGCTTACAGACTCCACTCCTCCGCCGTCAGCACACACACATACAAGGGAAAGTTGAAGAAGCATCTCCTGCTGCAGCGGGCTGGATGAATTGGCACTAATAACAATTATTTTAGATGTATTTATTACGTTTTCCAATAAATTAAATGACAAGACAAGTGTAAGAATTTTATTATCAGTGATATTCTATTTTCTTCTCCTTTTTTCCGGATTGAAGCGTCCACGGACTCTGAAAATACGGGCGGAGAGAAATAATTTTCGTTCTTCTTCAAGCTAACACGACAGCATTTTGTATTCCGTTGTGTGCTGACGGCGGAGTGGAGAAGACGGCGGAGGAGTGGAGTCTGTAAACGCTGATCGGAGAGAAAATTATTGTTACGTCAAAAACTAACACGAAAAGAAGAAATCCATGCCCTTTTGTTGCTTTTTCGACTTTTCCGTAGGTGGAAATCCTGAAAATTCTCAAAATTCAGCGAAATCGAAAGGAGAAAAACAGAAATCGAGAAATGTTCGAAAATTCAAGCTAAAAATCGATAAATCTGTTTTCAAAGTTGATTTTTTATAGCAAAAGACGATTGAAATGAATAAATACGGGTAAAAAATGGGAAAAAACCAAATTTCTGCTGATTTTTAGCCGAAAAATAAAGAAAAAAACGAAGAACAATAAAGCGTGCGGCAATGTTGCAACAATGGCGCGCAGCATATGCGTTTGGGAGGCCGGGCCTTGGCACGCTGCCAGCTTCGATTCCAATGTCGAAACTTTTTTTTTTCAACAGTACGTGATTTATCATTCTCAAAACCAATTCTGTCGGAAAACGGTCAAGAAAGCGCGAAATGAGAAGGCGAAAAAGCAAAGTCCGCGAAAAATGCGCCAAAACGTCATTAATTCTGAGAATTAGTGTGTTTTCATGTCGCGCAATCATTTTTCATCGTCGTTGACCACAAAAATCAGAGAAAACGTGCGCAATTCATGAAAACGCCATTTGGCCGCCGAGGCCACGCGCCCATATTGTCAACTCTGGAGACCATGCTCTTGAATACTTAGAGTGTTGTTTCGAATGCGAAGCGATGAGTTTAGACAAGCAAAACTGCAATAAACTCTTTTTAATTTGAGAATGACTGAAACTAGAGAAACGACTTGTTGAAGAGCACACAAGCAATGGCAAACGGAGGTTTCTGATGGAAAACGGCGAAGGAATGAGGGGGAATCTGATGAGAATGTCCGTTCGATGCGCCGAGAACGCTTTGTCCGGTTTGGAATGGGAATTCGGCAATTGCCCGGTCCTTATCAGGACTTTTGGCCTACTTGCAATGTTCCGATCAGACCCAAACTTTGCAGGATTGTTGGACTTGGATTGAGAGCCATTGCGTCCAAGTTTAAGCGCGATCGGATCATCTGGTCCCGAGATATGTGGATGATTAGCCGAAATTGGCCGGAAGCCCGGCCTTCTTGGAAAAATCGACATATCTCGGGACCCGACGATCCGATCGGGCTGAAACTTGGTCCCAATGGCCCTCAATCCAAGTCCAACAATCCGGCAAAGTTTGAGTCCGATCGGATCACTGCAAGTGGACCAAAAGCAAAACGAAAAGCCCGGACCGGCCAATTGCCCAGCCGTGTTGAGCGGAATTCCGTCTTCCGTCTTCCGCACGGCGACCAAGAAAAGGGCGCGGGGGCCTAGCGTGCACGGTTTATCACCATTTTGGCGCGAAATTCGAAATTTAACCCCCTATTTTTCATGTTTTTCGTCAAAAATCACCCAAATTTTGTAAGATTTCGACGATGTAATTGCATAACTTTGTTAAACTAATTATCGCGCACTTTTTGAGCTTAAAACAAGCAGGTTTCATTCAGGGAATGAATCGATTAAATCGATTTTTAAGTTTTGCGGCGAAAATGCGCGAATTTCAGTCTTTCGCCGATACTTTTTGCCGTTTGAACGCTTAAATTACTTGTATTAACGTGCTTAATCACTTCCGACACTCACTTCGTCTCAAAACTATCCACATCGGCCGGTATGAAAATTCCGAAATTGCGGCGGCGATTTGCCGCGGAGGCCGTATTGCGAAATATGCCAAAAACGTCTCAAACGCGGCGTTTTCACGAAAATTTCAATGTTTTCTCTCTTTAATGTCTCTTCTCTCGTCGATATAAAACACAAAAAAATCGGAAAAGTGCTGGAATTGCGGCAATTTTCAGAAAACGCGTCTCATATTAGGCCACGCCCCTTTCTACACTTTTTTTGTTCCGTCTTCCGGATTTCAAAATTCCATTTCCGCTCAACTCTGATGCCCAGCCCCGATTGAATGCCAAAGTTCACAAATGATATCATGATTGAAGGATTAGTGAACACTCGATGGCCACTTGTTGTGTATTTTACAGCCGTTTACAGCCGAGTAAACAACTTTTATAGGTGAGTGAGACACGTTTACAAATTGATCCCCTTCCTACTTTTCCCGTCTCCGATACTATTATTTCCTCTTATCAGTCAGATGTTTGTGACCAACAAACGGAATCGAAAAATCCGATCCAAGATCAAAAATCTGTTTCGCCGCGTTGCCTCCTTTTCCCCGATTCGCACTGTACATTTTTGTGGTCAAAGAAGTCACGTGGGCGGCCCGGGGGAAATTAAATTTCCGAATAATCAAATTAGCGTGTTTACTTGATGATCCGTTTGATTCGATTCGTCGGCCCACAAAACCGGCGAATCTCCCTTGCGTTTTCGCCTCGAATTTGGTGGTGGAAGTCGAATTAGTGAACGAAACGAGAGACTACATTTTTTGCGACGATTATATATTTGCCCCACGTGTCCGTCGGTTCAATTGGTCTCGTCGGTCTTGCAAATCTTTCTTCTTACACGACGAAATGTGTGTGTGTGCGTTTCTTATGGTGTTATTCAGGCTGTGAAAAAATGATTTTTTTCCGTTGTTTCGTTTTTTTACGTCAAAAAACCCAATTCAGCGGTGTAAAAAACGAAAAAAAAACGGAGAAAAACATACGCTGAATAGCCCCATTATGGACCTATTCGACCGAGTATTTTACTGGTTTTTTACGCAAAAAAACCCTATTCAAATGAGAAAAAAACCGGAAAAAAAACCCGTGGAAAACCTGTTTGTTGCGAGACCCGTGCTAATAAAGGCATGCGCCTTTAAACAATTTAAATAACCGCCCGGTTGTATTTTTAAAGCTCACGCCTTTTTTTCGTTTTTTTACGTCAAAAAACCCAATTCAGCGGTGTAAAAAACGAAAAAAAAAACGGAAAAAAACATACGCTGAATAGCCCCATTATGGACCTATTCAGCCGAGTATTTTACTGGTTTTTTACGCAAAAAAACCCTATTTAAATGAGGAAGAAAAACCTGTTCGTTGCGAGACCCGTGCTAATAAAGGCATGCGCCTTTAAACAATTTAAATGACCGCCCGGTTGTATTTTTAAAGGCTCATGCCTTTTTTCCCGGTTTTTTTGCGTAAACAGCCAGTAAAATACTCGGCTGAATAGGTCCATTTTGATTAAAATTTTGATCCTGAGACTTTGAGCTACTGTACCTACAGTAGCCTCAAATCGTGACACGGTAGTTACGGGAAGTGCAAAATTTAGGCTTAGCTCAAGCTTTGAAAGGCATATAGGCCATGGCCGGGGGAAAAGCATTTTTTCTCATCAAAACAGTCGTTTTGTCCCGCAAAACTCGCGTGTTTGCTCTCGCCTCCAACACTACTTCCGACGGTTTCACCTCCGCGCGAGCGGAGCGAATCAAACAATATTTGTTTGTCGTCGGCCCTGATAACCTTCTCATCTACATACTACAACTGTCACTTTCTGACTTCTAACCCTCTCTTGTTTTCCTCCTTTTCCGCTTTTTTTTTTGTTGGAGCACAGTATAAAAAGGGTGATTGTGTGCGGATGGGTTGCAGAAAAAACGCCTTGCATTCGCGTTTGTTTGTACTGGTTTTGTGTAGGATTCACTACGTTGTAGAGTGGAAAAATGGTGTAGAACTGCTTGTTTTTGGACAGTTTTGAACCACCGTAATCCTCGTCCCACCCACAATTTCCGTTTCTCTTCTCGAATCAACCGTTTCTCTGTTTCGACGAGGAAACGGACAATTTGGAAATTTTGTTTGCCAATTCACATGTTTCAGATGTTTATCGCACTGAAATTGATGACTCTGATGTCGATCAGCTTCCCGACGACTATTGCCAATTATGGAATTCCTATTGTCAAGGTTTGTACTGGTTTTTTGTGAAATTTCTGGAAGATTACGGTAGGTTCCAGAAACGCCAACTTTGAAGGGATACTGTAGCGTCTCGAGATGTGCTATTGGTCTCAAATTTTTTTTGTGAAAACTTGGGACCTAGTACGTTACTTTTGTAGTTGATCGCTTGTTTGTGAAATCACTTCCTGGAGTACTGTAGCTCGTGGAAGTTGGGACTGAAAACACTGGCTGCGGCTACTCTCAAGAGCTACAGTACTCTTCGGAGTAGGTTTAGAGAAAAATTGTCAACTGCAAAACAAAAGATCAACTTTTGAACTTCATTTTTGTAGTTGACACTTTTTTAGTAGAATCACTCCCTGAAGTACTGTGGCTCTCGGAAGTTAGGGCTCGCTCATAGCCAGCGTTTTCATTGCCAACTTCCAAGCGCTACAGTACTCCAGGGAGTGGTCGTAGAAAAACGTGGTCAACTACAAAAATACAGTACTAGGTCCCAAGTTTTCAGAAAAAAAGCGTCTAGAATCATTAGACGTCTTCTAACGCTACAGTACCCCGGCAAAGTTGACCTCTCGTTTTTCTATCAAAACCTTCGTCTTTTTTTGGCTCTTTCCGTATTCAACTCAATTCTTTTTGCAGTGGCTCTACACTGCCACGTATTTGACCATGGAAATCAGTCGAATGATGCTCAACGTCTTGATCATCTGGTTTTGGCAGATCGCGTCAGAAGTCGCGTTGATTGACGCTTTCGCTCTCGTCGTGGCTATTGTAATTTCCACAAAAGTTCTCCTGGACATTTTTTCCTATGGTAAAAAGTTGCTTCAGCGTGTTTAAAGGATAATATCGCATTTCAGAAATTGTAATAACCTGGAACAATCCGGTCGTCGAGTACGAGCAACAAGTGGATTTGGCCTAAAATAACCGCAGATATCTCACAAGAACGGGTCAACGAAATGCATGCAATCTACGGGATCTTTAAAGTAATCTGAATAAATGATGAATGATAAAAAGTGGAAAAATTGTCTCGGAATGTTACCATAGTCTTTTTTCCTCACAATCATTCAGACAGGGATAACTATCGGTCGTCACTGACAGCGGCGGAGAGTCGAACGGCGAGCGCGCACACACGCACTACGCCACGCGCGCGAATCTTGAAAGGGGCTGCCGTTGTGTTTAAAAGGTGGCGGGCGACGGCGGGTTGGCCGGCGACGAGCGGCCGTCGAAGTGACGGATTTTCGGCGGGAAAAAGTATCGTTTGTTTTGCTTTTAATTTTTTTTATCTTTTTTAGAAAATTTTTTCATGAAATGTGATCAACTGACGAAATGTATAGCAAAGTGAACTCTACTCATAGAAAAATAATTGTAAATTTAGCGATTCATACAAAAAAGTTATTCGAATTGTTCCGTGAAAAAAGGGCGAACGGGAAAGACGGAAGGAAATTTACTGAGGATCACAATCGCTTTATTATCCGTTTTCTAGTTTCAGTGTAAAATATTAAAAATTATTAGTTTCTAGTCGATTTTTTTCCGAAAATTAAAAGCAATTCCTAATCAACGTTCTTGCAATCTTCGACATTCGACTTCCAAGCGCCTTGATTTCCGATCGAGTACAGTTCGTACTTAAAAATGGGCACTTCCTCTTTCAGCAGGTCGATGAGCTTCTCTGTCGCCGAAATGGCCGACTTGCGATGGGGCGATGAGGTGGCGATGAGGACGGAAGAGTCTCCGATTCCGACGACGCCGATGCGGTGGAAGATGACAATTTTCGAGACGTCCGGGAAGAGAGTGCGAGTTTGCTGGCAGATCGCGCGCAGTTTTTTGTAGGCCATCAGGTCGTGGCAGTCGTACGAGAGGCTCTCGACACGACGGCCCGAGTGGTGGTTCCGCGTCACGCCGTTGAACGTTGAGATCGCGCCGCACGTCGGGCTGCAAATCGCTATGATTTTTTTGGGCTCCGGGACATTTCGAAACCAATTCAGCACAAATATTTAAAAATTCAAAAAAACCGCCAAATTCGCGGTAGAAATGCATGTTAAGTGTATTTTTGCAATTAATTATGATTTCGGACTATTTATACCAGAGTTGCCACGGGCCGGGCCAAAATTTTCAAAACTCCGGCCCGGTTCAAAAAGCGGGAATCCAAATTTTGAACGATTGATTAAATAAAATGTTTGTTTTTCGTAGAACTAACGAATTTTGCAAGTATCTCGAGCATAAAAAAGAAATGTAGTTCTCAAAAATAGTTTTTATTGGCATCAAAGCAAAAGTTTTAATTTTGATACCCGCAAAAAAAAAAAACGAAAAAATAGATTTCCCCCAAAAATTTGAATTCGCGCCTTTTGAGCCGGGCCGACCGGGCCGGGCCAGCAAATTTTCGGCCCGTAATTTGGCAAGTCTGATTTATACTACCACAAACGTATAACTTAACAAAATTATTCGCGAAAACAACGGAATTGTGCGGAAAGAGAACGATCGAAAAGTTAGATAATAAGAATGTTCGACAAAAACACAGAACAAAGCCGAGAAAAAACAGTGAAAAAACATCTATTTCCAGCAGAAAAAAAGAACACGTTTTTAATCTGAGCAATATGAAAAATTACTGTCCATACTGCGAATTTGGCGGTTTTTTGAATTTTTAAATACTTGTACTGAATTGGTTTCGAAATGTCCCGGAGCCATTTTTTGAAATCCAAATAGCGGTGAACTCACTCGGCGACGAGTCTCTGCGCCAGTTCCACATCCAACTTTTCGCTGGTAATTTTGATGTGATCATTGAGAATTTGTCGCCGGAAATCCACAATCGACTCGTTTTTCTCTTCGAATCTCGATTCGGACACGTCGATGAAAGTGATCCGAGCGTCGGTTCGGCCTAAAAGTGAACAATTTTAAAATACAATCATCAGGGCCTAAAAAGGGCGCGTACTGAGGTGTCTGGCTCGTTCCAAATGTCTCAAGTAGGCCGGGAAGGCGACATGATCGAAATATCCGCGGCTGTCCGGCGGAACGTAGTCCGTGCGGGCTTCTCGGCGACGGCGGCACGTTTTCTGAATAAAAAACGCGTTTTCCAGGATTACGGCACTTTCGTTACCACGTCCAAAGTCATCACAATTATCCGATCGCAAAGTTCCAAAATCTCGTCCATTTCGGTGATCATATTTCCGTCCAATATCACATATTTGTAGTGTTTCGAGGCCTGAAAACTAAATGCCTATTCTCGGTGCAAGATTCGCTATTATACCTCCACAATTGTTTGCCTAAATCGATCGATATGAATCGCCTCTTTTTCGTCGAAACTCCAATAATAGCCCTCTTTTGTGAGGTCCTTGGCAGCCGGATCGTAAATTTTTTCCACCTTAAACAAATTTTTCTAGATAAAAAACACTTTATCCTATGATTACCTCATCCTCAGTTTTATAAAACTCATCCTGATTAATAATAGTCGTTTCCGAGGGACCAAACTGCAAACAAGGGTTACTGTAGCTCGTAAACTGTGCAAACACTGAATTTTACGACAAAATGCAAACTTACGAATTTTTGAAATTCCTTCGCCAATGTCGATTTTCCCGAGTTTGTACACCCGGCGAGGGCGATTATTTCGGCCATCGGGCCTAAAAATTCGCAAAAAATACGGGAACCGCTGGAAAAAGACAATAAATTCGTCGAAATTTACGAGAAAAAGCACTCGAGAATGGGAAAAATCGGAAAAACTGGGGAAAATCAATACTTTATCAGTTCTTTGTCTCGTTCTTGTTATCAATCATCACACGACAATGGACGCGATGAAACGGACAGAGATCAACTGGGAAAATTGGAAATGTTTCGGATTCGTCAACAAAAAATCCGGGAAAAAGTATTGGGTGTGGGCGGCGAAAAATCAGTGAACCGTAGAGGAAATTCGGGCAAGTTCGCGTCGAATTTAGTGAATTAATCGGGTTAATTCATGCAGATCGGAGGGGGAGAAAAAATGAATCGATAAAAGTGAGGTAAAAACAAAAAATTATTCGTCAGAATCGTCGCTCGATTCTGCAATTACTTTTCTCGTCGATTTGCGTTTTCTCGTCGATTTTTTCGCGGTTTTCGGTGCGATTTCAGCAATTTCCGGTTTTTTGTCCTCTTCTTCATCCTTTTCTTCTTCTTCATCGCTATTATCGGGTTCCGTGAGTCTCGGCGTCGAAATTCGACGAGCCGGAGCCGATTCTCGCTTTTTGACCTGTTCTCGAACCTGGAAAATTTGACTTTTTCAATTTTTTACATTAAAAAAGAACCTCAGCCAAGGTGTTCTTCGTTTTGCACTTATTGCACTCGATACTGTGCGTTCCCAAAATATTGGTGGCACTGAAAATGATTTCATTCAAAGCAAACTATTTTTTTAATGCCTACTCTATGAAACAGTTGTAATGCGACAGAGTTTGACATTTCGGGCATTCCGCAGTGTAAATTGGTCTGAAATTTGAAAAAAAATTAACAAGCTAAACAGTTTTACGAATACCTGCAGATGATTTTTCTGCAAAGATCGCAAAATTTCAGTTGTCCCACAAATTTCGCGCGTATCCACGGCTCCAGTTCGACCATTATTCTCGGAGTGATTTCCACCAAATTCGAGTCGGAATCCTAAAATGTTTTTCGCGTTTTTATCAAATTCCAGGGATGGACGGACCCCTTGGCCCACTTGCAATATTCCGATCAGGCCCAAACTCTGCAGACTTTTTGGACTTGGGTTAAAGTGTACTGGATCCGAGTTTCAGACCGATCCGATCATCTGGTCCCGAGATATGTGGATCATTGGCCGATTTTGGCAGAAAGGCCCCGGCTTTCGGCCAATGATCCTCATATCTAGGGACCGGATGATCGGATCGGTCTGAAACTCGGACCCAATATACTTGAATCCATGTCCGAAAAGTCTGCAAAGTTTGGGCCCGCTCGCATTATTGCAAGTGGTTCAAAAGTCCAGGCCATGGGCCGGCCAATTGCCAAGTCTTGATTTCCCGCTAAAAATTACTAACCATGGCCAAATATTTTTGTTTGGCCATTCTCGAAATGAACGCATCGCACTCGACGCCCTTCATCTTGCACGGATCCTGAAAACCGTTCTTATTAATATACAGAACTCTTTTAGAAATCATTTTAGAACCTTCATGGCCTGATCCTGAATCCAACTGAGCCGCACGCATCCCTCGTTTTTGATCATTTCCTCCAAAGTGAGCAGAAGAAGGGCTCGGTCGGCTTTTCTGAAAAATCCATTTCAATAAATGTTTTTAAGACTCCGCCAACGTCATATCGTTGCTCTCGCTGATGACAGACGAATTCTGGATGGTTCCGGTCATTGTGACCATGTCAATCAGGTCTTTCTCATCGTTCGAGATCACAAAACGCCACGGACGGAAGCAGCCTCTTCTCTGGAAATAATCGAAAGATTAATTGACACGTTTTTTTGCTCCTCACCCCTCCTCTTCCCTTTTCCTTATTCATCGTCTTCACAAGACACTTCGCGAGCGCTTTCTGGGTTCTCATGCACCAATCGAGGTTTATCACGGTTTCTAAGCGGTCTGGAAAGGAAAAAATACAACAAATATTCAATACAATCTTTCTGAATTCCGAAATTTCGTACCATTCAGCAGAACACAGATGAAATATTTGGCAAAGATGAAATTCATCTTTACGATGCTCATACTCGGCTCAATCACGAATTGGGAGATCAAATGGCGATGAGCGTGATGAAATTCCTTTGCTTTCGCGAGCAACATGTTCATATCGATTTTCTGGAATTTTTAGAGAATTTTTTCAGGGGTTTTCAGTGATTTTTAACCCACAGTATCTTTACATTCGCTGTAAATTCGCTCAAAATCGAAATCGTCGTGTGGCTGCTCGTCTGTCGACATATTATCCGTTCGCGTGGTCATTTCACCCTCAGAGTCTGACATTTTCGAACTGAAACTTTTTTTTTCGATAAATTTGCAGAGGGACACTTGTTTTTGAAATGTTGCGCGCGAAAAATATGAAAAGCCCGCCAAAAAACGAAATGTTTCCGCGAAAGCGTTCAACTTGCCGTGACGGTGTTTGCGGACCGGGCACCATATTTGACGGACTTTCGAGACTTCTCGTTCAAATTATCATCATTTTCATGTTCTCTCCTGCTTTTCATCAAGTGCTTTGCTCGCAAATGCTTTGCTAATTTTTGTTGACATTAAAACATTTCAATTATTCGTCTAATTCGTCGAAATCTTACGCATAGAACTTCTAACCACCCGAAAGGCCCTGAAAAAAAAGGTCGAAACTCTTTCATTTTCAGGTGAGATGGAAGTGGACAGTGTTCTCCGTGACGTCATCGCTTCGGGCTCTTTTACGCAGCCGGCGGATCATCAGAAGGTGTTCAAGGACGAGTGCGCCTACTGTTTCAAGACACCCTTCTGGGCAGGTGTGTACTTGAAACATTTTGAAATATTTTTTTTTTAATTGGTGGCAAAATTGATTTTTTGCGGGTTTTACAAGAAAATTTCTTTGCATTCAATTTTATTTACCCTCCTTACAATTTCAGGCGGTCTGTTTGTGAGTCTCAAGAGCTATCACTCGTTCTGCCGCGAACACGCCGAATACTATGCGAATCTCACCGGCGACAAGCTTTTCGTCCAGATGGAGTCCACAAAAGTGCGCAAAATTTCATGACATTGCTAAAAAAAACTCCAAATAAATTGCAGAAACTGGAAGAAGAGAATCAGGGGCAAGAGGACCGCGCGGCGGACGGAGAGCCGACGTCGAAAATGACAAAGTTGACGATTGAGGCGGAGCCAAAGTACACGTACGAGGACAAGTACCGCGTCGTCGTGCATCCCAACTACGAGGCGCCGATTTCGAAGGAGCAGGCCAAGGAGCAAGGAGGCGAGCAGCTCTTCGAGTGGGTTTCGACCAGAAATTGCTTTTTGACATTTTGAGCCAAAAATCAAGTGTTTTTTTTGCAATTGTTCTAATTTTTCTCAATTCCAGTGCGATTCGAGTGGTGGAGGAGTCGACGAGTGCGGAGCGACTGCTCATGCTGACGCAAAGGGACAATGGCTGGGACGAGGACGTGAAACTGATCACGAAGCACGAGAACCTGGTGCAGCTGGAGAACGGCAAGCGACTAGCGCGCTCGGGATGGACGTGCGAGGCCGACGGATGCGGACTCGCGGAAAACCTGTGGCTGAACCTGACAGACGGCGCGATCCGGTGCGGACGGAGTCAGTACGTGGCCGAGGGACAGATGACGAGGGGCAACGGACACATGCAGGAGTACTACGCGGCGACGGGCTTCCCGCTCGTCGCGAAACTCGGCACGATCTCGCCGGAACTCGACCTCATCGACATTTACTCGTACGACGAGGACGACGCCGTCGTGAACAACAATATCACGCGCCACCTGGCCCACTTTGGACTGAATCCGTTCGAGATGGAGAGAACGGCGAAGAGCACTGCCGAGATGGAGCTGGACATGAACCAGAAGTGGGAGTGGGCCAAGTGCTGCGAGGACGGAGTCGCACTCGAATCGGCCTACGGGCCAGGCAACACGGGACTCGTCAACATTGGATCCACTTGCTATCTGAACTCGGTTCGTCGAACAGATACCAGAGAGATTTTTGTAGATTTTCATTTGAAAAAAAAAAACTGATCTGACAAGCTTTTGAACGATTTTGAACAATCCCCGTTCAGGTGCTGCAAGTGCTCTACCGAATCGATTCGTTCCGTGCTCGTTTCGCCGAAAACGCGACGGAAATCTTCTCGAAAACGCCGATCGATCGTCTGCACACTGATTTCAACGCGCAATTCGCGAAGGTGTTCAGCGCGATGCTCAGCGGAAATTACGCGTCGGAGGAGGACAAGGAGCACAACGGAATACGACCGCGCCAGTTCAAACGGACCGCCGCCGGAAATCATCCCGAGTTTTCGACGGCCAAGCAGCAGGACACTGACGAGTACATTCGGTGCGTTTTGGGCCCGAATGGACTGGTGAAACCGCTGAAATTCATGCGGTTTTGCGGTCTTCTCTGAAGATTCGATCAAAACTAAAAAAAAATCCATGTAAACCGGTTTACTTTTGCAGTCATATCATTGAAAAAGTGAGCACGAACAACCGGGACGACGATCCGACCGATGCGCTCAAGTAAACCTTCAGTTGTTTTGAAGACTTTCTAACAAACCGCGTTTAGATTCACCACCTGGACTAGGTTCGAAGACTGCGCGACGCAGAAAGTGAGATATTCGGTGCACGAGGAGGTGGCCCTTCATTTGCCCGTCACTGATGTAAGTCTGCGGGAAACTTGGCGAATCGTTGATAAAAAAGCGGAAGTAATGCGGTGAAAATTGTGGAAATTAGTTGCAGGCGCTTCTCGTTCCGATTCCCGAGTCGGAGGGCCGATTTTCGGTCGATATGGGCGCCGCGCTTCGCAATTACTGCAATACTCAATTCGTTGAGGTTTGTTCTTTCCGGGTTTCTTTACAAATTCTCAAAAAATGCGCATTTTCCAGGGCTACAGATCGCCGCTGACTGGAGAGCAAAAGGGCGCGACGAACACGGTCACTCTGAAGACGTTCCCCGATTATTTGCTCGTTCAGGTTCAGGTACGGCGAAATTTGAATTTCTTGCGCTTTTTCCACACGGAATGCAGCTAACAATAGCGTTTTTTTTCTGCAGAAATTCACGTACACGTCGGCGGGAACGATGAAAAAGTTGGACGTGGACTTCCAAGTGATCGAGGAGCTCGATCTGGCGCCGTTCCGCGGGCACGGACAGCTTCCGCACGAGCAGACGCTTCCGGACAATATCGAGCCGCCCGTGGAGATTCCGGGAAACGTGCGCGCCGTGGCCAACGAGCTGATGGCGATGGGATTCGAGGAGCAGGCGTGTCTTCGCGCCGCGTTCACTTCTAATGGCAACGCGGAGGTGGCGACGAACTGGCTAATGGAGAACCTCGAGGATCCTGGCATCAACGACCCGTTCGTGATGCCCAAGGCCGGCAGCACGCCCTCCGCGCACGGACACGTCGACCCGAATCTCGTGCAAAACATTGTCGAGATGGGATTCTCGGAGCACCAGGCCAAGTACGCACTCAGGCAGGTGACCAACGTCGCCGACGCCGTCGAATGGCTGTTTGGGAACATGGACCAGGTGAGCACTTGGAATGAAGTTTTTAATTAACATTTCTGACCAGACTTCATGGACTTGGATTGAAGTACATTGGGTCCAAGTTTCAGACCGTTCCGATCATCTGGTCCAGAGATATGTGGAAGCCAAAAAGGCCGCAATTTTCGCAAAAACCTGGCCTTTCCGATTCAGTATATCTCGGGACCGGATGATCCGATCGATCTGAAACTTGGACCCAAAATACGTCCAAAACGGCTGAGCTTATTTCTAATGTGCTAAAAGTCCAGGCCTTCTGTAAGATATTCCAATCGGACTGAAATACTCGTTTCTGAGACCGTAAAGCGCCGCTATCTAGACATTTCTGACTTTACCCGGGCTGTAACAAGTTGTCAAGTTGCTTCAACTGTCTAAATTGCTGCTATGGGTCATATTCGTTCCGTTTCCACTCACTTGAACCCACTAGACTACCTGATACGAGCACTAGAGCTCAATCCGATAGCCAGATCGGAAAAATGTTTTGGCGTTTCCCAAGCGTGCCGCACCTATAATGCGTTTATCTTCAGATTCCCGAGGAAGCGCCGGCCGAAATGGCTCCACCGCCGCCGCCGACCGTCGCCAGAAACCCGGACAAGGTGTACCGTGACGGATCGGGGCGGTACAAGCTGATCGGAATGATCTCGCACATGGGATCGCGGCCGGACTGCGGACATTACGTCGCGCACGTCTACAAGGACGGTCGATGGGTTAGTCGTCTTTGAAACTGCAATTTTGGGCTTAGAAATGGAAATTGCTCATATTCTCTTGTTTTTTTAGGTGCTGTTCAACGACGAGAAAGTGGCGATTTCGCAGGAGCCGCCGCTGAAATTGGCCTACCAGTACCTGTACGAACGTGTCGCCGAATCGCTCTAATTTATTAGATTGTTTGCTAATTTTCTGTAAAAAATTGCTTTCCACGTTCCCTACTACTATATGACCAGCATGTCTGTGCAGATTTTTGTGTCCCTATTATCGTTCTCTCCCTCTGTTTTCGCATATTTTTCCGTTTATTTATTTATTCATTCTCCTGTAATTTGTCGGTTTAATTTTAACAAGAAATTATGGTAAAAAGATGCGGCCTTGGACCGCACCTTTTTCTGTGGGTGATTAATTGCACGGCCGCATATATCGCAATTGTGTGCGCGTGCGACAAAAGTTCACCTAAAACTACCGAAAAAGTCGGGTTTGGTCGCTAAAAAACGGTCAAACTTCATGAAAATATTTTGAGTAAAAAGTGAAAAAGTGTGAACGAATTTCGGCTAGACACTATAATCGCCTTACCCACAAAAAAGGGGAACACACACACTTTTGAGTGAAACAGGCCATAACGGATCGAATCGTTTCGAACAAATGCGCAAAAGAGCAGAGAAAACGGAGAGATTTAGAGAGAGAAAAAGTGAGTGGCAAAAAAAGTGGACGGACAGTCGATTTCGTCGTCTAAACGGGGACGATGACATCATAATTCGGTCCGAGCGACTGTCCAAATGAATCAGAAGGCAAGCCACTTTTCTTCTTTTCTTCTCTTCTTCTCTCTCTCGACGTTTCCCTTGTTCTTTGTGCTTTTCTGCTTTTATTCTAATCATTTTTCACGCTTTTTTGCTTTTTTCTTCTCATTCTGATAGCATTTTTAAGGAAAAATTGAATTTACTTGACAACAAAAAAGAGAGAGAGCGATCAATCGATTATCAAGCTAGATTGATGGATTTCGGATAGAGACACGTCAGCTGACGCCCCGACATAATTTGTGCAGTAATACTTTACGTCTAACTAGAACTATATGCCTCGCATGGAAAAAGGCCTGAACTTTTGGCCCACTTGCAATGATCCGATCGGGTCCAAGCTTTGCAGACCTCTCGGACTTGGATTGATGTATCTTGGGTCCAAGTTTCAGCCCGATCGGATCATCTGGTCCCGAGATATGTGGAGGCCGCAATTTTCGCAAAATCGGATCGGTCTGAAACTTGGACCCCACATACTTCAATCCAAGTCCCGGAAGTCTGCAAAGTTTGGTCCCGATCGGATCATCGCAAGTGGGTCCTTGGAAATCCTGTAAAGTGATACTCTCACAAATCCTCGGTGATTTTGTTTGCCGCGCTCCTCCTTTCACATTTGAACTCGAGCAAAGAGAAGAACAAACTATCATGTTACCCCTCAAAATGAAATGTTTCTGAAAAGATTTCGAACCAATCTCCTGGAAAAAGTAAAAAAAGTTGAGTGAGTGAGACAGACATACAAATCCTCATAAGTCGTGAATACCACAATTACCCATTCCCGCTAGCACTTTTTATTTATTTATGCACTCGATGCGAATACATAAATAACTACAATTTTATGTGTAACCGGCAGGCCGAGAGCTAACGCTCGAAAGCGGCAAAGAGGAGCACATTTCTGCTAATCTCATTGCCGCCCATCTTTTCAAATTTTCCTCGTCTCCCTTCTTCTTCTTCTTCTTTCGCTTCCTCTTTCGCTTCCTCTCTCTTTCTCTCTTTCTCTTTTTCTCTGTGATACGACACGATGTAAACGACGGGCGGCACACAGAGAGAGAGAGAGAGTGGAAGAGAGAGAAAGAGAGGGCGCGGCTGCCGTCGCTCTCTCTTTCTCTCTCTCTCTCTCTCTCTCTTTCTTTCTGCTGCTGCTGCTGCTGTTTCGAGACCCCCATTCTGGAGGCATAGAAACTCAGAAGACGGCTCTTCTTTCTTTTTTTTTTCGTCTTGCGTCACACTACCACATTTGTTCACTTTTCGCCGCCGCCGCCACACCCAATCGTTTTTGTTTCGAATTGAGCCTGAAGCCCGAAATTAGCGTCGTTGCCCCAAAAAAATGCGACAAAAATCAGTATAAGCCGAATTCGATCAGCCGGCAGCGACAGATTTTCGAGAAAATCGATTTTTGTGGCAATGATGCAAACGCGCTCTATTGATAACTTGCTCGCGATTTGCGAGGCGCTTTTTTCTTCAAAAACTTCTTCATATGCTTGGTTGGTTTCCATTTACACTTTTGCACATGGCCTTTATTTTCGCTCAAATTCGTATACATTTCTAAAGAAACTTTTGTTTAGCCACACTTTTCTAACCCAATTTGTTGATGTGCTCTTATCATTGCCTGCCGCTTTATTACCCTCTTTTATCGCCATTTTCCTTCTCCCATCGAATTTGCTCTCTTTTAGCGCTCGGGGCTCGAAAACTAGTATAGTACCAGAGTTGAGCGGAAGAACTGAACGCAAGAACACGGAAAAATTTTTATCTTTTTTAGAAAATTTTTTCATGGAGTGTGATCAACTGACGAAATGTATAGCAAATTGAACTCTGCTCATAGAAAAATAGTTGTAAATTTAGCGATTTATACAAAAAAGTTATTCGAGTTGTTGCGTGAACATGTCCTTTCGTCTTCGGTTAGCCCTTAACTTTTTTATATGAAAAGCTAAATTTACAATTATTTTTCTATGAGCAGAGTTCACTTTGCTCTACATTTTGTCAGTTGATCACATTCCATGAAAAAATTTTCTAAAAAAGATAAAAATTCTTCCGTTGAGTTCTTCCGCTCAACTCTGGTACGTTCGTTTTAGAGTACTTTTCTAGAGTATGTATTCCTAGGTCTCCGACTTTTTTTCTCTTAAAAAATGCGTGAAAAAGCGTCTGGCGAAAAACAGTTCTTTTTGATTTAACAAACCCTTTGACAGCTCGTGCTTGATAAGAAAAATTGGGTCAATTCTCGACATTTGGTCTTTAGTTTTTTAGTTTTCACGCTTTTTATAGGGGAAAATAGGCTCTTGTATTTTAAATTTAAAAAAAAAAAACGAAAGTAGAGGGAGTGAAAAAGTGAACGAGAATCCGGTTATTAACCACGCTCTCGGCTTTTGAGTCATTTTTTTTGGAGTTTGCCAGTCGAAAAAAGAGTGCGTCTGATTTCTGGTCATATAATATTCCTATCCATTTATTTTCTGACTCTCACTATATTTTTCACGTCTTGTCCGCACGATTTGCGTTATTTTAAGCGTCGGCGGGGAGCGGTGTAGCGTTTTTTAGAGAAAAGTTATGATTTTTAAAAAATGTCGACTCAAAACTTGAACCCAAGCATGAAATGAGCCCCGCTATTGTGGTTTTTGTGATCAGTGGTCCATTGGGGACAGTTTCGGCAACGCGCGAACCTAAATTTCGGCCCCAACATGAGAGATGATCGAAAACGAATTTCCGTCGTGGTCCCTGGTCGGATCACGGTCCCTTTGCTCACAGGCGCTCTCTCTCTCTCTCTCTCTCTCTCTCTCTCTCTCTCTCTCATAATACTTCATTCATAGTTTTTGTCGTCGCCCGCCTCGCAGACAAAAGTGCGTGGTGGCAAAAAAGAGCCGTGGGGGGAGGAGAAAGCAAACAAAAAAGAGACCCCCTATTCCATTTGCCTTTCCATTGAAAAACACGGGCGGCGGCTCCCTCCACGTCCGTTCTCAAGTTTTATGAGTTGCAAACTCTTTTTGTCAAAACTTTGTAAAATCTTGACTCATTTCGACTCAAAAAATACACTCTTCCCCATCAAGTTTTCCGACGGAAATTCGCCTAATTTGGCGATTATTGTCCGTCCTCGTGATCATCCGATTCAGACCAGATTCGGAACGCTTTTTCGCCGCTGTTCTCCGATCTTTTTGCCACTTTTGCCACGTCACTTTTTGAAGAGATGAGTCATCGGTTTTGCGTCGGAAATTTCATTAGTTTCTTATCACGTTCACGTCGTCGCCGCGTCAATTAGTCTGCATTTTTGAGACCGCTTGCAATGATCCGATCGGGTCCGAACTTTGCAGACTTCTTGGACTTGGATGGAAGTGTGCTGGGTCCAAGTTTCAGCCCGATCGGATCATCCGGTCCCGAGATATGTGGACCATTATCCGAAAAAAAAAACGAAGCTTTTGGCCAATGTCGGCCTCTGATCCACATATCTCGGGACCGGACCCAATATACTTCAACCCAAGCCCAAAAAGCCTGCAAAATTTGGACCCGATCGGATCACTGCAAGCGGGCCAAAAGTCCAGGAGAAGACGCGGCTCAAAAACTGTTCGGTGTTCTTCGTGCTTACACGTTCAAGAAAAAGGGGTGAAAACCCTAAAATAAACAGTGTTTTTTTTTGTTGCAATAAACAGTCAAAACTGTAGTATACATTCACCCGTAGCCTTCCGTTTACAAACACTGTTTGCTCACTCACACACACACAAAACCGCACATTTCTTTTCGATTTTTACACATTCTCTCACGTTCCGCCTAAATTACCGTCGCATTTTATTCGTCTTTTATTACGATTCGCTGTCGAAATTTGTGCGCGCGAGCTGTCATCTAATATCCGAGCGCTCCGATTTTTCTGCGTCTCCGCCGTCTTGCCGTACTATTTTTGAGTGTGTTTGTAATGGAAAAGAGAGCGAGCACACGACACCTCCTTTTCTTTTCATTTTCGACAATTATTGTACAGAAAGGTCGGAATCCTTTTTTTGCCTCTTTTACATTTTACTGTACAAACTTTGTCTTTTTTGTTGTTCTCCTGACGTTCCTTCAATTTAACATCGACTACAAAATGTAGCGTCCTTACTAGAGAATGGCCCGCATTTACCTTGGGCTTTTGGAATGGGACCTTGATGATTCGAAAGAGAAATTCACGGAGCTCTCCATTTTTGCTAAAGAACACTCACTGGCTGGCGAGCAAATCTGCCTGTTTCTGCCACATTTTCCTAGCAAGTTCATCTTGGGCGACCTGTATCTCAAGAACCACGCGTCCGTTGCAAAAGTGGTCAACTAGTAAGTTAACGCAAATTATCTTGTGAATAACTTTGTAGTTGAGCGTCTATTTAAAAAAAAATTAGTTTTCGAGTTATCGTCGCTTTTTTCTTGTCGCTCTTGGAAAACAGTTCGTAACTCGAAAACTAATTTTTTTTAAAATAAACGATGAACTACAAAGTTATTCACGAGATAATTTGCGTTAACTTACTAGTTGACCACTTTTGCAACGGACGCGTGGTTCTTGAGATGCAGGTCGCCGAAGATGAACTTGCAGATTTTGTCGGCAGCCAGTGAGTGCTCTTTAGCAAAAATGGAGAGCAGATTCGGATTCTCCGTGAAATTCCAAAAGCCCAAGGTAAGTGCGGGCCATTCCCTAGTTAGTTTCCGCTAATTTCTAATCAAACACATGTTCTCCCCCTTCCTTCTTCTTCTTCTTTCTCTCTTTCTTCTCAACGGCCAGGAAATACCATCCATCCACTAAAAGTACAAACACAAAGACGCGGCGCTTGTGATCATTAAAGTTACGCAACTGTCCCTTGCCCCGTTTTTCGATCACTTCCTTCAATTCCACTATTATCGTCTTCTAAACGTCCGAATATTTTTCGTTTTTGTCAGGTTTGTCCCATGGTGTTGTCGTGCACGTGGGAGCATTGCTGAATGAGCCGTACGCCTTCACGAAACTCGACGCCACCGCTTGATCTGTGTGCAACACTCGACCGAAATGCACTCATGGTTGTTCTAGAAAAAGTGAGCCAGACCAGACCGCAACGAACATGCCAGATTTGAGCGGAAGAACTCAGCGGAAGAATTTTTATCTTTTTTGGAAATTTTTTTCATGAAATGTGATCAACAGATGAAATGTAGAGCAAAGTGAACTCTGCTCATAGAAAAATAATTGTAAATTTAGCGATTCATACAAAAAAGTTATTCGAGTTGTTCCATGAAAAAAGGAATAACTTTTTTATATGAAAAGCTAAATTTACAATTATTTTTCTATGAACAGAGTTCAATTTGCTCTACATTTCGTCAGTTGATCACATTTCATGAAAAAATTTTCTAAAAAAGATAAAAATTCTTCCGCTCAACTCTGTTCAACATGCCATAGCAAACGCGCGTTTTCAGAAAGACCGCGATCTCGAGCTCGCCGCAAAAATCGGACAATCGTTGTTGGAGCAGAACAAGGATCTTCAGACAAAGTGAGTGAGATAGGGCAGACCATTCAACATGACGTTTCGCAGAAATGAATTCCTGGAGGAGAGTGTCAATAAGAACTTGGACACAATTGTTCAGCTCAAACACGAGCTCAATCAACGCATCGAACTGTTGCGGGTCTACTCGCATTTGGACGATGACGGCGTGCCGAGGTATACGAGCTCTAATTCTCTGGCAATTCGATATTAATCTAATTAGAAAGTTAATGATCTAATGCCGCGTCCACAAAGTCTCGGAAAACGCGCAAATCTCGCGCATTTTGCAGTCCAAAATCGGCAGAAAATTGCGGGAAATGCGGGGTACGCACAGCTGAACGAGTGTTACCGTACACCATAAAACTACGGTATTTTTTGAAAAAATTTAAATTTCTAAAGAATATTTGCAATTTTTCAAATTTCTTGGGTAAATTTTCAACGGTATTTTTTTTGAAAAAATTTAAATTTCTCGAGAATATTTGCAATTTTTCAAATTTCTTGGGTAAATTTTCAACGGTATTTTTTTTGAAAAAATTTAAATTTCTCGAGAATTTTCGCAATTTTTCAAATTTCTTGGGTAAATTTCCAAAAAATACCGTAGTTTTATGGCGTACGGTAACACTCGTTCAGCTGTGCGCACGCCGGATTTCCCGCAAATTTCTGAAGACTTTGGCCTGCAAAATGCGAGAGATTTGCGCGTTTTCCGAGACTTTGAACGCGACCTAATTAGATTCGACTGTTTTTTCTTGGCGCAATCGAGATTTGAGCACTTTTTAATCTAGCTAGAAGATTTGTTAATCTAGCTAGAAAATATATTAATCTTATTAGGGCCGCAGTTAGATTAATCACGAAATGCCAGAGTTGTAGGTACCAGAGTTGAGCGGAAGAGCTCAACGCAAGAACACGGAAGAATTTTTATCTTTTTTAGAAAATTTTTTCATAGAATGTGATCAACTGACGAAATTTATAGCAAAGTGAACTCTGCTCATAGAAAAATAATTGTAAATTTAGCGATTCATACAAAAAAGTTATATTCGAGTTGTTCCGCGGAAAAAAGGGCCAACGGAACAACTCGAATATAACTTTTTGTATGAATCGCTAAATTTACAATTATTTTTCTATGAGCAGAGTTCACTTTGCTATACATTTCGTCAGTTGATTACATTCCATTAAAAAATTAAAAAAAAAGATTTAAAAAATTCTAGGTTTCCAATCACCTCTCGTTTGTTGCAGATCAAACAGCGACGAGACGCTCCGAGAACGGCTAAAATCGACAAAATCCGAAAATGAGCGGTTTGTCAATGTCACGCAGAGCGGCGTAATCGATGAGATTTGCAGACTGCGTCTCGAGTGTGAATCGCTGCGGCACGAGTCGGCGATCGTGACGGCGCAGAAAAAGAGTTCGTACCAGTTGGAACGTCAACTCGACGAGGCGAACGACAAAGTGATCGCGCTGCGGCGGCTCGTCGAGCACAAGACGACGGAGCTGTCGGCGCAGTACGAACAGACGCGACGGCTCGTGCGCGAGCTCGCCGACAAGGAGAAGAAGGAGCGCACGATGTCGGCGGAGAAGGACGAGATGGGCGCGATGCTCATCGAGATGATACAGCGACACGACGCGCAGCAGTCGGAGCTCAAGCAGATGCAGGACGAGTACGCCGAGTTGATGGCCAACTTTGCAGAGACCGAGTCCGAGTTGACCAAGTTGAGGAGCGGTGGCAACTTGAGAAGTGAGCTAGATCCAGCACCCGACGACCAAAAGTGTAGAAAGGGGCGTGGCCTAATCTGAGACGCGTTTTCTGAAAATTGCCGCAATTCCAGCACACTTTTCCGCCATTTTTGTGTTTGATATCGACGAAAGAAGAGACATTAAAGAGAGAAAACATTGAAATTTTCGTGAAAACGCCGCGTTTAAGACGTTTTTGGCATCACTCGCAATACGCTCTCCGCGGCCAATCGCCGCCGCAATTTCGGAATTTTCATATAAATTTTCGTGCCGATCTGGATAGTTTTGAGACGAAGTGAGTGTCGGAAGTGATTAAGCACGTTAATACAAGTATTTTAAGCGTTCAAACGGCAAAAAGTATCGGCGAATGACTGAAATTGGCGCATTTTCGCCGCAAAACTTAAAAATCGATTGAATTGATTCATTCTCTGAATGAAACCTGCTCGTTTTAAGCTCAAAAAGTGGGCGGCGATGATTAGTTTAACAAAGTTATGCAATTACATCGTCGAAATCGTACAAAATTTGGGTAATTTTTGACGAAAAACATGAAAAATAGGGGGTTAAATTTCGAATTTCGCGCCAAAATGGTGATAAACCGTGCACGCCCTTTCGACGTTTTTGGTCGCCGTGAGCAGCTTTTTTCACACACACACGCACACACCTTATTCTGCTTCCAGTGTCGTTCGACTCACTCTACGACTCACTGGCGTCGGAAATCGAGAACTCGGAGACGTTCTCGCCGGCTCAACGCTCCACAGCTCTGTCGGTTCTGACCGGACGGGAAAGCTATGCGAACGACAGTGGCATCGATGCGGGCGCCGCCGCCGCCGGTCCCATGAGTCTGGCCGCCGAGATTGAGCAGTCCGAGCGGGTTAGTTGAACAAAATTCTTAAGAATATGACTCAAAGGCCTGGGATCCAGCGTGACATACAACAAATTTTTTATTTTTTAAAATAAACTTCAAAGTGGGCCATTCACTTTCCCGAAGTGCCGAATTACGAAAAAAAATTCCCCGATTTTTAGGATTTTTTTCAAACACGGCGAAATGGAAGAGCTGGCCTAGATTTTTCTAGTCCTCCCCCGGATGGAATTCCCCTTTCTTCCGATTTTTTTCCCGTTTTCGTGCAAATTTCTTAAATTTTCAATTGGTTTTTTCACTGAACACACTTATTTGCAATATTTAAAAAAATTTATGTTTTTTTCTGTGCCGTGACGCCAAAAAATCGATAATTTGAAACTTTTTTTGGCATTTTTCCGGGTTTTTCGCTCAATCTTCGGTTTGCCCGCTGAAAAATAAATAGAAAGAGATCGCTCAATCATTTCCTGAGTCTTAATTAAAGTTTGCGACTTACAGACCGTTATATTTTTCAAAATAATGCGAAAAATCCAAAACTTTCTATTTTCGGTTTTACAAAAGTGGCTGATTTTTTCTGAATTTCCGAATTTTGTCGGAATTTCTCGGTACCATTAACTTTTTTGAAAAAAAAAATCCTAAAAATCGGGGAATTTTTTTTTCGTAATTCGTGACTTTGGGAAAGTGAATGGCCCACTTTGAAGTTTATTTTCAAAAATATGTTGTATGTCACAAACAACGTACTCTTCAGATCCCGTTGCCGATTTTCGCGAATCTCTCGAAACACTCGACGCTTTGTGATGCGAGCACATCCTGTACGGACATCTTCCGCGAGTCGAGTCTACACCAAGAAGACGTGAGCCCATCGATCTCTGAAGAGGTACAACGGGGTTTGACATTGAGAACGACGCGAAATTGCCAATTTCCAGGCCGCCTATCAAAGCTTCACGAGCGCAGAAGCCGCGAACACAACAACTCCAGCCGTGTCGCGCCACAAATACACTCGGTGCAGTGCGAGCCGGAGCAATTTGAGCAAATTGCAACGGTTGCACCATGGCAACCGCCCGCACGCCCCCCGATCCGTCGAGTTCGCCGCTGCATCTTCTTCAGCGATTCAAGAAGAGGAAGAGGAAGAAGGAGACAGAGTGGGATACGCGGAGCCGAAACTCGGACAGCCCGGAATGCCCGGAACTCGAGACCTGGACGTCTCGTTGCGAATCATCAAGGCCAGGCAAGAGGTCGGCTATTTTCATTTGAGAGAATTGGATAACATCCGCTTATCGCTAACGCTCAAGTAATTCAAGTTTCAGGTGCAAAAAGAGTTTGCGGCGTTTTGCCAACGCAAAGGTATCGATCAACAGCAGTTTTTCGGTACTTCTCAGGTAGTGTGTGCCTCTTCTTTTCTTTGTCTGTTTTGGACAGCTACAATCTCGAGTTTGAACGAGTATTGTAGAGCTGGAAGATGTGCTATAAGTCTCAACATTTTTCTGTGAATTCTTGACATCTAGTACTGTGATTTTGAAGTTGATCACTTTTTCCTACGATCACTTTTGAGACTACTGTAGCTCTTGGAAGTTTGGACCGAAAACGACCGCTTCTAACTGATGCCAACTTCAAACGGCTACAGTACTCCAGGAAGTGATTGTACTGAAAAAGTGTCAATTACAAAAATACAGTTTAAGAGTAGTACTAAACTTATGTAGTTGACAATTTTTCAGTAAAACCACTCCCTGTGGTTCTGTAGCTCTTGGAAGTTGGCACTAGCTGAGGCCATCAGCTATTTTCAGTCCAAACTTCCAGGGACTACAGTACTCCAGGGAATGGTTGTACAAAAAAGTTGTCAACTACAAAACTGAAGTAGTAAATGCCAAGTTTTCACAAAACACTTCTGAGACTCACAGCTCGATTCCGACGCCTACAATATCGTTTCAAAGTCGACGACGATTGTATGCTCGATAATAGTTCTAATTTTCCAACGTAGCTGCTTGCCGCCGCCTAACTTTGTCTAATTTTTGACTGTTTGATGTTCTATCGAGCCTGTTCACACAAATTTTCGCTTCCAGAACCGACGCCAATCTCATGACACTTCGTGGGCGGATTTCAGTGTTTCCTACGGTGTTCGCATGATTCAGAGGTACAGTAACCGGAAATCAAAGTTTTTTGAAAACGTTTCATGTTACAGTATGAAACCGAATCGAGCGGATGAGTCATTGACGCTCGGGCTCCGGCAGGGAGTGCTCACCAGAGCAGAGGTACTTGAAACAACAAATTTATCCAAAAAATTTATCCATAAATTTATCCAAATTTATCCATAAATTTATCCAAATTTATCCATAAATTTATCCAAATTTATCCATAAATTTATCCAAAAACTATGGATAGATAAAACCTATGGATAGTACTTAAAACAACAAAGTTTATCGATAAATCTATCCATGACCTTTTCGTGTAGCGTAATATCGATAAATTTATCCAAAAACTATGGATAAATACATTTGCAGCTGCTTCACTCGCCGTCCACGTCGCCCCAACACAAAAGTCTGTCTGCAATGTCCGTGTCGCCCGGCTCGGCGCCTCTTCACGGGGTCTTGCAGCGAAGATGAGCGCCTACAGTAATCCTACCGTACCCCCCTCCCCCAAATTGACTTTAATTCATGCCCGTTTCTCAATCATGATTACATGTACAGCCACTCGATGTTTTTTTTTTTGCTTACAAATAGGTACAATTACTTAACAATAGAGCGCTTTTCTCTGACCATTTTCGCTCCCGAAAAAACTAGAAAGTTAGTGTCTTAATTGCACGTGAACCGGTTCATTTTCAGCCAATTTTTGAGAATTTTCCAATACATTATTGTCGTCTTTTGCAGGTTGTTTCTTCTGCGGAAACGCAATAAACGAAATGAAACGATTTCTAGACAATTTTTGGTCCGACGGCGGCGGCAGACTCTGCCATAATGCCGTTAATAACGTAATCCAGTCGAGCACCATCACTTTTTGTCCGTTTTTTGCCGCGAAACGGATCGAAAGCTCATTTGGCAAATGGGGGGCGAAAAACGAAAAAAAAATGGCGACGGGCCGATCCTTTGCGCAAATTCGCTTAGTCCGGACATTTCATGGCCGCGCAGACACGCGACTCATCCTCACTCGAATTTCTAATTTGTGTTGGACCTAAAATGCCTAAAATACCCCCCAAAAATGAATCTTCTTTGTCTTCTGCTCTTTTTTTTGCGAAAAAAAGCGTCTAGAAACCATTTTCTAGCCAGTTTTTGCGTGTGGCGTTGTCAACGAGTATTGTAGCGTTCCAAGACGTGTTATGGGTCTGAAATTGTGCATACGAAAACTTGACATCTTGTACTACTTTTCGGTAGTTGACAACTTTTTTGTACACCTACTCCCTAGAGTACTGTGGTCCCTGGAAGTTGGGACCGAAAGCACCAACTGCGAGCGAAGCCTTACTTCAAAGAGCTACAGTAGGCTTAGAAGTGGTTGTACGGAAAAACTGTCAACTGCAAAAATGTAGCAAAACTTATGATCTTCATTTTTCCAGTTTACAGTTTTTCTGTACAACCACTTCCTGGGTTACTGTACCCCTCCATAACTTGTTTCTTCAATGCCAACTTCGGAGACCTACAATACTCCAGAGGATGGTCGTACAAAAAAGTCGTCAACTACAAAAATGTAGTACTAAATGTCAAGTGTTCACAAAAAATTTTCCAGACCCACACCGCATCGCAGAACTCTACAATACTCATTCAAAGTTTCCTCCCCAAAAAAAGTGTGTATCTACAGGGTGGTCCACCGTTACCCGTACAAAATAAAAGTTGGGTAATTCCAAAACTAGAAGTCAGAAAGGCATGAGACTTAACAAAACGTTTACTAAGATGTTTGACAATATTTATAAGCTAATAGTGTTGCACCCGACCTCCTTTCCTAACAATGACAGCCCGAAGACTTCCGAAGTAACAGTTTGCCGCGGCACGCGGGAAGTCCGTGGACAGATTGAGCCCCTACCTGGCAAGGAATTTTTTTATCACTCCCCTACTTGTCTGGGGTTTAGCCTTCATATTGGCCTGTAAGACCCCAACAACGAATAGTCCAACAAAAAATGGTCCGGCGAGAAATCGGACCATTTTTCCTTCTTGATGAACGCTGCCAAATTGGCCTGGAACCACTGCTGAATGATTTTGGCAGTGTGAGCAGGCGTATTATCCTCCTAGAACACCCAATGTTGTTCTCCGAAGTGTTTGTGAGACCGAAGAAAACGTTTCTTTGTTGACGTCTCATCAACATAACGTACTTTTCTGATTTTGTCATCATGATCGATGAAAACGCGTTGAGATTGGCATGTTCAGCTGATGGGACAAGAAATCATGGCACGGTCCAGATTATGGCCCTACCGTTTTCATACGCGTCCAGTGACGTCCCAGCAAGCCTCTGACCATTTTGAGAATTCAAATCTGCCTTCGCCGGGAACAGTCACTCGTCTGAAAAGGCCATCTTCAAATGGTCGCCATCGCGCGTGCCACTCAACTGGAGTTTCGACATTTGAATCCGTTTCAACTTTTTGGCAGTTGAGATGATAACGGCTTCTGTTCACATATTTCGGTATCAAACTGAGCTTGCATTTTAGATTGATTTACATTGATATCGGACTCATTTCCATATCATGTGCTATCATTCTCGTGCTTGGATACGGATTTCTCTTGATCCGCTCTCTGGTAGCTGTGACCGTCTGAGGAGAGATCATGGTGATTCCTTTTTTGTTTCTGGTATTGCTCTAGAGTGGGTTTAGACTGGAGAAAAGTTAGATCGTATCATAAACGGTTTTGCTTGGGATACCGAGCCGTTTCATGATCGTTTGTCTGCTCACCCCTCCAGTGAACAAGCGTATGATGGGGGCGGGGTGCAGTCTAATCGGTGCTATTTGGCTGAAACAAATCCGTTTGGTCTGAGACTTGGCCGAAAAGTTAAAAACATGATAATATACAAAATGTTGAATTAGGGCCACACCAGAATTGCGTCAGTACCTACGCGCGCCGCGTAAAACTTTTGTACGGGTAACGGTGGACCACCCTGTATTATCCGTTTCACCAACGAGAGATCGTCATTTGTGTGTCTTCGCAAAAAGTGAAAGTGGATGAAATGGCATGCCGCCGCCGCCGATCATCATCATCATCATCATATCCGTCGTCTATCGGGGGCCCAAAAAAAAAGGAGACGATGGCAGAAGTGAGATAAGAAGAAATCAATGTGATATTGTATATCATCACTGTAAATCGAATAGCAGACCGACAATATCCACTCGTTTTCGCCTTTTACTTTATTTTTTTTCCTCTTGAACTTTCTACAGTAATCCCTACTATACATACTTTACTACATTCGTATGTAACACACTAAAAAGTAATAAAGTGGCGGGGGGTCCTAGAAACTGGATTTTCAGAAGACGTCGACGGTTTCACTTATTACTGGTACATTCTGACCCTATAATACTTTCTTCTAACTGACACACTTCAAATATCATAAGGTTCTCGAATCATGTGAACTTTTTTAGAATTCAAGAGACACCAGACTGTCTAGTGATATCGTAAACGGTCAAAAACCGTATCCGAACCCAAAATATCCCGTTATCACTCTACTTTTCCTCATTCTTCGTCCTTATCTCATCATGCGCGCACATCAGCTGTCGCTTTCCTCGAAAAATAAATGTTCTCCTTCTTCTTCTTCTTCTTCTTCTTCTTCTTCATCATCCAAGTCAGTCGGTCAGCCATCATGCCCTTTTTCTTGTGATCCCCAACTTGAAAGAGTATTGTCGGCTTCGAAGACGTGCTGTGCATCCGGAAATGGTTTTTTTTTTTGAGTTTTTGACATTTTGTAGTTGATCACTTACTGAAGGTATTGTAGCGCTTCGATGTTGGGACTGAACTTCCAACTTCCAAGAGCTACAGTACCCCAGAGAGTAGGGGTATGAGAAAATGATCAACTACAAAAATATAGTACAAGTTGTGAACTTCAATTGTCTAGTTGACAACTTTTTGATAGAACCGCTCCGAAGAGTACTGTGGCGATTGGAACTTAGACCACAAATTGACGTGGCTTGAATTGGCCCTAACTTCCAAGCGCTACAGTACTCCAGAGGAGGGTCCTAGAAAAAAGTCATCAACTACAAAAAGCAAGTACTAAATGTCAAGATTTCATTAAAAAGTTTTCCAGACTCATAGCACGTCACAGAACGCGACAATACTCATTCAAAGATGGCATTTCCTTTTCTAGTCCTTCTCTCAACCCCATCCATCATTTTTCTGCAAGAATCCCATAATCAGGCGCCTTTTTTGTCAAAACCCCCATAAAACTGGTTGCGTGCCACTGAATTTATGGAAATGACACGTTTACCTTGAAAAAAGAAGAGGAAATTCATGAACCTTGCAACAATTGATAGTGGCGAGGCATCTAGACCTATTGTAGCTATTATGAAGGCGAAAATTCGCTTACCATTTTTTTCCACTGACTTTTTTCAATTTTCTCCTATTCTACAGATGATTTCCGTTATTTTAAGCGCCGACAGGGGTGTGTAGCATTTTTTTGAAAAAAGTTATGATTTTTCAAACTTTGAAAAGTCCATAGAACGTTTTCGCATTCAAATTCGTGGTCATTCTCTCTTGTTTTGTGTCCTTTTGATCGGATAGTGTCGCAGAAAACTACAATATTTTCCTCACAGTTTTCGGTGTGACGCACGCAACCGCCGAAAGCACGAAATCGTGCCTAATCAGGCGTGCGCGCCAATTTTCCTAACAATTCGCTTGCATAGATAGATAGTCGTTGGCGTCCAAGAAACATTTCTCAAATTATTTTGAGCGCTTTCATTTCTGTAAATGGCACCACAAAAATTCGTACAGTTGGCGGCCGGCTGGTGGTTAGTCATACACGGCAAAAAATATTGTCAAATCGAATTATACACTGTCCACGCTTCTTCTTCTTCTTCTTCTCGCCTTTGACGCGCCTCCGGGCACTGCCCAACGGCTAATTGAATTCGTCGTCGACGACGAAAAAAAAAAGAAGTGAGTACGTGTGTTTTTTTTGTGGCCCCGTACTGTACCCTCCTTTTTTTTTTGATACATTTTGTATTAGTCCGTCTCGGAGCCTAAATACTCGAATCCAAGCCCAAGAAGATCAATGTAAGATCAGTGTTCCGTGGATTTTTTTGTTTCGTCTTCCGTCTTCCGTCTTCCGTCTTCCGTCTTCAGTCTTCAGTCTTCCGTCTTCCGTCTTCCGTCTTCCGTCTTCCGTCTTCCGTCTTCAGTCTTCAGTCTTCCGTCTTCCGTCTTCCGTCTTCCGTCTTCCGTCTTCCGTCTTCCGTCTTCCGTCTTCAGTCTTCAGTCTTCCGTCTTCCGTCTTCCGTCTTCCGTCTTCCGTCTTCCGTCTTCCGTCTTCCGTCTTCCGTCTTCCGTCTTCCGCCTTCCGTCTTCCGTCTTCCGTCTTCCGTCTTCCGTCTTCCGTCTTCCGTCTTCCGTCTTCCGTCTTCCGGGCATTTTTCTTCTTACCGTAAAAGAGTAATAGCTTTTCAGAAGCCATTCACTAGCCCCGAAGAACGCGAATTTCCACGGGATATTAACGGAGAAAAAAAGGTTCTGCATTTACGATTTTTTTGTTTTTTTTTGTCCGTCTGCCGTCTTACGTAAAAAAAAATTTTCTTCCGTCTTCCGTTTTCCGTGTTCCGTAAAAAAAAATGTTTTTCCGTCTTCCGTCTTCCGTAAAAAAAATGTTTTTCCGTCTTCCGTCTTCCGTTTTCCGTGTTCCGTAAAAAAAATGTTTTTCCGTCTTCCGTCTTCCGTTTTCCGTGTTCCGCAAAAAAAAATGTTTTTCCGTCTTTCGTCTTCCGTTTTCCGTGTTCCGCAAAAAAAAATGTTTTTCCGTCTTCCGTCTTCCGTTTTCTTCCGGATTTCAAAATTCCATTTCCGCTCAACTCTGATCCCGATCCTTCAAACCTTCAAATGTGTTTCGTAAAAAGAGCTCATGAAAAGCCGCGTCACTTTCTCCATAATTCATCACATTCTCACAATATCCGTTTCGGGGGGCGTTGAGCCGAAAGGGACCGTCCTTTCGGTTTGTTTCATAGGTTCCAGTTGGCCCAAAGAAGATTGTAGCTTGGTTGCAAAACGTCCCGGCCTAAAAGCGGTCCCTGTCGCCCGAATCCCGCGCGCATTTTTCTCTGTTTTTGGGCTCTCCGCCGCCGTCGCCGCCGTCGTTTTTGCGATAAAAGGACAAACAAGGCGAAGAGGGAGGGGGAGCGTCTGAAGATTGGGAAAACGGATGAGTATGTGTACATACAGACCCCGCCGCCTCACTCCCGGATATTTTTGAGCCGCTTTTCTCTTTTTCGCCACCATTTTTGCCCTTTTATGAGCATTGTAGGGTGCTCACGGTTACTGTAGTTCTCAAAGTGTCCTGTCGGGCTCAACTTTGGTCGGATTGGGACCAAACGTGAACCAGACGGTCCATGGGCGTTGAGGAACATTGAAATGTATAAAAAATGTAGAGTTATTGTCTCTAGTACGGTTGCTTTCCCTTATTTCTATCCACGTGCCTACAAAAAGTGGCCTAACATTCGCTAAAGCGCGTGGCCTAACTTTTGCAAGTGGTGGCCTAGCTTTTCCTAGGCCAGCAACGCGCGAAAAGCAATTTGCGGGAACGCCGAAAAGATGTACCTTGGCGAAGAGTTGAGGAAGAGAAAAAAGAGAGAAAAAAGAGAGAGCGGAAAAGGAAAAATAAATAAAAATTTGATTTGGCTCGAGAAATTGAGGCGCATAAACGAGTGAGGGTACTCAAAAAACGGAAACGAAAACGACGTTTTTATCAAATCGAATTCGCGCCTTTTCGTCCGCAAATTTCCCCAGAGAGATAGGTAAAAAAAGCGGAAAAAAGAGGTGGTGTGTCTAGACATGCTTTTTCGGCTCGATTCTCTAGTCGTTTCTTCGAAATTCTAATTTTTTGTGCTCCACGTGCTGAGTGTTGTAGTGGTCAACTTTGAACGGGTATTGTAGGCTTGGAAGTTGCGTTATTGTTCTGAAAATTTTTTTGAGCACTCTTGAAGGTTAGTACTGTATTTTTGTAGTTGACCATTTCTTTCTACGACCTCTCGCTGGGGTACTGTAGCGCTTGGAAGTGGGGGCCAATTCAAGCCACGTGAATTTGTGGTCTAACTTCAAAGCGCTACAGTACTTTTAGGAGTGGTTGTAGAAACAAGGTGTCAACTGCAAAATTAAAGTACTAAACATGATCTTTAATTTTGTAGTTGACAACTTTTTTATAGCACGTTTCCCTGGGGTACTGTAGCGCTTAGAAGTTAGAGCCAGCTGGAGGTCAGTGATTTTTTGGTCCAACTTCAAAGCGCTACAGTACCCCAGAAAGTATTTGTAGAGAAAAAGTGTCAAGTACAAAAATCAAGTACTAGACTTCAAGTTTTCATGGAACCCCTTATTCAGACCCGTCACACAATTTCTAGCTCTACAATACTCGTTCAAAGTTGACACATTGCGTTTGCCCGCTATTTTGCTGGCTCCAACGCCAAAGTTCTCCAACTTCTACCGTAGAACTTTCCGATTTTTCACCCCAAAAACCCCTCTTGGTTAGCGGTAGTAGTGGGGGCAGAAGAAAGTCAATGCCGTTCTGTGTCCATTAGCCATAAAATTAATTCCGCCTGTCGCCCCTTCTCACGCTTTTCTCTCTGCGTCTCACCGCTTCCCGCACTATTTCGTGTGTTCATCCAATTACGGTTTTTTGTCGTCGGTACGGTTCTTTTCGAAACGGAGAGAGAAAGAGAGAGAGAGAGAGAGAGAGAGAGAGAGAAGAAGAAGAAGAAGAACGGTTCGAGGACGAACTAACTAACCGACGCCTACGCACTTTTTCCCGCCATTTTTCCGCCATTTTTGCCTCAAAACTCATCAATTTTCAGATATTATCGTCTTGAACTGGAATAGAAGAGGCCCGGTGGTAATTGGAAACCAACAAAAAACCCAAGAAAATGGAGGAGAAGAGCCTTTTGCAAAAATTGCGCTCGTAAGTTCGACAAACGAATTTTGAGGGCTCAAATTTGCGTTTTTAGCTACCCGCCGGCCGTATTTTTCATGCTTGGCAATGAATTTTGCGAGAGATTCTCGTTTTATGGCATGAAAACCATTCTTTTCATTTATCTGATCACGGAACACGAGTTTTCGCCCAGGTAAGCAAACGGGCTAGTTTAAAAGGGTACTGTAGGCTTGGAACATGTGCTAGGCGTCTGAAAATTTTTTTCGTGAAAACTTGAGACCTAGTACTATGTTTTTGTAGTTGACGACTTTTTTCTACGACCACTCCCTCGGGTACTGTAGCTCTTCGAAGTTGCCGCCTGAAAATTACCGACTTTTTGCAAGCTCTAACTTTCAAGCGCTACAGTACTCCAGAGAGCGGTTTTACAAGAAAGTTGTCAACTACAAATCGAAAGTTCAACTTTTTTGCTACATTTTTCTAGTTGACCACTTTTCCGCAAAACCACTACGAAGAGTACTGTAGCTCGTCAAACTAACAATCAAGTTTATTCTAGCAAAGCCACCTTCGTCTATCATCTTTTCACGTGCATCGCCTATCTCACTCCACTAATTGGATCAATTATGGCCGATTCGGTGTTTGGACGGTTCAAGGTGAGATCGGATTACTGTAGACTTTGCTCGTCAATTTCTACGTTTCGCACAAACATACATGTAATAGAAGGAAATGCGGATATCGTTTATTCAAAACAATTTATCTCAGCTGTCGTTCGAGATATCAAAAAGTTGTCAACAGACAAAATGTTCGTTAGGAAATTGTGCACATTTTCGCAGTTGACCACTTTTTGATATCTCGATTGGCAACTGAGATACACTGATTCTTTTTGCAGGTGATATTGTACGGTTCCTCAATCTACGTCGTCGGCCACGTTCTCCTCTCGCTGGGCGCCGTTCCGTTCCTCACCTACGCCCTCCGATCGTCGCTCGATTTTTCCGGACTCTTTGTGATCGCCTTCGCCACCGGATGCATCAAACCGTGTGTTTCGGCGTTCGCCGCTGATCAGGTCGGTGTGGGGGGGGACGAGTTTCGCGGGTTTCGCGGCCACGGCCATCACGGGGGGGGGGGCGTGGCCTAATCTGAGACGCGTTTTCTGAAAATTGCCGCAATTCCAGCACAATTTTTCGCCATTTTTGTGTTTGATATCGACAAAAGAAGAGACATTAAAGAGAGAAAACATTGAAATTTTCGTGAAAACGCCGCGTTTGAGACGTTTTTCGAATATTTCGCAATACGCCCTCCGCGGCCAATCGCCGCCGCAATTTCGGAATTTTCATATAAATTTTCATGCCGATCCGGATAGTTTTGAGACGAAGTGAGTGTCGGAAGTGATTAAACACGTTAATACAAGTATTTTAAGCGTTCAAACGGCAAAAAGTATCGGCGAATGACTGAAATTCGCGCATTTTCAGCACAAAACTTAAAAATCGATTGAATTGCTTCATTCTCTGAATGAAACCTGCCCGTTTTAAGCTCAAAAAGTGCGCGATGATTATTTTAACAAAGTTATGCAATTAAATCGTCTAAATCGTACAAAATTTGGGTAATTTTTGACGAAAAACACGAAAAATAGGGGGTTAAATTTCGAAAATTTCGAATTTCGCGCCAAAATGGTGATAAACCGTGCACGCCCCCTTTTTACGTTTTTGGTCGCCGTGCGCGATCTGAGACATCCTTAACAGAGTTGAGCGGAAGAACTTAACGGAAGAATTTTTATCTTTTTTAGAAAATTTTTTCATGAAATGTGATCAACTGACGAAATGTAGAGCAAAGTGAACTCTGCTCCTAGAAAAATAATTGTAAATTTAGCGATTCATACAAAAAAGTCACCGTACAAACTGTATTATAACGGCATGCCGCTATATTTTTCGGAATTGAGTTCCACCTTTTTTTTTGAATTGATAGTAAAAAAAAAACATAATTAAAAACAAATTTCAAAGAAAAGCACTGTTGGGTGGTACCGCGCGGTGTTTGCACAGCGTTTAAAAAAATGTTCGGAAGAATAACTGCTTCTGAATTTTCCGCTTCTAAAAAAATTCTAAAAAACAATTAAAAAAACAAAAAACTTAAAAAAATGTCTGCGGGGTGCCGTTATAATACAGTTTTTACGGTATATTCGAGTTGTTCCGTTGGCCCTTTTTTCACGGAACAACTCGCATAACTTTTTTGTATGAAACGCTAAATTTACAATTATTTTTCTATGAGCACAGTTCATTTTGCTATACATTTCGTCAGTTGATCACATTTCATGAAAAAAATTTCTAAAAAAGATAAAAAAAATTCTTTCGCTCAACTCTTTACTCTAAAATCGTGTTGCAGTTCACCGAAGAGCAAAAGGATCTGCGCTCGCAGTTCTTCTCCTTCTTCTACTTTGCGATCAACGGCGGCTCGCTGTTCGCCATCATCATCACGCCGATTCTGCGCGGCCGTGTCCAGTGCTTCGGCAATCAACACTGTTTTCCTCTGGCGTTCGGCGTGCCCGGCGTGCTGATGCTCGTCGCGCTCCTCCTCTTTTTGATGGGCTGGAGCCAGTACCGCAAGTATCCGCCGAGCCGCGAGAACGTCGGACGCCACGTCGTCGCCGTCATTTACACGTCGTTGCGCAAAATGTTGGGCGGGTGAGGAGTGCGGTTCAGGGGTGTGCGGAAAATTTTTTTCGGAAAAATTCGGAAAATCGGTTTTTCCGAATTTTTTTTTCGGAAAATTTCGGAAAAATCGGAAAAATCGGAAAACTCACTTGTTCATTGGTTCAGTAAAGTGTTTAAACAACGTTCTAATACAAAAAAATGCTTATTCAAAATGCTTTTTCCGCCCAGTTAAATATACGTCCCACTTTCCCATTACGTCAGCTTTTCTGAAAAAACAACACAAATCGCAACAATCGGTTCATTAGAATGAGAAAAACGAAAGAAATTGCGTAAAATTTAAAAATCAAATTTAAAAAGACGCTCGCTGCTAGACCCTTCCAAAAATTTTGTGATGCGCCTTTAAAAAGCATACGGTGGTTTCGGACAAATTGACCTTGAATCCACACTAATTTTCCGAAAATTTTGCCGAAAATTTCTCGGAAAATTTCTCGGAAAATCGGAAAATTTCGGAAAATCGAAATATTTTCCGCACACCCCTGGTGCGGTTGCGAAATGGACGGCGGGGATTTGTTGTGTTCTTGCAGAGCGTCTCGCGACAAACCGGTGGCTCACTGGCTCGACCACGCGGCGCCCGAACACTCGCAAAAGATGATCGACGCGGTGCGCGGACTTCTCAACGTCGCCGTCATCTTCTGTCCGCTCATCTTCTTCTGGGCGCTCTTCGATCAGCAGGGATCGACGTGGGTCCTCCAGGCGCGCCGTTTGGACGGTCGTCTCGGCCATTTTTCGCTGTTGCCCGAGCAAATTCACGCGATCAATCCGATTTGCGTGCTCATTTTGGTGCCCATTTTCGAGGGCTGCGTCTATCCGGCGCTTCGAAAAGTGACCCGAGTGACGCCGCTCCGAAAAATGGCCGTCGGAGGACTGCTCACCGCGTTTTCGTTCGCCATCGCCGGAGTTTTACAGGTAGAGCGCTTGTTTTTTTCCAGCAAAAAATCTGCTATATTTGGAATATTGTAGCTAAAAGTCAACGAGACTATGGAATTTCCGCCGGCACTCGGAAGAGTTTATCTGCAAAGAATCGGAAACGAGACACTGCTCACCGATTTTCGATTCAAACACGACGGACACTTGATTGGCGGTATATTGATTTGAAAATTTGAAATTTCGAGGTCTAGTACAACATTTTTGTAGTTGAGCACTGGGTACTGTAGCGCTTGGAAGTTGGGATTGAAAAGTGAAAAGTGAAAAATTTCAAACGGCTACAGTATCCGAACGAGTAGTTATCTGAAAAAATGTTCAACTACAAACGAGAACAAAGGAGCGACGGTACTGAGGCCCCAGAGCTTTTTTCCAATTAGAACTTGACATCGAGTACTTGATTTTTGTGCTTGACCACTTTTTACTACGACCAATCCTTGAGGTACTGTGGCGCTTGGAAGTTGGGAATGAAAAGCAACTTCTGAGCACTACAGCACCTCGGGGAGTGGTCGTACGAAAAAGTGGTCAACTACAAAAATAAAGTTCACACTTTTAACTATATTTTTGCTGTTGACAACTTTTTTGTACAACCGCTCCCAGGGTTACTGTAGCGCTTGGAAATTAGATTAGGACCAGACGCTATTCAACCCCAACTTCGAAGCGCTACAGTACGCCTGGAAATGGTCGTACAAAAAAGTGGTCAACTACAAAAATACAGTAGAAACCGTCAAGATTTCAGCGAAAAAGACTTCCAGTCCTTTTCAGCGGCCTCTCAAAGTCGAATCACACTTTTTCAGACGGCTTGCTGCCGAACGGACGTACCGAACTCGACGCCGGCGTTTACACCTTCAATACGGGCCTCAAAAATGAATCGCAACAAATTGACATTTCCACTCCGAACAAAGGATACGTCATGGCGGTGTTCCGATTGGATGCCACAGTGTAAATGCGATTTGGTGCCAGAAAAACGCTGAAATACCCCGTTTTTTTTTTCTGCAGAAAAGTGGTCAAATTCGACTATAAAGTGGAGAAAACCGACAACGGAGCCACCCGAGTGTTCGTAGTGACCGCCCGTGACGACGCCGATCATTTGGTGTACGCGATCAATAAAAAGTGAGTGTGCAAGTGCGCTCCATTGAGAATTGCGTGAAAATCGCTCGAAATTGCTCAAAATCTCGCGTTTTTCCTCCAGTTTTTTGCGCGAAATCGATAATATCACAGTTTGATTACAGCGGAAAAGTGCTGAGCAGTTGTGCGCTCGAATCCGGCGCCTACGTCGACATCATTCCGGGAATTATCAGTGATCCGAATGTACGCCTGTACTGGGGACCCAAAAACCGGTGTTCCGGATCGGATTGCCCGAATACGGTCGGTTTGAATGTGAGTGCGCCGACAAAAGTGCGAGGAAAATCGGAAATTCGGAACAATTTAGGCGCAAATGGGAGCCGTACACGTTTTGCACATTCATCCGACCACCACCGACGATGATTTCAATGTGTTGGTCAGTTTTCGGCGGACATTTCGCAACTAGGGAGCATTTTGCAACTAGGAGTCATTTTGCAACTAGTAGACACTTTGCAACTATAGGACATTTTGCAACTGCGAGACATTTTGCAACTGTGAGACATTTCGCAACTAGGGAGCATTTTGCAACTGCGAGACACTTTGCAACTATAGGAAATTTTGCAACTGTGAGACATTTCGCAACTAGGGCGCATTTTGTAACTAGGAGTCATTTTGCAACTAGTAGACACTTTGCAACTATAGGACATTTTGCAACTGTGAGACATTGCGCAACTTGGGCGCATTTTGCAACTGCGAGACATTTCGCAACTAATTGTAAGGGACAACTGAAAAATTGAGCAACTAGTAGTCACTTTGCAACTAGGAGTCATTTTGCAACTAGTAGACACTTTGCAACTGTAGGAAATTTTGCAACTGTGAGACATTTCGCAACTAGGGGGCATTTTGCAACTGCGAGACACTTTGCAACTAGTAGACGCTTTGCAACTGTGAGACATTTCGCAACTAGTGGGCATTTTGCAACTGCGAGACATTTTGCAACTAGTAGACACTTTGAAACTATAGGAAATTTTGCAACTGTGAGACATTTCGCAACTAGGAGTCATTTCGCAACTAGTAGACACTTTGCAACTATAGGACACTTTGCAACTGCGAGACATTTCGCAACTAATTCTAAAGGACAACTGAAAAATTGAGCAACTAGTAGTCACTTCGCACCTGAACGACATTTTGCAGCTGATAGACGTTTCGCAACCGTTCTTGTTTGGAATTGAAGTGTTTATTGGTTGCAAAACGGCTCGTACCGAAACCAGACGTTTCGCAACCATAACTCATTCCTTAAAATGCGTAAAAAGTAGTGAAACTTTAAAAAATCATAACTTTTTTCAAAAAAATGCTACACACCGCTACTTGCGATCAAAATTACCGTAATCGTCGAGACGATACGCGAAAAATATGCGAATTTTGCCAAAAAAAATTCGAAAACAACGAAATACGGTCGGTTTGCAGGTGCGCCCAAACTCGGTGAGCATTCTGTGGTCGCTGCCGCAATACGTGATAATCACGCTCGGCGAAGTGCTATTGTCGGTCACCGGACTCGAGTTTGCCTATTCGCAGGCGGCGCCCAACATGAAAAGTGTGCTGACCGCCATGTGGCTGCTGACCGTCTTCGCCGGAAACCTCATCGATATGATGATTTCGGGCACGCGGCTGATTCCGCATCCGGCGCTCGAATTCTTCTTCTACAGCATCCTCATGGTCATCGTCATGGGCGTCTTCATTTTGTTGGGTTCGTTTCGGCGTGTTCGATGAAACGTATTATCGGGCTCTAATTATTTTGCAGCCACGCAATACACTTACGTGGAAGATCAAGAAAACGAGGAGGAGGAGGAGGAGGAGGAGCCGCAAACGGTCAGCGAATCGGAGAAGAAGGAGGCGATCGCGTTGACGGAAATCGAGTCGGGCGCCGTCGAAAAGAAATAATGACTCGCACGTTGTCTTCCAATACACACACACTTTTTTGCTTTAATTCCCCCCTCCCCCCACACTTCCGGATCTAGTCATTTCACTGACTTTAAATTATTTCTCTTCCAAAACAAACAATATTTTAGTTTTTTCCCCTTTTCCCCTCTAACAAAACATTCCTAAACGGTGTTTTCCGATAATAGCTGTACTTCCGTCTTCGCATAATCCCTGAACTTTGAGTCTCTTTGTGTAAATAAAATGGTACAAAAGTGGATTCGAACCAGTGGCCTTTGGATTGCCGCGCCAAAACACAGGCACTGCGCCATGCGCACCACCGCCGGCAACGACAGCCAGGACGGTAAAGATATGGCGGCGCCGAGGCAGTAAACTGGAAAATTTCTTCATTTTTTCGGACAATTCGCTTGCCTGGACATTGAATTGAAAAACGGAGAGATTACTATTTATTTTCGAACGAATTTTCCGTGTTTCTGTGCAAATTGGAATAGTTGGAGCTGGCGAATAACAGAAATTGTGGATAAAGAAAGACAGGCTTTTTCAAAACGCTATATCTCTGCTGCCAGTGGAGATATCAAAAACTTGTCAACTGATAAATTGTTTATTAAGAGATTTTGCACATTTTCTCTGTTGACAATATTTCGATATCTCCATCGGCAGCTGAGATACAACGTTTTGAACATACAATATTGTTCGCGGCGCCTAGTCATCGTTGATAATCTCCGAATCGTCGTCGAATCCGTCCGAGTGCAACTGCTCCTCCGCCACTTTTTTCCCCGGTTCTTCAATTCTCGCCACTTGTACCGCTTCAGCCAAACTCGGTTCCTGTCGGTTGTTTCCTCTCAAAAGCGCCCGGATCCTGGCGGTTATGTCCTCCATGCTGCTCGCCTCGACATTATTGTTGATATCCATGTTTGGTGCGCTGAAATATAAAAAAATATAAAAGAAAAAGAGGCTTACTAATCAAATCAAATAAAAAAGCATCAAAAACCACCGGGAAAATGATGTGAAGCGAGGGAGAAGAAAGAGAAACGAGCGTTGTTGCTATGGGATTACTCGTGCCGAAAAGGATAGGCTAATGAGAGCCTTTGGGACTGAGAGCAGTCGAAGAACATGTGATTCGAGGAGGGAAATGACTGAGTAGACAATAGTTGAAAAGGGCATGTATGTTCAACTCAACAATATTGGTTTTTTCCGTCCATCTCGCAAGACATCAAATTGTTCACTCAAACCGAAATATCTGAGCTGTCGGTGGAGCTATCAAAATATGGTCAACTGCAAAAATGTATAAAATTTCCTGACAAACATTTTGTCAGTTGACAACTTTTTGATATCTCTACCGGCAGCTGAGATAAAGCGGTTTGAATGGACACAGTTCTACAGTAGTGCGATTTTTCAACAATTCCGCAAATTTAGTGCAATTCCCCCGCAAAAACTGGCACTTTTCGAGAGCTTTTAACATTTGGTCAACGAATATTGTCTGTTTCACAAAATGTTTCCCAAAAACGCGTTGCAGGTGCTCGCAAAAGCGCCCAACTCGAAGTCGTTCGAGGCCGGATGCGCCGAGCACTACAAAGAGTGCTATTTGGATTCGCCGACGTTCGGCAACTACTGGAAGGAGTCGAATAAGGAGAAGAACTTTTCGAAAAGTATAATATTTACACAAATGGGGGGTCTGGAAAAAACCAATTTTAAACAATTTTAACCCATCCACTATTCAAAGCGTTATATCTCAGCTGTCGGTGGAGATATCAAAAAGTTGTCAACTGATAAATTGTTTATTAGGTGATTTTGCACATTTTCACAGTTGACCACTTCTTGATATCTCCACCGACAGCAGAGATATGACGTTTTGATTGGCCACCGTTTTACGATGGCCTCGCGAGCACCCCGCAATTGTAGTTCTCGCTCAATGGACCGTCTTTGGGTGACGTTTTGTGGGGTCAAGTCAGTGCCTGTGGGAAACAAGACACAATACACCCTAAAATTGATCGATATTTGACGAACGCGACGGTTTTCGGGCGGTCCCGTGCGAATGTGAAGATGGACCGGGTATCCCCGCCCATTTACCCCTTTCATTCTCATTATCCTACTCCTATGCCGCAATTTATTCGCAAAACCGCGTTCTTTCCACTTTTGGCAGTGAGAAAAATGCTCGCAATCGCCGTTTCCGTCACTTTGGCGATTCTCGTCGCGATTGGCGCATTCTTATTGAAGGTTTGTTGGTTTTTGCGCAACTTTTGCGCAACTTTTCGGTTAATATCGATTTTTTAGAAGCGAAACGGTCGGATCGAACGTAAAGTGGACCCGGAAGTTGAGGATGGAGCCGACGAGCCACAAAACAAGACGATGGCGATCATGGACACTTCGTTCGAATCGGATGCGTCCCACGAATCGGCCGAGACGCAGGAATTGGACGAAAACTACAAATTGCCCTACTTCACCGAGTCCGAATCGGAGGAAAACGATGCGGCCGAATGTGGTCCCACTCGGATCATTGGCACCGCCTCTTCTGGATACGATTCCGACGAGGAGATCGATATGGCGTGGGAGGAATGTGAGTGGACGGGCTTTTGTTTAGAAATGAGCGCATAACTTGAGAATGTGACGTTTTGAGGCGAAATGATCAATTACAAAGTTGTTTGGCATCAAATTTGCAACAACTTTTTAGTTGACCATTTATTGATACAATTGCTGGTTCTCGAGATATGAACTTTTGAACGCAAGAGACTAATACCGCTTATTTAAAGTGATGTATCTCTGCTGTCGGTGGAGATATCAAAAAGTGGTCAACTGATAAAAAATGCATAATTTCCTAATGAACATTTCATTAGTTGACAACTTTTCGATATCTCCACCGATAGCTGAGATATAACGCTTTGAATAGTGGATGGCGGCTTAAAATTGTCAACTAGTCTGCAATTTCCCCGTGTTTTCAGTCAAAGTCCGTGCGTGTCCACCGGGACCGGTCCCCGCCAACCAAGTGTACGCGATTGTCGACTGCCCCGAGTTCAACGAGTACGTCAAGGCGGTGGTCGATGGGGACCACCACTCGGAAATCCACGTGCTCAGCTATTCGTGCAACCATTTGAGAGAGTACCGCTGGGTTCGGACGACGTGCCCGAATTGCTTGCACAAGATTCGGATGGCGCTGATCGACGGAGGATGTGATTTGCCGCTGGCCATGGATTCGGATGGATCGGATGTTGCCGATCAGGACGTGGACCTGGAAGTTCAGGAGGACAACGTGGATTCGGTCGGATCCGATCTCGAAGACGTTGCCGATCAGGACCATGAAGAAGAAGAAGAAGAAGAAGAAGAAGATGATGACGTGGCTCCATCCAACACGGACACCCAGGGCTCGGAAGAAGAATCGGAAGAAGAGGAATCGGAAGAAGAAGAAGAAGAAGAAGAAGAAGAATCGGTGGAGCGCATCGAAAAGCCGGTGCCGTGGGTCCACAACGAATTCGACTTTTCGAGCCTACAATATCAGTTCGATTTGGACGTTGTTCTCAGTGAGGAAAATGACATGTGTCTCAGTTTTGCCTAAAATTTCAACAAAAAAAAAAACGCTTTCTCTTGTTTCTCTCATTTTTTTGTACTATTTTGCACTTGTTTCTTCTTCTTCTTAATAATAAATAAATTGTTTTACGGAATAATTTGTGCTCATTTTATTCGATTCGGTTCACTTTTTCTTGATGGTCGACGTGGTGCTGACGGCGGCGGCGGTGGCGGCGGATCTCGTGCACAACTCGATGATTCCGTTCACGCCCAAATCAAACACGTCGAAATTGTCAAACGTGTTGCATCGCATGCTGCGAATCAGTTTCACCGTCTCCGTATGCTTCACCTTGCCCGTTTTCGCGAGACGATCCGCTTCCGTGTCGAGCAGCGCGACGAGGCCACTTCTAAACAAGAAGCAAATTAAAAAAAAAAAACGATTCCGTCGAGCCGGATTCGAACCAGCGACCTAAGGATCACCACGCACACTCTACAGTCCTCCGCTCTACCAACTGAGCTATCGACGGCACGTTGGCGGCGGACGCCGAGGGCAGTCACAAGAGAGCGGCCGGCTGCGGGGGAAAGCAGCGAGTGGGGACAGAGAAAGCGCGCTAGGATTGTGGAGTTCGTGGCAAAAGGTCGAAAAATCAAAAAGGTCGGAAGACAAAAAATCGGAAAAAATGCCAAAAGGTCTGAAAAAATTACAAAAAGTCGGAAAAAATGCCAAAAGGTCTGAAAAAAGTACAAAAAGTCGGAAAACAGGTATTTTTCCAATCTTTTGGCATTTTTTTCGACGTTTTGTCATTTTTTCGATTTTTTCGCATCTTTTTCCAACCTTTTGCCATTTTTTCCGACTTTTTGTAATTTTTTCAGACTTTTTGGCATTTTTTCCGACATTTTGGCATTTTTTCCGACTTTTTGTAATTTTTTCCGACATTTTGTAATTTTTTCCGACATTTTGTCACTTTTTTCCGACATTTTGTCACGGACTCGGATTGTGCGCTCAAAATCCACGTTTTCTCTAGACTTTTAGTCGCCGCGCACCCCGTGATTCACACACACACACCTCGTGGCTCCGTCCTTGCACGTAATCACGAGCGGTCCCTTGGAGATGGTGCCGAGAAACTTGCGCGCCTTCTCGAGCATGTCGACCAGCTCGACGGCGCTGATCGCCTCGCCCCACCGGCTCATCTTCGCCGCCTTCAACGCCTTCACTCCGTTCTCGGCGATCGTGAGCGTGGCCACGTCGTCCAACGTCTTCTCCGACGACTTCTTGCCTCCTCCGCCGCCGCCGCCGTTGACAAATTTGCTCGAGATGAACGCGGTGTACTCGTCGTTGCTCTCGGCAACCAGCAGGCCTTCCGCTTTCGTGTGCGCCAACATTTTGAAAAAGTCCTTTTGCGAGGCGGCGTTTGTCGGCGCTTGTGCGAGAATGTATTGACCTGAATGCACATTTTTCATTAATTTCAAGTTTGGATCACCATTTCTCGGCTCCCACTCAACCATTCCGCACCAAATTAGATGACGCTCGTCAAATTTGGCGCAAATTGATTCAGTTTGAAACGTATTTTACAAACTTTTTTCGTTTTTTCAATGGTTTTCAACGCTTGTTAGTCGCGAGCTTCCGCCACCCTGCGCGCCGCACGCTCATTATACATACGCCTTGGCGGTCAGCTGAACCAAATGCGCGCGTGGCGCAGTGGTTGAGCGCCAGCCCGTCACGCCGCACGGTTTTGGTTCATTCCCCTCTGGGCGTCAAATTTTTTTCTTTTTTTTGTGCACTTACTCGGTCTAATGCCATCCACCCACGAGGCGTGGTAATAGTCGACTTCCGGTATGATGACACGAGTCGAATCATACAGCCAGACGTCTGAAAAATGGTTTTTTTTGTGTAAATTGTTTGTGTAAATATTATACTTTTCGAAAAGTTCTTCTCCTTATTCGACTCCTTCCAGTAGTTGCCGAACGTCGGCGAATCCAAAAAGCACTCTTTGTAGTGCTCGGCGCATCCGGCCTCGAACGACTTCGAGTTGGGCGCTTTTGCGAGCACCTGCAATGCGTTTTTGGGAAACACTTTGTGAAACAGACAATATTCGTTGACCAAATGTTAAAAGCTCTCGAAAAGTGCCAGTTTTTGCGGGGGAATTGCACGAAATTTGCGGAATTTTTGAAAAATCGCACTATTATAGAACTGTGTCCATTCCAACCGCTTTATCTCAGCTGCCGGTAGAGATATCAAAAAGTTGTCAACTGACAAAATGTTCGTCAGGAAATTGTGTACATTTTTTCAGTTGGCCACTTTTTGATATCTCCACCGACAGCTGAGATACATCGATTTGAATAGACGTCATCTCGAAAAACTCGAATATTGTGAATATTGTCCGTTTACCGACCGCTTCGATGAATTTTTTCGGCGACAAAAGTTGCGTCTTCTTCTTGCGCGTCGAACGAGTCGACGCACGATTTCCGGAAAACATTGCCGGCACAGAGACGCCGTTCACGATTTTTGTGTCACCCATGCTTCTGGAATGTTCGAAATTAAATGTCGATTTTTTGTTCGGGTTGATATTATAGAATTCTTGTAATTCCGCTTACTTTTATTGAGTCTGCAAAAGAAACCGATGCGAAATGAGCCGAATTTTTTAAAAACTTACGACAAACTGGCGACCAACTCTTGTCGAGAACTTTCTTGAAATGTTTGCGATTACTTTTCGGAATAAACGCTTTTTCTGATAAACTTTGAAATCGGTTCGTTTCGGTACCACTTTAGGCTGACCTGACCTTTTGGTAAACCGATAATAATAAGGGTTTCACGTCAAAATACAGAAAACACGTTTTTTTTTTCAATGTCTCACTTTGAACGGGTACTGTAGCGTTCAGAGATGTCACTTTGTTCTGAAAATTTTTTTGCGAAATCTTGACATTTAGTACTATGTTTTTGATGAACGCCAAACTTCCAAGCGCTACAGTACGCCAGGGAGTGGACGCACAAAAAAGTTGTCAACTGAAAAAATAAAGCTCATTTTTAGCGCTTTATTTTTGCTGTTGACAATTTTGGTCTACAGCCACTCCGAAGAGTAGTGTAGCGCTTGGAAGTTGGCGCGCAAAAATGCCAAACTTCAAAGCGATAGATGTGCAGTTTTCCAACCAAAAAAGTTCGATTTTCGGTGATTCTTGGCAAAAAAATCAATAATCTGGCGAAAATCAATAACACTATTCTGCGCATTTCCAAATGCGCTCGTTCAACGGATTCGTGTGCGAAATCAACAATACTCATTTAAAGGTTGGACAATATTTGCTACCATTTTTTTCAATTTTTCCGACGCATTTACAGATCCTCGACCCGATCCATAACGTCGTCGAGGTGCCCGTCCAGAAATCGATCGATTCCGTTCGAATCGGAGACTACGTCGAGTACGCCGGACCCGCAGACATTCTGAAACCGACAATATCGCCCGACTCAGCGATCCTCGACGTTTCGGTTTCGGAAACCAACAATATATTTATAAAAACTGTGGCCGTCGCGCCGATCGATGCCCATCTTCCGGCCGACATTCTCAAGAGATATCGAAGGACCGTCTGGTCGCCGTACCTCCAGACCGTTCGCGATCCTCAGCTCATCTTTTTGAAGGCGAATCCGAGAATGGAGGCGGCCGAGGTGACCGTCAAATTTGCGCCCGGTCCCGACGGATTACACTTTGAAGTGGTCCGAGTCGGCGAGCTGAGGGCCACGTGGAAACCGGCCCTGGAGACGTTGGATGCTGTGGGTTGTTTTTTTTTTCACTTTGAACTTTGACGGTCCATATCTCGAGAACCAATGATTATTTCGAAAAGTGGTCAACTGAAAAATTGTTGCAAATTTTATGCTTAACAACTTTGTAATTGATCATTTTGCCTCAAAATATCTCATTCTCAAGTTATGCGCCTAGTTCTGAAGATCACGCATTTTAAAGCTTCAATTTCTCAGCCCTGGCTCCAAGAGCTCTACGATCGAGAGATGGCGAATCTTTGTCACCTGGGCCGCGCCTCTTTTGTGAGTTTTTGCAAAAATCGCAAAACCTCACCGAATATTGTCAATTTCAGAGACTGAACCAAGAGCAGAAACTGCCAGCAAACGCCTACCACACATACGGCCTAGTCGTGGCCCGATCCGTCCCAAATCCCTATCATTTTTTGTCTAAAAACCCGGAAAAGTGCAGTTTGGTCTATTGTCAAGAGATTGGAGTCCTCAGATCGATGGAAGTTTCGAATGTCAAGGTTGTGAGAGTCGATATTGTATGACAACTATTGTTTTTCGCCATTTTTCAGACGGGCGATTGGATCGTCATGACGGCAAAAGATAGGCGGTACGAAAATAAAGGAGGACAGGCGGGAAACCACTTTAAAACGGTGACCGCCACCAAAATCAGCGTTTTGCATGAAAAACCAGTGTATACAAGAGTTGAGGGTGGACAAATTGAGGTTTGGCACTTTAAACGAGTACGGTAGGGGTTAGAAGACGTCATTTTGATTCTAAAAAATTTCTTGCGAAATCTTGACATCTAGTAGGCCAATTTTGTAGTTGACAACTTTTTTCTGCGCTCACTCCCCGGGATACTGTAGCGCTTGGAAGTTAGGGCTGAACAGCACATGCTTCGAATTGATGCCAACTTCAAAGAGCTACAGTACCCCAGAAAGTGGTTGTATCAAAAAGTTGTCAACTACAAAAATGTAGTTTAGAAAAAGTACTTTATTTTTGTAATTGACCACTTTTTACTACACCCACTCCGAAAAGTACTATAGCGCTTGGACCCCGTTCGCGGCCGTTGTTTTTGAACGCCAACTTCCAAGCGCTACAGTACCCCGGGGAGTGACCTTGGAAAAAAGTGATCAACTGCAAAAATAACGTACTAGATGTGAACTTTTCGCAAAAAAATTTCTAGACCAACAGGACGTCTCCGAACGCTACAATACTCGTTTCAATTAAACCGCTATTGTATGCCCACTTTTCAGTGTCTCACCTCGTTCATCTACAAGCCGAACGACTTTGAATCGCCGGAAAATCGCAAAATCTCGAATATCGATCAACGTTCACTGGGATTCACTAAAAATGCGCACTTTTACGATGCAAATTTGGGCAAAATCGAAATTTATCCGACCATGATCAAACAAATTGTTGTGGTACGTAAAGTTTGACAATATTTGCTGAAAAACCGACAATATCTATTTCAGACTATTGAAAACCATCGAAAAACGCTCGGCACCGAAGAGTTGTCGAAGCGAAAAGATCGGAAAATTCTGATCGTCGTCAAAGTTCGACTTTTCACTCATTTTCTCGCCAAATACAAGTTGGATCCGGCCGGATCACTCTTTTTTGCTCATTCCGTACATTGTATTCAATATCATCTGGGCGGAGAGCAAATTTGCGAACAACTCGAAGTTGGGCTCCAGAATTTGAGCATTTGATCAATTTTAGCGTCGAGAGATGTCATTTCGGTCTAAAAACTATTTTTGTGAATTGTTGACGTCTAGTACTGTATTTTTGTAGTTGATCACTTTTTTCCAGGATCACTCCCCCGGCTACTGTAGCTCTTGGAAGTTGGGACTGAAAAACAATGCTCGCGAGCGGGCCTCAACTTCCAAGAGCTACAGTACCCGTAGGAGTGGTTGTAGTGAAAAGTGGTCAATTACAAAAATAAAGTGCTTTTTCTAAACTACATTTTTGTAGTTGACAACTTTTTTGTACACGCACTCTCTGGGTTACTGTAGCTGCTGGAAGTAGGGGCTGAAATGCATGCGCTTCAAAATGACCCCAACTTCCAAGAGCTACAGTACTCCAGGGAGTGGTCGGAGAAAAAAGTGGTCAACTACAAAAATACAGTACTAGACGTCGAGATTTCCGAAAACAAATTGTAGCGCACGAGAACATGTCTAAGCTCTACAATACTCATTCAAAGTTTGCCATACTATCTTTGTGAACCGATATAAAGTGAACGATTTGTGAATCATTTATAAATAAACAAATTTATCGAAAAGTTTAGTAGTCTTCACTGGTGAGACACGCGTAGCCCGGTTCCGTAATCATCACTCCATCGACGTACCAAAAACTCGAGGAGAGCGCCGAATCGCTGGCCAACGGGCTCATTTCACAAGTGACGTACGGCGGCGACGATACTTCGTACTGTAGGGATTACTGTAGGCTACTGTAGGTGCGCGGATTACTACTGTACCATCATGGGCGGTCGGTTGGTGCTCAAAACGGCCAGCGTCGTGGCTTCGTCGCAAGTGAAAGTGGGCGCGCAGTTCGCCGCGAGACCGTAATCCACGTGTCCCTCGCTGATTTTGTAGTTGGACAATAGTCCGTCTTGATTGTAGGCCTCCAGATAAGCGTTCGACTCTTTCACCGACACAAAATCCGGACAACCACAGTGCCACGACGCTACAATCGTCTCTTGTGTTGAAAAAAGCAAAAAGTGCGCGCTATTCAAAACCATAACTCTTTTGAGAGTGATTGTATCAAAAAGTTGTCAACTACAAAAATGATCTACCCAATCTGAACTTTATTTTTGCTGTTGACAACTTTCGCGTACACTCGCTTCTAAGCCGACTATAGCTCACCGTTGATCGGCTGCCCGGCGAGCATCGGAACTGAACACCACACCCGAATGCTCGTCGTTTTGATACCGGCATAATACCAACTGTACGATGCTCCGTCGTTGACGCACGTCAGCTCTTCGACCAGGTTATTTTGACGTTTTGGCAGCTGAAAATCGTCAAGAATCGATTGAGATGAGCTCGATAATGTGTCTAGAGTTTACAGCGATAATATTGGCGAGATGGGAGCCGAAAAGGTAGGCCAAGTTGGTGAACAAAGTGCATTTGACCTCCATCATGTCACAAATACCGTCCTTTTTCGAAACTTCCGCATTTTCGTTCGCCCACTCGGTGCACTCACACTTTTCAGTGTTCGATTGGAGCGCAAACGAGATATTGGTGAGTTTTCCGCCGAAATACTGCCACTCCATCTCGTTTTCCGCCGTCTGAACACACTGCAATCCGGTCGGCACAAACGCCGTCGTCTTGTCGGATCCGGGAACGAAACGACGGTTCTGGAAGGAATTCTCGTCAAGTTTCAAAATGATCAACTTTAAGTGCGTAAAAGTACTGTGCGGAGTGGTTGTACATAAAAGTGGTCAACTTGGAAAAGAAAGCTGATGTCTGGAACAGAGATGTTGGGAATAAAAATTTTACTCTACGGAACACGGAACACGGAAAACGGAAAAAACTTATTTCTACGGAACACGGAACACGGAACACGGAACACGGAAAATTTTTTTTTACGGAACACGGAACACGAAAATTTTTTTTTTAACGGAACACGGAAAAAAGCGTTTTCAAGAGAATTCCAGTGATTTTTTTTAAATAATGTTTTGTTTAATTCGATTATCTGACTGACAAGGCAGCTGTTTGACTCATGTGAAAGTTTTACTGAAAATTTCATAAAAATAAAGAAACCAACAACACAACAGTAAACAACTACAGTAAAAAACGACTGAAAATGGAATCCACTTTTCACGAATATGGTCCGAATCCGAAAATTTTCAAATTTTGACCACAAAACGTCAATTGTCCTAATCAAAATAATAATGAAAAAAATAAAATTTGTGATCGAATTTTTCCGCGGAAAATATAGTTTATACGGAACACGGAACACGGAAAACGGAAAAAAACTTATTTCTACGGAACACGGAACACGGAACACGGAAATTTTTTTTTTTCCGGAACACGGAACACGGAAAAAAGATTGAAAAAAACGCGGAACACGGAACACGGAACACGGAATTCCCAACATCTCTGGTCTGGAACTATATTTTTGCTGTTGGACACTTTTTTCTACACACACTCCTAAGGCGACTTTTGGACGCGCTTGCCGCATGCGTTTTTCGCTTTTTAGCGCCAACTTCTAAGCGAGCTACAGTATGTTTAGGAGTAGTCGTACAAAAAAGTGGTCAACTGTAAAATTAAAGTTGATAGCATGATTTACATAAAATCACTGTCCAAGGTACTAGAAAGCTTAAGAAAATGACACGGACTCTGTGCAAAACTCACAAAGATGGGCGGATCGTTGTCTCTGAAGATCATAAAGTAAAAGTCGTCGAATTGAGCCGTCTCACAGCTGACGGCGATCTGGCACTCGTCGCCGATCCGCACCGTCGGCCGAATCGTCTCCCGTTCGCCCAGATACTTTGAGTTCTCCGCGCGCTTCACCGTCTCCTGATCAATGTAGCGAATCGGCGGACACGCGCACGCTCCCATCGGCACCACGTCCGACGGCTGCGGTTCGAGACATGCGTACGCCAGATCCGAGCGCATCTGACCGCGCACGTACCACAAATAGTTCGGAGCGGCCGACGAGGAGGTGGATGCGGAAAGGGGCGTCGCCTCGCAACGCATCGAATACGTCGAATTGAAGAGGAGCGTCGGCCAGTTGGGCGTGAACACGACGAGAGTGCCCTCGCAGTTCACCTCGTAGCCGCAAAAGTCGGCGCCGGAGACCGACGACGTGTAGGGCGCCGGTTTGAACGAGCTCGTGTACGTGTCGTCCACATCGTAGGCGGAAATCGTGTCGGCGGTCAGGAACGGAGCTTGACGACAGCCGCAGTACGAGATGAAACCTGGAGAAATGGCGGCGTTTTCGGCGAAAATTGTCAACTGCACGGTCTCCCACGGCGCGAATGATTTCAATGGGGCGCACTTGCAACAGGCGGGCTGTGTCGATTTACGCGGCGGCCGATTAATTAATTTTCAACTGGAGTTCGCGTTCTTTCCATGTTTTATCTACAATACACCTATTTTTGTACGCCTGGAACCTGGATTCGAATAATTAGAGCACTAGCTACGTTTTGGTAACAGAAATCTCACATATCGTTGAGAATTTGCCGAGTTATTTCGATTTGAAGCTTTTGGCCTGGATTTTGATGTTTTTCGAATAATTTTCGAAAACTGCTCAAGAAGACTAACCGCCGGAACCTGAATTTTGTGAAGAAAAATTCAGCGAACATTTTTATCGTTCGCTGAACTCATGAAATGAAAAATGAGCTGAAATATAAAGGTTTGAAGTTTTGACGAAATTCGAAAAAGACGCTAAAAACATGAAAAACTCTAAATTCTGTAAAGAACGGTTTCCGCACAGTAAAATATTGTTTTCTAGACGTTTTTCAAGTCAAAAAGAAAGAAAACTCCTTTTTTAGACGTGCACCGTTTTCTTGACCGTTTTCCGACAGAATTGGTTTTGTGAATGATAAATCACGTAAATACAAGCATTTTGAGCGCTCGAACCGCGAAAATTACCGAAAAGCAACTGAAATTCACGCAGTTTTAGCCAAAAACCTTCAAACGGATAAATTTGATTTGCGACTTGACCAAATTTAACGCTCTTGCGCTTAAAAAATTCGTAATAGCCTATACAATCGGTCTTTCGAGAGACAAATGAGAAATTATCGATTTTTCGTGGCTAATCTGGCAAAAAACACAAATTTTGCTGTTAAAATTTGAATTTCGCGCCAATGTATCGCCTTTTCAGCTTTGAGGAGACCGTGTTCAGCCCAAAAATTTGCTAGAACTTTCTAGTTGGACACTTTTTGAGAAAATGATTCGTTCTTGAGAACAATCAAAAGTGTACCTTGCTGCTGTCTCGGCTGGCAGCTGATCTCCAAATCGCTCATTTGCACGTTATTGTGAAACCAGACGAATTGGCCGTTCGAATCGACACACGTCAACTCGCGAACCATTGCCGTCGAGATGTCGAGCTGAAAAACGGTCAGTTTTTAGCATAAAATGGTCGAAACCCGACGTGCCTTGATGGGCTCGGCCGAAGAGCTGTACAATATCACATTGTCGTCTCCACAATCGACGGTGAACGTGTCGCAATAGTCTTTGTAGAAGGCGAGCGTCGGCGCGCTTCCGAATCTCGTCGTTTCCTTCGGCGCCGCACATTTGCAAATACTGTCGGTGTCCGCTTGGCACGCAAACGTCGGGCTATCGATCGGCGAGCCGTAGTACGTCCACGCGGATGCGGATGTCGAGCACGCGAGTCCCTGGACCGGTTTGTACTCGTTCCTGTCCGTATTGTCGTAGGGCGTGAAGCGTCGCTCGAAAATTGGCGGTCCGTCGGCTCGGAAAATCATCAGATAGAGGTAGGCGTGCGTGGATTCCATGTTGCGGCACGCCGCGTTGACGACACAACCGTCGGACGACGCTTCGGCGACGATGCGAAGCGAAGCGGCGACGGTGAGCCGTGCGGACACGTAATCGCTATTCGCGAATTGAGCAAAGAAATTGGCATCGCTCGACTTGTAGTTGCCGGGAATTGGGCATTTGCACGCGGCCGGCATGCTCGGCACCACTTCCTTCGACGAGTTGAAGCAAGCGAAGCGTGCGTCGAACGACAGCTCGCCGCGGACGAACGTTCCGCGGCCCGGGCGTGCGCCGAACCCGTCGGACAGCGGAATCTGGCCACACCTCGTGTACAAAAGACCGTCGGCCGTCTGGTTGATAGTCAACGGTTCGTAGTTGGGTCGGAAGAGGACCAACTCGCGCGACGAGCACAAAAACTCGCTTTGGAACAACAGCGGATAGCGTTCGAGGAGACCGTCGGTGCCCGAATAGAAGCCGTCCTCTCGTTGGTGTTGTTCGAAGAATCCGGTCACGTCGTACTCGGCCACGTCCTCCGCGTCGAGGTACTGAATCGAACGACACTCGGCGGTGCCGATCGATGGACTGTTCGGACGGCACGTCAGTTCCACACTCTCCAGCCGCAAATTGTTGTGGTACCAGACGAACGAGGCGCCTTCGGAGACGCACGTAAACTCGCGGATTGTTATATTGTTGGACTCCATCTGTAAAACTTCGAATAGTCTGAATTGAATTTTTCGCACTATTCAAGACGATATATCTCAATTGCGAGTGCAATTATCGAAAAGTTGTCAACTGATAAATTGTTTGTTGAGATTGCATGTACATTTTATTAGTTGACAACTTTTCGATATCTCTACAGACAGGTCAGATACATCCCTTCAAATAGACGAGTTTGGCCCAAATCCAGGGACTGTTTAGAAAAAAGCGTATAACTTGAGAATTGGCCGTTTTGCAGCAAATGTATCAATTACATTGTTGTTCAGCACAAAATTTTCAACAACTTTTCTGTTCACCACTTTTTGAAACACTTGTTTGTTCTCGAGATATGCGCCTCAAAAGAGAAGAGACTTTTGACACGAAAAGCGTCCATTCAAATTTATGTATCTCGATTGTCTGTAAAGATATCAAAAAGTTGTCAACTGATAAAATGTTGACAAAGACAAGATGCACATTTTATCAGTTGACAACTTTTTGATATCTCTTTCCACGGCTGAGACACTCACCCTGATCGGCAATCGATTCGAGCTCAAAATGAAGAGGCCCGAGTCTTGTCCGCAACTGACACTAATCGTATCGCACAAATCGCCAAACGGCACCACGTCGGGCCTCAATCCGTACTTGTCCGAGTACTCGAACTCGGCGCACTTGCACACTGCCTCCTCGGCCTGACACGCGAACTTTGGCTCGTCGACGTCGGCTCCAAAGTATTGCCATCGGCGCGTTTCGCTGTCTTCGCGACAAAACAGTCCGTAGATTGCGAACGGATCGTTGCGATCGTTTCCGCCGGGGAAGAAGCGACGCGCGAAGATGGGCGCTCCGTTCGAGCGAAAGATCATCATGTAGAAGTGGGTGTGTTCGGCGGGCATGTTGATGCACGTCGCCTCCACCTGACACTCACCCGTTTCGTTGGCGCGTTTCGAGAATTTGAGGAGCGGCGCCACTGAGAAACGTTTCGAAAGGTACGCACTGTTTGGGAGGGCCGCAATCTCGGCCTCGTCGGTTATGATCCCAGGTACGGGGCACTCGAATCCGTCAGGAAGCGCCAACGCCGCCGGTCTTTGCTTCGTCGTGTTCACACAAGCGGTCAGCGCGCCGTTCACCAGACTATTATCGATGTAGGTGGCGTAGGTGGCGGCGGCGGCGCCGAATCCGTCCGAGTTCGGGTTCGGCGCGCACGACACATCGATGAACGCGGCGTGGCCGACCGGAATTCGCCGCTCGACAATCGTGTTGTTCGTGAGCGTCACGAACAGCGTTCCGGCGCATCCGTTCGCGTCCACACAAACGTTCGGGTCCGGCGAGACGAGTCGATCGACACTGCCGGCGGCCCAATCGTAGAACGCGTATCTGCCGCTCGGATCGTACTGCTTGAAGTTCTCGTAGAGCCGTTGGAATTCGACACGAACACACGTGCCACAGTTTGGCGTATACGACCATGAGGCTGAGAAAAAAAAGAAACGGGTAGACTTGTGACGAACGTGCAAAGCAGAGATGTTGAGAATAAAAATTTTACTCTACGGAACACGGAACACGGAAAACGGAAAATTTTTTTTTTTACGGAACACGGAACACGGAAAACGGAAAAAACTTATTTCTACGGAACACGGAGCACGGAACACGGAATACGGAACACGGAAAAAAAGCGTTTTCAAGAGAATTCCAGTGATTTTTTTAAAAAAATAATGTTTTGTTTAATTCGATTATCTGACTGACAATGCAGCTGTTTGACTCATGTGAAAGTTTTACTGAAAATTTCATAAAAATAAAAAAACCAACAACACAACAGTAAACAACTACAGTAAAAAACGACTGAAAATGGAATCCACTTTTCACGAATATGGTCCGAATCCGAAAATTTTCAAATTTTGACCACAAAACGTCAACTGTCCTAATCAAAATAATAATGAAAAAAATAAAATTTGTGATCGAATTTTTCCGCGGAAAACATAGTTTATACGGAACACGGAACACGGAAAACGGAAAAAACTTATTTCTACGGAACACGGAACACGGAACACGGAAATTTTTTTTTTTACGGAACACGGAACACGGAAAAAATATTGCAAAAAAACGCGGAACACGGAACACGGAACACGGAACACGGAATTTCCAACATCTCTGGTGCAAAGTTCGAGCTGACCTTGTACAGCTCCAGGACGACACGCGACTTCCAGATTGTCCATTCGGATATTGTTGTGCCACCATGACGAGCGCGCCGAACCGTCGCTGACGCACATCAACTCTCCGACCATGCTCGCGCCGTAATCGAGAATCACGTCGTTCGCGGTGGTGCTCGTCAGATAGACGCCCGACGAATTGTGACCGCAATCGATGGTGAACGCGTCGCACGATCCGGGCATGAAGGTGAGCGTCGGCAGAGTTCCGTACTTGTCCGAGACGCTCGGCGGCGTGCACCGACAGTAGTCCGCCTCGGAGCGCTCGGCTTGCAACGCGAACGAGAGGCCGTCCATCGCTCGTTGCAAGTACGCCTGCTCGACGGCACGGCCCACACCGTAGTACTCCCATTGTCCGAAGTTGGTGTTGCAGTGCAGTCCGTTGAGCACGAACTCGGCGTTGCGGTCGTTTGTGGCGAGCGGCGAGAATTTGCGCTGCTGAAAAACGACACGCGTTTATCACGGCGCGGCTTTTGCGACGTTCACCAAACGTTTCATCCTCAGTCTGCATTTTTGCACGCCGGTGTTGCTCTGCGTACAGTGCTTTTTATGTTACGCGCAAAGTTCTTTTTTTTTAAAGTTTTTAATGAATTTTCTCCAAATATTCATCTCTTTTAAGCGTTTTTCTCCACTTTCTACCTCGATTAGCCCTTTTTACAGATTCCAGATGAAGTAATACACGAAGAGAAGTCGATGCGATGAAAAGAAACGCGTAAGTAAGTGAAAGTAAGGTTTTATTCAGAAAATGCACGATTTCTCGAAGATTTTCTAATCTCTTGGTTAAAAAACTTTACTTACATTTCTGAGAATGTTTTCGAACCAAAAAGAAGTAGAGTGACAGCTCGATTTCGCGGAAAAACCGATCGTTTGCCGGAAGACGGTAAAATTTCGTTGAAAAAATTTTTTTTTGCTTCTACGAACTGTCACTCGACTTTTTTTATTCGAAAACGTTTACAATCATGTAAGTGAACAATTTAAACAAAAAAATTGGAAAATCTAGAGACGGTTTTTGAGAAATCTTTTTTTTTTCAACGAAATGTCACTGTTTTCCGGCAAAAAACCAATTTTTCTGCTTCTGCGAGCTGTCACTCTACTTTTTTTTATTCGAAAACATTCACAGTCATGTTAGTGAATTTTTTAAATCAAAAGATTAGTAAATCTAGAGACGTTTTTCGAGAAATCGTATATTTTCTGAATAAAACATTGCTTTCATTTACTTACGCGTTTCATTTCATCGCATCGACTTCTCTTCGCGTATTACTTTATCTGGAATCTGTAAAAAGGTCTAATTGAGGTAAAAAGTGGAGAAAAACGCTTTAAAGAGATGAATATTTGGAGAAAATTCATGAACAACTAAAAAAAATGAACTTTGCGCGTAACATAAAATGCCCGACGCGCAAAAATGCATATAATTTGGCTGCGTATGTTGCGAAAGCCGCGTCGTGGCGCGTTTCCACACATAGCTCGGTGTACTTACAATCAAAGGCGGCGAGTTTTTCGTGAAAATCATAAAGTAAAACGTGTTGTACTCGGCCGGCATATTCTTGGCGCTCGCGAAAACGCGGCATCCGCTCGACGTCTTCGCCACATAAAAGTTGGGTTTGACAGTGATGCGGCTCGCCAGATATTGACTCGAATCGCTCATTTCGCCGATTCCGGACGCGTCGATCGCTTGTGGCATTGAACAATTACAGCCGTCCGGCACTTCTGCAAATAATGAAAAAACAAAATACTTTTTGGGAAGTAGGAGAAACTGACCAAACTCCGATTGAATTCTAAGACACGCGTCGATGACATTGTTATAGATTATAAAAATCGAGAGTATAAGTGAGGATAGGAGCGGTTTCATCTTTTGAAAGTGAAAAAACTCTATCCGCAAACGATGAAATAGACTAGATTTGGAATCAAAAATCGCATGAATATTCATGGTATATATCAATTGATTGACCAACACCGAACGTTGAGCTTTGGGGTTTTGATCTCTTTTGACCGAAACACGGGGTGTGGAACGAGATCAGATGTGTCTTTGGAGACTCGTACCTTCGTATCGCAGTCCGTCGAGAAACAGGACATTGGATGGCGGATCTTGAAAGGGAACTGTGAACGATTATTGAATTTCTTCCCCCCGACCAGTGTTGAGCGGAATTCCGTTTGCCGTCTTCCGTCTTCCGTCTTCCGTAAAAAAATTTTTGTTCCGTCTTCCGCGGATTTTTTCTTCTTACCGTAAAAGAGTAATAGCCCCGAAGAACGCGAATTTCCACGGGCAGTGACTCGGATCCAAAATTTTTGTTGCTTTAGTTATTTTTATCAACAAAAAAAAAATCGGAGAAAAAGGTTCTGCATTGACGATTTTTTTTGTTCCGTCTTCCGTTTTCCGTGTTCCGTAAAAAAAATTTTCTTCCGGATTTTAAAAATTCCATTTCCGCTCAACTCTGCCCCCGACACGCATTCCCCCAACTAATTTCAGCCGTGTGTTGATTCAGATTTTGCCTATTTCTTCGCAAAATTTCGCCGTCTCACTGTCTCCCCTTCGGCAGGCGAACAAAAATTTTTCGCGCGCTTTTTTACGTGCGGCTCTCAGTGTCGATTTACGGGAAACGGTTTTTCCGCTGAAAACGATCGTGTTTTCCCGCGTTTTTGGGATTTTGCACAGTTTTCCGTCAATAATTTTGCCTCACGTTTGTTCATTTGACCGATATCTACAAAATGATCACAGAGTGCTCGTGTAAAAGTGAAAATTCGAAGAGTAATTTCGTTTTTTAAATTTGGCCGGAAAAAACAAACTTTCGGAAATTTTGAGAAAACAGTTGCCTCTCACGATTGTTCAGCAGACAAATGCGGTCATTTTGAGCACAAAGACGGCCCAAAAACTGCAAAAATGACTGAGAAATTTCAGTTTTTTATGCGCCGCGGACTGAAATTCACAGAAAAATGAAAAAATGCGCGCTTTCTTGTGGGCAAAACGCTAATTTAAGGTCACAGCTGTCATTAACAATTCGGAAATTCTCTGTTTTACTTCATTTTTCCAATTTTCGGATGAAATTTCGCAAAAAAAATCCCGGAAATTTCAACGACACTCCGTTTTAACGCGGCGCTCAATTTAGCAACAGCTAATGGCGGGACAGTGTTATCAATTTCCCGTCGTCTAATCAATTTTCCGTCGTGCCCCCCACACCCGACGCCCAATCAGTGGGGCGCGCCTGCCTGATAACCATTTTTCGTCACGCTCAACGATGAAGGCGCTCAAAAGCTTGAGATGGCCAAAGATGCTCAAAAAACTGTTTCATCTGCTCAAAAAGGACGTGCTGCTGACGTGGCGCTCCAAAACGTGGACCATCTTCGAAATCGTGCTGCCGCTTTTGTTGATCATCGGACCCGCGGTGATGGTGAAGCTGGTGAGCGGACAAAACGCATCGGCGACGCACGGTCTCAATGGGGCGCACTTGCAACAGGCGGGCTGTGTCGATTTACGCGGCGGCGGCCGATTAATTAATTTTTAATTTTTCGAGTTCGCGCGTTCTTTCCATGTTTTCTGCACAATACACCTATTTTTTTATACGCCCCACGGTCTCCAGAGCTGACAATATGGGCGTGGCCTCGGCGGCCAAATGGCGTTTTCATGAATTGAGCAGATTTTCTCTGATTTTTGTGGTCAAAGGCGATGAAAAATGATTGTTCGACATGAAAACACACTAATTCTCAGAATTAATGACGTTTTGGCGCATTTTTCGCCGACTTTGCTTTTTCGCCATTTCATTTTGCGCTTTCTTGACCGTTTTCAGACAGAATTGGTTTTGAGAATGATAAATCACGTAAATACAAGCATTTTGAGCGCTCGAACCGCGAAAATTACCGAAAAGCAACTGAAATTCACGCAGTTTTAGCGAAAAACCTTCAAACGGATAAATGTGATTTGCGCCTTGACCAAATTTAACGCTCTTGCGCTTAAAAAATTCGTAAAAGCCTATACAATCGGTCTATCGAGAGACGAACGAGAAATTATCGATTTTTCGTGGCTAATCTCGCAAAAAACACAAATTTTGCTGTTAAAATTTGAATTTCGCGCCAATGTATCGCTCTATTGGGCGGGGCGCACTTGCGCGCCCATTGTCAGCTCTGGAGACCGTGCGCCCGGAACCTGGCGTCGAATAATTAGAGCATTAGCTACGTTTTGGTAACAGAAATCTCGCATATCGTTGAGAATTAGCCGAGTTATTTCGATTTGAACGTTTTGGCCTGGATTTTGATGTTTTTCGAATAGTTTTCGAAAACTGCTCAAGAAAACTAACCGCCGAAACCTGAATTTTGTGAAGAAAGATTCAGCGAACATTTTTATCGTTTGTTGCGCTCATGAAATGCAAAATGAGCTGAAATATAAAGATTTTAAGTTTTGACGAAATGCGAAAAACATGAAAAACTCTAAATTCGTAAAATATTGTTTTCAAGACGTTTTTCAAGTCAAAAAGAAAGAAAAGTGCATTTTTAGACGTGCAAATTTTCAAAAAAGTTACACAACGACACTCCGCAATTTACGAGCGCACTGTGTTTAGCATTAGCGCCCCCTGGGAGACCGTGTAACAATGAAAAGAGGTGCGTTTCAGTTGATGAATCGGATCGGCGAACAGCTGGCGGCGATTTCGCAACAACCCGATTTCCAGAAGGACATTTATTCGCCGTTCGTTTACGTGGACGGGTGCGGCGTGCACGCGGCAAAAGTCAAGAATTAGTGAGTGTGGCGGGGGAAAGCTAGGCCACGGCCTTGCGGGGAAAGCTAGGCCACGGCCTCGACTAGAAGAAGAGCAGGCATTGGAAGTTAGGCCATAGGGTTTTCGATGAACTACTAGGAATTGGTGGCCGAAGAGAAAAAGTTAGGCCACGGAAGGAGGAGCAATAGTATCGATTTCCCTTCGCTGACATGTACTTGGCCTAACTTTCCGCGCGCGGCCGCAAAAGATCGGCCACAATTTCAGCATGGCCGAAAGCGAACTACAATACCACAAAGGCAACGTTTTCGCGTGGGAACGAGGCGATCGCGGCAAGATGATTCGGCGGATTCGAGTGGAGCAATGCGGAAATTACACGCACGTCGCCTACAATGTCGAGTCGGACATGAGCAGTACACTCGTGATGCCGCTGGTCGGACGGCACACCAAGTCAGGCAGACCGACAATATCCGCTTCGGAGTGGTCGGCTTTCGACGAGTATTGTAGAGCTGAGAAAAGTCGTCGTGGTCCAGAACTTTTTTTGGGGAAAAGTTCATGCCTAGTACTTCATTTTTCCAGTTTATCACTTTTTTCTACGACCATTCTCGGGGGTACTGTAGCTCCTGGAAGTTGCGGCTAGTTTAGCGCATGCGACCGGATGACTCAACTTCAAAGAGCTACAGTACTCCAGAGATTGGTCGTCGAAAAAAGTTGTCAACTACAAAATTATAGCGCGAAATGTGAACTTTGTTTTTGCAGTTGATCGTTTTTTGGCGCCACGTCTCTGAAGCCTACAATACTCGTTCTCAAAGTGCAAACGGAAAAAAATGTGAAAAATTCCAGAAAAACGTACATGTTCCTCGGCTATCAGTACATGATGAACAAGATCCTATTCGGCCTCATCCATCGCCTTCAACAGCACGGACTTGAGTTCGAGCAGGTCTACACGAATAGCCTGGACACGTCGAAACTGCCAGCGTGGAGCGATCGGCAGGTTCCGAACTTTGACCACAAACTGTTCACTTTGCCACGTCCCGACTTTCCGCCCATCTCGAGCCTCATCATTTTGGCGTTTCCGTACATTTATGCGGTTTGTATGGCGTTGCCGGTGATTAGTATGACCAGAAATGTGCTCGTCGAGAAGGAGACTGTCAAGGTAAACTTTGAACGAGTATTGTAGCTTTACGGCGACGTGCTACACAAAACATGTCAAGTACAAAGTTACAGCGCTAATTATGAACTTTATTTTTGTAGTTGAAAGTTGTTCGATAGGACCACTCTCCGGGGTACTGTAGCTCTTGGAAGTTGGGACTAGTTTCAGGCAGAAGAATTGCAATCCTAGCTTCCAAGCGCTACAGTACCCCAGGGAGTGGGTTTGCAAAAAAGTTGTCAACTACAAAAATACAGCTCACATATTAGCGGTCATTTTTGTAGTTGACCACTTCTTTCTAAAACCACTCTCTGGGGTACTGTAGCGCTTGAAAGTTTGAACTAGTTTTCATCACATAAACGTTTAGACCCAACTTCCAAGCGCTACAGTACCCCAGGGAGTGGGTTTGCAAAAAAAGTTGTCAACTACAAAAATGGTGTACCAGACGTAAACTTTTCACAAAAAAATTTTCAGAGTCATAGGACACTTTCTAAGCGTACAATTCTCGTTTTCAAATTGTCTTCTTTCAGTTTTTGAGCTATCATCGTTCGTTGTCTGAAATTCAATACAAAAACAGTTTTGTCGATTACTGTAGCTCTAATCTTCCAAAATTGTAGCCCTACCTGACCGCAATTGGTCTGCCAACGTGGCTTTTCTACGTGGAACACTTCATCTTCGGAATCTGCAAGTCCACCCTCCTCATCACGACTTTATCACTAATCTGGGTCTATATGGTCAAGGTATAGAGTGGCAGTACTTAAAATAGGCCACGCCCCCTCTTCCCCGAACGTTTTCCAGAACTTTCCGGGCGTCGTGATCGTCGGAATCTTCGCCTACACGCTCAATTCGATCTCGTTCGCCATCCTCGTCTCGACCGTATTTCCGTCGTCGAAACGAGCCGTCGAAGGGATGGTACTCGTTTGGATGGGAAGTCTCGGCTTCAGTATACTCTACCCGATACGTGGACCCGGAGCCATGACGTGGATATTGTCGTTGAACGCGAATCACGCGTTCGCCACCTTCATCAAAGCGGTCACCTATCGTGCGGGCCCTGATGGTCGGTTTCTCGAGTATTGTAGGCTTGGAAATGTTTGGAGTGAAAAGTTTAGGAATAGTACTTGGGTTTTGTACTTGACCACTTTTCGGTACACTCGCTCCGAAGAGTACTGTAGCTCTTGGAAGTTGGGACTTGTTTAGGGTGCGCAATTTGCAGTTCTAACTTCCAAGCGCTACAGTATCTTTGGAAGTGGTTTTAGAAAAAAGTTGTCAACTACAAAAATAAAGTTTATAAATTGTACTACACTTTTGTAGTTGACAACTTTTTTGTACGCTCACTCCTACGAGTACTGTAGCTCTTCGCGCCCCCAAATTGACGCCAACTTCCAAGAGCTCTACAGTAGTGCTAGAGGTGGTGCTAGAAAAAAGTCGTCAACTGAAAAAATGCACTACTAAACGTCGAGATTTCAGGAATAAGTTTCGGCGAGCTGTTCTCCACCAAATCGCGAGATCTTCAATGCGCCGCCGTCTACCTCTTTTTCATGATTTTCAACGCGATTTGGCAGCTTTTGGCGGCGATTTTCATCGAGAAAGCCGTCGAAACGTTGCATCTTTTCATCATGAGAACGTTTTGGAATCGACTCTCCAAACTGCAACTTTGCTCGAAGATGAGGGTGAAACTCAAGTTTTGGAAGAAGCGAACAACGGCGGGCAACGCGGATCATAAGAGAGGAACCGGCGGGACCGGCACCATTTTGAACTGTGAGCAACTTGTGGAGGGACGCTCGAAAGCTCGCGCCGACGTGGAATTGAACGGACTCGTGAAAATGTTTGCGAACGGCGAGAAAGCGGTGAATGGACTGACGTTGAGGGCGGTGCGCGGACAAGTTTCCGTACTTTTGGGACACAATGGATGCGGAAAAAGCACGACGTTCGGCATGATCACCGGCATGTGCAAGGCGACCGAAGGTGGGCGGCAATTAAAAGTTCACATGCCGATTTTTAAGATTTTTTTCAAAAAAGTTGGCGGCGAAATGGAAGAGCTGGCCGCGATTTTTCTAGTCCCTCCCGGATGGAATTCCCCTTTCTTCCGATTTTTTTCCGTTTTCGTGCCAATTTCTAAAATTTTCAATTGTTTTTACACTGAACACACTTATTTGCAATATTTTTAAAAAATTATGTTTTTTTCTGTGCCGTGACGCCAAAAAAGTCGATAATCGGAAACTTTTTTTTTGGTGTTTTTCCGGGTTTTTCGCTCAATCGTTGCAAAGTAAATAGAAAGAGATCGCTCAATCATTTCCTGAGTCTTAATTAAAGTTTGCGAGTTACAGAAAGTTATATTTTTCAAAGTTATGCGAAAAATCCAAAACTTTCTATTTTTGGTTTTACTTTTGGTTTTTGGTTTTAGAGGCTGATTTTTTCTGAATTTTGCAGGAATTTTGAAAGTTTCAGATTATCGATTTTTTTGGCGTCACGGCACAGAAAAAAACATAAATTTTTAAAAAATATTTTAAATAAGTGTGCTTAGTGAAAAAACGATTGAAAATTTTTTTCGTTTTTTTACGTCAAAAAATCCAATTCAGCGATGTAAAAAAACGAAAAAAACGGAAAACAAGCATACGCTGAATAGCCCCATTACAGGATAAGGCTGGACTAACGTCTATTTTAAGGTGGTGTCCAACGTGACAAACAACATGTTTTTAAAATAAAGCCCAAGTGGGACTTTCCCGAAGTCCCGAATTACGAAAAAAAAATTCCCAGATTTTTAAGATTTTTTTCAAACAAGTTAATGGTACCGAGAGAAGAGAGTCCCCGGATGGAATTCCCTTTTCTTCCGAATTTTTTCCGTTTTCGTGCAATTTTCTTAAATTTTCTATAGTTTTTTCACTGAACACACTTATTTGCAATATTTAAAAAAATTATGTTTTTTTCTGTGCCGTGACGCCAAAAAAATCGATAATCTGAAACTTTTTTTTGTTGTTTTTCCGGGTTTTTTGCCCAATCTTCGGTTTGCGCGCTGAAAAATAAATATAAACTCCAGAGAATGGTTGTACGAAAAAGTGTTCAACTACAAAACGAAAATTCACATTCGGCACTATAATTTTGTAGTTGACAGCTTTTTTGTACAACCATTCTCTGGAGTACTGTAGCTCTGGGAAGATGGCGCTGAAGCGCAAAAACTAGTACCAACTTCCAAGCGCTACAGTAGCCCAGCGAGTGGTTGTACGAAAAAGTTGTCAACAACAAAAGTGTAGCACTTTTTATGTGCTTTATTTTTGCAGTTGACAACTTTTCTCTACACCCACCCCCAAAAATGTTGTAGCGTTTTGAAGTTTGAGCATGCAAAACTTCCAAAAAGCACACTTTTCTCATCAATTTTTGTTGATTTTTCAGGAAAAGTGCTGATCACCGGAATCGATGCGCACTTGAAACGATCGGAAACGCGAAAATGCATCGGCTACTGTCCGCAAACGAACCCCCTCTACGAGAAGTTGACGGTAATGGAGCACCTCGAGCTGATAAACGCGATAAAAGGCGCGGCGCCGGAGCGTTTTCGCGCCGAAGCCGACAATATTCTCTGGCAGATTGGGCTCTACGATCAGCGGAAGATGCTCGCAAAGCGGCTTTCGGGCGGAATGCGTCGAAAACTCGCCGTTTGCATGGCGATGATCGGCGGCAGTCGCGTCATTCTTTTGGACGAACCGACGGCCGGCATGGATCCGCGCGCCCGTCAAGACGTGCAGATGATGTTGACGAGGCTGAAACGCGATCGGACCATCCTCGTCACCACTCATTTTATGGACGAAGCCGAACGGATCGGCGACTGGGTGTTTGTGATGTCGCACGGACGGATGGCCGCCGCCGGCTCCGTACATTTTCTCAAGCAAAAGTTTGGCGAGGGAATGGAAATGTCGATGGTGCTGAGGAGTGCGGCGACGGTCGAGCTCAAGGAGCAGCGGACGATCGCGTTGAAAGTATGCCAGACGTTTATTCGGACGGCGAAAGTGGTGAGTCGGTGCGAAACGATTTTGCTCAGCTGCTGTTGGAGATATCGAAAAGTGGTCAACTAGAAAAATGTTTATTAGGAAATTGCGCACATTTGCTCAGTTGAACACTTTTTGATATCTCTACGCACAACCGAGATAAATCACATGGAAATCTAGGCAATTTGTATGTGATAAGGGGGGACTAGTTTTCGCGATTGAGAAAGTTAGGCCACTTGTGAATTAGGCCACGAGGTTTTTGAAATTTTCAGAAGGACGAACGCGGTGAAACACTCGAAATCATTGTGCCGGAAGCGGAAAAACCAAAGCTCGCCGCGCTGCTCAAGTGTCTCGAAGCGATTTCGGAGAAGAATTTCTGGTCGCCGCACCTTGAGCCACTCGGCGCCGAGCTAAAGGGAACAGTGCAGCGGCTCGAGCTGCTGACGATCGGAATCTCGACGAGCTCGCTCGAACACGTCTTCGTGCGGATCGGCGACGAGTGCGACGCCATTCTCGACGGTCTCAAGGATCGAAAAGAGGCGCATCGGACGAGATTCGAGAATTTGGTGCACTTGAAAAGACGTGAGTGGTCCGTCGGACTCTTGTCGTATAAATTGACACGTTTCCAGAAAAACCGTACCACTTTGTGCTCGTGTTCGCGATGAAATGTGTGGCGCTTTTGGAGAAACGGCTCTACTATTTGTACCGTAACATCACGCAAATCCTCATCCAATTTGTGCTTCCGATGGCCGTCCTCTGGTATTTCGCCGTCATGTTCTTCAATTTGAAAGAGGACGCGGCAGTCAGTGAGTGACTAACGAGCACCGCAACTTGGCTGTCGGCAAAGTCCGCAAAACAAGTGGTCAACTGAGTAATTTTCGGCAAGAGTGGGGCGCGCGCGAGCGGCAAGCGAACAGCATGTCTCACGCACGTATTCGGCATGGCATCAGCATGGATAAGGCGTGCAACAGAAAAGAGTGGGATGGGAGGGAGGGAAGCAAGGTTTTTGAGCGGCACGCCAGCAGCAATGGTAGCAGCGCGTAGCAGGCATGGAATCGGCACGCTTACAGCAATTTGCCGCGGAAAACGGCACGGATGCCGCTTCCGCTTCATGCGGCAACTTGCCGAAAATTACCAGAGTTCTTTGTGAACAATTCATCTGTCTGTTGACACCTTGTTGATGGCTCTACCGCTCTCAGCCAAGATGTGACGTTTTAAAGGTGGTGTCCAACGTGACATACAATATATTTTTTAAATAAACGTCGAAGTGGGCCATTCACGTTCCCAAAGTCCCGAATTACGAAAAAAATTCCCCGGATTTTTAAGATTTTTTTCAAAAAAGTTAATGGTACCGAGAGAAGTGGTGCACGGCGAAACGGAAGAGCTGGCCGAGATTTTTCTAGTCCCCCCGGATGGAATTCCCCTTTCTTCCGATTTTTTTCCGTTTTCGTGCAATTTTCTTAAATTTTCTATCGTTTTTTCACTGAGCACACTTATTTGCAATATTTAAAAAAAGTTATGATTTTTTCTGTGCCGTGACGCCAAAAAAATCGATAATCTGAAACTTTCAAAACTCAGCGAAATTCAGAAAAAATCAGCCTCTTTTTGTAAAACCGAAAATAGAAAGTTTTGGATTTTTCGCATAACTTTGAAAAATATAACTTTCTGTAACTCGCAAACTTTAATTAAGACTCAGGAAATGATTGAGCGATCTCTTTCTATTTACTTTTCAACGATTGAGCGAAAAACCCGGAAAAACAACAAAAAAAAGTTTCAGATTATCGACTTTTTGGCGTCACGGCACAGAAAAAAACATTATTTTTTTTAATATTGCAAATAAGTGTGTTCAGTGAAAAAACCGATTGAAAATTTTAGAAATTGGCACGAAAACGGAAAAAAAATCGGAAGAAAGGGGAATTCCATCCGGGGGGACTAGAAAAATCGCGGCCAGCTCTTCCATTTCGCCGCCAACTTTTTTGAAAAAAATCCTAAAAATCGGCGAATTTTTTTCGTAATTCGGGACTTTGGGAACGTGAATGGCCCACTTTGAAGTTTATTTTAAAAATTAAAAAATGTGTTGTATGTCACGCTGGACACCACCTTTAAAGTGAGCATGTCGAAATTTTGAGAGAACATGATTGAAATCGAGTCGCTCGACCTTTCGGTCTACCCCTATTCTACCGTAATCGTGCAACAACAGCTCACAAACGACACGCGGCTCATGGACTATTTGACAACGTTTGATAATCTTCAAATCATTGAGACGGACTATTCGCTCAATGTTTCCGAGCTCGTCGCCGAGCATTCCGCTGTAATTCCGCGTCCAAAGTCTCGGAAAACCCGCGAATTTTGCAGTCCAAAGTCGGCAGAAATTTGCGGGAAATCCGGGGTGCGCACAGCTGAACGAGTGTTACCGTACACCATAAAACTACGGTATTTTTTGAAAATTTCCCCAAGAAATTTGAAAAATTTCAAATATTCTCGAGAAATTTAAATTTTTTCAAAAAATACCGTTGAAAATTTACCCAAGAAATTTGAAAAATTTCAAATATTGTCGAGAAATTTAAATTTTTTCAAAAAATACCGTAGTTTTATGGTGTACGGTAACACTCAACTTTTCTGCCGACTTTGGACTGCAAAATTCGCGAGATTTGCGGGTTTTCCGAGACTTTGGACGTGGCATAAAGGAGCCGTATTCGTTTGAGAATTCACTATGACACATTTCAGGGTCTTCAACGACTCGGATTCATTATAAAAGTGAGCAACGAGACGGAAGTCTCAATCTACTATAACGATGAGAGTCCGAAGAATGCGGCGATCCTAATCAACTTGCTTGCCACGTGTATGTACTTGAAACTCGGTCCGGATCTTCAGTTTTCCACGGATTTACCGCACATTTCGTCTCGCGTCATTTGGGTGCTCAATCAACTTCGTGCCGGAAATGTTCGCGCGGCCTAGCCTAGAGATTTCTAGGCCACTCTTTTCGTCAATTTTCAGAACGTCTTTATGGACGTGCTCACGTGGATGATCCTTTTTGCGACGATTCTCGCCGGCGCCGTCATCCAGTCCGTCGTTTTTGTCAGCGAGGAGAGACTCGCCCGTTTCACGCATCAACAAACGCTCACCGGACTGAATTCGGCCACGTACTGGGCGGTCACTTTTTTCTTCGACCTCATCACCTATTCGGTGATTGTCTCGTTCACGATGGCGTTTGTCATCGAATACGGAGCGTTTGAGACGCGCGAATTGGAGTGAGTTGGCAACGAGTATTGTCGTCTTACTAGCGAATGGCCCGCACTTACCTTGGGCTTTTGGAATCGGACCTACAGTAGCGGCCACTGAAATATCCCCTTTTGGTTTTTCCGCTGTAACTTTTTTTAGAGAAGAGCTAGGAACTTGAGGTCAGCTGTGAAAATTTTGCAAAATGAGCCAGAAACACACGGAGCTCTCCATTTTTGCTAACGAGCACTGGCTGCCGAGAAAATCTGAAAGTTCATCTTTGGCGACCTGTATCTCAAGAACCACGCGTCCGTTGCAAAAATGGTCAACTAGTAAGTTAACGCAAATTATCTCGTGAATAACTTTGTAGTTGATTGTCTATTTTAAAAAAAATTAGTTTTCGAGTTATGAACTGTTTTCCTATCGTCGCTCTGACCTCAACACTAACTTTTTTCTAGTCGCTCTTGGAAAACAGTTCATAACTCGAAAACTAATTTTTTTTTAAATAGACAATCAACTACAAAGTTATTCACGAGATAATTTGCGTTAACTTACCAGTTGACCACTTTTGCAACGGACGCGTGGTTCTTGAGATACAGGTCGCCGAAGATGAACTTGCAGATTTTCTCGCCAGCCAGTGCTCTTTAGCAAAAATGAAGAGAAATTCTCTTTAAAATCATCAAGGTCCCATTCCAAAAGCCCAAGGTAAGTGCGGGCCATTGGGTTTACAGTAAACGTGTCTACTAGAACTAGAAAAATAGAGTTTTCAAGTCGAGTTCACTTTAATTTTGGTGTTGATCACTTTTTTGTAAAGCCGCGCTAACTTCAACGATCTACCGTACCCCGGGGAGTGAGTGTAGAAAAAATTGGTCAACTAACAAAATATGGGAAATATTGTAAGGAATATTTTGTTAGTTGACACCTTTTTGATATCTCGATTGCTCGCCGAGATATACAATTTTGAATGGACACCATTCGCTTCTCCAGAATCGTGCTCCTCCTCTACTCGCTCTTCTTCTGCCTCATCCCGCTCGTCTACATCGTCTCGACGCTCATCGATTCGCCAGCAAAAGGATCGTTTCTCCTCTACATGTACTGCACCGTCCCCTACATTCTGTTCCTCGTCTCGTGGATCGTGCTCACCTCCACCAATAAGGACTCGTACAAAAAATGGTCACAGGTACTAATTTGCGCCACACTAACTAACCCTAATGCCGCGTCCAAAAAGTCTCGGAAAACCCGCAAATCTCGCGGATTTTGCAGTCCAAAGTCGGCAGAAATTTGCGGGAAATCCGGGGAGCGCACAGCTGAACGAGTGTTACCGTACACCATAAAACTACGGTATTTTTTTGAAAAAAATTAAAAATTTCTCGAGAATATTTGCAATTTTTTTCAAATTTCTTGGGTAAATTTTTCAACAGTATAGAAAAAAATTTAAATTTCTCGACAATATTTGCAATTTTTTTCAAATTTCTTGGGTAAATTTTTCAACGGTATTTTTTTGAAAAAAATTAAAATTTCTCGAGAATATTTGCAATTTTTCAAATTTCTTGGGTAAATTTTTCAACAGTATTTTTTTTAGAAAAAAATTTAAATTTCTCGACAATATTTGCAATTTTTTTCAAATTTCTTGGGTAAATTTTTCAACGGTATTTTTTTGAAAAAAATTTAAATTTCTCGAGAATATTTGCAATTTTTTTCAAATTTCTTGGGTAAATTTTTCAACGGTATTTTTTTGAAAAAAATTAAAAATTACTCGAGAATATTTGCAATTTTTTTCAAATTTCTTGGGTAAACTTTCAAAAAAATACCGTAGTTTTATGGTGTACGGTAACACTCGTTCAACTGTGCGCGCACCCCGGATTTCCCGCAAATTTCTGCCGACTTTGGACTGCAAAATCCGCGAGATTTGCGGAGTTTCCGAGACTTTGGAATAAACCAAACCGGTTTTGCAGATGGCATTCCGCGCGTTCAATCCCACAATCGCAATGATTTTGGGCGTGATGAAGGTGGCGGCGGTGAGCTACGGAAATTCGCTCAAAGTCGTCTACCGTATGGCCGATGTTTGGCAATTTGACGGATTGAGTGCGTGGCAATTCAATATCCACCGATATTGTACGATTGTTTGCAGTCATCGAACTCATTTTCATGGCCTCCTTCTCGCTATTCTTCACCGTAATCCTTTGTGTGCTAACGAATCGACGCGTTCGTCGATGTTGTTATTGGTGCACTCATTGCAAACCGAAACCACGGAGCCGATTCCATTATGTAAAAAAAAAGTGGATCGACAATATTCATTTACGATTTGCAGAAAGAACTCGAAGCGTGCGCGGCTGTTAACGACGAAGAAGCGTTGATTGCGAAACTTGATCAAAAACAGAAGATTGTGGTGATTGAGGTTGGTTGCCGAGGCGATATTGTAGGTTTACGAAACTTTTACCTCAGAATCTGACGAAAGATTTTGGGAAAACGAGAGCGTTGAACGCGTTTTCGGTCGCGATTGCTCATGAAGAATGTTTTGGACTTCTTGGCGCGAATGGAGCCGGAAAAACGACGGCTTTCGATATTATCACTGGCCTAAAACAGGCGTCCGGCGGAAAAGTGATTGTGGACGGGAAGAATATCAAGAAGAGGATTGTACGTTTGAACGTTTGGGCTACAGTACTCTTTGGAGTGGTGCTAGAGAAAAGTTGTCAACTGGAAAAATGAAGTTTATAAAAAGTACTATAAATTTGTAGTTGACAACTTTTTTGTACGCTCACTCCTAAGAGAACTGTAGCTCTTAGAAGTTGGAGGACGAGTTTGCGACACCGAAAATGCATTCCGAACTTCCAAGAGCTACAGTAACCCAGGAAGTGGGCGTACGCAAATGTTGTCAACTAGCAAAATAAAGTACAATTAATGAACTTTATTTTTGTACTTGACAACTTTTTTGTACAATCACTGCCTGGCCTACTGTAGCTCGTCGAAGTTTGCCATCTTCAGAACGTTGGCTACTGTCCGCAATTCGACGCGCTTCTCGATCAGATTTCCGGACGACAAACTTTGAGAATAATGGCACGACTTCAAGGATATCGAAACATCAATAAAATTGTCGAATTGGTGTTGGAGTGTATTGGAATGAAGAGGCACGGAGACAAGATGATCAAGAATTGCAGGTGAGTGAGACCCAACTTTCAAGCGCTACAGTACTTCAGGGAGCAGTTTCAGCAAAAAGTTGTCAACTAGAAAAGTGAAGTGCGTCACTTGAACTCTAATTTTGTAGTTGACAACTTTTCGCCACAACCACTCGCAGCCGCTCAACAATACTCGTTTGCAGTGGCGGCCAAAAGCGGAAGCTGTCCGTCGCCGTCGCGCTCATCTCTCGTGCCAAGTGCGTTGTGCTCGACGAGCCGACGGCCGGAATCGACCCGCGAGCGCGTCGTGAAATCTGGGACATTTTGCACGCGATCCGCGTCCAGTGCCGCTCCTCGATCCTCCTCACGTCGCATTCGATGGAGGAATGCGAGGCGTTGTGCACGCGGATCGGCGTGCTCCGCCACGGAGAAATGATCGCCGTGGGCACGAGTCAAGCGCTCAAATCGCAATATTCCAACCATTTTGTGATGACGTTCACTTTGCGCGGAGAAGTGGACCGCGAGGCCGTGTGCACGACGGTGCTCGCCGAAATGCCGCACGCGGAACTGAAGACGTCGGACACGAGTTTGGGATTGAACCTCGTTTGGGAGGTGAGCAGGCGCACTTGCAACACGCGGGCTGTGTCGATTTACGCGGCGGCGGCGGCGGCCGATTAAAGGACCAGGGAACCCAAAAATTTTTTGATTTTTTTGTGACTGCTTGAATTGTCTCTTATTGCCACTCATACACTGGTGAAATGCTGCCTCTCAGAAATGCCAATGAACGAAACGGCTTGCAGTTGAAGTTGTGGCCGTGGCCTAGCGCCAATGGCCTAGAAATATGCGCTTCTCGGCCATTTTATTTTTTCCGCTTTTTTACCGGTTTTTTTCCAAAAATTCACGGTTTCTCCCATTTTTCAGTTGATTGACATTTGTTCGGCACTTACTCATTTTTTTACTGTTAAAAAATTGTTTTTATTCAGTCGATACACGAAGTCGCGAGTTTTTCGATTTTATCGCGAAAAAACCGATAAAAAAGCGGAAAAAATTAAAATGGCCGAGAAGCGCATATTTCTAGGCCATTGGCGCTAGGCCACGGCCACAACTTCAACTGCACGCCGTTTCGTTTGGCATTTTTGAGAGGCAGCATTTCACCAGTGTATGAGGCAATAAAAGACTATTCAAACAGTCACAAAAAAATTTCACAAAAAAATCAAAAAATTTTTGGGTTCCCTGGTCATTTAATTTTCAACGGGAGGCCGCGCGTTTTTTCCATGTTTTCTGTAGAATACACCTATTTTTTTGTACGCCTGGAACCTGGATTCGAATAATTAGAGCACTAGCTACGTTTTGGTAACAGAAATCTCGCATATCGTTGAGAATTAGCCGAGTTATTTCGATTTGAACGTTTTGGCCTGGATTTTGATGTTTTTCGAATAGTTTTCGCGAAAACTGCTCAAGAAAACTAACCGCCGGAACCTAGATTTTGTGAAAAAAGATGCAGCGAACATTTTTATCGTTTGTTGCGCTCATGAAATGCAAAATGAGCTGAAATATAAAGGTTTGAAGTTTTGACGAAATGCGAAAAACCTGAAAAACTCTAAATTCGTAAGATATTGTTTTCTAGACGTTTTTCAAGTCAAAAAGAAAGAAAAGTGCATTTTTAGACGTGCAAATTTTCAAAAACAGTTACAACGACACTCCGCAATTTACGAGCGCACTGTGTTTAGCATTAGCGCCCCCTGGGAGACCGTGCGAATGCGATATATTTTTGCAGCTTCCTCGCCTCAAAACCGACAAGTGGTCGACGAAATACGGTGAAGTGGAGGCGTTGGCGAAGAAGGCGCAAGTGGCCGATTACCTGCTCACTCAGGCATCCCTCGAGGACACTTTTATCCGTCTCAACACCGCCGTCTAAACGCTTTTCCTTAATGGTTTTTCGTGATAAACTTTGTACTGTTTTGCAATTCAATTCAATCGGTCTCATTTATTTTTCAAAAAATTCCCAAATACGCTTGTTTGTTTCAGGTTGCAAGTCAAACAAATCCACAAACAAATGGACAGTCTCTGGGAAATCCGGACGTTTGATCGACTTTGGCTGTTTTATGAACTGCACTGTTTTTTCCATTTTCCGACCATAATTCGCATAATTTACATTCATTTTGCATTCATTTATCATTCATCGGTTGTGTTCTGATCATTTTCGACTCGAATTGTCAAAAAAAAAAAATGAGCCGGCCGATATTCTTGACCGTATTTTCATTCGTTAGTCTCATTAAGTCTGTACTTTCGGCTTGTCAATGCCCCGCTATTGGGACCATAGATCAGGCGGGAATTCAAAAAATTTCCTACGCGAATTATCTGTCGAAACGGGCCACTTATTCGCCGGCGGTGACTGTGGATGAGGAGTGCAAGGTTACGGTGGACGTTTCGGCAATGCCAAGTTCCAATTTCTATTTGATGATCTTTCGAACTAATGCCGTACCGATTTTTGTGAGTTTTTTCCCACTACTGACTGTGTAAAATGCACACACACACACGGTCTCCTCAGAGCTGACAATGGGCGCGCAAGTGCGCCCCGCCGAACAGAGCGATAGCTTGGCGCGAAATTCAAATTTTAACAGCAAACTTTGTGTTTTTTGCCAGATTTGCCACGAAAAATCGATAATTTCTCATTTTTCTCTCGATAGACCAATTGTATAGGCTATTACGACGTTTTTAAGCGCTAGAGCGTTAAATTTGGTCAAGCCGCAAATCGAATTTACCCGTTTGAAGGTTTTTGGCTAAAACTGCGTGAATTTCAGTTGCTTTTCGGTAATTTTTGCGGTTCGAGCGCTCAAAATGCTTGTATTTACGTGATTTATCATTCTCAAAACCAATTCTGTCGGAAAGCGGTCAAGAAAGCGCAAAATGAGAAGTGCGGTTTTTAGGCGGCGAAGGCGAAAAAGCGAAATCCGCGAAAAATGCGCCAAAACGTCATTAATTCTGAGAATTAGCACGGTCTCCCACGGCGCGAATGATTTCAATGGAGCGCACTTGCAACAGGCGAGCTGTGTCGATTTACGCGGCGGCGGCCGATTAATTAATTTTCAACGGGAGTTCGCGCGTTCTTTCCATGTTTTCTGTACAATACACCTATTTTTTGTATGCCCGCAACCTGGCGTCGAATAATTAGAGCACTAGCACCGTTTTGGTAACAGAAATCTCGCATATCGTTGAGAATTAGCCGAGTTATTTCGATTTGAACGTTTTGGCCTGGATTTTGATGTTTTTCGAATCGTTTTCGCGAAAACTGCTCAAGAAAACTAACCGCCGGAACCTGAATTTTGTGAAGAAAGATTCAGCGAACATTTTTATCGTTTGTTGTGCTCATGAAATGCAAAATGAGCTGAAATATAAAGGTTTGAAGTTTTGACGAAATGCGAAAAACATCAAAAACTCTAAATTCTGTAAAGAACGGTTTCCGCACAGTAAAATATTGTTTTCTAGACGTTTTTCAAGTCAAAATAAAAGAAAACTGCATTTTTAGACGTGCAAATTTTCAAAAAAGTTACAACGACACTCCGCAATTTACGAGCGCACTGTGTTTAGCATTAGAGCCCCCTGGGAGACCGTGATTAGTGTGTTTTCATGTCGCGCAATCAATCTTATCGTCGTTGACCACAAAAATCATAGAAAACGTGCTCAATTCACGAAAACGCCCGTATAGTCAGCTCCGAAGAGACCGTGTACACATTCAGAATCGTCGTTTCCTTCCAACTTCCAACAAAACCGCAACATTCTCGCCGGCCGGAATAAGTTGCGTCAAAGTTTTGAAAGAGTTTCAATGGCAGTACTACGGCGGAAAAGTGTCGAATATGTCGTTGGCGATGCAAACAAGCGAGTGTGGATGTAAATGGACGTCTACAATTACGCCAACGTATTTGTACAACACTTGTGACGTTATGCGAATTCAGTGTGCTGCGAAGACAGTTGCGACGTACTATAACTGGTTGAATGACACCCAGATAACGATATTTGTAAGACTTTTCGTTTTGTGTGTCGCACACAAAAGTGTAGAAAGCACGTGTGTTCATTCAGAACTCCCGCCATTAAAATTTGAATTTATTTTCGAAGGGCGCTGCGCACCGATTCAAAATTTTCGTTTGCCGCATTTACGCCGGCGTACGCCCATTGGCTGCGTGTCGCCCCTGTGCAAACACCGTTCTAGATATTTTGCGTACTTGGCACCAGATACTACGCGCAATAAGTTGTCCAACGTTTTCGAAATGTTCATGCATTGTTTCTCTGCACTTTGAGCAATAAAATGAACGTTGAACATATTTTTCGCCATGATTAGGCTTAGGCCAGCTGTTTATTTATTCAAATTAGAGAGTGCGAGATTGAAGAGACGCCGACGATGTTCGGTAGGGCGCGCTTGCATGCGCGTAACAGTTCGAACGCTCGTGAGAAAGGGGCGTGGCCTAATCTGAGACGCGTTTTCTGAAAATTGCCGCAATTTCAGCACTTTTTCGCCATTTTTGTGTTTGATATCGACGAATGAAGAGAAATTAAAGAGAGAAAACATTGAAATTTTCGTGAAAACGCCGCGTTTAAGACGTTTTTGGCATATTTCGCAATACGCTCTCCGCGGCCAATTTTGGAATTTTCATACCGGCCGATGTGGATAGTTTTGAGACGAATTGAGTGTCGGAAGTGATTAAGCACGTTAATACAAGTATTTTAAGCGTTCAAACGGCAAAAAGTGTCGGCGAATGACTGAAATTCGCGCATTTTCGCCGCAAAACTTAAAAATCGATTGAATTGATTCATTCTCTGAAAGAAACCTGCTCGTTTTGAGCTCAAAAAATGCGCGATGATTAGTTTAACAAAGTTATGCAATTACATCGTCGAAATCGTACAAAATTTGGGTAATTTTTTTACGAAAAACATGAAAAATAGGGGGTTAAATTTCGAATTTCGCGCCAAAATGATGATAAACCGACCACGCCGCCTTTCTACGTTTTTGGTCGCCGTGAAAGTGTCTCAATCATTGACTTTTTTTTTGGTTTTCAGCAAGCAGTTCTACCGACGATGACATTTGACGATGGCACTTGTGTCGCGGGCAATTGGTACTTCAACAACGAGCTCATGAAGGCGCAATCGTATTCGAATTGCGAACCGCCACGTCGTCTCGACTACACTAATATCACGTCGCCGACTAGCATCTGTTCGTGCCCTCGATTCGAATACGTCTCGCCGGACCTTTCCTGGACCGTCGGCCGCTATTATGATCAGACGTATGCGTGGTGGCACAAGTACACTTACACGCGAGGCGCCGTCAAGTTTGACAGCAGCACGTGCACGCTCTCTATGAGTTGTGCGGTTGCGACGGATGCTCTGATCGTGTTTGGTACTAATATTGCTCCGATAGTTGTAAGTCATCGTTCTTGCTGTCCGTTGTTGTTTTTGAAACGTTTTGTTTTATACCGCGTCCAAAAAGTCTCGGAAAACCCGCAAATCTCGCGGATTTTGCAGTCCAAAAGTCGGCAACAATTTGCGGGAAATTCGGGGTGCGCACAGCTGAACGAGTGTTACCGTACACCATAAAACTACGGTATTTTTTTCGAAAAATTTACCCAAGAATTTTTTTATTTAACCAAGAGAAATTTAAATTTTTTTCAAAAAAATACCGTTGAAAAATTTACCCAAGAAATTTGAAGAATTGCAAATATTCTCGAGAAATTTAAATTTTTTTCAAAAAAATACCGTTGAAAAATTTACCCAAGAAATTTGAAAAAAATTGCAAATATTCTCGAGAAATTTAAATTTTTTTAAAAAAATACCGTTGAAAATTTTTTTCAAAAAAATACCGTTGAAAAATTTACCCAAGAAATTTGAAGAATTGCAAATATTCTCGAGAAATTTAAATTTTTTTTCAAAAAAATACCGTTAAAAAAATTTACCCAAGAAATTTGAAGAATTGCAAATATTCTCGAGAAATTTAAATTTTTTTCAAAAAAATACCGTTGAAAAATTTACCCAAGAAATTTGAAAAAAATTGCAAATATTCTCGAGAAATTTAAATTTTTTTTAAAAAAATACCGTTGAAAAATTTACCCAAGAAATTTGAAGAATTGCAAATATTCTCGAGAAATTTAAATTTTTTTCAAAAAAATACCGTTAAAAAAATTTACCCAAGAAATTTGAAGAATTGCAAATATTCTCGAGAAATTTAAATTTTTTTCAAAAAAATACCGTTGAAAAATTTACCCAAGAAATTTGAAGAATTGCAAATATTCTCGAGAAATTTAAATTTTTTTTCAAAAAAATACCGTTGAAAAATTTACCCAAGAAATTTGAAGAATTGCAAATATTCTCGAGAAATTTAAATTTTTTTCAAAAAAATACCGTTGAAAAATTTACCCAAGAAATTTGAAAAAAATTGCAAATATTCTCGAGAAATTTAAATTTTTTTAAAAAAATACCGTTGAAAAATTTTTTTCAAAAAAATACCGTTGAAAAATTTACCCAAGAAATTTGAAGAATTGCAAATATTCTCGAGAAATTTAAATTTTTTTCAAAAAAATACCGTTAAAAAAATTTACCCAAGAAATTTGAAGAATTGCAAATATTCTCGAGAAATTTAAATTTTTTTCAAAAAAATACCGTTGAAAAATTTACCCAAGAAATTTGAAGAATTGCAAATATTCTCGAGAAATTTAAATTTTTTTTCAAAAAAATACCGTTGAAAAATTTACCCAAGAAATTTGAAAAAAATTGCAAATATTCTCGAGAAATTTAAATTTTTTTAAAAAAATACCGTTGAAAAATTTTTTTCAAAAAAATACCGTTGAAAAATTTACCCAAGAAATTTGAAAAAAAGTGCAAATATTGTCGAGAAATTTTAAAAATTTTCAAAAAAATTACCGTTAAAAAAATTTACCAAAAGAAATTTGAAAAAAATTGCAAATATTCTCGAGAAATTTAAATTTTTCCAAAAAATACCGTAGTTTTACGGTGTACGGTAACACTCGTTCAGCTGTGCGCGCACCCCGGATTTCCCGCAATTTTCTGCCGATTTTGGACGGCAAAATCCGCGAGATTAGCGCGTTTTCCGAGACTTTTTGGACGCGGCATTACAGTATCCGCAAGGTTACGTACCCTACACAACGTGTAAAACGACGCCGCTTGCCACAAATTCGTATTCGATGAAATACTGGTTCGCCGACGGCGTTATGCTTTCCTATCCGGCGTTTGGATGCATCCGTGAGTCGAAAACAATCGAAATTGTCAGCCGAACATCTTTTTCGGCTTCGGTCCTCTTCAGAGGCGTGTGTATGCAGCTACGTCAAACTGTTCAACGATAATCTCGAGCGGCTCGTCTCGAACACCTCTTTTTATCCCTACGCCATCTCGTCGTATCCATTTGAAGCGCCGACAGATAACCGAGCGAATTTTACGAGTTGTCTGACCAGAATCACGTGTCCCACTGGCCACACTTTAGTCAATTTTGACACGCTCGCACAGACTGTGGTAGGCGACAATCGTGATTTGTGTGAAGCTGTAGATCTTTTTCAGATTCCAAGCGGTTCGCTGAACGCCGTTTGCAACAAATCCACAAAGAAATGGACAATATCCGGCAATCCAGACGTCACAGCGTTCGACAGACTTTGGGTGCTTTGTGTGGATTTTAGAGTTTAATGAACGCTTTTCGTTTTACCAAACCAGACTCTATTTGTTGCAAATTAAAAAAAAAAAACAAATGAATCAGTTGAACAATGTATTGAATATTCATAAAATTGTCAATTAGCCAATAGATTTTCGCTCAAAACCGCACACTTTTTGTTGCTGACCGTCCCTCTCTCTCTCTCTCGAGAATGCTAGGACTGACAGCGATACTATGTCTGTATTTACACCTGTCCGGCCGTGTTAAATCGTGTCTGATTGTCCGACCGGCCTACAAAATGAACACGTGTCAGTGTCCGCCGATTGTGTACGCGTCGAATAAAGAAGTCGGAAATCTGGAAGAATCTGCCTATCTTGCCGATAGGCCCAGCTATTATCCGAATGTGACGGTGGCCAACGATTGTACGATTTCTGTGGATGTGTCCGGCGTCGACACCGACAATTTCTATTTTATGATATTTCGCGGCGGGGCTCCACCGATCTTTGTGAGTTTTAAAACTGTTTTGTAGAGATATTGAACAGTAGTAAACTGAAGAAGCTCACAAAATGTGCTGATGAACTTTTATGAACTTTATAGAAACTTATTTTATCAGTTGACAACTTTTATCCAGTCTCGAAAACCCGCAAATCTCGCTGATTTTGCAGTCCAAAATCGGCAGAAATTTGCGGGAAATCCGGGGTGCGCACAGCTGAACGAGTGTTACCGTACACCATAGAACTACGGTATTTTTTTTGAAAAAAATTTTTAATTTCTCGAGAATATTTGCAATTTTTTTAAATTTTTTTGGGTAAATTTTTCAACGGATTTTTTTGAAAAAAATTTAAATTTCACGAGAATATTTGCAGTTTTTTTCATATTTTTTTGGGTGAATTTTTCAACGGTATTTTTTTGAAAAAAATTACATTTCTCGACAATATTTGAAATTTTTTTCAAATTTCTTGGGTAAATTTTTCAACGGTATTTTTTTTGAAAACAAAAAAATTTAAATTTCATGAGAATATTTGAAATTTTTTTAAATTTCTTGGGTGAATTTTTCACCGGTATTTTTTTGAAAAAAATTTACATTTCTCGACAATATTTGAAATTTTTTTTAAAAATTTCTTGGGTTAATTTTTCAACAGTATTTTTTTTGAAAAAAAGTTTAAATTTCTCGACAATATTTGCAATTTTTTTAAATTTTTTTGGGTAAATTTTTCAACGGTATTTTTTTGAAAAAAATTTAAATTTCTTGACAATATTTGAAATTTTTTTCAAATTTCTTTGGTAAATTTTTCAACGGTATTTTTTTTGAAAAAAATTTAAATTTCTCGAAAATATTTGCAATTTTTTTCAAATTTTTTTGGGTAAATTTTTCAAAAAAATACCGTAGTTTTATGGTGTACGGTAGCACTCGTTCAGCTGTGCGCACCCCGAATTTCCCGCAATTTTCTGCCGATTTTGGACTGCAAAATTCGCGAGATTTGCGGGATTTTCCGAGACTTTTCGGACGCGGCACAAGGAAATAAACGAATTCAGAGCGCTCGATTCACCAGCTCATCGGACAAGTCTCAAAAGTTCCAACCAGCCGGAATATCCTGTGTTCAAGTTGACAATGAATACAATTGGGACTACTACGGCGGCAAAGTCGCCGACATGTCGTTCGCCGTGCAAACCAACGACGACATGTGCAACTGTGGCCCGTGGAGAACCGAAAGTGGAGCAGTGGTCACTGAACTCGGCGGAATGTGTGATATTATGAAGGTCACTTGTCCGAATGCAACTAACATTGTGGACTTTATGAATCAAATCAACGCGTGGAACTATATTGTGAGTTCCGTTTTTTTAAACCTTTTCAACGCTTCCGTTCAGATGAGTTATTACAACCAAACCGTCTCCACATTGGCCACTTGCGTTGGTTCCCGATGGTATTACAATGGAGTCATCCTCTCGGATCCATCGATTGGGTGCACTGACTCTGTGAACGACATTTATGGCTTCAATACTGCTGAAGATTACTGTAGCATTACAACCGAAACCCCCGCACAAAATGATACTTTTCAATTTCAGTGCAAGACGGTACTTGTACTTGTCCGGTCATTCGCGACATTTCCGCTAATACACGCTTTCTGGAAGTTTATTACGCTCAGGACGCGTTTGCAAACTATACAATTGACGCGGGAGCTATAGGTTATACGGATAAATGCGGCGAAGCCAGTATCTCGTGTCCGAACGGGGATGTACTGACGATTTTCAGTAGGAACTACGATGCAATGATTGTAAGTTCCAAGGCTCTCCACAAATCCGTTTTTTTTTAATTTTTATCCCCGCAAAAAAAACGAAAAAATAGATTTCCCCCAAAAATTTGAATTCGCGCCTTTTGAGCCGGGCCGGGCCAGCAAATTTTCGGCCCGCCGGGCCGGCCCGTAATTTGGCAAGTCTGAATTTATGTTATCATGACGCTTGCTTCTTTATGGATTGCTCAATCCATGCCGCACGCTTGCCGCACCCATGCCCTCCTTGCTGCGCGCGTGCGCGCGTTCTCAGTTCTGATTATTGATTTCTGTTGCACATTGGAGGCAGGCTGAGTCGACACATACTACTACGACGCTGAACTTTTCGAAAATTGCAGAGATTTCGGCGTTTTTTCGTCAAGCACGGTCCGAACCAGAGACGGAAGAATTTTTATCTTTTTTAGAAAATTTTTTCATGAAATGTGATCAACTGACGAAATGTAGAGCAAAGTGAACTCTGCTTATAGAAAAATAATTGTAAATTTAACGATTCATACAAAAAAGTTATTCGAGTTGTTGCGTGAAAATGTCCTTCCGTCTTCCGTTAGCCCTTAACTTTTTTGTATGAATCGCTAAATTTACAATTATTTTTCTATGAGCAGAGTTCACTTTGCCATACATTTTGTCAGTTGATCACATTCCATGAAAAAATTTTCTAAAAAAGATAAAAATTATTCCCTGTTCTTCCGTTGAGTTGTTCCGCTCAACTCTGGTCCAAACAACATTTTCAGTACAACAAATCCAACCCGGCACCCGCCATCTCGTGTAATCCATTCTCTAACATCGTGGGTACCCACAATTATTGGTTCGTCGATGGAATCATGCTACTCGAGCCTGCGTTCGCGTGTCTTTGTCGGTAAATGTTTGAGCGCTTCCAAGTTTTTGTGATATTCTAGCAACTGGCTCGTGTCCGTGCTCCCACGCGAGTTTGGATGAGAGCAATATGCAAGAGCTGATTGGAAATCATTCATTCTACCAGAACACTTCACTCTACTTGAATCGTCCCGTTAATGACATTTGTGATGGGAACGCGTGTCCGGATATTATCGATTGTCCCGTTGGATTCATTCTGGTTGCTTTTGATACAAACGACGCTAAACTGGTTAGTTTGCCTCATGTTACGATTGTTAGGATTCTTGTTACAGTATCCATCGGGCAACATCACTCCAACTTGCTCGCCGAGCTCCAAAACTTGGACAGTGGGCTCTGATGAGCTCTCGAGGCTCTATGTGATCTGTGTGGACTTTAGTAGTCTGCCAACATCGACTGAAGGCGCAACAACAACAAGCACAACTACTGCTGGTAGGAATTCTAGTCGGAACTCATAAATCCCCGTCTTTTTCTTTCAGATCCGAACGTCTGTCAATGTGAACTTGCCAATCTGGACGCGTCGAACATTAAGGATCTAGTGGGCACCCACTCATTTTATGAAAATGTCACTTCTCATCCGTTCGAACCGCCAAACGAGCAGTGCTACAACGAGATTTGTCCGAATATTGTCGAGTGTGCCGCCGGGTACACACTGGTCGTGTTTGACACAACAGACGCTATTCTGGTATGTACATTGAATGTTTTCGGAAAGTACGTCTTTCCTAATGCCGCGTCCAAAGTCTCGGAAACGCCGCAAATCTCGCGGATTTTGCAGTCCAAAGTCGGCAGAAGTTTGCGGGAAATCCGGGGTGCGCACAGCTGAACGAGTGTTACCGTACACCATAAAAACTACGGTAATTTTTTTGAAAAATTTATCCAACAAATTTGAAAAAAATTGCAAATATTGTCGAGAAATTTAAATTTTTTTCAAAAAAGAAATACAGTTGAAAAATTTACCCAAGAAATATTAAAAAAATTTCAATTTTTTTCGAGAAATTTAAATTTTTTTCAAAAAAATACCGTTGAAAAATTTACCCAAGAAATATTAAAAAAATATCAATTTTTTTCGAGAAATTTAAATTTTTTTCAAAAAAATACCGTTGAAAAATTTATCCAAGAAATTTGAAAAAAATTGCAAATATTCACGAGAAATTTAAATTTTTTTCAAAAAAATACCGTTGAAAAATTTACCCAAGAAATTAAAAAAATTTTCAAAAAAATTTTCGAGAAATTTAAATTTTTTTCAAAAAAATACCGTTGAAAATTTATACAAGAAATTTGAAAAAAATTGCAAATATTCACGAGAAATTAAAATTTTTTTCCAAAAAAATACTGTTGAAAAATTTAGCCAAGAAATTTGAAAAATTTTTCAAATATTGTCGAGAAATTTAAATTTTTTTAAAAAAATACCGTTGAAAAATTTATCCAAGAAATTTGATAAATTGCAAATATTGTCGAGAAATTTAAATTTTTTTCAAAAAAATACCGTAGTTTTATGGTGTACGGTAACACTCGTTCAGCTGTGCGCGCACCCCGGATTTCCCGCAATTTTCTGCCGATTTTGGACTGCAAAATCCGCAAGATTTGCAGGTTTAAAGTACTTTACTCTTTTTTTCAGTACAACGACAGCATCACGCCCTACTGCTTCCCGGACACGAAACGATGGAGGGCCAACTCGATCGACTTTGACACACTTTACTCGGTCTGTGTCGACTTTTCGATTGTGTACACAAGCACAAGTGAGGCGCCGCCGGTTACTGTAGACATGAACCGATGCGAATGCCCTCCAATCCGGTTGATCGATCAGGCGGGAATCGAACGATTGGAGGCATCCGCGTACTTGAGCCATCGCGCCACTTTTGCGCCGAACGTGATTGTCGATGACGAGTGTGAGGTGTCAGTCGACGTTTCGTCCATGCAAATCACCGACTTCTTCTTCATGATCTTCCGATCTGAAGCTCCGCCCATTTTTGTAAGTTTGCGCCAGAGTTGAGCGGAAGAACTCAACGGAAGAACACGGAAGAATTTTTATCTTTTTTAGAAAATTTTTTCATGGAATGTGATCAACTGACGAAATGTAGAGCAAAGTGAACTCTGCTTATAGAAAAATAATTGTAAATTTAGCTTTTCATACAAAAAAGTTATATTCGAGTTGTTCCGTGAAAATGTCCTTCCGTCTTCCGTTAGCCCCTTTTTCACGGAACAACTCGAATAACTTTTTTGTATGAAAAGCTAAATTTACAATTATTTTTTTATGAGCAGAGTTCAGTTTGCTATACATTTCGTCAGTTGATCACATTTCATGAAAAAATTTTCTAAAAAAGATAAAAATTCTTCCGTTGAGTTCTTCCGCTCAACTCTGGTTTGCGCTCAGCTACTCTCACCAAAATTCACTGTTTAGAACCGTCGTTTCTCGTCGCTCACCAACAAATCCGTCCCGTTCACACCGTACGGACTGTCGTGTGTCCAGGACGGATCCGAGTGGCAATGGCAGTATTTTGGCGGAAAAGTCGACGATTGCGCGTTTGCGCTCCAACAAACCGATTGTGGCGAATGCTCGGCGATTTCGACGACGTCTGGCGCTATTGTATCGCAACAAAATGGACAGTGCGACGTGCTGAACGTTCAGTGCACCGACGGAGGCGATACTTTGTACTACAGCGAAACACACAATTCTTTCGTCGTGAGTTGGGGGATGAAATGAATACGAGTTTAGCGGGTTCCCACTTCCACGCGCTACACTACTCTGAGGAGTGGTTTTAGCGAAAAGTTGTCAACTGCAAAAATAAAGTTCACACCTTTTTCTATAATTTTGTAATTGACCACTTTTTGATACAAACACTCCTTGAGGTACTGTAGCGCTTGAAAGTTTGCCCACTTTTCAATTGCAGCTTTCCCATTCTCAAGAAGCGGTTACAAACGAGGCGACGTGCGTGGGCGGAGCCTGGTATCTTAATGGAATCCTGCTCAACGACGACGTCACATTTGCGTGTTCAGACTATATTAACCTCGTGGCGGCGACAACGATGACTTATGGTAAAAACGTTTTCGGGTCTCTAAAAATTGCCGTTAAATTTGCAGTCGGCTCTGCTTGCGGCTGTCCTCAAATCACCGACTTGTACGATATCCGTGAGTACCTGCAACTCTATGACACCGACAATATCTATGCCAACCACACGATTGACGCCGGAAAAGTCGCCTACAGAAATTGGTGCGCGAGCCCGATTATTTCATGCGCCGGATCGGCAAATTTGGTGATTTTCGGACGAAATGTCAAGCCGAGAGTGGTAAAAAAAATACGATTTACACGGAAAACATGCCAAAATGTATTACAGTACCCCGCCACCGAGCAACCGTACACAATTTGCTCGAGATCGCCGCTCGGAATCGACGAGCAAAACGCTCAAATGTTCTGGTTTATCGACGGAATTATGTTGACCGAAGCGGCGTTTGCGTGTGTTACCGCTCCTTGATATTGCGTTTTTTTTTTCGAATAAATGTCTTGAATATCGGTTTTTAACAATAAAATTAGTGTTTTTTGCCAGATTAGCCACGAAAAATCGATAATTTCTCATTTGTCTCTCGATAGACCGATTGTATAGGCTATTACGAATTTTTTAAGCGCAAGAGCGTTAAATTTGGTCAAGTCGCAAATCAAATTTATCCGTTTGAAGGTTTTTCGCTAAAACTGCGTGAATTTCAGTTGCTTTTCGGTAGTTTTCGCGGTTCGAGCGCTCAAAATGCTTGTATTTACGTGATTTATCATTCTCAAAACCAATTCTGTCGGAAAACGGTCAAGAAAGCGCAAAATGAGAAGGCGAAAAAGCAAAGTCCGCCGAAAAATGCGCCAAAACGTCATTAATTCTGAGAATTAGTGTGTTTTCATGTCGAACAATCTTTTCTCATCGCCGTTGACCACAAAAATCAGAAAAAACCTGCTCAATTTATGAAAACGCCATTTGGCCGCCGAGGCCACGCCCATTTTGTCAGCTCTGGAGACCGAGTCTAGCTTCTTTTCGGGTGGACAAACTTTGCTGGGTTAGTGTACGTTCTGGAGACGTATTTTTTAAAAAGTGTAGAAAAAAAAGTAGTACAATCCATTTTTACTTTTATAAAACGTGCTGAGGTAGTCGTCATTCGGTTACATTACATTGCAATCGTGGATCCAGAAGTGCCGCCAGTTGCGCCAGACGTTCCAGTACTTGCAGAAGTTTCATCTGAAATAAACGCGCTCGCTTTTCCGATTTTGTCCATCCATTCGCGCCTCACCTTTCTTTCCCTTCTTGCCCTTTTTTCCGCCCTTTTTGCCCTTTTTGGCCTTTTTCACTTTGACTTTGCGCGCACGTGGCAAGTGTTTGAGACGGGCGGTCAGCAGGCATTTCGTAATCGAAATGTGGCAAATCATGACGAGGATCGAGAAGATGAGGCCGGCCACGAGTCCCGCGATCATCGGCGTCGGAATCGATTCGCCGACGACCGTGCCCGCCGATGGTTCCGAGTCGGACGAGGAGGGCATCTGAAGCGACGCGTTTTTATCCGCGAATTTATCGATTGACCTCACCTTTTTGTTTCCCGTTCAAGTTCACAATGTGAATAGCAAATCGATGAAGAATAACCGGCAATGCTCCTCCTAAACCGTTATCTTTTTCCTTGCGTGGACACGTGGCAAAAGGTCAAGGATCCAGAAACTTCGCTGAAAGTTGCAACGTGAAGATTTAGAAAAGAAGAAGAAACAAAAAAATATTACGAGTTTTGTTCAACATGAACGTGAGTACATGGACTTTTAATGGACCAGGGAGCCCTGCGCGTGTGGCCGTGGCCTAGAAAAATCCCAGGCCATGCGATCTTTTCCGGGTGTTTTTGCATTCGGCGCAATCCGCAGCAGATCACGGTCTCCAGAGCGTGGCCTCGGCGACCAAATGGCGTTTTCATAAATTGAGCAGGTTTTCTCGGATTTTTGTGATCAAAGGCGATGAAAAATGATTATTCGACATGAAAACATACTAATTCTCAGAATTAATAACGTTTTGGCGCATTTTTTGCGGATTTCGCTTTTTCGCCTTCTCATTTTGCGCTGTCTTGACCGTTTTCCGACAGAATTGGTTTTGAGAATGATAAATCACGTAGATACAAGCATTTTGAGCGCTCGAACCGCGAAAACTACCGAAAAGCACAGCAGCGGAAACGCACCGACATTCCGGCTCCTTGCAATGGAGCGCACTTGCACAGTCCCTTCGCTGGCTGCTTTCTTTTGAAAAAAAAATTCTTCTCACTATTCAAACGCAATTTATGAGCGCAACCATATCACTTCGAAAAAAATTATATTGATCTGAATATTAATATTATGAGAAACCGAAAATTACAACGGACTACAAAAAGAGAATCGGATTCACAATTGAATAAAGAGATATATTTGACAGAGAGAGAGAGAAAGAGAAGCAACTGAAATTCACGCAGTTTTACTCAAAAACCTTCAAACGGATAAATGTGATGTGCGACTTGACCAAATTTGACGCTCTTGCGCTTAAAAAATTCGTAATAGCCCTATACAATCGGTCTATCGAGAGACAAATGAGAAATTATCGGTTTTTCGTGGCTAATCTGGCGAAAAACACAAATTTTGCTGTTAAAATTTGAATTTCGCGCCAATGTATCGCTCTATTTGGCGGGGCGCACTTGTGCCCATTGTAAGCTCTGGAGACCGTGGCGCAGATGTTGTCAAACATTCACACAAATCAGCAGTCATGCAAGAGCATCAGACTGCCAACAGGGAAGAGTTTTCGCGCCAGAGTTTTCTAGTCCACGGCCAAAACTTTTAACTGCGCTTCCATTACCCGGACGCCATTTTTTGCATTCAATCTTTCATTCTTTCCAGACCCTTCTCATCCTGCTCGTCCTCTCGCCCGCAATTCTGGCGAAACCGCAATCGATCGAGATCAGAGGACGTCTTTTGTGCCGCGAAAAGCCGGTGCAGTACGCCGAACTGCTACTCTACGACTATTCGAGTTTTGGTCAGTTTTCGGGCGATAATTTTAGCACTTTCACGGGTTCTCACCTTGCCAGACACGCAAAGTTGGTACGCGTGGCAAAAACAACAATATCCATCGTTTAGGCCCGGACTTCATTCTGGCGCGTGACGTGTTCGCCGACGCCGGCGGCTACTTTGTGATCCGCGGATCGACGGAAGTCGCGTACGATATGCGCGGCAAGCTCCAAGTGATGCACCAATGTTTCGCCAAGCCCGAAGAAAAATACGATCCGTGCGTGCGGAAGTTTGTCGTCGACGTGCCGGCGGCGTTGGTGACGGACGGAGTGTTCCCGCGCACGTGGCACATGTCCGACATTCGGCTCGAGGATGTTGGCGATCAGTGGACCGAGTGTCCGTGATTGACCTCTTTTTACGCGTCGAATAAAGAAATGTATCGAAAAAGAGTTTTAAGACATTTCAAAACCGAATCAGAACACTATTAGGCCAGCAAATTCTTCAAAATAAGAACGAAAACGTGAAACATTCGAAAACCATTGAAGCAATTATTACGCATTCGTTGCAACATGAAGGTAAGTCTTCGAAAAAACGTTTTTGTTGGTCAAGTTCCAAGTTTTCTGGGGCCATTCACTGAGAACACATTTGTTATTTCCAGACCCTTCTCATCCTGCTCGTTCTTTTGTCCTCAATTCTGGCGAAACCGCTGTCGATCGAGATCAAAGGACGTCTTTTGTGCCGCGAAAAGCCGGAGCAGTACGCCGAACTGCAACTCTCTTTCTACGTGACTTTGGGTCAGTTTTTGCGTTGAAAAAGCGAAATTTTGGAGCGAAATTGTATAACATTCGATAAATCGACGTTTCAAAGTGAATGCGCTGTGATTCTTTGCGAGGGTGACGAGGAAAAGTCGAGTACATTCGGAATTTTTGCGAGTTTCTCGTTGCTCTTTGTTAGTTTTGATCATAATGAACTCGTTCCCAAAAAATCAAGTAAAATAAATCAGTATTGTTCGAACAGCACGCATCAGAAGTTTTGGCGCACAGAAGAAGAGAGCGCGCCGCCGTCCGCCGCCAGTCATATTTTGAACAAAGCTGTTTTGGCAGTGATCCCTAGACATTTTTGCGAGTTTCTCGTTGCTCTTTGTTAGTTTTGATCATAATGAACTCGTTCCCAAAAAATCAAGTAAAATAAATCAGTATTGTTCGAACAGCACGCATCAGAAGTTTTGGCGCACAGAAGAAGAGAGCGCGCCGCCGTCCGCCGCCAGTCATATTTTGAACAAAGCTGTTTTGGCAGTGATCCCTAGACATTTTTGCGAGTTTCTCGTTGCTCTTTGTTAGTTTTGATCATAATGAACTCGTTCCCGAGAAATTAGAAAAAATGAATCGGTATTCTTCGAACAGCACGCATCAGAAGTTTTGGCGCGCGGAAAAAGGCTTGGGGAGCGCGCCGCCGGCCGGCGAAATAAGCAGCCGACAGTTCACAAGACGACGGCCGAACTTTCTCCTTCTCCTCACTGCACACACTCGCAAAGAATCTGAGTTTTAGTCGTTTTTCATTTGAATTCAGAATAGAATTTTCTCTGTTTTCTATTGACGCCGGGCAGGAGATCACATTCACCTCAAAAGGCCGCGATAATAGTTTGAAATTGCAATCGAGTTCCCCCAAAACTTTGAGATTTTCAGGGCAGAGTTTCATTCTGGCGCGTGACGTTTTCACCGACGCCGACGGCTACTTTTCGATCCGCGGATCGAAGGATTTGTCGTACGAAATGACGGGCCGTCTCCAGGTGAGCCTCAATTCCGAATTCCGGAACCGAAAAATGTTATTTCTGTTCCAGGTGCTGCACCGATGTTTCGCCCAGCCCGAAGAGCAACACGATCCGTGCGTGCGCAAGTTTGAGGTCGACGTGCCGGCGGCGCTCGTGACGGCCGGAGTGTTCCCGCGCACGTGGCAAATGTCCGACATTCGGCTCGAGGATGTCGGCGGTCAGTGGACCGAGTGTCCGTGATTGACCTCTTTTTACGCGTCGAATAAAGAAATGTATCGAAAAATGAGAGACTGACAGTTTCAAAATTTTTATTCGTTTTCAGCTTAACACCTCAGGTAAAATTTCAAACTTTTCTTAGCTATTTTCAAACTTTTCCAGGCGCCACCTAAGAAATTCTTGGAAAAGTTTGAGAATTTCTGGAAAAAGTCTGAGAATTTCTGGAAAAAGGCTTAGAAAAGTTTAAGAATTTCTGGAAAAAGTCTGAGATTATCTTGAAAAAGTTTAAGAAAGGCTTAGAAAAGTTTTTAGTGCTTCAGAAAATTTGAAAAGGTCTTGGAAAAGTTTTTGTCTTGAGAAAGTTTGAAATTTTACCTGAGACTGATGGAAAAAAACGTTCAAAACAATTATGCCGAAATGACAGAAAGCTGAAATTGGGGATCCTTAGTTTCTGCAGAATTTCGTTGAAAAAATGCGATAACGGATGGTCGATAACTGATGTGAGCGGCGAGAATCCAGACAAACGGGGTGTAAAATATCGGTTTTGTGCCCATTTCGGCCCAAAGCCAACTTTTCTTCTCGATCATTCCGGATATCATCGGTGAAAAGTAAAGTGTCTGCAGAAAAAATGGTATTTAATTAGCTCAAAACAGTACATTTTACCGTCGACAAGACGGCTTGTACAAGCGCATTAATAAAATGGCAAATTTCCGAAATGTTCAAATTTTTCCGATGTCCACAAAAACACCACCACCAAATGAACCAGACGATCAAATTGAGCCAAATGAAGAGAATCAAGTACAGATCGAGAGGGTAAAACATCTAGAAGTCAACGTGTTTACGATTTTTGAAATTTCAGACTTACAAGTGTGATTTTAGGCACGCTCCATACGACAAATTGAAGATTTAGTGAAATTCTGGCGAGCACGAACGCTGTTTTATAAGCGACAAGTAAGATTGGCAGAGCGAAAACTATACTTTTCCTGAAATTCATACACTTTTTCTTCGTTGGATTTTAAAGAACACATTCGGTCACTTTTTAATCTTGTACACACAAATGACGAGTGTACTTTTTCTCGAGTACAGCGAAAGAATTTGTGCGATAACAAAGCCCATAAGAATTTCCCAATGAAGAAAACTGATAAATAGGTTGAAAAGGAATAATAAGTTTAGTATTGCGCTCCATGTGATATAAGCGAGCGGAATGTATTTGAGACAAACGAGCGGAGGAAAAATGTACATGGCCACGTGGAAATTGACGAGTGGACGGTATTGCCTCATCTGAAATTCATTTTGAAACACCTGTACAGAAGCGTAACTCTGGGAACTCGATTGAAATCTAATTAGAAGATTTTGCAATCTAAAATGAACTCGTTTGAAATAGAATTTGCCTCACTTAGATTGCAACCGCTTCTAATTAGATTGCAATTGAGGTACTCGAAACCAAGATTAACAATTCAAAATTAACCCAAATTCTGCACGATTTCGACACTTGATGTCTTGCGAATGAGTTCATTATGATGTAAACTAACAAAGAGACACAAAAAGCGCGCACGAGCAGTCATATTTCGAACAAAGCTGTTTTGGCACTGATCCCTAGACATTTTTGCGAGTTTCTCGTTGCCGCTTGCGAGTTTCAATCATAATGAACTAGTTCCCAAAAAATTAGGAAAAATGAGTGAGTATTCTTCGAACAGCACGCATCAGAAGTTGCGGCGCACAGAAAAATACTCGAAATTTTTATCTTTCTCTAATCACCGTGTACAAACCCGAAAAACGTTTCAAAAAACAAACATTTTTTGAGAAAATGCCATTTTTCACGTATAGAATCAACATTAATAGAGAGAATAGAGAGTCGTATTGGAAGAACTTCCATTCCTCTTGATATTCAACTTTGTATTTAAGAAAAGTTAAACTCCAAAAAGAAGGAGCTGTTGCCATGGAATAATGAAAATGAAACTGCGATTTTGCAGCTCTGGTTCATTTTTGATTAAATGTTTCACCTGTTACACACTCTGAATTTCAGAGACGAGTTGTATAGGCTGTGAAAAAAATTGATTGTTTTCCGTTTTTTTACCTCAAAAAATCCAATTCAGCGATGTAAAAAAAAACGAAAAAAAACGGAAAACAAACATACGCTGAATAGCCCCATAATAAAATAAAGAAATGTACGTACGCTTGAAGTTCGAGATCTTCTGAAAAGTGAACTTAAAGCTTTTTTGGACGCAAACAACATACCGGAGTCTTCTAAAGTCGTGGCTGAAGTTAGCAAAACTGACGCAGCGAGTACCTTTTTGACGAACCACTCGTGTCTCTGCCACAGCTTGATCTGGACGTTCGCACGCTTCATTGTCCAGCGGATAACGGAAAAGCTCAAATTTTTTGATTTTTCAAACGATTGATTGTGGAGAGCACAGAAACGGGAGGAAAAGACTAGGGTGTTTGCGAAAACTAGACAAGAAAATCTCGATTTGAATGGCAACTTGTGACAATGAGTGGGGGGAATATGGCAACCTAAAGGGGACAAAAAGGAAAATGGCAAAAAAACTGGTGGTAAGTACATATTTCTCAGGGAAAATAAAGACTATGCTAAAAATCATCACTATTGGGCCGGAATTTTCTGGAAAATACTGAAAAAAATGCGGTAAAATCACTAAACATCTAGAAACAAATGTTCTTATCATCTACAATATCTACAGTAGTCCTAATTAGTCGTGTCTCTGGTACTCTTCGACTCCGCGCTCAAACTGGTACTTCATCATTTCCGACATTTTTCGCGCCCGCTCTTCCGCCTCGATTTTCTCGTTTTCCACTTCCAAAAGACGCTTTTCCTCCTCTTCGGCTTCCTTTCGTCGTTGCGCTTCTGAAATTCACATTTTTGGACACTTTGCAACCAATTTTTGGTAGCGAAGAGTAAAAAATTTTTAAGGGGCATTTCGCAGCTAATTTTTGAGTACATTTGCAAAGTTTTTGGTTGCAAAACGTCCTGGAACGGAAAAAATGGCTTACCGAGCTCCAGGAGACGTCGTTCCTCGTCTTTTTTGACGCGCGAGACGATGGCGGCGATGAGGGCGGCTCCGCGTCCCGATCCGTCTCCGGTTTGCACGATTTTGAACTGAATCATGAAAATTAGCTTGGAAATCACTCGGACAACGTCATTTCGAAATTATTTGAAGGGGGAAATGAATGGGAAAGGCTGGATTCAAGTTTTCGATAAAAATATACGAAAGATCTGACTTTCCGCTCAAAATCCCTATTTTTTGAGCGGAAAAACGAGTGGTGGCCTAGTTTTTGCAGGAGCTGGCCTAGAAAGCCCGACTCACATCGAGTCCCGGGTCGAGCAGTTCGCGAATCTTCTCGCAGACCCAGTGGTTGAAGAACGGATGATATTTGTAGGTGGATCCGTCGATTGCGACGAGCATATTCGGGCGGCGCACTCGATTCAGCACACAGGCGATCGCTGAAAGCAATGGACGTGGCCTAGGTTCCTAGGCCTGGGAAAACTGACCGGCGGCCGCCAAATTGGCGCTTCTTCGCGAGACGACGACGCAAACCTCTCTGAGCAGGAGCATATCGCTGAAAGTGGCGCCCTCGATGCCCAGCTCGTCCATGATTTGACGCGTGTTACTGTACACTCCGCAATCGTCACTGAAATCGAATTTATTGGAAATTTGCTTTTGAAAACTGTAAAAACTCACTGTAAAATTTCGGAAATGTACTTTGTCGGGAACGTGTTCGGCGTTTTGAGCAGTTTCGAGCCGACTCCGTTGAAGAGCACTTTGTTGGCGGTGAGCCGTTCGAGCACCAGCCGAACGAGCTCGCCCATGCACATTCCGGCGATCAGCTTGTCCAGTCTGCAATGTTTTTGTGTGTTTCTGTGCAATCACACTGAATTTGACGACGAAACGCAGAAAACGTACGAATTGACGCCGGGATGGTCGGATTTCGAGTCGACAATTTTATCGTATCGCGTGAAAATGTAATCCGCCTCTCCGCGATCGCCGAATCCTCCCCACTCCGTGTCGATGATCATCTGAATGGCATCGTTCAAAGTGTATTGTTTAATAAAGTACCGTTTTATGATTGTACTGTTCGGTGGCGTTTGCCAATCCGTGCACAATGTTCTTCGAGTGTTCCATGTACGAGGCGTTCGTTCCGGTTCCTGAAATTTGAAAAAATGTTGTTTTAAAACATTTTCATATTTGTTTAACCGATAATAACGCCGATATCGCACTGGCCGCCGGCTTCGTACGCCGCCGCCACCATCGTTCCGACCGTATCGTTAATCAGCGCCACTATCGTCACTTTTACGCGCTGAAAATGTACTTTTTTGAAAGGTTTTATTAGAACAAGTTCAAAAATTCCCACCCCGTCGCGTTTGATGGCATTCTCAAGCAGTTGCACAACGTCTTCGCCCACGCATCCGGTCGCCGTCACTCCTTTCGTCCATCTAAACGACAAAAATGAGTTACTGTAGTTCCGCACGGGTTGGTGTTTGCACAAAATGCACCGGATCTCACGACAATTTGCAGAAAAATGGGGGGAACCTGAGAAGAGTGGCCGATCGGAGTCCGGTCTGGTCGCACGGGTAGGAAAAAGTGAATCCGACGGGCAAATCCTCGTCGGCCAGGTCTCTTTCGATCAGAAAATCGCCCAGCGCCTTTGCGATATAGTCGAACAGCTGAAATTTGGCAGAGTTGTTCGAAATTCATAGGTGAAAATGGCACTTTTTCGCCGGTTCCGTGCATCGCCGCATTCGGCATTCTCGTGTTGAACTGCTTCGTGCGCATCGGCTCGCCGGGCTCCAGTTCCATGAGCATCACTCGCAAATTCGTACCGCCCAAGTCCATCGCCACGAATTTGCCGCGTTCTGCGTTTTTTAACGGTTTTTCAGGAGATTTCAGGTTTTCACATTTTTACCTTTTCCATTGGGTAATTCGGGTACAAACGAGGGCAACATCGCTATTGTGGACCTCTCGAGACCGGACTCGAGGCCCCTGTCCATATTGTCCGACATGTGCGACATCATTCGGCGGAGCGTCGTATTCGAGAGCTTGAATTCGGCCATCACGGATTCCAACTGAACATTTTTCGAGTTTTTGAGGATTTTCTGTGGTTTCAGTGCTAATTTTGAGCCGATTTTGTAATCCCATTCAAAAAGCACATTTTTTGCACAAAAAATTAAAAAAAAACGCACCGAAATGGACTCCTCGTTCAATTTCGACGCCATTTTGGCGAGCGGCGTCGCCGGAGCACCCCTCGGGCTCTTTTTCGTCTGCTGTTGGGCTTGTGACCGCCATATCCTGCAAAATTTGAAGTTTCCTTTAAAAATCAAGGCAAAATACCGATATTTGATTCCAAGCTCAACGATACCCAGCATTTTGATCTTTTTCTGCGAGAACTGCAATGGTTACACTGTGTCTGAGGGAAAATCTGGAAAAGTCGGACAAAAAAAAGGGAAAGCGTGGACAAATTGTCAATATTTTTGAGGGAAGATTTGACAAGGCGGCCACGAGACTCTTTTCCGCCCAGAAAACATAGTTTCTGACGAGGCGGAGAGTGCAGACACCCCAAAAATTGATGATAGACGGAGGCATTCTCGTTTTTCCCATTTTCCGAAATGTGTGCACCCTTGTTGCGGAATCGCGCGCCGCACTTTGCAGTTTGCCACCCAGGCTCCGCCCTTTTGCACCCTTTTTCTGTTTTTATCGATTTTCGCGCACACTCACCCTTTTTGATTCGATTTTGTTGCGAAAATTTGTAGAAGAAAGAGTGCAGCACTTGATTTTTGTAGCAAATGAGCTCGCAATCATCATCACAATCGTCCGCGGCCGCTCTTCATCAGTCCAGCAATCAGAGGTTTGTTTTTTTCGTTTTTCCCTTTTAAAATGCTGAAAAATAGTGCAGAAACGCTGAAAATTTGTAAGATAATAGTAAAATTAAGCTTAAGAATCGAAAAGAAAAGCCAGAAGGTAGAATTCTTGATAAAATTATAGAAATTTCGTAAAGTTACGCAGTGCGCACATTTTTCTATAGGAAAAACTGGTTTAGCAGAAAATCACCAGACTTACCCAGGGCTGGTACCCGGAATATAAGCAAGAATCCAATAAATAATCGAAAATATTGCTAGCCATCGTCCGCCGGCTTCAAGACGGCCGTTCCCATCGACCGCCGACGATCAGCCGAAGAGGTACTTACAAAAATGCACGATTTTCGCCTTAAACCTCTAAATTTCACTATTGATCGTCGAACAATCTATAATTTTTCGCATTTTCAGAGCGCTAATCGGCCATGGAGGACAAGGAACGCCTTCTGGGGCGGGCACGCCGAACAGCCAGTCGCAACAACAATCGGAGCTCGACGTCAAGCAGCACCTGCTCAACTATCAACGGTATTTCGACGCGGCCGCCTATCCGTACATCAACGACGTCAGTTGCTACGAGAAATTGAGCAAAATCGGACAGGGAACCTTCGGGTAAGTGCTTTTTGGTGCTTTTTCGCACACTATTCGCTTCTCCCCCCTGTTTTATTCCGGTTGAACCGCAAACTCGCCCAGCTCTGAACTTTCTCATTTTTTAATGAAATCTCCGGTTTTTTCCCGTTGTTTGGTTCATTGCCAACAAGATCATCAATTTCAGAGAAGTATTCAAAGCGCGCTGCAAGGCGACCGGTAAAATGGTGGCGCTGAAGAAGATTCTGATGGAAAACGAGAAGGAAGGATTTCCGATTACGGCGCTGCGAGAGGTGAAGATGCTCGAGCAGCTTAAGCATCCGAACGTGACCGATTTGATTGAAGTTTGCAGTGCTAAAGGTTGGTTGCGGCGATTTTGAGTAATTTTTGACAAAAACATCGATTCCTAGCTATTTTTTAATAAAAATTGTCGTTTTCAGCGTCGGCGCCGACGGCGAAAGACCGTACCACGTTCTACCTGGTGTTCGCGTTCTGCGAGCACGATCTGGCGGGACTGCTGAGCAACCAGAAGGTGCGGATGTCGCTGGTGCACATCAAGACGCTCATGAAGCACCTGATGAGCGGACTTAACAAACTGCACCGAAGCAAGATCCTGCACAGAGACATGAAGGCGGCGAACGTGCTCATTTCCAGAGAGGGCGTCCTCAAATTGGCCGATTTCGGACTCGCCCGTCCGTTTGTGCAGAGAGAAGGTACGAAAGAGCGGGTTTTTGCGTGCCTTTAACGAAAACCATGAGAAATACGATCAACATTTGAATTTCCCGCCCCTAAAAAGTACTAAACCATCTTCTCATTTTGTTTTTTTTTTGCGAAATTCGAACTCTACGACGTTCCGGTCTATTTATAGCGTTTGCAGTCGGCTCAGCGCCCCGTCCACTCTACACGAACCGCGTGGTGACCCTGTGGTACCGACCGCCGGAACTGCTGCTCGGCGACCGTCAGTACGGCACTCGGATCGACGTCTGGGGTGCCGGATGCATCATGGCCGAGATGTGGACCCGGCGACCGCTGATGCAGGGAGAGACCGAACAGAGACAGCTGCAGCTCATCTCCGGCCTCTGCGGATCCATCAACCGGACCGTGTGGCCCAACTGCGAAAAGATGCCGCTTTGGTCGGCCATGTCCGCCGAACCAAACTCCGCACTTCCGCAGGGACTCCCGCGCACGCTACGCAACAAAATGAAGACGTTGATGAAGTGCGACGGACCCGACGGACGCTCTTACACGGTACGGTCTCTTGTTTTCATTATCGGAAGTACAAGGAATGAGAACTGATACAAATGAGCACTCGTTGCTTGACAAAATCAGTAAAGTTCTTCAAGTCCAAAAAGCCTTCGAAAAGCCTGGCCGAGCCCTGAGCAAGTTTTAATGAAAATAATGTTTTCAGGACCCGCTGGGCAAGAACAAGATGAACGAGCACATGCCGACGGACGAGGACGCGATGAACCTGCTGGACCACCTGCTGGCCATAGATCCGGAGAAGAGACCGTCGGCGGAGGAGGCCGAGGACGACCTCTGGTTCTTCAAAGCGCCACTTTTCAAGGAGAACGTCAGGGACCTCATGGACACCATTCCGGTTCGTTTTTTTTAAAAGATAATGCGTCCCTAATGCAAATCAATTCCACTCATTTTGCAGACGTCACAATTCGAGTACACGGTGGGAAAAGGAGCGCACGCGAACCGCGGCCGTCATCCGAATCCGCCGCAGAGGCAGCCGCAACAGCCACGTGCGTCGAACGCGATTCCGGCCGGACAATATCGCGACACCATTTTTTAACGCCTCTCATTTTCCACATTCCCACACCCACAAAACTACCCTCGAAACGGCTTTCAACAAGAACGAATTGTGTGTAAATCCTCGTCATTTCACATTCAAATCTATGTCCTTTCCCTCTGGTACAGTATTCTTTTTTTGTTGTTGTTTTTCCCCTCTCTGACTTTTCATTTTAATATTATGTCTTTACCGGACAAGCACCGTCCGCCGTTTTTTAGTTGTTTTACACACACACACACACCCTCTAAGACTCGATATTTTACACGCCCGCAAAGTTTCTGTTCCTTTTCCTCTCGACTCTATAAATTGTATTCGGTTAGAAATTTCGCATTTATTGCTTGTACCAACACGATCCAGACGAAAACTCTCTTAAAAAAGTAATTTCCATACACATTCCTAATAAACTCACAGCACTGCATGGCCCGAAAACAACATCGAATTGTGCAAGCTGCTTTTTTTTTCGCTTTTGGGACTTAAAACCGATTCTCAGATGAAACCGATTCTCAGCTCATTTTATTTGCAATTTTTTGTATTATTATAGGAATTGACGTTAAAAATGCATTAAAAATAAGGCGGCCGATTCTGTGACAAGCGTCCAATCGTTTGCGCGGTCCGTTGCAAGCGCCCACGTCCTGCTATCGATCGGTTTTTTCTTCTGCCCGTCGGCGTCTCGTTCCCTCGCCCGCCGACGTTCCCGGCCGGCTCGCACTCATTCCTGTCTCCATGTGGCCGCACCAGTAGCCTCGCTCTTCGAGAGCTCTGCATTTTGCAGAGTTCTCGCCTATTTTCTTTCAATTCTACCCCATTATTCCACTCAATACGACACTTTTTCGAAAAGCAAAGGTAATAATCGCGCTTTAAAGTTCTTCAACTAATACTTTGTTCAGTTTAGACCGTTTTTGTATCGGCTCGAAACGGGTTGGCCACGATAGAAAAGGGCATTTTCACAAAAGGTAAAAGCTATACAGCGTATGTTTGTTTTCCGTTTTTTTTTCGTTTTTTTACATCGCTGAATTGGATTTTTCGACGTAAAAAAACGAAAAAAAACGGAAAACAATCATTTTTTCACATCCTGAATAACCCCGAAATGAATGTGTGTAATTTTTTCCAGAAAAATGAAATCAATCGATAGTCTGGTTAATCAAGTACTCGAAAGTTCCTGGCAAAAGGTAAACACTCGTCTTTAGTCATAACTATGCGTAATTTTCAGAAATTCAATCAGATTGTCGGCATCAAGAAATGCAGTCATGCAACAAAACACCCGAAGAAAGTTTTAGCGAACACTGTTAGTTTTTTTGCAGCAATATAATAAAATGGCAACAAAATGAATACATTTCAGACAAATCGCCAATCAGAAAGCACTACTCACACATGTTGAAGTCGAGAAAATAGAAATACATGTGTTCAGACGATTTAAAATGGAAGAATAAGAAGCAATGCGCTTTCACCGCCACGGCACTGGGAACCGGTCACGCATGACTTTTTCCACGAATCCACTGTTCCCTATCATCATTTCTAATAAATCTGAAACGTGTTCGAATTCCTGTCCCTAAAAAGTCGAAAGAAAGTACACATTTAGGAGTGTATGCGTTTAAACAAGATTCGAAAAATTAGTCAGTGTAAAACGACCTCGTTGAAGTCGTTGCGGCCTGATCCTGACGATTGTTCATCTTCATTCGTCAGTGCCATCAATATTTTCCTACTACAAATCGACGTTTTGCAACAAAACGTGAAAACCGTGCTGAAGACTGCATTTCGAACCTCACGCGGAGCGCTGAAAGTGTTCAAGAGATATTTTTCTCCCAATTTTCAATGATTAAAATAAATGCGATTCGCAACCACACAATTATCCCGCTGTACACAGAAAATTACAAAAAAAAGTGAACATTTAATTCAGCAATTATTTCGTCCACACTTTTACAACCAGACTTTCGATCGGCACAGTCGTTCTGTTTGTTCTGAAGATTTGAGCGTGCTGGAACGCGTTTCTTCCTTCGCCGCCGGACATATTCGCCTAAAATTATGATGTTCTCGAAAAGACGATTTCCTTCACTCTTAGTACCGAAATTTTCAATATTCCTGCGGTCGGATGTTCGAGCACCAGGACGCCAGTTTTCGGGGAGATCAGGTTGCAAGTCTGATATTTTTTGATAAACAGTTTTTTTTTTCTCAACTTACATCTCCCAAACACGCCATCGCCATCGCTCGTCCATTTTCGAATTTCGCGATTCCGTTCACGTGAATCTCCACTTTTTCCAGCTCTTTTCCGAGCGATTCCAGATCGAAGTGCCACGAAATCTGGAGAAAAATTGAATTAAATTTCATTGTTGCTTCAAAAAAATGGCGGGAGCCTACCTCGGCGGGCTTTTCGCCGTCAATTCTGCACAAGTACACTTGATTCCAGTCGTCCTCCACTTTTCTCATCACATTGTCCGACGAGAACGCGGCCGCCCGGAATCCTTGGGCCGGCTCTTGCGAATAAGTGTCCGCGTTGACGTCGTACCCGAATTCCGCGTAATTTCCGCCTTCGAGAGCCAATTTAATCGGAGCACCGAGTACGGCAGGCGTTGCTGAGGAGCCCATTTCGCCACGTGCACGACGCCACTCTTCGGAGCCTGAAATTACGGGAAAATTCAAATTTCGTCCAGAAAGACGGTGAGCAGTTTTAAAAATTCTCAGTTGCGAAACTTCTGTTAATTGCGAAACGGGAATTATTTGAAAATTGCAGAAGATCAACTCAAAAAGCCAACATTCAGGTGTCCGAGTTGGACATTTCGCAAATTGATTTATTAAAGCACAATTTCAACAAGTTGAAGTTGCGAAATGTCCAACAGTTGCGAAAAAAACGGCTTCAAAAGCAAATGTTGTCGAAAAAAGTCTGCAGTTTGGCGTGACGGTGTTTGCGGACAGTGTGACGGTCAGATATGCAAAAAAGCTCAGAAATTCGTGGTTTCTTCCGCTTTGGACACCGAAAACTGCACTTTTCAGATATTCCAGACAATTTCCATTACAATTTCTGCCGAAGAAACCAATTTTCACACGTTTTCAGTTAAAATTAGAAGCAGCTTGGAAGTAAGCACTTTTTTGCAAGTGCAAACTTCCAAGAGCTACACAACTGTCAGGAGTTGTCGGATGAAAAAAGTGTCAACAGCAAAAATACAGTACTGGATGTGAAGATTTCATCTAGAACGTTTTCAGAAGCATAGGACGTCTTCTGACGCGGAAAATCGCATTTCTCTACGCACCAGTAGTTCTTCCGCCAAAATCATCGCCGAGTTTCTCCCATCCGATCTTCAAATTGCGCGCATCCGCCGTCATCATCTCCAACAGTTCGACGGTCCTTCGCACCGCCAACTCCTTTTTCCGTTCCTCACTTTGTCCGTCCATCTGACGGGCGTTCAGTTTCGCCAAAAAGTTCTCGAGCACTTTCTGGCGCACCTCCGTCCGCAGCTCATTCGTCCGCTTCGCGTCGTACACGTATCGCCACGTCACGTCTGCCACGTGATCGTTTCCGAATGCGATACAATAGGTCAGCCGCTTCTTCCAGCCTTTCGTGTAGAGCAGCGGACGGTCCAGAGTGTTCTCGCACGGATCGACGTGGATCCAGCGGTGCTCGTCTTTCAGGTACACCTCGTTCCACACGTGATCCGTCGTGTCGTACACGTAGCGGCACTCGAGACCCATCGCCGAGAGGATCAGGGCGAAACAGTTGGCCCACTCGCCGCATCGACCCGTTCTGAAGAGATTTTGACACAAAGTGCAGTAGAAAACCGAATTGCCCTCAAAAAATAATGCAAGTGTCTCCCGTTGCCTACCTCGTCTGCAACAGTTTCGCCGGGTCATTGTAGCGGGGAAAGCGCATTTCGGCGTCGCATCCGTCGCACGAGTACACCTCGACTCGCGCGGCGCCTCCGTCGCTTTCCGCTTTCGTCGGCGTGCCCGACAGCGCCGTCTTGGCTTTCAGCGAGCATTTCTCGCACGTCGGCTTGTCGAACCACGAGAAAAAGTCGGTTTTGAACCATTCGAGAAGGTCTAAAGTTGGAAAATGATAGAGGAAAACGGGCAAATGATAGAAGTCTCGCACAAACTTCTCAACAACTCAATCTCCGACACTTTTCCGTCTTGGTCGGTGGCCTTCCGAACGAGTTCCTCTTCCGGAACGACGCTTCTCGCGAGCGCTTTGAACACCTCGTCCGTGTAGTAATTCTTCAGATTCGCACTGCTCACAAATCTCTCCAGGAAGCGTTTTTCCGCGTCGGAAGCGGAATTCGGATTGGCCGGCGTCGAAGAGTAGTGTTTTTCGATGGCCGCGCGGATCGCACTCACGTTCGCACCGCGCACACTCTCCACTTGGCGCCCATTCTTTATGAACACGAATGTGGGCATCGCAGAGATTGCGTATCGGGCGGCTATGTCTGCAAAACGACGACAAAATTACGACTTTTTGCACTTTTTGCGGTTGTAAATGTGCACTAGGGCTGTGCCTTGTTCTGGACTTTTGAACCACTTTCAGATTGCCTGAATTGTCCTTAAGGGGCAGAAATCTGGACATTTCCGATTTTACCGCGACTGTAACAGGTTCTTTGCAGGCTTATTGAACCTGGATTAAAGTATGATGGGTCCAAGTTTCAGCCCGATCGGATTATCTGGTCCCGAGATATGTGGAGGCCAAAAAGGCCACAATTTTCGCAAAAACTTGGAAAAATCTCGGGACCAAATGATCCGATCCGGCTGAAACTTGGTCCCAGTATACTTCAATCCAAGTTCAAGACTTCTGCAGAGTTTAGGTCCGATCGGATCATTGCAAGCGGGTCAAAAGTCCAGGACAAGGTTGCCCAGCTCTGGATTCGCTTATAAAAATCTAAAAATCGATACCCCTGGCCTCGTCGACGTTCACTTTCAGAAAAGTGGCATTTCCAAACTCGGCGGACATTTGCTCGAACGCCGGACTGACGATCCGGCAGGGACCGCACCAGTGAGCGAAGAAGTCCACGATTATCAGGCGATTCGCGTCGGAGCGCTGCAAAACTTTTACACACAATTGTACAATATTGTAAACTGAAAGTTACAGATTTTTTTGGCTTTTTGCCAGAGCTGGGCGCAAATTTCGGCAAAGGCTTTTGACCCACTTGCAATGATCCGAGTGGGACCAAACTTTGCAGGCTTTTTGGCATTGGATTGAAGTATATTGGGACCAAGTTTCAGACCGATTGGATCATCTGGTCCCGAGATCCGTGGATCAGAAGCCGAAAAAAAGATTTGCGAAAATTGCGGCCTCTGATCCACATATCTCGGGACCAGGTGATCCAATCGGTCTGAAACTTGGTCCCAATATACTTCAATCCAATGCCAAAAAGCCTGCAAAGTTTGGTCCCGATCGGATCATTACAAGTGGGTCAAAGGTCCAGGCCTCAAAAAGCCTGGGCCGGCCTTTTACCCAGCCCTGCGTTTTTGCACAAATTTGCTCAAAACGATTAGAGATTTTCGCGACTCACCTCCAAAATATTATTGAGCTCCAGAAGCGAGCCGACGGCAGTTACTGGCATTTTCTAAACAAGACAATTTCAGAAATGAAATGACAATTTTAAAAATGAAACAATAGAGAAAAACATTTTGTCGCCTAGATACGAATAGAGATTGGACACAAAAAAATCAAGTGTTTTGAAAAATCAAGTAAATCGTTCACTGAATAAACAAATAATGTCTTCTGCTCGGAGAGAAATATAATAAAATGAGTGCAGAAAAAGTTATTCCTCTCTTTTGCGAATATTGCGATTTCCAGTCTTTTTCTTGAACTCGATCGGTCCTTTCACCTGAAGCAGAGTGCAAAATTAGGCTTCACTTTCAAAACAATGCTCCTCACCTTTTTGGTCATCACGGCGGCGGTTTTCTCTCCAAACTCCACTCGGACGGTGCTTTCCTCGGCCGCATTCCGCTTCTCCTCCTCCTTTTTCTTCTCCTCCTCTTCTTCTCGATAACGGGCGGTCAGCGGCGATTCAAACGGAATTTCCGACTTTTCCTCTTTCGTTATTCGCACCCACGAACCGTACGGAGCACTCGGAAGTGCAGACGACGGCAATGGCTTCGCGAATTCGAATTCCGATTTGGAAGACGGTTGTGGAGGTGGTGGGGACGGTGGAGGGGGCGGGGCCACGAGCATTTCGTCCTCGTCCTCCTCGAGCATCGCCTCACGTTCCGGAGTTCCTGAAAAAGACGATAATAGTCTGGAATCGGGGACGGCCCTTGTCTTTTGAACCACTTGCACTCGGAACTCACCAATAATCTCGAAAGCCTCCTCATCGCTGACATCGTCATCATCATCGTCATCATCATCTCCAGAATTATCATCCGAGTCTTCTTCTTCTTCTTCTTCTTCTGGCTCCGGCTCCTTCTCCTTCTCCAGCTCCCACTTTCGTCTCCGTTCCTCTTTCTCCCGCTTCCGCTGCTCCCACGCCTCTTTTTTCTCGGCTTTTGTCAATTTCTGGCCTTTCCGTGGCCGATCCGTGTAGTTCAGCTCTTTGCGGTTGGCGTCCACTTGCTCCGCGAGCCCATTCTCGGCCAATTGCTCTCGAATGTACCGCTCCACGTCTTTTTTTCCGCCGCGCACCGCCATCACCTCATCCAGTCCGTAGTAGTTCTTTTTGCGATTCTTCTCAAATTCCTCGCACTTTTGCGCGTACTGTTGTTCGGTGTAGAAGTGCGCCGGCGCGTCCCATCGTGTGCTATTGTCGAACAGATTGTAGAAGTAGTGACCGGGTCCTTCGGGGTTCTTGGCGCGGACCCACTGGATCTCGGCGCATTGCACTTGTTGCTCGGGCATGTAGCCAACGGCCAAGTGCTCCGGGAGGGCGGGGCCAGCCGCATTCGGGTTCGTCACTGAAAAAAATGAGGCGCTGAGAAGTGAAAACTGATTTTGTATGAACTTTTGCTCAGAATTCTAGTCGCTATACATTGCCATTTATGTCAGGTACACATTTTCACTACTTTTCCGATATCATTCTGTAGGAATCAGTCACACGAACATTCGTAAGGCTATTGTTTTCTATGAAAGCTTCAATTTTACCCAAAAACTTGGAAAACCACATTTTTAATTCAAAAACGCGCGGAAAGTGTGTTTTCTTGGCAATTTCTGTCTGTTTCTTTACCGAATTGTTCGATAAACTTGAAAGTTCTTTCACAATGTCGATAGCCGACGGTTTGTCGAGAGTTTGACACATTTTTCCGTCATTGTTCGAGAGTTTCAGACTGTTTTTTCCCAAATTTTGTGCAATTCCACTTACAATCTCGATAGGCGGACACGACATCGTCCTTGCTGACTTTGAGATCGGGTGCTCCGGCGGGCGCGGCGGCCGTCCGTTTCTGGACGCCCGCCTCCCTTCGCGCCGCCATTTCTCTGGCCATGGAGCCGAGGTCGCGGTGCTTGCTCGGATCGAAGATGTTCATGCGGAGTCCGGTGCTCGGAACCGCCGGTCCCGCCACTATTCCCTCGCCGTGCCGGGCCATCGAGGCCGCCGCCGCCGCGCCCATTTTGGCGAGAGTTCCGTTGAGTTTCAGGTCGGCCGCCTCTTGTTTCTTGCCCTTTTGCATCGTTTCGCGGATCCGCTGCTGCAGCATCGCTTTGTGACGCTCCCCACGCTCATGATGGTCCTGCGAGGCCTTGTTGTTGCCGAACCACACCTGGAATAAAAAAATTGATCTTTTGAAATGTTGTTTATAGTTTTTGTATACTCACACACTTTTGGAGCACTATAAACAACTCAAAATTATGCTAATCAAGCTATTAAAGTGCTGAAAAACTTGCGAAATATTTTTTTTGTAGAAAAAATATTTTCACTCCATTTTTACTGTTCAAAGTGGTCACGTACCTTACAAATTTCGCAGAATCGTTTTCCAGTCGAGACCCATTGTTCGGACATGTCGAATTTCACGCAGAATCGTCTTTCCGCACTTTTTTTCGGCTCGAAATCGCTCTAAATGGCAACGAAAACACTGGGGGACTAGAAACTCGTGGCTAGAGTTTTCTAGTCCATCTCGGTGTACTTCTCTCGGATAATGGACCAATTTGCGAAAAATCAATTTACGCTTTCATTTTCTCCCGTTTTCAGCAGTTTTTGACGCGAATTTTTGATTTTCAGGTGTCAAAAAACCGAAAAATGACGGAATTAGCCGAACGGCTAAGTGCACAAGTCACACAATTAGTAATAATCCGGCATTTCGACCGGGAAAGCATCGAGCAGGCGCTGAATCTGGTCAGAAGGCGTAACGACCTTATCACGTGTCCAAAAGATGCGTGCATGGTTTTTGAGTAAGTGGAAAACAAAAAATCCAAAGAAAAATGGTTGAAACTGAAATTGTTTGGGAAAAAATTAAGGAAAACTGGACAAAGTTAGATTTTTCAAATGCAATTTTTTCCACATTTTCTATATCAACGACCTGTTCCAGACACCTCTTGTACGGCCTAATTCTGCTGAACGAGATCGACAAGCGTCAATCGAAGCGACTGTTGCCCGTGTACGCACTGGCGGCCCAGCAGAACCCGGCGAAGGAGCAGTTGGGCAAAGTGATTCTGCGAGTGCTGCTCTCGATTCCGATGATGGTCCAGTCGCGCTGGGACCTCTTCACGCTCTTGTACGCCGCCCGCCTTTTACCCGATGTCCCCGATCCGTTTTTCGCGGAGCTTGAAGCCTGCTCGGTGGATCAAGACCTCTCGGCGCGATGCTCGGCCGCCATTTTAAACCTTTCCGTCGATGAGAAATATTGCGATCGAGTCGCCGGAATGATCTATCGTGGAATGGTCTCGCCGTCGCAAGCGCATCGAAATAACGTGCACCGTAACTGGTTCTGCCGAATAATCAATAATAAGCACGCGAAGCGGTGCGTCGAGAAGATATTGTCGTTGTGTCGGACGGAAGTCGAACAGGCGCTCGCCTTTATGTGGCCCGTCACTTTTCGCGAGCTCTCCGGAATCACTTGTACGGATTTGCAATGGAAGTGCGTGCTCGAGGACGAACCGTTCGAGCGCATCACTTTTGTGCACATGGCCTACTATTCGGTGCTGCTGTCGATTAAGTGCCAGGGCAGTCAGGTTGGGCCTTTTTATTCTTTTATTTTTCGATAAAACGCATAGCCACGCGCCCCTTTTTTTGCACAAAAATACGGATTTTTAGGTGAAAGTGAAGCTGCCGAAAGATGATGTCGTGCTGACACGTGGCATCGAGTATCACGTGCCGATGGTGGCGAAACAGGCGGTGCTCGTGTGCTCCGCCTACAAATTCTACCCGCCGAACCTCGAAAAGACGATATTGTCGGATGCGGTGCTGATCCGGAATCCGGCGGTGACCGATCTGATCGACGACGAGATGCTCAAATCGTTCAGCAAAGAGGGACAATATCTGTTTCCGAAGGAACGCCTCAAATTGCGTTGGGAAATGGGTCAGAAACTGTGCGAAGCGTACGAGATGGTCAAACACTATCCGGCGACGGACGACGGAAATCTCAAAGTCGAGGTCAACATGCACTCGGAGATCAACGCCATCAAGACGTTGCAGCGCTTCTTCAAAATTCAGAGTACGGGTTTTTTCTAAAGAGTTTTGGGGGAACATCAGGGCTGGCCACTTGGACTTGAATAGGAGTATTTTGGACCGAAATTTCAAATCGATCCGATAATCTGGTCCCGAGATATGTGGCCTAGAGCCCGAAATGACCGGGGTTTTGCGAAAACTTTGGCTTTCTCGGCCTCTGATCCGCATATCTCGGGACCAGATAATAGAATCGGTCTGAAACCTGGGCACAATGTACTTCAATCCATGTCGAAGAAGTTTGCAAAGATTGGGTCCCATCGGACCATTGATTATTGCAAAAAAGTAAAAAACCGGGCTCCTTTACAAAAAATCCAAAAATTCTCAAAGTTTTGCAGGTCCAACCGAAGTGTACCCGTCGGTGGCGGCCGTAATGGAGACGCTCTCGTCGCAGAACATTGACGAGCGTCTTTTCTGCCAAAAAGTGTTCGTCATCGTGGACATTGTGCTGAAACAGTACGCGGATCACAAATTCTCGCGACTCATCACCACACAATTCATATTTCAGGCGATCACTCGGATTCCGTTGAGGGTAAGCAACACGTTTGTCTAGAAATTATCACAAAAATTTGCAGGCCGTAGTGGATTACGTGGGCGAAAAGCTGAAGAAACAGTGCAAAGAGGACGTGCTGTTCCGCGAGAAAATCTTCCGAATGGCGCTGGATTTGTTGCAAACGGAAGAGGACAACGCTCGGCCGCTCTCCCTCATGCACTGCTTCACGAGTACCGCGCATCTCGAGAGGCACAAAGTCACGCAAGTGTGGCAAACGATCAAAACGGTGCGGGTGGGCGAGAAGAAGCGGAAGATGAGCGAGATGCTCGCCAAAGTCGTCCAGAGCAGCGAAATTGACATTTGTGAGCGTCTTTCTTTTTTAGAAATTTTTTTTTTTGATTTTTAGACGCGAAAGACCTGCACGACATGATAATCTGCTCGCTGGCCTTCAAACCCGACGAGTTCGACGTCGAATCGACGCAGCTGTTCGTGTCGGCCGTCTCGAGATTTCTAAAGTTCCGGAATGAAACCGACCGGGTCCTTCTCATCCAAGTCATCCATCGACGGCCCGAACTCGTTCAATTGGTACGGAAAAAGCAATGTTGCGATTAGAAATTCTAAAAAATCGACATTGTCCAGATCGACGAGATCCTCTCGACGTCGCCCTCGTCGTTCACCAAGTCCTCGCTGCACATGGTCCTCTACCTGTTCACCCGTTTCTACGTGGGCACTCCAAAGTTCTACCACGAACAGCACTTGCGCATCATCGCCCGAATCGTCAACTTCTGCCACTGGGCCGTGCGAAAGTACCACGCGGAGCCGATGATTGTGAGCATTGCCGTCGACGCGATCGCCGGCTACTTTCCGTGGAGCTATGTGCGAGAGAGCGCACTTTCAAAGGAGCCGAAGGTGCCCGAGGACGCTGTGGAGGCACTCATTCACAAGCACCTCCATCACCATCGATACTGGTACATTTTTCTCCGGAAAACTGGTTTGTTTTGGCGCAAATTTCTCAATTTTCTTGCAGGCAACTTCTCCACGATCACGACAAATCGCCGGAACAAATAGTGACGGTCGAGGATTTGGAGCAGTTGCCGGCCGCCGAGTTCATTGTGCGAATTCTCAAAAATCCGAGTCAAGGTGAGTGGAAATTCTGATTTGTAGCCGAAAAAATCGATTTTTTTTCAGAAACGCTAGAGGAAATGGCGAAAGAGTTCAAGGAGATGTTGCGGACGCAGAAATCGTTCGAACAAATGCACGCGAACTATTTGGCGTTCGGAATGTTGATCGACAAATCGCTGGAAATGATGAAGGACGCGATCGCGAATAAAGTCAAAGGTGAGCAGGAATTTTCGGAATTTTTGAGCATTTTTTGAAAATTGGCATAAACCCTTGACGGTTATGGGTACAGGGCATTTTTTGAAAATTGGCATAAACCCTTGACGGTCACGGGTCCACCGCATTTTTTGAAAATTGGCATAAACCCTTGACGGTCACGGGTTCAAGGCATTTTTTAAAAATTGGCATGGACCCTTGAAGGTCATGGGTACAGGGCATTTTTTGAAAATTGGCATGGACCCTTGACGGTCACGGGTCCAAGGTTTTGTATTTTTTTTTTGTCCTTCATCCCTGTAATTTTCAGACCCGGTGTGGAAGAATCGAATTCCGACGAGACGGCTCGTGGAGACGCTCATCGACGCCTCGGAACACTTTGATATGACGATCGATTCGGACTCGTCGACGGCGTACACGAATCAGTGGCACGGGAAAGTGATTGGAAAATTGAAAGTGCTCCGCGCGTGCTACATTTTTCTATAAATTTTTCCGATTTTTCCCTGAATTTGCTAAATTCCAGTGTTAAGAATATCCCTCTGAATAATTAATCCATCTGCATTTTTCAACAGCCACAAATACAAGAATCTCTATTGTTTGCAGACATTTCTCTCAAAAAACTTGTTTCTTTTGTTTGTTTCCTTTTTTCTGCGAAAAAAGTTGTGTGAAACTTGAAGACAATACTTTTTTTTCGAAAAAAACAATGAATCTTTCATTTTGTCTTGCTATTTTTAGCGTTTTCAGCGCGAAAATTGGCTGAAATTGCGAACATTTCGCAAGATTCTCAATGGAGCGCGTTTGCATCGCACGCTCGCCTCAAAACCGGCTTTTGTGTTCGGTTTTTCGCCGATTTTGTCATCAAAACCCGTCGATTCACTTCCGTTCTTCACCTTTTTCGCCTCCTCCACGTCTACAGTATTTGAAAATGACCGAAAATCGATATTTTCAGCGAAAAAAATGGAGGCGCTGCCGAACATGCCGATGATGGCTCCGCAATTTCGGACCTCCACACTCTCCTACGACAATATTCCGAATTTTAACTTTCGATTGACGATGAAAGAGGTTTTTTCGAGCCGAAAACGCGCCGTCAATCGCTATCTTTCCAGCACATTTTGCTCACTTTCCAAACGGATCCGCACGAATTCGACGAGGCGTTCGACGAGTTGGCACAATTGAAATTTGTTAGTTTTTTGCGGGATTTGTGAAAAATGCCATAAAATTTGAGGAAGCAAACATTCCGTCGGCGAGTGTTGAGCAAATTTGCAAGCTGAAAAGGTACTACGGACAGTTGTGCATGATGCAGAAGCGATTTCCGATGGGCGTCGGAGAGCAGCTCGAGACGCCGTTCGCATGGTAATCTTTTGAACATTTTTGGCGAAAATGCTTACATTTCGATGACAAACGTTTAAAATCAATGCAGAATGTGTATACAATCGAGCGAAAACCGTTTTCGGCCAAACTAGGTAATTCAGCCGGGGCCTGGTCTGATTTGACCCACTTGACCAACCTTGCACGTCAAGTCAGCCTCGCTAACTCGAACCGTTCTGCAGGCACGACGGACTGGTGGACATGAGAAGTGCGCACAGCGAGGTGACGATCAACGATATCGAATTCGAGAAAGCGTCGGTGATGTTCAACATTGGCGCGTGTCACGCCCAGTACGCGGCCGAACAGCCGCGCGACACGCAGGACAGCATCAAGGCCGCCTTCTCGCACTTCCAATGCGCCGCGTTCGCGTTCGAGCAGCTCAACTCGTTCCGCAACTCGGACATGTTCTATCCGTCCGTCGATTTGGACGCCAACGTCATCGCGTTCTACTACAAAGTGCTGATTGCGCAGGCTCAGGAATGTCTCGTCCAGAAGAGTCTTCTCGACAATCGGACGCCGATTGTGATCGCGAAACTGTCGATGTGGCTGCAGGAGACGTTCGAATCGGCGGCGCGCATCGTCGACGAATGGAGCATCAACATTCCGGAAAGTGTGCAAAAGTACTACTCGAAACTGTGCCGGCTCAAAAGTGACATGTACGGAGTGATCACGTACATGTCACTGGGCGATCACTCGGAGAAAGAGGAGAAGAAGATGGGATGGCGCCTGCAATACTACAATATCGCCGCCAAATTCATGGAGAGCGTGACGATGGACCGGAAAATGAAGGAGCGGTATCCGGAGATGCTCGTCACCGCCTCCTTCCTCTTCGACGTCATCAATGCCAAGTGAGCGCGAGTTTTTGCAAGAGGCTACCACGAACCACAACCAATCTCGTGTTGTGACGGGTTCTGGTTCAGGGTAGCCTCTTTTTGCAAGTATGTAACCAATAAATATTCATTTGCAGACAAAAGAACGCGGAGAAGGAGAACGATTTCATCTACCACGAACGGGTGCCGAAACCCGAAGAAGCAATCGACGCGGCGAAGAAGGACGGCGGCGGCGGGGCGATGTGCAAAGTGAGAACGGTGGGATTCGACCCGCTGGACCCGTCGGTCTGCGGGAACGACCTGTTCGCATCGCTTCTTCCGTCCGTCGTCGTCGACGCGAACAATCGGTACGCGGAGAAGAAGGCGGACATTGTGCGGGCGAACACGGAAAAGGTGGAAGCCTACGATCGGCATCTGAACGACGAGCTCGCGCGCGCCGACTTTGACAAACTGCGGTTCATGCTCAACGAGGGACAGAACGCACAGGTGAGAGTTATCCGAACATTTATCGATCATCATCGTCTCCCGGAGCTTGCAGGTGATGTTCGAGATTCCCGAGGAGTTGTTGCGCAGAAACGCGGATATGACGAGTTTTCCGGATTGTATTCCGAATTTGCTCGAACGTCTACGCGAATCGTCGGATACCGCCCGTGTCGCAGAGGCCAAACTCAACACTTTGATTGCGAAACTTCGCGGCATCGATTTGCCACGTCTCAAAGCCGACGAGGGCTTCATTTTGATATCGCGCGAGTTGGACAAGCTCGCGGAGCACTTGCAAAACGCAAAATCGGCGAATGCGAGCCTGAACAAGGCGATCGCCGCGCATTCGGCCAACCTACAGTTGCTCTCGTTGCCCTGCGACGAAATGTGGGCGAAAATCATTCCGGCGCTGGAGAAACCGCAAAAAAATCGCGGCGACAAGAGTCGGGAAGAGGTGCAAGTGCGGAAAATGGTCGACAAAATTGTGGAGATGAAAACGCAGAGGGCTCAGCTGATCTCGCAACTGCGCGCCTCGCTGGAACACGACGATATCTCGAAAAAGTTGATGGGCACGAACGAGCAGGGCGCCGAGCAGATAATGAAGGAGGAGATCACGAAACATGCACAATATCAGCAGGCGATTCAGTTGAACGTGCAGGCGCAGGAGGTGATTCTCCGCACGTTTGTCGACGCGAACGCCGATTTTTGCGAGGAGCGGATGGCGATGGGCGCGGAGCGAGAGGAATATGAGCGGCGAGTCGGAGAACTCGTCGCCTCTTACGATGTTTATAAGGATGTGCTCGAGAAGACCGAACAAGGAGAGCAGTTCTATCGACAGCTGATGGCACGGTGTGACCAGTTTGCGGTCCCGGTGCATGCGATGGAAGAGCAGTGTGCGTTTGTTTTTTGTTGTTGGAATTCTTAAGCGCACGGTCTCCAGAGCTTACAATGGGCGCAAGTGCGCCCCGCCCAATAGAGCGATACATTGGCGCGAAATTCAAATTTTAACAGCTAAATTTGTGTCTTTTGCCAGATTAGCCACGAAAAACCGATAATTTCTCATTTGCCTCTCGATAGACCGATTGTATAGGCTATTACGAATTTTTTAAGCGAAAGAGCGTCAAATTTGGTCAAGTCGCAAATCACATTTATCCGTTTGAAGGTTTTTGGCTAAAACTGCGTGAATTTCAGTTGCTTTTCGGTAGTTTTCGCGGTTCGAGCGCTCAAAATGCTTGTATTTACGTGATTTATCATTCTCAAAACCAATTCTGTCGGAAAACGGTCAAGAAAGCGCAAAATGAGAAGTGCGGGTTTTAGGCGGCGATCGGCGGCGAAGAGGAAAAAGCAAAGTCCGCGAAAAATGCGCCAAAACGTCATTGATTCTGAGAATTAGTGTGTTTTCATGTCGAACAATCATTTTTCATCGCTTTTGACTACAAAAATCAGACAAAACCTGCCCAATTCATGAAAACGTCATTTGGCCGAGGCCACGCCCATATTGTCAGCTCTGGAGACCGTGAAGCATCAAAGGAGAAAGCTGAAAAATAACCGGATACTGTTTTGCAGACCGCGCGGAGGTGGAGAAGAAGGAACGAGCGCAGAAAGAGGCCGAGCAGCACATGCAACAGTTGCGAATGAGCCGAGAGGCCCAGAATGCGATGATGGATTTCGGAGGAGCCCAAAATGGACAACTGGGACCGAGAACCCCGCAGATGGCGCCGCCCGGACAGTTTGGAGGATCCGCCGGAAGACCTCCCCGTCTCGGCGACTTTTTGGAGAGCTACAGGGCCCGAAAACAGGGAAATCATCCGCAGCAGATTCCTCAGGAAGAAGTGCCAGCGGGACCGCCGTCGCCGACGCCGAGCAGCATTTGCGAGTTTCCGGTGAGCAGTGGGCGGAGCCAGCGGATGATGGCGTCGCCGAGGTACGGAGGAGCCGCGCAGGGATATCAGGCACCTTTTCAAGGAATTCCGCAGGGACCTAGGGGTCCTGGAGCTCACGGACCACTTCCTGGAGTTCATACAACTCAATTTGGAGCCAACACAGCACCATCCCGGGCGCCGACGTCCCAATTTGGAGCTTCTGGAGCTTACGGGGTCCCTGGAGCACTTCCCACAGTTCCTGGACCGCACTATGGAGGTTCTGGTCCAATTTCGGGTGTTCCTGGTGTTCAATTCGGAGCAACTGGAGCACTTGGAGCTCAAGGAACACTTTCTGGAGGCCCTGCAGCCCATGGAGCACCTGGAGCTCAATATGGAGCTCATGGAGCCGCTGGACCTCAATTTGGAGCTTCTGGAGCTCACGTAGAACCTCTCGGAGCGCCTACAAATCATTTCGGAGCTCCGGGAACCCCTGTACCTCCTGGATCACAACTCGGAGCCGCTGGTGCTCAGTTTGGAGCTCACCAAACTACTGGAGCACCTGGAGCTGCCGGATCAGCCCTCGGAGCCCAAGGACCACCATTCGGAGCTGCTGGAGTCCACCAACTGAGCCACTCCAACTCGAGTTCTTCCGCCGTCCACCTGCCGCCCAGTCCGATTCCCTCTTCTGTAGTAGCCCAGACCCCACAACAAAACTATCGTGGAGCACCGGAGCAACCGGCTGGACAATATTACGGAGCATTCCCGCCCGCGCAACAACACTATCAAGGATATGCGCCCGGGTACGGTAGCACTCAAGCTCCGCCCACTTCCGCGACGCCAGGATATCCACAATACCAGCAGCAGCAGCAGTTCCAGCCGGTAATTTTTTAAAAGAATTCACCCGAAAAAACAGCGTAAAACTTGTGTAAAAAGTTGCAAGATTAATTTTTCAGCCACAACAACAACAATATCAGGCTCCGGCTCCTCCGCCGGCCTATCAGGCTCCAAATGCTCCGATTGTTCCAGTGGCTCCTCAGCCACCGCATCCACAATATCAGACGCCTCCGCCGACGCAACCGTCCTACCAGGCCGCCCATCCCGCCCACGCAACCCAAGTCTTCCAACATCCGCCGCAGGGAGCTCCGATTTCCGCGCCCGCACCACAACAACATCAGCACGTGCCTCCGTATCAGGGCATCACGCCCACGCAACAACAGCAATTCGGGGCCTCCAACACGTCGCAGAACAATTTCGCGCCCTCGCAACAGTTTGGAGCCCAATTCCAGCCATTTGCTCCAATTTCCGCTCCACAACCCGCTTCTGCTCCGTCTCCGGCTCCACAGGCCGCGGCTCCGTCGACTCCGGCACCGCCGCAACGATTCCAGCCGACTCCGGCGGCTCCGTCGCCGTGGCACGCCACTCCCGCCGAGCTCAAAGTACGGTGGATTTTCTGCCACATAGCCCGGCGTTAAGAAATTCCGTCGAAATAGTCTTAATTTTGCTTTAGGATTGTTTTTAATATAAAAAAATGTTTGCAGAGCCCGTGGAACACAACACCTCAATACCATGCTCCGCAGAGCCAACCAGAGCCAGCAGCGCCGGCTCCACCGGCTTCTGTAGCTCCTGGAGCCCCAGCTGCAGCGCCAAGTGTGCCGTCCACGCGCAGCAACATTGATTTGCTCAGCGATTTGCTCGGCGACTTCAATCTTCCGCCGCCCATTCAGCCGACTGTCCAGAACTCGCAAAGTAGGCGTTTTTCGTGATTGTTGTGCGTTTCTCTTTTCTTCCCGACAATTTTCGGCTTGAAAATTCAACTGAAAATTCAACAAAAAACGCATGTTTTAGATTTGCAAGCGCCGCCGACTCGCTCGGATTTTCGGGCGGTCCCCAGCCAACTGGATCCGGGTAAACCGGTGCATAGACCCGCCGCTGCAGTTCCGCCGATGCCCCAACAGCTGCAAACTCGAGAAGTTTCAATTGAGACGCCGGTGAGTTTTTTTTTTCAAATTTTTTCTGACCTTTCTACCGGTATTTAGCGCTGGACAAAATTCCGCCTGAACTTTTGACCCACTTGCCATGATCCGATCGGGCCCAAACTTTGCAGGCTTCTAGGTCTAGGATTGAAGTATATTGGGTCCGAGTTTCAAACCAATCGGTTTGTCCGGTCCCGTGATATGTGGATCAGAGACCGAAAAGGCCGAAATGTTTGGCAAAAACTCGCTCAAACTAATATATCTCGGGACCAGATGATCCAATCGTTCTGAAACTGGGACCCTAGATACTTCAATCCAAATCCAAAAAACCCGATCAGATAATTGCAAGTGGGTCAAAAGTCCAGGCCGCAAAAAGCTTGGGCCGGAATTTGTCCAACAAAGTAACTTTGTCAAATGTTTTTCTTTTCAGATACTCATAAAAGGAGCCGCCGGCGCATCGTTAAGCGTCACCGAAATCGTGGATCCGGGCAAATTCCAGATGGGAGAGGGAGACGCGCAGAAATTGGAAAAACGAATGCTCCACCACAGTATAAGGTTCGAAGTTGTCTAGTCAAACGTCTAGTCTGTTCCGGTGCTCTTTGTGCCCTTATCGACATTCTTGCCCGAAAAATTTATTGCAAAAATTGTTTGTATTTAGTGGAAGAGTACACACACACCCATTTCCTCCTAAAATTTCCGTAAAAGTTCCAGAACGAACGGACCGGCGCCACCGCTGAACCAGGCGGATCCGCTCAATCGAATCGACGCGTTCACCTTTGCCCGTTCACCGAAAAAATGATTTTTTTTTCAACCCTTCCAATTCAAATGTTTTCGTATGAATTTAACCCGAAAATTCGCTCCGTCAACTCGCTTTTCTTCCGTTTTTTTTTTTGTAAATACGTAAACTCCGCCCATTCTTCCGACCTTATCACCCGATTTTTCGTCGTGTTCTGTGAACGTTTTTTGTGTGTTTCGGAATTTACCGCCTGTTTCGCTCCCCCCGCCCAGAAATTCATAATCCCGATGATGAAAAATGTCTGCTCACTTGTGATTGTCTCTTTGAAAAAACATGATATGATTGTTTGAATGCTGTTCATTCGAATTTCTACACTTTGCTTCGATAATACTGTTGATTTCACAAAATCACTGATTATTTCTAACCCGTCTTTGCACCCGTTTACCTAATTTTCTACCCAATTCACCGCTCTCTTGCCCCCCCCCCCTAATTTCAGAAATTTCGGCTCGAGTCTGTGGTCTTTAAAAAACCGGCTGAACAAACAAAAGCGGCTCATTTTTGATATGAGAGAAACAAAAAGTTGCTCGATTCTCTAAAAAACAAAAAAAGATTTACACTAGTTTAGGCGGAATTATGTTTTTTACTCAAAAGACCGAAGCCTGTTGATAATCCTCTTTCGGTTGAGTGCACTGATATCGTTGTATTAAAATTAGAATAATACAACCCGTCTCTCTTTCTCTCTTTCTCTCTCTTTCTCTCTCCTCCTCGCTTCTGCCTCGTCGTCTGCGTCTCCGCCGAAAAAATCACTCTCTCGGCGGGTCACTCAATTGTCCAGTTATTCTCGGATTTGCAGTGATATGTGCACTGCCGCCCATGTCTCATTGTTCGCTTTTTTTGTGTAGTAAAGTAAGTTTACTGTGAATGCTCGGGTAATTTTCGGCAATTTGCCGTTTAGGTCCCAGGTACACGGGTACTATCAAATTAATAATCTTGCCTCGGGTTGCCCGCCGCAACGCGACCGCTTCGCAGCTGAAAAGACCACGCCCCTTTCTGCAAGTGCCGCACATGCAATGTGCACACGTTGTCAATTTATTATTTTTCTTGGAAAATACACAAATTAAAGTTCAAAATATCGTTTAAATCTATCTGTTTTCAAAGATATTTATCTAAAAACACTCGAAAGCAATTAATTTACGTCGGGAGTAGCTTTAATTTGTGTATTTTCCAAGAAAAATAATTAATTGACAGCGAGTGCACATTGCATGTGCGGCACTTGCAGAAAGGGACGTGGTCGGTCGCGTTGCGGCGGGGAACCGGAGGCAAGATTATTAATTTGATAGTATACGAAGGCAAAAGCAAAATTCTGTGCTGATTCGGTGCCTTCCCTCTGCCGTATCCGTGCTGTCCTCTTGCCGCCTCATCACACTTACCGAACAGAAAAATGCATGTGTGTTGCCAGTCAAAATCACCCGCGAACCCCTAAACCCGATTGCCCCATCCATGCGTAAAATTAAAACAGAGGCCTAACTCTTGCCCCGTCCTTGCCGCACTCCTGCTATTTTTGCCGATTCACTGCCACGCGGATGCGTACTCCTTGCCGCCCTCTTGCCGATTTGCAACAAATATGCCGTTTCTAGGAATTCCGCTACAATCTGCTGCTTTTTGCCACATTGTTGCCGAAAATTACCTGAGTGTACAGTTAACGACTCGCCGTATGATTTTGATTTTCCTGAACATTTCCTAAAATTCACTCGCAAAATCCGAAAATTCATTGTAGAAATGTCGACGACAGACGAATCGCCGACAATCGGCGATGTGGCCGCTCGAAAACATCAAATGGGACTGTGGTCCTGCATGAGTTATGTTATTGGTAAGGAGTGCACGACATTTTGGGTCTCGCAACGATTTAATTGAAGCATTGGATATAAGACTTTTGAATTAGAGTAGAATGATCGTAATTTTAAAAAAAATTACAACATCAACACGGAAAATTTTTTATCTTTTTTAGAAACTTTTTCATGGAATGTGATCAACTGACGAAATGTATAGCAAAGTGAACTCTGCTCATAGAAAAATAATTGTAAATTTAGCTTTTCATACAAAAAAGTTATTCGAGTTGTTCCGTGAAAAAAGGGCCAACGGATCAACTCGAATAATTTTTGTTGTATGAGCGCTAAATTTACAATTATTTTTCTATGCGCAGAGTTGACTTTGCAATACATTTCGTCAGTTGAGCGCATTTCATGTAAAAATTTTCTAAAAAAGATACAAATTCTTCCGTGTTCTTCCGTTGAGTTCTTCCGCTCAACTCTGCTGACAGCCTTGGTTATACGTGTTTGCATAAGAAATCATTCAAATCTGTGAATTCCATTCGATTCAGTACAGCAATTTTTACGGTGATTGGTCATCTAGTTGCACATTCTGACATTGCCGAAAGGTCCCCTCGTCATAAGTGTAGCCCTTTTAGGGAGAACCCGATGGATTTTTAATTCCTAATGGGTCCGCCCGTGTTTCACCTGTGTCGCTGTAATTCTGGAACCAACTGGAACACCAAATTCCATCTACGGATCGTCAGAATTTTCGGGTTTCTCCTAGCTGGGCAATACTTATGCCGCGTCCAATGTCTCGGAAAAACCGTAAAAGTCGGCCGAAATTTGCGTGAAAAACGGGGGTGCGCACAGCTCAATGAGTGTAACCGTACCCCTAAAACTACGGTATTTTTTGAAAATTTGCGCAAGAAATTTGAATATTTTCAAATAACCTCAATAAATTAACAAATTTTCAAAAAATACCGTAGTTTTAGGGGTACGGTTACACTCATTGAGCTGTGCACACCCCCGTTTTTCACGCAAATTTCGGCCGACTTTGGACAGAAAAATCTGCGGTTTTTACGGTTTTTCCGAGACATTGGACGCGGGCGGCAACTAGGCAATAGATGGCCAATCACGCTAATAAATTGGAAAGCCCAGAGATGCTTTGCTATGCTATTTTTAGGGTTCCTTTTGGAAATACCAGTGTAAGAATGCGAAATTGTTGAATTCTAAAACCAACGAAACGTTTCCAGCAAACATCATCGGCGCGGGAATCTTCATCACGCCGGGAACCATTCTAGAGTCCACCTATTCGAACGGACTCGCACTTCTCGTGTGGATCGGATGCGGAATTATTTCGTTAATCGGTCAGACCGTATTCTGCGTTTCACTTTTTATTTTCAATCTTTGCAGGCGGCATCTGCTACATCGAATTGGGCACGTCGATCCAGGATCCCGGATGTGATTTTGCCTATAATGTACCCACTTTTTTTTTGTTCTGGAAACAATTCGACTTTTTATGACAATTTCAGGTGTACGTCGGCTGGGAAGGCATCGCATTCTCATTTATGTGGGTCGGAGTGGTCATGTCATTTCCGGCGTCCGCCGCCGTTCAAGCCATCACTTTTGGACAGTACATCGGTCTGTGTTGGGCCTAAAATTTGTTAAAATATTATATGTTTTCAGTGGCCGGATTGGACCCAGTTTGGCATTTGGAGGCGCCGTGGCACGATGTGGTCGAACGAGGACTCGGATTCGTTCTGATTTGTAAGAAAATAGTTCGTTTAGAAAACAACGACAATTTTGAGCACACACAAATTCAGTGTTCTTCGCTCATTTCAGTGATCCTGACCATCCTCAACCTGTACGCCATCGACAAGTACGCGTCGAAATTCCAAGTGGTCGTCACGATCGCCAAATTGCTCTCCCTTGCAGTGATCATCATCACCGGCTTCTATTTTCTCATTTTCAAAGGTTTGCCCACCCATCATTTGCGCCTGAAATTCAACTGAAAACTGGCAGGTTGGACCCAAAACCTGGAGCATCCGTTCGTCGGCTCCAACACGAATCCCGGTCAGATTTCGTTGGCGTTCTACGGAGCACTTTGGAGCTTTGCCGGATGGGACATTCTCAATTACGGAACTCCAGAAATTCATCGACCGCGAAGGTTTGTTGAAAATCCTGTGCGTAGAATTTTTGAATGAAAGACGAGTTCTTGCAAATCGGGTGTGAAAATAAATTGCAGAACGATGCCGATTGCCCTGCTGGGCGGCGTGACGATTGTGACGGCGGTGTACGTGGCGATGAACATCTCGTACATGACAGTCCTGACGCCCGAACAGATCATCAACAGCACGGCGGTGGCCGCCGACTTTGCCCAGGTGACGCTCGGAAAGTTCTCCTACGCCATCCCGTTCATGATCGCACTTTTGCTCATCGGCACACTCAACAGCAACATTTTCTGCGGATCGAGGTAGGCGAGCTACAATCTGTAAAGTATAGCCGTATGCACGTGTGTTCATTCAGAACTCCCGCCATAAAAATTTGAATTTATTTTCGAAGGGCGCTACGCACCGATTCAAAATTTTCGTTTGCCGCCTTTACGCCGGCGTACGCCCATTGGCTGCGTGTCGCCCCTGTGCAAACACCGTTCTAGATATTTTGCGTACTTGGCACCAGATACTACGCAAATTTTAGGCCAGCTGTTTATTTATTCAAATTAAAGAGTGCGAGATTGAAGAGACGCCGACGATGTTCGGTAGGGCGCGCTTGCATGCGCGTAACAGTTCGAACGCTCGTGCGTATGGGCCATGCAAAACTTATCGGCTAATGCAGTTTCTCAGGTAAAACGTTTGTAATCGAGCTAGCTAATTCGCGCTTCTAACCGGACCTAATGGGGCTATTCAGACTGTGAAAAAAATGATTGTTTTCCGTTTTTTTCGTTTTTTTACGTCAAAAAATCCAATTCAGCGATGTAAAAAAAACGAAAAAAACGGAAAACAAACAAACGCTGAATAGCCCCATAATTAGATTGTCAATTTACTGCGATTAGACTGCAAATTCTTCTAACTGGACTGATAAATGTTTCTAATTAGATTGGCGAAGCTAATTAGATTGCAAGAACACTGATATCACATTCGAAATTTATCTAATTAGATTAAAATGTCGGGCAAACCTAGCTAGATTGTGTTTAGATTGCAAAATCAGCTATCAATCAGGTAGCAATCTAACTAGGTCCGGTTAGAAACGAGAATTAGCTAGTTAGATTAGAAACGATTTGCCTGTGAGTTGATGCTGAATACTATGGTATCGTTTCTTTCCCAACAGTATTGTGAGACAGGGGGCTGGGCGAGTTTCTGATTCAACCGGAAATTTCTCAAGAAAAACAAGGGGCGAGAGAGCAGCGATTTGCGTGCGCCACAAGAGAGAGAGAGAGAGAGACAGTTTCTCTCTTTTGGCGCGCAAATCGCTTTTCCCTCGTTTTTCCGGGATTTTTTATTTTTACCGTAAAAGAGTAATAGCTTTTCAGAAGCCATTTACTAGCCCCCGAAGAACGCGAATTTCCACGGGCAGTTTTGTTGTTTAGTTATTTTTTTTTTAACCGGAGAAACCGGAGGTTTTGTTCCGTCTTCCGTCTGCCGTCTTCCGGAAAAAAAATTTTCTTCCGTCTTCCGTTTTCCGTGTTCCGTAAAAAAAATTTCTTCCCGATTTCAAAATTCCATTTCCGCTCAACTCTGATTTGCATCTTAAGATTCACGCACGCGGCGGCCCGCGAAGGCCATCTGCCGACGTTCCTCTCGTGCATAAACGAAGAGTCGAACAGTCCGCGCGCGGCGCTCCTCTTCCAACTCCTCTGCACAATCGCCGTCACTTTTGTGGACACGAACTCGCTCATCAACTACGTCGCATTCGTGATGTTCGGCCAGCGATTCTTCACGATGACCGCGCTCATGTGGATCCGATACCGAAAGATTCCGGTGGCCGCGGACGCCATCAAAGTGCCCATCATCTTTTCCGTTCTCTTCTGGCTCATCACTATTGCACTGGTCGTCGTGCCGTTCGTTGAGGAGACCACGGTAATTTCGAGTTTTAGAAACTGTTTTGTTTAGAAAAACAATCAATTCTTTTCAGCACACAATCGTCGGAGTGGGCCTCGTGCTCGTCGGCCTCATTCTCTATTTCATTTTCAAAAAACCCAAGACACTTCCGCAATTTTTGCTGAATCTTAACGGTAATTCACTCATTTTTCGCTATAAAATCGTTGTTTGTGACTGGAGGAAATCTCTGGAAAGTGTCATTTTAAATCATTGATTTTTCGTTCACACTTTCCCAATTAAAGCCAGTTTTTTGCCGGGTGTATTCAAAATGATCGTTATTTTCAGACGGAATGGCACGTGTGACATGCCGAATTCTGTACTCGACGCCCGACCTGAAACACCATCATCTGAACTCGTCGACCGAGGAGAAAAGCGGTGAGGAGGGTGTGGTGTCGCCGAGATTCACCAGTGAGTGCCGTAGATTTTGTTGTAGTGCACGGCGACCAAAAACGTAGAAAGAGGCGTGGCCTAGCGTGCACGGTTTATCACCATTTTGGCGCGAAATTCGAAATTTAACCCCCTATTTTTCATGTTTTTCGTCAAAAATTACCCAAATTTTGTACGATTTTGACGATGTAATTGCATAACTTTGTTAAACTAATCATCGCGCACTTTTTAAACTTAAAACGAGCAGGTTTAATTCAGAAATGAATCGATTAAATCGATTTTTAAGTTTTGCGGCGAAAATGCGCGAATTTCAGTCATTCGCCGATACTTTTTGCCGTTTTAACGCTTTAAATACTTGTATTAACGTGCTTAATCACTTCCGACACTCACTTCGTCTCAAAACTATCCACATCGGCCGGTATGAAAATTCCGAAATTGCGGCGGCGATTGGCCGCGGAGAGCGTATTGCGAAATATGCCAAAAACGTCTCAAACGCGGCGTTTTCACGAAAATTACGATGTTTTCTCTTTCTAATGTCTTCTTTCGTCGATATCAAACACAAAAATGACGGAAAAGTGTGCTGGAATTGCGGCAATTTTCAGAAAACGCGTCTCAGATTAGGCCACGCCCCTTTCTACAATTTTGGTCGCCGTGTAGTGTTGGAAATTGTAGTCTCATTGTCAATTTTACGTCAATTAATGTGTTTTGCCAACTTCAGCTGAATCGATTTTGAGCCCGGAAGAGCTGACGAATCTTGCCACCGAAGAAGAAAGTTCGCGACTTTGATTTGCCTGTTTATCCCCAAAAACTCGACTCGCACGCCTTCTGATATTCAGAAGTTTGTATATGTATTTACATGACCAAAAAAAAAAAAATGCTCACCCCATCCTATTTTCCATGTCTTCTCGATGAATTTTCCATTTTTTTTCCTCTCCTCCATGTTTTTCAGCCTCCCGAAATCTCCGCTCTCTGATTTCACTTTGTTGACCCATTTTTCCGCTCCATACAATCGTTTAGTTTGTTTATTACAATGATACATAGATTTTTTCATTCAATAGCTCGTTTATGATCACTTTCACGCTATTTCAAGCATTTTCTACTCAGAAATAATGCTCACTGGACGCCGACCTTCGGAGTGTCGTAATGTCGCCCGGTTTAGTAGACTACGGCATTTTCAGAATTCGCCAAAACAATTCGTTGAAGAGCAGAAAAGAAAAAAAAATAAAAAGCTTAAAAACACGAAAAGAAAGGTGATCATTTTACAAATTCGAGAATACATTTTCGGAACTCATATCGCATTTATTTTTCTTCTTTTTAGTAGTTCGCTACAAAAAGCGACTGTCCCGCAGGAGGCCGTGTATAACAGAAAAAACAACGATTTGGATCGATGAACATTTATTCAAAAAGACATAATGAATTTATTGAGCGCCGGGTCCGAAATCCTCGTATCCATCGTCCATTTTCACCGGCTTCTTATCGTCCTTCACGAGCACATCCATACCGCTCGGACCGTCCTGCAAAAACGAAAATTACAATTTTCTTTGAACTTTCACAGGCGGCCACGGTCTCCAGAGCTGACAATGGGCGCGCAAGTGCGCCCCGCCCAATAGAGCGATACATTGGCGCGAAATTCAAATTTTAACAGCAAAATTTGCGTTTTTTGCCAGATTAGCCACGAAAAATCGATAATTTCTTATTTGTCTCTTGATAGACCAATTGTATAGGCTATTACGAATTTTTTAAGCGCAAGAGCGTTAAATTTGGTCAAGTCGCACATCAAATTTATCCGTTTGAAGGTTTTTGGCTAAAACTACGTGAATTTCAGTTGCTTTTCGGTAGTTTTCGCGGTTCGAGCGCTCAAAATGCTTGTATTTACGTGATTTATCATTCTCAAAACCAATTCTGTCGGAAAACGGTCAAGAAAGCGCAAAATGAAAAGTGTGGTTTTTGGGCGGCGAAGTCCACGAAAAATGAGCGCCAAAACGTCATTAATTCTGAGAATTAGTGTGTTTTTATGTCGCGCAATCATTTTTCATCGCCGTTGACCACAAAAATCAGAGAAAACGTGCTCAATTCATGAAAACGCCATTTGGCCGCCGAGGCCACGCCCATATTGTCAGTCAGCTCTGGAGAACGTGGGCCGGAAGAAGGCGCTAGTCGAGGAGGAAAACAGAGAAAATTGAAAGTGCGTACCTTTCCGTCTTCTTGCGTGGCGTCCACTTTGAAGTCCTTTTTCTTCTTGCCCGCCGCCGCCGCAGCCGCCGGCTCCTTCTTCTTCTGCTCTTTCGGCGGCTCGTCGACGGTCGCCTGCGTCTTCTGCACCTGTTCCTTGACCGTCTCCTTCTGATCGGTGCTCGTCTGCGACTTCGACACCGAAAGGTTCGCCTTCTTCTTTGTCGTCTTCGTCTTCGACTTCTTCTCGCCGCCGCCGCCGCCCGTCTCTTTTTTCGTTCCCTTCGTCTTGCTCGCCATTTTGCCTTTTTGCTTTCCTCACACCGCCCACTAGAATCGAAAGTCTGCAAGTTTCACGCGTTTCTTCGTCACGAACCTCGTTTCTGTTCAACTCACTTTTTCAATTCGAGAAAACAGCGAAATGAAGCTGCAGATCGGAAAATAACCACTTTTCCAACTTGTCATCTTTCTATGACCTTTGCTTTTCGTTTTTCGCCAAATCCACGTGAAGTTCAATCAGGTTGAGCACGTTCGTTTTTCAAAGTTTTGAGTAATCTCTTACGGCGCGAATGATTTCAATGGGGCGCACTTGCAACACGCGGACTGTGTCGATTTACGCGGCGGCGGCCGATTAATTAATTTTCAACGGGAGGCCGCGCGTTCTTTCCATGTTTTCTGTAGAATATACCTATTTTTGTACGCCTGGAACCTGGCGTCGAATAATTAGAGCACTAGCTACGTTTTGATAACAGAAATCTCGCATATCGTTGAGAATTAGCCGAGTTATTTCGATTTGAAGGTTTTGGCCTGGATTTTGATGTTTTTCGAGTAGTTTTCGCGAAAACTGCTCAAGAAAACTAACCGCCGAAACCTGAATTTTGTGAAGAAAGATTCAGCGAACATTTTTATCGTTCGTTGCGCTCATGAAATGCAAAATGAGCTGAAATATAAAGGTTTGAAGTTTTGACGAAATGCGAAAAACATGAAAAACTCTAAATTGTGTAAAGAACGGTTTAGACGTTTTTCAAGTCAAAAAAAAAGAAAACTGCATTTTTAGACGTGCAAATTTTCAAAAAAGTTACAACGACACTCCGCAATTTACGAGCGCACTGTGTTTAGCAATAGCGCCCCTTGGGAGACCATGGCAAAAAAGTGAGCTCACAATTTCGTAATTTTCCGGTCTCCCGAACACTTGTCGCAAGTACGGCAATTAGATTAAAAAAATTTCGAAGCGTCTCTGTATACTCATTTCCGATCGGAATCGATCGAAAACAAGCCGCCAGGTCTCCTAGGAGAAGTGAATCTCAGCGACCCGCGTGAGACTGTGTACTGTTGGCCAGATGACATTTTCAGCATTTTTTTAAATTGAAAGTGGTCTGATTCACAGCCGAAAACGTCATTTGTTCGATCTTCTTCACCGCGTAGAGGTTCAGTACTTGAAGAAGTCCCCCCGTTTCTTAGAAAGCTTCATAGGATTTTCTTGAGTTTTCATTTAAAAAGTTTGTCATTTGCATTTTTAATCTTTTGTATTATCTTATTCTTTCAGTGGCCTTGGCCCAATATTCAGTTAATAAATAAATTTGAACAATTTTCGTCGTTCTGTACAAAGTTATCGATTTTTTTTTCATCTCAAATCTTAAAAACTTTAAATTTTGATATCTAATTTTGTCTAGAGACCGTTATTAGTTCGTTGTGAACACATTTCTGACCAATTTCTCGAACTGACCGGACACTTGCTCAGAACGAACTCTCTTCCACTCTTCGACATTCCACTCGTCATTTCCATCGCCACGTTCTTCGGATCGTTCCAGGACAACCTTATCACCATCGTTCTTCAGATGTATTTGAAGATCAAAGAGAAACCGCTGCAGCCGACGTTCGCCTTGTTTCACAGATATCGTTGCATTATGGAACGTGTGTGTGAGGAACATCGTCGGCGTCCAATCCTTAATCAAATCGGCACACTTTTTGTCTTCGTTTAGACGTCCCACAACGAACTGCTTCACGTTGCCGAGCCGGCACTGCCAGTAGTGTTCGCTTCCTCTCCTTTCCAGAAATTTGTAAAAGGACAAGGTCGTCGTTTTGATTTCGGAATGGTCGCCCTTGCTGTTCCGTCCGTCCACCTCTCCCGAATAACAGACGGTCAGAAGTTGGTCTCCAATCTGGACGGTCGCCTTGAAAACTCCTTTGTGATATGTGCCTTTTGGTTTGTGCGAGGTCAAGATTTCGGCAAAACGTGAGCCTAATCCCATAATGATTTCATACCAGGCGTATGCACGCGTTCCGATAAATTCGGGGCTCCAGACGACGAAGATAACTCCGTGAAGGCGGAATGCGTGAACTTTTAGTGCTTTTCCGGAAGCGGCAACCAATTTCAATACTTGTCGGAACGTGACGACATCTTTGTCCTCGAGAAAATGTTGATTATTGTGGAGGTGGCTGAGAAGTGATTCCATATTGTTTTCGAGCGGCTCATCATCTTTAAACGCGTCGTTGGCGACGTCGAGTGGCAGGTTTTCCCGGTAGTATTCGAGTAGGGGCAGTTCGTGTTGACTGATGGTGATGGGTGTGCTGAAAAGCGCATTTTGATAACATTTAATCGCTTTGAGGAAGTACAATCATCGCTCGCAGCACGTCACTCTAGAGCGAGCGCCTCTGTTAGGAAATTCCCATTGCGAAATATTTTGTCTCTCTTACAATCTGAGAACTAGGAAAGTCCCCTTTTTTAGGCGTCCGACGCTTTTTCAGAATCATCATTTCAGAAAGCCACGGCGACGAAAAGTATAGAAAGGGGCGTGGCCTAATCTGAGACGCGTTTTCTGAAATCTGCCGCAATTCCAGCACACTTTTCCGCCATCTTTGTGTTTGACATCGACAAAACACGGTCTCCAGAGCTGACAATACGGGCGTGGCCTCGGCCAAATGGCGTTTTTCGTGAATTGAGCAGGTTTTCTCTGATTTTTGTGGTCAAAGGCGATGAATAGATGATTGTTCGACATGAAAACACACTAATTCTCAGAATTAATGACGTTTTTGCGCATTTTCGACGGATTTCGCTTTTTCGCCTTCTCATTTTGCGCTTTCTTGACCGTTTTCCGACAGAATTGGTTTTGAGAATGATAAATCACGTAAATACAAGCATTTTGAGCGCTCGAACCGCGAAAATTACCGAAAAGCAACTGAAATTCACGCAGTTTCAGCGAAAAACCTTCAAACGGATAAATGTGATTGGCGCCTTGACCAAATTTAACGCTCTTGCGCTTAAAAAATTCGTAATAGCCCTATACAATCGGTCTATCGAAAGACAAACGAGAAATTATCGATTTTTCGTGGCTAATCTGGCAAAAAACACAAATTTTGCTGTTAAAATTTAAATTTCGCGCCAATTTATCGCTCTATTGGGCGGGGCGCACTTGCGCGCCCATTGTCAGCTCTGGAGGTCGTGGAAAGAAGACATTAAAGAGAAAAAACATTGAAATTTTCGTGAAAACGCCGCGTTTGAGACGTTTTTTGGCATCATTCGCAATACGCCCTCCGCGGCCAATCGCCGCCGCAATTTCGGAATTTTCATATAAATTTTCATGCCGATCTGGATAGTTTTGAGACGAAGTGAGTGTCGGAAGTGATTAAGCACGTTAATACAAGTATTTTAAGCGTTCAAACGGCAAAAAGTATCGGCGAATGACTGAAATTCGCGCATTTTCAGCACAAAACTTGAAAATCGATTGAATTGATTCATTCTTTGAATGAAACCTGCTCGTTTCAAGCTCAAAAAGTGCTATTATGCAACTAAATCGTCGAGATCGTACAAAATTTGGGTAATTTTTGACGAAAACCATGAAAAATAGGGGGTTAAATTTCGAATTTCGCGCCAAAACGGTGATAAACCGTGCGCGCCGCTAGACCACGCCCCGTTTCGACGTTTTTGGTCGCCGTGGAAAGCGATTACTGCTTGTAGTGGGATAGAATGATTTTCAACAAACGCACAATTGGATGTCCCTGGAATAGTGTCCGATTGTCTCCACGGCGACACACGAAGCATGGCCGTCCGGGATCCAAGGGTCCGAAGAAACGTGGCGAGTGGAAGATGACGAGTTTGTCTGTTGAATCATGGCGGTACCGCTTGTGGACACTGTCGACCGCTTTTATACTCACTTCTTATCAGTTAGCGGGCAATTGACATGAGCACTGTTGCGTAATTTAGACATAGCAAAGAATTTCAAGCAGCCTATTCTCGAGCCCACACTTTCAGAATTCTCGCGTTTAATTCTAGTAGATTGGGTTCGAGTTGTGAATGATTTCGACAAACGCACAATTGGATGGCCCTGGAATAGTGTCCGATGGTCTCGACGGTCCCGGATCCATGGGTCCAAAGAAACATGGCGATCAGAGTTGAGCGGAAGAGCTTAACAGGGAAGAATTTTTATCTTTTTTAGAAAATTGTTTCATAGAATGTAATCAACTGACAAAATGTATAGCAAAGTGAACTCTGCTCATAAAAAAATAATTGTGAATTTAGCGATTCATACAAAAAAGTTATTCGAGTTGTTGCGTGAAAAAAGGGCCAACGGAACAACGCGTATAACTTTTTTGTATGAAAAGCTAAATTTACAAATATTTTTCGATGAGCAGAGTTAACCTTGCTCTACATTTCGTCAGTTGATCACATTCCATGAAAAAATTTTCTAAAAAAGATAAAAATTCTTCCGTGTTCATCCGCTCAACTCCATTGACGATGCCACATGTGAACTGTCCCTCCGCCGCCCAGTATGAACATCCAAATCAAACATGAGCAAAAATGCGCCACGAATTTTTATTGGCTTGACTCACAGAGACGAGAAGACGTGACATTTTTATTGTCTATAAAAGTTGAGCAAACATTTTTCCGGGCTAAAAGATGAGTGGCTCGCTCAGTCCGTCGACCACTTTTCAAGACAGGCATGAACAAATTCAACGCGTCTCGGGAGAAAATGAATGCGGCGAAACGTGTTGGCGAGCAAGTTTCGGTGAGTTTTAGGCTTACAATAATGTACAGTATTGCATGAAATTCAGACGACCACCACCAGTGTGCATCAAAAAGTTCAAGAAGGTCAAGTGAAGGAGGCAGCCCGGACGGTTGAGGATTCCGGAAGACAGGTCAAGAATCAGTGCATTACCATTGTCAAAATGTGATTACGGTTGGCTTTGTGAGGAGCCATTCGTGAAAATAAATGTGTTATTGATAAACTTTTCCACTGTCTAATATCTTCCGGCTCCTCCTAACATTAATGACCCCGATGAAGTCTGCAGTGGCACTGTCGAGAGTTCATTTTCCCGACAAATGGATGAGAAAATGCGTGACTTTTTGCATTTCTGAATTCGATTTCACTTCATTTTAATTCATTCATAACGTCGTCGTTCGCCTATCCGTGCACGGTCTCCCAGAGCGCTATTGCTAAAAACAGTGCGCTCGAAAATTGCGGAGTGTCGTTGTAACTTTTTTGAAAATTTGCACGTCTAAAAATGCAGTTTTCTTTCTTTTTGACTTGAAAAACGTCTAGAAAACAATATTTTACGAATTTAGAGTTCTCTTTTCGCTGCGCTTCTAGAGAATATGTTTTTCTGATTCCTCACTTCGAAAAAGGAAAGTTTCATATTGCAGCCTTCATTCAACAAGTAGGTGTTTCGGTAATAAGTTAGGTCGTTTTAACCGAGCCAACTGGGCTCTCACGCACAAAAAAACACACAAACAATTGACTATTAATACTCAATATTACACGATATTCTAACTCAGTCAAAACCAAAAACAAACAAAATGTGCGAACACAACAAACGAATTGTACAGATACGAGAAATTCGGCGCCTTATTCTCATTCTTCGTCCGATTCGGACTCGTCCGCTTCCCTTCCAGCTCCGTTGTCCGTTGAATTGCATCCTTGGGCTTCCGGGATGTCCTTCAAGTACCTCTGTAGTCCCTCTGCTGATCTCCAACGTCCTCTGCACCGCACCTCCTCCATCGAAAGTCCTTTCGCTCGCAAGTAGTTCGCTCCAGCTCGTCTGAATCCGTGGTGCGTCGCTTCCGTTTTCCCGATCGCCTTGAGCATCTTCGAAGCCAGGGCCGAGATCGATTGCTTCGACAGACGTTTGGATCCCTCTAATTTCGAAAACACGTACTCGCACGTCTTCTTCTTGCTTCTGAGTCGCCACCTGCACGTCAGAATATCCGCGTCGCTGCCCGGTTTGTAGTTGAAGTACGATCGACGTCCCAGAGCCATCTGATCGTTCTTCGCCTTCTCAACGATTACCTCGATCAGATCTCCTGTTTGAGTGACACCGTCCCACTTGATCTCCGCCGCCTCAGACGCCCTCAACATCACATGGAACGACAGAATCACCAGCAAGGCATCCCGATCGCCCGCCGGACTGTTTGACTGCATCGCCAACTGTGTGATCTTTTCGACATCCTCCAAAGTCACCTCGACTGGCTTCTTTTTCAACGGAATCTCGAGCCTTCTCTTCATCTTGATGACGTCCGCCACGAAAGCCGCTCCAATCTTGGAAATCCTATCGTTTGCCGCTTGATACGCCGCCGAGATCTTCGACAGCGCGCTGCTTCCGATCTTCGTCCCTCTCTCCATCAGGTAGAGCAGGAATGTTGACTCGTTCTTCGGCAGCTGCATCTTCTCGGTCCAAACGTTTCGTTTCACATTTTCCGCGCGATATGCCCTCGCAGTAGACGTGGCCTTTGACTCGTACGGCGCCACTTTCAGCACGTCGACAAGGTGTTTCAGCTGCTTCCCCGCCTGCGCCTCCAAATCCTTCACGTACTGTCGTTTTGCGCCTTCTGCAACAATTTGACACTTGATTTCTTTCGTTTAGTTGGGTGGGTGGGCCGGGAACCTTCCAAATTCCGTAGAATGACATTTCGAATAAAAATCCCGCCTGCCGCGACCGTTCTTTCATTTCGCTTCGAGACCCGCGCCACCTCAAAAGTCTGTGCGCCTTTAACTTTCGGTCGCTGCGCGCGCCTTTTTCTCCGTTTGTCAACGAAAAACATAGTATTCTCTTTTCGCTGCGCTTCTAGAGAATATGTTTTTCTGATTCCTCACTTCGAAAAAGGAAAGTTTCATATTGCAGCCTTCATTCAACAAGTAGGTGTTTCGGTAATAAGTTAGGTAGAAACCAAATGCAAAGCCCGGGGCCTGCTCTAATTAAAATCTACTAAAGCTAGAATGAAGTTCGATCCACAATATTTTGAGTTGGTAGCTTCACAAAACCTAGATCCCTCTCCTGACACGAAGATATCGTCGTTTTTCTCATATATTAGGTAATCTTTGATTGCCCCGATGAATTTTCCTCTACGATCCACTAGGGCCTGGAAAGACGGATGGCTTTTCCAGACTGGCGCCACTAGGACCCCTCGCAAACGCTCTTTTTCGGGCAACTCCCATTAACTTCGGGATGAGTATTGGTGGGGGCACCCACCAAGAAGATCCCATTCTCCTCGCTCGTCCGATGTGATCGAAAACGTCGACGCCACTGGTGCCCGGTTCCGGATATCTGGAAAAAACAATCTCGTCTTTCTGTTCTTCGCATCCGCGAACCAGTCAACTTCCAGCTTCCCCCACAGTCTCTGTGCAAGGTGAAAAACCCTCTCTTTCACTCCCCAATCATCGAAATCAAAATTTCTGCTTGCCTCGTCTGCTTCACAGTTCAGTTCCCTCGGAATCCACAAGAAAACGCTTTCTCCCACACCATACAGATGCTCCCACACTTTCTCCGCAATTGCGTGCAACTCTGTCTTCATGGAGCCTCTCCTCAGAATGCTGACCGCTGCCTGACTATCCACTAGCACCTGGATGTTCCCTTCTATCTCCCTTCCTAGCTTGGCTGTGGCCCACTCTACGGCCCGCAGCTCTCTCATCGCACTCGATTCCTTCTCAAATTCCGCGTCTCCTCTCTCTGTCATCTTCCAGACTGTCTCTCCTTTCTTATCCTTCAGCACCGCGCCAATTCCTTTTGCCGAAGCGTCCGTGTACAGAAACCACTCGAATTCCGGCTCTTTCTCCTCTATTTGTCTTCTTAACACTTCTTCGCCTCTTTCTTCCCAGAATCGTAGTTCTCTCTCCTCACCTTCCGACTTTCTCTTCCTCGTCGCCGTCGCCACGTTCTTTTGCTGAGCCTCGCCGGCCGTCCGCATCAGATGCCGCGCTCTCGCCACGCCTTCGTCTCCTGCAACGATCTCAAATGATGCCAGGCATCCGAGAAACTTCATTCGGTCCAGGACCGACGGAGCCGGGCTCCTCCTCAGCTCCTCCAGAGCCCCACGCCACGTGGTTATCCTTCTCTCAGTCCCACGGACTTCTCTCGCGATCAGATCGCATCTGTATCCTAGCCAAGTGAACACTGGCGAAGGCGTCCAAACGGATTTCTCCTCGGCCACACACACTCCCGCCTCTTCCAGGTCTTTTCTCACCACTTCTACCGCCTCTTCCACTTCTCGTGCTGTTCGCCTAGGATGAGGCCGTCATCCAAATAAAGAATCACTTCCATTCCCCCCTCTCTCCACTTATGCACTAGTGTCTTAAAGATTTTTGTGAACAACCAAGGGGCCGTAGCCAACCCGAAAGGTAATGCTCTAAACATGAAGTATGGGGCCTCGGGTGGATTTACTAAAGAAAAGGCTAACAAGTCTTGCGACTTCTCATGAATCTTTATATGGTGATACCTCGACTTAAAGTCAAACGTGGCGGCGAACCTCGCTTTTTCTATAAAGGGCCACGCCGTTTTAAGGTTCTCTAACTTGAAGTGAGGAGGAGGAGCCAAGCTCTTATTCAGTTCGCTCAAATCCAAAGTCATTCGCTTCTTCTCACCTTGCTCGACTTCTCCTCTGTACGATCCACGGCCTCTGTTTTGACGGGCACCACCATGGCCTCTGGCGCTACCCTCGAATCGAAACCACCGAGATCTCTCGTACTCCTCATCATCGATCCGTCTCCTCTTCCCGTCCGACGAAACGCCCGCCTTGTTGTTGTTGCTCACTTGCGAAAGCAGCAGAAGGGACGTCATTGTCTCCCATCTTCAACCGATCGAAAAAGCGGTAAACCGCACCTAAAAACTCTGATTTACCCTTCCGGGCACACGAAAAGCACATAAGAAACGTAAAAATCACAATTTTCGACGAATTTCTCGTCAAATATCGATCAAATAAAATTCGAACACAATTTTCTATACCACAAAAAAAAAAACTGTCCAAAATGACAAAACGACCTTCCAAATTCCGTAGAATGACATTTCGAATAAAAATCCCGCCTGCCGCGACCGTTCTTTCATTTCGCTTCGAGACCCGCGCCACCTCAAAAGTCTGTGCGCCTTTAACTTTCGGTCGCTGCGCGCGCCTTTTTCTCCGTTTGTCAACGAAAAACATAGTATTTTTCATGTTTTTCGCATTTCGTCAAAACTTCAAACCTTTATATTTCAGCTCATTTTGCATTTCATGAGCCCAGCAAACGATAAAAATGTTCGCTGAATCTTTTTTCACAAAATCTAGGTTCCGGCGATTGGTTTTCTTGAGCAATTTTCAAAAACTATTCGAAAAACATCAAAATCCAGGCCAAAACGTTCAAATCGAAATAACTCGGCTAATTCTCAACGATATGCGAGATTTCTGTTACCAAAACGTAGCTAGTGCTCTAATTGTTCGACGCCAGGTTCCAGACTTATAAAAAAATAGGTGTATTGTACAGAAAACATGGAAAGAACGCGCGGCCTCCCGTTGAAAATTAATTAATCGGCCGCCGCCGCGTAAATCGACACAGCCCGCGTGTTGCAAGTGCGCCCCATTGAATCATCATTCGCGCCGTGGGAGACCGTGCTTTTTCAGACAACATTTCCAGGTGGACGACCTCTTTGTCGCTTATCTCAATCCAAACCTGACGCCGAGAACTTTCCATGCGAGTGTAATTGTTGAGGAACATCTCAGTTGGATCTTGGAGGGACCAATCGAGAAGAATGCTTCATTTCTTGTTTGTAATTGACGACGTTTTTGTACTGCCACTCCTTGGAGTACTGTAGGTCTTTGATATTAAGAGAAGTTGCTAACCTCGGCTAACTTCTTAGAGCTACAGTACGCCAGGGAGTGGTTTTACAAAAAAGTTGTCAATTACAAAAATACAGTTCTACTTATGTGCTATATTTTTGTCGTTGACAACTTTTTTGTACAACCATTTCTTGGAGTACTGTAACTCTAGGAAGTTCGGACTAAAATGCACGTGCGTTGCGGTAGTCCAAACTTCCGAGAGCTACAGTACTCCAGGAAGTGATCGTATGAAAAAAATGTCAACTACAAAATTGTAGTACTAAATACGGTCTTCATTTTTGTAGTTGACAACTTTTCTATACAACCGTTTTCTGGAGTACTGTAACTCTAGCAACTTCCAAGAACTACAGTCCGCCAGGGAGTGATCGTACAAAAAAGTTGTCAACTACAAAAAAGAGTTAGAAGACGTAAAGATGTTAAAAAAAACATTTTCAGAGCCGCCGAACGTCTCCAGAGTCTACAATATCCATCCAAAGAAACATGTGAAGGGAGTTTCACTTCAACTTCAAAACTGAATGAACTGAAAGGTGAATTTAGACCAACTCTGGTGATTTTCGAAAAAAAAACCACATGAAATACTGTACTCTAAGCACATTTTCTACCGCATTTTCACAAAAGTCTGCTCATTGTCTTGTCTTCCAAGTATTTCTTCATTTCTCACCGGAAACTGTCCAATTTTATTACACTTTTTCAATCAGCACTAAACGGTTTTTTTGTTCCCTCCCTATTACACCACATCTTTTCTGCCTTCATTCCCATCATTTTCGATCAAGAAACAGAGCTCCCCCCTCCCTTTCCCCCTTTTTGCTCTCAATTCTGAGCCAGCTCGAACGCCGAGTTTCGTGTTAGAAGCCATTTTGGTCCGCCCGTGAGAGAAGTTCCAATGAAGAGTTCTAGAGGAACGAGGTGCGGAGCCAAGTTGTCCGTGACGACTGTTGGATACTACGCGAGGGATCGCCATTTGTGAGTGTAGATTGGCTAGACGCTCATTTTCAAACCAGTCAGCAGAGTTGAGCGGAAGAACTCAACGCAAGAACACGGAATAATTTTTATCTTTTTTAGAAAATTTTTTCATGGAATGTGATCAACTGACGAAATGTATAGCAAAGTGAACTCTGCTCATAGAAAAATAATTGTAAATTTAGCGATTCATACAAAAAAGTTATTCGAGTTGTTCTTTTTTTACGCAACAACTTGAATAACTTTTTTGTATGAAAAGCTAAATTTACAATTATTTTTCAATGAGCAGAGTTCACTTTGTTATACATTTCGTCAGTTGATCACATTTCATGAAAAAATTTTCTAAAAAAGATAAAAATTTTTCCGTGTTCTTCCGTTGAGTTCTTCCGCTCAACTCTGCTAGTCAGGTGTTGAGTTGCATGAGTAAGATTCTGAAAGTGTCGGAGAGGCATCAAAGTTCAACTACCGTTTCCTAAATTTCTCAAAGTTACCCCCTTGACGAGCAGATTACCTTGCCATGTTTGGCAGTGTTCCACGAGGCTTACACGGTCTCCAGAGCTGACAATATGGGCGTGGCCTCGGCGGCCAAATGGCGTTTTCATGAATCGAGCACGTTTTCTCTGATTTTTGTGGTCAACGGAGATGAAAAGTGATTGTTCGACATGAAAACACACTAATGCTCAGAATTAATGACGTTTTGGCGCGTTTTGGCGCATTTGTTTTGGCGCAAAACCGCACTTCTCATTTTGCGCTTTCTTGACCGTTTTCCGACAGAATTGGTTTTGAGAATGATAAATCACGTGAATACAAGCATTTTGAGCGCTCGAACCGCGAAAACTACCGAAAAGCAACTGAAATTCACGCAGTTTCAGCGAAAAACCTTCAAACGGATAAATGTGATTTGCGATTTGACCAAATTTAACGCTCTTGCGCTTAAAAAATTCGTAATAGCTTATACAGTCGGTCTATCGAGAGACAAATGAGAAATTATCGATTTTTCGTGACTAATCTGGCAAAAAACACAAATTTTGCTGTTAAAATTTGAATTTCGCGCCAACGTATCGCTCTATTGGGCGGGGCGCACTTGCGCGCCCATTGTCAGCTCTGGAGACCGCGCTTAAGTACCATCACTTCACCGCTCCTGCTCCCTGAGAAAAGCCCGCGAAGTTCAAATGGGGCCCCGCCCCTTCAGCGTTCAATTCTTGCAATTAGCGCGCACAGTTTTCGCAACACTGCCCGAATTCTGGAAAATTAAAGCAGAAAATTATTTTTTTGTTATCAAAACGTATTCTGTCGCCTTGTTGCATCTTCTTTTCTGAAAAAAAGAGCACTAAAAACCGACAACGAATGTTTTTTCACTTGTTTTTTCACTGTCGAACTGAAGAGCAAAATGCGTGCGGCAGAGTTGCGAAAACTGCGCGCGCTACTTGCAAGAATTGAACGCCGAAGGGGCGGGGCCCCATTTGAACTTCGCGGGCTTTTCTCAGGGGGCAGGAGCGGTGAAGTGATGATATATCACCACTAAATTTTGATTTGCAGCCAAGTCACTTGTGGCCGCAAACCGACTCTGCTCATCTCGGACCTCTCTTCGCTCCGATTCCCGATTCCGATTCCAGAGGAAGAGCACGAAGACTTGGGCAGCGGGGAGGACAACATGGAATCCCTTCTCAACTACGTCAAGCTTCACCCCGAACTGCTCGACGACGTCGAATTCGTGACGTTCCGGCAGGTGCCGGCGTACGTGGCCGAGTTTGAGAGTCGGTTGGAAGTGCAGGCGTTTCGGCACGCCGGACGCATCTGGATCCGATGGAATCCGTGGCCCAAAATCAAGGAGCACGTGGCGCAGAGGAGCACGATGCGGATGGGCGAGGCCGGCGCCTTTTCGAGGGCGCTGGAGGCGTCAGGAGATGAGGAGAAGAAGAAGAAGAAGGAGAGCAGCTACGTGAAGGGTGTCTTCAAAGCATCCATGACACTTCCCGAAGACCCGGAGCCCACGAACCTTCTTCTGTCCGGGGAGCTCGACGGTAGGAACGCAGAGGAGTGCCACGTGGAAGTCAAGGTAACACTTCTTCCCCTCGACAAATGGTTCGCCATTAGAAGTTGTCGGTGCTACTGGCAATGCCGTCTTGGACAGGTCCCACAGATCATTCTGGGGCACATCGACCAGAACCGTATGGAGTTTGACGCGTATCGAACGTGGACTTTGGAGCAATTCGTCGAAGAATACCGAAGACGATGCGGATGGAATGTTAGGAAGCCGTGGACAGTGGAGAACGGAGAGCGGAGGATTCAGCGAATGTTGAAGAGCCTCAGAGAGCACCTGAACGAGGACGGAGCATCGGTGGTTTTGTATCGAGGCGACAAGTTCAGCCGTGTTCAGCCGTTCTTCACTGGAGCTAGACATTCGGCCGATGGAGAATGGAGTGTTCTGGAAGGACAACAAGTGGCCGACGAGTTCAAACAACTCGTCAGGGGAGTGTTCACGAGTGACGAGAAGTGAGAAGAAGGTGGGAAAGCGAACAGATTTCCGGAAAATCTTGAGATGCTCTCGACATTGACAATTATTTTCCAACTTCGTGTGTGCGTAATGACGTTAATTTGTTTTATTAACATAAAATTGCTTCTTGCCAAACAATGCTTTTATCCTTCCATACAGCACTCGCCTTCTTTTTTTTGTTCCGTTATAGTCATCAACCGGTGATGCATCCTAATAGCGAAGATCCAATGTTTTCGGTGACATATGCGTTCATAGCTATGAACGCATAGAAAACTGTTCGAATTTGTCAGATCGTCCAGTTTCAGCTGTTTCATCTTTCGATGTCAGGCTTGAAGGAGATGGAAATAGCAGAAAGAACGGCGAATTTAATGCTTTCGATTGTCCAATTTTGAGGTCTGAATCATGAATTTTGAACAAATAAGTGGAACCGCAATAAACCTCCAAGATAATCAGTTGGTTTCCAATTCGGAATCTTCGTTTTCAGTTCTGTCAGAACAAAATCATAACCGCCCGTGGAGCGCGAGGACGTTAAGACGTGAACTGTAGGGACAAATGTGTCTCCAAACTGGAAAAAAAAACGAAACGATTTTGTAAATGTTTTATTTTTTACCTTTCCGTTTTTTTTTCTGAGCAACTGCAAAAGTTCCGTCACTCAACAACACTATACTCGACTCTTCCAAGATTTTGAGAACAAATTCTTCGTTGCCGAATGCTACGTGAAGAAAGTTCGTTTGTGGGCAAATTTTATCAAAGATCAAGAAATTTCCTCTGTCTGAAAAACGAGATTTTCTTGTATTTCTGTGTTTTTTGATTTCACCGTTGTCTTCTGCCATTTTTCCTCGGATCCATGAATCCATAGTCGCAGTGTCCGCGCACTTTTCATCCCGTTGCCTACTGATCAAGCGACTGAGAGCAGAAACAGATCCGGCAATCATGACACGTCGGACGCCATGCTTCATTTTAGCTTCGTGGAAAATGTCTCGTGGAGATATCTGCGTATTCCGAGCGGCACTCTTGCGATTTTCGCCTGCAACTGAAATCTTATTTCTTCTCAATAATAACTATTTCCAAAACTTACTTTTACAATATTATCATCCGCAACGTGGCCTACGTGAGGCTTCGAAATTTAAATCGATCCGTAACTATATCTTCTTCCGAGCGCATTGCACGCAATCTTCATCTTTCTGAAAACAATTTCTTGCTTATTTGTTGATTATAACTAATTATTTTCTGTTCATTTTATTATTACATATCGAAACACTCACCTCTCCGAGCAATGTAGTAACTCAGTTCCGTCGGCCAGGAGCTTGACAGGTCTCATTGTGAATCCGTTGTGCGGATGTAACGGGCGGAGTACTCTTTTCGGCGTTATTCTGTACAAGAAATACGATTTCCAGCAAGCGGATCATGAAAAATAATAAGAATGTTCGACAAAAACACAGAACAAAGCCGAAAAAACAGTGAAAAAACATCTATTTCCAGCAGAAAAAAAAAACACATTTTTAACCTGAGCAATATTTTTAACCTGAGCAATACGAAAAATTACTGTCCATGCGGCGAGTTTGGCGGTTTTTTGAATTTTTAAATACTTGTACTCAATTGGTTTCGAAATGTCGCGGTTTCTAAATGTCCCGGACGTTTAAAAATGCAGTTTTCTTTCTTTTTGACTTGAAAAACGTCTAGAAAACAATATTTTACTGATTGGAAACCGTTCTTTACAGAATTTAGAGTTTTCCATGTTTTTCGCATTTCGTCAAAACTTCAAACCTTTATATTTCAGCTCATTTTGCATTTCATGAGCCCAACGAATGATAAAAATGTTCGCTGAATCTTTCTTCACAAAATTCAGGTTCCGGCGGTTGGTTTTCTTGAGCAGTTTTCGAAAACTATTCGAAAAACATCAAAATCCAGGCCAAAACCTTCAAATCGAAATAACTCGGCTAATTCTCAACGATATGCGAGATTTCTGTTACCAAAACGTAGCTAGTGCTCTAATTATTCGAATCCAGGTTCCAGGCGTACAAAAAAATAGGTGTATTGTACAGAAAACATGGAAAGAACGCGCGAACTCCCGTTGAAAATTAATTAATCGGTCGCCGCCGCGTAAATCGACACAGCCCGCCTGTTGCAAGTGCGCCCCATTGAAATCATTCGCGCCGTGGGAGACCGTGATTTGGCCGCCGAGGCCACGCCCATATTGTCAGCTCTGGAGACCGTGATTGTAACAATAAAAATTGGTACTCTTGGACATTATTATAGAAAACGATGAAATGGCTTCCCGAAAATGCTCAACCTATTTAGTGGTCTGAACTTTTGACCCACTTGGCCTATTCCGATAGTTCTGAAACTGCGATAGGCCGTGAGCGAACAATTCTTCTATGCACTCTTAAAAGTACAGCTTCAATTATTGGCAAACAAAAGAAGAAGATAAAATATATTGCGTAGCAAACTGTTTGAGGCGCTGTAAACTCCGAGCAAATATTATACAACTTTTGATGCTATACAATGCGTTTGAATAGACACGAATTCATCGTTTTCAGTTTCAGTTCAGTCCAACTCCAATTCATAGTGCATCTTGCGTCTGCAGAGATGAATAGCTCGAAATGCATCCAAAACATCGTTCAAAGATCCGGTGGTTGGCCGCCCGTTCTGCGTCAATTCCACAGGTCGCTTCAGTAAGTGTTCCTGAAAAATGAGGAAAAAATAACAAAATGCTTCGTCTTCCTCTTCAATCGGTGAGTTTCAGATTAGAAATGCCGCCCAAGAAAAACGCAGGCAACAGCCAGAAAACGGCCAAGAACAGAGGGAATCTGGTAAGCGACCGAAAACAAAATCAATTTGAGCAACACTGTCTCGTTTCCAGAGCACGCCTTCTCAGTTTCCGTCATTTCGGACGTCAAGTCAAATGATTCATAGATACTTTCATATTTCCGAATTACCGTCCGGACGCAAAACATTCAATTCTTCCGAGCACATTTACAAAAGAAATGATGTTTTTGAATAAATCGTGTCTGTCTCCTTAAAAAAGTGAACATTTTCTAGGGTAATTGCATCGAGCCAACTCGCAGGCTTGCTGAAATCAGCTTTAAAAAATATAATATTATTATAAAGAGTACCCTTCTGATATTGTATCCCATCACTTTGTGCTCATTCTGTCCGACGGTTCCTTGCAGAAGCGCCAGAATGCAGAGGATGAGGAGGAGGAAGTTAGGCATTTTGGGGTGAATTGGAAATGGCAAGGGGGGCTTTAGCTTTGGGTAAAGATCGTAAAAATGTAAAAGGTGTTCACAAAATCTACATATTAAAGGTGGTGTCCAACGTGACATACAACATATTTTTAAAATAAACTTCGAAGTGGGGCATTCACTTTCCCAAAGTCCCGAATTACGAAAAAAATTCCCCGATTTTAAAGATTTTTTTCAAAAAAGTTAATGGTACCGAGAGAAATGGTGCTCGGCGAAATGGAAGAGCTGGCCTAGATTTTTCTAGTCCCCCCGGATGAAATTCCCCTTTATTCCGATTTTTTTCCGTTTTCGTGCAATTTTCTTAAATTTTCAATCGTTTTTTCACTGAACACATTTATTTGCAATATTTAAAAAAGGTTATGATTTTTTCTGTGCCGTGACGCCAAAAAAATCGATAATCTGAAACTTTTTTTTTTGGTTTTTCCGGGTTTTTCGCTCAATCTTCGGTTTGCGCGCTGAAAAATAAATAGAAAGAGATCGCTCAATCATTTCCTGAGTCTTAATTAAAGTTTGCGAGTTACAGAAAGTTATAATTTTCAAAGTAATGCGAAAAATCCAAAACTTCCTATTTTCAGTTTTACAAAAAGTGGCTGAATTTCTGAATTTTGCTGATTTTTGAAAGTTTCAAATTATCGATTTTTTTGGCGTCACGGCACAGAAAAAATCATAAATTTTTTTTAAATATTGCAAATAAATGTGTTCAGTGAAAAAACGATTGAAAATTTAAGAAAATTGCACGAAAACGGAAAAAATCGAAAGAAAGGGGAATTCCATCCGGGGGGACTAGAAAAATCTAGGCCAGCTCTTCCATTTCGCCGTGTACTTCTCTCGGTACCATTAACTTTTTTGAAGAAAATCTTAAAAATCGGGGAATTTTTTTCGTAATTCGGGACTTTGGGAAAGTGAATGGCCCACTTCGAAGTTTATTTTAAAAATATGTTGTATGTCACGTTGGACACCACCTTCAATACAGTACAAAGAGCATAGAAATGTTCCAGTTTGACCCCCTTTTAGGGCTCCCAAAAGGATGCTTTAAATTTTATGTTTTTTCGAAAAAACGGGCAAAACTATAAATATTAATTTAAGTGTACACTGAAAAAAAAAGTAGTTCAATGGACTAGATCCGTGTGAAAAAAATGGGGCGAAAGGGGGAAAAGGGGGGAAAAGGGGGGCGAAAAAAGACAACGAGCACCAAAAAAAAGGTGAGTTTTTCAAAAAATCACAAAAACAACTAAAACGGAAATTTGTTTGGAAGAAGGGGGGAAGCAAAAAAAAAACGAGTGTCGGAATGTACAGAAACCGAAATTGTACCGTATTCAGAGAGAGAGAGTGGGGGCCTAAAAGTTTTGGGGCAGCAAATTGCCAAAAAAAATAAGATATGAGAGATCAATCGAATGAATGTTCACTTAAACGACAGTTTTTGTGAGAAAGACTAAAAGTGCGACGAGAAGATCGACTGGCACCGCCGACGACGTCGCCTCCATCTGAACGGAGCGGACCGCCAACGGCGACGCGTGCTGCCCTCCGAAATCGCCCGTTTCCCGGTCGGTTCCGTACAGCACCAGCTCCCATTTCACGAGTTCCGCGTCTGAAAACGCCGGACGAGATTAGTCAAAAAGCCGGGGAGAGTGGCGGAATAAAAGTACCGTCCCAACCGTCATTATCGATTTCCAGAATCCAGAGACCGGCCGCCTGTTCGCCCCAATTGTGCGTCGTCATGAACGCCCAATCGGTGAAGCCCGAGCGAGACGTGTCACGCGCACGTTTTGTGAGCAACGTCGACTTGGTGCCTGCAAAATTACGGGGTTTTTAATGAAAATTTTGCAAAAAATGCCCCAACTTGTGCAAATTCTCGCAACTAACCCGACGGAGAAGTCAAATAGATTTGCAGATCGCCTCTTTTCGGCGCCTTCAGGGTGATGATCGCCTGCACGTGCTCCACGTACGACACTTTCGTCTCTTCGCCTCCACCGTAACATCCGTCGCTGTACAGTTGCAGTTGCAGGCGATTGCCGTTCGGAATGTTCCTGAACACCTCGAATACAATAATACATGATGCTTTTCAACACATTTTGTGCCCCCCACACGGTCTCCCAGGGGGCGCTAATGCTAAACACAGTGCGCTCGTAAATTATGGAGTGTCGTTGTAACTTTTGAAAATTTGCAGGTCTAAAAATGCAGTTCAATTCGAGTTTACGATCTTTATTTCTTTCTTTTCGACTTGAAAAACGTCTAGAAAACAATATTTTACTGATTGGAAACCGTTCTTTACAGAATTTAGAGTTTTTCATGTTTTAGCGTGTTTTTCGCATTTCGTCAAAACTTCAAACCTTTATATTTCAGCTCATTTTGCATTTCATGAGCCCAACAAACGATAAAAATGTTTGCTGAATCTTTTTTCACAAAATCTAGGTTTCGGCGGTTAGTTTTCTTGAGCAACTTTCGAAAACTATTCGAAAAACATCAAAATCCAGGCCAAAACGTTCAAATCGAAATAACTCGGCTAATTCTCAACGATATGCGAGATTTCTGTTACCAAAACGTAGCTAGTGCTCTAATTATTCGACGCCAGGTTCCAAGCGTACAAAAAATAGGTGTATTGTAGAGAAAACATGGAAAGAACGCGCGAACTCCCGTTGAAAATTAATTAATCGGCCGCCGCCGCGTAAGTCGACACAGCCCGCCTGTTGCAAGTGCGCCCCATTGAATCATCAGACCGTGCCCCACACTCACTTATATCGGCTGGGATAAAATTGTCGGCAGCGGTGCTGCTCGTCGACCTTCTTCCACGCCTTTGCCAGTTTGACCATCGCGCCGGCGTCCATCAATCCGTAGCCGAACGAGTGCGACACATTTCTGCCGACTCCGTTCGTCGTCCAATCGCCCGCGCGCAAATTGATCGGTTTCGCCGTGCGAATCACAATGTGCTGCAGGTCTCGCCACGTCAAATTCGGGTTGGCCTCGAGGGCGAGCGCGACGATTCCGGCGGCGAGGGGCGCCGACGCAGACGTTCCCGTGTGCATGTTCGTGCAGGCGTGGTGCAAATCTGTCGTCACGATCATCTTTTCGCCGGTGGCGCCGCTCGAGTACGTCGTCGCGAGAGTACTGCTGCACGCCTCCGAGTACCACGGAATGTTGCCGTTCTCGGTGGCCGACGAGATCGACAGCGTGTAGATGGAGTTGGTGTAGCCGTCGCAGTTGCACGAGTCGGCGTCTTTTCCGCCGTTGCCCGACGCCCACACGAATATCGATCCCTTCCCTTTTCGGCCCATCGTTATGCCCTTCTCGAAGGCGCTTCGCGTCAACTTTGCCGGTCCGTCCACTGTTCGGCCGTCGTCGTCCGGTCCCCACGAGGCACTGCAAAAAAGGATTGGGTTGGAGATCGTTTTGCAACAAGTTTCAGTCTCCCTCTCACCTATAAATGTCGATATAATCAGCGTTATGGCCGACGGAGGCCGCCTCGACCGCATCCGTCACATCGCCGTCGAGCATCCGAATGCCTCCGATGTTCGCGTTGTACGCAATGCCGACAATGCACAGACTGTTGTTGAAGATGGCGGCCACCTCTCCGGCGCACCGTGTTCCGTGTCTGTTCTCGTCGGAGAACTCGTAGCGAGGCATCGGGTCGTTGTCGCGATCGTTGACGTCGTACGAGGCGCGCTCGTCGTAGTTGGGCGAGATGTCCGGATGCGTCCGCTCGAGACCGTCGTCCAGAATCGTCACGACGACGCCTTTGCCCGTGTAGCCGAGGTCCCACGCCTCCTTCACGTTGTGGTCCATGCGGATCGTCGACGAGTCCGAGTGCTCGCCGCGGTTCTGAAAATATGGGGTTTTAGTTGGACACTTTGAATAGCTTGATACATCTTCCAAACGCACGGCGACCAAAAACGTAGAAAGGGGCGTGGGGCCTAGCGTGCACGGTTTATCACCATTTTGGCGCGAAATTCGAAATTTAACCCCTTATTTTTCATGTTTTTCGTCAAAAATTACCCAAATTTTGTCAAAAATCAATTTAATCGATTTTCAAGTTTTGTGCTGAAAATGCGCGAATTTCAGTCATTCGACGATACTTTTTGCCGTTTGAACGCTTAAAATACTTGTATCAAAGTGCTTATTCACTTCCGACACTCACTTCGTCTCAAAACTATCCAGATCGGCATGAAAATTTATATGAAAATTCCGAAATTGCGGCGGCGATTGGCCGCGGAGAGCGTATTGCGAAATATGCCAAAAACGTCTCAAACGCGGCGTTTTCACGAAAATTTCAATGTTTTCTCTCTTTAATGTCTCTTCTTTCGTCGATATCAAACACAAAAATGGCGGAAAAGTGTGCTGGAATTGCGGCAATTTTCAGAAAACGCGTCTCAGATTAGGCCACGCCCCTTTCTACACTTTTGGTAGCCGTGGCAAACACGTAAATTGTCTTTGTTCATCTGTGGGTTACATTGAAAACGCGCAAAAACGTACCAAGTACCACATGTCGGTCCACAACGGATCGTTCGGATCCGGATGTTTTCTGTTCCTCGACTTGCTCACTTGCGCGCCCTCGTCCTCGACAATCTCGTTGTCGTCCGTGTGTCGGACCCTCCGGAATCCGCGTTTCACCCGCCGCTTCGCCACCTGCTGCTCCATCCACATCACCTCCTCCTCGTGCTGCAACTGATTCGCCGACAGACTTCGCGCCTTCCGTGCCGATCGATTCTTTTTGCGCTCGTCGCGGAACAAGTAGAACTCGTCACCCGGTATTATCTGCAAAATTTTTCTTGCTGTTGCCGCGCCCCTTGCTATTTCTTGCTGTTGCCGCGTCCAAAGTCTCGGAAAAGCCGCAAATCTCGCGGATTTTGCAGTCCAAAGTCGGCAGAAATTTGCGGGAAATCCGCGGTGCGCACAGCTGAACAAGTGTTACCGTACACCATAAAACTACGGTATTTTTTGAAAGGTTACCCAAGAAATTTGAAAAATTTCAAAAATTGTCAAGAAATTTAAATTTTTTCAAAAAATACCGTTGAAAATTTACCCAAGAAATTTGAAAAATTTCAAATATTCTCGAGAAATTTACATTTATTCCAAAAATACCGTTGAAAATTTAGCCAAGAAATTTGAAAAATTTCAAATATTGTCGAGAAATTTAAATTTTTTCAAAAAATACCGTTGAAAATTTACCCAAGAAATTTGAAAATTTTCAAATATTCTCGAGAAATTTAAATTTTTTCAAAAAATACCGTAGTTTTATGGTGTACGGTAACACTCGTTCAGCTGTGCGCACCCAGGATTTCCAGCAATTTTCTGCCGATTTTGGACTGCAAAATCCGCGAGATTTGCGCGTTTTCCGAGACTTTTCGGACGCGCCATATCGATTTCTCGTTATTTTTGCTCAAAACGACACATTTAAAAACGGTAGTGTAAAACTCACGGGACCCAGATTAGTGTACCCGTACTTGGCGGCGAGACGGTCCGCATCGTCCGTCTTTCCGCCCGCTATCCGCACCGCCCACTCGTTTGTGTACGTTCGTCGCATCGGCGACGCCTTCGTCGAAATCGTCGGCGATTCGTCGTCATCGAACTCGAGTTCACCGTTCGCCTGAAAAAATGTATAGAGAAACTATTGATAAATTATCGATAAAAAGAGTTGTGTTCTTTTGCCTCAAAATTCTCCATAAAACGTAGCGTACCTGTGCGTGATTGGTGGCTAATGAGAGAAAGAGGGCAAGTGTGAGTATCATCTTCCAGAGGACCGAACATCTCCGATCCGTCATTCTCTCTTTCTCTCTCTCTCTCTCTCTCTTTCTCCTTCTTCTTCTTCTTCTTCTTCTTCTTCTCCTTCTTCTTCCGATTATCGCATTTTCGCTGCTGCTATCTACTCGGTCTCTTTTTCGAATTCCTCTGCAAATCATTCATATCAATAAAAATTGGTTTCCCAAAGAAATATACAGAAAAGAGGCAAGAGGTTTAGAAGAAGAACGCATTTCAAGTGAAAATGGAATTGAAAAGGGGGAGGGTGGTTGGGTGACCAAATTTATTTATTTATCGCGTGCTCCGGGTTGGAGCAATGAGAGAGAAAGTGAAAGTGAAGAAGAGAGAGAGAGAGAGAGTGGAATACGTGAATTTAATAGTATAGTCGTTTTTCGTTCGGACACTTTTGAGATTTCGAAAAATCCATCGACATTCATCGATACATTTCTGGTTGCGACGGAAAGGGGAGAGAGTGGGTGCTCGGCGAGCAGCAAGCGTGACGGTCAAGTTCAGGTGTACATTGGGTACATAGAAAGTACGTGTTCACGTACTTGCCGACGATTATTTTGGCTGTCTGGAGCAGCACAGTTCAAAAAACACTGCACACTGCACTTAATCGGCCAAAAGTACACTGAAAAAAGTTCAGCATCCGACTAAGGCCGCGCAGTGAAGCACAAAAAGCGCAATGACGAACCGAAACCGGAACCAGAGAGACTTCAATGCGAATGCACTTTTGCTCAATCCCAAGGGCCTTTGCGAGTCCAAAATCTGACAAGATTTGAAGGGCTAAAATCGATGTTCCCATAAAATATGAAGCGTTTTGCACTTGCACCCAATCAAGTGCAAGTGCATTAAAAATCGACGACGCTGTCCGTTCGGAGATCGGAAACGGATAAATGAGAGGGAAAGAGAGAGAGAGAGAGAGAGAGAGAGAGAGAGAGAGAGAGAGAGAGAGAGAGAGTGTTTGTCTAATTTAGGTGAAAGCAAAGAGAGAAAGAGAGAGAGCAAACATGACCCCCCGAAATGGAAATAAAGCAGACCCCCTCTCAGAGAGATGACACCTCCGGGTTGGAGGAAAACTGGAAACAAAGAGGATAACCTGCAGAGTTGAGCGGAAATGGAATTTTGAAATGCGGAAGACGGCAGACGGCAGACGGAAGAAAATTTTTCTTACGGAACACGGAAAACGGAAGACGGAAGAAAATTTTTCTTACGGAAGACGGCAGACGGAAGACGGAAGAAAACTTTTTTCCCGGAAGACGGCAGACGGAATACGGAACAAAAAATCGTCAATTCAGAGCCTTTTTTTCCGGTTTTTTTTTGAAAAAAATAACTAAAGCAACAAAACTTTTGGATCTGGGTACTGCCCGTGGAAATTCGCGTTTTTCGGGACTAGTAAATGGCTTTTGAAAAGCTATTACTCTTTTACGGTAAGAAAAAAAAATCCCGGAAGACGGCAGACGGCAGACGGAACAAAAAAAACCACGGAAGACGGAAAACGGAAGACGGCAGACGGAATTCCGCTCAACACTGATAACCTGTCATCATTGGATTTTTCGGCACAATCTGCGTTTTCTGTACTTAACGAACACGTTTCGTAATGAATCTCATGTCAGAAAAGCGAAAGGAGAAGGAAAGGAGAAGGAAGTGTGCTTGACTGATCAACCGGAAGTCTTCGATGACAAATCTTCGTAATCTACAATATTCCTAGTGTGTTCCGGGAATTTTATCACCCCCTCCTAACATGCAAAGATGAAACATCAAAAGAGAAGACCGAGTGAAACATTTCTGTTTGTTCAAAATGACGCTATCCTCCAATCCGTTTCGTCTATTTTCCAGAAGAAGAAGAAGAAGAAGGAAGTTGCGGATTCATTTCACCACAAACACGGAAAAGAAGAAGAAGAAGAAGAAGAAGAAGGAGCTCCAAGTTCGGCGGCAAATCAAATTATGTGTGGTGGATCCGTAGGTGTCAGTTTGCTCACACACACACAAAAAAAGGGGGCGGGGCTTGGCTTTGGGCAAATTCCATGAGCTAAACTAAACAAACTGTCGAGTAAATAGAGGAATGGACGTTTTGCAACCAGCCTGGCTTGCAACTGATAGTAGACACTTTGAAACTGTGCAATTTCGGTTGCAAACCGACTAGTCAACACTTTTTCGAATCAACAAATTTAGGTTCTAGCTTTCAAACGTGTTAGGGACGTTTTGCAACCGAACCAATTTTGAATAAGTGGTTGCACAGTGTCCCGGTTCAGTTGCAAAACGTAAAAATTGCAGTTTTCGCTGTTTCAAATCAAAAATCAATATAATTAACAAATTGAAAATCCGCAAAAACCGGAAAAGTGAGCAATATTGAAGATTATAGTAGAGTTATGGCAATGTTCGACAGTTGCAAACCGTCCCATGCCCTTTTCAGGTCAAAAAAAGAAAAATCTGAGTTTCACGAGTGCTCTGAACCCGAGAAACCGAAAAAATGAGCAAACGTGAAAAGAATAGCAACGGGCAAGGGCTGTTTGTGTATTGAGGGGGAAAAAAGGAGAGAAACAGTGTGTGAGAGGTGTTCAATCCATCAAAAAAGTGTGTTGGACTCGCTCTTTGAATGCCGACAAAGGGACAAAACCGAAAGGGGACCGCTAAAAGTCCTTGGAAGACGAAAACGAATCACAATTCCCATTTATCAAGACCCCCCGCCCCATTTCTCTTCGCGGAACATATATATATATTGTACATTTCTTTTTTGATCCTTGGGAGGATTTGATTGAGAAGAAGACAATATTAGAAGTGAAAAAAGGAGAAAAGATTGATTGGATTTATGATGAGTAATGCGCATTGTGGACAAAAAAACAAAAAGAGCGATTCTCGAGGGATTTTCCGAAATGAATGGGAATGACGAAAATTGGATTATTTCGATTATGGTTCTAGGAACAACTTGCCCCGATAAATAAATTGTGGGAAAACATTTGGCACGGTCAAGTTCTGATAAAATGAACTAATCTTTGACTGACTACTAACTAGAACTAAAACCAAAAAAAAACCCAAAGAAGAAGAAGAATTCATCTTTCTCTTTTCTTGCTCCAACCCCAGAGCTCTCAAGAGACGGGACTTCATTAAATTAATTAAGTGTGCTTGGTCAGAGAAAGAGAGAAAAGAAGAAGAAAAGGAAAAAGAAGAAGAAGAGGAGGAGGAGGCTCTTAATCGAATCTCTCCATAAAAGGGGGCCGCACCATTTGTGGAGGACCATTGAGGACGGGCGGGAATATCAAGTTGTCGGGACAAGTACTTGAGTGGACGAGCGGGACCAACACTCGCCGAATCCGATAATTCCTTTGGTCCCACTTGGTTAGTACCAGAGTTGAGCGGAAATGGAATTTTGAAATCCGGAAGACGGCAGACGGAAGACGGAAGAAAATTTTTCTTACGGAACACGGAAAACGGAAGACGGAAGACAACTTTTTTCCCGGAAGACGGCAGACGGAATACGGAACAAAAAATCGTCAATTCAGAGCCTTTTTTTTTTTTTTTGAAAAAAATAACTAAAGCAACAAAACTTTTGGATCTGGGTACTGCCCGTGGAAATTCGCGTTCTTCGGGACTAGTAAATGGCTTTTGAAAAGCTATTACTCTTTTACGGTAAGAAGAAAAAATCCCGGAAGACGGAAGACGGCAGACGGAAGAAACATTCTTTTACGGAAGACGGCAGACGGAAGACGGAAGAAAACTTTTCTCACGGAAGACGACAGACGGAAGACGGAACAAAAAAAACCACGGAAGACGGAAGACGGAATTCCGCTCAACTCTGGTTAGTACGCGGTCTTCTTGTCTAGGAATAAAGTTGAGGGGCAAGCTGACCGCAAGCAGGCGGCAAACTGCGAACCGCCACGAACACCTGACCTGACCGGCTTCGAATTTGTCATCAATCAGCTGATATGGTTCCACTTCACTTTTGTCGCTCTTACAAATATATATACAAATAAATATAACCTATGCACACATACTAGACACACACTATTTACCCTAAATTTGATCGAACGCCTGGCGGGTGGGATGGAATTTTCTGGAAAACGCTTTAAAAACTGGTTGCAAAACGTCCAACCATTTTTTTTTGGGCGAAAACCGTCTTTTACCGCAATTTGGGTGCCTAGGCGCCTGCTAGTCGCCATTTTTCTTATCACCACATTTTTTTTTGTTCGAAATGTAACGTCTATACATGAAAAACGCACGATTACAATATTCGAAACCAGTTTGGGAGAATAGGAGTTGTGAGACCAAAAAAAAAAAAAAAAGAGGTTTTGGGTGGTGCTGGTGGTGGCGGGTTATCTAGGTCATTTTGGGGTGTAATTACCAGTGTGATATGAGAAAATGACAGACACACAAACGCACACGCACACACACGCACACACATGATGACATTCAGATAACAGACACAATCTTTGCAGGACACGTCATGCGAACGGACAGTAGCGCAAAACGTGTTGAACGGATATTGTAGAGCTGCTGCGAAAAGCTCTAGGTCTCCAATTTATTTTGTGAAATCTTGACATCTAGTACTTCATTTTTGTACTTGACCACTTTTTTGTACGACCACTTTCTGGAGTACTGTAGCGCTTTGAAGTTCAGACTGACTAAAAGACTATGCCAGCTTTAACGGTCTACAGTACCGCAGCGAGTGTTCGTACAAAAAAGTTGTCAACTACAAAAAGCAAGTGCTAGGCGTCAAGATGATCTGAAAAATTTTTTAGGCCAAACGGACATCTCCCGGCTCTACAATATCCATTCAACAAACCGTTTTCGCTCACAGAGTTTACGTCGGCAATTTGATTGGGAAAGAAGTGGCACGAAGATTGAACGATTTTGTGAAACGGAACGCAACGGAAGAGAAGAATAGGGGCCATGTGTTGGCGGGTGGTGGCCGGAGGGGGCGGACAATTGAATAAATGTGTGTGAAGTGTTTGGAACGTGCGCGTGAACGAAAAGTGTGATAGGACCGCCA